GACGAAGCCTATCAACCGCAGGAACACCCACTCCAGCCCATGGCCTATCTCCACCAGCATCCCCTCACCAACAACCGTTCCCCATCTCCACCTACCTTTCCCACTTCCATGGCCCGCGAATTCAATTCTCCGTACAAGAGTCTCGAGGCGCGACTGACGTAGAAGGGGGGTAATGTTATGGACTATATTTTTCGTCTTCTTGTATGCTCGACAGGTCTGATACCGCAGGAGACGCGGATGTGCAGTCTCAGTTCCTTTTTATTTAACTACATACACATCATCCACTCATATGGCCGGTTGAAGAACATTCCATGGACCTGTAGCCGTGTCTCGACTCCTCTCGTATTCTCGACTACGGACTACCTTGTTTCTCATAGCCTTGGACTGTGCTTCATAGCCTTGCATAGGCTTTGTACTATATTTATTGGGTACAGGTTTCCGCACCGACTACGGACTGGGGCACAGTACGAGCACGACTCAGTCTGACTTACTTATAGGTTTCATAGCCTCCTGCGGCTGCGCATGTATGTACTATATAAGGACGACCCTAGTAGAGGGGAGTTCTTTAACCTATTCATCTCTGATTTACCTCGTCTATCTACTCGTACTTGAACTAGTCCTTTCAGCAGGACTAGCTTCCCTTATCAACATCAAGACCCTTTGTCTGTGTAGAATCGCCACTACACCAGACCTTTGACCTAGAAGCAAGGCTTCTTAGAACACGGCCGATCGCACCTGTGATAGCTATCACACCTGCACCAGAACGCGCGTCCACTCTTGAATCTCTATTCAAGCCTGGACATTACAGGTACACATTCACTCGAACGTCGGAATCAATATCTTGGATGGCCCGGGGACTGGATTCTAATGATAAGTTCTGCGAAGTGTTGGCGGGGAATGCAAAAAGACCAAAAGTGGGATTGTAGAGGCACCCAGTGATCTGCGCGATGTAACCGTGCTTGGAGAAAAAAATAAGATGATAGGAAAAATGAGATATCATCTTGGAACCATTATGGACGCTGAGGGGTTTGAACCCTCGACCTCACGCATGCAAAGCGTGCGCGCTACCACTGTGCCAAGCGCCCATACTGATGTTTGTTATACAGTTACCATGACCACAGAAAGTAGATGCAAACCAAAGCTGTACCTCGCCCTCACATATTTTCCACCCTTGGTGCCGGGACGCGAGCAGAGTATGCTGAGTGAATCTTTAACAATGTCCCTCGAGAGCAAGATGCATTACGGAGCTATCAGTGCTTTCTGTTTCTCACCAAAAGCATGACGATACCAGTATGAAGGTGAGTATATTCTGAGATCCCATGATCTCGCAGATCTATCTCGTACATACCCACAACGCGCCTCCTACTCAATACTTGTCCAATGGCGTAGTAAAAGGGAAGGGGGTCTAATTCCTCCGCTTGTTATTCCTGGGCTTAGGGAACACTAGCGGAGTTTTCAATATCGCCCTCTTCTCTCCTACCGCACTGGGCGCAATACCGTATTTCGTGAGATCTGCGGCGTCGAGTGTCTCGATCTTGCAACCTGTGGTGTGTCACCCACACATCACGGCGTCAGCAAAAAAGCGGACGAGAAGATAGAAGAGGACTTCAAATTTGCTGGCAGACGTACCCAGGGAGCGGAAGATTGAGTTTACGCTGTAGAGAGAGATGTGATCAGGCAAGGCACATAGAAGATAGAAAGGAAGACGAAGGACGTACGTGTTGGCAGCCATTTGGAGGTCTGCGGCGATGAGTGTTGGTTCGGAAGCGAAGTTGTCGACTTTGAGGCAAAGTGCGAGCATGTGTGAGAGAAGGTTCGTTTGTGTCGAGGATGTCGCTTGTCGGCTGTCCGTAAGTTCGTTACTTTGATTAGAATATATATAAGGCATATTGGAGGAGGAGACGTACGTGGTGGCTGCACGGGCCTGTTCGGTGAACCGTTCTAGCAGACCGTCAACGATGGTTTCCGGTGCAGGAGACATCCTATCGAGGAGGACTTCTCGGTCAGGTACTTTTCCCCGCGAGGTTTGTATGCGGAAAGACATCATCGCTGCGATATAGAATAGAAGCTTACTGGACGAGGGAAGATAATTTAGTTCTGATTCGTAAGAGGAACGAGGGTGACAGAAAAAACATACACGACTCTCTTCTGCTGTGCAGGCTTCATTACGCCAAACGCTTTATTGACATGCTGCTTCACCCACGTACTCCTCTGCACCGGCCACATCTTATTCCATTCAGGAACATTCCTTTCTCCAGTTTCCTTCTCCTTGGCCTTTATCGTCTTAATGCTGCTCCAAACACCGTCCAGCGCGCTCCACTCCTGCTCTGGAATGATCCCATGCAGCGGGTACGCTTCCTCTGGACTCGTCGCCTCTGCGTCATATCTCGGAATCAATCTCGCCATATCTGCCGCACTCTTCGCCTCTTCCATGGTCGGTAAATTCTCTGTACCGCGCTCTATACCAGATTGCAGTACAGGGGCGACAGATTCCATGGCCGATACATCGACTTTGTTCCGCTCATTCGCGCGAATTTGGGCCAGTGCTTTTTTGGTACCAAAGGCTTGGCCTAGGGCGTTACGGGCCATGATACGTTCGGATTGGGATGGACCGGTGGAGGACGAGGCGGAGGAAAGGGATTTGAGGCGTTTGACGGTGTGGCCCAGGATGTGCAGTGGTGCCGGTTGAAGGGTAACTTTTGAGGAGGAGGGGCGATGGAGAGCAATATAGTATCTGCAATGGACGGAGTATACATTGTCAAGAGGTAAGGTATATACGAGAAGTATACGGGGCCACACACCTTGAACCCAGTGCGCCGTCCCGTGTGGCGTTCGCACCTTCGAATTCGACTGAGTCGGTTTCACCGGCAAGGGTGATGTTTTGGCGGTAGAACTCTTTGCCGTCTTCTCCTTCATGGACATAGCACTTGAAGGAAGTTTCTTTCGGTGGTTGGAGGGCCGGGAAACTCACTGTAAGTTCGATGGAACAGAGTAATAGTCAACGTCAAGACAGTTCCCGTAGACAAGTTTCAAGACACAATATTATCCATTATCTCGGCGAATTGAGAGAAGCATCCTGCGGGAGATACATGCCCAAAATATTGTAAAACAAGTACGAACATACATACCGAGGACGGGTCCGACCTGGGTGGAAGGGATGCTCGATGGTTCAAGAATGAGCTTCTTCCCGTCAGAGGCAGTGGCGTCAGAGTCAGAGCGTTTGCGTTTTTTAGTGCGAGCATCGGGTGCCATAGTGCAAGTTTTTCGAGAAAGTGGGACAGACGAGTGGAGGGGAGGAGGAAAGAAGTTATAACCCTAACCTTCATCCAGGGCTTCGATCAGCGTAATTTGAAATGAAATTTCTTGCCTCCCGCGAAGTCAAGTGTGGCTCCAGCTTTGCTCTCTCTCCTTCCCTCTACTGGCCGCATCTTTTATTTCGCTGTGGTAACGATAACTGGTGTATTATTGGGGGAAAATTCAAAACTTCTGGTGTCATAACCGCGCTCAACCAAACAGCGCGTGAACACCTCACAAAATAATCTGGCTTTCAATTTGTGGCCATGCCGTCCAGTCTCGCTGCCCAGCTAGCTCAAACTTCATCCCTCAACTCCTCTTTACTCGTCGACCGCTCCCGTAGAACTCCTACAGAATCATACCTATTTACTGCACGCGAAGCAGACCAACACGATCTCGACTCCCTTCACGCGCTTGCCTCGAATGCTTTTCTTCAGCTTCGACAATTAAACCCCTCATTTCGCACATATTACGACACTCTCTTCTCCGATGCAGCAAGGAGCATTGATAGAACATTGCTAGGGGGAGATGAGGCGAAGGAGCTGAACGGGAGCATTGCGAGGTTCTTGCCGCTGCTTGGACCTTGGTTGATGGAGGCGCCGTCAGGGATGGTACTTGAGTGGTTGGTACGGAGATTCAGGTATGTGGCTTCCAATTCCCTCACTCTGTTATTTGTGGCTAACGGATTCCTACATGATGTAGAATAAACGAGTTCAATGTAGAAGATATTATCCGCGTCTTCCTTCCGTACCACGACTCGCCACATTTTACGAAGATGGTCACTATACTTCACATCAGGTGCATACTATTATTATTATTTGTTCCTCTCCTCCACATTCTCTCCGTTTTATCACCATGCTCTTCTCAGACTCGTTTTGACACAGTTCCTGAGTTATACCCGTACGCCGCACTGCTCAACGTACTGACATCCCCTTCTTCCCTGCAACAGACCAAATTCAACCTTCAGCTTCCTCAACGCTTACAAATCCGCTGCTCAATCTCTCCCTCGAGCTGCTCTCATCAAAGAGATGCGCCAAAACGTCGACGTAGCTCGTTTCGTCTCCTCTCTCCTCCCAACCGCCATAGAACACAATTATGTACACCGCACTCTCGTCGCCTTCTACGTCGGTTCCATGCTGGACTTTGTAGGGAAGAGCAAGAAATTGGACGACAGCGTACTAGCATTTCTACTGCCCGCGATACTGGTGCCGTTACAAGCTGACGGAAAGAGCAACAAGGAGTTGACTGTTAGTCGTCGCCACATTTTGCAATCTCCACAGATAGTTGACTTTGTACCTGCTTTAGTTGGCCACATATGTCCTCCTTTCCGCCCTCTCTCAAAAATGTCGACTTTCTTCTCAAGCCGTCAAGACAATCATCACTACCATGGCTTCCTGTAGCTCTCAAGTCGCACCTCAACAGTACCTAAAAGCTGTTCTTTCGGTCCTGAGTCCGCAGGACCAGCTCGAGAAGTTGCCGAAAGCTTTCGTTTCTAGCATAATCGAGATGAGGTGAATATACTCACTCCTTTCAAAGGCTGTCTGTACAAAGACTCATGTTCTCCTGTACGTTGTAGGGATGTGGAGAAGATACTCCTTGGAGCGATGACGTTGGCTGGATCGGACCAGCTGGTGGCTAGCTTGTTACCAGAACTCGTTAAACAGTAAGCCCCTACATCTTCTTTATGCTCCATCCCCTTTTCGGCGCTCATAACAATTATCTGAACAGGCTAGAAGAAGAGCGCCCTCTCCTCTTTCTCGGCACCTTGGTCACTGCGTCATCACCTTCTGCCCCATCTTCTGTACTTCGCCAACTCACCACACTTCTCATCCACGAATCGCTGTCAGACGCTTCGTCGTCCTTAAAATCACGCGCTCGTGCGTTCTTGTTGTCACTACGACAGCGCCACCCGTCTGCGTTCGAAAGTGCAGTGCAGAACGTCATTGAGGACGACGAGGCGGTGAAGGACGATATTGAGCGGTTGCTTGTCGAGTTGTCTGTTGTGAGTTTCCCCTTCGACGTGGATCAGGTACAGATCTAACTGCTATATTTGTTTCATGGCTTATGGTAGAGCACCACAGGTCCATTGGCTGGAAACAAAAAAGACGTGGATACTGTCGTCGCATCAAATGACGCCGATGGTCATGTCCGCACTGTCGCAGTACGCGACATGCTTTCAGCTCTGGCAAAGGGCGGGATCGACGCCAACGAGCTTGTGCGTCGATTTCCACGAACCACACCTCGGCTCGAAATGTGCTGACCTAACAAACTTACTTTTCCTAGTCCTCAATTCACTCTGCTCTCCTGTCTCGCACGATCGACACGGACATACAAGTCATCAATGCCCTCTACTCCCAACCCACTCTCGTCACACCTATCATCTCCTCTTGCTTCGACACCTACATCACCGCACTTTCTTCTTCACTCGCTTGCACATCTGCACCTTCGCGCCAGCTGATCCGTATCCATCTTACATTTCTTGCATACCATTTCACCAAGCAGCCGGATGTTGCGAACAGCGCAGAGGGAGATCGGATGGTCCAGAAAATATTCGAGAAGCTTGTGTGGCCATTCCTGTTATGGACCAAACCACGACAGAGAACGGCAGCCGTAGTCTGGGAGATCCTTGGTAGCGAAGAAGCTCTAGCCGGACCCATCAAAGGTCTTGCAGGCTATGAACTGCTGACGGGATGCATCGACGCTCTCAAATGGGAAGAACAAGGCTCCGCGGGCGATAGTTACGAACTTGCGTCGCGCGTCAATCTTGCCATCGCGAATAGGATGGCGGAGACGGCGTTGATGTCGAATCGTCACAAGGAGCATTTCGAGTTCATTTTGTTTACGCTGAGACCATCGGAGTCGGGTAATGGACACGAACATGCGAGTGGGTTGGGATATCTGGTCATGAGAGCATTGGTGGGACGAATGTCGGGTGAACATCAGGTTGAGGCGGCGGAGAGGGTACTGGAGGCTATTGGTTTGGAGTCGTTGGATGGGGTGGATGGGTTTATGAAGGGGGCGGAGAGTTTCCAGGAGGTACGTGCGGTGCCGTCGTTGTGGCCGTAGACTGACATACTAACTCTGTAATTTTCTTCTCTTACAGTTCTTGAACGATGCGAGCTTGGGCATGAACCTCGTTCTCAAGCCAAGCAGCAAGAACACCACGTATTGGCTGCAGACGAGTCTGCTTGCGCTTATGCCAATCATTCCACGTCCTGTCAATGTACAGCTAGATTGGCTAGCCCCTCATACTGCCTTGGTGCGTCTGGCCACACCCTCGCACCCCTGTCTCTTTAGACTAAGCGTTGCACTAAACAGAACGAAACCGATCGACGAAGCATGCTCTACGTCAAGCTCCAACGCTCAATCTACACCATTGCCAACTCCGGCTCCTCAACTTCCTCAGCTCCATCCTCGACCATATTACCCGCCACGCTCACCCGCGCTCAGTTCATCAACCTTTCATCCGATGCGCTAGCTTTCCTGGCTGGTGTCTGGCTTTCTTCTCCCACCCCGCTTGAAGCTCGTCGTACCGCACTTACACATGCGGCGGCGTTCCTTGCCGCTCACGACAGTGTCAAAAGCGAGGGTGCCATTGACTTCCAGACCATCCTCCCTGCTATCCTTGTTGCGTTGCGAGACGAAGACGCGGGAATCAGGGAGGGAGCAGCTGAATGTTTAACGTTGGTGGGGAGGTTGGTGGGTAGGAAGAGTGCTACAGGAATTTACGGATTTGATACGATCTACGGGGCGGGCAGCGGTTCGTCTCTCTTTCTTCAATATGGCATGGCCGGACACGGACTGACGTGTCATCGTTGACGGGCATAGATCAGCTGCAGTATCTCGAGTGGGCGGATCTGCAGAGATATGTGAAGGCGATGGCGGAGAATGCGCATCACTTCGTGAGCGCTGGCGATGGCTCGTTTGTCAGGGTTTGGCATCATCAGCACTTGAGCAAGGCGAAAGGAGATTCCAAGAAAGATGCCTCGTGAGTCTATTATCTCTTGGTCTATCCTGATCATCCTCTAACTTTTTGTGGTTCCCTCTAGGTACAAGCAACGCGTGCTGTGTTATTTGCTCTCACACGCTAACGGCTCTCCTGTGATCGACCTCAAACTTTGCGTCCTTCGCTCCGTCGATGAGATCTCGAACCACGCCAAAGCTCAAACTCTCGTACACACCTTGACAAGCCTCGCCAATGATGAAGAATCCAAGGAAATGGAGGTCCGATTCGGAGAGAAGAACTTCGAAGAGTTCGAGACGTTGGTGCTGAGGAGTCTGGATGTCTCCGTGGTCGCGGATTTGAACACGGATGATGCTGGACTGTGGGGGGTGGTTATGGGACTGTTGAAAAGGTACCTGCAACCTGGTGAGTATTTACACTGTATTCATGCGACGCATTGTTCGGTCGTTGACGATGGGTCGATTTCGGTTTTCTAGGTTCACATCCTTCGTCCCGCTCGGCACTGTTGTATTCTATAGAGCACGGCGTCTTCAAGGGTCTCAGTAAGGAGCGCCAGTTCGAGATTTCGAGATTACTGCTCGAAGTTGGAAGCCAGGCGACGAGTCTCGTACGTCCCGTTCTCTTTTCTGTGGTTATGTAACCCATGTTTATTGACCACTTGCTATAGCAAAACACTTGCAAAGCAGTCCTCACCAGCGTTCTTGACGGTGTCCCTCTACTGGTCCAGCTCGCGACTTCACTGCAGCCTGCGACGCCAGATACTACACAGCGTGCCAACAAGCGTTCCAAAGTTTCACAGTACGTGTTCATTTCGATTGACTATGCCAGGGGTCATATCCTGAAGCTTACTTCTCCACGATTCTAGGTCAAGCTCTGATTCGCTATCTACTCTGAGCTTCTTTGCGGAAATTATCAGCGGAAAGGCTCTTCCCGGTTCATTGGATATTATCTCATGCCTCCTGGATACATTGAGCAAGGTTGTTCATTGTGATGGTGCATCTCAGTCAGAGGCGGTCTACGTCGAGCAATTGATCATGTCGGCTGTGGAGAGCGCCGCGACCAATATCGAGGTACGCCTCTCTTTGCATTTATCCCAAGAAGCATATTCTGATTCAATCTATCATAGAATGTGAACAGCATACCGCCGAATGCGATCAGACTTGATATCTTGGTTGAGATTATTCGAGGTCAGCTGAATTCTTCGTTTATCTGTCGTTTTATAACTGACGCATACGGAAATCACAAGTCGGTGACAACCCGCAGACGTTCAATCAGGCCCTCCTCTTGATGTCGAGTCTTGCCAGACTCGCACCGGAATCCGTCCTGCACAACATCATGCCCATATTCACCTTCATGGGCTCGAACGTTTTCCATCGTGATGACAGCTACAGCTTCCGTGTTGTGCAGAAGGTATGTCCTCGCAACGCCTCGTATCTTGGCGATCGACACTCATACTTAATGCCATTCATGTAGACTGTCGACAGCATTGTTCCGGTCATGGTTTCGTCGCTGAAGGCCAAGTATGCAACGCCGCTAGAGCTCATCATTGGGTCCACGGAGTTCGTGAAGATCTTCACCGACGCAGCAAACCATATTCCCAGACACCGACGCACGCAGTATGTTACAATACTTGTCACACTTGTTTATAGTTTCTTAACGAAACGCATCATTTCTAGTTTCTTTACCCATCTGGTGGACGTGCTCGGAGCCGAATCTTTCCTAGCTCCAGTATGCGTTCTCATCATTGGGAAGGCTGCGAACAAGGTTGTTAGGCAGCACGGTGAAGACTTGAAGTCCACGCTTGCGCTGCCTCTTTCGGTCCTTCACCATTACCCTGCTGATGTGCAGCTATCTGTGAGTGGATGTAACTTCTTAACTTTCATCGCGCCATAATCTTACTGCCGATCTCTTTCTCAAGGCGCTCACTGAGGTCGTGCGAGAAGTACGCCGCCTGTTGAGTCATGTCGTTGACCCCGAACATGGAGAGCCAACGATTCTGAATGTCGTAAGGTACGACCAAGATAGTAATTGTGTCATCGTATGTTACTGACAATATGCCCTATAGCGAGGATAAGCAGTCCCTTCAGGCGGCATCTGCTGCTAAACGCCGTGCCCACGCTCTCGTCATCTCCACTGGTTTGGCCCTCGAGGCGTCCCCCACCACATTCGCCACATCGAAAGGGTCGTCCGTCGAGCTCGTGGTATCTGCGTTGCTCGATGTTCTCAGCATATCGAACGGCACAGGGACTGACGGGGATATCGGCGAGATCAAGACGGCTGCACAAGTATCGGTCAACCAGGCCTTGAGGGTGATGCCCGCCGTATCTTTCGTCACTGCAGTGGCGAATATGATTGAAAGTGGGCAACCTGGGGTGCGGTTTTCATCATCAGGCATCATCGAATGCATTTCTGATACTTTTTATTGTTTTCAGGTGCAGGCTGAAGCCCTTAAGCTTCTCGGTGACAGACTACCCTCAGTCTCAGATACCGTCCGGGAGAGCACTCTGGTCACCTCTGTTATCGCGAAGATCGTCATCAGGATCAAGCAATTGCTCTCGATTTCAGCCTCCACCGTTGTCGTGTCGGCATTCGATGCGCTCAAATCAATCGGCATGACTCTCAGTCGTGGCGAGGAGTCATCCATGATGGAGTGTGTTCCGCTTCTCGTCTCGGCTATTAGGGACAAGAAGGAGGCTGCATCTGCGCTTGCCGTACTGCCTACTCTCTCGTATGTCTCGTATCTATTTCTTACCGCACAGGCTTTAATGGCGATTACAGAGGGAAACTCGGTCCTCGCATCATTCCCTACTTCCGAGACATCACTGATGAGTGTGTTGCCATTCTCCGCGAAGGCATCAAGGGCAAACCAGGTATGCACTGGCCAGCTTTCATCCTGTCCGGTTCGTCCATACTAACGGCGTGTATCTTCTAGCTGGTTCCTCGGCCATCCTTGTGGATGCTCTTGAGACGCTGAAGTCTCTTTTCAAGGCCATTCCGACGTTCTGGGGCAATGCTGAACTGGGAAAAGTCTTTCAACTTTACCTCAGTTACCAGGCTTCATCGGCTCAATCTCCCGCCTTGGACACCTTTGTGCGTTCCGTCGTGAAAAAGGCCCCCACGAAGGTTCTTTTGCCTTCCCTATCCGAGATGTGGACATCGTTACAGACAGCAGACGACGAGGTACGTCTGCAATGCCAAACACACTTATGAAAGCATGCTTATATGTTGGTTAAGGACTTGACGAGCGCGTACGAAGGGCTGTTCGACTTGCTCAGAAGATCCCTTCGTGCTGGCCCTAGGGCAGACGTCGTAGAGCACCTCCGACCGTTGTTCAAGATGATGCTCGAAGCATTCGAGTTGAGGAGTAAGGCTGATGGCCTAGATATAGCTAAGGTACGCGCAGTCCCTTCATCCAATTGGATGTTGCTCAAGCCTTCGTATATAGGTCGAAGCCAAGACCATCGGCGCATTTATCGAGCTTGTCACGAAGCTGAACGAGAGCGCGTTCAAGCCTCTGTTCCGCCGATTGTTCGACTGGGCGTTCGCAGGTTAGCATTTAGAATATCCTGACCACCCGTTCGTCTGGCTTTCTAATACATTGTTCACCGCAGATGCCGGGTCAGACAAAAAGATCACCTTCTGCCATCTCTATCTCGCAATGTTGGACTACTTCAAGGTCAGTTTTTCCTCGATTATCCTCTGTTTCAATCACCGACTGATGGCTTTACAGGGGCTAATGACACCTTACATGTCCTTCTTGGTCCAACCGTTCATCGGGATCCTCGACGCGTTCCCTACGGACACGACCATTGATCCGGAGCTCTGGACCTGTGTCATCGAGACCCTAACAGCCAGTCTAAACGTCGACGAAGGCCGTGTGTATTATTCGAGCACGTAAATGACCTCACCGCTGACCACCCCACCTTGCTCAATGTAGTGTTCTGGCGCGAAGATCGTCTCCGCCAAATATCTTCACCCTTGGTCGCCCAGGTGCCGAAATGCGTCGATCTTCGCGAAGACTCTGACATTGGCAAGGCGAAGGTTTTGGACACGCTAGTGGCACTTATGGGCACTGTCGGCGACGATAACCAGCTCAAGAAGATCAACCTTGACGTTCTCATGCATACCCGCTCCGAAGACGCTCGTGTCCGACTGTTCGCTCTCCAATGCGCCGAGGCCCTCTGGACCACGCATGGAACGAAGCTCATGGGTACGTCTTTCAAGTGCTCCGGGTCAACTTATATGAACTTGCATGCTCACTTCGCGACGATCTACAGGGTACGTCTCCGAGACCTCCACCTTCATCGCCGAGTGCGCGGAGGACGAGAACGACAGTGTCGTCAAAGCGACGCACAAGCTCAAGGCTGCAGTAGAAGGTGCGACTGGGGAGCGTATAGATAGTCTGTGAAAGGAGAGACGGAGCACGGAGTCGTGATAAGGGCAAGTATGTACATGCGAATTTAAGATCCTGGGTCGAGAAGGGCGAGCGGCAGAGTAGAACTATATATGCATATGCAATATGATATATGACACATATCATTGGCGAACAACTTTGGATATTGCAGAACTCCTTGAAAAGCTTGGATGGTTTGTGGATGGTGGGACGACGACGAATGTAATGGGGGATGATGATGGTAGGGGTGACAGTGAGATTGACGAGGATGGGAAGAATGGAACTGAGGAGTAATAGGGACGAGATGAGACCAGAATATAATAGAGCAGAGACGAGCAGTGTCATTCCGGAGCATAAGATGTGACGGTAAAAGAGAGATGGAGAAAGAACGGTATGTAACGGAACGAGAAAAAATAGGTAGAAAGGAGTGAGATGGATTATACCAGGCAGGGTATCATGAGTGCAGAACGTCAAAAGAGAAAGGTAAATTGAAAGCGAAAGTGATATGGATGACGTTAAAGACGTGAACGAGCTAGATACTATGAAAGCGAAATAGTCCCTTGAGAGTCTACACTGCGTCTTCGATGCAGTAACTTCTCCTCCGTAGCTTTGCATTGAGCGAGCAGCTGGACGATAGCCGAGCGAGGGCAAGCCGTCCGAATGAAGTGTGCCTGCGTATGTCAAAGCCCCATTAGTCTCGTTGTCTGTTTGATAAAAGGAAGGGGATACGCACATTGAGCAATTTATCAGGCTCGAACCTGTTCGCCACAGGTTGACAACACAGGTTCAAAAACTCATGGAAAGGTCGTGAATAGATTTCCGGTTGGGGCAGCGATGGCAGCTGCCACTGATCACCGATTTGTCTGGTATCCTGCACGTCGGAGAATGGTGGCTCGCCCGTGACGAGTTCCCAGGCAGTCGCACCAAGAGACCAGACGTCGACTTTGAGAGGGTCATAGGAGCCACTGTATGGAATATCGACCATGAGTATCGATGGAGAGCGATGAAAAGGGAGAGACGTACGTTCGCATCTCTGGAGCCTGCCAGTAGATAACTCCAACATTATCCGAGGATTGTGGTGTCCCCGGCGGGGATTGCACGGCGTTCGAGAAGTCAGCTGTAACACAACAAGATCACCCTCAGAGTCAGCCATCGTCTTGCATCACAACCACAACACCATTTCGACTCACCAAGCTTCAACACTCCATCCTTATTCAGCAGCAGATTGTCCGACCTCAAATCACGATGCGCAATATGCTGCTTCTGCAGGAAGCTCAACGCAAGCAACACATCCCACGCAAACCTCGCCACCATCTTCTCACCCACCACTAAAACCTCACTGTCCCCGTCCTCCATGTTCATCTCCACCGCATCCGCACTAACGCCCAGGACGTCAGCAAGACTACGCTCCATGAGCTCCATTCCGATCCACAAGCTATCCTCGACGAGATCGACATAGAGTTTATCCAAGCTAAGGACATTAGGATGTCTAAGCCCACGCATCATTTGCAGTTCCCTCTTTAAGTCCACGAGTTTCGGGGAGCCAGCGGGGGAGATGGGAACGTTCTTGATAGCCACCACATCCGTGGAGACCGAGAACGGGAACGAGACCTTGGGTGATGTGGGCGATGACGACAAGGTTGGCGAAGGACTCGAATCCCCCGGGGAGGGCAGCGCCCGAGTCGGCCTGGGTGGCCTTTTCCCAGTCGCAGTCGTCTGTTTCGGAGGTGGCAGTGGCGCGATGACCCGTGCAGAAAAGACCGAGCCCGACTCTCCCTCCGCGATTTCCACCAAATCATCGAACACATCTCTCGGGTCGATGGTATCGTCAATGAACTCCGAAAGCGGTCGGACGACCTCGGATAACCATCCAGGGTACCTCTGTGCGGGAGTGAGTGGGCTTGTCGCCGCGCTCGATGAGGCTGAAATCGAGGAGGCAGGAGTGAGTGCACCTGCGACTGCGGGGCTGATGCCAGTGACTGTGGCCGTAGCAGACGATGCGGCGGGACTGGGGCTGGGACTAGGACTGACGCTCGTGCGCGCGACCATGTCCGTCGTGATCACAATAGACGGCTTGCCCGACGACGCGCCCTTCACACTCACGGTCGGCTCCTCTCCCTCTGAATCATCTTCCTCCTCGGCATCAGGGAATTGAGCTTTCAAAGGAGACGGCTGAGGTGACGCCACACCAAGGAACGCCAGCGCCACCGGACTCTTCGGTTCCCTGCCGACGCCAGATACATAACCACCAGCATTACCGTCCTCGGCGCTATTCGACCCAGACGTGACGGACATCGTCTGCCTCGGTGATTCCGAGAACCCGTACTCTGACCCAGAGCTCGACCGACTCCTGGACGAGACACCGCTCCTACTCGTGCGAGAACTCGATCTCTTGGTGGTTGAAGTGACAATGGCGGTAGGTGCTGGGCAAACGGCATCAAGTTCGACATTGGCTGCGATCGCGGTGGTGGGAGTATTAGTGGAGGTGACGGATTCCGGCAGAGGAGGGACAGGTGCAGAAGGGTAGGCTCGCTCCATGACAGAAACCATGGAATAATGGCCTTGATCCGACGAGAACACCGAGGGCGACCTAGGCACTCCATTCATCCATCCCTCTTCCGATGACTCGCCATCCTCCGCAATACGCATCGCCACACTATGTCCGCCCAACGACCCCGATCCCGATCCCGCTTGGCCCTCACTCTCCATACTCCCTTCATCCTGCGAATCCTCGCTCGTACGCCTCCGACTCCCCTCACCATTACCGTCCCCGGTCGCATTCTCGCTCCCACTCCCACTCCCACTCCCATTCGTCTCCGCATTCGTATCTCCCGTACCCGGCCTCTCCACCGCCTTCGCCTTAACCATCCTCACCACACTAACATTCCTCACCTCCGCCATCGACGCATGAATCAACGTGCTCCCACTCGCGCTACTCATATTCGAATCCCTATCCCTACTATTCCTATCCCTGCTCCTTCCCCTCTCCCCCTCCCCACCCGGATGAGTGCTACTAACCGGACTAGTCCCCGACCCATAATACCCATAATACCCATGCCCATTGACCCTCGCCGCATCGATCGTCAACTGCGAAGTCGTCGAATCCCTCGTCCGATCCCTCTCGCTCGACTGTCCTCTCGACGATACCGTCGAAGCCGACGACGCCGACGCGACGCTCAGATGATGCTCGTAAGTCCGGACGTTCGACCGGCCTACGCGGCCTAGCCCCGCAGAGTAGCCAGGCGAGCCCGGTGTGGTGGGGAACATGGGCGACTCTGTGAACGCGGGAGAGAGGGGCGTGTGGCCCGTGAGTCCGAAGCTCGTTCCGCTTGTGAGTGCGGTCTGGGGGAGGTCGAGGGGGCTGAAGACGGAAACGGAGGGGGAGAGGGTTATTGAGAGTGAAGGAGAGGGCGATGGAGAGCGGGATTGTGATGGTGAACGGGGTTGGGCGGATTGCGTTTGAGATTGGGATTGGGAATTCGGCGGGGAATGGGAGCGCGAGTCATGTTCGGCAACTGATTGCAACGGCGACGGTGAGCGTGAACGAGACAGTAAACGTGAGGCAGGCTGAGGAGACTGCGAATGCGATTGAGGTTGATGAGGTTCCAGATGAGCCGACCGTGTAGAGTACGGTGAATGGGGAAGCGAGCGTTCCGAGCTAACTTCAGATAATCCAGACCGTGGCGAGGAATTAATGGCGGGCGTCCTCGGGCTCCGATTACTAGGACTATACGAAGATGAGTAATTCGAGTTCGCCCCGGGAGTGCGCGACTGCATCATCCCCATCAGCTCGTTATACAGCGGCGAGGTACTGATCGTGTACCCCGGCATGTTCTCCTGCTCGTGCTCGTCATAGTCCCCGGCCTCATCGCCGCCATCTCTGCCCTGCTCTTGGTATTCGCTATCCTGGACGGTGATATTCGGTAGGACCGGCGATAACGACGGCGTAAAAGTAGACGTAGAGGCTGATGGAGAAGTCGACGAAGAAATGGTAGCAGCAGGCAACAGACCTGCACCCAAACCGGAGCTCGTTCCAGCCTTGCTCTTAACAACGGACTTCCGGAACTTCGACCGTGCAGCCTGAGCCTGAGCCCTCAACGGCGAATGTGGCGGCGTCCCGTTCCCAGAGGTAGAAGCCGTGGGAATCGACGAGAATAACGAAGCCGTCCAATCCGACAGGTCGTCGATCGCGTCCTTTCGGAGTGACAATCGTGGTGGTAAGACGGATAGACGGGGTGGTTTGTGTTTGATGAGACCGTCGACGGTTTGGCCTAACTCATCTACACCTTCCTCCACCTCTTCGCCATCCAGCAGCTCACTGTCGGCCTCCACGAGTGTCTGGTCCTCCTGCAATATTGTCTCGTCTCCCGGCTCTACCGCCTCCCTCGCAGACTCCAATTGCGGTTGCCGAGCAGAAGAGGTTCCTGCATGCTGCTTCTCTGCTGGCCGCGGCCTCTCCCTCTCGAACGAGCTCAACGGCGGCGGCAAATCCATCGATGTCCCCGCCCTATGATTCCCACCGTCTTCCTCGTATCCATCCCTATCCGAAGTATTGTAAGCTGGAGGCGGCGAACTCGGTTCAGGCGGTGGTGTCTCGTTAACGACTCGGAATACTTTTCTCGGTGGCGTTCGTGCCGGCATCCCGGAGGGGGAGTTGAGTGGGCCACCTGCTGAGCGCGATGATGTTGAAGGTGCAATAGCCGAAGGAGTGTGACTGAAAGTGGAAAGTGATGGGGACGGTGATGCTGCTGCGGGTCTAACGGTCATCATCGAGCTCATCGTCGCAGCACTAGGAACCGGAGCTGGTAGTCCAAGATGATCTTTGCCGTGCCCTTCGTCCTGCGCGTTGAAGTTATCGAGCGTGATAGTGTTTCGCTGTATATACACGAACTGCGAGTCGGTCGAATGAGTGGCTACGCTCTCATTGGCGTCAATCTCCGAGTAGGATCTATCGATGGACCGATTCGCGCCTTGACCGGAGCCAGCAGCGCTCGAAGCGTTAGAGTCCGAATCTAATCTTCGATGATACATTGGGGCGTGAACGGGAAGTGGGGGAGGTGGTGAGTGATGATGGAAACGAGAGGAATGCTCCGAGCGGGCGTCGTCAGAAGACTGTTTTCGGCGCAGAGAGCTTGAACGAGCGCGGGGTTTAACGAGTGTGGTTAGCGAGGTCGGGGGTGGTGGTGGGATTCCTGTGACTCCTGCGTACACGGATGGGGAGGAGGCGGAGAACTGGGAGGGAGATTGGGTGCGGGAGATGGGCGAATAGCGGTCGATGTCGCGGTCTGAGGCGGGGGTGCGAGAGCGGGTGCGCAGTTGGTTTTGACGAATCGCGATGATTTCGTCGTCGGTGAAGCCGGCTTCAGAGAGTGCAGTATCCCAGTTGTTGGGGATACCTTGGTAACTGTGAGATATATATGTGTGAGTGAGGTGTTTTCGGTCTGGCATTATTAAATAAACGAGGCGAAGGAGGTCAAGAATAGAGGCACACGAGGGTGGCCTGAGAAGCAGAACACAGGACGTACTTCTCATCTACATGCATATTGTGCTATAATAATGTCATTTTTATTGATCACAACGCGCAGTAAGATAGTAAGGAAGTGGACATACCTGGAAGCCCCAAGGCAATGATATTGAATCATCATCGGTTGGGTCCGTTGCCTGCTGCATCTCACTAGCACTACTGCTCGCCAAGGAGTCGCTGGTATTCGTCCGTGACGGTTTCGGAAACGTCATTGACTTCTTTCCCATCGAGCTCGCCATCCTGATGAAGTTCCGCCTGAATCCTGCTGAATCTGGTGGCAGACTGCTCGGAGACTGAGTCGCGCGACTCGGGGCCGGCGATGGAGACCGTGCAGCATACTGAGAAGGTTGGTACGCTGTCGACAACGGCGTCGGAGGCTGTGAAAAGGAATCTGCGACGGAAAGAGACTGGCCAGAGAGGGAGAGGACGGATTGCGAGCCTGTAACGGACGAATAGAGATAATTTGGGTCCTTGGGCGGAGGCGCAGGTGGCTTTGGATTTCCGGAAAACTTGAAGACCTTGAAGGTCGAAAAGCGCGAGTTTGGCTTTGAGCTCGATGCCGACGGCGACGACATCTAGGGACTGCTGGTATCTCCTGCACCTGTCGTCGACGATGGCCGCAGGGGTGTCGCCGACGTGGACGACGACGAGGAAGAGGTGGGAAGGACGACGAAGAGTGAGCAGGAGCAGTCGCTTCCCCTTCGAGAGGCGCCCCTTACGTAACGTTCCCATCCGCGTTGTTGTTTCGTCTCGCCACGCGACATGTCTTCTACGCTCGTCGTCCTCCCACCCGCGTATTCTGAGAATTCTCGGCCTCGCTTTGTCCACCGTCTTCTTCAGGGCTTGTCCGTTGCTCGGCCAGCGTGACACGACGGCCAAATTACTCTAGAAGATGTCCTTCGTGGCTATCTCGAAGGTCTCTGCGATACGTTACGCTCCAGCCGATGCTCTCTGTGTACACCAGCCCGACCCATATTCGCTTTTCGTTCTCCTTTCTGCGCCCAGCATTGCCCTCAAAGCTGTTCTATAAACATTTTTCATCTATCTATCTCTCCGATCTATCGCCATTCTAATCATTCTCACTGGCACTTGCGTCGATGGATCACGCTCCGACTCCTCCACTTGTTAGTTGCTGGCAGTGTGGCCTCACTGTGTGCTACCTCGACCTCCAAATCACAGCTCAGATCAAACAATCAAACCTTTTGATGCTGTCGCTCGCCGCTCAATGCGGTTCTGTTCTCTCCGGCATCAAGCACGTCTAGGCTCGATTCTTCGTGTACTCCATCGCACACGAGACACCATGTACGTCGACTCTTTGATCCTTGGAGCTTCCGTCATGAGAGTGATGGGACAGTGATTTTCACCACAGCCACCCGAAATCATAGTCGAGTGTGATGCGTCATGCTGGTTGGTGAGAACTTGGAAGGTGCAGAGGATCCTGGGTCCGCGGACATCCATGATTTACTGCCCCGAAATCGGTTCGCCTCGTTGAGAACTCACAGCGCCGTGAAAACTGCTTACTTTAATGAACTCATTTCACTCGAAATTGTATGACCTCTCACGCGGCCGTGAATTTATCCATGTTGGAGCATCCGAAGTATGCACGGACTCATTCATCTGCCCCCAAGGCCGCATGCCCACAACGATTCGAGGCCCAACTGTGACAGACGCGGACGCGAAGAAGGGGATGACCGCAGATAGAACACCTTCCAACGCTGTTTAGCGACTCCTCGTCCGACTGTCGCATTCACGGCGAAGTTGCTCTCGACTCTCGAGTTTCATCCTGTTCTTCCTTACACCCACATAGATTCCAGCGGTTTGGATGTTCAACACATCTTGAGCATTTATGGGCGCTTGGCACAGTGGTAGCGCGCACGCTTTGCATGCGTGAGGTCGAGGGTTCAAACCCCTCAGCGTCCAGTAGTAAGACATAATCATCGCAGTGCTTTTCGAGTCCTTTTTCCCTATCGCACTCGCGCAGCAATATTAATGGCTATGCGTTCGCAATGTCCTTCCTATCTCACATGCACCGATTTTTTTCAAATCTGGCTTGCGCTCGCGAACGACCCACGCATCGGTCTCAAGCAGTTTTGTGCAGTCCCCCACCCCAAGACACCTTCAAATGTGCTGCAGCGTAGTCCAACTTCAGATTTGTTCCGAGTCTAAAACAATCGTGACCGTTCCAATCCAAAAAGATATATAACAAGAATCCATGATCGACACCTCGTAGCCCTCCTCTCCGGGTCTTGCCCCATCTATCATTAACAACTACCACGACCGCCGCTTCCAACTCGTCACTTCCCTGATCCTCATTTCTCGTGGGTGCATGATGAGCTCGTTCAGCAAATAGTATAAAAGGGGTATGCAGTAGTGTGATGATTTAGGCGGACAACTTAAGCTTTCCTTTGATAACATCCGCAGCTATTCGATGCAAAGAGAGGGAAGACATCAGCGATAATTTATCCGATAAGGAAGAAAAAACATAGAAGAGACGTACCCATCTCGGCGATCGAGTACACGAAGGCTATTATGACGTGGAGCGAAAGGGGTTTCCAGGTTAAGTCATGTTCCCGAAGGCGTGGATAAGGTTTGGATGGGGATGCGACGGGGGTGCAATAACACGAAAATACTGGGGTAAAGGGAAAGGACCAGGGATGTACTCACCCTGCGGATGTGCAGCGAACTGCAACGGGCAAACAGACATATCGCAGACGCGGATGTTCTCGGTTCCGTAGACCTACAGCGTACACAAGATGAGCGACATGGTCAAGCTCCAAAGCACGAATGAGGTAAGAAGAAGAAGGTGGGTACCTTGAACTCGGAGTCGACAACGCCGCCTTTGTCACGGGGAAGCATGGAGGCGGTAGAGGATGTGTCTGTGAGGGTTAAGTTATAATGAGTATGTGACATGGAAGACTTGATAGTGAGAGAAACTCACGGAATGTAGTCGACATGTATTGCTTCAGCCAGTCTACACCGCGCCACAGTGTACGCCACACGTCAATGATCAGTATGCGAACTTATCCATGCACAGCGAAGGAAGGAATCCAAAATATAAGAGGGGACGTACCTCCGATTTGCTCATCCGTAGTAATATTCGGTCCAGGGTTAGTCTCGGTGACGATCATATCTTTGAACGGCGCCACATCCTTCAACCTCCTCGCAAATTTGATGCATTCGACGAAGGTCTTCAGATCTGTTGTACCATCACAATATTAGCACATAATTCAGACATGAACGACAAAGCCGAGCGTGACGGTTGAGGTAAGTCGATGACGGCAGGAAGGAAGGAAGGAAGGCGTTTAGGACGAAGCAGGAGGAAGTAGACATACCGATATCCTCTTCGAAGTAATGTGGGTCGTATTCGGGGTCGGCGTTCGGGTCTTTTGTAGTGCAGTGCTAGAGGATCATACAAACGTAAGAGATCGTGACCCAAGGGGATTGAAATACTTTTTGAGGTGAACTTACTACCGTCCCCCTCGACCACTGATGGTTCATCGCGCACAACAGTGTGAAGTACTTCTTCCCCGGACTCGGTGGGTCTGCACACCATCATCACATAGTTAGTTCCTCTTCCACCCGGCGTCTGACACGAAAGAATAATAGCTTACTAGGATACGATAAAAACCCGGGGAAGTTGACAATCTCACACCCGGGCGCCAACCTCTTCGTCCTCTCGATCTGAATCTTATATTGCTCCAACAATCCGGGTTTATCGTCGTATTTTCCCTCCTTGGCGGATTTGAGAACGTGCTGTTCGACTTCAGCATGGATGGCATCAGCGGCGGGGGAGTAGTTTTGGAGTGGGGCGAAGGTGAAGCCCATGAGGCCCATTGTGAAGATTCCTGTGCCCTGGGCGCTGTTTTATGTCGATTTATAGAGTGAAACGGCGGATAAAAAATGATGGGGAGAAAGAAGAGGAATGTGAGACAATACGTACTGCAGCCTGACCTGTTTCTCGATTTCGCCGGGGTTGCGAAGGTTGTCGAGTGTGTCGAAAGGAACGTCGTCCTTCAGCTCTGCACAAACCGTTCCAAGTCAGCACTGACTACAGCGAGACACAAGCAAGTTACCTACCGTAGGTAACACCCATGAAGTTATGTTCCTGGGCATTTTTTCCCACGGGAAGCTCTACCTTGACTGGAATCTCGAGCTTCTCGAGCACTTCCTTCGTGCCGATACCAGAGAGCTCGAGGATTTGGGGTGTCTTGAGGCCTCTGTACGAATTATATAAAATTGGCCATCAGCAACTCATCCCGCGTATCTATGATGGTTCCTTGACGCGAGATAGATGTGGAAGAAACCCACCCGGCACAAACCACAACCTCTTTCCAAATCTTCACAGCGTGTACCTTCCCCTCATACTCCAACTCGACCATCGACGCCAATATCTTCTTCGCATCCTTGCCTGGTTCCGTGACAATTCGATGGACGAGCGCATCCGTGAGAACGGTAAGGTTTTTGCGGTCTTTGGCGGGGAGGTAAAAGCCCTGGCAGGAACGGCTCGGCGGTTAGACTTCTTCTTTTCCTTGCATGCGAACAGCGAGGATCATTCGAAGGGAGAAGGGCAAAGAAGAACTTACGTTGGTAGCGTATGAGCGGGTATGCGTGATCGGGTCGACGGTTTGCGGGTTGAAGAAGATGCCCTTTGGCTATTTGTATTTGCGTGTTCGAAATCGAAGTGGCGGTGGCGCACAAGGATGGATGGCGACACAAGAAGATCAAATTGCAAATTAGAGTTGCCCAATGCGAATTGGATAATAGAACCGATAGGGTACGCACATCACCACCGAGCTGTAAATGAGAGTCAGTACGATGTGGTCAGGCTTTGAGACATGTGGTCAAGGGACGTACCGGGTCTTTTGCGTGGTCAAAACCGAGCTTGAGCATGGACTAGGAACACAGATAAACAAAACGGGTCAGGATAGGAGCGGGAGTAAGGATGAGCACGAGTTTACAGGAACATCGGGCAGGGCACATAAGGTTGGGATCGGGAAGAAGGTGCAAGGAAAGTACGCACCTTCTGGAACTCCAGCTCGGCCGGCCATAGATTTCCTGGAAACGATGCCTTTATCGGGCCTGGGGGATCAACGGCAACCATGTCATCCCACTAGCGTTCCTCGACCACGATGACAGGATGGATCAGGGCATACCATCGGAGCCAAGCGTCCATCCTTTCGTCCTCGATTCCCACTCCCACTTCTCGGCTTCTACAGCAGGAGGAGTGACGAATTTCTCAGACTTGGAAGCATACTTCTTCATGGTGGCCCAGTTCCATCCAGGGTTGCCGAGTCTCTCAATATCTATGGAGACGATGAATTTCGACACCAAAGCGATGAATGGGACGACGAAGAATGCTTACCGTCGATCTCAGCGCCGGGCGGCCTGGTCCAACAGAGGAAATTGGTAGCAGAGCTACCTCCAAGACCTTTGCCTCTAAAGACGCGTTTGGAAGTCGTCTTAGCGATAGTGGCATGACTTGTACCAAAGAGCATAAACACTAACCGTGGCCACTGGAACACGGTTCCGTTGCAGTGCTTCTGTGGGACGGTTTTGTGGCCCCAATCATACTGCGGCTGTCCGAAATGGCTCGCATAAGAGGCAGGTCGCACTACATTGGGATATCATGTTTGTTAGTGCGTCAGCACCGAGGTTCCGTGATGACAATGACGAAGGGAGGCGTACGGATGGCGGGGTCATCGATATTAGCTTGTCCTGCCTCAAGCACAAGAACGGTGACATCTGGATCTTCAGTGAGACGCGCAGCGAGCGTCAGACCAGCAGTCTGCTCCGACCCGAAGTCGCAAGGTGGATGAGCCACAGTGGACGTTAGTCTCGGAATACCGCCATCGGAATACCGTCAAGTGTGGAAGAATACTGACACCTCCACCTAGTCGATATTGAAGAGACATCAATTCAACGGTGAAGAGTTTGAAGGCGAATGACCCACCAATTATAACGTAGTCGAATGTCTTCCTGGAGACATCATGAATGGAGACAAGCGGCATCTTGGAGGTGGAGAAAAGCCTTGAAGATCGCGGGTAGAGGGAGAGAGGACGCTAGGTCAACGCGGGCTCCGTCGAGTCTCTATATATACGCTCATGCGTAACGCTAGAGTACTTATCATCTCTATACACCCGTTGGCGCGTTGCACCTCGAATTAGCCGCGTTGCGAAGTCACAATCGTCCATTTACTTGGACGGGCTTGGGTTCCATTAGGCTACACAAACTTCAGAACCTCTTGGGCGATCACGGAGCACGCGGGGGCATCGCGACAACGTGATCTTCTTCGGGCGGAAAGTCAGTGTCGTCACCAGAATAGGACGGTCAGAGCGAGATTCATCTCAGATCCGAAACAATCATAAAAAATGAACACGAACTATCAGAAGGTGCCCCAAAATAGGGCTATCAGGTGTCTTGGTGTGGGAAGACTTGCCCCGGGTAACAATACGATTTTTCCATGTTGAGACATCATCACAGCAGGGACGAGGCGCTTGGGAGGTCGATATACTCGAACGGTCTTATTAGTCGACTATTGAAACACAACCCAAGTGGGGCGTCGCAGTTTGAAGGGGCCCGAGAGGAGAAATCGGGCGGGGAACTCAGTAAAGGTGTTCGAATAGGGTCGATACAATGCCCGCAGTGTCGCCTAGTGTCCCGCAGCAAGGAATACCGTGTCCAGCACTCAAAAATTTCAAGCGGTCATTCTGTGAGAGGTAAGACTCAGCCCCAGAGTGAAGATCGCCAGTCGCGTTGGACGTGTAATGTAACCTCTGAGCATACCACGGTAAACGATCGGTTGGTTAAGAGGTGAATATCCAGTATCGAGTGCCCGCTACGAAAGACCGTGTGGAGCCTCAGGGAGGAGAGGAGACACGACAGGGGGTTCCATTCGGCAGGGTCACTCCGGGTGCATAGCGCACAATTACCAAGACCTCAAGATAACAGTACGAGGCTAGCTTGTTCGAAGATCGTGAGGTGTAAGGTACAGACCTTGGATGTTTATGAATCGATTCGACAGCTGAAGCACATTCCCAGTCTGCCAGATGTAAGCATCGAGTCACGACGGTGATGGGAGAGTGGTAACTGGTTACGGTGCCGTGTCACCCCGCGGTCGGCTCCGGGCCGTTGGTAACATCGCCATGCCGCCGGCACTTGCCCGGAGCGTTCTTACTCTCGATCCGTTTCTTTTCGAACGTGCTGGATGGCTGATCATTCCGACCTCGCTTGGACAAACACAACTTCAGGTACAAGGTAAGTTCTCTAGGGTAGGCCGCTTGTATGTGGTAGATTGCTCGTAGAGCCATTATCCTGCACAAGGCGTACGAATTGGGACTCGAGCATTTTAGCCAATTACAACTCACCAGCAACAGACGACCCTCAATTGACAGGAATATTTGTTTGTCTCGAGCATTCTTCTGAACTACAATTGTACTGCTTTGGCCGGAATCTTGGCATGGTTCATTGGCGGTCACCTCAATTTGCCTCAATCTTGTGGCGACGCTGACTCCACGGCCCCCCTCTCGATCTAGTGTCCTCGAAGCTTGGGGAATTTTAAAACGCCAATTTATACGCCAGTGGTATACGGGTAACGTGGATTCGTTAGGCTGTCTTTGTATCACGACATGTGTCTGTCTGGGGTAACTCTGCTCATCCTTGCTGACGAAAGGTGGCCGCTGGCGCGTCAACAAGACTCCGGTATCTCGTCGTGGCGTTCGCTCAGGTTCGCTCTCGTTCGCGACGGCAACTGATGGCCTCTCGTGCTAGTCTGAGATACAGCACACCACGGGAAGACATCCTGTCTCAGATCCACATCGATGGCGCCGCAAGTCCCACTGGTCCGGGTGTGTTGTTTTTCAGAGGCTCCATGGTGTCGTTCGTTATATACGAGATCTTGCAAAATCCCGCCACGGGTTTTCCTCCTCCCGCGTTTGACTCAGTCCACGCCTCTCGAACACCCTTCCTTACCACATTCTCCGTTCGAGGATACTGGTACTAATTTAGGATCTGCAGAGCGAACAGAACTCTGGGGCCTTTCATTATTCTCGCTCTTGGGTTTTCCTTGTGAATATTACTGCCCTTATTCCGAACGAAGGTCTGCAGTATGCAGGACTTGGCGCAGCTTGTGGAGGATGGAGGAGAGAACTTTGCCCAATTGATGTGAGTTGTAGCGCTCCATGCTTCACGTCTCGATTATGGACTCAGGGCCGTGCAGCTGGGGGCCAATGCTCATCGGGACCTTCCTCAACATTCTCCTGTACGGCGTCTCCGTCTCGCAGTTGTACATTTATTATGGCAACTACCAGCGGTGAGCATGTCGCAGTTTCTTCCACTTGCTCCTAACTCATATTTCATACAATAATGCCTGGTTTTAGAGATAAGCCATGGATGAGAGTCTTCGTACGTGCTCTTGCTCAAACCATCTTCTCTTCGCCTGTTGAAGTCCTCCCAGATCTGCATATTATTCCTTGCAGACACTGTCAATACCGCCTTTGATATGCAGCTAAACTACGCTGCGTTGATCAACCACTTCGGTAGGTTTTCTGATTCACTATACAGTTTTGTTTCTTGATCCAGTGTCTCATGTGTATACGACGCACAGGCGATAACGACTTCATCCAGACAGCAACTTGGGGTACGCCAGTCCACCCTTTCCTTTACGTTGAGCACGATTCTGACGCTGTTCCTGGTCTCACCACCCAGTCTTCCAAACAGGTATGCTTTCCGTTTCGTAAAAGACCACATACTGAATCACTGACCACTGACCACTGACACTATCCTGCACCGTCATAGACCCCGCAATGACTGTGCGTATCTTCTGCCGCCGGTACCCTTTGCCTGTTTAATTAAATCTCGTTCCCTCCCGCCGCCGGTCCATCCCTCTTCCAGGGCATCATTGGCATGATGGTCCAAGTGTTCTTTGCCTGGCGTATCAAAGTCCTCTCCGGCAGTCTCTGGGCAGCCCTCCTCATCGGGTTGTTCGCTGTTTTGGAATGTCGTGAGTTCCCATCTAACCCCTATCTTTCTTTCTTCTTCCGTTCACTCTCCATTCACTACGTACGCCCTCACGCATGCTTAGTATTTCACTGACTCGTATTGCCATCGCGACCGTAGTGGCTGGCATCGGGACAGCAATAGCAGTCGGCTTCGTCCCAAAATTCTTTGATTTTCAGATCTTCAAACCTGCAGTGGTCATTTGGTTGGCCTGTTCCGCTCTTTGTGACTGTTTGATCACGCTTGTTCTGGTTCTATATCTGGTCCGTCTCACGACACATAGCTTACACAGTTCCGTGTGCTGATAAATTCTTGCATTGTGCGTATAGAGAAAGCACAAAAGCGGCTTCGTCGCGACGGACAGTATCATCGATAAAATCATCAGACGTACGCCCCTCCCTACTCCTTCCCGCCTGTACGGTTAGTATTTGACCTAGTACTGATACTCGACGGCGACCTTTCTTGTCATTGTAGTGACGGTTCAAACGGGTGCAGTCACGTCGATCGTAAGTGCTTAGCCTAGTTCCCTGGTAGTCTGATCGTGCTAATAGTTGTTGTCATTGTGACAGGTTGCCGTCGTGAGTCTTCTCTCCTCGTCACTACAAAGCCACTGCTGATCACGGTCGTGTGGGACCCTCGCAGACTGATCTTATCCTCTTCTTGGCATCCCCTGCTGGCCTGTAAGCTTTCTCGCCCTTTCCATGTACCCGAAGCATTCGCTGAGCGCTTTGCCTTCGTACCCGTTATTCAATAGCCACCTAGCCTTCAACTTCCCACTATCAAAATTCTATACCAACTCCCTCCTTTCAAGTCTAAACGCTAGAGGAGGATGGGCCTACAGCTCATCTTCGCAACCTGAACGAAGCGTGAACATGCTCAGCAGTCAAGTAGTAAGCATTTTTTTTTCTTTCCTCATACTTTCTCCTCGCTCTCCGTTTCACACTGTTTGACAACAATGCGATCAGCAACGACGAAGGGACGTCGTCACTTTCGAGCAATCAACTGTGCGACCGGAAGTATACGTCGACGTCGAACAGCATGAGATGGTGGACTCCATGCGAGTAGACATGAAGCAGACAGACTCTGACTTTGATGGGTCCGCTGGGGAAGATGGAATGGGTATGCACCGCGCAAAGGCTTTATGACTCTGAGTCCGTGACTGTACGACTTGTTCGTGGGAGCGGCCGTCGAGTTTTTGTTGAATCTTGTGGGACGTGAGGGGCGTCTGTTGGAGTGTTTTGTTGTTGTGTATGAGAATATCGGCGTGTCTACCCTCTTTCTTTTCATCATGTTCATTGGTTATTACTTCATTATTTCATTATACCGTAAATATTCCTTACTTATAACTCATGAACCTTCCACTTGCGTGTCCTTTCAATAAACACAACGAGCTTGGGAATTGTACTCATGGGTAGACCTGAGTGTCGAGTTAACTCGGTGAGCAGTAACCGGACTGATATATTCCTTCATCGTAGATGTCTTCGGGGACTATTCGACCAGCTCCCTATTCCGCACCCATCGAGTACCGTCATAGTTCATGAACGTCAGAAAGGTCAAGGCCCTTCCATCATTTATGCCTCTTGCAACCGCACGAACTCCTGGTGCCTATCTAAGAACTCCTTCACAGCTTCACAGAACCTCTCCTCATGTTCCGGTGTGACTTCTAGGCTGAGGGCGATGAAGCCCCGCTTGGCGAGGTGAAAGCCGGCTTTGAGCATGTCGAAGTATAGAAGGCTCTATACAAGGTGATATTCCGTGGGCAGTATCAGAAATTGCACACTAGGGCGGGGCAATATATCGTACCCGTAGTGATTGATCCTTCAGGCCAAATATCTCCTGAACGGTCTCACACTTTTTTGGGCTGAAGTGAACGTTCATTCTGCAATCGGAAATCAGTCAGTGCTCTATCACACAGGAAAGAGATCTAAAGAGCTTACAGGCTACCGATCCCAGTCCACCGCATCGACGTCCCCTCAGCCACATTATTCAATCTTGCCCGGAACGCATCACCGTTTTCGTTATGCCTGGTGGCGACCTCCGGCGTATAGACCTCTGTGAGACCAACGTATCCGCCTTTCATGGAGAGGGACTCATTGTTGAAAGTGCCAGCGTGTGGTATGTAGCTTGGTGATCCTGAGCAAGCGTCACGTTTGTGGGTTAACTGGTTCATACTTCACTTAGAATATTATCTCGATGCACAGATACGTACGAGGATCGAATAGCGCCATGATATCCCTCCTGCCGCCAAATGCACCGAATGGCATTCCTCCGCCAATGTACTTCCCCAGCGTCGTCAAATCGGGTATAATTCCCGTAGTGAGCTGCAGTCCACCAGGAGATAGTCTTGACGTCATGACTTCATCGAAGATGAGTAGCGCACCGACGGATTGCGTCTCTGTGCGAAGCATTTGGAGGAATTCGCGGGAGGCTGGAAGACAACCTCCTGAACCGAGCATTGGTTCCACTAGGACTGCGGCGAGCTGTAAGTAATAACAGAAGACTGTTCCAGCGACCCTCTATAAATAAAATTGACTGCAATGTCAGACTGACCTGTGAAGCATTGCCCTTGATAATTTGTCTCGTCCGTTCCACGTCATTATATCTTCCTACCACAAAACCATGTGGTACCGTGATCCCATGTGGTTCCTTTTCATCCGGGAACAACAGCACGCCTCCATGATACCCATGCCCGAACACCAAGATCTTTTCCTTCTTCGTAAAAGCCTTTGCTGCCGCCAGTGCCATCAAGTTGCCCTCTGTGCCGGAGTTGGTAAATCGGACTTGTTCGATGGAGGGAAAACGGTCACAGACAGCCTGAGCGAGGTCGGTTTCGTAGGGAGTAGCGGAGCAAAGTGAGAGACCTGCGTCAAGCGCAGAGAGCAGAGCAGATCGAATAGTAGGGTTGGAGTGGCCATAAAGACCTGCGGTGTAGTTTCCTACTCTAGGAACGAAGTGTTGGATCAATGACTGTGGCACTTACACTGCCAAGACAGCTGGAAGCTCACAGATCCACGTAAGAGTGTCCGTCTGCGTCTGTTGCCTGCGTAGATATGAAGTGAGAATCAGTCATTTCGGATATAAGAATAAAACAGGCCGTACGTTCGCGCCCTCTCCCTTCACGAATGTCAGAGGAAATGGGTCCACATGAAGCACAGATCGCGTATTTCCTCCCGGCATATAGAGGCAGGCCTTCTCATACAGTGAAGCGCCTAACAACTATCGCGTCTAGTCTCCGCCCAACCGAGAACGATAACACTCACTCTTCGGGTTTTCGAGAATGTACTTTGTCTTTGCCTGCTCGACGAACACGGAGAGGACAGCTGCGGACATTTTTTCAAGACCTTGGTCGTCAGCTAAGATTTAAGGTGGTGGCTACACTGGTAGGAGGCGGGTAGTACGTGGATGTTATCGCAGTGGTGGTAATGAGACAAGAAACGATGGCCGAGCGTTCTTTAGACGTGATGAGCAGTAGATGCACCTCAAGAGAGGCCAGCTGAACGCTTGAGTGGCACAATGTGCTTGGCGGAGCTCTAGAAAAAACGGTCTGCCAAGACAGGGGTCAGCGCCACAGTAGCACAGAGTGCAACTTCAGAAAAGATACAGAGAGATCGAGAGGATTTGGGTGTGGGCCTCCGAGAAAGAGGTCTCGCAGTACTAAATACCAGCCAGCTCCTGGTGAAGGTGTGTAATGGCGGGATGAGTGTGGCGACATGTTCGCGGCGTTCGCCGCGGCCACTGGTGAACTGTGGCGGTGTGGCTCGACACGAGAGCAGTCCGAGATTCGTACCAAATCGACAGCAAGTTGAGCGATAGATATTGGACACAAACGAAAGCAAAGCGAAAGAAAAAATAACAGAACAAGGAAAGAAAGACAACGCAAACATAGGAGCACGAATCAGGCCAAGAAATCGAGCTCGTCCTCGTCATCATGCACCTCCCTCAACTGGCTAGCACTCCTAGCGGCGTTCTCCTTGATACGTTTCAGGACCGCAGGTGGAAGGGAGCCATGACGGGTCTGCGAAACTTCGCGTTTGGCGGCCGACGTGGAAGGCTTGGACTTGGTAGTGTTGGCAGACTTCGATTTGGCGGTAGCAGTGTCGAGCGACGGTGCTCTAGTCATAGTAGATTTAGAAGGTGGTTTCGAAGGTTTGGAGGTTGATGGAGGTTTCGTGGGTTTCTTGATTTGGATAGGCTAGAAACAGATACTGAGTTAGGATACACAATCGTCAAAAGAGAGAGGACCTGTGTACCTTAACAGGAGATTGCTGAATAGCATCACGAGCGGTCCTAGAGGTGATCATATCCTTCCTTGCGCGCCTGCATAAAGGTCAAAAAGATCAATTCATCAGTTGTTTTGACAAAAAAAAAACCAGAGCATAAAACTCACGAAGTAAGCCGCTCATCTTCCGATTCATCGACTTCCACCACTGCCTCTTTTGCCTTCTTTCGTGGCGCAGCTTTCTTCGCCTCACTCACTACAGCATCCGCTTTCTTGGGACGACCCCTTCCCCTCTTCTTCGGCGGAGGCTGCTCCGCTTCATCCTCCCAATCCGACTCTCGTTCCGCTCTGGAGCCCACCACCACGACTTCCGCATCAGAAGATTGCCCGCGCGCTCTCTCCCTCACCTTCTTCTTCGTCTCTACTACCATCTCTTCCTCCTCGGCTTTCCGCTGCTTCTTCTTTGGTCTGGAAGACTCTTCCCGTTCCGCACCGTCTTCCGCTTCATCTGATGACGAGACCGGTTTACGACTCGAAGCTTTCCCTCGCGTTCGTTTCTTCGGCTCGTCATCCTCAGCTGGAGTCTCATGCCTGGCCTTCGCTTTACCTTTACCCTTCACGACTTTATCCTTGTCCATCTTCGACTTCGAGCTTGCAGCCGCGTCACGTATTCCGATAACCTCCGCTAATGGGATCTCTATCGACACATCCATGGGATCTTCTTGTATGCGACGTAGACGAGGATTTGAAGGACCAGCAGAGGGACCGACAGTCGACAGAATATCCTCATTGTCCTCGAGGATCGGGGAGAGGTCGCGAGGTGGGTGGTTAGGAGAAGGTTTCTTTGACGGTGCAGGCTTAGTGGACTTGGATGGCGGTTTGGACGATCTGGAGGCCGGCGAAGCGCGAGAACCTGCGTGAAGGATGTAGCGTCAGTCAAGACAGTTAAACGAGGGAGAAGGGAAAAGAAAAGCGACATACGTTTCGTGGACGAAGAGGAACCCTTGGCACTGTGTCTCTCATCCTCCGACTCATCCGCCACTGCGCGTTTCGACCTCTTCCTCGGACGTTGAACATCCCCGTCCACTTCCCCGACCTCAATTTCGCTGTCAGTTCCCTGGATTGATCGACCACGAGCTTTCGCCTTCGTTACTGCTTTCGGTGCCTCGTGCTCATCAACATCCATAGCGGCCTCAGAATCGGAAGTAGCCGCTTTTCCGTTGCCTTTCCCTGATCTGCCCTTAGCTGAATTGGATGTTTTGCCCCTCGCATTGGTTCCTGAAGATGCAGGCACAGGTACAGATTCGACCTCAGATTCGACGTCCGAAACACTCGAGAGCTGTTTCTTTGGCCTTCCGCGTTTCTTCGGCTTGGGGCCAGGTTCCTGAGTGTCATGATCGGCGAGAGTTGCTGTATTGTTAGTGGAGGAGGGGGGCTTGGACGAGGATGCAATGGGGTTCTGAATGACAGGCCGACGAGGTTTGAATTGTAGTGATGAGGGAAGTTTGGCAGCGTTGACTGTACCACAAGGTGTGATTTAGATGGTTAGATTCGGACCTAGACAGTTTGGGAGAGGTAGGTGATGCAAAACAACATACGGATATCGGCAATCTGGTCGGAGACTGATCTGTGCAGTGATGGTTCAGCAGTAGCGGAGGTGGGCTTTGCAGGGGGGAGCCCTAGGCCCAAAGATGAAACAGTGCTGGCTTTGGTTTGAGCAGTCGGTTTGGGTCTGATCGCGGGCGCAGGAGAGGCAGGATCCTCGTGAACGGAAGCTTCATCTTCTGAAAGTTCAGGAGTGCATAGTCAGAGTGCGTTAACCTCAAACAGTTCGGCACGGAGGAAGAACTCACCAGACTCAGAGGGTGGAGGTGCAGGCCTCGACTTTGGCTTTGCCGTGGCCGTCTTGGGAGGTACCACAGCCTTGCGTGACGAGGAAGCCTGAGCCCTCGACTTTGGTACTGGAGGCTGTTCTTGTGCGCTGGCTTCATCCTCTGTTCGACAACGATGATAACGATAGTCAGACAATGAGCAATGGTTGCTTTTGTCGTGGGACACGTACCAGAAGAGGGCGCTGGTACGACTTCGGTTTTCGCAGGTGCCTTCGAAACCGCTGGAGCCTTGCGAGCCGGACCTTTCGCTTTCTTGACGATCACAGGTTCCTCGTCACTATCTTCTTTCTCGACAACCTTATCCTTGGTAGGCGCCTTCGCTGTCTTTGCTGCCCTCTTCTTCGACGGTTCGATATTGACCTTGGGCTTATAGACCTCTACCACCTCATCGTCTGTAGTGTCAACGTGAAGAACATGAAGAGTTAGGGCCATGATAAAGCAGAATGATGGGCGTACCACTGTCCGGCGACGGCAGCTTAGATTTCGCTTTCGCCCTCCCTACAGCTTTACTAATAGGTGCAGCTGCGCTCTTTCGTTTCGCCCTTGGTCTCTTCACCTCCACCACATCGTCATCTTCCTCCACGTCAGCTGTATTCTTCCGTTTGGCACTTGACTTCGGCTTCTTCACTTCCACCACCTCGTCCTCTTCTTCATCCTGCACTCTCGCCGTCGTCTTAGTCTTCCCAGCCTTCCCAGTCTTATTCTTTGGCGTTACAGCCTTCGTAGTTGCCTTCTTCGGAGTTGCCTTGGTCTGATTCTTCTTCGCTGCGGTCACAGCAACTTTCGCACTGATCGAGGCTCTTCCCCTCGACTTTCGTTGACCAAGAGATTGACGGCGTTTCGTCGGTGAGAGGCCATTGATGTCCTTGGAGAGGAGGATATCGATGAGTTTATTAGGACCCGAGGGAATTAAGGCGCTATTAATTCCACAAAATAAGATCATGAGCACAGTCCACACCGGTGAAGCAAATTTGACTGAAAACACGCACCCTCCACGGGTACGAAACCGAGACTGATGTCGTGCTAGACGTTGTGCTTTACTCTCCTCGACAGAGAAAGGGGTCTTCGGCCCTGTAGTGGCAGGTTCAGCCTGTTTCGTCGACTTTGGTGTAGTCGACGGGGCTGGCATAAGTGCGCGCGGCGTGGCCGCTTGGAAAATGTATCGCCGATGTCGATGATGACGGTGAAGACGAACCGCAACTGCACGTTCGGTTCAAGCGCGTCGCGGTCCGGTGACCGTGTCAGACCACGTGCTGAGACGCGTAAGTAGTCCTTCCCGATCGCGACGTTCCCATCGTTGTCGTCTCCGCCGGCGTTGACGCAGGCCCTTTATTTAAATACGGCAGTCCTCTCATCTTAACCTACGCTTTCCACTTCTGCCTCTTTCTGTGTGTACCCTTTGGCGAAGCGATCTACATATAATACTCTGATGTTCACGACGGTCGACACCCTTATTTGCTCCACCTGCGTCGCTCTCTCTCTTGGCTATTTCTTTCTTACATCATCCCACACAGAAGATTCAAGATACCTTCCTGATAGCTCTGGTGGACATCGCACAGATGCGTTCATCTTGGAGACAACTGTGACCCACGCCCGGCTGCTACCCTCCCCGTCGTCCCATAAGTTTACCTACCCAGTCCTTACTTTTTTCTTCCCTCTTCGTGCCCTTGAGTCACACAAACTCTCTCTGATACACGGCTGGCTACTCTCATATGGAGGTATCCTTGGGCGAGTCGTTGGCATAAGAGCTAACAGTTATCTTTACGACGATGGCGGCGCTGAGCAGTCCATCAGGAGGAAGTTAGGCAAGGTGTTGAGCGATTTCGGTGTTACTGATGTCGATACTGGAGAGGAAGGAGAATCAAAGGAGCCGAAGTTCGATGCTTGGATGATGACAATGCCGGCGTATTTTGGCTTTGAGGGAATCAATCCTCTGACAGTGTACTTTTGCTATCGCGACGCGGTACCAGACGAGCTCTGGGTGGTGGTCCTGGAGGTGCTTTGAATTCGACACCCTGTTCCGTCACTTGCGTGCTGATGTTTTTCTGTGCGTTGGTCTTCGGCAGATTCATAATACGTTTGGCGAGCGCCACGTTCATGTCCTCGAGTTGGGAAAGAACGAAGAGCTGCCTGACAAAGGGTACATCCTCCTGCCCGTCGTATCTCTTCAGCTCACAAACCTATGTTACAGGTTTGACCACCAGTGGTCATTTGACCGTGCATTTCACGTCTCGCCATTCAACGATCGTCTTGGTACATACACCATCTCCGTTCGGCCTCCGTCTCACTCTCCGTCCTCCCAGCCTCCTAGTAGTTCCTCTCCCGGGGCTCTACAATCCAATACCATAAAACCCGCAGTCCGCGTCCACTTGCATGAACCGCCTTCGTCGCCAAACTCTTCTCCATCACCCTTACCAGAGAAGGGCACCCTCAAACTCACAGCGCTCCACTTTACGCGAACTTCCACCCCTCTCACCGCAGGTTCCCTGATCAAAATGTTACTTCGATACCCGATCGCGCTGTTTATGAGCTTGCCGAGGATCCTGAAGCATGCTTGGATTTTGCATTATAGAAAGGGGCTGGGTGTGTGGAGGAGGCCGGAACCTGTTGCAGTAAGACGAGGTTGGGGAAGTCATACTGGGAGTGGAGGCGAGGGCGATGTCACTGGTGCCAAAGTAACCGCGCCGATGAAAGGCGGAGGAGTAGGCTGGCAGGCCCCAACATTACTTGAAATGTTGGCAAAGAAGGAGGTCCTTCGTTTCTTGGACAGAAGGGCGAAGGAGTTGAATGTCGAAATTGTTCTTGTTCCAGGGGACCCGAACGCACTTGTTCGGACGTATTCGCCGCGCCGACCAGCAGGTAACTCATACCACTGTCTCTTTGTGGCCTCTTGCTAAGTTCGTCTGGCCTCCTTCGCATTGTTTGCTCTTACAGACCAAGAAGTCAAACCCGCACCTCACCTCACAATCTCCTACCTCTCCCCTCGCCTCTTCATTCTCCTTATGCTTTCTTCTTCTGCATCGGAGGCCCTTGCCTCAGGTGGTCCTTCCAAAGCCCGCGCTGGCGCGATAACCGAGTTTGTCGCCAACGACGAAGTTTTATTCACAAGAGTATTCGACCGTCCGTACACGGGTACCCCCACCGCCGATGCATCCTCTACCGCGAAAGCTATCACCGAACCTGATCCAAAATCGGTCGTCAACACAAGCGACAAATTACTCAAGATCCTCCGCTCACACAAACCACTGCCCCTGCCTCCTTCTCCACTCCTTGAACACCCTTCGCCACACAACTCGAAGTCGATAGATGTATCGGATAATGTGGGTATAACAGGAGGCGGATGGAGGTGCGTTGCAGTCCTGGGGTTGCTCGTTGCGGCAGAGTGGGTGGAATGGTGGGCTTGGAAGGCTGTTGGGGTCAGATGGGCTGGCATTGAAGTGCCCACGCTAGGAAACGAAGTCGGTGACGATAGTGAAAACAGGGCGCGACAGGAGAGGGGTTGTATATAATCAAATAGTGTATAACCGTATCCTCATCTCTTGCGCAATTGCCGTTCACGTGCGATTCTGTCTCAAAAGCTAGAGACGCTTTGTTCTGTTGACGGTCGAGGTACTTACTCAAAAAGGGGCGGCTTCTTCTCCGCAAGAACTTGCCCGCACATTTTTGTGATTGTTTCAAATTTCCTGGTGGTCGGGCTGGGGTTTGAACACACGACCCGTCACTCGCTCGCGTTTGATTGTCGCGTCATTCCGTTCCCACGCTCGCGCCACACGTCTCCCTCCTCCTCCTCCTCCCCCCCTCCCCCCCTCCCCTGCCCCTCTCCTACCCTAGCCTTTTTTCGCGGATTGTATCCATCTAAGAGATATGTTTCAAAACCAAAAACAATAGCCCCGCGCGAGGGTCGAACTCGCAGCCTTCAGATGAATTTTTATGATGAACACTTGCGGTGGACAATCGTAAAAGTCTGACGCTCTATCCGATTGAGCTAGCGGGGCTTGCAAGAAAACCGGATATTATATTATGGATCAGCCTCAACATCCATCATCTCCTTCACAACTTCCGATGCAGTTCTATATGTTCATCGTCTCGTAATCAAGCTCAACGACTTCACTCCGTACTTAAGTTGGCAGAGATAATATTTGAGTGAGGTAGTAAAGGACGATGCATGGCCATTGGACCATCAAAGAAAGCGAAGAAGGGGAAACGATGATTGAAGGGCGAAGCGCCACAGACACCAAAACATTTAGGAACAAGAGCAAAGCGCTTGCGGGAATTGAGGATATGGACATGATAGCGTTGATCTAATCTGGCACTGAAGGTCAACAAATCGTTTCGCCGGGGATGGAAGAGGAATAAAACTTACATTAGTCACGATGCAAATCCAACATCATGGAACGCCGGGATGAAACTTTCGGCCTGTACTCCTTCCCTCACCATTGTCTCTCCACCTGATCCAACAGAACAGTTCCCACTACATTCCTAAACTTGTCTACCATGCCCTCTAGAATAAATGAATCCACAATCCTCAGCTCCCGCAGCTTTTCGCCACTGATCCTCGCCCGCTGGACGAGGGCATGCATGAACTTCCCAAACAGCTCCCCTTCTCCATCGCCCGCAGCGCCACCAGAGAAGTAGCGCCCATCAAATTTTCGGAGCGCTAACGTATTGAGTCGGGGGAATGAATCTGCGTAGTGAGAGGTCCGTAGTCGCTCTTCGCCTCGAGCGAGAGGTATATGGAAGGGAACAGGAGAATTGAGTGTGATCCAGAGGTCGAGGAAGTACTCCAGGTCCCAGGCGCTCTCGATGTGAAGTTCTTCAAATTGCTTCATCTGCCCTACATGCCTCATCCATTGCTGTGGGCCTTCCGTCGCCAACGCGATATCTAAGTGTACGACATCATCTAGACGCAAGCATTCCATGAACGCACATATAGTCGGAGGGTTAATATGCCTGTCGATAGTGAATGAAATATTTAATTGAGAGTTATCGTCGTCGTCGTCGTCGATGGTCAGACTCGTCGAGTCTAACGTGGCGCCCGGTGCCCCAGTCCATCCTTCGAAGTGAAATGTCTCCGAAAAATGATCCGAGGTGCGTCTGAATCGCAGTCGTCGCATCCCTGGTGACTGATGATGTCTGCCTCCAGAAAACGAGTTCGCCACCCAATCAAGAAGAGACCGAAGAGAGTCAGACCGACAAGCTGCTCTGAACACGGTCAACGTCGGAAGAGAAAGGAACCGCAGAAGACGTGCGCAATCTTCCCCGGGTCCATATAGATGTAACGCCTTGAGCGATGTAAGGTGGACGGTCATGTGACTATTCAGGGAGGAAAGTGTTCCGTTTGTAACAGGTGTTACGTCGAGGGCCAGGAATTCGAGGCCATTCATGCATGCTAGCGCGTCCAGCATGACTTGCGCTGAGTTTAGAGCTAGCCAACGGCCCTCAGGAATGTCTCCGATGGACAGGGAAGTGAGGGAAGGGTGGAAAATGGAGGCGGTCCATGGGAACATGAAGCCCTTCAGCTTCAGCCTGCGGAGGTTGGGAGCGGATGTATCCCAAAGGATATCTGAAGGAGGTGAGAAAGAGGTGGTTCGTGTGTGATGGATAGAGAGATATTCGAGATGAGGAGCAGAAGGCGGAAGCTTGTGTAGCAACTCCTTCAGGGTATCTGAGAAGACGACGCGTAGAAGAAGGTCTTTTGCGCGATGTGCATGATGCTCTATGATGGATGCAAGCGAGGGAACTTCGTTCAATGGTAATGTTCGTGGAGCAGCGGATTCTATTCGGAGGTGAATGGGTACGGCTTTCGATCGCTCTAGAAATTTAGATGCCCATCGGGGATGCATCAAAATGTCCGCCCAAATACGAGGACATTCATTCAGAGCGATGTAGCGTAGACGACGGCAGACAAACGTGATACGGATCCATTCGCACTGCGTGGGGTCGACCTGGCCAGTTTCCGCGGGAAAGGGAGTGGACGAGATCGGTTCGAAGAGAGCTTGGTAGCTGGTTATGATTTTCGCTAGGATTTCGTCTGGCAGACGAAATATGGGCGCTAATGATTGACGATGTCCCTTGAGGACTCGGATGGCCTGTTCCAGTTTCTCTATACGAAGGTCTAAAACGTTCCTGATAGCATTATCATCCGAAGCTTCATCGGGGCCAGGAAAGCTGCACATGAAACAAGATAGAATGCGTCACGACGCGGGACATGGTAAGAATGACGATTCTGACCACTCACCTTGTGTATTGCTTCAGAATGTCGTCCATACCTTCGGGTGGCATTCAGGCTCGGAGTCTGCTAGTATTAGGCCGTGTCAAGTGCTTTGACACCCGACCAGAGCTTAGTTAGGCAGTTAAGAACGTGAAAGCGTGGAGAAATATGGAGCGAACCAATGTCGTTCTGATTAGGGAGAACAAGGGTGCGGAAACGTTCGATGCGCACGCCCTGAGCTTACAAAGGCGTTCCCACGGCCTGGGTGGCAAGGCCAGTGTAAGGCCACACTCGTCCGACCCTTCAAATCCAGTCTCAAGTTCATTACTGTACGAGTGACGTGAATGTCGAGCTTGACGATCCTGGGAACGTCGATTCTATCGGTATACACGAGCAGGTCTATACAAGGATGAAGTACATGCAGCCTGAGGCGATCGGACTCACTATGTCACCGTTGAGGAAGAAACACCAATAACACCATCCCCGATTGACTTTCCGAAACTACCACTACCCGCATCAGCCGTATGTACGGTATTTGACGCCACATCTACACTCGAAGTCCATTTCGATCTTACAACTTCCGTCTGTCCATCAAGGTCATCCATCGACACCAACTCCCCGTCATCCGCGCTCGAGAATCTCGTAGTAAATACCATCGAAGTCTCAGGCATGTACTCCGCCAACCATCCCCGCGAGTGTGAAGCCTGTGATCTGTACTGTTGACTTGGATTGATTTGGGCCGTGTTTGTTGAGGACGCGGCCGAGAGGTGGAGGACGGCGCGAGTCGAGAGGATGCTTTGGAGACACATACGGAGTCTGGTGGAAAGAACGGGTCGTGAGCGGGATTCTTCTGTATAACGAGGAACGTATAAATCTACTGGGTGCTTCCGGCTGTGCGTAGAGAATCGATCTAGACGCGGAAGTTGGTTAAGGCCCGAGGCTAGCTCATGATGAAGGGGCCAGGATCGAGAATGTGCACCCGGGTAATGATGAATGAGAGCTTACTGGGATACGGGTAGCAAGGATGACGTTGAACATAGCTATCACTACGGGCAACCACTCAGTCTGGCATCCCAACGCTAATCAAAGGCCAACAAATGAAACTCACGTAGCGTGAGCGCGACGTGCAGGATTCCTGTTCACAGAGACAAAAATCGATCGTCAGCATACGGAGGGCATATAGTACCGGCGTGGCGACTCGGAAGAGTTAAATGCCGTTGTATTGAGGGAGAAAGAAAGAACCCACCATCACTCCAAAGAACTTGAACCAAGGCCGACCTGCTTGCACTAGGGACCGCGCGGAAGTAATTCTGAATCTTGTACATCGATAGAGCGAGCACGACTATTGCACGGATAAAAACCTCATGTCAGATGAAACGTTCATGCTACTAGACTTCAAGGATCGATATACTCACCGAATTCGTATATAATGAGTGGTATGTAAGGAATGGCCCAGTTATGTTCGACTTCGCTGGTGAGATAAGTGCATTGAGTTCCTTTCGAATGATCAGGAGCGACATCGTTGGCCCCTTTAACAAAGTCATCCTTTCAGTACGACGAGAATCGACAGCAAGGCGATGGTGTGGCGAACATATGTTCACTGCGTACAATGTGTAGTACCGATATGTCTTTCGAAAAGCACGGCGGTTGGTGCAAGGCTTGCCTAGTAGAGTAATACACCGTATATGAGGATGAGAGGACATCGCGATTTTGATGAAGACAACGGCTTACGATGAGGGAGAGAGCCAGAAAGAGAAGTATTTTCCGATCTCTTCGCCATATGGCCCAGGTCCGTGTCGCGAAAATCACTGTAGCGGGGATGACACGTTAGCAAAGAGGTTTTGTTCATACCAAGTCAAGTCTGGATATCGTAGCGGACAGATTGTACTCACAGGATGCAGCGACAACGGTAGTAAGCTGCAGAAAAGCCAAGGTCTTCCCGAGTGTAACCGTTACCTACATAACAATTTCAGTAAGCCCTTTAACTATGACTATGAGAATGCGAAAGCTAAGATGCGATACCAACAGGTAAAAGTCCGATCACCGCACCGACCAGAGCTGGATACCGAGCAAAGCAGAACAAGATGCGCCCAAGTGATGGTGTCTCCGCCGGCATCCAAAGGTATCGGAGCTGAGGACAGGGGTTATGTCGAAAAATGGTTCACGATCAATGTAAGGCAATCACCGACCTCTCTCTCCCATGTCAAAGCATAGTCGAAAAACTAACGAGATGGGCAGTATTAGACTCAACAGGACATCTCGTGGCCACCCGAATGAACGTACCAGGACAACACTGCTAGCCGCTACGAAAAAGAGTGCGCTCAGTTTTTATGTAACTTAGACATCCCGAAATACTCGTGAGACGAAGAACTGACTGGAAACAGTCTAAATGTACTCAAAGCAAGGATTGATTGACGATCAGCAGCGCTTTCCGAGGAGCAAACTATGAGTCTCACGAACCGAACTCAATCGCTGCCCAGCCAAACACTCCATCAACCCACGCGTCATCTCATCATGTACAAGGCTGCCCTCCATATCTTTCTCATGGGTAGACAACTTGCGTCCAGTCGTCTGCTCTGACTAGCAGGCCTTCTCGAATCGACAGTGGTGCTAGTGGGTGGAGAGCAAGAGCAGAAATACCATATCATACCGAACCCGGGGCAGGCTCGTGGCCAAAGTCGACGTAAGTACGCGATGATAACCTTCCTTCTTTCCTCCAGTTGCCAATGTTCGCGTCATACAATGCACTGGCTCTAAGTTTACCAGGAATATGGGCGAGATATAATAGTGAACTTCTAGGCCCATCCCACCGGAGCTTGAACGATAAAAGATTCCGGGTCCATATGCGTGCGTCTCCAAGCAAGTTCTCCAAGCTCGTGTCACAAATTGTCCCCGGAATTTCCTCACAAAACGATAACTTTATGGAGTCGTTGCATGGCTGATAATGCAGACTACGAGCTTTCATGATACATGGTCAAAAATCGAGGTCCTGAGTGAATAAAAGTATGCCAAGGACGCTATAGAGGATTCAACATAATATTGGACGGCGGCCGTGATCGGCGTTTTAAATCTACCGTGGGAGAGGTTTTCAAAGTCAGCTTTTTAGAGGTATTACTACGTGGCGTTAGTGGGTTTGGGCCACATTATTCTGAGGCGTCGCCGCATCTTTACGCACTACGTACAAGCGCATAATCACAAGCAAATGTTATGGTAGTTCCATGAGGGGTGATGTACCCTGATGTATTGCTCACGTTTGGAGAATGATTCTTTCGAGGCAGCGACGTCACGATACAATGCACCCGAGTACGACGATAGGGTCAACCACGAAAGGTATTTTTACTTGCGGTGCGTTTCGTGGACAAACCTTCATCTGAAGGTAAGCTAGAGCCGAGCTGCAGTATGAGGCCCTTCTGATATATCCCTGTACCAATAGACAGCGCAAAGCTCCACCAGACTGGGTCTAAGGTCGGCCGGCGAAAAGGCCGAGGAGCATCTTTATACAGTCAAAGACCATCGGCGAGTAGAAGGATTCGGGCACCAGATTAAGTATTGAGAGGGGATGACGAGAGGTAATACAGAGGACCGCAGGTGACAATGAACATTGCTCCAATCCAAGCCGAAACATACCTGTGCCGAAGTATCGTGAGGAAGGATTCAACGCCGAGCCACTGTGTTATGAGCGCATAGGAAGATGCTCAACGTGAGCGGTGAAGGAGGTGCAGGAATCGGAATGAACAGCTTGAACGCAGCGATTCTGCCCGAGAGCTTTCAGTTCGTACACGTACGGATGATGGTCATCTACCCTTCTTGCTTCCTATTACACCCTACGTGATCGTGTGCTATCCTGTATCACCCGGCAATACCGAGCATTCTGTTGGCTAAAGCAATGTAGACGACCTGAGTGGAGCAAGTCGACAGACACGAAGACATCTCGGGGCGGCTGAAATCGTAGCAGCACTCGGATGACGGACTTCCGGCTTCAACAAAACTCCTCCCTACGAAGTCATCTTATTGGAAACCAGTCAAGGATAGAAGGCGCTTGAGAAAGCGAGTGACACACCTCACCTTGCCGTGCAGCACAGCAAGTAGCGCGACCTATCGTCCAACAAGGTCATGAGATAAGTGGGCTCTCCATCATTGTCGCGGTCGACGAGGTTACCAGAAAGCTTAGACTTTAGAGGAAGTTGAAGTCCGCCGGTGGGCATTAGGCGTCGTAGGCCGGGGCGAGCTTTGATGAAGAGGAGGAACTGGAGCTTGCAATGGGCAGAGATATGGAAAACGTAGTATCCAGGTCAAGGAGATAGAGGACCTAAGACGGAGATGATTGCGCCCTCCTTAATATTGTTGTCCACAGCGCGCACCCTGGAGGTCGCCTTCGTGCGCTAGACAGTGCATGAGAGAGAAGCAGAAATAGTCAGAGGTGGCTCAAGGTATGCCTACCTATTGAGTTTTATATGTGGCGAGGTCGAGATATGGAGATAGCCAGGTCAGGGTCACCCACGAGACCGAAGGCGATCCAGGGTCTCGGGGCCAATCCCCGCCTTAGCGATTTGGCAATTGGACCCACATTTCGTCAACCGGAGGTGCCACAAGGAATTCAGCAGATCTGGTCATGAACGCATGGACACGCAAGTTGACCGCGAATATTCGTTGAATTCCTACGTTGAATAACACGTGCGTCTATCACCTGCCTTTTATTGCATCCTGCTGATGGACATGATGCGGCAGCTTCCGAGAGAAAAACTTCATCGCTGTCGGACACAAAACGAGACAGGAGTTCGAGAGGAACCGAGAGGATTTTGGTGTGGCCCACCGCGAACTTGATGGGGAAGCTGCGCTGGCTTATCCGAAGCTCGATATTACGCCAGGGGATATGATCAATCTGTGGATCTGGTTAGAAGCCACGGAAGGCCGATTGCATGGAGAAATCGTTCTTGTGATGGCAAACCGGAAGCTTGTGGAGGATACAGTATCTTATCGAGCGCCGACGTTCCTGGATGCTCTTAGCAAAACTTGCGCGCGTCGCCCAGCCCGCTACGTTTGGCTTGTGGCGTACATATATGTCCTCACCTTTTACGCTCTAGCGTTTGCACCTTGCCCTCCCCCATCACCCTCCCCCATCCGACCCGCACCCCGTCAAGGCCCTTAGGTCCCAGCCTTCGACATCATGGATACCCACGACCAAGAACGAGGAGGCTCTTTCGAGACAGACGATGACAGGGAATTGGAGGCGTTGGGTTACGTCCCATCCTTCAAGCGCGAGTTTAGCAATCTCGCTACGGTACGTCTCTGTTTTTCGCTCGGAAGGAGAGGCTGGGTGATAAGATTTATGGTGGTCGATTATCTGGCGGATTTCAGATCAGTTTTGCATTCAGTATCATGGTACGTCCATTTCACTCATCAGGAAGAAAAATCTGCGTTATCTGACCGCTTGCTTGTCTCCTCACAGGGTCTTTGCTCATCGGTCGCGACGACCTTCAACACACCGCTCACCCTTGGCGGCCCCTCATCTGTACGCTTCATTCCCTCCCAGACCCCACTGCAGCATATTCAGATAAGCGTCTTTCCCTGTTCAGGTCACTTGGTGTTGGATTCTTGGAGCATGCATGTGCTTTACTCTCGGTATGTGTGATCGTTCCTATAAGATGCTGTGGTTTATCCCCATTAACACAACGGAGTTACTTACCCTATTCATCTGGCGTTTAAGGTGCCAGTATTGCGGAGATCGTGAGCGCATTCCCAACATGTGGTGGACTGTAAGTTGTTGGCCCATTTTTCTCTTAAACGGCACCTCCCAGTGTGCTCGAGACCATCTTGCTAGCATCTCATACTGACCCTGTATTCAGATATACCGCGTCCGCACAGCTGTGTCCGAAAAAGTATCGTCCAATTGTAAGTCTGCCGTCAATTTGTGTTCGTGTTAACCCTGGAGTACGTTTGTTGATGACGAAAACATAATTCTGTAGGTCGGCTGGATTGTTGGATGGCTAAATATCTTGGGACAAGTCGCTGGTGTCGCATCTACGGAGTTCGGTCTCTCAGGGTACGTGCAGACTATTTTACTCGTCCTATGCGTTCCCGTTGCTCACATTACATTTGCGGCCTGTTTGTAACAGAATGATCTGGGCAGCCGTTGTTGTCGGTAAGGGTGGCGACTATGAGGTCACTCAGGGAAAGACCGTCGGCCTCTTCGTCGGCCTACTCGTCGTTCACGGTATCCTCGTACGTCTCAGCTTAATTCAATCATCAACCCTGACCCCTCACTATCAGACTTCGATTCTCACTCAACCTTCAATTCTATCTTTTTATATGACAAACGAACAGAACTGTCTTGCCACCCGGTGGCTCGCACGTCTCACGGCCGGCTTCGTTTTCATCAATCTCGGCGCCACAGTCGGTGCGTTCAACTTCTCTTTCAAGCCTTTCTGTCACTCTACGAACGTCACCCGCTGATTGGCTTTTACTGTCATCCTGTTGTCCGTTATGCAGTCATCATCATCACGTTGTTGGCGACGACTCCCCGGTCCGAGATGCACGCTGCTTCCTATGTGTTCGGAACCGATGGTATCATCAATCAGACAGGTGGTTGGAACACGGGTCTGGCGTTCTTGTTCGGTCTTTTGTCTGTTCAGTGGACTGTAAGTTGTTTGTATTCCTTCACGAGAAGGCTCTGAAAACTGACTGATTGTGGTGCTGTTTATCTAGATGACGGTATGTTCTTGATTTGACGCAGTTTGACTCGCGGGAAAGTAGCGAGGCTTATCACTCATGTTCTGTTTGGTTATAGGATTACGATGCGACCGCACATATATCGTACGTACACTGATAACTCTCTGGACCGCGAGGAAAATATACTCACTGACGCTGTTCTTCACAGTGAAGAAGTCAAGCGCGCTGCTTACGCCGCTCCTGCAGCTATCTTCATCGCAGGTGCGTTCCGAGCCTCCCTAATTTTGTATCGCCAAAATAACTCATGCATCATGCTCGTGAATAGTTGCTGGTACCGGTATTCTTGGATGGTTGCTCAACATCGTGCTAGTGTTGTGCTCCGGACCACTGTACGTCGCTTGTTTACCTGCCCTGTCCTTGAGCATCTGAGTTTACCTTCGCCTTCCACCTCTACAGAGAGGACCTCCCCGGTGCATCGGGCTCTGCATTCCTCCAGGTGCGTACCCACATTCAGCCCCACACATCTCACGCCGCCACTAATCATCATTCTTTCAACCACTCTTTCACCGCCAGATCATGTACCTTCGCATGGGCGCCGGCGGCTCCCTCTTCCTCTGGGTATGGGTCTGCTTCACCGCTTTCTTCGTCGTTCAAACAGCCCTCCAAGCCTGCTCCCGAACCGTCTATGCCTTCTCCCGCGACCATGGTCTCCCAGACGGCGGCTTCTTCGGAAAAGTCAGCACGAGGACGCACACGCCGATCCGTGCGATCTGGTTCACGACGGTTCTCAGTATTTTGCCTGGGTTCTTGGACTTCGCGAGCCCGGTGGCGGCGAATGCGATCTTCTCGTTGACGGCGATGGCGCTGGATCTGAGTTATATTGTGCCGATTGCATTGTGAGTACAATACGCTCTGCTAAGTCTGTGGGGTAGGGAGCTAATGGTGTGGTGGGGTTCTCTTCCAGGCGCCGTATATTCCAAGGTCATCCTGAAGTGACGTTCAAGCCAGGTCCTTTCTACATGGGAGATGGTCTTCTTGGATGGGCGGTACGTCGTCTTCCGTCCTGTTTGCTCTCCCTGGCTCTCATGCGCTGCTTGTTTGGAATCTAGGTCAACCTTAACTGTATCATGTGGACGCTGTTCGTGACGGTAATCTTCTCGATACCGACGGTGCTTCCTGTCACGAAGGATACTATGAACTATGCGGCGGTTATTACGGGCAGTGTTGTTATTCTAGCGGGAACGTGGTTTGTTCTTGGGTACGTCTCGCGCTTCCTATCTTCTCCACTCCTTCTCCCTCTCGCCTGTCCCATCACATCGATGCACTCCCATTCCACACTTTCGCGCGTATATCGTTATGTTGGCTTATCTCTGCTCGATATACAGCGCCCACCGACATTATCACGGCCCCCAATCGAACCTCCACGAAGGCGATGCACACCCGAGCACGTCTTCCGTCCCAGAGATCGAGAACGAAGACGCAGAAACGAAGAAAACGAAGATGTCGGATTAAGTAGAGCGCCTCGGCATCTATACCACGAACAGCGTTATAGACCCATCTTGTTTGCATATATCTCTTTTACAGCTTCAAGCGTTTGTTGTTGTAGGTGCCGCTGTGTTCTGGCTGCTAGTGGCGTCTGTCTGTTTGTTGTAGGTGTCATATTGCTGATGAGCCCCGTGTGCAACCATTGTGTAGGATGCTTGATACCGCTCTATAATACGGAGGGATACCTTTTTGTTTACTTGCTATCGTTGCTGTTGGATTCGTGTGACGTGGGCGATTCTGGTGTTTGAAGGTTGAACGGATTGATCGTGATGCAGACGAAACAGTCGCAGCGGAAGATGCAAGCTGGAGGAAGTCGAAACCCTGGACTCAGAACAGGGCAATGCTCTCTGGTCTCATCCTCGTTCGCGAAGTAGATGCCGCGCGTATGCATGTTTCAAACGACGCCACAGTCTTCTGCTATTGTACGACGAAGAATCGTCTCTTACAGAGTCTGCGATGCATCGAGGCGGTAAGCACACTGGACGAAATTGTTCTCAAGTACGTCTGTGATTCCATCAAATGTGGGAGGGTTGACACAGGACGGATATTGCCGAGCGCTTTCGGACCCCGATTAGGTTATGTAAATGCAATCGTGAAGTCACCAACGCCGATGTCTAATTCCTCACCTTCAAGCTATTTCCTCCAGTCTTCTCACAATCTATCTCGTGACGACATCTCTGAGCCTCGCTTTGTCAAACGCTTTCATCTGATGCTTCCTCAAATCCCTGATTCTCGTCCCGATCCAGACGAGTACCACGCCAAGATGGATGACGACGTCCGCGTTATGATAGGCCCTATGCGCTTCGGGTGGAAATTAGACGAAAATGTCAAATCTCTCACCGACCAACAGTCCGGCGATCTCCTCTGGCTCATCATAAGTGGGGCGCTTGACACTACCAATCTTCACTCAGAGTGGAACACACCACAAGGCAGCACTAATCGACTCTCTTTATTCAAGAAGGCGCTCGTAGTCGCTGGCCCCGCCCTCAAAGAAGCCTTCGTGAGCGCCTTGCAAGAGAATTCTTTCAAATATATACGAAATGCCGGTATGTACACAATTTCACCCGAAAATTCTTCTGGTCGTTCTTAATGTCGTCTACTAGCCTTTTTACGGCAGCCATTTATTGATCCAGCCGTCAGGCCAGTTGAAGACGAACATACGCCGGCTGGTAAGTCATCGCCTTCTTTCTTCCTCTCACGGACTCTGTACAACGGACTCGACCAACAAATCCATTGTAATAACGCATCGATCCAAAAGCACGAGGTAAGTCGGGCCCGCAAAGTAATGAGTTCGGTTTTCATTTAGCCACTCGCAATTTCCAGCTGTGCGTGGCGCTTGGGAAAGGGAGTATGTTACCTCTACTGCTGAACATTTTTGTAATATGTTGGAAAAGATGAAGCAAAACAAGAACATAGACTACGGGAATACTGTAGCCATCGTGCAGAGCTCGGGGACTGGAAAGTCTAGGATGGTAGACGAGGCAGCGCGCTTTATCTTCACGCTTCCCTTCAATCTACGTGATGACACTGCCTCTCACTGTGAGTGCTGATACCATTAGCAGCGAGATGCCACATCTGATCTGCATCACTATCGCTTTGTTTTTGTTAGTTATGTCATATCCCTCCCCTGATCCCTCTGTCCGTAACTACCTGCTGTCTCAAGATATGACTGATATCTCCGTCCGGACCTGTTACCACGCCTTCCTCATGGTCCTCTTCAATTCCGCGGAAAAAGAACTTTCGACACTCTACGGGGATGGAAAGTTGGAGAAGGACAAATTGGCGGACCTGTGGCGGGATCATCTCAAGACCGGACACTTTCGAGACGAATTCTACAGGCACGTCGTCCTTATCTCTACTGAGGAATATGAGAAAGTAAGTCAATCGAGTTTTCGTTGTGGCATGTTTATCGCGCGTTTGTTTAGTAACCATTTGTGTAGACTAAATCTGCCGTGAATCAAGAGGGCGCGCTCACAGACATGACGAGCAAAGCGATCCAAGCATGCAGAAAGCTCCATGGAACTCTCCGCGATAAAGCTAGCAATCTCCAAGGAAATGTTGATATCTTCATATACTTCGACGAGGCTCACGTGTTGACTGAGCGTAATCCATTCGATCGCGCAAAATCGTACACCCTATACAAGGTCTTGCGTTCAGTGCTCAATGAATTCCTGGAGCTACCAATGTTTGTCGTATTCCTCTCTACCACATCTCATGTCGGCGCGTTCGCACCACCGTTAGGCCTCAAGGATTCCGCACGTACTCTTGCTAGCGGAGCTCACCAAGCACCAATCACCGAGACCCCATTCGACTGCGCTCCCAACATCCTAGTCAAGCCGGACACGCACACCTTGGAGGATGTGGCGGACGTGCGTTTCATGGCACGATTTGGTCGGCCCCTGTAAGTCTCTAACAGCACTCTTCGTCCCCCCTCCGCGTCTCATGTTGAACATCACTCTCTAGTTTTTGGACCTGGATGGAGCAGATAGCTGGCGTCGATGGGAATCGTTCGATCGACACATTCATCGGAACCCTCAGAGGCAAGCTTCTCAGTGATAAAGATATCTCGAAACCTATGGCGGAATACACTGCGCTCGGAAGGTTGGCCGTTCTCGACGTCCGGCTGAATCTAGAGTATGAACCGCTCGTGGAGGGTAATCGGTCGCTGAATTCTCAAGCGCAGCTCATCAAAAGCCACATGCGCATTGCCTACTCCATACCAGCACACCGTGAATACTTCCGTTCTGGATATCCAAGTGAGCCGATATTGGCCGAGGTATGTGAACGTATCCCCTTGTAACCATCTATCCAGACAGTCTGATCATGTTCCGTTCGTGATTTGCTAGGCTGCCTCAAGACAACTGCACCTTTGGCGCACCGAGAGACAGACGGCGTTCTTCGACATACTCAGCGAGCATATGAAAAACGGCCTTCTAGATCGAGGAGAACGCGGAGAAGCCGTAGCGCGTATGCTTGTTACCGAGGCCTATGATCGTGCAGTCATCGAAGAAGGCAAGGCAGAAGGCAAGGCACACTTTAGTGATGGTTGCACTGTTGTGGGGTGGATCCAACAGTTCTTCCAGCAGGAGGTCGCCACTGCCATCCTCGATAGCACACCAGCGAACTGCGCAGGACAAAGGCTCGAAGATGTTTTCAAAGATGCAAGGCTTCGCTTCACTCATTTCGCCAAAGCCGCCGACGATCACATTATCAACACGCACTCCATGTTTGCAGCCTTCGCCCGCGGCATGGCGTTTACCTGTGGGAACGGCCAGAGTGCCATCGACTTTATCCTTCCAGTCCTTCTCATGAATGCCAAACTCAGTCCGTGGGTCATGACCGCCATATTCGTCCAAGTCAAACGGCGCAAGAGGGCCGGGGATTATAAGATAGACGCCGAGGCCTTGAAGTTTTTCCACAAGGAGGGGCCCGACAAGTTAGCAAAAGATACCCGCCCGTACATCACGCTTATCATGGATCTCGGCGTACAGCCGAACCTTCCTGCTTACGCCACTCTCGCTGCTCAGGATGTGATCAAAAGACACAAAAACAAGGCCAACCTCCCCCAGGTAGCGCCTACCTTCACACCTACTCGACCTCTTAGTCCTTCAAAGATCACTGTCTCCCATACACCGCCGCCATCGAGCTACAGTCAGCGCCGCGGTCCCCAGCCTGAGGCTCCCGTGAAAGGACATCCACGCTACGAAGTCGGCGTAAAAGGATGCTCCAATACACTGTTCAAGGTAATTGAGGATGCAGACCGACAGAGATACCAGGAGCTACTTCGCATCAACGAGTTCTTGTATGAACATCCTCGGCCGGAGACCATTCCCCAGGTGATGAACCTGAAGCCTATGTTTGCGCTCGGCAAGAACAGCTACGACTGGGTCGAGTCAAACGTGCTGAATGTGGAGGGTGTCTCTCCATCTGAACTCGGCGTTAACGAGCGCCGGTTCTGGGTAGGTGCATACGAAGAAAGGAATACTTGATGTGATAACGGATGACTCCTACCGGTTATTTATTTACTTTGAATTTGCTTTTCCGCCCTCCGCTATCAAACATGTCGTGTTGAATATGGTCTCGTTGTCGTTTTCGCTCGTTATCTTGTCGCAAAACTTGCATTTGGCTGGTCAGCCATAGCGAAGCCTGATAGCAGTCATAATGCCTGAACAGGGAGCGTGCATGACCGGACCAGCCCACATCGGGCCTGAGCAGGGCTGAGCAAGGCTGGTGCGGGCTGGTCATCTTGAAGTCGTCTGCTGAACAGAGCTGAGCAGGACTGGCAAGGACTGGTCATTTTGGAGCCATCGGCTGAGCAGGGCTGATCCTGGCTAATAATGTCTGTACATAGCTCTGATGCCATTGGCCAGTGCTGAAGAGGCCTGACCATGTCTGATCGCTGAAATAGTATACTGGACTACAGGGACCTTGCTAGGCCGCCTCGACCTCAAGAGAGGGAAGATGAGGGGTGAAAGATCTGGCGGAGCATTGTGGGCATGCATTTCGCGCCACGAAAGACCACGATATATTTAGAGCATTTCCAGTATAGACCACTCCGCGATGACGCAGTGGTCTGTTTCGCGACTCCAACGCAAGGACGTGAGCAGCATAACACAAGTCGGGTGTTCGAATCCCTCGCTGGCCTGATACTTGTGGTCTATAAGAGACTTCTAGCGAGTACAATTCGTAAGGAAAGTAAGGAATAAAGGTAAGAGCACTACATGAGTAAGAAAAGGATACTACAGAGGGGTACAAGGAGAGGTACAAAAAGATGAAACATCCTTTTTCTATTATTCCTATATATCGTCGTCAGGACTGCTCAGCCCGCAACACGCCGTATAACGCCTGTGCAGGTCCGTCAGGCTGATCAGGCCTGATTGGCCTGACCAGCCCGCTCATCCCCTTTCTAAAGCTCGGGAACCCTGATCAGGCTCTGTTTCCCTGGCGGGGATGTTCAGGCATGGTTTGGCAACATCATGCAAGACCAGCCAGATGCAAGTTTTGCGACACTGTCACGGGAATGTTGTTCAGTTCCTATTTGACTGATGTTTGATGTCTCTGTGTTTCTCGATATTGCGTACGTCTATGTGGTACTACTTCACTAAGTACTGAGTATGTTGTGACTACTATATGAGTCGTGGCTGAACATGAGACGTTATATAAGAGCTTCAACTGAGCAAGAGATTCCAGGCTTGTTCCAGGCAGTGCCTGCACAGACTGTACGTGAAGTACTTAGTAAGCACACATCTTGAGCAACAGCACGTCGGTTGAAAATCTCGCCAGAACGTGAAGAACTATTGCCATAGAAGTAAAACAATGCTTAAGTACGTTGCTTTTTGGTTGCGCATGATTTACACTTGGCGGCAGAAGCCGAGGGCACAAACAATGCGGTTTGACACGCGGCGGCGGACATTGCCGGCTCAACTTCGCAAGCAACTTCATATACTTACTCCACAGAGCGCTCGCGATAGACCATCCCCCAACGATGTCCAACTCTTCACGTCCCGCTTCTCAGCCTATCCACAAGCGATCCCACGACGACATTGACATCTCCGATGCTAAACGTCCTCATCTTATGCTTGCGCAAGTTTCTGATAACGACACGGACGAACTCTGCTTTATGAGGGACTGCGGAACCTTAGCGTTGCTCATGGAATTCAAATACGAGCTGGGTGCAGTCGAGCACCTCTCCGATCAGCATGCTGCCGACATTCTCTGGGCGGCCGTCGCACAGGGCCACTGGCGGGCCACCCATAAAGATTGGCGCGTTACTAACTTCGATGCTAGCAACAATGAACGTCTGGCTTATTTTTCACAAGCGACGTCTATCACTGGGCCTCAACTTAGGGATGCCTTACGTGAGGCCTGGAATGATCGGAAATTCAAACACATTCGGAACGCTGGTATGCATGTCGTGTTCCTCCGATGAAGCTTCTTACACTCACCTAACCATCTCAACATCTGTTAGCCTTCTTAAAGCGGCCATATATCGTTCCACGGGACATCAGAGAGATGGAAAATGAAACGGTAACTGGTAAGTCGCCAGTTCTTCTCTCATTGGTGCGAGTAACGTTTTCTGACGAATCGGCCTACAAGCACGAGGTGAGCCTCAATATTACAGACTTTCCACTCAGTCACTGACAATACTTAGCTATCCGCGTCGCGTGGAGGACGTCGTACGTCACTGACAGCGCCCATTATCTGTACGACCTCGTCTTAAAAATGAAGCGGAATACATGGACACAAAACCGTAGACACGATTACGACAACACTATGGCGATAATTCAGAGCTCGGGGACAGGTAAATCTAGGATGGTAGATGAGACAGCACGCCTTGTGTTTACTCTCCCTTTCAACCTACGCTCTGAACTTGCGTCCCGAGGTAGGCCTTGACACATCGTCGTTAGAGTTAGTCTTCAGTCAATGATCTCGTACCCCTTTTTAGCTTTGGCGTATCCTCCTCCTGATCGGGCCGTTCGCGGATACATGTGTACCAATCCACGTGAGGATGTAGTTCACGTTCGATACCATTTGTTCCTCGGATGCCTGTTTCGGCTGGCCAAAGAGGAGCTCGAAGCAGTCTACCAGGGCCCAAAGATCTCTCAAAGGGAACTAGCGACCCTGTGGCGAGGCCATCTTGAGGAGGAAGGTGTACGCGATGGATTTTATGGGCGCATTGTCGAAATTTCTGAAGTAAGTATCTAAACTTACCTTCTCTTCGTCTCTGATTTAGACATGGGTCCTCCTAGAAAATGGTTGCGTGCAATTACACTCCGATAACTACTATAAGGGATGGCACAATCGAAGACATGAAGAAATTTGCACAAACCCTCGCCTCTAAGGTTGATAAACTCACGGACACCGTCAATATCTTCTTATATTTCGACGCGGCGCACGAGTTAACTCGGGCTCCATGTATCGAAGGCACAAAATCTCTCTATAAAGTGCTACTTTCAGTTCTGAACGACTATACCGACTTCCCAATGTTCGTTGTGTTTCTTTCAACCACGTTTCGTATCAGCAACTTCACGCCTTCAGGAGGGACCGAATATTTCGACGGTGCCACAGTATCAAGCGGAGCACACCAAGCTCCCATCACCGAAACCCCTTTCGATTGTGCGCCCAATATTATTGTCAAGCAGGACGCTCACACCCGGAAGGATGTCGCAGATGTGCGATTCATGTCGCGATTCGGTCGACCGTAGTGAGTCTCTCACTTTCACCCGTATGCCTTTGAACATGTCTGACTGTAGGTCCTTCAGCTTTTGGACATTCATGAACCAGATCTCAGAGATAGAAAAGAATCGCGCCATCCATTCGTTCCTCTGTACTCTCCGCAGTAAGCTCATACAGGAGACAGACTACACAAAGCCACTCGAAGATTGCAGTTCGTTCGGGCGACTAGCTGTGGCAGACGTTCGACTTTGTCTGCAGTACATTGAAGGGAACGGGGCGTTTGACGTGCAAGCGCGTCTCATTGCAAGCCATATGCGCCTTGCCTTTTCAGCCCCTGTACATCGTCAGTATCTCCGTTCTGGTTATCCTAGCGAACCAATGCTAGCCGAGGTACGTCGGCTTATACCCCCTTTCGGACTCTGGGGTAAATTCTTCTGTGCAAAGGCTACATCGATCTTACTTCCTAGGCTGCTACACAACAACTTCGCCTTTGGCGCAAGAAGAGGCGGACGGCGCTGCTCGATATACTCTTCGAACATATGGAACGTGGCCTTCTGGATCGGGGTGAACGGGGAAATGTTGTCGCCCGCATGCTCGTCACTGAAGCGTATGATCTCGCGGTAGCTGAGAAAACTCATCCCCCTTTGACGCCTGATGAGCAGAGCCGATTTTTCAGCTTGGGTTGCCACCTTCTGGATTGGATAGAGAAATTATTTTCAGAAGGGCGCGCTCAACAGATCCTCGAGAGCTATCCAGCGAACTGCAAAGGACAGAAGTTCAAAGACATCTTCAAGGACGCATGGATCCGGTTTACGCACTTCGTCAAGTCTGCAGACGATCACGTAATCAATACGCACTCTATGTTCGCAGCATTCGCTCGAGGCATGGCGTACATCTGCCAGAAAGGCGGAAGCTTCATCGACATCCTCGTTCCTGTCCTGCTCCGTGACGTGAAGCTCGGTTCCTCGGTCATGACCGCCATTTTTATACATGTCAAGCGACGCGACAGAGCTGGAAACTACATGATAGACGTTGAAGATCTAGGCTTCTTCCACCCCGAACCCGTTGGCAGATTTCCGGACGGAGATGACCGCCCATACATCACGATCGTCATGGATCTCGGCGTACGAAACACTCTCTCGGCCTATGCTGCTAAACCTGCAGCACAGCAGATGATCAAGGAAAACCAGACCACCGATGGAGGAAAGGACTTCTCTCAGGTGTCGGATACCTCGACTCGACTCGACCTTCGCCCCGTTCCCGGCGTGACCCATCCCCGCTACGCGATCCACGTTTCCGGATGCTCTGACACGAATTACGGGGTCATCGATGAATCTGACCGGGAGAAGTACAAGCAGCTCCTCCGCATCAACGAGTTCCTATACGAGCATCCACGTCCAGAGACCATTCCCAGGGTGATGGCACAAGAGCCATTCTTCGCACTTGGCTCGAACAGCTACTCCTGGGTGGAGTCGGATGTGCTCAACGCGAGGGACCCTGCGAATGCTGACGATGAAGAGGATGAGGATGAGACGTTCCATATTAGTGAACACACCGACAATTTCACGCGTAGCGATTGATTCATGGACGTTTTACTATGAATTTCTTGTTTCTTCTGCTACTTACTCGCCGTTGATGTCAAATATGTCTTCCGCACTTTTCGACAGTTTTCTCAATTCATTTGCTATCCGGTTTTCCTGCTATCCGCAATCAAATATGTCGTTTATGCTGTCGTTGTCGATTTCGCCCGCGAGTGAGTAGTTAGACTGCTTGTCGAGCACGCTATAAGTGTTGAGATCGATCAACGTCCCTCACATTCACGGCCACCCTAGAATCACAGAACAAGACACGTACAGTAAATGCACCCAATACAAAGCAAGAATACGGAAAACGTCATGGTTTGTCCCCGTGCCCCACATAGACATCCACAAGCGTCGGACTTCGAGGTAAACTAGGGCTCAGCGGACTTCTCGGTACTTCCAACACGGCCCCCTCCCCTCTCCGTCCTCCCCCACCCTCTCTTGCATCGGTTCCCATAACTCCCATCTCGATATCATGCGATCCAACCGACACCGGTCCTGCCCCCCGACTCGTAGATTCATCCGTCACAGTCGTCGTCATCATCTTGGAATACGCGCCCCCGCTCCCACTCGTACTCGTCCCAGAAGACCCACCCGAATCGACAGTGTCGGGCGTATATTGGTCGGGAAAGATCATACTTGTGAATTTATAGTCCGTTATCGAGCCTGAGCCAGTGTTGGCACCGTTGAGGGTTCGGGAGGATGTGGAGGAGAGGTGGAGGACGGCGCGGGTTGAGAGGACACTGTGGAGGATCATTTGAAGTCTTGGTGAGGGGGAAGAGCGTCAGTAGGTTTAAGTGAGGACGAAGATGATTGTCGACGTACTGCGTGCCGCCGGAACGGAGTTGAGGAGCCTGAAGGGTACGAACAGGTCAGTAAGACCGCATAATGGCAGAGGATGGAGTAGGTATACGAACGGAAACTTGAAGAACGAGAACGATATTGAAAACTCCTAATACTGGGTGTTCAAAAAGAACATGAGCCTCTAATTTGGTGATGTCCGCGACGTTCTACTCACGGAGCATGAATACGAAGTACATGATACCTGTGAGGAAGAAACCAGTTGAGCGCCACCCGCACAGAGTAAGTATGTTGGAGTTCAAAGACCGAGAGACTGACCATCTGTCCAAAGTACATGCATTAGAGGCGATCTAGTGGCTATAGGCGCTTCCCGGAAATATGCCAGAATTTTGTACATAGAAAGGGTGAGCGTAACTGATACAACAGTGTACAGCCGGTAGATGTCAGTTTACGGTACCACGCAGTCTCGCATGATAAAGTGGTGTGAATGAGAATCCGAGCAGGGTACGCACTGAATTCATAACAAATGACGATGACATACGGAACGACCCACACGTTCTTGACGGCGCTGACCAGGATCTGACATTGCGACGAGTTGGTGAGGTCGGGTGCTACAGAGGGACCCCCTAATTGAATTCGAACGACGTAGACATCGGCTTTTTATGCACAACGGAAGGATTTGAGAGAACGCGTACGTACAGACGGTGGTGACTATGTCTTTTTCGATGATGACTACGGCAGGGACGATTGCTGCCTATGAGAGTTCAGGGATGTATTGAGTCCCAAAAGAAGGATGGGAGGAGACAAATGCGGCTTACGATGGACACGCATATCAGGAAAATTATTATTCGCCTGTCGCGCTGCCAGATCGCCCATGTACGTGTCGCGAACACAACTAAACACCACACGCCATACATCACAGCAAAATATCAGTTCGTGCCGCCAGACCCGGAGTAAAGTGCTGGTCAGAAGTACTTACGGTCTGCTGCAATGATCGTGATGAGTCGTATACATGTGAGGACGTTCCCCAGCGCCACTGTCGCCTATTCTCGCAATATAATCACAACATGATGACGAAATCATGTCAACGTGAGACTTGTCCATGGACAGAGAAAACCAACAGGCAGATGAGACCTACAGGCAATATATCGATAATCGCACCAGCGAGGGCGGGATACCGAGCAAAGAAGAACAATATGCGTCCGAAGTTGGGCCGTTCAGGTACCCACAAGAATCGGACCTACGCACAATGCGGCACCACGAGATACAACAAGACTTAGGTGTCAGCTTAGGTTGATAATCGAATGGAAAGTGGTAGGATGGGGATGTGGCGTACGAACCTCCTCGGACCAAGTGAGGGTGTAGTCGTAAAACTGGCGAAGTGAAGGGTTTCAGCTCATTATGGTGCGTATGTAGTGTATGATGGACTCACAAGAAGAGCACTGCTAGCCACTGCACCGTGGCGTGTCGAGGACACAGACGTCAAAAGGGAGAAAGTCACAGACTCTCATCAGCACGCTTTGAATGCCAAAAATAATCGCTAATCATCTCACTCACCAGCGATACTCTGCAAAAAAGGGGATAATAGAAAGACGTCAGCTCAGTGGCACAGCACATCAAACACTACCCCCACAAAGTAACAGACGCCTCGAAGAAAGAATTAAGCGCCGACGGTTCCCAACATAGGGGCAGAGTGATGATCTTCTTACTGCAATGAATTGGAAGATCTCTACCGTCGGCTTTGATGTTGCGCACGGTACGGAGAGCACGACTCGACGTGTATTCAATTATACAAGACGGTCGCTGTACGGGAAAAGATAACGGGGAAAGAACAAACGAGAACTTACTGAAGTCAACCTCCAGTCCGACAAGCAGTTCGCCAGATCGTGCAACTGCGAGCTTGAACTGTCCGCCATGACGCCACTAGCACTAGCACGAACGACGATGGCGCTGCTGTCAAACAAACAACTCGAAGCAACGCGACGTCGCTGTCAAACCGTGGCACGCAAAAAACGCGAAGAAGAGCCCCGCAAAGTCCGCAGGTCTGCGATTTACAACTGAGACTGCCAACGAGTTCGTCGGGTTAGCACAGCGACTGTCGTTCTTCTTAGAAAGACCTGAAGGCAAAAGCTCGAGGAAGAAGGAAGCTACTATGGAACGGAGAGGCGAGCGAGTACGACCTGACTCGAGGTAGGTTCGCTCGAAGAGTCGAAGAGGTGATGAGCAACTTGAAGGAGCGAAGAAATACGAAGTTTCTCCCTGAGAACCGCGTATGTACGAGCTAAGGTATTAGTGAGTGGCCTAGCACTGTTCCGAGCCGTGTGTGCCTTGCATGATGCATTCTTCATTTATGTAAATCATCAAAGCTTGAGTCGCGGCGATTGCAGGGACATAATGATATCAGGACGCATCGAGCAAAAATTGGATACCGGATCCTCTGATCTTCTCCCATGGTGGTGTGTACTGACTAGAAAAGGCGGTGCATGCTCGAGTGAGGGTCAAGAACGCTACAGGATAGCTCATTCTGGCTGCTGAGCATGGACGGGGGTTTAACGATTGCGTGGTCCGTGCGTCAGTTGTTCAAGTTAGGGAGGCGAGGTGATGGGACGGTATTGGATCTCGGGGGCTTTCGGGCCCGACACGCCGGGGTGAATCAACTTGGATTGCTTGTGTGGCGCTTGTTCAGATTGTGGCGCATGTTAGACGTCGGTCTCCCCATCACTTGGACGTCCTTGGAGTGATTTTATGGCCTTCTACAAGAATATACTCCGAGGACGTGGAAACTGCGGGCAAGACCAGTATAGGCCCTTACCCAAAGTCTATCTTCCTTCTCAATCCTCGAAAAGACCGACTCGTCAGTAGTAACAATTCATTGCCAGTCATCCGCGAACGACGGACCCGCGCTGTACTTATATGCACAACAAATTACTGCACTTGAGCTGCGGCCGAATCCTTTCTCCGTGCTTTAGGATTTAGAAATAAGATACGATCCCACGACGGTGTAAGAGAGGCAGTATTTTGTGCGGCGTGAGTTCCAGGGAGACCACGAACGTGGGCCACACAGCGCTCCGAGCTCTCACGTCGTCTAGAGGACTAGAATGGGGGCTTTTATTAGTGACTACGATCACTGGAGGGAGCGGCCACCGTGGCGAAGGAACTTATTTTGATTCGGACAGTACTTTTAGAATACGTAGCCACAACGCTCTGCCGTTGCTGCAATCCGTCAATCATCAGGCTCTTCCATAAATTAACTCTTTCGACCATCAGTTTCTCTAACTTTGTTGCATCCAGTGTTACAGCGTTGCTTTCCTTCCGTCGAGTCTTCGAATTCCTTCAGTTCCTTCCACCCGGGTCACCGTGACCTGTTTTCTCCTGAAAATCCATCATGATCCCAGCACACCACCGCCCTTCTAGAGCAATATGCAGTTTGACAGCCTGGGAGCCATCTTTGAGAGTGGACATGGCACGCACCATGGACTGTTCCTGTAGATCAATGTACTTACTCACCGTGACTGTTCTTCATTCTTCACTCCCCTCTTCCTCCCCGCATCCTACTGCCCCATTGCTCGTCTCAGGCTCTCCTTCTGCCAGTGGGTATGTGGTGCCGGCAGTGACATTGACAGTGTAAAAGATAGTGGACTTCCATTCCATAGCCATGGCCAGCTACTCAAGTATTCAAGACTATCACTGGCACCCATGATCATCATGGATCGGCGCTCAGCGTTAACATACCACGACGTTGTGATGGCTGTCAATGGTAACAGTGACTGTCAATCGCAAGTTCCAGCGAAGAATCAGCGCCCAGCAACGAGAGGTCGACGACCATTGACATCCATCGCTAATCGCATAGCCTGAAGTCACATACATGAACGCGGATCCCAGAATCGGCCGACTAAATGTCGCGTATCGACCGATCTCATGCAACCCAACACCGATATCATCCCACCTTCCAGCAAAGATTCGATCCTCTACAAATCCGTAAATTGTATACGCAATGATAATCTTCAAAAGCACACATGTATAACAAAAGACTCGTACAAACGTCCGCGTTGGATCCGATCCCACTTTACAACATACTTACTTGGTACTTGGTATTTCTGCTTCACTTCTTCTTCTTCTTCCTTCTCCGCCACTCCTTCTCCGCCACGCCTTCTCCACCACGCCTTCTACGGGAGTACAGGTCGATGTAGGGTCGTGATTTGGTTGGATTAGAGCTTGGATGCGCCGATGAAGCTTACGCCCTGTGTGATGAGGACGAGGATGGGAGGTGATGGTGAGCATAGAGGGAGGAAGGTGATGGTAAGCAAAAGGAAAGGCCGGGGAAGCAGGGGAGGAAGGGGGAGGAGGGGGAGAGGAGGGCAGGGAAGAAAAGACGCACCTTCTCGATATTGATAGCCAACTCGGGGACGGCAGCTTGAATGAGACCCTGCTCGTACTCGTTCAACTTCCCAAGCGAATGGATCTTCGCCACGCCCTCGGGCTACATCCAACAATCCACACAAAAACAAAAACAAAACACACGAATCAGTAAACCATCTTACACCCACCACACAACCAAAACAAGGTGTCGAAAAGGCAAAAGAGTTACGCACCCCAATCTCAACATTCGCACTAAAATACTCCAACTCCCTCCCCACCTCCTTCACCAACCCCTCCCCCCCTGTCTTATCCGCACTCAGATGAACATAACTAGGCACAACGATCCCCTTCTCGCCCCCAATCGCTCTCAGGACCTTGGAAGTGAACTCGGCCCCGGCGTAGGCCATGGAGAGCGTGGCGGACCCGGCGCCATCTTTCGCTTTCACGACTTCGTCGCCGCCGAATTGGATGCGTTTGGTTAGGGTTGTGATGTCGGTGGAGGAGAGGGAGGTGGGGAGGGGGTGGGAGGATTGAGAGAGGAGGGGGACGATCTGTTTGTGTAGGGAGGGAGAGAGGGAGAGGAAGTGTGAGTAAGATGGATGGAGGACTGAATAGGGGCTTTAGCGATGAGAGAGACGTACGGTGACGCCGCTGTGGCCGCCGACGACGGGGACGACGACGGAGGGCGCCTTGGAGAGATCACCGAGGATTTCAGAGACGAATGTGGATGCGCGGACGACGTCGAGGGTCGTCACACCGAAAAGCCTTCATTCAATTTCAATGAATACCACATTAGTTTAGATTCGCGGACGTGGGGTAGAAGGGCGAGGTGCGTACTTCTTTGGGTCAAAGACACCGTGCTTCTTGAAGACCTCGGCGACGATGGGGACGGTGGAGTTGACTGGGTTTGAGATGACGAGGACGAAGGCTTTGGGTGCTGTGGTGGCGATACCTGTGGCGAGATCGCGGACGATGCCTGCGTTGATCTGAGATAGAAAAACAGGATATATGGAGTAAGAATGTGGGAGATCGATGAGATGGATTGAAGAGACGCACCTTGAAGAGATCATCTCTGGTGGCGACAGAAGCCCATGATCAGTAGCTGCGACCTCGAATAGTCTGGGCCTGCTTACCGCGTCATCTACAAATCGAGCTCATGTCAATCTACACGGATCGCGGGGCAGATGCGGGGGAGGGAGAGATGAACGTACACCAGGTTTACGAGGAACACCGGCGGGGATGACGACGATGTCAGCGCCGGTGAGTGCCTTCTTGAGACCGTCATCGGGTGGCAGGAACCCCTGGACCTTGGCTGGGGTGGAGATGTGGGAGAGATCGGCGGCGACACCGGGGGTGTTGACGATATCGAAGAGGCCGAGCTAGCGAGCAGCGCGAGAGGCGCGTCGGGATGGGATGGGTGAGGCCTGGTGGTAACGGTGGATTATGTGGGGAGCGATTACCTCCGTGACGAGTGGGTTAGACTTGAGGAGGAGCGCGAGAGGCTGGCCGATTCCACCTGATTTTATTGATTCAATTCTGGCTCAAAAAAATCAGATCCCAAAAGAAACGGTACCTGCAGCACCGAGAACGACAGCTTTGGGCATTGTGAAGGAAGGAGGTGGGTGGATGAAGGAAGGATAGACTGGTGACCTGAGCTGAGACGGAAGGCTTTATGTACGCCCCGAACGGGCCAACCCCACACCGCGGTCCGTCCCCGTGCGTGATTGGCTATTGCAATTTCAGCAACGGAAGATTTCAGCAAATCATGTGCGGCCGTTTGTTCGCCACCTCCATCCGCGACCCAAAACACGAGATATCACGCATTGGGCTGCTCTTGTCTTGTGTTTTTGTTTTGTATTGTTTTCGTGAACTTGCTGGGATGTCGTCTGCGTCTGCGCTGCCCCCTGCTCTGCTCGACCTCACTTGGCTCAGAGCTTCTGCTCGTCTTGGGTCCAGTAACGCCAATGCCTGCGGTCATGTCATTCGAAGGAGGATGCATCTCGCGACCGCACCGTCTCCGAGCATGCCACCCCCAGAGCTAATGGCATCTGGAGACGCCTTCGGCCACAGGTGCGTCTTGGCTACTTCTTCGTTATCTTGTACTTCACGATTGACTCTGCTTCAAGACGACGGAGACGTGTGCCAAGCATGTCGCTTGCGGTTTTGCAGACAGAGACGAACAGGGTGGCCCAGGCAGAGCTCGCACGTCGCGTAGAGTCGTTGACAAAAATCGAAGTATCACAGGTATGTGCGTGTTCATGGACTGCTGCACGCAACTTGATGCTCAAATGTCAATTGTATGTAGCGTGATATCGTCGAACCTGAACCAGGACCAACAGAAGATGAGCTCCTTGCCATCTACGAAGACCTACTCGCCATCGAACCACCGCCATCCCAGCTTCCCGAATCCCCTCAAAATCAAAAACAAATGGAAGACTGGTCCCTCGTCGAGCGCATCGCAGAACGTCTCGCACATCCACAGACACCGTACTCTCACCCTCCACGCGCGGAATCCGAAAGCTCGCTAACGAACACCCTTCGACAACGTCTTGGTGTCGATACCTCCGCTGAAGAGTCCGTTCCTGACGTCAATGTGGATGTTAATTCACCACATCGACGCGTCCTTGCGAGGTTGCGTGAGATCTTACCGAGGTTCGAGGCAGCGCAGAGGTCTTTGCATCCGATTTTGGGAGGGACGAGTACCGTGCCGAAAAGTCAGGTGCCTATCGTGTGGTTGCTTGAGGATGAATGGAAGGCTATGATTCGTGTTTGTGTGCGTACCTCATCACTCTTCACTCAGTATAATTCAGTTGTTGAGATCTGGTTTCTTCAGTTAGAACTCCATGAACCCGATTTAGCGGAAGAGACGCTGGTGTTAATGAAGGTAAGCTAGGAGTTTTGCCCTTTGTTCTCCGCACTTTAACTCAAAATATATATCTAGCGAGCCAGCGTAACTGTTCCCGAAGAATCCATTGACGACATCATGACTTTCTACGCCGCAGAAGCCGACGTCCCCTCCCTCGAAACCTTCATGCAAAACTTCCTCACCAGTACGCCCTCCTCTCCTCTCCTCTCTTCCCGTCTCACCACACACCCTCTAACCCTCCTCCTCCCCCTCCACAGCCTCCCCAACCCCACACCAACGTCACCTCCACATAAAAGCCCACCAACGCCTCTCCCCCAAATCCTCCCTACCCACCTCCGCCCTAACCCTCCTGCACACCTACGAAAACGCGTCCCTCCCCGCCCCTCTCGAGACCTACCACCACCTAATAACCCAACTCCTCCACACCACGCCCTCCCATTCCCCCTCTCTCGCATCGATATCCCGCGCCCAAGCATGGGACCTCTTCGCCCATATGCGTTATGTAGCGCATCCGGACCCCACTGAGGGGATATACGCTACTATGCTCCTCGCTTGCGCACACACATATCGCTCCGAGCCCGAACGCGCTCTCGATCTCTGGACTGAAATGACTGTAGATAGACGGATGCAGCCTAGCGAACGGAGTTATGGGGGCGTGATTATGGCTCTGGCTCGGAGCGGAGAAAAAGAATATGTGGGTGAGGCGTTTAGACTCGCTAGAGAGATGTTGGGCGGTGGTGGTGTGGGGGGGAGTGGAGTGAATAGAGATGCGTATGGGAGGGGGAGGTTTAGGCCGGGTCAGTTGGTTTTTTTGGCGTTACTAGAGGGAGCGAAGAGGATGGGGGATTTACCGAGGGTGAGGTGGATATTGGCGGAGATGGTGAGGACGGTGGAGGGGGGTGAGGGGGATGGGGTGGCGGGAGGGGTGGGAGGGAATGAGGGGGTGAGAGTGAAAGAGAAAGAGAAAGGGAAGGCGGAGGGAGAGGGAGAGGGAAGGGTGGAGATTAATGAGGAGGTGATGATGTATGTGTTCAATGCGTATGCGGCGTATAGGCCTCCGTTCAAGAGGTCTTTGGCGCCGCTCGTCAAGGATGCTGCCGACGAAGTGAACACCACCTCTGCGTCCTCTACTTCCTCGACCAAGACCGCAACATCAGCCTCATCCTCGACGTCCACATCACAGCATCAACATCACGAACAAACACAACCCCAAACCTCCATCAAATCCACCTCTTCCAGTCCCAGCTCCGACAACACAAGCTTCTCGCATATCCCGCCCCAGAGCCGCTCTGAAGTCCTCCGCGAGGCTAGAGCCATATTCATGCAGATCGTCGACGCACAGTCTCAATCTCCTTCGAGTTTCAGCGCTCAATCCCAATCGAGCTCGAGTTCGAGCACTCAATCCCAATCTCCTTCGAGTTCAAGCACTCAATCCCAATCTTCTTCGAGTTCGAGCACCCAATCCCAATCTTCTTCGAGCTCGAGCACTCAATCCCAATCTCCTCCGAGTTCGAGCACTCACTCCCAATCTTCTTCGAGTTCGAGCACTCACTCTCAATCCAACACCACCCCCTCCATCTTCCGAAACGTCAAACTGACGACACCCCTCCTCAACTCATACCTCTCCATCCACTACGCTCACAATTCGTTCGAAGCGAGCCATAAGCTGTTCTTTGAACTCTTCGGTAAGTCTGAGTCTGAGTCTGAGTCGGCTGCGATGAAGCCGAGCGGGAGGAGTTTGGTGGAGGCGTTGGAGAGGTGTGCGATGCCGATTCGGGTTGAGCGGGATCGGGGTGGAGGGGATGGTGGAGGGGATGGGAGTGTGAATGGAGATGCGAATAGAGATGCGAAGAGCGAGAAAGAGAGGGAGAGGGAGGTGGCGTTGAGGTTTGCGGAGGATGTGTGGGGGATGTGGGAGGTGCTCGAGGAGCGGGGGATGCGTTGCGAGAATGAGAACTCGAAGGAGAGAGTGGGCGCGAGGATGATCGAGAGGGCGAATTCGGCCATGATTCGGATTTTGGCGCTGTACGTCTCCCATACCTCCCATACCACATAGACCTCGTACTAACTTCATTGGTTTATCTTCGATTATGTAGGACCAAAAACCTGCCCCGCGCCCTCTCCCTCCTCCGCACCTTCACCACCCGCTACCCTCCCTCCACCCTCCGTCAACCCACACCGCTCCCCTCCCTCCGTTCCACTCGCACCGTCCTCACCTCCCCCACTCGCCCCATCGTCCGTCTCACCTCGCCCGTCGAGGTGCCCGACGATACGGTCCCCCCGCTGCTTCTGTGGCGCGATTTGGAGGTGCTGCATCATAAGTTGGTTGCAGAGGGGGATAAGAAGGGGATAGGGATGGTTAAGTGGGTGGGGAGGGCTTATGAGGGGAGTTTGAGGAGGAGGAGGGAGGGGGCGATGAGGGATGGGAATGTTGGTGGTGGAGGTAGAAGTGGGGGTGGTGGTGGGACGGAGGTTGTACAGGTCGTTCAGGGTGAGGAAGTGGGGGAGGGTGAGACTGCGAGGACGGGAAGGTCAGAGGAGGAGATGAATGAGGTTGATTAGACGGAGGCCCTGTTCATTGAGTCGTTCCCCTGGCCGATGTGTTGCTGCATTTAGATTACCTGCATGCTCGCCACCGCCACTCCAACATGTTCTATTTTTATACCATCATAATTCAACGGTCAACCTCGGGACCGTGGTGCTGATTTCGCACGCCACATTGTTCCTTCTCTTCAAGCTAGCCCTTTCACAGGAAAAGTCGATGAATTGCTCTCTGCTCCTGCAAGGTCACTACGGTCAAGAGTAATAAATAAACTGTCCCTGGCCACCTGCTGCACTTTCTATGGGTATGTATGAATGCCCGCTCAAGGGACGGAACTCAGGCTCATCAACTTCTCATCGCTCGGCTCGCCTCGTGGGGGCAATACAAAATTACGACGTTCGGCGCTCAGCGCTCATCACAGTGCTTTGATGAAGCTTTGAGCCTTTACCGAATGCATGTCTTTGGTCTTATATCAGTGGTGCCTTTTGTGCTCCTCTCGTCCTTGCTTTCGTCCTTCCTCGTCGACGCCCGCTTCGGTCTCGACGACTCTCAGCTTGCTCTTCTTGCTCCCTTGCTTGGACGACTCAAACTCTTACTTGTGGACCATTCACGCTTGGTCGTATCTGGGTTCAGTGGCGATATCGATGCGGGCGCTGAAAGGCTCGGTCAGTTCTCGTGATCCTATCGTGCACGACAACCGAGACGATGAGGCTGGATACGGAGGTGAGTACATACTTCTATCACACCCCTTACCTCTGCTACTCGAACTTTTCGATCGACGAGTGAAATCTGTTCTCCCACCTAACATCTCTTCATGGACAGACGACTCCTGGTCCAGGCGTCGAGCCACCACCATAGCCACCTCGTACACCTCAACTGGCCTCCCACAAGAAACCATAACCGCCCTCATCATCTGCCTCACAATCATCTCTCTCGTCACCCTCATCATCATCCTCCTTTTCGTTCGTGGCTGTAGACGCCGAAGATCACACTTCGCGGATATGAGCGTCAGGATCGTCAGAGAATCGGATATGGACGGGGCTGGATGGAATAATGCGTACGGGTATGGTCTGTCTGGGGGTACGAGCAGACCGGTGTCACCGTATACGGTCGGTGCGAGTGGTGGTCGTGGTCGTAGTGGCGTACCGGTGTCTCCCGGTTCTTCGACTTATTGGACGGGTTCGGAGGACCAGCATCAGGAGGGGAGAGAGAGCAGTGTGTATAGTAAGAGGTATTCTGCAAGCGGTACGTCTTCGGGCCTCATCCTTGGAACTTAAGTAACTTATGGAAGGCTTGTGACTGGTTTACTCATTCATGCTATATTTGTTATCGTCTGATTGCAGATGCGGAGCTCGCGTCAATGACCCCTCTCCCGTCCGATATGCGCCACTCATCTACTTCAAACGTCAACTTCACAAGTCTCGCAGACGCTTCTGCGACGCTGTATATGCTCAACGAGGAGGACGAGGGTGACTTGGGACACCCGGAAAACCTGCATCTTCCGTCGAGGCCGAATACTGTCGAACCGAGCGCGATCATGGAGGCAGGTTCGGGTCGCGAGAGTCATGATATCAGACTGGTTACCGAGTCTCAGAAAGGGAGGGGAAGGTGGTTGGTATAACGGTTCTCTATCCAGGATGATTTGGAACCTGTGTGGCGAGGTGAGACAGGTACCATGGAGCATATGTGCTTCATTTGTTCGCTCGGTGAGGATAGGGTCGGTATTCTCTACCACATACTATGCTGTACGCTCATTTAGTCCTAGTGACTGCTATTGTTGTCATTCCTATCTACAGCTTATTTACTTCCTCTGTCTTTGTACTTTTAAATATTTATGCTGCATGGAATACGAGTCTTGAACAGACTGAGCGGTTGGGAACCGTGGTTGGTGCAGGGGGTTAGGGCCCGGAGTAAAAGCAGGCGGGGAGGTTCGGCTGTGGCTGTTGCCGTCGTATTTCTACGCTCCGCTTCAAACCAAACATGCATCGACGCATCGCTCGGAACCTTTTGGTTCACGTTCAACTCAGAAGTCAGCGCATCAGCTCCAGCCAGCCCACTCCTCCTTGCATATGCACGAACTCTTGATGACTACGTTCTTGTACAGGCTTGGTACGCGTGCTTCGGGTATAAGGCCATCACAAGGTCTTTTACTCCTTTCCCACTGTCGGCAGCGGCCAATCTCTAACGCAGATATCTCCGAGTCCCCCGCCTCAGCTTCTCCAGCAAAGGATTTAGTGGTCTGATCATTGTTTAAGCACAGGAATTCAGGTATCCTGAAAACCTACCATCACTCTGTGAATCCTTGTCACTCTTCCTTGGCATTCATCGTTTTCAACTCTACACATTGTAACAACCATATGCATATGAAGTCCTGCTAAGAGTACCCCACGAACTGGCCGCATCTTCGGGTTCTGGAAGTTCAATATGCCTACTTTCCGTCTAGGGTCACCGTGACACCCGATCTCAATTTTCAACACCCGCCGCCATTATTCCATTGGTATCCATTCATCGTACTGCTAGCGCCTTGCGACTAGGTGAGCAGTAACTCCATACGTGATATATATTAGGTTCGCGAATTCGTGCTCTCAGTCCGCGCTTGTCGTCGGTCAGTGGGTAGTCGGTCGACTACCCCCCGGCGAATGATAACCGCCAGCATTCTTTTTAGTTTTGCAATACGCGCATAGCATGTGCCAGCCTTCCGCCGTTTGACTCGGAAGTTTGGTCACGAATTCTCTCTACATCTATCTTGTGCAGGTAGCCGCATGGGATGTAGTACAGACCCCTTTTGCGTCCTGTACCTTACTATCTTTTCGGTGGATATTGGACGGGTATTGCTCATGGGGTTTCAGCCTAAAACACGTCCTGAGAGCGCTCGTATGTTGTATTCAATGACATCGGAAACGACACCATTCACACGAGGATCCACTAACCTCTTGAATACGGGCGGCCATGAGACGCTCACTGAGTGTCTTACTCTGGAGGCTCCAGCTCATCCACACCCTGCGTGTCTGTCAAAATCGGTACGCACAGGACTCTAATTCTTGACTTACTGTGTATTCATTTAGTTTTAAACGTGTGAACGAAAAGCCCGTCCATGCAACTTTTCTCGCGTTGTATGACAGCCGACGTTGCTGTTAGGCACGCAGTCATATCCCCTGAGCGTCTATGCTTCGAGACGTCTCGGTCGGTGATCGTCCGAGGCCTTTCTACTACCACCTGTTATAAGCAACCTTGGCTAGCTCCTTTCAGAGGCGCTGTGTCGGAAGCTCGTTTATAAGCTCGTTCTCGCTCTCCATTCCGTAGTGCGTATTTTGATTCCCTTTGATCGTCCAATCGCACTATTTTTCCTCCACTGATTCTCGCAGACGAGCGACGAAATGACGCTCACCTTCTCCCTGGTTTTGCCTCTAATTGCAGCCGCTTACATCCCGGCTGCCCTCGGTGCTTTGTATCAAGACCCATCCCAATTACCTACTAACGCTTCGTATGACTACATCATTGTTGGAGGTGCGTTTGCTCACTATGCGAGCAACTATCTGATCTTTAATAGTACTCTTTATGTATTGTGTCTTCCAATGTGATAGGAGGTGCTGGTGGAGGCGTCCTCGTCAACCGGTTGACGGAGCACCCGGAAGTGAAGGTACTGCTCATCGAAGCCGGGTCCAGGTGTGCAATTAAGAATGTTTCCCTCCCTTTCTGTTTTATCTGAGGCGTGAATATCCACTAGCGACTATACAAACATAAACATCGAGGTTCCCGGTTTCGAAGCGACGCTTGAAGGCTCCCAGTTCGTACGTAGTGTTCTATCATCCATACGCATATGGTGCTTTCACGGCTAACGACGTAGTTATGGCTGGTAGGATTGGAATTTCACCACTACGCCCATGCCGGGATATAACGACAGGTCGATAACTTATGCCCGTGGATTTGTCCTCGGAGGATCTACATCTATCAGTAAGCTCTCTCTTTTCCACACTAGTCGACGATATTCCACCAAATTTAACGTGTCCAACTAGACTTCATGGCGTGGAACAGAGGCGCAAGAGACGACTTCGATCGATATGCGGCTTACACGGGCGACGAGGGATGGTCTTGGGACGCATTGTATCCGTATATGTTGAAGGTGTGTGTCGGCATCCCGTAGAATATTGCCAAGCCAGAAGTCCTGATATCACTAATGAATACACCCCGCGAGTGTAGATAGAGACCTTAACGCCGCCTACCGATGGCCGTGATACTACAGGCGACATCATACCCACCGATCATGGCGAAAACGGTACGTGTTATGTCAAATCTAATTCATCAATCGCTGTATACTTATTGTCCTGCTATGCAGGTCCCGTCAGAATTAGTTTACCGGGATATGCTCTCCCAACAGATGCTCTCGTCTTGAATGCGTCGACCGAGCTGTCTTCCGAATTCCCTTACAACGAGGACGTTAACTCAGGAGACACCATTGGGATAAGTGAGTAGTCGCCTTCATATCAGTCTTTTCTACAAAATTGTTAACGGAAACTTTATTAGGCTGGACGCAGTGGGATGTCAGCCTTTGAGAGCAAGCATATCACAGAACCGTGTTACTAAAAAAAAGCATCATCTCGCAGATTTTTGAAGGTGCCCGCGATGGATCAGCAAGAGCATATATCGAACCTGCGCTCACTCGGTCGAATCTCGATGTACTGGTCAATACTCTGGTCACAAAAGTGGTTCAAACCGGAACGGAGAATGATCTCCCTGTGTTTAGGGGCGTACAGTTCGCTCAGAACAACTCTGGTATGCTAGAGCTCTGTTATTTTACTGTCGGTATTGTGGGGAATGTGAGAGCTGATACCGGTTCGTGAATAGACTCGGTCTATTCTCTCAACGCAAGCAGAGAGGTCATCCTTTCTGCAGGCGCGGTCCAAACACCCCATATTCGTAAGTGACAGATCTCAATTTTACCCTAGCACTGTCTAATATTCAATCCAGTTATGCTCTCCGGCATTGGCGATCCTTCTGTCCTGTCTCAGTTCGGCATCGAGACCACCGTGGAACTTCCAGATGTCGGTCAGAACTTACAGGTGTGGTTTTCTCGGAGATCGCCCATTTACATCTTCGCCAGCTTCTTACCACGTCTGTTCACCTCTCAATGACACGATGATTGTCAGGACCACGTACTTCTTTCCATAAACTGGGCCGTAACGTCCAACAATACGCTTCTCGACGATCTCTCTCAGAACAGTACCTTTGCCGCGGAACAGCTCGCATTATGGCAGGCTAATAGGACTGGTTATCTCGTCAATTCCGCTGGAAATCAGTGGGGCTGGTTGAGAGTTCCCGATAACGAGACAAGTGTGTACGGAGATGGTATCGAGGATCCGAGTTCGGGACCTACAGCAGCGCATTACGAGTGGATCTTCGAGGTATGGCCATCCTGACGTGAATGAGCCCATCGTGTCTAATGGTGTGAGCACTTGTTTAGGATGGGTTCCTTAACTTGGTCGAACCTACCCCATCGAGTGGAAACTACTTTACCATGCTTGTTAATCTCGTCTCACCTGCCTCTCGTACGTTGTCCTATTATCTCAATAGATCCGGCGGCTGCTGATACTCACGTGTCCCGTGTACCTTAACTACAAGGTGGAAACATCACACTCGCGTCCACAGATCCCTTTACCCACCCCCTCATCTCTCCCAATATGCTCGCTCTCGAAGAACCCTTCGACATCCGAGCCCTTGTGTACGCCGTCAAAGCAGCTCGTCGATACGTTGCTGCCAAAGCCTTCGACGGGTACATCATTGAGGAATATGGATCGAGTCTTAATGCAACCACAGATGAGGAGATTGAGGAATGGATCAGAAACACAGCTTTCACAGTGTTTCACCCTACCTGCACCGTACCGATGGGTAAGAATGGGAGTGCGAGTGGTGCAGGAGACGGTGCACTGCAAGTGGACTTAAGGGTGAAAGGCACGGTCGGATTGAGAGTCGTTGATGCTTCCATCTATGTGAGTCGACTCCGACCATAATGCCCACGCACTACCTGTTGACGCGTGAGGTCCATAGCCGTATATCCCTGCGGCACACACTATGGGTCCGACCTACATCATTGCAGAACGCACGGCGGACCTGATCAAGGCTGCCGACGGCCGCTACAGTACCGAGTAGAATGACTATTCAAGGCCTTCGGTCTTGATGTATTCTCCGTGTAGGTGCAGTTATTATATCTTCTCTTCACCACAAAAGTGCTAGACCTAATTACATCGTAGTGTCTTATGTTCGTGTACTATACAGTGTACGGTCGGGCCGGACGGGGGAGAGCAATTTGTTTATATATCACTGGTTTGCGACTCAGAGGTTGTCGACAGGTACAGCCAGCGTGCCGTAGCCTCCAAGACATAATAAATATATCAATACCTTCAAAGCGTATGACTGTCGGGCATAAAACCATTTAAGTATCGTCTTTACAGGTCCTCGCCACCCGTATTCCGAGTCGCCGGTTCCCGGGCCTCTGAATTCAGGACGTCCGAATCGGGAGATTCCTCTGAAGGACCCAAGCAGAGTTCTCACGCTTTCAACTCCTGCAACCGTGTCGCCACCTCACACGTCTTTCTTTCTTGTACCGTTCGCACAATAAACTTTTCCGGCAACGAAATTCGGTTCTTAAAGAGAAATCCTGACTCACCTCTCCGCGGTCTTCTGAGCAATCAAAAGGCGCCCGCTTGGACGACAATCCGTTCTGAGGCTACATTCATTATTATCGGCCACATAAGGTTACCGCCTTGCTCAGGATGGGCGGTGTCACGTATTGGTGCGTGAAACTGGTGTCAATCTCATGCGAGATTCCTCATTATTTGCCATACATAATATGTTTAGTGCTCGACTGATATGAGACATTAGAACATTTCCTCGTTCGTCGGAGCGCATCGTGAGAGTCATCATCTCAGACTCTCAGGTACACAAGTTCCTGTTGGCACAGGTAGCTACAGGTAGTGAGATTCCATCAGTTCCTTGCGTGCAGCATGTTCAAAAATAGCCGCCACACATATATGTGGTAGGTCGAGTACTGAATGAGGAGCATCCCCACCTATAAACTCCTACAAACCCTTCAGCGTTGCGCCGAAAAGTGTTTATAAATACGAGCCCTATCAGCTTAGCTTGTGTGCTCACTCCCCCGTTTGGTAGCAGCAGCCACGCCCGAGTCTTAAACTGCTTCACACACCATTCTCTGCCCACCACCAGCACTCCGAAGGGCATTGCAACCGTTTGGTCGGTTTGTTGCACTCTTGTTTCTCGTCCGATTAGCTAGCACTTGAAGGAAAGTATGTGATTGGCGGTTCTGATAGAACCTCGAATTGTACTTGTGACGGATGACTCTCGACTCCAGCTCGCTTTCAGGTGCACAATTGCATGATTTTGTCCAGTGTCTGGCTGATCGGAGACTGTCGTTGGTACGTCCTACATTTCTACTGCGGAAATAGTGTATTTCTTCGGTGCACGCGTTGCGGTGTGCAAAGTTCTCCGGCGCGGTGCTCCTTTTGAGCGCTCGTCGAAAGTTTGCAACATTATGTTGACTAGCATTTTCATCATTCGTTCTAGAGCATCTCCGGTGAGCAAATGACCTATGCAGGGTACCGCTCGAACAGCAGTTGATCCTAATGCTCTCACCGGCCGCCGAGCAGTGGCTAGCAGTGCACTCCTTGTGAGTTTCTCCCTTTACATATATACTCGCAAGCTTGTATAAGTAAACCCATCTGCTTATTATGTGGTCATCATATACTTAGTTTTACGACTATACCCTTACGTTGTCAGAAGAGGTACATAGCTCTTCCACATAGGCTACCCCATCGCCGGAAATATAGCTAATACAAGTGGCTTGGGCTGTCGATTATATACTGTAGGTTCGCTTTTTGTGGGTGCCAAAACGACTCAGTGTCGGACGCGTACTGTTCTTCTTGGCTCGATATCCTGCGTTTGCCGGTGCAGTTATTAATTTGTTGCCGGTAAGCCTTTTTCTATTCTGCATTTTTCGGAGCTGATCGAGCTGACTCGATATCCTCTCAGGCGACGGTCACACTAAGCAATGTTCTGACTTGCATACGGCTCATTACGATCAGTTTCGCTGATTGCAAGTTGCTGTTTTGATGCTCTGACAGCATTTCGTGATGCTGATTAGGAGGTGTCCTACATATCACAGTCATTTTCGTAGCGAGAACATGGGCAGTCTGGCAACATGATCGGAGAATATTGATTTTCTACATCTGTCTTACGATTGCGAGTCCTTCATTTTCGCTGCTTCGTGTTTTTCGCTGTGGGTTGGGTCAGCTGAAGCTCGAGTTGTTCTGCTTATAGGCATGCCTTGTTCCAGCCATCTATATCTCACAGAAGGATATTGTCACAACTGTTTGTGAGTTCTCCTTCTTATCTATTAACCTCAAGTGCATTTACTGGTGTTGACGGATTCATGGGCGTTTGTGGCATAGGGGGGCAGTCTGTGACATCCAACCTCCCGGTGATCTCAGTCTCTTGTGAAGTCATGGTCAGTTCGGTCAAAGACGTCTGGGTCGTGCCGTATGCGATTGATATTGTCTACGAATTCAGTGCGCTTCTTATTTCTCACTATCGTATCTCTCCCTTTACGCCGAATGTCCTGCCCAGTCTCGCTAGAGCAAGAGCTGACACCGTTTCCTTGTGATCATTAAGTCACCCTCAGCTTATTGATGTACAAGATCCTAGCGTATTTCCGAGATGTGCCTCTTGAGAACAGACCCCAGCTGTTCCATGTGCTGCGGAGAGATGGCGAGTCTCGTTTATTTCTCACCCACCACACACACTTTCTGTACTTCGTCGATGAGGATGAGGAGCTGACTGGATATGTCTTGCCAGGTATAATGTATTTTATCTTCATGTTCAGTATGTTCTAGGCATAGTCAGTTTCGATGATGGAGGTATAACTGAATCATCTGCAGTGTTTGGAGTGCTTAACATCGCTCTGGTGCTCCAAGTCACGGTGCGTTCCGCCTGTCCTTATGATAATTATTCGATGTACGTATACTTACTGATGTATCATTATCTTTCAGGACCCCTTACTTCGCGTCGCTGGCCCACAGTATGTCTGATGCACGAGATCATTTTTGCTCCAATCTCCTTTCTCCACTTTATTCGGATTGACCGACTACCCGACTTTATCTAGATTACAGACGGTTACCCATAGTATCCTATCAACCCGAACGGTCTTTCATCTTTACTCCTTTTCCTCACAAGACGTCCCCGGCGCTGGAGGCACACATTCACCGACAAGCCGCAAATTCAGCACCATGAAGTTTTGGAACCGGAATGCCAATGCTGGCACGCCTAGTACAGGTGCGAGCGATGAGGCGGCTGCGGAAAGTACGAGTGTTGTTGGGGAGATATTGGGTTCGGACCTAGGAACACCTTTCATGAATGTTCGATCCTCAGGGGATGGTCGGGCGGAGGATGTCGAGATGGGCCAAACAGGAAATGTGACTGGTGGGACAAGAACGGGTAATGATCGATGACACGAAAACCTTGTAAAAGGGATGTCTATTGGGCCTATAAGTTTGACTCGATACTAGTTTGCTGCCCCTCGACGACAGACTCTAGGGAGATAGGGATGGGCTACGAGGGCTTTTGTTATGAGTGTATACCTATTTATGGAGTTATGAAGATTTCAGTCCACAACAGTGATTATTTGAATTGAGAAAAACGTTCTCAAATACTTAAGCCTCGTCGCTTTCTCGAATGATCGCTTGTAAAACTCTGCGTGGTGAGTAGAAACAGTGCCACAGTGGCACCAAGTCGAAGTGGCGTGACCAATATTCTCACGGCACTCGGGGAACGAAATTTGGAGACGGAGGTATAACTTTTGAAGTCGGACGACGACGAGGACGACGAGCAGCACCCTCTCGACAACGCTAACAACACTGACGGCGACGAGAGTCTCTCCTTTACCATGATCCCTCTATCACGCCGAGCAGAGAAGGCTTTACTGTCTTGCTCTCGCCAGGCCCTGCCGCGTCCTGCACGCGTTCTCTACTACACAACACCGTCAAAACCTGTCTTCTCGACGCCCTCAAAACCGGTCAATGCTCCTCCAGATCTCTCGGCGGGGGCACCCTCATCTTCTGATCTTTACCCTGCCTTCATGCCGTCGTCCACGCCGTCTGCGCCAGCGGCCAACGGTGCACCAGACAGAAGCGACATGTCGGCATTCCTGAGGAGACAGCCCACTTTCACTGTTCTTCACCCACCTCTCCCGGACGACGTTGAGAAGGACATGGATCACGAGGAACACTTCATGGACTCTAACACCGCCGACTTGCTCGCCGTCATTGACGCTTGTCTCCACAACCTGCACGACGTTCGTCGCGCGCGCGACATCTTCGAGCGTATGCGCCAACAGAAGCCTGGCGATCCAGCGCTCAGTGTGCGGCTATTCAACCACTTCCTGCTCGCATATATGGACATGGGATACACGAAAGATGTACAAAAGAAGGAGATTTGGGTAGACGATTTCTGGTCGCTCTTTACGGTGTTGGAGAAACGGACTGAGAAGGTCGCGCCGTCAGCGTCGAGTTACGCGTTGGCTCTCTTAGCTTGGCACAGGTGAGTTCATCTTCGTTTCAGGCAGATGGGCCTGCCAAAATGTCTCGTCACTCGTAATTTGACTCACACGACCCGTTTTAACCTTCGACTCCAGATTTTCATCCAAGGAAGACTCTCCCTTCTTTGTCGAGTTCGCCACGAATCACACACCGGCTACCCTCCTCCGTCAAATCGTCGACCGCGAAATCCCTATCTCCATGGTCATCGCTGACAAGGCTTTTACCTCAAGCGAAGAGGCCGAAACTATCATTCACGCCCTCTCCAGAGCTGCCGTAGAGCTCAATCTTTCAAAAGTCGTGACGGAGCTCGGCATGGCGGAGCAGTGGGGCAGCTCGAAATATGATCCACTGGCAGACGTTCCCGAAGTGAAGCCTGTGTTGGTGACGAAAGTGTGTCCTCGTCTCAATCCTAACACCCGGACATCATACTCAATCCCTTCATCGAATTACAGAAAAAGGCTTTGGAAGGTATGCTCGACGGCAAATCAAAGTCGCTAGATGTGGACGAGGAGCAGAACGCCTCCGATACCGAAGTCCCCTTCAACCTCGATATCCTCCGAAAGCATCTTACCAACGTCCAACTCGCCCGTCGTGTCCTCCCCGACGACGTCACCGCACGCCAAAAGCTCCTCGAAGAATCCGTCTACGACGTCGCCGTAGAGCGTCTGAGACGACAGGCCGAGCTCTTTGAGCAGTTGAACTTGACAGACGGGCAGCTCAACCAGTCGGACCTGCAGCACTGGATGTGGAACTGGCACAAAAGGCTGAGGGAGAGGTTGACTCGGGATATCACGGCGGTCTTGGCGGAGGAGGATCGGGTGCCTACTGGTGGTATGTTCTCTTTCATGCACCCTCAACGTAAGGTTTCCACTAACGTTCCTGATTTCAGCGAGGCCAAAAGGATATGCGGACGCCTTTAGCCGTCTAGGTCCTTTCCTGAGCCTCCTCAAGCCCGAGAAACTCTCTCTTATAGTTATTCTTGAGGTCATGCGTCTTCAATCTTCCGGTGGAATCTCCGGCGGCATGAAGACGACTCGCGCTCTCCTATCCGTCGGTATGGCCGTTGAGCACGAGTACAAGGCCGAGATGTGCAAGAAGAACAAAATTCAAATGCCCACTGTCGGCACCCGCGAAACGTCTGGCTTCTTCTCCAAGTTCTCCTACAACGACCTGCACGCGCGTCGCGTCACTGCACGCCGGTACATGGAAGACGGAGAGGAATGGACGTCTCAGTGGACGCAGCCCGTTCGTATCAAGGTCGGTAGCTTCCTCGTCGATCGTTTGATGGAGTGCGCCATGGTCGAACGGACGGCTCCGGATCCAAAGAATCCGGGAAATATCTTGCGGGAGGAGCAGCCGGCCTTCTTCCATTCGTATGAATATATCAGAGGAAATAAGTTGGGCGTGTTGAAGTTGAACCAGGTGGTACAGGAGAAGTTGGGGAGGGATGGCGTGAGGGAGACGTTGCATCCGCGTCACTTGCCAATGTTGGTGAAGCCGAAGCCATGGTTAAACTACAACGACGGTGGTTATATCTATAACAAATGTTCGTATCCATTGCTTTCCAACCACACCGCAGAATCCGTACTGATGACAGTGCTTTCTTTCGTTCAGCCCTCGTCATGCGGTTCAAGGAGTCTAAGGAACAGGAGACGTATCTCAAGCACGCCTCAGGGGTGGGCAACGTCGAACTTGTCTACGCAGGTCTCGACGTACTCGGATCTACGCCTTGGAAAATCAACCGAGGTGTCTTCGATGTCGTTCTCGAAGTTTGGAACTCTGGCAAGGGGCTGTGCAAGGTCCCTTCAGCGGCCTTTGAAGAGCCAGAACCGGAGAGGCCAGCGAACATGGAGGTCGACCAGAACGGGAGAACGATCTATCTTACGCGTCTCCGTGCTTGGACGCAAGCCAAGGCGAATCACCACTCGGATCGATGCAGTGTCAACTATAAGATTGAGATTGCTCGTGCTGTAAGTGACACCGACAGTCCATTCACTTTTTTCATGGCCATTGTTGATATTGGTTGTATCGTAGTTCATCGGCGATACCTTCTACCTCCCACACAACCTGGACTTCCGTGGCCGAGCATACCCCCTTCCACCGCATCTGAACCACATCGGTAACGATCTCTCCCGTGGCCTTCTTCTCTTCGGCGAGTCCAAGCCTCTCGGAGCTCGCGGCTTGCGCTGGCTCAAGATCCACTTGGCGAACTTGTACGGATACGACAAAGCCACCTTCGACGAGCGTGTCGAATTCGTCCATGAACGACTTGACGAGATCTACGACAGCGCAGATAACCCGCTTACCGGCCGTCGTTGGTGGATACAGGCCGACGATCCTTGGCAGTGTCTCGCGACTTGCAAGGAGTTGAAGGCCGCGCTCACTTCGCCGGAACCTGAGGCGTATGAGTGTTCGCTCCCGGTACATCAGGATGGTACTTGTAACGGGTTGCAGCATTATGCTGCACTTGGTGGTGATGCTGCCGGTGCTCGTCAGGTCAACCTCGATGTTGCGGATCGACCTTCGGATGTGTACACGTATGTGGCGAATATGGTGGAGGATTTGTTGAAGGCGGATGTTGTTGCTGGGAACAGGTTTGCGCAGATGTTGTCAGGCAGAGTAGCTAGGAAGGTGGTCAAACAGACGGTAGGTTCCTCTCCCGTTCGCTACTTCTTACATGGATGATGCTGAACATACTGGGGGTGTCGCTTCAATACAGGTCATGACAACTGTGTATGGTGTGACGTTCATCGGGGCAAGAGAACAGATCGAGAAGCAGTTGAAAGATAGCCCGTACGTACCCAAAGAGGACGCATACATGGCTGCTGCCTACCTCGCCAAGAAGGTACGCCTTTTCTCATACGTATGCCCGCTCATATGATCAACCTTACGATGATATCCTCTCCCTCAGGTGATGCTCGCCATCGGTGATCTCTTCTCCGGCGCTCAGTCCATCATGAACTGGCTTACCCTCTCCGCCCGCCTCATCGCCAAATCCGTCCCGGAAGACCGACTGAACGCCGCCATGCAACCCTACGAGCCCAAATTCAAATCGAAGAAGAATGCCGCGGTGGCCACCAGGCTGCAGAAGGAGCAGATGACTTCCGTTGTTTGGACGACACCGCTGGGATTGCCTATCGTACAGCCTTACAGGAAGATCAAGCGAAAGCAGATCATGACGAGCTTGCAGACGGTGTTCATCTCGGATCCGAATGTTCCTGCTAGTGGTAGGTAGCCGTTTCGTGCCCCGGTCTTGAACATGAACTGATGCCAGTTCTACGTTGGTTTCAGTTGATTCGAACAAGCAGGCCACTGCGTTCCCTCCGAATTTCATCCATAGTCTGGACGCCACCCACATGCTGTTGACCGCTCTTGAATGCCGGGTACGTATTTCTTCCTCTTCCCACTGCGGGCATGTCAGCTGACATCCAGTTCAACGTTCATAGACCCAAGGACTCGCTTTCGCCTCCGTCCACGACTCTTACTGGACTCACCCCTGCGACATCGACCAAATGTCAGGCATCATCCGGGACACCTTCATCGCCCTGCACTCTTCCGACGTCCTCGCCCGTCTCGACACCGAATTCCGCGAACGCTACAAAGGCTACAAAGTCCCTGTGATTTCCCTTCGTACCATGCAGATGATGAAGTCGCTCGGTATCAGCGATAACACGTCTGATGCGCTCGCTGCTATCGAGGGCGCTGACGAGGATGAGTTGGCTGGGAAGGCGGCGGCGACGTTCAAGGTGGGCGTGCAGCCAACCGCTGCTGCTGCGTTGACGTCGAAGGGGACGTCGAAGAGACGCAGGAAGGCGGCGGCGGCTGAGGAGGAGGATGAGGAGGCAGAAGAGGCCGAAGAGGCATTGATGGATGCGGATGAAGATGTGGACGAATCTGAGGACCCGTCTGTCGAGCTCGGAGGGTCGGAGAATGGGGAGCACGCCTTCGCCGCTGGATCGGACCCTGCGTCGTCGACGGCGATGTCCAAAGCCGACCTGAAGAAGCTGATCGCGCCGGGAAGCGGTGGGAAGCGGAAAGGACGAAATACGTTGTCTGAGAATCAGGCTTTGGCGGCGGCTGGGGAGAAGAAGAGAAAGGAGATGGGCATTGCTTCGTTCGAGGGGAAGTTTGTGGACCTGACGGCGTTGTTGCCGCCGTTGCCGAAGAAGGGAGAGTTTGATGTGAGCAAGATCAAGAGTTCGCTTTATTTCTTCTCGTAAGCGGAGAACTCTCCGCTCTTCGTCGGCTTCCCTTTGCTGGGTCTTGCATTGCGTGGCTTTGCTACCAATTCTTCATTTCATATACTCGCTCCTGCTGTTTCTTTTGTCGTTGACCCATCCATCTGTTCATCGTGCTTTCTCGCTACCCTACGTTACGCATGCATAGCCCCCCTCGTCCATAGCTCGTCTCTCGTCAGTCACTTACTCTGCCGCCCATCGAACCACACCAACCTCGACCATGGTCTCTTTTATTGTATCTACCTACCGTACATGCATCTTTTCCACTTACTCGATCGTCGCACCGGCTCCTACGCAACGCAAGCCCCCTCTCACGCACACATCGCACAACACGCTTAGTACTAATCCCCCTTCTGCTCGACTTATTGTATTTTTCGCCCTATTCGTTTCTTTCTTTTTGCGCTGTCCTCCGTGGGCCTGCACCCACCTCGTCCATCTTCAGGCTGCTCTGCGGTAAGTGCGGTTGCTTTGCTTTGATTGTCTGTCGACATAGTAGATATAGTTACGCTTTCATGCATACGGTGCTTGGCTTGGAATAGACAGCATTTGCATGGTTGGGTTTACTCCTCCACTCTTACTCAATGCCAAACAAGTGCATGGCCGAACTTATGCAATACAGTATGAACTTGCGTGCACGCGTGCATACTCGGACAGATGTTTTCCACACGAACAAACTAGCATGAGATCAAAGAAAATCCTCCGTCTATTTTGTTCCACCGACAACACCAAACATTACAACATCACGCCTCACCCGCCCCCACTCTACTAGTGGTGGTGCTCCTCGACCTCATCGGCCTCCAAGAACGTCAAGAAAGCCTCAGCACCACTGGGGACGGCAGAGGCACCTGTGGGGGCGACGTCGGCGGAAGCTTTGGTAGGCTCGGATGCGTCGAAGGCGGAGAGTTCGGAGGCGAGGTCGGAGGGGAGGGTGGGGACTTGGGGAGCCGCGGGGGCGGAGTAGGACTTTACAGTGCCGACGTGGGCATCTTTGGCCTGTGTGGATACATACGCATGAGATATGAACATATAAACGATTAGGATGTGGTGAAAGGGGTGTGTTGTGAACGAGAATATGTTCGTGCATTCGTCGGGTCGTCGGTTCGGAGAAGGGTACGTACGGCAGGGGGAGCTTTGTAGCCCTTGAGCTCTTTAATGTAAAGGTCCTGGACGAGGTCTATAAAGATCCGAACGAAAAGTCAGAGGACCGTCCTTGATAATCATACTGCGAACCCGGTTTCTGTCGAACAGTCGAGACTGACCTCTACGGGTGACAGCAGAGCTCGCGAAGGAGCGTGCGCGCGACGCGGTGCGGGTCTAAACACAGACAATTCAAATTTCTGTCAATATCGAGCTACCGTCAGATATGATGCTGCAAGAACGGCACGCACGGCGCTGGCGACCTGCCTGAGGATCGTGGACGACATGGAGGAATGAGTGCAAAACGCGTGACGACGAAGTGACGAGTGACGCCGCCGACCGCTCCCGATGGGCCGTCACATGGTCACGGTCGGGAACGCCCAGCCGCGCCTCGCCGAATGTTGGCGTAGCTGCCGTCACTCCTCTGCGGTATATCAGCCCCTCTGCAACGCGTCTGTCTTCCCCACAACATCCACCACGTTCAACATGCTTTCCAGCGTTGCTCCCCGTCGTATTTCTGCTATCACTTTCGGTGCTAAGCGCTTCACCAGTAGCTTCAAGGAGGGGTCTACTGCGTCGAGCAAGGAGTTCGGGTGCGTACAATGTTTGGTGCTTTTACTTCCGGGTTGCGATGATTGACCTTCTGTGTTTTCGTATTTGACTTGGACTTATAGTAAGAAGGAGAAGGCTCATGAAGGTATGTTCTCTTGTCTCATGAGGTCCGAAAGATTTGCCAACTCGGAGGATCATCAGACCAGTACATCCACCAGCACGAAGCTGAGAAGCTCAAGAAGTTGAGGGCAGAGGTACGCTTTGATGCCGTGACCTGCATCATCGTCCAAGTATAACTTACCAATCTTGTGAACTGTAGTTCGAAGCCAAGAAGGCTGAGCTCGTATGTCATGGTCTCATGTTTGTCGAGCTGTATATCCTCATTCCTCTTCTCACTTGTAGGAGGCGCAAGAGAAGAAGGTCTCTGAAAAGAAGTAAACTGTACGGCTTTGTCCTCGTCATCTCTTCTTCTTTCGTGCTGAAAGGTCTGGTGAGTACTTTACTTTCCCACCTGAGCATCGTCATAACATCTCGATTGACTAGAATCTTCGCATCGCTCGCCCTCCAGCAGCAGATTCTATCATGTATTGTCCCTTGCAATAAACTTTCGCATATCTGCAAACACTCATCCTCTGGTGTATCACCGGCCCTTGAGCGGTTTCGACGTCTCATCCATATCAATGACAAGACGAGGCAATACGACAGTCGACATCCGCCGCCGCTCACATTAAGTCAACCACGGGATGGCCAAAGCTCCTCCTCGACACTCTTGCCTGAGCCCATGCGAGAGTAAGTGTTACCCATCAACTGCCATTGAGGTCAGAATTGAGGCCAGAACGACGCTTGTCCGTCTGCTCATTTCTTAGGGGCTGTTAACATTGGGCTGGCGTCGCCGTCCATTAACACCATTCCAGCGGCTCTCATTTCTTACACGATATATACCGCGGAGTAGTTGTGGGCCTTGTTGGCCCTTGAGCGGGCTTGTTTGCGCAAAGAAAGAACACGCTGGCACTAATATCTGATAATTATCTCGTCGGCGATATGCGCTCTTTCATCATACGTGATGAGTCTGAATGCCCGAGTCTGGAATCATTGAACCTACCAATGCGCCGCCATGGTCATCACCCATTAGCGAACGCCTGAACAAGACCACAATGTGTCACTTGTTTCAGCCGGATTTGGAACTGTGCGTGTCAAGTTGTCCGAAATCCGGGACCTCTGAATCATGATCAGCACCTCGAGCCGTGGTCCGACCACGGGTCCTTGGCGCTGCGTATAAGTTCGAAAGTTGAAACAGCAATGAGCGCCCAGGTGCTGGATGAGAAGTCTGCAGTACAGCGAGTAATATCGCGCGAAGGCTGTTACGACAACATCGGGCAAGCCACAAATAACATCTATACAACCGCTGTCTTCGCCTCGGCGCAGAGCCTACACACTAGTCCAGCAAGTCTACATACTACGACCTCCGATAATCATAATCATAATCATCCTCACCCTCACCCTCCATCTCCTCATCCTCATCCTTCCAATCCAACCTCCCACTCTCCGCCGCCCCCCTCCCCTTATCCCTCCTCCTCCTCCTCAACCTATCCACCTCCCTCAACGCCGCTCCGAACTCCCTATCCCCCGGCATCCTCTTACTCCCCAACCACCCCTCCAACCACACCAACAGCACCCCATACGGCGATGCTGCCCTTCTGCCCCCTACACCAATCCCACCAACTCCCACACCTCCCACTCCCAAAATCGACGCCGAGCCGCTACCGGTCAACCCCCCATTCGACGCACTAAACGCCTCAATCAGCGGCGCCCTCAAACTGATCTCGGACCAATAAACCAGTGCGAGCGCGATCGTCCGTTTCGTGGGTGTCACGTCGAGCTCACGCATCCACGCGAGTGCGAGTGGGATTTCGGAGGCGAGCTCGAAGGAGCCGAGGAGGAGAATGTAGGCGTTGAAGGCGCGGGCAGAGGGGAGGATTGAGGGGTGCGAGGTGCGGAGGAGGGGCGTTAGGTTTGTTCCCGGACTTTTTTGGGAACTGGGGAACAGGGAGGGGGGAGGGATATAGATGCCGTTGGGATTGTTTGGGGCCGTGTTGGGGATGGGCTGGCGAGAGGGGAGGAAGGTGCGTTTGAGGTCGAGGAGGGGGCTGTTGCCGATATCGTTCCTTGATCGTCGGATGCTCTGGGCGGGTGACTGGACGGAGTAGAGTTCCGGGTGGTTGGTGAAGAGGATACGACGGAAGATGGAGCGGGCGAGACGGTAGGCTTGTTGGGAGGACCAGGTGTCGGTGGGTACGACCGAAGGGTGGAGAAGTGATAGGAGGCCCTCGTACGCGTCTTGACGGGCGGAGATGAGAGACCTCGCAGTAGTTTGTTCAGGCGGATGGGGTGGATTGTTGGCGGCATCAAAATCGTCGGTAGAGCTAGAGGTGTTGGAAGAGCGAAATGGATTCCAAGCCCGCATGTCCATCCGCATCTCGCGTATAGCCCCAGAGATAGTCTCGAACGACGCCGACGCTTCGCGAGCTGCGATAATGAGCGCCGTAAGGGTCTCACCGTCCGGTTTCGTCCCATACAGAAGCTCCATATTCTCCCAAAGGTACCATACGATGTCTGGCCGGCCACAATACGTGACGAGACCCGCCATAAGTTTTGTCATAACAGAAGCGGGCAAGGTCCGTTCAGGCGTGAATATGCTCCTCTGCGACTCAAGACGCTTCGGTGTCGGCATCGCGCCAGCGCAAGCGGCCTGATAAGCTTCTTCGACAAGCTGAAGAGCTTCCTCGACAAGACCATTTCGAGTGAGGACCCGAATACCGATAATTAGGGAGGGTCGATCGAGCCAAAGGTCACTCTGTCGGTATTCTTTCCAGAGAGTATAAGCTTGTCCTGGCGACCGGCGATGGAGAAGCCCATTGATGACTATGGTGTAGAATAGGGGTTTACGCCACCGAAAACCTTGTGGAAATTGTTCAGGGTAGCGGAAGTGAGAGATCAAGGCTGCGCTGTTGATATACCTGTCGCGAGATATAGCGTAGAGACGAGCGGCCCATTGAGCGGGGTCGAATCGCTTGCGGGAGTGTGCGTGGGGACCAATGCCGTGGTTTAGGTTCTGGCGCTCGGCAGGATGCCGGATGGTGTTCGTGTCCCGGACGAGCTTTTCGAGATATACGAAGGCGGCAGGAAAGTCGTGAACATGTGATGGTGGGGAACGTTTGGCAGAAGAAGCAGCAGGTTTGTCGAGCCGGTTAAGCATGATACGGACAGCTTCGACGTAAGTGTTGACGTGGTGGATTTTTCCTTGCCGGGCGTAAATGCGTGCATAGGCCTCGAGTTGCTTCACGTCCGGGACCTTTCCCTCCCGAAGCGTCCGTGCTTGGAGCGCATTCGTAAGATGCATCGTTATGTACCTATTCGACAGCAAGATGCGATATGTCTCGTGCGACAGAGCCATTTCGCGGTTCTCTAGGGCCTCGAGGATCCTCACGCACAGACGGCTGATATGGAGTCCACTTTCGGGCGTTGTGCAGTAGCTCGAGAGGACTTGAAGGAGAAGGTTTATGTGGAAAGATTCGTGGAAGATGGGGAGAGCGAGGAATATGGCGACGAGATCTTTGACGGGGTTGAACAGGCCATGGGAGAGGAGGACGTGGGCGGAGACGAGCAAGATGGGGGCATGGCGCTCAGGTGAGGCATGCGGAAGGTGTTGGAGGATGAGATCCCATGCTCTCGCAGCGTGGGTGGCCGTACGGACTTTGCGGTATATGAGGCGTAGAATGAGCCAGGTAGGCACCGTCGCTTGTGGTGAAGCACCATCGTCCTGAATGGCAACAGCTTGACTGTTTGCTTGCTCGGTTGGGGTCGGCAGGGATCTATCGTGCTCAATCAAAAGCAGATTGGATTCTGAGACGGGTCGGAGAAGCTGGAGTGCAAAGTCGAACTGGACATCGCGAGGCATAACTGGAGTCCATCGACGAGCTTCCTCGATAGATACGCCTGTCTTTCTCAAAAGACGAGGGGCAGGCTCTACACTTTGGTGCAGTCGTACAAGAAGCCATATTTCGTCCTTGGATTGCTGGTAGAGAGTTCGGATAAGAGTGCTAAGGCGTTGGTGTGTGACGCGAGTGTTTCCTGAGTATGTTTTTGTAAATTGCTCGACGGGGACGATGCGTCGTAGCCTGTGCTTCATACGAAGCTGTCATCTAGTTTCAGTTGCAGAATCTGTCAGACTTTGGAAGATGTAGACGAAAAGAAACATACCTGGCACCCAACCCGTTCTCTGCTCAGAAAGTTGTCGCAAAGTGAGAACGCGGAGTGGACGTGCCGGGCAGCCGCTCGCGCCACGCGAGGGGACAAAGTAGCACAAACAAGATAAAGGGGGATGTCGCGCGTCGCCGCCCTTTTCCTCTCTTCATTGTCGACCACGACGACGTCCACCGAGTAGACACTAGTACTGACTCGCAGGAGCAAAAATGCCTCGAATTCTTTTTGTTAGCGGTTTCCACCCTTCCACTCGCGCCCGTGATCTCGCCTACGAATTCGAACGGTCTGTACCCTTTCTCTTGACATTTTGGCTCGCCCAGTTTCAGTTTCGCTGACTCGCCGCCCTTTGATTCCCCAACAGATTTGGTCCGCTCATTCGCTGCGACGTTCCCGCACCTCGTAACCCGCACGCCCATTCGAACCCGTAAGTTAAACTTGTCCGAACTCGTTCTATCTTTTGCACTCCGCAGTCGCCGAATGTCGAGTCCCGAGACGAGCGAACGAGCCCACCCTTCGATCTCGAACGAAACGACGATTTTGCGCACAAATGCGGATGAAAAAAGAAACGTCTCCTCCATTTCTCGGTTCGACGGGCGCACCGAGCCACGCGAGCCACTCGTTTCCTTGCCTTTGACCGTGCAACCCGTCTTGACTCGCGCTCTGCACATCCGAGCCTCGCGATATACGTGTGACGATAGCACCCTCGCTTCGCTTTCCCGATACCTCCCATTTGGATTCCCGGACGAATTGTCGCTCAACCATCCTCATCTCGATCTCAATACGCAGTTACGCTTTCGTCGAATTCCGCTCCAACCGCGATGCCGAAGATGCATACTACGACATGTATGTCCCTGTTGTAAATCACATAGTCCACCGATAAATCACTTATGGTCTATCGTAGGCACGGACGCAATTTCGAAGGAAACCGTCTAAGCATCCAGGTTAGTCACTATTCAAAGCTCATCAAACCAAAGAGTGCAATCTCTGATGCATGATCCCATCATCATGAAGTGGGCTAAAAATCCTCCGTCATCCGTCTGGCGCTACGACCGTCGCTCGTCTCCTTCCGGCCACCGTCGCGAGCGGTCTCGCAGCCCCCGTCGTCCCCGCCGCGACGACCGTGACGACCGCGAGAGGGAGCGTGAGCCCCGCAGGAGAAGCAGGAGTCCCGACCGCAAGAGGAGGAGCCCTACCCCTGAGAAGAGAGACGACAGGGACCGTGAGAGGGAGAGGGAGCGGGAGAGGGTTGAGAGGGGGAGGACACCCCCTTTGGATGATATCAAAAAGGACGAGGATGGTGCCAGGACGCCTCCCTACGAGGAGCGCTGAGCACTTGACATACCTCCTTCCCGAAGGCAATTATTCTCGTTGATTCCTTCCTTCCTCCTTTCATCTTCGCCCAAAAATAGTTCCGCTTTCGTTCGTTTCTGTCTCGGCATGCGCATGTATATCATCCGTGTCTTCTGTTTTGCTCTATGTTCTATCTTTTCTGTTTCGTTTCTGTTAGCACTGGATGTGGCACTTTGTTGATATCTTGATCTTCGTGTATAGTCGTTGAAGAAAGAAATTTGATAAAGGACCTCTAGGCGCTTCTTTTCTCGTCCTCGCTTTGCTCGGCCCTGGTCTGTGGCCCAGCATCTACCTTATTTCCACCACAGATTGTTGAATCGAAACTGCAAGTTACAAATGGGCGCGCCAAAGGATGCTGCGAGCGGCAAAGAAGAATTCTACGTCATTCGTGTTCAGTAGCACGATGATAAGCTATGTACAGGAAAGAGCCAGTCCGTTCAGGGAAACAGCAAGAGAATCGTAAACACTCCAAGAGTCCATATATCCTATCATCGTCTCCTTCAACTTCTTCCCCCTTCCCAGTCATCAAAAATCTCTCCCCGATTCATGTGTATTTACTGTTTCAGACGAACCTCGAGATCCAGAGTCCAAGATTCAAAAAATTCAAGCCACCCAAGGGATGAACCTCCACTTCGTCCTCTCCGCCCACTCCTCCCACTCCTTCCCAAACTCCTCCTTCAACATCTTGTCCTCCTTCTCTGCCCTCATGAACACCAACGCCGAGTATACCAGGATGACCGTCCAGAGCAATGCGACGAGCTTGCCGAAGTAGGTTTGCTGCATCAGCGAGGAGTCGGTCCAGTAAGTTCCGGGGGAGAGGTGATAGATGGACATTCCTATGGCAAGGATTGCGCAGCCGGCTATAATGGCAAACAGGACGCACCGAGGATTGTGAATTAATCAACAAATGAGTTTGTGCAAGACGGAGTGGTAACGCACTGTAACTAGGATGCCTAACAATCGAATAAGGCCCGCTCGTGACGAGCCTGTGCTTCTCCCGGATCGTAAGCTCGTAGGTGAACAACCTCCCCAGCTCACGATAACAAGCCATTCTGATCGCCCCGCCGATCCAGACCGAGATCATACCGATCCACATTTGGATTGAGGTCGGGATGCCAATTGAATCCGGGGACATACAGACGGCATGTTGGCCGAGTTGGTGGACTGTCGTGGGGCAGAGGAAATGGAGGATGTAGGTGGATGCGGTGCTTGGGTAAGATTGTGCGAGGATGACGGTGGATTCGAGGATGGCGAAGGAAGTGACGAGGAACTGAAGCGTCCCGGAAGACGTTAGCGACAGCAATTATACTTAATTAAGGGAAGTATATTATATTACATACCCGAGCAGAGAAAGGGATGAACCGGATGAGCCCCTCGAGAACCCCGACTCCACTCGTCACCGAGGTCTTCAATGCCTTCGACCGTTCAGCTGGCGGTGGAGGTGGATTCGGAGGCGTCAAACCAATGCAATATAGAACAGAGGTAACCAGAGTTAGAGAAACGCGTAAGAGAGGATACATTGTGAGGGAGTGTCGGGGTGTTGGTCAGTGGGATAGTAGATACAGGGTGCAGATGATCTGCGGACGCAGGCGATGCCAGCAGGAGAAAAGATGGACGAGAGCTGTTATATACACTGGCAGATACTTCTTCGCGTGTGGACCGCTAGACCCCGCAGTCTTTTCTCATCGGCCAAAAGGATGGTACGAGATAGAATCTCGGGTAAAGAGGAGGCGTTGAAGAAAGTGATTCCGATGTGGTCACCGCGGATTGTCTGCCAGCCTTAGTCGCCGGCCGAGGCCTTAGAAAGAAGTACCCATCAAGTTTAGGCACCAGCATCTGATGTTCTTCTCAGGGAAAGTCCTCCTGAGAAGACGAATGATGACACCTCCATAGGCCAGAAGCGTTAGTCGAGCGAATGTCGGGAAGGAGTGCCCATGAGGTTTCGGACGTCCCGCAGAGCCATGGATTATATTTCATATTGCAGCGATACGGTCGCCATCTTCAACATCACGAAGAGCGCCGTAACATGCCTGAATGATTGACAAAAGAAAGTCAGCAGACGTTAGCATGCTGATGTGGATGGTGAGAAAGCTTTTGGGTGGACAGGGGCACAATTTACGACACGCGGGCGGAGACCATTTGAACCCCGGGGCTATGCTGAGCCGACCCTGCCTGTGTGGCGTATGCGCTTCTATGACTAATGTAATTGAAAGGTGGCCCGTGTATCTGATAGAGACTGTTCTCGCAGAACTTTCGTGTGTCCGCGAGTCCTGATTGAGTATCTTCAAGAGACTTCTGTGGTTTCGTGACGTATACTTGACATAGTCTAGGAGCCGTGGATGGCGGGTCAAAATAGGCCTTCATGAACCGGGTGGATTGATCAGTAGTTGTATAGAGCAGAAGACTCATAAAATGTGTAGATGAAAGAGATACACATCGTACCGTTGAATGTTGACCGTCAACAAGGGACGACAAAGGGATGTCGCGCACGGCCACGATTTTCCCATGTCGGGATTAGAAATGTTCCACTGGTCTTCTATAAGGACGGTCATCGAAAAACATGTTATGACCTGTTATGACATCTAGAGAAAGCGTGGATCTGTTTCCCGTAAACCAATTTGGTAACATAAGTTAGAGTTGAATCATTGAATCAGAACTCACCTGCTGCCTGCGTGCACCGACACATGACGGGTGGCGGTGGCACTGCGTCATTGTAAGCACAAACGGGAAAGTCCCCACTCATCGGCCCCAAAACAAACCTTAGATGGGACAGACAGTCGAGATACTTTCTGTCTGGATGTACAATGCATACGAACAACGTTCAACAATCCAAATTCAAACCCTGGCAGTGGCACCACCACGTCGAACGGCGAACTAAGTTCAACCAAAGCCGGGAAGATCCGGAGATCGGGACAACATTTCCAATTGGGAATAACCATTCTCAAGGCCGCGACGATTGTGTGGCGGCTTTGCTTGCACAAAGCGCAGACGCTAGGGTCAAGTCAATTCGATGGCTGGGCCCTGAAAACGACAACGAGGCAGTAAGTAAGCGTGGAGCTCGATATCAGATTTGTGATTTTCTCACGGTGGTCGAAACCGGATATGGTGGCGCATGCGGAGAATAGTACGGCGGCATGGCGACAAGACGCCTATTTTTGCAGCTTATGAGTACAAGGCGTTGGTAGATAATATCCATTCATCCTGAATAGGCGATGAGCTGGGTGTCGTGTGACAACTGCCCAGCCGCGAAGCTTTTGACCGTAGACAATTACGCCAGAAATACTCTAGGGAGACTAGGGGATGGCCAGGAGCATCGCCAACAACGGTTGTCAGCACATCTATCATGGCTATATGGTGAAAGGACTAGGACTTACATTGATGAAAGGGGCGAGCGAGACTTCATTTATGCCCATCGGTCGGAAGCCACGCAGGAGAGCAAAGTTGCGTCGGAGCCCCTTCGACATACAGTTATGAGAGATATCACCGCCACCATCCATCCATCCATTCACACTGAATGCCTGAAGGCTCCGCTCAGTGCTCAGATTTCTTCTACTAGACGCCCACCCCTCCCGAACTCCGACATAATGTCTTGTGAAAGCGCTGGGTTGGAGGCAGTTCGCAGTCAGTAGGCGCATCGGCCCAATGGTTTTAAAGGAGAGTGTAGCGGTACGAACGGTGATTCAAGATACGGTGGCCATGGGAGATACACTGGATGAAAATAGACGGGCACCGGTGAACGAGGCCAGGCGGATAACGCTTGATGATGCACGGAATAACCAGAGGTAACCTATAATGTCGGTAGTCTAAAGGAATTAGAACAGAACAGTCGACAGAGGGCGCAGAGGACATCCACATGAGTGACAATTTCGGGGGAATACAACGGAATGGGTCCAAGGCCGCGATTCCGCTCAGTAAATTTTGCGCCAACAGCCAGCCAGCGAGCCGCTCTCGGAAGTGTTCACCCAGTTGTTGGAGACGATGACGAGCATGACCGCCCATGATCATGTACCAGCACTTGAGCTAGGAACTCGCGCTCAAGACAATGTTAGTGAGAGATAGATTCAGCGCCAGGGGTCAGACAACCAGCGCCACACAGATCGCAAAATATAGCAGGCTAGGGTAATCGAATGAAGGTTGCCCTCACTGTTCCAAGGCGGTCGGATGAGATAGAAAGTAAACCAATTTGTTACAGTTGGACAGCTAGCTGTTCCTATACACAGCGATCATCATTCCCCGGTAAATTAAGAAATATCCTGCTCCAAACAGATGTAGCACAAAATCAGCTGCCTAAACGGGATCGTAAACGCATAGCAGCCTACCTCTAGGAGGTACATACTGCAAGAAACACTCCACATGAAACAAGAACAGCTTCCAGTCGATATCTAGAATCATCCTCGCAGACTGTTGGATCTTGACGATCTCTCTCGCCTCTCATGCCCTGATTTAGCACCGGTGCAAAAGATACCAAAGCGACGGAGTGGACGACTCGGAAGCCTGACGACAGGAAGCTCTTCATTCTCGTCCTGTTCATTCTCGTCGCCACCGTCATTACCGTCCTCGGGGTCCGGCCAGCGAGTCCTCGGGTTACGAGTACGCGCATACGGCCGTGAGTCATGGCGTCGCTCAGAACGCTGCGTAGAGCGACCCCGAGGTGGAGAAGGTGACGGGGCACGGTACTCCCATGGGAGATGTGCTGGAGCTATAAGAAAAATCAAGATGGTGTGTCAGGAGCAAGCCGGTAGAAACCGCAGCGGTGATACGAAACGAGAACAAAGGTCGATTCTCACGGGGCATCAGTTCCGCTGGCGCTCGTGATGACGGTGTGCGTTTCGTTTGGTCGAGTACGGCCTCTGTTGTGGACACCGGTGTTGGCGGTGGCGGAGGCCATATCGAAGCCGACACTGAGGCTCCCATAATCGGAGATGAAGGTTCAGAAGAGCTACTGCATCTACGGATTATAAGCCACGAGTCGAGAGCCAGGAGCAGTTTGTTCGCACGATCTGTGCGCAACGAACAAGGCAGAGTCAGCGACAAGAGCATTTTTGGAAACGCGGGATCTCCGTAGACTGGAGCTGCGTTGAGCCGGAGAAACGCCTCCTACCTTTGCGATCAACGATGTCACGGTGGCGCTCTTTGAGGACTCGTAAAATGGCAAAATATTCAGATTTAAGAGGCTGCAGTGGCGGAGAACACGAGGTGAAGGTATGCAGCTTCACACCCGCACGGACGAGCGTGCCGCGAGCGATCTTACGAGTTTTCGAAACGCGGCACATTAGTGATGGCCGCCACTATGTAAGAAATTGTGGAGGAAAGAATATTTACCTCCACCAGAGTGATTATCTGCGGGGATAGGAGGTGTCAGACGGTACGCAGAATATATATTGTAGTGAGAAAACCAACCTTGCGTATTTGTTGTTGGAAGAGTTCAGACGACATACTGCGGATGCTTGCTAATAAGGATCGAGCAGCATCGAGAAAGGATTTCAAGGACCCGAGGCTCTTCGCGAGCTCGGTGGCCTCTGTGGTCAAATCAGCCGGGCACGAAAAAGACATTTGAAGGGAAGGAAAGTAGTGGAAAGGGGAGAGGTAGAGAGAGGGGTGATGAAGGAGCGAATGGAGGCGGGAAAACAAGGCGATGGCAACTGCCACTGTGGTGCGCTAATAACGTGTCCATCCATGATAAAACACAGTGTTGCTGGGCCAGCCGCACGGACCTGCCATGCGCGGTAAGTTCCGGAGTATTCTCGAGCCCCAGCTCGCTGCAGGTGCCCATCGGAGTCAATCCTGTGGCGTTGCCTCCCAAGCCGTACATCCCCTTCAATCCCTCTATCAGCCCTTGACCTGGCTTGGGCCACCCATTCGCCCATTTTTGCAACGTTTCTCCCCGTCCAGCGTCCCCGGCGCGCCAGTGGGTGCCAACGCAGACCGTTCAAGCTAACCCGAAGCATCGTGTTGACTTGATCAACCGGCTCGGCGCCACCGAAGGACCCTTTTTTGACGGAGTCAATTCCGGCAAGAGCGGCCGCACGTTCAGAACAATGCTCCGAATTTGAAATGTGCGCCGAGTCCCGCCGGGACCCTGCCACAACACAATCAACATTCTGGACACGAGGCTGCGACCTTCCCTTCATGCCCAGTGAGGTTCCCATCTACGATAGTCTACCAGAAGGCCTTTGTAGATAGTTGTAGTGTGATTTTCCACTTTGAACTAGGAATATCTACAGTTAGCTCAGAATATGATGGCTCTGTATCAGTTGAACTGTTCGACATATGGATCAGCTAGTATAATCTACGCATGTCTACATCTAGTTCGGGCAAGTCCTTCTACAATAGGTCGTACTACCATTGCCTACGAGAGTCTGGATATATCTACAAAGGACTTCAAACATCTAGAGAAGCATCAGAGTGGCCAGATGCTTCTACCACAATCTACTGAGATCTAGATTTACTACTCGACCATCTACACAGATCTACACTTCTTTTGGCATCAGATGAATTGTCTACAGGGATCTACATTTATCTAGGTAATTCTAGGGATACATCAGGGTGGTTAGACATTTCTATCACTATCTACAGGGATCTACGTTTACTGCTTTGCCGTCTACACAGATCTGCACAATTTAGTGAGCAGTACGGGTACCTCGCGGGTGCCCAGAGACTGACCCACACCCGTACGCGTTACCCGCACCCTTGCCTACGGATACAGATGTCAGTAATAATTTAATATCTTATGTGTCAATTGATAAATCTGAGGTTAAACCTACCGATTCATATTGCCGTTCTCAATTGTAGTGAGCCAATAGCGTTCGAAAAAAGTGCGGAGGTGATGAAGGTGGTGAATGGGATTCTATAGAGCACGGAACGTCAAAGAAAAGTCTGCAAATGAAGGAGAACGGACAAAATAACGGCTGAAAGGAGCTGGAGGAAGAAACGGACCTAATATTCATCGCCACTCTTGACAGTGACGGGGCCGATATCCTCCAAAGAAAGTGCGGAGATGGCTGAGGGGATGCACAGAAGCCTCTCGAGTATGGAACGTCAAAGAAAGGTCCACAAATGAATGGACACAACCAAACTTACGGCAGAAAAGTGTTGGAGGAAGAAATTCACCTCATTGCCATCGTCACTTTTAACGGTGGTGGGGTCAGTACCCTCCAAACAAGAGGCAGAAATGGCGGAGGGGCTATGCACAACTATTTTGGGCACGTAAAGTCGAGAAACAAACCTACTATATTGAGTGAGAACGAACAGGAGTTCATAAAAAATGGCGCGAGGACTCAGGAGATCTCACCTAATAGTCGTCGTCATTCTCAGTGGCGACGGCAATGATACCCCTCGAACAAGATGTGCTAGTGGTGAGATAGATGTATTGAGTTCATTCAAGCTCAAAACGTCGACGGATGAAGAAAAAGTGAGTGAGAATGACAAAAATCTCGACCAAAGGGGTCTGGAAGGAGAACTTGCCTCAATCATTGTCGCTCTCAGTGATAGCGGAGCTGATGGCCTTCAAACATAGTGTAAAGGTAAATGCGAGATTGTTTATGAGACTTTTGAGCTCATAAGGTTGCGAAAGGGGCCGCAAACCACTGAGAACTCGATGGAAAGGGGATGGAGAAAGAGACTCACCTGCCAGTATCTAAATTCACCCTCCTCCTCTTCCTCGACAGGACCTACGTGCTGCGATGCTCAATGACGCGATGACGCAGTTTCTGCACGAGACAACCAAGGAGCCGAGTAATCCGGGTAGGCTACATCAGAAACATACACATATGCAGCAAGAACCAGTGCTTATATGATTCGTGAAGGTGCCGGGGACTCACCGGTGTAATAACCATCATCTTCGACCACAAGCAGCCCGAATCCCATCAAATCAAAGGTCCGAGGCATTGTGGGGCATTGGTGCGCTTCGATTGTCCCCGCTACGACGTGATTTGAATTAAAACTGAACTTGTGGCCTCCAATGGCACAATGTGGAGAGACATGGGGCTATGGGAGTAGATACTGTCTCACTCACTTGTTCTCTTTCCAACTCTACAGCTCCTGGTAAGCCATCCCAGCTGTAAAACGAGCACCATTTGTGCATTGTACCTTCTTCTACCAGCAATACGGACTTTTGCATAAGGTCACAGACGGATTTAGAGACGAGCAAGCCGGCGAAGTTTGTTGTATATATCTAAGGCTGCCGGGGATCGACCTGCTCAGAGATATACACAGAGAAGGGTTCGGTCTCTACAGGCGCATGCCGCAGAGACAACGGCGACCCAGAGAGCTCAATAGGACAAGTTACTTGAAGCGACAAGTCGAAGTCGAACATAACGGCCGACATCACGTGATTTCGGCAACACCCGCGCGGAACCAACTTCGTGTCAATATCAATGTGGTGGTAGGTCCAAGGTAGGTCACGGTGGCGATCCTCTCTAGTGGCCAACTATAATGATCTATGCTTTCTTTTTTCAAGAATTCAGAAGGCTCTGCACTTGCATTTGTCTGTGGCCACCGCTCGTACTCATTTTCGCGTGCTTCATGCTAGTGGTTACGCTGTTCTCCGGCGTCCACGCACTGGATTCCACTATAAACGGCTTAACACTTTTTTGGCTTCGAAGTATAATCTACTTGAGAAAGTCCTCTGCTGGAAATGATTTTGATTCTACGATGTAACTGCTTGTATAACTCGCTGGCATGGGCCTGCTCCAGTTGCCACAATCCGACCTTCTTCAAGACGATCTTAAATTCCTTTCCAATCGTGTTTTATCACAGTGTCCGATCTAGGCTGCCTCTCATCTCCCTCGTACAAAAGAGGTTGCGTCACATATATTCTATCCTCGACCGCCGTTCCATCACCGCCGACACGTCTGCTCACGTCTGTGGGAACTGCGAGGCGTCGACGGGAGAGCGAATGACTCGCTCTCGCTCTCACTACTACCCTTTCCTTGCCTCCATCTCATCATAGACCCTCCCAGAAATCCCAAGCCCACCAGAGTGTACAGCGCACGCGCACTTGCTCGACCCTTTCGGGTCCTTGTGTGACGTTCGTCGTAGCTCCTCCCCCTCCTCATTCGCGCTCCGAGCGCGTTCGCGTATCGTGCACTGTCCGCACTCGCGCCCGTCGTGCACCCTGGATCCGTTCGAATCATCTGAGCAGAGCTTCGTAAACAATGTACGCGAGCATGTTCACGTCGTGTTTGTCGTAAGGTACGTCCCTGTAGTATTCTTTACTCAGTATCCACACCACATTCTACTCACTCGCTTGCCGGCAGCCTCTCGCACCTCTTCCACATCCCCCTGCCTCACTTTATCTCGTTTCCTCCACATCATATGCAACTTGCTTTCCCGCTACTGCTCGTCCACAAATAATACTGGAAACCAAAATAACCGCAAAATGAACAAACAATGACACATTGAGCTCGATCGCGTGCAGTCGCGAACAAGCCTCATATCGTTCCCAGAATGAAGCCCGCAGACGGGTGAAATGGGAGGGATGACTTGAAGACTCGGAAGACATCGGCTAGTGAGGAGTCTACCGATGGGTGGGAGCATATTGGTGGTTCGTTATTTTCTATCTTGTAATGACGTCCGAACCTCTTGTCTCTTCATCTCTCAATGTCCTCTCAATCTCTTCGACATCTAAACCTCTTTCAGAGTACCATACACTGATAATGTTTCTTTTTGCAGCTGCGAATACTCCGGGCGTCACGGTCTCTCGTTTGCTAGACTACGGCATCCGTACCGCCGGGACAACCACCTTTTCGGCCGCCTTCCCCGTCATCTATGCTGAAGCGCAAGCCCTCCAAGTCCACGACAACTTCATCGACTTCGATGCCCCAAATCCTACATTCGGACAATCGCAAGGTTATAAATCAATGTGAGAAATTGTTTAGTGTGTTTCGGAGGAGTTGATAGCGCGAATAAGCTCGCGCGATGGGGAGGAATGTGGATGTGAAGGGAGTTATGCTTGAAAACAGGCGGCGGATTGGAGAGATGTCTGGGGAGACTAAAGAGGATACCGTTAGGCCGGAGGGTGAGGGTGAATATGTCACATTTTTGCTCTCGCCTTGTTTTCGTCCATGGATAGTTGTTCATTATCGAGAGGTGATTGGGCTCCGGAGGCAGTGGTTAAAAATGTGGTAAGCTGGAGACCTTGAACATCGAGAGGTCCGTGGGCTTCAGTCCCAAGGTAGACGTCACTTCGAAGGTCGTTGTGCTGGGTGTGGACGGAAATACCCAGTCCTCGACGCCCCCATGCCATCCTCCCTGCATACCCTCGTGCTCTCCTCGTCATACCGGGCAGCACTCAGTCAAGTCGAACTGTCGAGGTCATCGCTGAGCATGAGCATCCGACAGCGAACAGAACCCGATGACTGATGAATCCTGAACATAGAATCTGACGAATACGATGATTTACTTGCAGCTCTCGTTACTTGGATTTTTTTTGGCTCTTCCGAGTCACGCATGCCGTACGTTCATTATACTTAGTTTTTTCATCTCTAGTGACTGACATGAACCAAATGGCACAGACCCCGTCGAAAGGCATCACAATTGACCTCACACTCACATATCCCTCTGCTCCTACAGCACCCTGTAAACACAAGCCTAATGCCGTCCGGCCACCCTCCCAGCCAGACTTATCCTCAGCCCGAGTACAGTCAAACTCGAATCCATCACCCCGACCTATGAACCCAACACGTCTCTCCTCCTTGCTTGCTCCCTTGTCTGTAAATCATGGTCTACGCCAGCTCAGACTCTTCTCTTCTGCAACATTGATCTGCGTTTGCAACGCTAGTCCAACACATTCCGTGCTGCTGTCGATTCAGGTACCAAACGTGATCATCCCCTCGCTGCGTGTGTACGAACTCTCCGAGCAACCATCGATCCTTCCCAGCCCTTTCGTCTCCTTCCTCGTTCTTTCGCCCTCGCCACAACAAAGTGCCCCAACCTCAAAGGAATCGACCTCACGCTCTACTTATGGCCCACCCACTCCCCACGCTGCCCCTCAAAATGCTCACGGCTCCCCTCTCAGCTTCGCCCGGTAGAAGAAACCGACGATGAGAAGACGCTCTCCATCCTCCATGGCACTTAGTCTTGTCTGAAGGCTGATGTTGCCAGTAAAACATAACCCTCTCCGGAACCCACACTCAGTTCCTGGTGACACTGGATGCGGTTGGCGACATGGAAAACGACAATGTCAACGACGGTTATGAGAACAACCAGACTACCCAGCACCGCAATGAACCCAATAGCGACCCGCTGTACGGGCGATGATTGAGAAATCCTTATATATGTACTTATCTTGCTCACCTGTTACTACTCCTAATATCATAAGTATTTTACATCCGGTAGATCTCTTGTTCAGCAATTGTGTACAGTGTAGGTTGCCTGCACGGTGTCACCGAACTCCGTTTTGAACAAATGGAACTGCATTCGCCACACTGACTCAATTGAATGCCTGTACTTGTCGTGTGGCTCAGTGGCACAGTCACCCTTCTTTTCAGTGAGGCAATTTACCTATGTCAGCATGCTCGACACACAGTACCGCACACGTTCCCTAGTAGATTGACCTAGATTTATGTAGACGACTAGCACTAGAATCAGAGTTCTTAGATATCTGTAGATATCTCTAGAGGAATTTACCAAAATGATATACGGATAGGCCATCGGAGGGAATTTCTAGATTATGGTAGATTGTCAAGTTTTTGGTAGATAACTATTCACAAAACCTAGATATGCGTAGACGGGGTTTTCACTGGGCTTCATGTCTCCACCACGAGCCCACGACTAGAGCCACTCGATCCAAGCCTCGACTTTTTGTCTCTCGCTATCCTCATGGATCTTTATTATTTGTTCGTGTAGGCAGGTCCCTCTGCGTCTCATTGTTCCCGTAGCACACGCGGCTTTTGTGCGGTGTATGAAATATAGCTGTTATTGATGCGGTCGTCATTGCTGGCAACATCCGGGGCTTGGTTCATCCCGCGGAGAGAAGAGTTTGAACCCGCATCAGGCGTGTGGAATGGAGGGCTCTAAGCGGTTCAAAAGGACACAACATCTGCGAAGAATGAATACTACTTCAAGCACCGAGCATAGTGCTTCGGTATCGTCGTGACCGGCTCGCAATTAACCTAATTTGCATCACTACTCTGCCAACCGATCATGTCGAACGGTAGGGGCTCGGGGAAATTCGAGCGTTTAGGGCTGTGTCTTGGACCTCTTCACCGCCAAGTCATCTGGAGTCTTCTAAAATTTGTGCGGATCTTCATTGTAGGAGTCATGGATGACAATCGGCGCCCACTGACCTCACATACGCTGTTCTGTTCTATGCATTTTGGTTGCAAGCGATTCATCCTGCATTCTTGTCTTGCGCCGCGGAGCCGTGCAACTCAGAACGAGGTTACTCACCACGTCTGACGGGTAAGGATAAGCTCGATATCATCTCAAAGGAGGTGCAACCCGAGTACAAACGTTAAACCGGAGCGTCTGAACAGCCATTGATTAATGATGCTTTTACGAATCAGGTACCCGCCTGCAACGTGTCTGAACGCTCTGACCTTCCTGGCTGAGTAGTTGTGTCAACACAATCACGGTAACACTACCCTTGGTCCAAATCTGTACGCTACGCCGAGTAGTTGCCAAACGCCGCCCTTTCACTGGTTGGATACCAGACTGACATCGTTGAGACCCGGTGGCTTCTCCTAGCTCCGCAGAGTACTAGCTCTTCAACCATGGCACCCCTTGGGTTTACGAACTCCTCCATGATGTGGGACTTCTGATGCGGCCTCCACACTTGCTCCATGCTGATCTGGCTTCAGTGTAGCCGGCTACCACGCTATGGTCCTGCCTTATCCCTCAAGGCTTCAAGACTAAATGATCGCCGGACCTCATGATTACGCGGTGAGTGCGTCCAGGACGCAATTATAGCTAAAATACAGTGAGCTAAGTAACAAACCATACATCGCCAGACCTTAAGAACGATAAGCGGATGAGCTCTGGAAGGTCCTCCAGCCTCAGAAGTCCGAAGCATCACCAACACTCTTATCTAAGGCCACCGGCTCAATTTCCTCTGCGCCTCGTACGCGTACCTTTTAGCGTAATCACGCACCCGGCCTGACAATGAAGCAGCCTAAGGTTAGTACTAAGAATTTATGTAGATGGTTGAACTCACGGTTGATGCCCCTCAGGCTTTGACCCGTATCAATCGTCTAAACAAACGTCACCAACCCCATATGTTCTCCTCGTATCAATAAACGAATCTCGCGAAGACATCGTGGCCCGTGCGACCCACCAGATGGGGAAATTTCTTTCGATTTTTTCGACATGAGCATCTTCGACGGGTTGGGAATCGATGTTCTCAACGAGTATTGAGCTTGAACCTCATATACCCCCTATCGAGTATGATCTGTATCAGACGATCAGCGTACGGGTACGACAGTCGTTAAGCTGCATCGAGGAACATGTCATGTGTCCTCCGAGGTATTCTCGTATCGGTCACGGAGTTGAAAAAGGCTGTGGTTATCGGAGAGGAAGGGTCCTTGTTGTTTCTTTTGTGTCTCGGATGTCGGCACTAATGCGAGTTTCACAACTTAACCGTCGAACCTAACAGGGCGTGTTAAGTCTGCGTCAATGAATATGGCACGGCTGGGGCAATCGAACACAGCCCATTGTAGCAATAGTCACGTTGCCACCTAGTTTATTGTCAAGGTGATTGATGGTGGACGTACGATGTTAGGCAAATGACTCTTCGCATTCTGTACTCAAAATTGTCTAGCTTCATCCGCTCCTTCAATCCCACCAGATAATCCTCATACTTGACCCTCAATTTGAATGTCTCCCCACTTTGTCTCTGGATCAAGTTGTGAGCGTATATCCCGATACCGCTGCAGGTCACGAGCACTACCGCGGAATTTTCAAAGATACAACAGGACCAAGCGTTTTCGAGTATAGAGATGCATTCGACAGCAAAATTTGGTCAAAAGCGCCTTTTTCGTAGTTAGAGAGGATGCGAATGGGCTTGGTAGCAGTAAGCGCCACTGCCGGTCGAACTTGACGGAAACTGGTGCTTCAGGATTGTAGCATTGGGTTTCGTCAGGTATGACGAAGACGACTCGAATGGTCATCAACACATCGATTGGATATCATATCAATTAGAGGAAGGGATGATTTGTCGCGTAGAAAGTGCAAAAGTCAAGTGTGGTTGGAACGACATGACGGTCAACAAGAAAGAACGATTTCAAACTCCGACTCCTCCAAAAAGTTGAGTCATGCCCTACACGCGCCATCATCGCCGTCCCCCAGGCCACCCTTCGCTCGTCCGCCACTGCAACCCATCATCACCGACTTGACTTTCGTCGGATCATCACCTTTGGTATCTACATAGAACTAGAGACAATATGTCAGGCGACGAGACACTGCAGAAGCACGAGGAGTCCGACTCTGAGGAGGAGGAAGAGGCAGAAGAGCCTGAGGTTGTGCCGAGCGTTGAGATCGATCCTTCGAAGTTGACGCCTCTTTCGCCTGAGGTTATTTCAAAACAGGTGCGTCTAGTTTTCTCTATTGTTTTACTGTATTGAAACTCATAGATACTCTTGATCTGCTAGGCCACAATAAACTTGGGTGCGTGATCTAGGCGCCTGATCTTGTGTTTTGAGACGGAATGCTCATGGGGACGTTCCATCGTTGTCACGGACTCCCCCTTCTCCGGGATCTGTTGTATGGGTTGATGGGCTCGCTTTGGGATGAACAGGTACCATTGGACATGTCGCACACGGAAAGTCGACAGTGGTGAAAGCCATTTCGGGAGTCATGACCGTTCGATTTAAAAACGAGCTCGTGCGGAATATCACCATCAAGCTTGGTTACGCCAACGCCAAAGTACGTCCTTTACTCTCACTTTTCACTCTCCTGAGAACAGTCCTCCACACACGACCTCCGAAATGCACAATGAGACCCCTTGCCCTGTTTTTCTCACATTTGTGGCGCCCTTCTTCCCCTTCACAGATTTACAAATGTGAGAACGAAGCCTGCCCACGACCAGGCTGCTACCGTTCATACCGCTCCGACAAAGAGGACCACCCGCCCTGCGAGCGACCAGGATGTGGCCACCGCATGAAGCTCGTTCGCCATGTCTCCTTCGTCGACTGTCCCGGCCACGACATTCTCATGGCCACAATGTTGAACGGTGCCGCCGTCATGGACGCCGCCCTCCTTCTCGTTGCCGCAAACGAAACATGTCCTCAGCCTCAGACATCTGAGCATCTGGCTGCCGTGGAGATCATGAAGCTGGAGCATCTCATCATTTTGCAGAATAAGGTGGATTTGATCAAGGAGGCGCAGGCGCTGGAGCACCAGAAGAGTATCACGGCATTCGTGAAGGGTGCGTGAATTCCTTCGTCCGTTTTTTTGCGGACGAGACGAGTGTTGAGCCGTGTGTGCGGATCGCGTCGAATAGGCACGGTCGCCGAACAATCGCCAATCGTCCCCATCTCCGCCCAGCTCAAATACAATATTGACGCTGTGAACGAGTACATCGTCAAACGTATCCCCATTCCCGTCCGTGATTTCACCTCCGACCCCCGCCTCATCGTCATCCGTTCCTTCGACGTCAACAAGCCCGGTTCAGAAGTCGACGATCTCAAGGGCGGTGTCGCCGGTGGGTCTATCCTCACCGGTGTTCTTCGTCTCGGTATGGAGGTCGAGATCCGTCCTGGTATCGTTACGAAGGATGCGGCGGGAAGGAACAGGTGCAAACCTATCTTCAGCAAGATCGTGACGTTGTTGGCGGAGAACAACCATCTGCAGTTTGCTGTTCCGGGTGGGTTGATTGGTGTTGGCACGAAGATCGATCCCACGCTTTGTCGTGCGGATAGGTTGGTGGGACAGGTTTTGGGAGCGGTTGGCAAGCTTCCGCAGATTTTCACCGGTACGCCCACGTTTCTTTTGTTCTCAACCTCCTTTGAATATGACAGACCTGATGCGTGGCTGTCTGATACAGAGCTCGAAATCTCCCTGTTCCTCCTCCGCCGACTACTCGGTGTCAAAACGGAAGACAAGAAACAAACCAAAGTCTCCAAACTCGTCAAAAACGAGCTCCTTCTCATTAATATCGGATCAACCTCCACCGGGGGTCGTGTCCTCTCCGTCAAAGCCGATCTTGCAAAGATCCAGCTCACGTCGCCCGCGTGTACCGAGGTTGGGGAGAAGGTGGCATTGTCGAGGAGAATCGAGAAGCATTGGCGTCTGGTTGGATGGGGAAGTGTGCAGAGGGGGACGGTTTTGGAGGTGGATTAGCCGGTTTTATGTTTTGAGAGGGCATTGATGTGGTGGCGACTTGGGCTAGGCTGGGTCGGGATGAATATGAGAAAATGTAGACTGTACATGGACACCGACAGCAGCTTGTACGGGCGCACTTGTATCCCACATTCACTCGATGTGAATCGCATTCTTGTTGTATCAATCAATCCTGCAGAATATTGCTACTCACTCGGTTCTGCGTGGTGCGATGGATGGCGAAAGTGGCGAGAACTAAATTTGGCGCGCGATGCCGATGGACGCGTGTGTGGCGTTCGACGCGTTTCCGAGTTGCATCATCGTTCTTGCACGTTCCTCTCTTGCTCGGGATCGTGACTGCATTCTCATCCCTTTCTTTTATCCAACAATCTTCTGGAACCGTTCTTGTATCTTAAATTCTCTGCGGATTCATTGAGAGAACCTCGTCTTCGGCTGTCAAAATGTCAGACAGCAAGGTTCCGACTGTGGACGACTTGAGGGTGCGTCATAATATCATGTTCGCTAGAATGGTATGATTAAATCATTCCAGGTCAAACTCTGTTATATATGCAGAGAAGAGGAGCGTTATGGAGGTACGTTCTGTTACCTTTCTCTCCACAAGTCCAGCGAACCGACAGCGCCCCTCACACCCTCTCGCCACATCTAACCGCATCTCATATCATAGATCCACAAGAAGACCCACCTCGAGCTTGGACTCATCCCTGCAACTGTACTCTCGTCGCCCACGAATCATGTCTTCTACAGTGGATCAAAGCAGCCCAGCAGAACCCAGATCGCGCCCCCAATGCGCTCAAATGTCCACAGTGCGGAGCGAAGTATGAGTTAGAGAGTAAGAACCCACTCATGTTGAGGGTGCTTGATGCGTGGAATAAGGCATTGTTGAGGGTTGGGAGGCTCACCACGGTGTCTTGTGCTGGGATCATTGTCATCTCGTTTGGCGCTGGTGCGTTTGATTTGACTATAATCACATCCAATATTGTAGGACTGACGAAAGCATCGTGCTTATCTGGCCTATCTACTGTATTGAATAGGTCTTTATGCCGTTTTGACATCGTACGGAGCTTGGGCATTGCAAAACTTCATCGGCAGTGAAATGTACTCCCTCCTCCTTTCTGACGATCCCACAAATTGGCCTTGGCACGCCTTCCTCAACCTTCCCTTCGTACCCCTCTCCCTCATAATCTCCCGCACACCCCTCTTCTCAATCGTCTCTCCCCTCTTCCCCCTTCTCTTCCCCTGGCCCACAGACCTCCCCTGGGCTATCCGTCGCTCCCCAAACACAACGCCCCGACTCCGTGCTTCGTATTATCTGAGACCTGGATCGGGCTCGGAGGCTTGGTGGCCACCGACGCCGACGATGGTGGTGACAATGTTTCCGTTCGTAAGCGCGCTATATAGGGTCGTCTTGGATAGGGCGCATGCGTGGGTTATGGGGGAGAAGAGGGTCACGAGAGGGAGGAGCTTGGTTTGGAATTTCAACGATCCAGGTGCAGGGGACGGGATGATTAGGATACGGATTGGGATGAATGAGGATCCCGAAGTTGTACCTCCTCAGGGTCAAGGTGCCGCAGGGCAACAACCACCACAACAGGGACAGGCAGCTGGGGCTCAAATACGAGCAGATCTACCGCCTGCCGCAAATCCGAATGTTGACCCAAATCCTGGCGCAGTCCCAGGTCTCGACCCAATCCCTGCTGAAGGCGACAATGCCAATGCGAACGACGCCGGCGAAGCAGCCGAACGCACCATCCGCCTCACAGGCTCCTCCCTTGGCCGTCTTGTAGCCGGAGCCCTCGTCATGCCCTCCATTGCGAACCTGATGGGCCGTCTCCTCCTTCGACTGTCTCATTCACCACACATACCATTCTTAGGTAGGATACTGGCGGCAAGACCGCCACTGAGCACCAGGTTGCCATCGTTTTGGGGCTCGCATACGTTGCCGCCTGAGATGGAGAGGGCGTGGGAGAGGGGTGGTTTTGCTTCGATGGGGGAGTTTGGGAGGGTAGTCAGCATGGGGTTGAGATCGCTTTGGGGAGGAACGAGAGTTTGGGCTGAGAGCGATCCGGTTTGGTGAATCACTATCCTTCCGCTTTCTTTGACTGTTGACTGATGTTTTCTTCCCCATGCTATAGGTGGCGGAATACGCTTGGATTGGGTCTCTTCATTGTCGTACGTCTCACATCTTCATTCGCCAGACCCACTACTTAACCGGGGTTTTTATGTGCATTCAGGCGAAAGACGCCGTCAAGCTCCTTCACTTGTGGCTCGCAAAACAAGAACTGGAGACGCGCCATGTCAAGAATAGGACATTCGAAGGTGTAGATGCTCGAGAGCTTGATCTGATACATCCTCGCCAGTGAGGCTCGCGATCGTATATACATACGAATCTCCCGGTCCTTCATTTCATCGACGACCTCATCGTCCCATTCCAAACAGCGGTGTAATATGTGCCCATACGATTGCCAGTCCATGCGGCTGTCTTTTTGAATCAGCCACTGCCTCTTCTCTCGTATGCCATAGCTAAACTTATTTCAAGTGATAAGTATGTGTGTATCGTATAGCAATTTTAGGGGAGTGATCTCAAGGGCCAGTTCCTCTTGAGGGGGCGCCACAACCGAGTGCTACAAAAAGCTCAGAGTACGCGCTCACGTGATGCGGGCTGAAACGCGACGCGAAATCGTGGGTAACTGCGTGATGTCACAAAGGGTCACAGTTGGTTCCGGCCACTGAAGTCGAACCGTTTGCTCTGTGCCACGACAATCGCCGTCGTCCGCTCTCTATCTCCCTGGGCCGTTCGTATTCGCTTAAGAGCTTACGGCTCATCTTTAGTTTACTTTCTTGTACTAGTTTCTTAACTCAGTCGCCGACTGCCGGCGACACCTCCGAGGACACAAACAATGTGGTCCAAATTCAGCAGCGTCATCACTGGCAGCACCAACAAACCACCCCGAGACCTTTCGCACTCGCAAGAACACTCACGTTCGAACTCACGTACGCGCTCAGATTCTCAACCTGAAGTTTTGGCCGGTGTTTTTGAGCAACATCCCAATCTCTCTGTCTTCCATCCTTCAGGTCTGGACCAACACGAAGAAGAAGACTACGACGATTCCGGTCCCATGTCGCCCCTGTCACCATCGGGTGCACCCAATTCATCGGCGGCTGTCGAGTTGCTTCTGGCCAGCCCACCTGGATCGTTGTCGAGGAATGGGGGAAAGGGGTTGTTGAAGCGGATGTCGAGGAGTCAGAATGGTTCGAAGGTGGATGGGGATGGGAGTGTTAGGGATTCCATTTCCCCGATCAGACTTGGCATGCCTGCTTTCGTGAAGAAGGGCAAGTCGCATCTAAATCTCGTTATGAATGGTGCGTAGCTTTCATGATGCGTGTCTGTTATGGCCCTAAGTGGGTGGCACTTGGGCCACCCACGAGATCGATTCGGATACTCACCGTGGGAGTATCTCGATATGCATGTTGAACTTGTACTGCCTCGTGGTTGCTGTCAGAAACGATGCAGTGATTAGCGTTCATGCAAATGGCCATCATCATGCGCTCGCCTGTCCAGGAAGCCCTGCATATGTACAGTTGTTTCTGTTCGAGCAGCCATGTGTGTGCAGTCGATCGTTACCGTGTCCTATGTCCCATTCCTCTATATCTTGTGGTTATGACTATACCGGATGCTGACCTGTTCGCTTGCGGCATCTCTTAGATTCTGATTCGTCTATTTCTCGTGGTCCTGAATCCGCCAATGACGGTGGCCGCCCATCCCTCGACAGCATACCTCCTACTCCCCAGGAGAGCAAATTCGGTGGCTCAGTCCGCTCAATCCTCCGCGATCGCAATACACCAGGAAAAGGAGCGAGCGTTCGTTTTTTCTCCCGTGATGCATCAAAGCCATCTAGCCCGGACGTTTCGACCGCCCCAAGCGAGCCGGGAACACCACCACTTATGGAACGTTTTGAGAGTGTTGCGAGTGGTCTTCCCTCTCCGGAAGCACTTCAGCCATCATCTGTCTCTCGCGCACGGTATCGCCCTCGACCAAGTCTGGATGGCCTTTTTGAAGGAGAAAGGTCGGTTTCACCTAGTCCGCAACCTACAATGTCGACGCCTGCACCTCAATCGACGAGGACGACGACAGTAGGTTTTGGCCCTGGGTCAGCACCTGTTATTCCCCCACCCGACCTGTCCAACATCTTCGAGCTGTCGCACAGCGAGTTCCCGACCATCGCTCCTGGATCGATGACACCTCTTCAAGACAACGCAGTGGAAACTTCTGAGGAAGAGTCCAATGCCGACGTCAGATTCACGTCGGCCTCTCCGTTCCCAGGTGGTCGTCAAGAGCCCACGGTCTTCCACTCCGTTGAGAACAGGCAGAAACCTTCCCCCACCGGCAACGATCGTTCGCTCTCGTTCAGCTTTGGACAGAACGTGTTCCACCCGGCTCCCAGTACGAAACGCACCGTAGTCTCCGCTCCTAGTGATCTCGATATCTCGAAACTCATGCCTCCAGCAGCATCCCAATCCGATCTGGGCCACGGACGCTCGCACAGCAGGAATCGTTCCATGAGTGACACAATATTCCATTCATATCCTACCAACACCCCGACAAAGGATGACAAGACCCCTGAAGCTGACATTCACGATATCGCGACCTCTGCACTCGTAGTATACTCCACTCCTTCTGCCGACCGTCCAATCCTTCCGCCCATCGACACGAAGAATGTACCGGACCCGTTCTCCGCTCACGCGACGACGTATTATACGCCCGGCGCGGGTATTCCTCCTACGCCCCCTCGACCCACAGCATCCACCCAACAGCATTCTCGGAAGGCGTCCAAAGAAGAGAACGAGCTTTGGAATCTGAAGACGCAGCTCACCTTACAACAGGAGCTCTGCGCGCAGTACGAGATTGATTTGGGGGCCCGGAACGAGCTCGTCGAGGTCCTCAGCACGAAACTCGATACCATAGACAAGGAGAACGAGAAAAGGAAGCAAATGGCGAGGGGGTGGAAGAAGAAGGTCGCGGAGTTGGAGAGGATGTGTAGGCACCTTGAGGACGAGGTTGAGAGGAGCAGGGAAGAGAGTTTGGATAGGAGTGTGATGGACGAGGCGAGTGGAGAGGCTCTGAGGCAACTGCAGACGAGGATTGGGCAGCTGGAAAGAGAGAGGGAGAGGGGTGTTGAGGAGGTGCATGAAGAGGTTATACGGTTGAGGGAGGAGGCGGAAGAGAGGGAGAGGGAGATGGAGAGGTTGAAGGAGGAGTTGATGAGGAAGGAGGAAGGGGAGAGGGCGTTGAAGGAGGGGATTCGGAGTGCGCAGATGCATTTCGCAGAGATGAGCGACGATGATCTGCTTGCCGAGGGTGGGGACATGAAAGCGGCCGCGAGGATGAGTATGATGAGTATAGGGCCATGGGAGCAGGAGCGTGCTATCTTGTTCAAGGCGACCGAGGACCTTCGTGCCGAGAAGCGAGCGTTGGAGGAAGAGTTGGATGGTACGAGAGAGGCGGGGTTGGCCAAGGATGAAGAGATGCGCGTCCTAAAGGCCGAGTTGGAGGCTCAGTGGCAGCACACGGAGAAGGCGGGTGACTCCATGACCGAGCTCAGGAAAGAAAAGACGACGTTGCAAAACGAGTTGGTGGCGTTGGAGCAGAGGATGGAGAGAATGGAGATCGAGTGGAATGAGAGTCAGACTAAGAGAGGGGAGTTGGAGCAAGAACTGCAGGAGACGTTGGCGGAGCATGAGGAAAACGTGAAGCAGTATGAGCGTGTGAGTGATATCTACTCTCTTCGCGACCAACAGAGCACTGATTGTTATTTACCTTCCAGCTCGAGGAAGAGCTTCGTGCTGAGCAAGAGCATGCCGACGATGTCGCCCGCACTCTTCAAGACCGCGAAGACCGGATCGCCAACCTACAACAAGAGCTGAAGTTTGCTAACGACAACGTCACCCGCCTCGAACAACACCTTAAGCAAAGGGATGACGAAGTCGAAGACCTTGCCCACAAGGTCGTCGCTCGCGAGGACGAGATCTATGAAATCCAGGAGGAGCTTACCGGCCTCCGTCGTACGCAATCGCACGAAACGGACTCTCAGCAACGTACTCTGTCAGAGCTTACCAAGCGGGAGAAGGACGCGCGAGAGCAGTTGGAGGTGGCGATTAGGGAGAGAGCGGAGGTGCAGGTGCAGGCGTCGACGTTCGGCGACAGGGTGAAGGGCTTAGAGGGAGAGATGGAGCGGTTGAGGAAGCAGATCACGGATTTGAAGATGGAGAGCGCGGATAAGGAGATGAAGATCGTGCAGATGAAGAGAGAGAACGGGAAGCTCGGGGAGGACAACGAAGGCTTAAACATTGCTTTGAGCTCGAAACAGCAGGAGCTTGAACTGGTCAGTTCATCTTCGTACTTCGCCCGAGTTGCTAATCTGACAATGCTTCCTATAGATCAAACGAAAAATGGCAGTCAGGGGCACAGCCGGCGCCACGCCCGCACCGAGCAGGGTTACTGCTAACCGCCGCGACTCTGCTGTCTTCAATACTCCCGCCACAGTCTCTCGCCCTTCCTCTCGTCTTTCTGACCGTGGCACGTCGTTGAAGGACCCTACAGCGGGAGCTCCGTCCAGCTTCAGAGCTCCTTCTAAATCTCCAGAGACGGCCAACACAACCATCAGAGCGTCCACACTCGGCAAGAGCGCCCGTACTAACGCAACCTCTGCCTCTGGCAGCACGTCAACGGCTGCCAGGTCCGGTCGTGCTTCTGTCGAGCCACCTTCAAAACGCATGTCTACGATTGGCGCACCTACGTCAGTGGCCCAAAGGCGGGTTGCAACGACGGCATCATCCAGATTGAGTACTAAACCCGCTACACCGTCAACAATGAAAAGGGCGAGCTCGGTTGGAGCGGTGGATGCAAGGACATCTAGTACGAAACCTTCGCGGTCAGGCCTGCCGGCGGCGAGGGGCATGGCGAGCCCTGTCGTTACAGAGTCTGAGGCGGAGACCGAGACCGAGCCGGAAAGTGAGTTAGAGAAGGAGAACGAGGAGCCAACGATGAGGCTTAGAGTACCGGTTCTGGCGTGAGTGATGTCTGTAAAGGGGGTCTCTGGGGCTAGGTGTGGGTAGTTGTTCTGTACGTTTTTCCTTGCTCTTCATTTGTGTATCATACCGTCTCTGTTTCCCTCTTGCAATTGTTTCATAGTCCTCTCAGGCTGCTGCTATCTTCACGTAAATTGTACTCGCTATATATATATTGCTATCGCTTCGGACTTTCTCATTCACGGCTCATACGTCCAGGTTATGCATTCTATCTATGTAATACATGATTTTCTCCCTCTTTCTTTTCCTTAGGCCCATTACCTCATCATCACCTTCTCATACATCTCCATCTCCATCTTCACACGCATCTGAATCGCCTTACATTTCTTACTTCCATGATTGACATGATCGGTATCCTCATGAACGCCAAGTTCGCCATTTTCTCAGACATTTCTCGACAATATTCTCCTACTCTATCTTCTTCAAGTTCTTGTACATGATCGTTTCATGAACACTGAATGCCATCGAAGTCTACGAGAATCTACGTCGAAATTATGTTGTATATCTAAAGAGTCACTCACGCTTATACATGCTGATGAACTCACCGTAGGGGGGAGGTGTGCGCCACAGTGGCACTAAGATCGTTGATTGGATTTCCCAGGGACCGGCTCATCGGCCAAACTCCGACTGGACGTCATGGGATCAGCCGTCCTTGCATCAAGCTCTTACTTCAACGTTCAACGTTCAACTACGACCACGAACTCATCGCTGATATTACGCTCCTCTGGGCTATTCGCCTCCTCGTTTCTTGGACTTCATCCATCTCGCACCCGCCTTCGCGAGCAGACAGATGGCGTGGGGGTGCCGCCTAGGTTGTCAACTACGTTCAATGTCCGGAGAGCTGTTCGTCAAATAAGAACCGTCACCCTCTCTTTAGATTGAGGGAATGCAAAATTTGTGAGTAAATTTTTGACGATCTCTAGATACAAGGTGAAGCTTCTAACAGCGCTTTGGAGGTGCTATCATCAGAGTAATCGCGCGATGACCGCCTACAGGGGAGCATTCCATCAACTCCATCGTCGATACGACGATGCAATACGCCTTCTAGTAGTCTCGAAGTTGTCTACTTATGGTTCTTGATATAGGAAAGTGGAGGGGAAAAGACGACAGAAATGCGGAACGCTCCTTCCGAGGCGTCACACCTGGTACGGAACGAATATCTCCTACTCTCGAGCAGCCCACCCGAATTACTTTGCACTATTTTCCATTATTTGGAAAAAGGTGCCGTTGACTTTCCAAGGTTTTCCAGAATTATTGATAAGATACTTATGCCGGCGTGCCCTTTGCCGCTGCTGGAACTCAGTTGGGCGAATATAGAATTCTGTCGGCGGGTACTGCGACTCACTGGTCGATTTCTGCCTCACGCAGAAGCCCACATCCTCTTCCTTTGCCCACAGTAACGATTATTCACGCCTGGATCTCCCGGTGATCACGAGAAACCAAGATTGTATTCAAGGTATACGAATTTCTTGCTGGAGAGCCACCACGAGGATGCTTGTGATATCACTGCGACTGAAATAGATCGTGACCTACGTCCTCTTCCGTTTTTTCTATTTCCGTCACTCGAGACTTACGTTCATTTCAGATATGGCCAAGCTACTACGCTAGCGAATAAGAGTCTTGCCTACCTGTTCTACAAGCGTCTTCAGCCAACGGCTCCTATCCTTCGGTCCCTTCACTTATCGTTCTTTTTCGGACAGTGGGTATCCGACAACCTCACGGCACAACCGTTCTCGAGTATAAAAGCAAGGCAAGTGATCGTGCTCATCGTACAGTTCTTGCGATGTATATATCCTAATCAACCTCACTATGATGATTTACCCTCGTCGCTTCCATGCTCCGCAGACATCCAGGAACTCCATGGCGCCACTGGCACTCCTTCGTGCCTCGTGAGACACCAGGCCTGAGGAGCGTGCTGCCACCAGAAACCCTTCGTTACATCTGGTTCTTGTCCTTGAGTCCCTCCGTCACGCTTTACTTGACAGATTTGGCAGCCTAGGTCGAGCCTGGGAGTCGGGACTCGTATATATCTAGCAAATATTCTGAACTCTCAGACCAATAACTAGCCGTACTAATCAGAGTCGTCGACATGTTTCCGAGTCTGATACTCTTGAAATTTAGCGCATGTTGGTCTCGTCGTAGAGCTCACAGACACTCAAGCCTGTCATGGCACCTGCTAGTTCATGCTGCATGGATCAACACGATCGCAGTGCACATTTACTCCTGTTCTCTCTAGGGGATTCAAGAGAGCACGAAATTGAGGCTGAGCTCATGAATCCTAAGCTCGCATGACACGGACAACAGCGTCTCTGAACATGCTCAGGCCTTGCCCCAGCTCTCTAGATGAACCCCCTTCCTCGTGCCCTCATGCGTGCGACCGCAATGAAGCTGGGATGGATGACTACCTTGAAGATGAATGCTGCGAGACAACTGCGTTGACCTCACTACATCTGGCTGGAGTACACCTCTCGCGTTCACCTCGTGTAGTCCGTGCTGCTCAGCTGCCACCTACAAAAACGTGAAGTACTTCAGCCTTTCTCCTCGTCGCCATCCTTGTATTCCCAACTTGATCATTTACCTCATTCATTCTATCATGATGTCCTCATGGTCTTTCACTCTTCCTGCCTCAGTGTGGCCCAACTTCATCGCCAGGCGTCGAAGTGTGTTGAGTTCTACTCAAGACGACAACTCATATGCGTAAGGACCCTCCGTTTTGCCCACTGTTTCCGTTAAGGTCCAAGCGTATCTTCCATTTTCGTCTAGGTCGTTTCCGCATGCATATGTGCTCGTCATTGGTATCGATAAGTATAGGCACCTTGATGTCCTCCCGCTACACAGTGCAGTCAGCGACGCCAGTGACATGGTGCACTTTCTGCACAAGGAAATCGGGGTTCCGGACAGTCGAATTCGGAGCCTCACAAACTCAGACGCTACTAGAGATGAAATGATCTTGGCTCTCCAAGACCTTGCTACAAACAACGATATAGAACCAGACGATCCAATTATCGTCTACTTTGCCGGTCATGGGTCGGTGGCGGATACCACCGAGAAGTCGCCAGAAGTCCAGATGCTCTGCCCCTATGATTTCATTCCACGAAGAGAGGGGACCGAATGCGCTCAAGGTATACCCTATCATACCATCCGAGATTGCCTCGAGAAGACTTACAAGGCAAAACGTAACAGCATCGTCAGTTCATTTCCATGTTCACCGAATACACAGTGCTGAACTATGTCTCACTATCAAGACTCTGATTCTTGACTGCTGCCATGCCGGCGCGACCCTCAACGACAACAATGAGCCGACAGACGACCCTTTTGTTTTACTAGCTTCCTGTGGCCCCAGGAAGCTTAGCATGGAGGAAGGCGGTGGAGGGCTGTTTACAAGGGCTCTTCTACAGGTCCTGCACCGACGTCCTCATGTCACGCTCGGAGAGCTCCGTAGGGATTTATCACTATTTTACGAGTAAGTCTTTGCAGACATATGTACCGTCCAAGTGCTTTCCTACAGTCAATAAATTTTTCTTGTCGCTAGTCAGGATCCTTACTTCGTCGGTGCTGACGAACGCGCGGTCCTATTCATCCACAAACTCGCCAAAAAGGAGACGGGAGCTCTCCGAACGGTCAAGGCGGCGGAATATAGGGTTTGTAACCCCAGCCCTTTCTCCGAGGGCTCCTTCGACTACTCTCAGCCCTCCGGCTTTTGGAATTATACTAGGAACCTTGGTTGGGTTCGCTGAATGCGGTGATTGAGGTGGAGAATTCTGTCAAACATCTCACTTGTTGGCGCTATTCATCTATCAACTATGTAAACATTATTTATGTGCACCCGTAAACATATATATTTGAACTAGTCTTTGCTTGTGTTTCCATGATATGGCTGTTTCAGCTGCGATATATGTAGTCTTATTTAGTTAATTCCTCGTTCCCTTTGACGCCACCGCCACATCTCATAGATATGACGTAATAGTTAGGAAGTGACACGGAACAAAACTTCGCACTTTCTGCACAGGGCACTCTTGTTTTCACCCTTGTTTTCACCCTGAATCTCTCACCTTAGGCTACTCTCATCCAGCTAGTGATCTTTACCATCCAAACTTTCCAGCCTTGAAGTGATCTTTCTCCGAGGAACTTAGGCGTAAGTAGACTTCTGTGAGTCCTATGTGAGCCTCGTCTATAGTACTTAGTAGTAGTACTACTTGGCTGTTCAAAACTCAAGTGCTGTTCAATGGCCCGGCAAGTCTAGAATCCTATTGAGGCCAAAGCTTCCAGATAGTCAGGCTTGAAACTTGAGAAATAGCAAGTACCGGTCCATTGCCCACATAAATGGAACTCGGCAGCTCTCTCCACTGCCTCTGCAGGCAGCGACTGAAGACCATAACACCCTGAGGCGCGTTTCATGGCGGTAACATATGATAGTATCCAAATACAACCCCTTCGAAGGTGCCACCACAATCGGGGGTCATGAAAGTCGTCAATTCAGCGACCTGTAGTGAGCTACGAAGCACGGCGTTTGATAACGATTGGCTGTATGAGCCGAGTTCAGCAGTATTTTTTTTTTTTTTTTTTTTTGAATCCAATTTATTGTCCATCAGCGAAGAGGCCGCTATGTAAGACAGAATCGCGCGTGAAGTACAAACAGACAGAGAAAACAAGCGTGAGGGAGACAGACAGGAACCCAAATAGGCACGGAAACGGAATAGAGGGTCGCTGGAGAGGGAGAGGAGGAAAATACACAGGACTAGGACTAGGCAGTGGGGTATAAAGGGAATAAGACACGATGTAAAAACGGACACGAGACGGCGAGAACGGGCACGAGAATCAACACAGAGACCATATGAGAACGGACTGAGAGACCGGTGGAGTAAGACGAAAGAGAGCGAGAAACTTCGGATAACACGGGCAGAAAACGAACAAGTCAACACAGACAGAGACCGTGGTATGGTGAGGAACGTCAACAGAACGGGAGCGAGAAGGCACGGTGCAGTCACAACAAGACGGAGGTAACGGAGACGGGAGGGTGGAGCGGAGGGCAAGCACTACAACATTCCTACATCCTTCCACCCGAACGCGGAGAGGCGGAGTTGGATCGAACGCCCGAAGATGCGGAGTCGGATCGAACGCTCGAGCTGGGGAACTAGCGTCCAGTCATGAAAGTGGGTAAAAAGCGTTTAGCATGTCAAGGGCAACGGGCATGAGAGGATCGAAACAAATGAAAAGAAAAACAAGACAAAAGGAAACAGAGATAGAGACAGAGGAAAAGGGGCTTTAACCCGGATCAAATTCGCGGCGAATGAAGCGGCCAGTTGCATGCACGAAAGCCAGAAGTGGTATGACGCTGGCCTGCCGATCCAAAAGGACATCGAGACCCAGTCGACGAGTGCGACAAGCGCGTTGGAGGATGTATCGTTCATGTCGGTACTTCGGACACTCGAGAAGGAAGTGAACGACAGTTTCTTCAGCCGCACCACATGCCGGACAGCGGGAGGAATTGACAAGTGCAAATCGATGGAGGTAGTGGTTAAGGGGAACATGCCCGCACCGGAGTTGAAAGAGGATGCTAGAACCGGCACGACGTAGGGACGGGGTGTCGACGAGTTTAAGAAAGGCGTTGGATGGGAGAGAGGGACCGACGCGCCGAAACTGCTGAGAGCGTGAGGAGAGGGCCCATTCACTAGCCCAGCTATTAGTGATCTTGGACGTGAAGGACTGGACGAGCGCGGAGCAGTTGTAGGGAAGAGGGGACCGAAGTATGGCGGGGAGGTCGGCCAAGGCACTGGAGAGGCCACGAGCGGCGGATTTAGCTCCCCCGTCTGCAAGCTCATTACCCACGACGCCTTCGTGGCCCGCCACCCATCGAAGCTCCAGCCGGTAGCCTAATGGGCCACGCTCGCGCTTGAGAGCCTTCGCAAGGCGCACGAACTCGTCGACTAAATGTTGACCGGAGTGAGCAGCGGCAGTCGAGGGCGACTTCAGAGCGCTTTGATTGTCGACGTTAATGGAGGAGTGCACGCAGGCATCGGCTTCTGTCTGGATGAGGTGAATGCCGAGTACGAGTCCAACCAGTTCAGCCTCATACACAGTGTGGTGAGAAAGCTTCCCCAGATGGAAGTGGAGCATCCGGGGGGCCTGTCCCAGTCGAAGGAGAACCGCCGAGGCACCAACCTTGCCTTCAAGTGCGGAGCCGTCCGAGTAGATGCGAATCACGTTCGTCTGAGTGGCGTCAGATGCGACAGCGGCCTCCCTGGAGTCAGCGATAATGGTCGTGAATGGGAGCGAAGACCCTGGGCGAAGGGAGACAGGTGCGAGAGTCTCGATTCGATCAGGGACAATCCCGGTGAGGCGGAAGAGGTCATGGAGCGGCTCCCTGTGACGGGCGATGGAGACGTGCCGGGCACAGTGGCGCATGATGGGAAACAGCGGGTGAGATGTGGGAAGGGACACAATTCGTACAGCAGCTCGAGTGCAAATCTTGTCCACCCAGTGCATGGTTGGTAGAAGATAGGCATGAGCGTCGAGAACGGCGGTGGGAGAGGTACGGAGGCCACCGGTGATGGCAAGAGCACCAAGACGCTGAACGCGGGCCATAGCCTTGACATGACCGACAGAGCCTGACAGACGCGTTCCTCCGGTATCGATAAGGGGGGAGCACCATACATCAAGAGCATAACCCATCTTTGGTAGAGCGACCGCAATGAAAAGACGCCGTATCTGACCAGGCGACAAACCGCTAGATGGCTTGGCAAGGCGTCGGAGCTGAAGCGTCCAGTCCAAACCTCGCTTCACCGCGTACTGAGCCTGAACATGCCACCGAAGCTCCCGATCGAAGTGAGCCCCGAGATACTTTGCAGAGGGGGAAGACGGAACGATGGCGAGATCGGGGATGACCAGAGGAGGGTGGGGCATGACCTTATTTCGAGTGAAGTCAACAAGCGCGAGCTTCTTGGGTTCGAACCGAGAGTTGTGAGTCCGCGACCATTCGACCCCGCCACCCGGGCGGGTCATCATGGACGCCAAGGTGTGGTGAGTCTCCTCGAAGGTTTTTCCAGTTGCGATGAAGATGGTGTCTGCCAGGTGAGATCTCGGTGAACAAGAATTCCGAGTACAAGAAAGCAAGGATTCGTCGTGACCATAAGCACAACAGAGGTACCGCTAGTTCAAATGTCAGCCTTGGTTTTACGCGGCTGGATGTTGAGTTCCACGATACAGCTTTTATGATACAATTGGGCATCTCTAGGAAGGGTTGTATTTCTGGCACCTGGTCTTCGCTCGTGAACGCTGTGCTTGATGCTGTATCGGCTTCTCACCAGGAGCTAATAATAAAACCAGAATTGAATCATCCGCCGCCATAGCTTGAGCTCATTGGGCAAGCGGGGGTAGAGCGTTTGTTCGAGTCGAGACTATGGCCACCGACAACACGTCCTCCCAATGGGCTGCGGGCCCGCTAACTCCTATTACATGGAACTATGTACAGCATGGCCTGTATTTCTCAGGGCATACTATGGCAGACTTCCTTCTGCACCTACGCTCTACCCGTCTGCTCTCAACGGAGGTCTTTTCGTCGGGTAACCTGCTTGAATATGCGGAAGGGAACTAGCCGTGAAGTGGTTCGTTATTCTTTCGCTTCCCGCAGATGACAAACCGAAGACTTCAGGCTTTCGCTCACTGGACGAAGCGTGAATACAACAATCATCGCATCAAGACTACTGTGATGCTGTGCGCGCGTTCGAGAATATCATCGGGAGTAGAGCGTTATACAAGGAAGTTCCACTGCAGATCAAGGTAGAGCGGCACTGCCCCTTGGATGACCGAGGGTTCGACTGTAGTCTTACCGCTCTATTCCGACTTCACGAAACATTTCAGCATGTGTCCTTACAGAATGCACCTCTAGGATTTGCACAAAACCTCTACGGGGGGTCATCCAGTACACATTTTGACCATCTTCTGCTTCTCTCGTGGTCGTGTACTTAAACGGCTCTTTATTTTTTTCTGTGAGATGACCCTCGATCGCGGTAACATCAAGAGACATGCACAGTTGCAAGGCAAAGCAACGGGTAATAGTCGCCAAAGTTTGACGACGTGCTCTAATATCGACGCTTGGGGGCCTATCGTGATCATAGATCCTGAGGTAAGCAGTCATCAATCCTGGAAGCTGTCAATAGCTCATCGCTTCCACAGCCTCAAATGCTAGCTCGCAAATTCGCTTCTGCCCTTGCATTCGGATTTGATACGCTGTTCCCGAGATGGACAGAAGGGGATGGCAAAAGGTCCAAACACACCTTGTTTTATCGTTGTCCGCGGGGTTGAGGTACTAGGATCCCAGGACGAAACACACAGATACGCTGTGGTGCCGGTAGACGCTGTCAAATTGTGCCGATGCTATGATAGACCATTCCCCAGGAGGCCAATATCTGCTTCCATATGGGTTCGTCACTGACTTTCTGTTGTCCATCGGGCACCAGGTATCACCCTCTAAGATACCTTTGTTCCGATAAGAAAACCTCTGCGCCTGCCTCTCATCCACGCCATCAGTATCCCTACCCATCCCTCAACCCGCACCTCCTCTCTCCTCGTTCTCTATTGATCCACCCCGCCATTTTCTATTGTCAGTCACATTTATATGATACTCAACTGGATACACAGGGCTCTTGGCTGCCTGAAGAACGTCCTACGGTTTCTGTCTACGTGAGTAGCACTACAAATCTTCGACGTTGTCAATACGTGTTTGAGTAACTTATTCTGTTTTGTACTTCTATCGACATTTTTTTACAATGTTTCTCTAGCTCACACAGATGTTTGCACGGTAGCAGCGACGAACAGAATGTTCCAGAGTCACCGTGAGGGACTGTCTACCTCTGTTCATGATGAATAATGTGCTTACTATTTCACGTTCCTCGTAGCGCCCTAAAGAAGTAAGCACTCTTTGATTGCCGACTCGATTCAAGGCTCACTGCACCGTGAACCGATCTAGTCCATACCAGCAGTTATACGCTGTCATAATTGGGATCAACAAATATCAGCACATCGAGCATCTCTCTGCAGCTGTTGCGGATGCCAATGCCGTTCGCTCATTCTTGGAGACATCGATGTGTGTTCCCAAGCAGCGGATCTCGACTCTCTTAGACGAGGCAGCGACTCGCGCAAACATCCTAGGACAGCTTCAACAGCTAGCCAACACCGATGTTATCCAGCGCGACGACCCAATCCTGATATTCTACGCCGGACATGGAGCACAAACTGAACTACTGGGAGGAGAAACGATTGAGATGATATGTCCGTATGATTTTCGAGCGGATGGAGACAGTAAGGATGCCAGTGCACAGGGCATTCCAGACTTTACACTCGGTCATCTTCTCAATCGTATTTCTATGGCTAAGGGCAACAACGTTGTCAGTGAATTCTCTATCTATCGACATTGACAATATTAATTTGGTCTTGTTGTACGTCGTTCCAGACCGTGATTTTTGACTGTTGCCACGCCGGTTCGGCTACTCGGGCTGTGAATCCACTCGTGCAGACTCGCAGAGTGCGCGGTATCCATCTTTCTAAGGGATACAACATCCTGCCTGGACTCGATCACGATCTGTTCCGGAGGCCTCTCTGGCATCGTACACAGGTCAAACCTCCCGCGCCACATAATACATCCCATATACTTCTCGCAGCTTGCCAGAAGAGGCGCGCCTGCTGGGAAGATAACGACCAAGGGATGTTCACAAAGGCCTTGCTTGACCACCTGCGGGCTCTCAGCACTGGTGATCCATTCAACATTTCGTACGAGGACCTCATCATGAGCCTTAATGATATTCCCGAGTATGTTCATAATTTTACAACCATTATATGTTATGTTACAGTCTCCAACGCCCAACTGATTCATTCTCCATATGATTTTTTTGTCTACAGTCAGAGCCCTCAGTGCGAAGGTATAGACAAGTCAAGGGTGCTATTCGAAGCAGACACCTTTAAACTGCCCGACGTGTTCTACAAAGTCTCAAAGATGGCGAACGAGCCGTACCACTTGCACGCCGGAGAAATTCTTGGGATTACGGACGGCGCTCGTTTCGATGTTTATATCGATAGGAATCGCTTGCAACCGGTTGGCGCATTTTTCGTGAAATCCACCTCCCCGTCATCTGCTGAGTTAGGGCCTGATGGTTCTACGGAAGACTTCGCCGTTACATTTCCATTATCTGCCACTTTATATGCGGTGAAAACTGGTGTGGGGAGAGGACAGAGGGAGTTGACAGTCTCGGTCAGTGACGAGTTACGAGCCCTCAGGGAGTTCTTGATGAAAGATATGACGATGGGTAGCTTCCAGGGCAAGATCACTGTCCTGGACACCAACGCGACGATGTCTCCGGATGTCGCCGTGCGTATGGAGCGGCAACGAATTCTTTTCACTTTCAGGATTGCCGAGAGTGAGGGGACCACCAGTTTTGCATCTACGACGGCTCCTATCTTCGAACGCGATCGTAGCTACGGGAAACTTGCCTACATTATATCCAAGGCTATCCACTTCTACTCCCACCTTCGACGCTTTCCTAGTACGAACAACCATCTTCCGAATAGTGACGGCATTCGCCTCGAAGTCTTCAAACTGCAACCCACAGACGATCACATTGCCAATGGACGGATGCTCGTGGAACTTGAAGGAGGTAACCTGAATGTGACAGGAGGAGATGACAAGTACTTTGGCTTCAGGGTGTTCAATCCAAGCGAACATCCACTATTTGTCGCGTTGTTCTACTTTTCTGTGAGCAGGATGGTAGTTCGTAAGTTTTCCTCCAATCATTTTCTGATCCACATGAAATCACGCATTCGTGAAAAGTCTCACCGAAACATCAATATTATCTAGAATCGTGTCACGAACCAATTTCAGCGAAGGCCGGCAGGGCGGACTATTGTGTCTCTGCCGGAGGTGATCTCGCAATTGGCTATGGCTTGAGCGCCGGCCGATCCCATCACTTTACGTTCGATACGGGTCAAAAATTCGACGTCGGTTTCCTGAAACTCTATCTCTCCACAGAATGGACCGATTATTCGAAAATCAATTTACTTGAGCGTCAAGCTCGCATAGATCAGGAATATCACCCTCCCGCTAAATCTCCGGCTCTATGGCATGCTATCTGTATTCCCGTAAAAGTGACGTGGCCCAGAAACCGCTCAATGTGCGTCTTTGCATGAAATCGAACTTCACTGGTGAGACATCTTCAAGTCTATTTCATCATCATAATCAGCTCTAACTGATGGACTTCAGGTTCAAGGCTGTTCAGTAGCATGCATCTTATTTACATAAGTTATGCAGATTGTATGTATTCATTATCCGTGCACAGTCGAAGAATTATTCCGGCGGTGGAATGAAGGTTTTTAGTCTGATCTTGAGCTATCGTATGTGTAGCGTTGCTCTTGAGTAAAAATCCGAGCCTCAATCCCGAAGTTATACGACTGTAACGCGTTTACACAATGCAGTTCTTTGTAAGACCAATAAGCACTCGCTGTACGCGGACAGGCGGGGGCATAGCACCAATTTATTTTAGGAAAACACGAAGAGTGCATGGCGAGAGCAATTTGCCACGAAGAATAATCGATTCCTACCTCACAGACCAAATATCGATATCTACCATAACATGAATAGAGTGACCGTCGAGGAAATTGCAGTATAGCAAACACTTCGCAGATGGAGAGGTCTGTATCTGGATGGTTCTAATATGGGATACAAGTCTCATCTACGCTGAGCGCTGACCAAATTAAACAAAGCTGATGTGTGATGATTATTGTCGCCAACGCAGAATTTCAGGGCCAACTTGTTTACTGGCCTCCCACATCAACGATAGGATGAATGTAGATATAATCACGGTCGGACACAATCCCGCAGTTTTCGTAAAATCCAGCCTAGACAATAAGGGCGAACCATACAAACTAAGACGTGGATTCGAGAATGGTAGCAAACATATTGATATAACAACTTCTCAAGTTCATAACCTCTGTTACTGGAGCTTGTTTTGACATCGGCTGTCGCCAATATGTCCCTGCCGTAAGCGGCGTACTTCCTCGTTCAACTGCTCAGAGAGGGTATAGAAGTCATTACATAGATTTCTGGTGTGAACGATTGAGCAAGCCCGTCACTCACCATAGTAGTCCCGTTGCTACTTTCCCCAACGCCTCTTCCGTTGTATCACAGGAACCGTGACAGTGTGCCATCTTCCCGGAGTGCTTCCAGGGTCTATGGGAACGCCCTTATCGACGCGAGCAGTACCTCTTGCCTGCGTGATCTTCGAGAAGTCAACCCACTCCGTTGATAGGAAAAGCTTCAAGAACCCGACGTCTATGTCCTGCCCGTCTTCCAAGGTGTATCGTCGTGGATTTCCGCCCCCCGCACCGTACCCAACCTCCAGTCTGCCTTTGGCTCGAACACAATAATCAGCACTATAGTTTCTGGCGGAGGTCGGCTCGTAGTATGACTCTGTATGATAAAAAGTAATTGCGACTAAGAACAGAGCGACTCGGAGAATATATGAACGATCACACAGTTAAATAATGAAAGACAACTTACTGATAGCGAGGTCGCTCATACCGAAATAGAATAAGGCGACATAGAGGGGAGTATCTGTGTTATTAACAACGCTGAAGCCGTATATCTTGTTGTCGTCCGTCGCGACATTGAGAGCGCCATTTACGATGAGATTTTCCCTCGGAATTTTCACGCATATGCGAGGCTGCGTTCCTTGCCTTGGATTATGAATTAGCTGTAACTCGAAACATTCTAGATGAATATTTTCGTGGTCGTCGAGCGGGTTCGCCAACGCCGAAGTCCGGGTAAGATGGAAGGCCATGTCCGCGGCTCTTGATATGAGGTCTAGGATCTTGTCGATCTCGTGGCGTCTGACGGGTTCGTGGACAGAGATGGAGGTGATTCCTTGGGAGTTGCAGATTAAATCATCGGTGCTTGTATGCAGGGTAACTTTATCTCCCTTCGATACTAATGCGAGTCGAAATGGTCCGGGCGACGAAGAATTTGTGTCAAGGAGGGTGATTCTGAGTCGTCCAAGCCGCATGCTCATCTTCGTCTCATTTTCCACTCGTTTCCTGATTTCGGGGAGATCCTTGTCGACCAACACAATCAGCTCCCTCCCATCATTCTTCCCCGCTCCTGTCTGTACTGCATACGCACGCCCTGGCCCAGATGAGGAAGAGGCGATTGGAGCGTCGATTGGCCTCTCGTGGATATTGACTAAATCGGCGGTAGCCACCGAGACGGTGTCGGCACGAAACTCTCCCAGAAATTGCGTGAGCGATTTGTCGGCATATATGTTGAACATAGATCCGTCCGTGATCCCTAGGACCTCGCCAGCGTCCAAGGCGTAGAAACCATCATTTGTGAGGACGTTGTACACAGTGAGATCGTGACGCTGGGCGCTGGAAGATTCATTACTGAAGAGAATCCTATGTTTGTTGAAACCCTCGCATTGCGGGTGCTGTCTTTGCACGGCGTGATCCACTATCAGCCATTCAAGTCAGGCACGGCAAGGGAACCGGTCTGCTTACTCGTCAAGAGGGTAGAGATTCTCAATGAGGTCTTCATATGTGACTTGCAAAGTTTCGCCATTCATATAAGTCTCAAGACTGGCAAGAAGGGCCTTCGTGAATCGCCCTCGGCCCTCCACCTCCCAGCTGTACTCGTCTCTCTTGCAGGCTGCGAGTAGAACGTGAGACCACAACCCCGCTTTTTCGAATCCATCGAGTGGGCGGCCAGAGCGCCGGTGTATTTTTGGCAGCGTTTTATCGTCAAGGCGTGATAAGATAGTGTAACTGTTGGAGTCGAGCCTGACTCCGCGTGCTTTGCGGGACGAATTTCGTGTTCCAGAGCCAGCATAGCAAGAATCGAAGATGACCGTCTTGTCTCGGAAAAAGGTTAGCTTTGTGTTTATGAGAAAAGTTCATAAACTTGTCAACTGACAATATTGTCGCCCTTCTCCTTGGAAACTTCATTCAAAAGAGCGGCTAGAGTAAGATCGGGGATACCTTGCATGTCCGGATCAAGGTTCTTCTGTGGATTGAAGTCGTATGGGCAAATCATCTGTATCATTCCCTCGGACGATCTTTCGGGCCACTTTGCCTCCGCACCATGCCCTGCGTAGAAGATAAGAATGGGGTCGCCTTTTCTGATATCCCAGGCAATGTTTTCCTCTGCGAGGAGGGAAAGGTTCTTGATAATGCTCTGACGAGTCGCCGCTTCATTTCGAATAACCTGGATGCGTTCCTGTGAGACACTCATTTTCTCGTTTACAAACTTGAACACCGAATCCGCATCGGCTACTGCGCCGCTCAAATTCGGCATGCGACTGTGTTCGTATATATCGATTCCGATGATGAGAGCGAACAGCCGCGCATAGGAGCCACTGTAAGAAGGAGAGTAGTTAGTCAGGTCCTCTGCATGGAATCGTCGAAGGAAGTTCATACGCCTCCCGTTGCTCAGAATGCGAAGTCCTATTGATGAGTCGTTACAGTTTGGATACAGTGTCAGTACTATAGCTCCAGCGCAAGGGTTCAAGCGATAGTGGAGCTTACATAGGAATAGCTTGTGCTTTGTCACTGTGGACCGGCGCCTGTCGGATGCCACACAACAAGATGCAGAGAATACGAGGGCGTTGGGAGGTTGAGGACGAGGCAAGCGAAGATTTACATTGGCATATGTATCGATGAGAACCTATATAATAAATAGAGAGTCAAGAGGTATCATTTCTGTCATTAACGGAAGAAGACGCGGGATGGATTCAGATTTAACCGTAGATGTGAGAAGAAAAGAAAACGAGGAATCTGCGTGCGTAGTTTAGATTGAGAATCTGAACTTAAATGGGGGCACGAGATGTTCCAACAACAGACGGGGTTCATGGCATGTTAAGGACTGAAGTGCACGACCGGTCTTCTTGGAGAAGGGTTCGTGAAACGAGCAGCGTGCAGGTCTACAGGCATAGATAACATCGTTATACGAAGAGTCATCGTAGACAGAAGCGTGGAGTGGGAGTCCCGATCTTCAAAAGCCCTCTTACGAGACTGATATAGCATCGCCCAGTCTGGGTAGGCCTATAATATAGGACGAACAGTGGTGCGGAGAAACGCCGCAGTAGAAACAGCTCCCCGTAAACAGTGTCACACGATCGCGCTCAATTTATCAGGCCAGTGGAGAATATGTATGGCCTGAGTGGCGAGGTGACCCTGAACCCACATCCTACAAATGGGTCACTTATGATCGTTGGCAAACCCGGAAGGGCATTCCAGACAATATTAGACATCGTGCTTGTCCTCGGAATCATGGCCTCGGCATGTGAAAGCAGACTGCCGGCAGCAGTACCATATCGTGATACGTCAACAATCAGAACGTGAAGGCGAAGACAACCGCTTGCAATAAGGTCAAGCCCAGATGTATGAACTTTCCGTAGAGTAAGCTATGGCTTATGTGAGGTTGCCTACGGACGTCAATAAAACATGATTAAGAGTGGCGCAAAACAGAACTCATACAGACGCACCTTCCATTGTATAATAGGTGTGCAGACTGAATCCCACAGCGCCATCCCATTGCTTTGACTAAGGCTGCGGGTGGCGCGACCATCTTCGAATGGAGAACGTTGCGAGACATGCGAGTAGTCAACCCATTCCGTAGAAAGGAAGAGCGTTAAGAACCCAACGTCGAGGTTCTGACCTTCTAGTAGAATATATTGCCGCGGTTGTCCGCCGCCAGATCCATACCCAATCGTGAGTTCCCCTCTTGCGGGGACGGAGTATTCAACATTGTGATCCTTGGCCACACCCGGCTGATAATATGACGCTATACGATGAAGGCAAACGATCATCAGCCCGTGATAGCGAGATTGCGCTAAGGTATATACAAGGTAAGTCTTCCGACGACTATAAATAGTTGACGTACTGATAGCCAGGTCGCTCACTCCAAAGTAGAATAGAGCAGCATAGAAGGGACGATCGGTGCTGTTGATTATTTTGAAGCCGTATATCTTTCCATCTCCTGCGAGTACATTCAATGCACCGTCCACGATGAGATTCTTCTTCGGATCCTTCTCCCGGACGACAGCACGACGGCCGATCCAAGTTACCGCGAGCTCAACACATTCCAGGTGCACAGCATGCTCGTGGCGCTCGCTCACCAGTCGGCCAAGGTGGGAGTAAAAAGCAGCGGCGCTGAGTATGACGGAGAAGATTCTATCGTGCTCGTTGCACGAGAGGTCCCGACAACAGTAGATATCTGTGAGGCCCTGGGCACGACATGTTTGATCGTTGAGCCCGAGTCGGAAGGAGACGTGATCTCCCTTTGGGACCAAGGTCATATGGGGAACTGACGGGTCATGCACGTCGAGGAGGATGATCTTGAAGCCTTGCTGCGCCTCCTGTAGTCTCTCCACCAGGAGTCGCCTGACCGCCGAGAGACGTTCGTCGTCTGTGATCTTCACCGTAAGATCTTGTCTCGGTCCCATTTGAGTGCGTTGCGCGTAGGCGATTCCAGAGGGCGGGAATGGAATACGACTTTGATTGGAGTCTGGGTCGACTTGTAGCGCAGCGGTTGTATCTGCAGAAGATCTGACGACCAAAGACCCAATAGGCCTTTCCGAGTCGAGGTTCTCGTATACGTGGTATTTGTCGCCAGCCATAACCCCGAAGGTCTTTCCGGCGTCTAACTGATAGGAGCCGCTCTCCGATTGCGTGACCCTTTGAAGAACACGATTGGAGGCTATCGCCTTGGAGTTGAACAGAGTCCTGTACTTGTAGGCACCTTCGCATTGAGGATTCTGGCTACGGATGAAATGAGATGAAAAGACACCCCTGAGTCTGTGATCGCTCGCGTTCGAACTGGGTGCATAGTTGTCCGCACTTACCCGACAATATCAGGAAGGCCGGTGATAAGATCTTCATACGTAACGCTTTCGATGGCACGAGCAAGAAGAAAACCCAAGAGCGCAGTGGTGAAGAATCCGCCTCTCTTCGTCTCCCTACTGCGCTGCTCAGCCTTGCAAGCTGCAAGCAGAACGTGGGACTGCAGTGCCGAATTCTGGAAACCGGCGAGCATTCGTTCCGCACGAGGGCCACTTTCGGAGAGTATGGCGCTGTCGATGGAGGACAAGACGCGATAGTCATTGGGGAGATCTATGCCGCGCACCAAAGTCGTTGGACTTTCGCAGTCTTGCCTTGTACCGGAACCAGCGTAGCAACAATCAAGAACAACGGTCTGAGAAGACATCATGAGTGAACGGAATTGTTATTATTCATGAAGGTCGAACATGACTGACGATGGTATTCCCTTTGGACCGTGCAATTTTGTCTAATAGGATGGCTAGGGTGAAGTCGGGGATGCCTTGAGAGTTCTCATTGTCAGTTGTCCGCGGTACGAAATCGTAAGGGCACAACATCTGGATGCGAGGTTTCAGCCCTCCACCAGCAGGCCAACCGTCGGGCGGTGCTGCCTCCGTCCCATGTCCGGCGAAGAAGATGAGGATTGGGTCATCGTGCTTAATATCCGCGCTCGTAGCTAACCCGCTCAGAGATGCTAAAATTTCGTGGCGGGTGGCTTCCTCGTTCCGAAGGGTTCGGATATGGTGGCTCGGAATGCGCATTGACTCTCGTAGGTATTGATTCATTGCGTCAGCATCGAGGACAGCACCACGGAGGTGAGGGAGGTGCTCGTACTGGTCAATGCCGACGATAAGAGCGAACAAGCGCAGAATTGGCCTGAATTCGATACAAGGATCAGACCCATTAGTCTAGAAGGAAGTTATTCTTACATATGAGAATTTATCTCTTGAGAACAAGGTCTACAGTCACGATTTCAGTACAGGAGCGAGTGCAACGAGGAAGACAATTTCATCTGACCTCGAAGGAATGTTCTGGCGTTCATGGTCTTGAGACAGCGGCTGGTCATCGAGGCTGAAAAAAGTACGTTAGAATTTGTCGTATGTATGTCGTATTTGCTTGAGGAATCCTCGTTTTCCGCTACGAGCCGGAGACCTCGTACGGCGGAGGAAACGAGTCGCGAGTCCGACCCGCGGGCCGGGTGGAGCGGACTGGACAAGTGCAATGGGAGGACGAACCTAGACGGATGCCTGTCCCAAACAACTTGTCAGAACCGATCGATAAGAATTGTCACGCTAGCGTAACGGAAACCTAATTGTAGTCTGACTTTTCACGAGACGGTCTCACAAATATACTCCTGATTGGTATTTCAGCTTGAGAGATAAGGCTACTAACCTGGGTGCTTACTCTTTCAAATGGTGCAAACATAGCATGATCCATCGTAAAACACGACACCTCCTACAGTAGTCAAACATGTTGGATAACTGTCTAGGGGTTCTCTTCGGGGTAAAGACAATGCTGGTGACTATGGAGCAGCAAGGAGCGGGAGAGCTTTAATACTTGCATACACGTTGGGTCAATATATGACATACCGCTCCGGGTGGGATAGAGCGCATCGCCCACCCTCGATTTGGCATGAGGTAAGGAAGCCGTAGCTATATTACTATCGCGGGATTTAGGCGGTTAGGACTATAACAAGTTCTAAGACATTTCCGCGGGTGATATTTCGGTAGGTTTCCCCGTCGTCTATAAGTTTGGAGATCATGACTGAAGTCATGTTTTGTGAACTGCTCAAATGTCGTTCAAGGTACGTTCTCAGGGCGCGAATTTGCTTCCACCTGAACGCGCAGGCCGATTCGGACTACAACGGCGACAAACGATTGGCGTTAAATTCTGTCGCGCTTACAGCAGAGTAATTGAGAGCAGTCGATTAAAACAACGCGAACGCCGCGGGAAGAACACTGGGAGAACTGAAGCAGCAGTGAGGCCCAGAGCTGACAAAAACTCCGCGCAAGCCTTGGCCAAAATACGGTAGTTCATAAGACCAGCCGCATGGTGTTATTCATGTATGGAAACTTACATCAAGATAAGTGCCGTCCTCCTGATCAACAATAACGTTGAAGTATAATGGGATTCTGTGCTTCAACGTGGGCCAAGCGTGTTGTCGACAGTGTTAAGGAACTTGGAGCAACCGAACCTGTTTATACGCAGGGCATATGAAGGTGTGCGACGCCTTGACCGGATGTGAGAGCTCTTCTGTGCTGAACGTGAGAGCTCAGCCTGTCAGATGAACAATCAGAGGTAGTCAGAGGTGTGTCAACAATGTTAATGGGAATGGAGACTTCCCTTTCATATGTCAACGGCTGGAAGGTGCATAGATAACAGTCTTGACTGCTCACCTCACATTTCACGTCTAGTCTTGTCGACTAATCGACTGATGATTACCTTACGGGATTCAACGTGTTTAAAGCGACCCACACGCGGCCTCTCGATCAACGGTACACCGCAAAGCCAGGTCGTTCATGCGCTCTTCTTTATCATACTCGACATAGTTATGGGTACCCTTCTTCCCGCTACAAAGAGGATGTCACCAACGTGTTTGCAGAAAGGAGGACGGAACGCACCGGGCTGTCTGCTGGTTCGCTCATGGGAAGTAAGATCCGGTTCAACTCATATGACGAGATGTCTAAGGTTAACTTCTGAGGGTCATCGGACAACACCTAGATACCCGCTATTCCACTGCTCAGCAAGGAATATTTTCTTCTCCAGCTGCTATCGACAGTCCTCTATCTCGACCTTGATCGCAGAGCATAGAGGCGCACAGTGACATCACTGCCGTATCCCACCAACGTTAACCACGCAGACATGAAACGGCGCTGTTTCTCACAGGGGAGCGTAAATAGAGTCTTTGGAAAAGCTAACTATATATGACTATCAGCATGGATGGGGGCGAAATTCAAGACACTGACACTGACCTAACCGTCAATGTTGTCGCTGTCCAACACACATCTAGCAGAAAGACACAGGATCTTCGCACTGGAAGAGCAAGTATATGGTCCAGGCCTGTTGATGAGAGTAAGCAAGCCCTGTGGTGGACGAGAGGCAAGAATACATTGATTCGGGGGTTGAGCCCAACAATTTGAACATAAAGTATACGGCACATTGATCAGATATCCCTATTATGGATTGAGACGCCCAACCACGACTTTCCCCGCGATGCTGTCTCCATCAACACATTGAAACAGCCCACGGTCCGACGTCGTCCATTCTTCATCACAAGTCAACGATCACCACTCACTCAGGAAGTTGAACAACCGAGATGATCCGAGAGCGAGACGGTGTTTCGTGCACGATGAATTTAGTCTACACGCTTGTTCGATGTCTTGCCAGTCTCCTTGTTGTACTGCTCAGCAAGCCTGTCGTACTCGGCGGCTTGTTGTGCGGACTGCTTCTTCAAGGTTTCTAAAGATGTGATAACGAACAGCGGTCATTACTATTTCCCATCTGACACACGAGCAGAACAGACACAACGTAGTAGACGGTGAGGTAGACGAGATGGATGAGGGGGTAGTGAAATATAAGGCAATAACATACCAAAATCACGGCCAGACTTTTGGGACTCAGCAAGCTGACGTTTAAGATCCTCGATTTGCTTGGACTGGTCGCCGGAAGCGAGGTCGCCGCGCGACTTGCTCGAAGTCTGGACACAACCGAGACAAATGTACACCATGTCATCAATATCCGTTCAAACGAGACACTCGTAACGAGAAAGAAATGACAACGTACGGCGTTCTTCAGTTTGCCATATTCTTCCTGGGTGTGAATGAGTTCTTGGATAATGTAGAATGTGCGGGTGAGGACAAGGGAGAGGAAGAGACAGAAGCCGGTGAGGTAGGTATTGCGTTGGGCGCTTTATTATGTGATGCATCGCAATCAAAGGCGCAGCAGCTCCGGTCAGCATCAAAAGGTATACGTGGTCAAGTCGCATTACTTACTAGAATTTACGAGCAGCAAAGTTCGTCTCTGTGCGAACGTCCTGCATACCCGACGCTCCGGACTTTGCGAGTTCGACCTCGCTCGTCACTCTGAACATCCTCTGCGTTGCATCCACGAACAAAATGAATATAAATCTATAGTATCACCAACACGTTTATCAAAACGCGATGACGCGGCACGAAGGAAATAACACGTCAGCGTTCCGCTTTGACATGCGTGGAGCGGGGACAGGGACAACAGAACAAAGGCGACGAACATGAATGATATTTTGAGTGCATAGGCGACTTTCGCGACGATTTTGCTTTCCGAGAGGAAGTGGAAGAGCTTCTTGCGGATTTGATAGGGCCATGGCATGACAAAGATGCAGAAGGTGACCATCTCGGCCGCGAGTAGGAGGAAGGTGAGGGAGTAGCTGCAACATAGAACGGTGCACGCGAGCACGATGAAAGTCAGTACTTTCTGTTTTATATTTTCAAAATAAAGCTGAATACAAACTAGATCGTCATTTTGTGCGTTCAATGGGACACAATTGAGGTGTTGAGGTTTTGGAGAGAGAAGCGAGGAGAAGAGGTTGAGATTGATGAAGAGGCGCAGAACCGCCGCGCACTGTTTATACGTGTCTTTGCGGCGTGACGTCACTCAACCTGGGGTGCCACACAGCCAAGTCGAATTTCCATTTTCAAGCTGGTGCCACACATCACTTATTATAATAAATTGAGCCCGAGACGAATTGTAGTCGAAATATTACTCTCGGCAGTCGCAAAAGAAAGCACATATCGTAGACGTAACCGAAAAAAGAATAGGTACATCATGAACGGTAAGCATCCAGTACGTGAGATTAAGTATAATACTTGCACATGAAACCCCTGCTAGCGAACTGACACCGTCGATTCAGAATCGGGTGCAAAAGAAGAAATTTGGTCATTATCCCCACGAGCAAAGAACAATGGCTTATTCCACTCGCCACGATACGTGCACGACGGTGCTGAAGATATTGACACCTCCTGGATGGCTATCTGCTCTGGCATCACGGGTTTATCAGCGTTCAGAAGCTGCTAAACATCAATATCTGGAGTGATTGTGAGAGTGAGTCGTAGGATTTTGACGAAAGACCGAATCCCGTCGACTCATCGTCGAGGTCAAGGTCTAAGCTTTCAAGAACGTTCAAGTTCGCCGCTGTTCTTATGGAAAGCCCCTAACCCTAAGTCCCACGCCACCAACGAGGACGCGTCACGTCTTTGCAAATTGCCACCCAACGAAGAAGACGCGGTGACGCGTTCGTCTTCTCCATTTTCCTCCGTCTTACTTTGACGAGCTCAGATTACTGCTTTTCATCATCGGATTATAGAGGATATCTCACTGTATCTTTGAAGAAAATGTCGACGTTGAATGTGCATATCAAGCATGCGGGGAAGGTGTACGATTTGACTCTGGACACAGCACGGCCACCATTGGCTTTCAAGGAGGAGATCTACCAGAAGACTGGTGTGCCGATGGATAGGATGAAGGTGGGCCGGGTTTCTTCACTGTTTCGTGCCTATGGTGATTGCTTATATCGCCATTATAACCTCATAGGTTATGGTGAAAGGCGGGATGCTCAAGGTTCGTCAGTCGGGTTGGGCCACACTCGCTGTATGTTGACTTTGAAGTGCAGGATGATGCAGATTGGAAAAAGATTGGTCCTAAGGAGGTACGTTTGATCCTTCCTGCCTTTGAGCTGCATTGCTCACTAATGCGCCACTCCACAGAACCAAACCTTTATGGTCATCGGTGCCGCTGGAGAACTTCCTAAGCCACCAGAAAAGCCGATTGTCTTCCTCGAGGATATGGACGACGCTGAGCTTGCCAAAGCAGTGCGTTTATCCTTTCTTTTTTGATGAACTGCATTAATTGATGGACTTGTCGTCGATGGTTTAGCTCTCCTTGCCGGTCGGATTGCGCAAGTCAGTGAACTCCTTTGAACTCGCTTGACTATCCTCCTGACATCCTCTTTCTCCTGTCTTACTCCCAGTCTCGGCAACACATGTTACATGAACGCGACCGTCCAAGCCTTGCGTGCCATTCCTGAACTCCAGGCAGCTCTTAACGCGTACGTTTTTTCTTTCCACGTTCTCCACACAACGATGTTTACTCAATCACACCTTCCTGCTTGCAGATCTACACCCTCAGACACACTCCCGCGTTCTCTTCGTGATCTATACAACACGATGTCTAATACAACAGATGGTGTCACTCCCTTTAGCTTCCTTCAGATGCTTAGACAAGCGGCTCCGCAGTTCGCAGAGCGGGCTAGGGGCTCGAAAGGTGGAAATGGGATTTTGGATATGGGAGGGTACGCTCAGCAAGGTGAATTTTTCTCTCTCCTTCTATGGAATGTGAAGCACAGGCCACTGCACCGCTGTAACTTTCAATTTGAGCGTATGAACGAGCAAAGGACAACATGTGCTCATTCTTCACCTCTGCTTGTAGATGCGGAAGAATGCTGGACTGCTCTCGTCAATTCTCTGAAGTCGGTCAAAGGTCTTCCTGGTCCCCTCGCACACAACAACAACTTCGTCGAGCAGTTCATGACCGGCAAGATGCGCCGCGAGTGCGTATACTTTCTTCTTCTTGATGTGCCACAATTTTGATGCACTGACACTTACTCTATACGTTGTTGCGGTTCGATAAAATAGGCTTAAGTGTGACGAAGCACCCGACGAAGCACCGAGTGTCACGACCGAAGACGTCCTCAAGATCGAATGCAATATCTCTATCTCGACGAATTATATGCATACTGGCATCATGGACGTGCGTCTTTCCCTCCGTCTCTTTTCGTCGATCGAGCTTTGGACCCGTGCTCATCCTCCTTGGGTGATGTTGTCCATGGATCGTGCAGGCTCTGGACCAGAAGATTGAGAAGCGCTCCCCGACGCTTAACCGCGAGGCCGTCTACTCTCAAAAGTCACGTCTGGCTCGCTTACCGGCATATCTCGCCGTACATATGGTGAGGTTCGCGTGGAGGAGAGATATCAACAAGAAGGCAAAGATCATGGTACGCCTTTTGAATCTTCCCTTCCTCTGGCTTTTTTTGCTGTAGCGCTGACTCTTCTGCATCCGTGAACCTGACTGGTGATGACAATGTACAGCGCAAAGTCAAGTTCCCGACCGAATTCGACGCCCTCGACCTCGCCACGGATGAGCTCAAGACGAAACTCCTCCCTGCATCCCGCCGTCTGAAAGAGATCGAGAAAGAGCGCGCTGAACGCCGTAAAGTCCGGAAACGTACCAAAGAGGCACAAGAGGCTCAGTCAAAGGCTGCTGCATCTGCCTCTGCCTCTGCCTCCAATGCGGAATCGGCAACTGCGACGACTACGACGACCGCTCCTGATGGTGGGGACGTACAGATGGCTGAGGGTGCAGCCACTGTGGATGCGGATGCGGAGATGGTGACGGGCGAGAATGCTGTGGAGGAGACGATGACTGAGGAGGAGAGGGCGAGGGAGAAGGAGAGGAGGGAGTTAGAGCAGTTAGTTGATCCGGAGGTGAGGGATGATGTCGGAAGTAGTGAGACAGGACTGTACGAGCTGGTTGGTGCGTACTATCATCATCCCTCTTCTGTGCCTTGTGCTCCGGACTGAATACTTTATTGTGGTTTGCACTAGCCATCATAACCCACAAAGGCGCTGCCGCCGACGCAGGGCATTACATCGGCTTCGTCAAACGATCCGTTTTCCATCCCTCCATCCCTGCGGCCTCTTCCTCCTCCTCCGCACCAGGTGTGATAGGCGGTTTGGAGGAAGGTGACGAGGATTGGTATAAATTCGATGACGAGAAGGTGTCAGTATTCCCGGCTGAGAAGTTGGGGACGTTGGATGGAGGAGGGGAGGACGCGAGTGCGTATGTGCTGTTGTATAGGACGAAGTCGCTGGCTTGAGCGTGGAGGCCGAGATGGTGGTAGTAGAGAAGTGGAAGGGAAGTGGCGAGGTCAAGGGATCGAACAAGGCAGGAATGATTTGGAGTGTGTACGGTTTCTCTGTTGTATGATGTTACAAGCTCCTTAGTTCTGCATGACGGAAATGTCATCAGTATACGGTTTCCCGTCTCCTCTCATTAGTGTTTGTTTAAGGATAGCTTAAGAATCATCCATGAGAGTATGCTTGACAGTTTCGACGATGTCGCATGCGAGCCAAACCGAGGTCGTTCTTTGTACGATTGCCACAGTGGCGCCAACATGCAATTACATAAGCTGCCCCATCCAATTCGTGGGCCACAATCAGCTTTGAGCATACGCACTCTCGACTGTTCCACTACTTATACTCTACTTCCGCTCGTTTCCTTTGTCTGACTGCCCATCATGAATGTATTTGCAAGGGCAGCCCCGAAGAAAGGTCGGGAGATTCACCGTCATCTCCAATAACCGTTGCTAACGCGCAAGCACTCCCGGAATCCCCTCTGTCAATCATCTTTGACTACATAGGCGAGAACTTCGAGCTCAGAGCTGACCTGAACAGCGAGTATAAAGACAAGCGGAAAGATGCTATCAAACGCGTCATTGCGAACATGACCGTTGGGAAGGGTGCGTTCCATTACCCCAGCATCCTCAGCGTCGTTTCTGACCTCCGTGGGACGGGATGATGGACATCTGTACACTACCCTTTGCATAGATGTCAGTGGTCTCTTCCCTGACGTGCTCAAAAATATGCAAACCGACGACATCGAACAAAAAAAGCTCGTCTACCTCTACCTCATCAACTATGCTAAAACCCAGCCCGAACTCGTTATTCTCGCCGTCAACACCTTTGTCAAAGACTCGGACGACCCGAACCCGCTCGTCCGCGCGCTCGCTATCCGGACCATGGGATGCATACGCGTCGAGAAGATAATTGACTATCTGTGCGATCCGTTGCAGAAATGCTTGCGGGACGATAACCCATATGTGAGGAAGACGGCGGCGCTGTGTGTGGCGAAGCTGTATGATCTGAAACCCGAGCTGGTGCTGGAGAATGGGTTCTTGGAGCAGTTGCATGATATGATATCGGATAGTAATCCTATGGTGTGTGCACTTCATCTCTTTCTGACCGGAGCAGATGAGACTGAACAGAGTTACAGGTCGTGGCGAACACCGTCACAGCGCTCTCGGACATCCACGTTGCCGCCACCGCCGTACCCTCCTCATCCACAACTCCCGACCCCGCTCTCTTCACCATTACTTCTACCATCCTCAATAAACTCCTCATCGCACTCAACGAATGTTCCGAATGGGGCCGTGTCGCCATCCTGTCTGTCCTCGCACGCTACACCGCCACGGACGAAAAAGAATCAGAACACATTTGCGAGCGCGTCGTCCCTCAATTCCAACACGTCAACGGCTCTGTCGTACTCGGTGCCGTACGTGTCATTATGATTCACATGCGGGGCGTACGCCGCGAGGAGCTCGTCAAACAGCTCGTGCGCAAGATGGCTCCGCCGCTTGTTACTCTGTTGAGTAGTCCGCCGGAGGTACAGTGGGTGGCTCTCAGGAATATCAACCTGTTGTTGCAAAAGAGGTCGGATATTCTGAGTAACGAGATGAGGGTATTCTTCTGCAAGTATAATGACCCACTCTACGTGAAGGTGGAGAAGTTGGACATTATGGTGCGGTTGGCGGGGGAGAATAACGTCGATGCATTGCTTTCTGAGCTCAAGGAGTGCGTTAGTTCCTCTCCCTCACATCTCAATCCCAACATCCACGTCGAGTAGCTACTGACTTTGAGGCGGCGTTTGGCAGGTATGCGTCGGAGGTGGACGTTGACTTTGTGCGGAGAAGTATTAAGGCCATTGGGCAGGCGGCTATCAAGATTGACGTAGCGGCCGAGCGATGCGTAAACGTCCTTCTTGACTTAATTGCTACACGGGTCAGCTATGTGGTGCAGGAAGCTGTGGTTGTCATGAAGGTACCCTCTTCGAGACATTGGGCCATAACCATACCGCTAACCTATACGATCTCCAGGATATCTTCAGACGATACCCCTCAACGTACGAAGGTGTCATCCCCACATTATGCGCCAACCTTGAAGAGTTGGACGAACCAGAGGCGAAAGCGTCGCTCATATGGATCATCGGAGAGTATGCGAATAAGATCGATAATGCGGATGAGCTGCTGGGTATTTTCGTCGAGACATTTACGGAAGAGTCGTATTCCGTTCGTTCTCCCCTCGCCTTGGCGTCAGTATCGATTTGACGTGTCACTTGTGTTTCACTGCAGGTTCAACTCCAAACTCTAACAGCCGTCGTCAAGCTCTTCCTCTATAAACCCGACACATCACAAGGTCTCGTCCAAAGCGTGCTCAATACTGCGACGAAAGACTGTGATTCTCCGGATGTGAGGGATCGGGCGTATATTTACTGGCGGCTACTATCTACGGACCCAGGTGCTGCGAAGGTGCGTGCTATGTTCATCCTGCATTATATCAGAAGTCTCCACACCACACGTCCATGCCTGTATATGATATGCCACTCCATTGCAATCACCGTCATTACCGCACTTCCCATTTCTCCAGAGCACAAGTGCCTCGGTGATCTCGGCTCCTCGTGTGCCACGTATATTTTCATCTCCACTTTTACTGTCTTCCTACCCCCTGCTCTCCTGTCGCTCTTTTGGTTTTATTTTGGAATTGGCGGGAAAAATACGGATCGATATCTGTTCTTGCGTCTGATCACGCCCCGCTCTGTTATTACCCCACGCTAACTTTATCTCCCTATTCCTATTTTTACCCGTGCACCTTCGCATTCTGACATGCATCACAACATGGACCCCGTGTACCATCCCACCACCCTCACGCTCGGAACCCTAACTCCATCGAAACCTCAAAATCCAACTCAAATCCCGAAATAACCGACCCACCCTCACGCGCACATCGCACACGGAAATACAAAAACACGAAAACAGAGCGTCGTCCTTGCGCACCGGCCACCAATATCGCTCCCGCAAACGACCGTCTCGCCCGTACTGCTGAACGAGCTGATCGGCGAAATCTCGAACCTGGCGAGCGTGTACCATAAGCCTGCTGAGACGTTCATTGGGTTGGGAAGGGTCGGTGCCGAGGCGGTTGCGGGGAAGAAGGGTGGTGCCGAGTACGTTTTCCTCTACCTTTCATTTCCTCAAATCGTCCGTCAACTAAGTCTGTGATTTACTCTTGCAACACGATACAGCCCATCCGACGACCGCGCCGCCACACAAAAAGCCCTTCAAACCGTCGCCGCAGGCCAACAAGCCGAAAACCTGCTCGACTTCGACGACGAGCCCTCGTCGCTCGACGGAGGCGGGCTTGGCTCTCAGCCTACGGGATTGGCGGCCACGCAGGTGCAGGCGCTCACGTCGACGCCTGCGGCGGCGAACTTGTTGGCCGGGACGTCGAGCAACCCGTTGGACGATTTGGTGTCGATATTTGGGAGTACGGGGATTGGGAGCGCTCCGTCGCCCGTTAATGGTATGAATAGCATGAATGGAGGGATGGGTGGGATGGGGGTTATGTCACCGATTTCGACGCAGCAGGCGCCGATGCAGAGTAATGGGGTCGTTTCACCGACGACGGCGACGCAGAACCCGCAGGAGGACCTGTTGGGTCTTTTCTAGTTTGAGGGTAGACGAGCTTTTTGTTGGTGTTTTTTTTTCGATTTTTCTGTTGTTCGAGAAGTGGAGATTTGTTTCACGAAGTAGGTGTTTGGATGTTCGGTTTGATGGCAAATGGACGGAATTATTGATGTATCCTTGCTGTGTAATGTTCTTTCTTTCTCTAAGCTCTTTCTTCGTCTTGATACCACACAAGAGCAAGAGCGTGACAGTACAGTTCGTTCCGAAGAGCGAAGATACGCACTTGAGGCCTAGAAAGCAAGTCTACCTCACATAATTATGGACATTGAACCAACTGCAAGCGGACAACTCTGACGAGGCTCTCCGCAAACTGGCATTCTCCGGAAGGGAAAGCGAGAAAACGAGCCATCCCATTGGCTCACGGCCCCGACGGGCCTCGGACTTCGTGGCGAGGCGATCGTCGTTCTCCTTTTTAGTCCATTTACTTGTCCAACTCGAACTCCATCCGTTCTGCGTCACACTATCTGTCACCACGCTTGTCTTTCTGCTTCGGGTGCGCTGTGTCACCGAGAAGGCCACAAGAAACAGCGGGATCCGACCTCGCCACTGATGCTTTATGCGATGTTTCCACGGGCAGCCAGCGAGGTCCAGGTCGTGTGATAGTCGTCTTGGGCTCGTGAGCTTCGATAGACCCTCAGGTAGCGTGTGGTCCTCTTCCAGCTCTGGGAACCACTCGCGTTCTGCCATTATGGATTATCATCTTGAACCTTCGACAGCGTCATGGATCAACTGGCAGATAACCGTGGTGATCTTGAGTGGCTTCTTCCTGGGTCTGTGGAGCCTAGATCAGGAAGGAAATGGCTCAGGATGAGGCTTTTTTTGGCAAACGGTACCAGGGGATGGAAGCATCAGGGGAGGCCAACTGCAGGAGATGGAAGCTTGTAGCGCAGTCGCTGGAAACGAAGAGGGCGACGGAAACAGACGATCCTTACGAAGTCCATGCAACTTTTTCCGATGCCAGTGGCAGCCTTCTGTTCGGCCTGCCTGCGAGGCGAAGCGATCCTTGGGCTTGTGGGACATCTTCATTCTGTGAAGCGACGTGATCAAATCTTGTGCTCAGGATAACCTTGTGGTGTATTCTTGGCTAAGAGTGTGAGTGAGTTTGTTTGATTGTAGGTGTCACTTGAGTCTCTCCCGCTCGGGTGTGGAGGGGGCTTGCTTCGGATGACATAGTGGATTCGACCGCCTCTACGACCCGGTTCCTCGATCAGTTACGAATCTTATATATTGCAAGGCGGACGTGACGCTCGTGTTTACCCCCCTTCCTTTCCTTTGCCTCTTGCTCTCGTCGTCTCTGCTTGCCGCTGTTCTGCTGTCCCAGTCTTTTGTCTGGCCCTCATTAGACAAGTTTTCTGATACAAGACCGCTTGCTTCACTCATTATAATGCGAACGTCAGCCGCTCTCGCGATCGGCTTCGCGCCCTTTGCAATCGCGCAGACATACCAGATTTGGGACGTTTGGCAGGTACAGTACTGTCAAAGCGCTCTTGAGAAATCACGACTGAGGCCGCTTTCTTTGATATGATCATTGTAGACCACATGGGACCGTACGAACCTCTACACGAACATCTCACCCAGCAGCCCCATCAACTTCGGTTCTCCCGGCGCCATCGGTTCTGCGGATATTGAAGTGGACGACACACAGACATTTCAGTCGGTTTGGGGCTTTGGAGGATCATTGAGTGCGTCTTTCTAGCTTTGATTCCCCTGCAATTGGTTATTCCAATGCTGACCGTGGCGGGCTGTATTGAAGCTGATTCGTCGGCGCAGTTGTTCAATCAACTCAAGGTTTGTTCTCTGTGGTAGTGACGTCATAAATAGACATGCACTGATGGCTGTGGTTGTGTGGTGTGTGGGGATTTTCTTTTTGTAGAGCACGAGTTCGAGCAACTATAATGCGTTGTTGGAAGCCATGTTCGACCGTACGTTCACTTTTTTCCCTTCTTTTCCTTTTGAACATAAGTGCTAATTACTCTACCTTTAGCTACGGATGAAGCTCAGTCTGCCGGGTAAGCACATAAACTCAATTATTCTTTGCCCATACAGCTTGTGGGGAGAGACATCAGACAACAAGCATGAATGCCATCTCCTTTTAGCTTGACATTCATTCGCGTTCCCCTCGGCGCGTCTGACTTTTCGGCCAGCGGTGAGTACCCAATCCATCCCCATGTGGCACGCCACATCGATCCTTCACTTCGACAGTCTCACTCGCTGATCTTTGCTATCTTGAATTTGACGATCAAAAAGACTACAGCTATGACGACTCTTCTGGGGACACCTCGCTCAACAGTTTCAGCGTCGACAACGCGCCATCGTACCTCTTCTCGACGTTAACGGACATCAAGGCGAAGAACCCGGGTATTCGGATCATTTTGACGCCTTGGAGCCCGGTGCGTCGCTTTCCTGTCTCTGGGGTATAATGGGTATCGGTATTGACGAATACGAACACCGTCGGTGATATAGCCGGGGTGGATGAAGGGCAGTGGAACGATGAATGGCGGAAGTTTGACGACGAGCTTGGTTAGCACTTGTATGTCGGACTCTTGGCATTCTATCCCCATGCATTGTTTCTACGAAATACTTGATATGGTTTATCTTTATTTATTTGTGTTTTATAGACGCGAACTACCTCCTCAAGGCCGTCCAGGGTTTCACGAGCAAAGGATTAACGCTTTATGCTATCTCCATCCAAGTGCGTAATTTTTACCCTACTGAGTCCCGATGTACGGAAACTGAAACTGTGGTGTGGGTGTAGAACGAACCTGAGAATAGTAACGATACGTATCCGACCTGTACGATGCCTGTGTCCGTGATGGCCCAGATCGGGACGGCGCTGAGGACGTTGTTGAACAATAACGGGCTGAGCTACGTTAAGATCATAGGATGTAAGCCTATCTCTTGGAGGTTCTTCCCTCTTCGTGTAATCCTTGTCTGCGGATGATGACTGATGATGATTTTGGTGATGCTCGTGGATGTACGCAGATGACCATAACTGGGACGATGCTGCGGGGTACCCCGTCCAATTGGTGAATCTTCGAACATTCCATTTCCCAGTTTGTGGGAGTGGATTGGTAGTCGAACGGTGACAATTTATATTTTACCACAGATGCAACAAGCAGGAGACGCATTCGCCGGTGTCGCCTTCCATTGTTATGCAGGCACGGTTGACGAGCAGGACGATTTCCATACACAGTATCCAACCAAGGTAACGTACTTATTTACATTCACATTTTCTCGGTGTACGCCATTTAACTGAAGGACGCTTGTGTTACGTAGGAGATCTACTTCACGGAATGCGCGAGCGAGTTTGACAGTGACTGGTGGAGCAACATCAAGTGGTTCATGGACAACCTGTGCGTCTTTCCTCCACAGTGTCCCGTGACGCGACCTACCTCCGTATTACTTCTATTAACCTTGTGCCTTGTCTTTTTAATCTCGATCCTTGGACAAAATATGTACTCAATAGCTGGATCGGCGCCATCGAACATAACTCGCACTCTGGCCTTATGTGGAACCTCGCCCTAGACGGCTCTGGTGACCCGAAGCTCCCTGGGACTAACTCGTGCGGTGGACCTGGGTGTAGGGGCATTGTGACGATCAATTCGGATGGGAGCTATGAGCTGAACGAAGAGTGTGAGTTTCCACTCCTCCGTACCTGGATGACTCCGAAAGTGACGATTCGTGTGGGATGTGCAGATTATAGTATGGCGCAGGCGTCGAGGGCGATCTTACCTAGGGACTCTGGAGGTGAGGTTCTCACTTCCTTCTCTAGCCGGATTGGTGACTATAGCGGTAAATACCGACACTGATGGAATGGATTCTCTGTATAGGTCCGTGGGGGAAGCGCATCGGGGTCACTGTTGGTGGGACATTGAACTGGGCTTTGAGAGTCGGGTAAGTTTCTTTCTGTCTGGTAGATTGTTTATGACGCTCTTGGCTGATGCCAGAGGAACACAGAGCATATGTGACGGGCCGCGTGTCATCGACGGATTGGGAGAGATATTCGCTTGTTGTGATGAATTGGTGTGTTGGGCTTTCCATTTTCTTTGAGTTGGCTTCTGTACACGAGCTCATTCTGTGTTGTCTATAGGGATGACAGGTCAGTCGATATCCGACTCGTGGCTCACCCTCTGGGTCATCTGCAGTCTGTGCCTGATGTTATAAATTTCTTGTAGCGCGTCGACGACTTGGAACCCTGTACCTGTGACAGCGACGATTGAGTTCCGCGATACTCAGGTACGCCGCTCTCTCCATATCTCCTCCATCTACGCCACTCTCACCTCCCCTTCCTGATTATTCCTCCTGACCCTATCATCGTTCGCAGGCCACATTCACATTCCCCGTCGGCGTGACCACACTCTGGTGGTACGCCCCCGTGACCTCCGCTAGCGCCAACGCCAACTCCGACTCTGACTTCGAAGCGAACAGCCAAGCGTTCAACGGAACGTTCTGGGCGGAACATGACGGGCAGGAGTCCATGGGGAGGTTTCAGCGGGACCGGGATTAGGCCTTGAGTGCAAGTCGGATGAGAGGAGACGATGCTGATGATCTCGTTGGCGGATGGCGGTCAGCAATGATATGATGCTCTGGGGTTTTGGTTCTATATTCTTGCTGTCTTTCTTTGAGTTTTCATGCTGGGAAAGTTGTACGATATTGTGATCATGAGGTGGTCCGGTTGTAGGAAGGAAGGAAGGAGGTGGGTTGATCCCAGCAATAGGCACGGAATGGGAACGGCTCGTCCGTTGAGCTCTCCTTTTTGTTTGGTCTTTGTTTGGTACTACTTTGAATTGTTGTTGTGTTTTTGGTTCTTGCGTTGCATTGCCAGTGCATTATTCACGAGTTACGAATCACGATGCCATAACGTTTACGGTTGTATATAATATATCATGGGCGTTTACGAGGATATGGGCAGTGTCGATTTTTCGAGAGGTTTAGTGGTAGTTGAGGTTTGTTCGGCCCTGTCCGAAAGTAAATGAGAAAGTGAGAGTGAACGGAACCAAAAGGGTGGTTCTGAATATTCAAGTTCCGACCCGGGCTAGGCCGAGAACTTGAACAGTCGTCGCCAGACTCGCCACCGTCATGTCCCCATCTAGCGACGAGCAGGGCATGCTTTTTCTGTTATTTCTGGTCTCAGTACAGTTATGGTACCCTATGCAGAGTCGAAATGTCGCACTGTCCTTCGAATCCTCTCCTCAGGTTCAATGGCATCACCACTGCTGTGAGGTTGCTCACTCGGAACTACTCTCCGGAAATATGTCTCTATCGTCTCGGTTCCAGCATGAAAACTTGGCTCAAGGTGATATCAGGCCGGACGCGCAGACGGAATAGAAGTGGGTGTAGATGTGAGCTCAGGTTCATAGATTCTCTGATTCGGCGTTCGGTTATACTGCTCGCTCTGGAGTCCAAGGTAACCTAAGTACGGTCAAATGGCCGATGTTTCGAGCGTCCTGCTTTTCGCTGTGAGCCTGTGACGTGTTTCTTTCAACTCCTCAGAATACCTTACATGAAACAGGAGCTGCCAACCTTAATCCTGACAGATACCGCGTGTCATGAGCAAGCTGGTCGACAGATCTTAGCGGTCACTCCTCATACCCACTATGGATCACCTTTTTGATCCTACATTCCGATTATCATGGATCCGGAAGCCAGTGATGGCGTGTCATTGACGACTGGTCGGTCCAAGCTCCGGAGCTATCTATATAAACAGAGGACAGGCCAGTGCAGATTATTTCTACTGTTGTAGCCATCGTTCATGCCATGTCCTTAAATTGCTCTGCCACATTCACGAATGACTGCTTTGGCCTCTTGGATAATATACATGTCGACAACCAATACTTTGTGTCCGTTCTATGGATATACACGGCCGTGATAGGGGTGGAGTCTGCGCTATACGGTTAGATTCGTCCAGGTGCCTTCCGCTCGAGATTTTTCGCTAACATTGGCCTTCCTTACTTTGGCCAGCTCTGTCTGTATCTTTGTTTATCGTCTCAGTCTATCTGCTCTGGTGAGATACATCGGCATCCTCCTTGGTGGAAAATTCTCACTAAAAATCTAGCGTCAAGGGCTTTCGTACGAGGATAAACACAGTCTTAATTCTCATATCGGCGCTTATGTTCGCAATCTCCACAATTCACTACACTGCCACTGTGGTAAACGTGGTCGCATTTAAAAAGGATATGGAGAGCTCTGCCAACGATGATTGGGAGCTGTTCTATGGAGCGCCGGTTGCTTCGACCTCGCAGTACTACGAACCACGTAACGGCATAGCGCAAGCAACATTACAACAGGTCTTGCCTATTATCAATGCATGTATTATAATATTATACGCCACTCATCTCATCGTCCAATACTCTAAATGATCCCTTAGTTCATCTGCAGTGATGCGGTTGTACTGTGGCGAGCTTGGATACTGTGGGGTAAAAGCCGCAGAGTTTTCATGTTGTCGGTCGTCTTTGTGGCTTCAACAACCGGTGTGTGCCTTTCCGTCCAAAAAACACATCCGTCTCAGTGAGACAGCCTCCGGTCGGGTCACCATCTAATTACTCATCACCATCGAATACCTTCCAATCACAGTTGTTTCTGTTGGAACGGGTATATCATGGTTCATACACATGGCCAATATGTGGATCACCGGAAGGGTCATCTTGTGGTCATTCTCTCTGGCCACAAATATTCTCGGTACAGGCTTGATCGCATATAAAGCGTGGTGCGTGATTCCTTGTATGACCTCCCGAAAGTCAATGTTCGAGATAATTCAAATCTTTTTATTGTTAGGCAGCACAGACGAAGCATGAAGATGTATATCGCAGGGGCAAGTCGAATGACGATAGTCGAGACGACCCTTGCCCTGCTCGTTGAGTCCGGCGTCGTTTATTGCTGCGTCTGGGTATGCGAAATATTCTTGTCTTTTCCTGATGTAATTTCCTTACTAGCACCAACCAAACTGACAAAGGGGCCTTTATACACACCATAGGTTATATATATAATCAGCCAGGCAGACCCGTTGACGTCACTCCCCAGCGCGTATCCCTTCTTGCATCTCAACGATACACGGACGCCATGGCTTAACCAAGTCTTCCCATGCATCCTCGTCCAAATTTCCGTAAGTTTCCCTTATCCATTGAATTGTCACGCAGGGAATAGCTTAGGGTATCCGTCATTTGGATTGACCAGGGAATGTATCCTACCGCCATCACTGTCCTCGTCGCTCTGCAAAAGACAGCATTTGACATCACGTCCTCGGTTCGTGAAACACCGACTCAAGCCATGGAGTTTGCGACTGGGCCCAATCCGAATCTGGTGGCCACATTTTCTAGCCAGTCAGAAGTGTCGCGCCGACAAACCATGACAGTGGCTTCGCGGGATACTATTCGCACGCGAAGGACGACTCTTTCCTCCTCGACCATACGGATCGGAATTGCGCCTGCTACCGGCATGCAGCGGGATGATGGCGAGTCATGTTTGAACTTTATGATACCATCCGAGGATGTAGAGTCGCAGTACATGGAAATGAGTGGTGGTACTGATGAGCATCAGTCAGGCTTGACCGTCAGTATGGGAGATCGGACGGTGCAGAAGATTACAGCTAGTAAACAGAGTTGAGAGGTTAGATGACTCGTGGACACGTTCATGGCACTTCAAGTTTCTGTGTAGTACTGTTAACATATGGTAATAAATTAGCAGGACTACAGTTTAGATAGCAAAAGTCACTTTCTTTATTATAACAAAGGGACAGCGCACGGTTTGGGGCAGATGGGGGTTCACGTTCTTCTTCAGCGGAAATGACACAGATGATCGAGCGCCCGATCTCCTCCGGCGGTCTACCGCCGCGGAGCTCGAACGAACATATAAATGTGATATACTTCCGCTTCGCCTCCGGATGTTAGACAATTTGAACATTTATTATATTCCACTGGCACACCACACCAAGCCGTCATCTCAACAGACAGACCTCAGCGTTCGTGCGCGACTCGACTTCAGTACTACAAAATCTCACGACTACCAAACAAAAAAGAAAAAACCATCTATCCACATGATTGATATCGTGACTTCGCCGCGAAGTAGTAGTAGTAAGAAAAAAAGGGGAAAGAAAAATAATAACACGAAAGCAATGACACTGTAACATAATAGACTGAGGGAGGATTCGGAGGGCGGAGACTGCTGATGCACCGCGAGGACTAGACCGGACGACTTGGGTAAATGGATGAAATCAAGGAGGAGTGGAACAAATGAACGGAAACGGAGGAGAGGAGGGGAGAACTGGAAAAGGAGTCCATAGGGGAGATCGTAAGAGGGGAGAGCAAAGAAGATGAGAGGTATGGACAGATGGTAGAGGACAAAGGACAGAGGACAGAAAGCGGAGGACGAGGATGATAACGATAACAACGATGGTTTGGAGACTGGGTACTGAGAGCGAGAGCCGATCCGTGGAATGGGTTGGTGAGGGGGAGGACACGTTCGTCGTTAAACCAAAAAAGCCCAAAGTCCATACACTCACATCCATGTACATACCCAGCCAATACCCTCCCATTATGACACCGAAGCCAGACTTCAAACGTACAATAAGTACACCCACCCACTCACAACCACAACGCAATATCCACGCGTTCCAGCGTTCTCGTCCTATCCTCTAGTCAATGAGGATACATCTGATACGCCCTCTGCAACGTATCCTGATCAAGTCCCCTCAACTTCAGGCATTTCTGGAATAGTTTACGATCAATGGGGAACTGGACGCGACTCGCCAGATGTTGGCCAGCAACGAGCGCCTTGATGGATCCAGCGATGAGTCGTTGCTTATGGACGTTGATGAGCGGTTCGAGTTGCATGGAAGGTGGCAGAGGAGCGAGGGTGGAGAATACGTCTGGGTGGGCGGGGTGGATGAGGTTGCCGTATTGATCTACGCCTGAGGCCTCGTTCGGTGCCGTAGGGTCGATAAGATCCGGGAGCTGGCTGAATCGGTGTAGAGGGGAGAGGTATATACCTGACAAAAGAAGAAATGCAATGAGCGTAGAGCATAGGGTGAGGAAGAGTCAACATACCGATGAAGGGAACACACGACTGAGGTTTAGCTGGCTTCAAGTCTGACGTCGCCCGATGCCGGTGAGTATGGTTCTTCGCAGGCGCCACAGGGTCCTCAGACACAGTCGCCTTTGCGTCGTCCGACATCGCCGCCACGGTATTGCGAATATGAACGAAATCGTCCGTACTGTCCGTGAACGCTGTGAGGTCCTTGAACATCCGCCGATTGTACACGTTCACCCGATGCCAGGACGTGCGCATCACCTTCGTGACCCATTCGCTGCGAAGGCCAGCGATGATGGCCACCAGAGTACTGTAGTTGTTCACATTGTAGCATTTCTGCGAAACACACATCCCTATTAATTGCCGTCCTCGTTGCATAGATAAAAACAAGAATAGGTAAGACTCACCCAGGCGATACGGATGAACTTCCCCACCAGCGCCGGCCGGTCCGCGGGCGGTGTGAGCACAATCTCCGACAACACAAAATTAGCAATGAGGTTAAATCTCCCTCTCGTCGCGACCAAAGCGCTCGTCTTGTACCCCCCGCGTCCCTCCGCCTTCCACCTCGCCCTATCTTTCAAAAACTGTCCCCAATCCAAAATATTCGCCTCGTCGATCAGACCGACCCATTCCGCCGACACGAGCTCCTCGAACTTCACGCCGAGGAACAATTCCCGATCGATCATGGTGAAATGTTGTGCGAGTTCGCCGGCGCTGTGCGCGTGTACCCAGGAGCGGTGATATTGCGGGATCTGTGCGGAACCGAACTTGGATATGGGGGGAGTGAGGACGGGAGGGGACATGGGCGTTGCTTCTGGGGAGTGCGTGGGCGACAAGGACAGGACTCTGCTCTGCAAGATTTCGATGGGGACGACGTCTTCGACGTGTGGCCGGGCTTCGCTTCCAGGTGTGCTGACTGCCGTAGTCGGGATGGAATGAGAAGTTTGCGTCGCGAGAGGCGTCACGTCCTCCGATCCTTCATGCCCCGGAGCCAACAACGACACCTCCGATTGCACAGACGATCGGACGCGTAAATTCGACGGTTCGCCACCACCAACGTTCGAGGACGACGAAGCGCCGCCGTTCAAGTCGTGGTGGTCGTACGGATACGGCTCGTTAACATCGTCCGAAAACTCCGCAGAAAACCTCGGCGCCTCGTCCGTATAGTCTCCCGCATCCATACGGCCCCTGATCGCCCTAATCCAATTATCCACCTTCGACTCCTTCTTCTTCTGCTTCTGTGGGCTCATCTGTCCCTCGAGCCTCTTCAGCGCGTCCTCGACATCCCCAACTTCATCGTCATCGCTGAGCGAATCCACGAGCGCATTCATTTGCCATTGCTGAATCGTGCTGCCCAATCCACCTCCCGACATCGAAGACGTAGTCGAACTAGCAGGCGAGATCATCGACTCGTGCGACGCGAGGCCCATCGACGAAACGCTATCCCGATTCCGATCCACGAACTCGAAATCTCGACGCAGAGGCAGTCGGCGTGGTGTTTTCTGCAAACCAGGCGGTAACGCAGGAGTCGACTTATCGGATGCAGAGTCGGATAGATCCAAATCGTCAATGGAGACGACGTCCATCTGCCATGAAGGTGGTGGCTGTCGCGCGGACGGAGAGGGTCGAGCGGCAAGGGAAGGATTCACAGAGGCTGCAGGGCTGGGAGGTATCGAATGCGAAGACCGGGCTATCGGTTCGCCGTAATCTGAAGAACCAGAGGATCCGGAAGAATGTCGAGAATGATTGACGGGGCGGAGGGAAACCTGAATATCGGACGAGGCGATGCTTGGGGTAGCTGCACCTCCTGCATAAGTCCCAGCGCTTTCATCCGATGCCTCCGGAACGTCTGCAAGCGATTGAGCATCCGCATCCGCCTCGGCGTCGCCTTCCGTTTCAACGGCGATGACCTCTTCTGCGGGCTCAGCCTCGGCGGCTGAGGGTGCCGTCGACGGTTGTCCGTACGCCGAACCAATCGCAGAGGGATCAGCAACTGCAGTCGAAGTCGAAGGCCTGTTCAAGTCGAACATCTTGAGATACTGTTCCATCCCACCTCGCACCGTAAGCAAATCCCCCGTCGCATTCAACTCGAGATCAAACGCCGACACGTCCGCGCACGGTCCCATCGGCGTCGGCACCGACGACCTCGAATTCAACTGCCGTTTCCATCGTCCTAGCCTTCCAAACGTCCTGACCAACGCCCTCGAAAGTACGTTCGTATGAACGGGTAACGTCGCAGAAGTAGGCATGACCGCCATATTGGCCGAGGCCGTCGGTGCATGATGAAGGATCGCCCTATTGAGCGGCTGCTGCATCACCGCTAACGAAGCCGACGCCGTCTTATTCATCGGTCCACCGTTCAACATGTCCGGATTGACCGCGGCGTCGAAAGCGCCGTTGCCCATGCTAGACGTCGAAGTCTCGTCCGCGAAGAAATCGAGGTCGATATCGGATTCGTTCGAAGGCTGCCGGGGGAGCGCGTCCCCGCCGAAAAGAGGGCCAAAGATCTGAGCAGTTGTGGGCGGAGCGCTCGGTAGAGATGCAGCCGACGGGCGTGGGCCAGACGTAGATGGTCTTTCCCGTCTCGCATGCACCTCTCGGCACTCCCTCACCACCGATATCAGCTTCCGCACCGTACTCTGTATCACGATGAGAATCAGACATCCTGCCCGTGATTTAGAGAGCGAATCGGATATAAAAGCACTCACCGTCGCATCGCTGTGCTTCAAAAGGATCGGGTCCCTCTTCAGCGAGTTCAGCCAACTCGCGAGGAGCAGCCTCAAATCCCGATTCGGCATAAAATCGATCGCGAAGAACGTCAAGAGCCAGTACCGCAACGCCACGAACGTCCTCACCCTCACTATCCTCCTCACCATCTCGTCCTGCTTCGAGCTCGAGCTCGGCTGACCCAATGCCCAATGAAACCGACAAATCAAGAGATGGCAGAGATCGACGGCGCTGATGTACGTGCGATAGGTGAGGAAGAAAATCAGCAGCTCGTCGTAATTCAGGTCGCTCGTGAGCTGCGCGATCCATCGTTCGATCGTGGCCGCGACCAAGACCTTCTGTGGTCCCAGAGGCGAATGCACCCGGACCTTCGGCTGCGTACCGTCGATCGAGAGCGTCGATTCCTTATTGCCCTTCGTCGTGCTCTTTCGGCGCGAGACGCCAGAACGCGACGAGGACAGGTTCGTCTGACTTTCTTGGGAGACGGACAGATGGTCCTCCGGGTCGGGGTAGACTTCGCCCCAGATCACGAACCGCGGGTCGTCCCTCGGCGCTGCCGTCTCGTCCGCATTCGCCGACATCTTGATCACCGTCGTCTCTGTCGAGTCCGCAAACAGCCTATCGAGCAGCGGAAGCCCACGGTACGTCTGCAGAACATCGAACACCTCTGTCGGATATCGCGTGTGGATCTGGGTCTGCACGGTAGGGAGGTACGAAGGATCGGCTGCCCGGGGGGGCGAGAGCGTCTGCGGCCGTGGAGGAGGAAGTGGTGAAGGTGGCGGCGACGGCGAGGCCGCTCCTTCCGGCTCTACTAAATCCGGGGAGGGCGGCGTCTCCTCGATGGTCTGACTCTGTGTGGTCGACAGTGGTTTGAGAGGGGACAAGAGACTGGATCTGCCGATTCGAGAGTCCGGATCTGCTTTAGCGGTCAGCCCAGACTCGAACGACTGCATCTCGCGCAACACCGGCGGGGAGATCAAGAGCGAATCGGACTTCCTCGACGGAGAGTCGAACGTCACCCCGGGTCCGAAAGGCTGCATGACGATCAGCGGTAAAAGTGCTCCTCCACCATCGCTCTCGTCGTCCTCGTAAGACGTAGAAGGCGACGGCGACTCGCTCGAATTATGAAAAGGCGACGGCGGCGCGTTCCACTCCATCACATCCGAAAAAATATCGCCCCTCGGCTGCTTGACCACCTCCGTCGCTGCCATTAAAGTAGACTCCCTACTATCGGGCGCCACCGCGACGCTGGGCAGCCTGGGCATATCCGCCGCGGTGACACTATGCGAGTGCACCCTCGCAGCAGGCGTCGGAGGCTGAGGAGCCGCAGATCCAGACGCAGATGACTCCGCGGCAGGCGGCGCAGGAAGCTGCGGATTCGACCTCGTCTTCCTCAACTTCCTCGTCGGAGGCGATTGGATCCCGTTTCCGTTCCCGTTCGCGTTCGCGTGGGCATGATGATGATGATGTGCGTTTGCGTTCGGCGGGACGACCATCCGGGGCGCGGTGCCTGCCTGTACATGTGCCGGCGTCTGGGAATGCTGCGACGAAGAGGAGGTAGTCTTTGTGCTGGAGAAGGAGGTGCTGGACATGGGAGGGAACCCCGAATCGCCGCGCGCCGGCGGGAAGACGGAGGGAGCGAAGAGCGCCTGCATGCTCATCCTCGAGCGCCTCTTCTGCCGCCCATCTGACCTCGACGACGCCGGTGATTTTTGCGGTTTCGGTGTCTGTGGCTGCGCGCTGTTGCTATTATTGCTGCTGTTGGTGCTGTTGTGGATGTTGTGGGTGTTGTGATTGGTGTTGGTGGTGCTGATGTTGCTGTTCCTCTCGAGCTGCATCGTCGTCCGCTGTTCCGCTTCCTGTCCAGATGCCGCGGGGGCCGACATTTCCCGGTTCCTGTGGTTCGGCGCAGAAGATAAACTTAAACATTGACATACAGGGCAAGAGCGAGCGAGCAAGCGAACAAGCGCGAACTTACCCTACTCGGAACATCTGCTTTCCGTGTTGGTTCACGAACGCGGTTATGGCGTATGGAGAGCGGATCTCCATGCCCACGCCGAGGTAGCGATCGTACCGTTTCTTCAGGTCGTACGCCACCGTCGCTGAAGACGTCTCCACGAACGAGCCGTCCGCTGCAAGTACACAGGCGCCGCAAGAAAAAAGAGACCCCAGAATTAGACACGGAGGTTAGCGAGTGTTCGACGCAGAGAGAGGGTTCATGACGAGAATGACAGGGAATGGAGGCAGGAGACGACAGCCCACAAGGGTATAATTAAAAAGTAGCAGCAGCACTAATCTCGTCAGAAGTGGGCCACATCCATTACAGTCATACAGGAGACGCGAAAGGGGCTATATTGGTTGACTGTTGACACGTACGCCACTATTACGGACCCGATGAGCCCAAACCTTCTGCTCGGAGGTTCGAAGTATGTGGACGAGTACGGTGTGGGAAAAGAAGCCGGTCCGCCACCAGCGTCGATGGATGTGAGAGCACACCATCCGAAGAGAGGCCAGATGCGATTGGAACGCACTACAGCTCGTGCTTGCATCTGCGTGGGCTCTGCGCCTGAAAAGAGGTGATAATGCGAGCCCGAACAGTCCTCGAGTCCTCTGATAGCTCTGCGATACCGCGGAGAGCCTCAGGTACGAAGAGAGTGGCGCGCAAAATGGAAAGAGGGAAAGCTAAGACCGCGGCGGTCGATCGCGCGCCTCTGTGTGCTGGGCAGGATAACATTGAGGCAATTGTGTGGACCCAGGGAGATGGCCAAGGTGGGCTGCCGCGTCTTTTGCGACGAGCGATGAGTAATGCCAAGATGACTCCTTTATGGTCCGACTTCAACTCAAAGGCAAAGCGAGGGGCGGTGGTAGAAAGGGGAAGGTTGTGGACGTCTAATCGGAATCTGCTCCTCCATTTCCCAAGCGTGGCGAGTGCAAGCCACTGACAAGAGCTATTACACGAATATGCGCTCTCAGCAACAGGAGCAACTTCTCGAGTAGACTTTGTGCTCAATACCTCTTGAAAGGGGCTGCCGCACGTTATGTAGGCTACCGAGTAAAATAGAACGGCGGCCGTATCGAGCGCATCGAGTATACGCGCTGTACACGGATACAGCCCAAACAAAACACCCCACACCGCCCCCAGACAAGACGAAAAACGAAGAACACATCCACAAAACACCACATCAAGTAAAAGATTGAAGCGGGGACTCACGTGCAAGCGAAATATCAGCCGCCGCCATCTCAGGCGGCAGATCTCCAAACTCTCCCGCATCCTCCTCGCCACTCAATTCCATGAACGCAAACGAGCTCTGGGACCTGTTCGATGTCGGCGTCGGGATCGGAAGGCGGAGATGGCTCGGACTTTCCTGGAGGCCGGGTGAGGTGAGGACGGGCGAGGACGAGGCGGTGGAGGAGAGGCTCTGGGATGATGATGATTGGGAACTGGGAGACATCTGGAGGGATGTGGGGATGAGAGTGGATACGACGGGGGTGGTGACTGAGGACGAGTCGTCGTCGTCGTTGTCGAGGGGTGAAGAGGTAGTTGGGGGTGAAGACATTGTGGGCTGTAGAATGCGTGTATGAAGGGTATCGAAGAGGCAGGGAGTTTAGTGGGTAGAATTGGAGGCGGAAGATCTAGTAGCACATGGATAGCAAAAAGCCCTAAGAAAGAGTACAAAGAATCCAGGTAGATAGTTTCGTCGCTTGCGTCGCGGGTTTCGTTCGTTCAATCGTCGCGGTGGGGTTCAAGAAAGCAGAAAGGTCGAAGAAGAGTGAAGAAGAGCGAGACAAGTCGGATTGCGGTCCTGCTCAGCTTTGAAACAGATCGCCCGCTGGGACTGGTCTGGGTGCTGCTGAACGTACGGAGAAAGGCAGAAAACAAAAGCGAGCGAAAACACAAGGAATATTCCCATTTCAGATACCCCGACCGAAATGGATCCGATTCTCGCGTGCGCGGCTCCGGGACGCGGGGTCACACCCTCGGTCACCGTGTGACCAGACGCGCTATTGTCGCGTTCAGCCGCGTACGTGTTTCTCTTGCTCCCTGTGCCCTGCCCTGCCATCCTCTCTCTCTCCATCCTTCCTATCCCATCTCACCATGTCCATCGTAACCATCCGGGTAAGCCTGAGCATAATCGGTGCTGATAGCCACATTTACACTCATTTTTCAGAACGTCGAGTTCCTCAATAACCCCGCACGCTTCCTCGACCCATATCACTTTCGCGTCACCTTCGAGTGCATCGCCGCTTTGAAAGATGGTACGTCCTACACTCCCCAACATATTTCCAACACATCGCTTATTTTCCCATCACCCACCAGACCTCGAATGGCGTCTCATCTACGTCTCTTCACCGGGAAACGAAGAGCTCGACCAAGAACTCGACGACTGTCTCGTCGGTCCCGTCCCCATCGGCGTCAACTCCTTCGAATTCGAAGGCTCGGCACCTTCACCGTCCAAAATCCCAACAGAAGACGTCCTCGGTGTAGCGGCGCTCATCCTCACGGGAAGCTATCGCGATCAGGAGTTCGTCCGGGTGGGGTACTACCAGAACACGGAGTACGATAATGAGGAGATGAAGGAGACACCGCCGGGTAAGGTGCAGTTTGAGAGGCTCGTGAGGGATATTAGTACGAAGCCGAGGGTGACGAGGTTTCAGATTAAGTGGTGCGTGTTTTTCTGTTTGGTGGAGTGTTTTCTTTGTGATCAGAGGGTGTGTTGTTTGGGTTGAGGAATTGACGTTGTTGGAATATACGTGTGGTTATTAGGGATGTCGTACCAGCACAAGCGATGATGCAGACCGCATCAGGCGCAGCCAACTCTGCAGCCGTTCCCTCCGCAGACGACCTCGCAGACGAAGACGATCCCATGGGAGAGCCACAGGCCAATGGCACGCCAGCACCATAACCTGCCCTTATATTTCCCGTATTCCTTTGCTTTTAGGCTTGATGCCATAATGTCTGTCGTCTTTTACGGATTAAACATGTCTTTGTAGGCCCCGGACTGTATCTATTATCGTCACGATCTCTTTAACTACCTACTTACCACACAGAGCTAATTGTGGAATACTATATCCAAGGCTCGTTCGCTCTGCCACCAAGTAACTCTAAATCTAACTCAGTGCTGTGGGATTGAGATGGGATCGTCCTCACCACCTTTCACAGTCGAGCAACGAACACGATCCCAAAACCCTCTGAGTGCACATGCACATGTGGCGGTGGCGCAATGCGCATAGAAACGCGCTACATATGAACCACGTGATTCCGTTGACCGCATTTCACAAGGTTTCACTTTCCGCTGATTGGCCCGGCAATCCCCACGCGCCTCTTGCTTTTGACTTCCACGGACCACCTTGAGCCTTTCAGCCACTTTCGCGTCGCGCGTCTTCGTTCACCTCGCTCGACTCTTGCTCATTCCCCTCATACCACCACGAACGCCGCCACTTCGACCCTTGGAAATTAAAGCAAGGCGCTGATTCTGTATGTTCTTTTATGTTGTCCTTTTTTTATGTATTGTCGCGTGAGGAAGGGACGAAGGAAAGAGAAAGAAAGGAGACATAAATCGGCGTGTCTACCACGTTTTCCCCTGTCTCTCTCTCTGTCTCCGTCTCCGTCTTTGTCTTACCTCGCGCTCGCATGATAAATCACTAACATATCCACTTCCACGCGTATCCGGTCATTCAAACACAGACTACCCTTTCACACCTCCACCCCACGAACTCCATAAACTAAAAACTCAAAGAAGCAATGGCACCAGGACGAGGAGGTAAATCCAAGGCGGGCGACGGCGCGAACTCGCAGGCTGCGGCGAATGCGCCGAAGACGTTTCAGACGAGGAGTGCGAAGGCGGGGTTGCAGGTGTGTTTCCTTTTTTCCTTTCTTCCTGGTTTCATTCTTGAAAATGGGTGGCGAGGACGGTGTGGTTCTGCTGTTGTCTGCAATACCTACGTGCCGGACATGCTCATGCTGGGACCCATGTTCTGTTTTCACATCACATCTCGATTCCTGTTCTCCCTCGTCCGAGTACATGTATTTGTGTAAAATCTGAAACGCGAGTGCTAACTTTTTTGGTTTCTGGTTCTTGATTTTTCGGGTGGCGGTGGAACGATTTTTTTCTGTAGTTCCCTGTCGGTCGTATCCACAGATACCTGAAGCAGCGCACGCAGAATAACGTCCGGATCGGAGCGAAGGCCGCCGTTTATTGTTCTGCTATCCTGGAGTACCTCACTGCTGAAGTTTTGGAACTTGCCGGTACGTTTGTGCTTTTTGTTTCTTACCGTCCTCGGTTCTTTTGTCTGTCTACTTCGTCGCACCTGTACACTGACTGACTCCTTACTATCCACCCCCTTTCATTGTTTCACTGTGACGCTATCGATGTGCAACAATCTATAGGCAACGCATCCAAAGATCTCCGCGTAAAACGCATAACGCCCCGCCACCTCCAACTCGCCATCCGAGGCGACGAAGAGCTCGATATCCTCGTGAAGGCGACGATCGCAGGTGGTGGTGTGCTGCCGTTCATCCATAAGAGCTTGACGGCGAGTAAGGCGCAGCAGAAGAAGGAGGCGCAGGCGACGGCGGCGGCTTCGGCTTCGGGTTGAGTTGTTGGTTTTTTTTTGTGTCTAACAGTGGCGGTGTGGTGTGGTGCTCTTGCGTATGTGTTTTCCGTGGGTTTGGGTTTGTTTGTCTTTTCTGCCACTCCTATTACCTTGGTCCGATACACCTCCTTTGGCAATCACGACTTCACCTCTAACTCCTTTGTTTCACCCTCTCCATGTACACTTTTCATCTTCCTCCGATCCTCCACGCGTTTTCATATTCCACGACGGTCAGCTCATAACTCACTTCTTTATTCCCTCAGGATGCCCTTTTACTTCGACGAACCCTTATATAGGAGCCGGTCGTCGGTATTCAGTACTCAGTCCTGCTTGGTCAAGTTGATGAGGGGTGCTATCGACATGTATCGTGTGTACAGTATTTCTATGTTGTTCCTTCAGACTTTTTTTTTTCCTTTTGCCTGTCTGCTTACTTGTTTATGCTCTTTGCTCCGTATGCGTATGCCATTGTATGGCTTTTATAATGTCTCGTGGTTTCTCTCTGTGACTTTTGAAAGCGTGGAGTTCTCCGGAGTCCGCAGTGTTCTCTTGGGAGTGCATGAAAACTTCGTGCTGTGTTGTTGTGCGTTATGGGAGTAAGTTACGGCGCTTTTGAGCTCGAGGAAAGCTTGGACGTTGAACTGTTGAAGCGCCGAAAGTCGGGACTCAACGACGTCATTGAGTGCGCCACACTTGACCATCGCCACATCACAGTTTTGCCCCTGTTTTCAAGTTCCCCGCTCACCCGCCGCCCTCTTGGCAGCTGTCCTGCTTCTCGCCTGCTCCGAATATGCGCGTCATGCATCATGGGGGGGAATTCTATTGATATTTTGGCCCAGGTAAGCATAATGGATTGCTCCGTTTGGAAGTGACGTACCATCTTTTTCTCTCCGCTCCAGAGGATAACCATGATGTCACTCTTCACCAACCGTTCCACTTATTCCTGGCCTTTCTCCACTACGTAGCCCGTGGAACAATGACCTCAGACCTCGGAATGGTATATAAGCCTTAGACCGTTTCGAGGAATTGATTCCCCATCACAATCATCCCACTCGCATAACCACCACCACAACCACCACAACCAACCAACCACTTACTCGAACAACACATTATCATGTCCGGCTTCGACAACACCAACAACAACTTCAGCGGCGGCGAATACGGCACCACCACCACCGGCATGCGCCCCGAACACCACATCCACGACACCTCCGAGCCTCTCCCCGGCGCGCGCGGCGGTAACGCCGCCCCCAGCGCAGACTACAGCACCTCGAACATCGAGAACAATTTCGAGGGGAGACATAATGCGACTTCGGGGGGGAACTTTGAGGGGGGCTTCGATCAGGGGAGGAGGATGGAGAGTGAGCTGCCGCAGGGACAGAGGGAGGGAGCGTATAGGGGCGGGTATCAGGGTGAGACGAGGGATTTGGATACGGGGAGGGGCGCGGGGGGTAATTTGCCGAGGAGTGGGGATGCGTATGAGGGTGGGTATCAGGGGGAGTCGAGAGCTTTGGACGAGAGGACTGGTTAGTCTTTTTTTTCGCCGAGTTAAGAGTCTATGTTACGTTGTGCTCATGGGTTGTGTGCTTTTGTAGATGAGCTCGCTGGCGGTATGGAGCGCGGCTCTGAGTTCGGTGGCTCTGAACCTCACGGAAAGCCCAAGATGACCGACAAAGTCATCGGTGGCGCTGAGAAGGTACGTTACCCCCTCTCACCTTTGCTCCGCCTCGTACTTTGACTGACCACATCGTTCTCGCAGACCATGGGCAAAGTAATGAAGAAGCCCCAGATGGAGGAGAAGGGCGCCGTCCGTGCCTCCGAGGGCAAGGCCGCCATGCAGGAGCGCTTCTAAGCGTCTGCGCTTCCTCCTTCATTATCGTCCTCGTTTCCTCGTTCGTTGTTCTTCTTTTCGTTGATAGGTCTGAGAGAGGACTATCGATCGGATTAGCATGAATACTTCGCAATTGTACTTGTATCGGCCTTTTAGTGTATCATCATGTCTGGAATCATTTAATGGTTGATTTGCTCATCTGCTCCTATGCGACTGCATGAGTGACGGGTCTCACTCGAGCATCCGCTGCGATGTTATAAACGACAGCCCCAGAAGTTCCTTTACTCGGGCACGACGATGAGTCCGGTCGACGAAGTACTCCAATCAAGCACGACATCAAGACCAGGCGGCGGTTTGTGTCACCGAGGTCGACAGTGAAAGAGAGCCAATATGCACAAAAAAGAGTGTATCAGGTAAGTACGAGTATTCTTATAAGGGCAACACGGCGAGCAGTCATATGTATGTGGTATGAACGAGTCAGTGCGCAGACAGAGTAAACACAGCGACATGGTCAACAGAAACAGTCACGGACGTGAATAAGCGCGGCACAGTACATGAGAGTCAGAGAAGTTAGAACAAAAACGGTATCAGGAGACTAGAAGAGATACAATATGGACATGGCACAATGAGGAGCGAAGCTCTGGGGGTGCTAAGTTGGAAATGAATGAACTGTCAATGAGAGGGTATCGCGAAGTAAGTAACAGGCCGATGGTTCGTCTGTAGACCGTCGAGAAAAAGTGTCACGGACGACGATAAGCGCAAAAAAGGTACAACAAAATGAAGGCTCAGGAGAGCTGCAAAACGTATAAAGCATAAGGGGTCAGATTTAAGTAAGGGGCAAGGGTGGCCTTAGGAAGAGGAACGATTGTCTGTATGGACCTTTGAGTCTGGGTCGAGTGTGGAAAACATTAGCGAGGCGCAGGCAAAGTCACAACAGAAAGAATATCAAGAAGAGCTGAAATGCTGGGCCACATACACCCGCAGACTGAAAAACACTTGAATCCGCACGCCTGGATTCTACTTCTCACCATCGCCATCGTCGTCCGAATGGACGAGCTTGAATCCGTTCCTTCTACCCAGAACTGCATCGTCCACCAGTACATACCGGATCCTCATCCGCTTTGCCTTCTTCGTAAGCTCGTGCGAGAGTGGGGAGATGTCGCTTCCCGAGGTGGTGAGGTGGAGGGTCTCTGACGCGAGTGCAATGTGCGAGAAGGTCATGTGTCCGGGGATACCATTGGACCAGAGACAGATGAGACCGTGAATGTCACAGATAGCGACGACGAGGAGGAAGATGCCGTAGACGGTCCTCAGGCGGAAGCGGGAGTACTGCCAAACGCTACCGTTCGTTGTCACGTTGGCCAGGACCCGCGTGGTGTTTGCGAGGTTTAACGACTGTCGAGTCGATTGAGAGTTGAAGGACAGGGTCATGTTGGTGAATAGGTCCATGAGAGATTGGCTCATGTCTGGAGTGTCTAAGGTCCATACTTCACCGCCGGTTTTCGGCTCGTATGTAACGGAGAAGAAGGGAGTATCGCCGATACTGGTATGGTAATAGTTGACATCTATTCCATTGGCGGCATATTTATCGAGGCCGTAGCCCGAAGCTATGCCGACGAGAACCTGTGCGAACGCTTCGATGGTGGCATGATACGTGGCGTTAGAGTATGTGTAGGTGGTGGGAAGTGATTCGTCCAAGATCCTCTCGCCGCTGACTCTGTCGATGAAGCTCCATTGCGGATCGCCCAACGCCTGACCACGACGATTGACTGTGGCACCGACAGTCTGAGTATTGTTCACGAAGTGAAAACTCGCCGTGTATTCCCCCTCGTAAAAAGCGCAGTGACTACCGCCCTTGGTTTGATTGCTGTAATCTGCGACGTATTGAAAGGAGATGCCGTGTTGTGTCGTCCATCTGTCCGATGAGTTCCAGTAGTCTTGAGAGGTCCATACCCATGACGCAGTGGTTGAAGTGGCGGCGTTGATCTCGTCCCACCATCCTATGCTCGACACCGCGGTAAAAAGTACTACGCTGGCTGTATCAGAGGACTTGTAGAACGAAATATTGTCTGCCGAAATGTCTGAACAACTGAGCATGGGAGCTTCGTACGTGAGATTATAATGGCACTCAATCCCGCACTCCTCTGGTACCTGCCATGTCGAGATGGCATTAGGTGACGTGACTGCGCGTTTTACCGCCGATACCCAGTCGGGTGTTGGTCCAATGTAAGTCGGAGTGGTGTAGTCCAATTTCGGGTCCTGATAAACACTGACTGCGGTCTGGAACAAATTATCCGCAGAGGAAAAGGAGGGGACAGTGATCACTTGGGTGGTGTCGCCTGCTGGTGCGATTGTCAGAGAGTTGGGAACGAAGATGGAGATGCCTAGGAGAGCGTGGGTCACGACGGCAAGTGCGATGGGAATGACCAGCCTGGCAGATGAAAAGGTAAGGGAGAGCATGGGCAAGATAGAGGGAAGCCCAAAGAGGTAGTCGACGGTAGAGATTGTGTGGGCAGAGTGCTGAAGATGGTACCAAATCTAACGGAACGAACATCATTGTCAGGACTACGGTCTACGAAAAGCTTGGTCAAACGTCAGGCGTACCACTTGAGTGAGCGCAGAGGTGGTAGATATAATGAGAAGGGTTTGCGTTGCGGTCGCGATGGCGTTACTACCGTCCTTGTGATATTTTTGATATGTCACTGCTTTGCCTTCAAGGTGACGCAGGTAAAAGTGGTGCCCGACCGCCAGAGCTGCGGCCACTAACCACGGGACGATGATGAAGAGATGCCATTTTGATTGTGCCGTGATGGAAAGGTGAGGATGGACAGCGACTTTTGTGGGTGTCGATGCGATCAAACGAGTGTCAAGTTTATTAGTCACAGTGTGGTCGTCAGAAACATCCCGGCTGCGACCAAGCTGTGAGTGAAAATACGCGGGTGGGGTACTTGTGTTCGCAAGGAGGGCAGGCAGCGCTGAGGATGCATCTTTGAGTTGGTCGTGAGCGTGGAGCTCGCGGGCGCCCGAAATATCCGGATCTCTGAGCGATACCAAATGATAAAGCTCGGGCGGGGATTGCATACGCTGTTCAAGAGATACCTATCGGACTCAAGACAAGAGATATGAAAGGAAGCGTGGACGTACTATGTCGTGTATGTAGGGCAACGATGGCGTTTGGTTGGGAAAGAGAAAAGCAAGTGACAGTCCATTAGACAGGGAGAGTGATACTTATTGTTGCTCGATGCTCAAGCATCATTCGACGCAAGCATACGATCTATCAGACGAGAACAAGCACGAGGTTACATACAAGCTTCAAAATCGTACATTCACTCAACGCGACAGATGTACTGCCAGCATGGGCTCGACGTGAGAATTGAGCGAGCTAGAGAGCTTTCAATTGCTCAAAAAGCGCACGGATCCTCCACTCATTTCCCCAGAGCGGTTCAGGAGAACCTTCCGCAGGCGCCGGTCGCGGATGAGATCACAAACCGAAGTACGAACGCATTTGCGATAAATGATGCATCTTCTTGTGAGAGCGAGACCCACGTAGTACCGGCAGTGCCTCGTCCGTAAGCAGCAAAAGGCCTTTCAGATTGGGTCACATGCAGTGCGACGGTGGACTAGAAATCTTTTCGGCCAGGTTTATTTCTGATGCGATATGAGATATATGAGATGTTGTCTCTTTCTCTGTCCGGTGCGTTGATTGTGCACAAGTCCATCAGATCGGGGACGTCGGTATCCGAAGAGGAAATGATATCGATGGCTCACCAGACATGATCCACAAAAATATTGACCGTCTAAGTGACAGGATAAAGAGACGAAGGCTCTAATTTGAGGTAAGTAGTATAAGTATTAGAAGCGGCTGAGTCGAACTCCACTACCGCCGAAGGGGAGCTGAGGGGAGAATCAGTGCGTGTGGATCATCTCCCAAGTGTGAAAGAATCTTTCAACGGTGTGACTGACTCAGTGTACGGAACTTCCGGGATGCCCCGGTCGAAATTGCGGAGCTCGAAAACGGCAATTCCGCTTCCCACAACCGCATCACGGAAAACCGCCGAGTCCTACAAGCTCATATATTTCGTTCGCAAGGTCATATATGAGATCCAATTGCTGAAATACTACTACAACAAGTAAAATGGGTTATTGTGCTCATTCACATATTGCAAGGTCTATAGCGAGGGTGCCCAAGTTACTACATGCTCTCGAAATCTGTGGAAGGGCTCATCGTTTCAGCTCAGGTTGTCCCACCGGGTGCCCATTTTGACAGCGTAATCGGGCAGTCAACTTTTCACGGACAATCGTTTCGTGTATTGAGCAGGGCTACATTACACAGTGGTACATAAGCATATAGGTAGCAATTACAGGTGGAGTCACGTCATACAGATGGGACAGCAGGCAAGAGATGAGACGAAAGAAAGTAAGAAAAATATAGTAGTTTACTGGGGTCATCGGAGAGGAGATGCGAGTGTGCGTAGAGGTGCTCGAGATGAGGGACTAAGGTAAGTACAAGTAGTTGCCCGCACACGACAGCCTGGCAGCGCGTCGCGTGCGACATTCAAGTTCACGCCGCACATTGATGATGTCATCCCCTAGTCCGAAGACGAAGCACAGTGTCTGCTTCGTCTTGTGCGGAAGGGATGTGGGAAGGGACGAAAGCGAGTACGAATAGGGAAATAGACTAGGGAGACGAAAAGGAACGAAACGAAACGGATGCAACAACATTGACGGACGTCACCTACCACCTTCGCGCTGACACGGCGCGCTCGTCTCGCGAACAGTCCAAGGGCGTCGTGTAGCGCCATGTGAAAGAAAAAGGCTTCGGCCAGCGTAGACTAAATGCTAAGGGTGAAGACGAAGTGGCCAGCGAAAGCTTCAAACTTCGGAGAAGAGGGGATGATGGTGGTACGACTCGAAACGGATTCAGCCCGCGCAAGAAAATGATGAGTGCGCTGGCAAGTCCCACGCTGAGTCCCAAACTGCACCTTCTTTGGTGACGCATCGATTCCTGCCGAACTCGGCGGATCTAGAAATGGGGCTGATCCCAAGCCAATGCAACATTCCGTAGCTTTCTAAGCTTGAACAACCTGTTTCGGCGTAAATAAGTGTTTTCAGGTGCAATATAACTGCACCTAACCCACCGCCACCTTTCGCCACCATTTATTCGGTACAATTGCTTGCAAGGCTCGGCGGGGATCCGTGATGCGCGCGAATTACAATCGTTTTTCTTTCCGAGTCTATCCCTGTCGACTTTCAGTACTGCAAACAATTCATCACGGTATCTCGAGTCATTCTCTCCTTACAGTATTTTTCACCTCTACTCATGTTCAACTCGCTTGTAATTTTGTCCCTCCGGATTCCGCTACATGGCCTCTCTTGAAGACTGACAAGTTTTTGCTGGTCCTATGAGGTACCTTTACAAGCTTGTACTTATCTCTACCTTTTGTCCGAAACTGTACGTACTACGGGTGGCTGCTATCTTCGACGCAACTTCGACGTTAAGCTTCAACGACGGTTCTAAGCGGCGTGGATGCATGACCTATGACGAAGTCTATCTTTTTCTGGCCTTTGGTGTAGAAGTCCTGAGAAGAGTTACTCATCAGGAAGTTCGCAGGAAGCCTGCAGGAAAGATCACACCTTCCGCCACCATAGCTCCAATTAGCGTGGCGTTGCCTTCGCCATGCCTTTCTACGCCTCAAAGTAACTCTAAGAGCTGCACCCTCGATCCTCTGCTCATCACCGTCACTTACTACGAATACATTATCTCTCCCTGATCTTCTCAATCTCTTACAAACAAACTAGACGACATAATGTATTTAGACGTAGAGTCTCTTGTACTCATTGCTCAGGTCCTTAAAGATGAAAGGGACGACATGGCCTCAGCTAGACTAGCGAAACGGCTTCAGGTGCGTCTCATCTAACCCAATCTCTCAAGGCTCAGCCACCAGTATGAACACCAAAGATAGATCACTCACTATGGTTTTGTTCCTTTCAGGCCGGAGACAACACCCCTATCTCCCCCGAAGACTCAACATCGATAGCAATCGAACTCGCCTTAGAATTTCTTCGCTCTGACTACCCTCGAATGAGCCAGAACGAGCTGCAGCTCAATGCGAAGGAGGTGGTTCTTGCGATGGAGAAGATTGATTTGGATATTGAGGAGGCGAGGAGGGCTCAAGCAGGTAAAGATGAGATCCTGGACACGAGGGAGGGTTCATTCGTTACGGTAAGCTGTTTGGACATGTGGACATGTTGAAGTGCACTTGAGCTAATAATTGTAATATGTGCTAGGCCATGAGTCTCGTTTCTACTAGTCCACCACAAGCCACATTCGAGGGCAAGGGAAAAGGCAGAGAATCGACGCCCGAACTGATTCCCTCAGTAGACTCGGATTCGAGCTCTTCAGGTACTTCAGATAATCTTCGTTTTCTTCCTACATACGTACTTACTCTATGGCGCTCTTCCTCACCTTTCCAACTTCAACTCATGCTAGACCCAGATACCCCCTCACTGCCTTTCTCAATCTGCGGCATCTGCTTCGACCCCTTCAAACCTACCTACCTTCCCTTTTCCGCCTCTCGCACCGCAACATCTTCTTCTCGTCTTCCCTTTGGTCTGCAACTCCCTTGTCCTGCCCGCCACGAATATTGTCTCTCGTGTCTGACAGGGCATATCAGGAGTAAGCTGGATCCGAGGGACGACGGGAGGGCGACAGCCGATGTCAGTGTGTTTCCGGTGAGGTGTCCGGAATGTGAAGTCAAGGAATACGATATTGGGGATGATGTGGCGAATAGGGTGTTGGGTGGGAAGATACTGAGTCTTTGGGTGTGTGTTTCCAGTTCCTGCTCTTTTGTCTCGATCACATCGAGGCTGAAGGCGATAACTAAATTAATTCCCTGGAACGGAATTGTGAAATGGAATGACATAGCGCCACCAAAAATACCTGGACTCACTGCCGAGGTTCTGGTGTCCCCATTCACATTGCTGCGCTCGGTTGGAAGTCGACGAGAACGCGCGCGATCCAAGAGCGAGATGTCCGGATTGCAATGGTATATTTTGTGTCCCCTGTCGGTCGGTGTGGCACGAAGGTTCGCTTTTCTTTTTCATTCGATGATGTACCTTCTGATAGCTAACGCTTATTCGTCAATCGTGTATAATCAGGTGTAACGTGTAGGGATTATCAGGTCGGTTCCTCTGGAGAGACCGTCGCCTTGAAAACTCATTCAGTTAACGCTTTCTGTCCCCAAACCAGTCGCTGCCTCTCGGAGACCGCCAAGCGGACGATCTCTCGACCCTACAAAGTATCAAGGTTAGTTTCAGGTCATAGCCAGCGTGTCATATCCAGAGTCTCACTACGAGTTTTTCCACAGGCAAAAGGCTGGCGTCGATGCCCTAAGTGCTATGTAAGTCCCACCACCAATCCACGACGGTACACATTCACCTCACACAGTTCGACTTACTTTTTTTACGTATACTATAGTACGTCGTAGAACTCTCTTCCGGCTGTAATCATATGACATGTCGCTGTGGCACCCAGTTCTGCTTTTTATGCGGAGGTACGTGCACCATCCTTCGCTCACAAACACCCACAGCGACACCCCCATTCCGAATCGTCATCGTAGTCTAACTGATATCTCCAATCTCCAGTGAAATGGAACACATGCCAAGGCCGCTGTCCCTCCGAGCCCGCCTGCGCATTCTGGAACGAAGACATGCTCATCGACGAGCGCGACCGGCCTGCGAACAGCAACAGTTCCTCGGGCTTGAACCCACAGTTTTCGAGGGAGGTGTTCAGTGGGCCGGTCGGTCAGGTTGCGAGGTTGGTCCCGGCGGTCAGTTTGGTGCCGCCTTGTGTTGCTGAGGATTCGGACGAGGAGGATGAGGAAGAGGAGGAGGAGGGGAGGGGGGCAGTGGTGCTGTTTGGAAACGGTCCGGTGGCGAGGCAGGCGGAAGATGTGGAGAGGAGTGAGAGTGGTAGTGTAGAGCGATCTGAGGGGACGGAGGGGACGGAGGAGGACAAGGAGGACGAGGAGGGGAAAGTAAATAGTCAGGCGGACGAGATAGTGATGAAGTGGTCGAAAGACTGGAGCGTGCGGTCGGATGACGGGAGCGAGGATATGTATCTGTCTGAGGGCGGGGGGAAGGAGCCAGAGCGGAGCGATGATGAAGAGTTGCAGGATAATAAGGCTGAGTTAGAGAGAGAGTTGGAGATGGAGAAGATGCTACATGTTCCAAGGTGGAGGTTGGATGATATCGATTGATTTTAACTTCTAAGTATCCGGGACTTCGTTTGCTGAGAGCGGATATGTAGGGGATCCCAAGAACGTTGCGGTACCTTTTTTTGGTGATATGTATGAACGCTTCTGATCTTTGCTCTGATTCGGTCTTGTCTGTGGTGTACGTTTGCCGTGTTATTCTTTTCTCGTGCACTTCTTGTAAAGCGTAAAGTGCTTGTACCATCACCCCGTCGTACCCCTTGCCTGAGATAAGTATCACACATACTATATAAAAGGTGAAATTCGTACACTCTGTAACACCTTCTCGTCGTGTTAACGTTGTACTTATCTCAGACCGAACAAAGCGAACTCTTGCACCGAAAACTGAATCCAGAAATGCCTGCAGCCTTTTTGGACGCATCATTGCTTCCGTCGTCACATACCCGCAATACATACTGGTTACGAGTCTGGTCAAGAGCATCTAGTAGGCTCGCTACCCAAGCCGATATGAGTATTGGGTGCTCGTACTGTGTGGCACCTTTGATGGATGTCGACATCTCAAGGGGCGATGAAGATCGACCATCGTGGCACAAACGCAATAACTGGCATTGATTCGGAAAGCATAGAATGTACATTGAGTAGCTCATTGGCAGTTGGACGTGAACGAAAACGAGAGAGCAAGGTAAGTGAACAAGAACTTCAAAACACGATTCGAGAACGACGATTCAGACTATCAGGTGCCTAGGACATAGACGTACACGTACACTGGCGTGGAGATAACACTGAAAGCAAAGCAGAGCGGGACTTACATAAAACAGCTGCGAATACTCGGAGAGCAAGACGTGTAAGCAAATGAGAAGAGAGAACGAGATAGCCACGATATCAACATGCCCTTTACGACAAAGGCCCTTCAACCCGAGCCCATGTCCACATCCGAATCAGAGCTCTGAAGCTCCTCCTCTGAGTCAGGATGACCGACGATGTGCCCCTCTTCTATATCTTCGTCATCATCCTGAGGATCCGTGACATTGAGCACGAACGAATCGGCCCAGGAGTAGCTATCCGGGCCAAGCGCGAAGACCGGCTTCAGCTGCATCACCTGCGGTATCGTTTCTTTGCGAGGATGCTCGAGTAGAAACTCTGACAAACGGAGCACTTCCCTGTACTTCACCCGCTGTTCTTCCGTGATGAGCTTGTAGTTCGTGTTAGAGCACCCAGAGACATAGATCTCATAGCGCGGATGCTTCTGAGTCGACGCATAATGACCGCTGGAAGGACGAATAGCGACGTTATGCTTCGACGGCGTCTTGGGTTGCAGTGTCTCCTTTGATTTCGAAGGTGTCGCGGGTGGTGTATTCGCATTTGAAGACGTCGCTGTAGTCATACGCTTGGAAGCTTGCCGGCTTTTCTTGATCACGTCCTGCACCGGAAGCTTAGCGTATTTCGGGAGGGTATTCTGCACGCCGAGGTCCATGACGAGCGTGACGTAAGGGCGGTCGTCTTTGGCAAGGTTAGGTTCGGGATGGAAGAACTTGAATTGTTTCTCGGCGTCGAAAGTGTATCTGCCGGCTTTCGTTCGGCGCTTGACCTGGATGAAAATAGCGGTCATGACGGAGGATTTGATCTTCTCGTCCCAGAGGAGAACAGGAATGATAAGGTCGATGAAGCTCTCTCCCCTCCTGCAGACGAACGCCATGCATCGAATGAAAGCTGCGAACATGGAATGTGTGTTGAATACGTGGTCGTCGCCAGCCTGGGCCCAATGCGTTAATCGGATCCATGCGTCCTTGAATACTTCCTCGAACGTCTTCTCCCCACAATTGGCCGGTTTGCTGTTTAAGATGTCTTGGGCCACGTCGTCCACGAACAACGATACTATCCAGTCTATCAGACGACAGCCAAAGCTGTAGAGTGGATACTTTCCGTGTGGGTCCTTCAACTTGCCAGCCTTGAAAACGGCGTGGTCAAAGGCCTCGAGGATGAGCATACGAGCGACGACTTCTCCTCGTTCTCCTCGATCAAGAAGCCCGTTCTCCATAAACTTTTTGACGATATTAAGCAAAATCGATGGGTCCTTTTCGCGCCAGTGCTGAAGCTGCTGAGCTGCCGCCTGGATAACCATTTGAGTTTTGATTAGTATACCGTGAACGCACATCCTTAGTGGTAGCCGAGGATATAGATAGACGGGCGCACCTCTGCCAAGATAGGCTCGCTCGGATAACCCGAGCGGATATATTCACGATGAGCGGGAACCGAATACGCAATGCGCATATGACTTGCGACTAGCTTTGCTTGGGTGTCCAGACTTTGACTCCTTTCGAGGTTTGGCTCATATTGGAGGGAGAGACGAACGTCCGCGACGGCCAGCTGTCCGAGGTCGCTGCAGTCTGAGGCATAAATAGTACAGTCGGGACCGTCGATGAGCTTGGAACGTATAGTCTGCATAAAAGCCTGTATATTTCGGTGCTGCGGAATCTGCGCGAAGGTAGTCCAGAACCTGAAGAATGTAACAGCTACGTTTAGGACTACATGTGAAAAGCTGATGGAAGGATACTCACAGAGGTCGACCAAAGCGAGCTATGAAGTGCAGTTGCGAACTCTCCTCCCGATCGTAAGTGTTTTGGAGCACGAGAATATTTGGGTCGCAGTCGAAGGGGGTTTCCGTGATCGGTGCCTGAAGCGCTCCGCTCTTAGAGGCGCGGGCAGACTCGAACTGGCTTCGAAGAGGGGCGAAGTCGGCGATGTGGGAGAGGGTCGAAAGGAAGACAGTGAAAAGCGCGTGATCTCTATAATCATTGAGAACGGAAAGAAAGATCCTGTAAAGAGTCTTTCCGTCGTTACCGACCGGATGAATTTTCGTCATCTCGTGAGCCTCATCGAAGTACAACAAGATGTCGACCACTCCTCCAAGGTTGTTAATTCTGGAAGCAATGATTTTCCGCAGGTTAACTATTTCTTTATGTGTCTTCTCCTGCATTGATCCCACTGCGGCTTTAAGATCGGTGTGAGTCTCATGCGTCTAGGGGCAATATGGACTCAGCCATGCACAACGATGAAAGTACAGACAAAAACTCACGGCAGCCTGGCCAGCCTCTCGCACAACGGTTCTATACAATTCGCGACGTACACCGTCTTTTGCGAGATACTCTCTCCACAAGCTGGCAAACTCCGTTTGGGGTACGCTTGGACCATTAAATACCGACTGAACCTCCGCCGCGGTTGATCGGCAGAGACACATGAGAAACGCGTGATAATGAAGACGAGTCACGTGTTCTGGATACGGCATGAAATACATATACTCGCGGATTTCGGGATCGGGAGGAGGATAAGCCAAGACTACGGGAAGAAATCAGAAAACGACATTGGCAAATATTAGCCTACAGAATGAATGAGTACCTATAGAAGCTTGATCGCCCCGCAGGTTGAAGGGGAGGGTGAATACAAGACGTGCTGCTTCGTCGACCATCCTGGACTTCCCAGTACCAGAGCTCTGCACGATGGTGACGGTATTATTGTAGTCGTCAAGTTCGCTGGTATTATTGGAGCCGTCAAGTTTGCCGGTATTATTGGAGCCGTCAAGTTTGCCGGTATTATTGTCGTCAAGTTTGCCCGCCTTCGAGGCCAAGCTAGTATTCGTTCCCGTCTTCATTCGCGTAATGATTTCGACAAGGAGTTTATGGCGATCCGAGACATAAGGCGTGCTCCATGCCTTGCGTACGGCTGATGAGTTGTTAGTGAAGGAACAAAACGAAGATACTATTTGAACTCTATGTCTCACCTTCTCCTAAAGATTGACGCAATGCATCCCCGAGAATTAGCATGGCATAAATGTGCAAGAAAATGACTACTTACGACGCGTACCCTCGTCTCCGACGTCTTCGACACCCTTGCCTTTAGGTTTCGAGGTACTGACCGGGAACGGCTCACGGAGAAATGCTAGTTCACGTATATATAAAATTCGGAGCAAAGATGATAGAAGAGCGTGCGCGTACCACTATTCCGAATCAATTTGAACGACCTGTTCTTTGCGGCTTCCTCCAAAGCGTTTCTGAAGGCTGGCCCGGCGGTGATGACGGCCATCTTGTAAAAGTTGAGTCGTTTATCCTGTTCTGGGCCGTCGTATATCCAGTCCTTGTGTACATTGTTGTTGACCTCCAAGGCTGCGATGGCGCAAAAGATGTCGGCATAATCCTGCTCCACTAGCTGCCGGGTCACAGTTTTCAAGTCCAAATCGCATCTGTAGATGAGGTTCCACAGGATAGCTTGGTCTCGCTCAGCATGGGACCGCTCGCTGGTAGCATCATTGGAGATCAGGAGATGACGGCTTTTGGAGGACCCAGAATCGGAGGGATCGTCGGCGTGGGCACGCTTCTGCGAAGGTTGAGCGGTGGACATTGAGGAAAGCGAAGAGCGGGATGCAGTTGAGATAATCTGATTGCAGGGTATTTAAGCGAAGGATCCGACCTTCCCGGCAAACGCCGGTGCCGGTGTCAGGGGCACTAATGTCACCTGTACTGGTCGCTATTGTAGTACAATACATAGGTCGGGTGCTCAATGATTGTGCTCGTACCTATAGGACTTCTTGTACAAGGTGCAATTGTAGTTGATGTCGAGTCGGTGGCTAACAACGATGTTCGCCTCTGTGTACAATTGTTTGACAATTGTAGTTGCATTGTTGTATATGACCTGTGCGAGCCATTGTTGACCCATTGTGATACAACTGTTATCGGTGCCTTCGGAGGTTGTACAACGTTGTTGTCCAAACCTTTTACAATTGTCATATAAGTGCTGGTTGTTAACAATGGTGTTTGCCTTCGTGCTCCTTATACAATTGTACAAGGCCTGTTGTTTGCGAACAATTGAAGTCGACGGCCTTCGCTGTTGTATAACAATGCTGCGTGGAAGTTCTACAATGGTACAGTTGTATTCAACGACCTTCACCGTTGTACAATACGTAACATGACTGAATATCTGTACAATTGTAATTGACGGGTCATGCCTTCGGCGTACGCCCTACAGGCTACCCTACTTCTACAATTGCATGTGAACAGTCCGGGGCATTATTGTTTTACAATTGTAGTCGACGATCCTCGTTGTACAATTGTAATCGACAACTCTCGTTGTATAACCTTGTCGCTCTAACCTTCTACAACTGCCACAATCGACGGAATGTTGATTGTCAGTAATGGGACTCCCTGCTTCATACACTTGTACATGGCTGCAGCGTCATTACACAATTGTAACTTTTGTGGCTATGAGTGCTAGTACAATTGTGAAAGCTCCCAGTACCGAGAAATATGATATCCGGTCATCTATGATTAGTCACATGCAGGTTTGTCGGGGCTCTTGTCGAATCCACGGGTGAAACTGACCCTGACATTATCAGGCTGACACATAGACACCTTGTGAGTTGCTTGCGAGCCTGTGGTTTGTAGGGTAGCCTGGTATCCGATGACGCTGTTGTAGGTGAAGGATGGAAGACTTTGGGTTACTATTTCGCTGCAGAACCGCAATTTTCATTTTGTGGGCTACTAAACGATCTGGTTCAGGTTGTTGTTTGGTTCGAAGCGGTCTGATAAGTACTATGTATCTATATCCTGAACTGCAACGACTTATACTCTGTCATGGATACTCGTCAACTACGACTCGCATGCTTCCCTTTAGGCTCTGCCGGACCAGAACCTCATAACTTATGTCGACTGATTCTCTCCAGTGCCTCATTTATGAATTGCTTTGTATTCTACTGATGAATGTACGGCACTACGATTATGGCTGCCTGTTTTAAATAATACCTCTATTTAACATTGTTCAAGGTACTCTGCCACGAATCACTCAGCTAGCGCCCGGAGGAACAAGGTGGCTGACCTTTTCGTTTTCCTCCGCTTCCTCCGACGCAACACGCTTCCCTGCATTCTCAGGCGCCCCGCTCCGAGTCGATCCCCCAGCTTCCCCACCTTCGGGCCGCGGCTTTCCCAGCCTCTTCTATGATACCCACGGCTGATTTCTTCAGTTCATTCACCATCTGCATTCAATATTCAACATTGACCATCATCTCCTCGCATTTCGCCCACTGCCCCGGTTCGAACGCCACCTTGGACCACTACACCAGCGAGATCAACGCAAGCACAAAGCCGTTTGGCCCACCTTTCATCAAGCTCGCCCAGCGTTCACCCTCTTCGTTTTGGCGTTTCAACGGCCAAAATTTACCACGCGGTATCCTCCACATTGGCTACATTTCACTCCACCATTCTTTGAACGACTGCTCGAATGCATCGACATCTTTAATCGGCGGGATCGTACTCCAAGCGCGACGGCGTCCAAACCATACGGATACTTGGGACGGACGTTTATGCATTCTAAGTTTGTTCGTAGGGTTCTGTCAAAGAGCGTAAGTGTTTGATGTGTCTCCTTGATGTTTTGTAGCGAAACTTATTGTAGGTTTGGTCGGATGGTTCAGCAGGCGGTCATGCTCCCTGAAGAGTTTAATCACTCGTGCCCATCGATCTCCCGGATCCCCATCAGCAGGAAGTCCTCCGTCGCATCCTCCAACCAATCTCCCTTCACCTTCTCAACCGTCTTTGACTTCTTCCGAACCTTTTGCGCCACCGCCACCTCTGCTTCTTTCCCTCCAGCATGCGGCAATATCTTCTCCTCAGCATCCGTGGATGACGCTCCCACTTGAGAAGACCCCTCATTAATCCCTACGCTTGAGGCCCCATCCCACCGGTCGTTGATCATATTGGCGTCTACGTCGGGTGTTGTTTCGACTGGTGCTGCGGCGATCGCAGGCTCCGTAGCGGGATTGATGTGAGCGGTGTGGCCATGCACAACATTGAACAACGACGAGGTGTCATTTTCGTGAGCTGTGGTCGATGAGTGAGGTCCTGGGTCTTTCGTAGGAACCCGGAGCAATGAGGGGTCTTTGAATTCTGAGACGAGTTCATGCCCTGCGGATGTGGTACATGATGCGACAGATGGCTCGGAGATGGGCTTCTCGGTTTGCGACGAACTAGCGGCATGGTACTCTGGCTGAGAGGGTTCGACGGTAGGAGCGGTAGAAGGAGAAGACGGTTCAACGATAGGCGTTCGGGAAGATTCGACGTTGGCGGCGAGTGTAAGGGTTCAAGGACAAGTGGTCGTGAAGGCCGGCAGCAGAGTGACCGCAAGCGATGGGCCTCCGCGGTGTCCGGTTGCGGTTTTCAAAGTGCCTCGTTGCCTCATCTCGCTCGTTCGTCGTTCACGCTGGACCCGTCGGCCCCTCGACGTTTCACACGACACACCCTCGGTGTCCGACCTCCACCTGGCCTAGCAAGGACATCTGGCACACGAAATCATTGCATAGGGCAGACCGGGAGTCCGGGATAGGTTGCCAGTGGTCTAACATCAAGGTGCGTCAATAGGATTCTGTGCCCTCCGAGTCCCGACACTTCTGGCCTTCTCATTTCCTTTGCGCACTTTGTTCATCCACTCTTCTGTACCATCGTCGCATCGAAACGAACTCTCACACTGATCACACTTTCTCTGCGGTTCAGGATTCAGTGGTACATGGACGAATTATGCACTGGCTCTCTAGTGTATGGCACACGTTCGGCCATGATGTGGAACCTTGCTCGCTCTCAACGCCGATGGAAGCTCCTTATTATCTGGCTTGATTAGCTGTTCTTCAGCGCGTTGTCACGGTGTCGTGGTTTTCAGTAGCACTGAGTTTACGCCTGACAAAGAGTGTACGTCTATACCTCCTGGCGAAATTCCTCTTGACTAACCCCAACCTTCGTTCTCTGCGGGTTCCCATTAGCTATTCTATCGCTCAAGCTACCCGCGCTCTCATCCACCAAGACGCAGGAGGCTCATGAGGGCGACGGATAGGGGGCGTTGAGGGTCAGGCATATCAGATGGAGAGGTGGTCTTCGAGCGACTTGAATAACTATAGCTTAGTTGTGGATAACTCGGCTTTTTGAGTCTCCTTTTCAGCCATGATAGTATTTGGTTTCGGTGACTTAGGTTGTTATGTTGGTATTGGTGGTAGGTGTTGGATAGGACTACATTTAAGCCGGTCTCTGTCGCTACCACAATCAAGTTTCGCGGCATGTAGGTGCGTATCCTCATCCCCTTGGTCCATACCGTCAAGACTGATGGACCATGGTACTAGGCTACACAGGTCTCCTCTACCTTCGCCGTGGGTGTTACCGGAGTGCTACCTGCGAGATAGGCGTAATATATACACCGTTCCGTCGTTTATCTCAGATCGTCCCATCGCTCACTGGGAACCGAATCCAGCAATGCCTGTACCCTTTTTGAACGCATCATTGCTTCCGCGGCGAGGTCTATAGACGTACGGAAAGGGAAAGCGATGCAACATATATATATATGGATCGACCACCCGTCAATCTTGCTTGCCGTCGAATAGGGGCTAGCGCTATAATATTGTGGCGCAGCAGAGTTTTGAACAGGTTTGTCACCTGCATCGTGCGACTCTGTGATTACTGATTCAACAAATAGATACCAGGCCAGTGCAAGCTGTGAGCTGGATAGGACCGGATGTTCAGAAGCCGTCCACGATGATATTCGGTGTTCGAAGCAGATCTGAGATAGGAAGATCGAGAAGACAATGTAGACAAAAGGAATAAGTTCCCAAACCTGATACGTGATCATTCTGAGCGCTGTTACGGATCGACTATCCTACACTACTTAGGCTCAAGCACTAGTCCTAGAATTAAAATCATAGCGCGAGTGAGCAGACAGCCAGCTCTCAGAACTAATATCAACGTACTCTTACACGCGTCCCTCGCACAAAACTGCACTCCTGCCTCCACTCAACCAGGACCTTCCCACCTCCACCCACCCCTCAAAGCGCCAACTGTCCATATCCCCCTCCATGCGCCCCCCTCCTCCACATCCTAAAGCTCTCCATCTGCACCGCGCCCAACAACCCCGCAATAACGAGATCCAAAACCGCCTGCACGACCACCGTGCCCATACTCGCCGGTGATCCCCACGCAACCCCATCGTCCGCGATCCCAACCATCGTGAACACCGTCATCGCGAATCCGGCTAACAACACCACGATACACGATCCGAGGACGGCGAGGTTCGCGAATGAGGCGGACGGGCGGAAGTAGTCTACCTCCAGCTCGTCGTCGTCGTTGTCGGCTCCAGGATTGGATGGGGTGGTGGCGGTGGAGGGGTAAGGGTGATGACGAGTGGAACGACGAGCGAGGTGTAGGAGGGTGGCGTCGTGGAGGATGGTGAGTCCTGCGCCTGTGACGTTGAGGAAGAAGCCGGCGGTGGCGAGGTCGAGGAGGGAGAAGATGAAGAGGATGATGCCGAGGGTGAGAGTTGTGACTGTCGTTACGTAGAGGTTTTTGGGCATCGTCCGGGGACGGGTGAAGCGGCGTGGGACGGTGAGTTTGGCCATGCTCGTTCTTGGGTCTGTATGATGGTTTTGATGGAGTGAAGGTCGTGTTGAAGGTTTCACTTGTGCCAAAGACCGCGACGGGAGAGAGATTGAAAAGGACACGAGCGAAGAAAGAATCAGATGCGAGATGAAGTCAGGTTCTCAGGAGGGATCCCACTCGACCACTGACAGTAGAGCTTAGGGAGCAATAATATACGAGGATGAAGCGTCATGGGGTTCGGCTACGAAGCCTTGCCATAAGAAGCTTGAGCTGAGAATATGTGCCCATGTGAGCGGGAGACACTGTAGCCTGTCTAAGGAATTGGTCTGAGAGAACAAGGACAGTCCAGAGGTCGTCGTGAGTCCTGGAAGATGTGCGCTAGAATGTATGTGGAAAGAGTTGTGGGTGGTTGATGAAGATGAAGCACTGGTCCGAAACTAGCGATTTCGTTCTGGTAGATGTGGCGCGCCACACACCCTCGGAAAACCATGGTCGACCAAGATCAAATATCGTCTGGCACGAACCTCTCTTCATCACGGGCGAAAAATGGGATAGACAAGATAGGCATATGTAGCCGTGAAAGGCCGCCAACAGCCCTGCAGATAGCTACAGTACAGGGATCGAAACGCATAAAGCCAAAAGAATAAAACACGTAAGTAGTAGGCGAAGGTAAAGAACAAATGAACAAATCCGGGATTATAAGAAGAAAGAAGTATAAATAAGCAAGCCCACGATATTCCCGCAAGATATACAAGGGACCCCTCAACAAAGATGGATGGAGCGCTGGGGAGGGACCCAACCCGGCTTTTATCGATGTCCGCCAGTTCATAGACGAGCAGTTCATTCACCGCTCCTACCATACACCTACATCCGCCATCCGCACTGCAACGGAAAGCGTCAGCCAGTCAAAACAACACAGGACGGGGGCGGGACCACCTGTCATTCGACAGGACTCACTTCTCAGCGTCTATCTCGTCGGACTCATGACGTGCCCTGTCCTGCCTCGAACGACGGTGTCGGCGTCGCCGCCGCAGTACTCGACCCATTGCTCTCTCCCACGCCTTGCCCATCGCTCGTCGTCGTCGACGCCGCAGCCGTCCCAACACCCACACTCCCCGGAAACTCCGACCCCGTCGAAGTCGCACCCGCACTCTCCGCACTACTCGCCCCACTCGCACTCGAACTCGCACTCGCGGTCGGGCTCGGCACCACCGCATTATTCGAGCTCTTATGTCTCGTACCGCCAACCGCACCACCCACGACCGCGCCGATAATGACGAGCACGATGATGACGATGGCGATGATACCCGTTCGGGTCCGATACCATGGGCGTTTGGTGCCGAGGTTGGTGGTGCCGTTGGCGGGGTAGGTGGTTGGGTCGGAATCGAGCGTGCGGGTGTAGCCACCTGCGCCGCGGGGCCCTGGGCCTTCGAAGGCTCGGGAGGTGGAGGAGGGGTCGAGGTTGTCGGATGTGTGGGCTATGGCGGGGGAGGCGGCGCCGCGGGGGCGACCTTCTTCGAGGAGGTCGACGTTGTAGCCTTCCTGTATTGCATGGATAGACGATTGGAGAGGTGAAGAGGGTTCGACAAGATGGAAGGAAGATTATACGGAAAGTGTGAAGATATGGGAGAGAAGAAGAACAAGTCAGTAAATCATCTGATCAAATCGTTCGCGCGCTCTGCGCCTCTGCGACTCTGCGACCCCCAGCAAAGATACAATCAAGAAACGCACCTGCTTCTCAGCCCTCGTCACCTCCGGTGCATTCGCCAGTAGACTCTGATCATAACTGCTCCCTGTGCCCGGTTTGCTCTCGTACGCCATCGTAGCTATCTATCTCCCTTCAGATCCCAGACAAGCGTGAAGGTCGTAGGTAGCGTTTACCTCCTGAACTACGAGTATCAAGAGACGATAGTAGTGTGTCTCTCAAAAGGAGGGGAGGACAAGGAGGAAGGAGAAAAAGGGAGGGAGGGAGAGCGGAGGGGAAAGACTCAAGGAGGTCAAGCGCCGGGCGCTGTGATGAGCGCTGAAAGCGCTTGGAACGCCGCACACTGGCATTGTCCCGGCACGCTTGTCAGTGACCAACGGGTGGACAGCCTCGTCGCAGATAATCTGGCCTTGAGTTACTAGTTACACTTGTTATTACTTGCCCTGAGCTTTCTGGGCGTGCCATCAGTGAAATTCGTGCGGTCTGACAGATGTGAATTTGGGCGTGTCGGGCGTTTCGTGCCGTCTTGGAGGAACGTTGTGGTGCCACAGTTGCCATTATGTGGCCCTTACTCAACTTTCAATTGGAGTTGAAGGAGGGGTCACTCGGTGGACTTTAAGCTCTTTCTTTTACAAGGCTGTAAGAGTAAATGCTGGAAACTACAACCAGGTGAAGCTCTACGACTTTACATTCTACATAAGACATCCCAGAACTCCGGCTCAATACATAGACAAATAAATATTTCAACCCGGCAGCCAACTCTATCATAAAATACGACGACTCAGAAAATAGAACCAGATGGAAGAGTGAAACCAAAAGCCCAACGTAAATACCGAATACTTATTTTAAAAAAAGGCAAAGTGCTGAAACCCACTATGAAAAATATCAGAACTGAGTTTATTAGGAACGGAAAGAGGAAGTACCGTTCGTTCAGAGCCTGAACTTAGCGGAATTCAACCTCGTCCCATTGTTCTCTGCGAAAATCTCGGGAAGGTCTTCGTCTGCCGAAGATCGCTTGGAGGTGGTGGTCGGTGCTGCATACCACCAGAGGGTGGTAACGCCCACGGGGAAGGTATAGGAGGCCTGTGTATCACCACAGTCCATTAATCTTGACGATACATATAAATGACGGGAATGAGAAGATACGTACTTGCATACCACGAAACTCGATCGTCGCTGCGACGGAGACAGGATTGAACGTAGTCCTATCCGACACCCATTCAAATCAGCCTCAGCAGCCCAACTACCCGTGTACTACGGACTGTAGATTGTATGGTCCAAGAAGACTCACGATGACGAATCGTCCCAGTTGAGCACCACCAAGCTATACTTATTCCAATCGCTCGAAGATAACCTCTCAGTCTGGTACGCCCCAACCCTCAACGCCCAATCCAACCCATTCGCGACGCTTACCCCTATCCGTTGACCCCATGGTCCTCCTGCATCTTTCGGGATGATAGCGCGTGTAGCTTGTGCGATGGAGTAGACTGATTCGTCAAGCACCCCATACGAGGGAAGCAATGAGCATTTGCGCATCTAGAAGGAGAATGTGATGTGATGTTTGGTATAGGAGAGACGTACACTCCTCGTTAAGCGTATATCCAGTGCTGCTGAGCGTCACGACGCCCTGACAGGGTGCTGAAGAACAGCTATTCGAACCGGATAAGAAGGGCCCGCCGGAGGAGTCGAGAGCGAGGTTCCACATCATGGCTGAACGGGCGCCATACTCCAGAGAGCCGATGAAGAGCTCATCCATGTACCACTAACTCCAAAGTCCAGAGGAAGAGTGATCAGCTCGTGAGCTCGTTTGAACACGATTGTAACACAGAATGTGGATTAAGAAGGAGCGCAAAGAGTGGAGAAGGAGCAGCCTGGTAGGAAGGAAGAGAACCCATGTTACGCACCTTGATATTCGACCACCAATCTGTTCCGATCTGCCCTGTGCACTCTGTCTGCCAAATCTCCTTGTCGGGATAGGCGGAGGTGAAGCTGGCCATCTGGTCGTAGGTGCCTTCATAGCAATGGAAACTGACGCCATCAAAGCTCGATTCTGCGGCCTCCATCTACTCAAGTCGAACACATAATTTGTGAGAGCTCAATCAGAATGGGGTTGGCCAGACAATAACATGAAGGGAGGGCAACGTACGAGTTGGACGGGATATGTAGCTGCGTTGTCCCAATTGTGCTCGCTGCCCAAGTAAAGTGAAGTGAAGTGAAGTGAAGTGAGGTGTTTCGATAAGTATGAAACGTAGGGTACGCAGAGAACGACGACTGACTAGCCAATGAGTTTCACACTCGAAAAACCATTGCTGTTCATAAGCGTACGAACAGCTTCCCCGATCGCGGCCATCGTGGCGACGGGCATGCTCACAGAAGGGTACGTCGGATTATTGTTCTGTGGCTCGTTCTAGAAGACCAATATCATTTAACAAGGGCTGTTTTTGAGAGAGATGGGAGGGAATTCCGTGCACCTGAATAGAAAGGGAGTAGACAGTGAAGCCTTTGCTCTTGAATGCTTGCAGGACCTTGAGGAGGTAGTTCGCATCTACGGATAGACCAAAGACCAAATATCAACAACCAGCCAGGACATTCTTGCGATTGAAGAAAACGTACACACGGAGGCATAGTCGGTGTTGAACGTTCCACCGTCCATAGTGCCCTCCTTCATCCAGCCAGGCTGTTATAGTACGGCGACTTCAGTACATCGCATAAACTACCGATCGGAGTGCTAGCAGACGTACAGGCGACCAAGGGCAGAGCATTATCTTCAATAACGAATTGACGCTGGCGATATCGGTCAGGACGGTGAAGTAATATGAAGGTGCATTGGCGACGCTGAAACTAGCTAAGGTGGTATCCGTGCTACTGCTGGGATCGTAGCTCCAGACTTTCATAGAAGGAAAAATAAAATCGAAGGGCCCTCATCAACCGCGACGGATAGGCATGGTAATTGCAAGATGGACTACTCACGTCCGTCGGAGAAATCGGTGGCGCCTATGGGAACCCGAAGCGTGGTGATCCCAGCTGCGAATACACCGTCGGTCGCTAGAGACAGGTATCTATTATTAATGGGTCCTCATCGCCTCCTGCGGCGAAATACTAACGGTCAAATAGCTGGCCCAGAATGCTCCAATACGTGTCTACTGCGTTGACCTTGAGGTTATACAAGAGCTCAGCAGACGAGTCCGCTACATTGCGCCACCACGAAGGTTGAATTAGTGGCAGATAAGACAGGCTGGCAAGATAAAAGCGTACTCAAGGTAGCGCCGAAGCCATCGACGGTCTGGTGGACGGTGCTATCATCAACGATGATATCGGCAGAACCAGTGGTACCGGGAGTAACGAAGTTGATGGCAGATGAGGGTGAAACGTTGGTGAAGAGGTTCGTGCGATCCCACTATGAGACATTGAGGAACACGTCGATCCATGATAACGAGGATAATCATACCGTAGTCTGCCACTACACAACACGAAATGCAAAGGTATTGAACAAGCTATCAAACGGCGATATCACGTTCGACAAGATTGCCTACCACATCCCAGATTTGTTGTCCGACGACAGACTGGCTCAGAAGACCACAAGTCAAAAGCCCAGCAGAAAGAAGACGCATAGTGACCAAACGACGCGTACAGCACAGTCAAACCAAGATGAAGAAATGCCAGGCCTAGGTGCTCTTCCCCCTCGGTCACACCTTATATAAGAAAACAAAGGCAGAGGACGCCGGGCAACTTGATTGTACGAACCATCTCAGCTCGTCTGCATTTCCCGCCATTACCGCAAGGCAGCCTGACGGACGCAGCATGGTCCATCATCTACGGGCCTCGTTGTCATGAGTTTCCTGCACGCACCGGGTACAGCAAGTACCCATCCAGACGTCGCTCGGGGATTCGAGGTCTGACGAGGGAAAGTATTGTGTGGTACTTGGCCGGCCGGAACGTCGTGATACATCAGAAATAGATCGGCACGCGTTCATCGATCGAGGAGGCAACCACACTGTCGAAGTTAAAAGCGGAATGCAAGAATGATAGACGCCTACATGCAGGCATGGCACATGTTGGCAGAAGGCTGGCAGAGCCGTGCTGAGCAGAATTGCAGCCGCCCAGCCTCTGGCTCGTTATCGAAAATGTGCTCACAAAATGGGTTGACTCATCCAAATCACATCAACTGTGCCTGCCGTGTGTCTTGTATAAAAGTGATTATCGTCCTAGTTATATGAAGAACGGAAAGCGATAAAGAGGACAACCTCGTATATATTGGAGGGCCCCAGAAGCAGCTACAACTGTTTTTAGAGCTTTGTCTCTTGCATGCCGTAGAACTTCAGCTCAGAGAGAAAAGGTAATAAAGCGATAAAGCCAATGACCACAATCCAGCACTCCGGCAGACCAGTTTACTGCATACCCACAAGACATCGGGTCCATTAACATTCGCCCAGTGGACGGCGTACATACCACATGCCTATGTAGATGCTATCCGGAAGGCTACCGCTCTGAGAGGACCATACATCATCTTGATGAAGTGGATGCGACGCGGATCATGATATGAACTCGAGCAGGATGGTTCGGCCTGGGTAATCAATCAGAAAGAGGTGTGAAAGCCATGACCAATTCGACAGATAAGTCCAGGCTGGCCGTCAAAAGGTAGCAACCTGAAGCTGAAATGCTTGCATACAGGCACCAAAGCATATATTTGTGGATTGACGGCTTTCTTGGTTTGGAGTCCCCACATGAACCGATAGGACCTGCAAGAAAAAACCCGGAGCCTGAGTGCCAGCCATTCGTTGTTCTTTCCTTCCGGCCGCCGGAGACCAGAATCAGAGGACGATTTCCGAGTCTCGGAGAACACAAATCCGACTAGGACCAAGAGTAGTCGGTATATCCAGCGAGAGATAGGTAGAAAGAGCGGCGAGCTTCATAGTAGCAGGCTCAAGCACAAGACTGCCAGTGATAGCAAGAGGGCAAGAGGCTGAATGAACACGTCCGACCACAGCCGAACACGTTGCCATCGTCGCTCTCGATTCGGCAAGTTCCGGGACCACCTTTTTCTCAAACGCCGAACCTGAAATGCGTGGCTCTATTTATGATACAGACTCGACCTCTTCGTCGTGTCTCTGGTGCGCTTTATTCTGCACCGCCCCGGGACCAACAAGAAAAAAATCTCGAACGAACTCACCGTTCATCGATGAAGATGAACGTTCATCCACGATAAATACTTCCGAATCGAGAAACATAGCAACCGGATGGAGAGATGACACCGCCGTTGGTGACTTTGTTGCCGGAAGTGTTGAACAATGGACGTGACGTTAGTGACACTGATACCGAATGTCGGTGTGTGCCGGGAAGGCGGAGCCAACCGCTTAACGAGGTTTGTCTTCGAATCAGATTATCTCAGCCACATGTTCAACTCTTGACTTTCCACCATGTCCAGCTCTCAACCCTCGCAAAAGCGTTCGCTCGACGATCCGTCCCCCGATGCCAAACGCCATCGCCGCATGCTTCCTCAGATAGCTCATGACGAAAACGACGAAGAAGCTCATCATTTACGAGACCAACTTGTTATGAACGTACTCAGAAAGAAATGCGGCTTGGACTTGGAAACTGTGACCCGGCCGCTCACCGAACAAGACTACACCGACATCTTCTGTACAATCACATTCAACGAGCGCTCAACCCACAAGGACTGGGTCTACTCAGGTGAAGATAGAGACAGACGTCTCAGTTTGTTCAGAAGGGCCATCACCGCCATCGGTGAATCCTTAAGTGACGCTTTGAAAGAAGCTTCAACGGACAGGACGTTCAAAATGGTTCGAAATGCCGGTATGCACATTATTCCATCGTATGTAGCCTGAATCTGATGTATGTTTACATGAACTAGTATTCCTTCGTCAGCCGTTCCCGGCCAGCATTGTGAAATCTGCGATAAAGCCTGTCGGGTCCGAGGGATGGCGCCGTAAGTTACCATTCTCTTCCTCGTGTGTGCCATGCTAATTCATAGGACTCATTGGATCGATCTTCAGGAAATGGTGAGATATAACGCTTCAAAATTATTTTCGGCTTGCCCGTCCACTGACAACCCATCAGCCGTATTCGATGCATGGAACATACCGTACGTCTCGGACTGCCACAAAATCCTGGTCGACGTCATCACCAAGATCAAAAGCGGGAAAGAGAATGACGGTCCTGCTGACTTCAACAACACCGTCATGATCGTGCAAAGCTCGGGTACTGGGAAATCCAGGATGGTCGACGAGGCAGCACGCCTCGTATTCACCCTTCCGTTCAACCTACGGTCCGAAGCAGACTCTTATTTGGGTAACCTTTGTCCTAAAATTTTGAGCGTTATGCCCTATCATTAACTGATAGTACTTTCCTATCACTTCAGAGTATCCTCCACCTGATCCTGAAGTCCGCGAGTACCTGTGTGAAAGGACGGACAGGAATATGGCCCGTGTTCGATACCATGCGTTCCTCATGTGTCTCTGCCGATCAACCGTGGCCGAGATCCAGTTACTCTTCAACGGTCCAAGGGTTTCCCAAACGGAATTCGCCAGCATATGGAGAGACCATCTCGCTCAGAAGAATGTACGGTCCAATTTATATAAAGCTGTCGTTGCTCAAGCTGCCGAGGCTATGGTAAGCTGTTCTGTGTGTTTTCATCGCTGTGAAAGGCTGAACGTTTATGGCGCGTAGATTTTTGAGGTCGAACGATTCGGAACTTCCAGCAAGGCAGTAGGACCAATCTATGACAAGACATATCCAGAGATCGACAACCTGCGGCGAACGATCGCTTCAAGGGTCAATGACCTTGGAGGAAGAGTCGACATTTTGCTGTATTTCGACGAAGCGCAAGAATTGATGAAAGTTCAGGATACCGCACAAAACAGTCTTTACCTCGCATTTCGTTCTGTTCTCAATGATCATAGGGATTATCCGCTTTTCACCCTCTTCCTTTCGACTGTTCCACATATCGCACAGTACGTTCCTCCTCTGGGCCCCATCAGGGGGTGGTTTTCCAAGTCCGGAGAACCAAAGGCACCCATTACGGGAACTCCATTCGACTGTGCCCCGGATATTCTCGTGGCGGAATACGCTCACGATCGGGAGGAGATCGCACAACCGCATTTCATGGCTCGCTTCGGTCGACCTCTGTAAGTGTTTCTCTCATCAGCGTCCCACATTCGATCCCAAACATAACCATATGGACTACAGGTTTTGGACGTCGTTCGCGCAGATCCCAGTGACGGAACACCAGGCGATCCAAGATTTCCTCAAGCAATTACGTCAAAAGCTCATCAACAACTTCGACTACGATATTCTCCCCTCGTCCTGGGACTGCGACGAGCTCGGAAAATTGGCGGTCGCGGACGTTCGGCTCTGCTTCCAATATGAACCGAATCTGAAAAGCTTCAAGGAGGAAGTTGTGGAGGTGCAAGCGAGGCTAGTCGCGAGTCACATGAGGATCGCGTATTCTTTTCCTGCTCATCGTAGGTATTTCGTCTCGGGATATCCGAGCGAGCCTTTGTTGGCAGAGGTGCGTCCCTCGTCGACTAACTCCCAAAAGGGCTTGTGAACATTGTACTAATCAATACAAACCGCAACCTAGGCGGCCGCTCAGCAACTTCACCTTTGGCGCAAAACTCAACCGTCATTTCTACTCGATGTCGTCCACCATCATATGAAGACCGGGCTTCTCGACAGAACAGACCGAGGAGAGGTCGTCGCTCGTATACTCATCCTCGAGGCCTATGACCGCGCCGTCACCGAGCCTTTCACCTTCACCGCCTCGGATGACTCGGACCCAAGTCATGATGGACAAAAACCACACTTCAACCTCGGATGCCGTCTCACAGACTGGATATCTCAACTATTCGCACACGACCTGGCTCACGAAATCCTGCACAGCAAACCTGCTAACTTGTATTGCGCCACTGGGGACCAGACGGACACTGGCGCGTTCGAGGAGGTGTTCAAAGACGCGTGGATTCGTGTGACACATTATGCGCTGGCTGGCGACGAGCACGTATTCAACGCCGGCACGCACGCGATGTTCGCGGCTTTTGTGAGGGGGATGGCTTTTATCTGTCGGGACGCCACTGGCAACAGAAACGGAGGAAGCTTCGTGAATATCGTCGTCCCTGTTCTTCTGCGGGACGTGAAGATTGGATCGTCTGTTATGAGCGCTGTTTTCATCCGGGTTCCACATCGACATCGAGCGGGAGTGTCAATGGGGATGTATGCGAATGTTATCGACGCTGAGAAGGAGTTTGATTTCTTTTGTCCTGAGCCCAGTGATAGGCTTTTGGAGGATGATCGTCCGTATGTGACGCTTGTTATGGATCTTGGCGTGCGGGATCCTCTACTGGATCGATATCACGCTAGAACTACGGCGAACTTGAAGGCGAAGGTGCCACACACGCAACACGCAGGCTCCACTGACACTCATCCCATCAAGACCAAACGTCCACCTCATCCTTCTCATAATCAAACTCAAACTCAAACTCAAACCCACCCCCGCTTCTCGATCCACATCTCCGGCTGCTCCCACACCCTCTACAACTCCACCCTCATCCCCCAACTCACAAAATGCAAGGAAATCCTCCATAGTATGTCCGAATTTCTACCGGAACATACGCGCAAAGAGACGATATCGCAGGTGATGCGGATGAAGCCGGTCTTTGTGAGGGGGAAGGAGAGTTATGCGTGGATTGGGTCGGGGGTGCTTAATCCGAGTCTGGGGGATACAAGTGATGATGCCGGTGTCGAGGACGGGGATGGTGAGGATGGCGAGGATGGCGAGGAGGGCGAGGAGGGCGAGGAGGGCGAGGAGGGCGAGGAGGGGTACGCCATCATCGGTGGTCATAGAGTCCACGCCACCTCGGAGGAGGGCGATTCAGACTGGGACCGGATCTCGAGGTCGAGGTCTGATCCTGATGTCGATATGCACATGCCTTTGTCGTAAGTTGGACGGGATGTTGGCACCGACTCGTACCATGCTTAAGTATAATCTTGTCTCCTTACACCTCTTTTCTTTCCGCGTATTCACAGTCTGTACTAGTCCCGATGTACACCACACGAATTTTGAATAAATTCTATTCATTTCACTTCCCGGAGTCCCCAAGATTCCCCGTCGCTCGTCCTGTACATGTTCAGGCAGATCTGGATGTATGTACTGTATATCGAACGTGTCAGTGGGATACATGAAGACGACATTTTTTTTTTGCATTCGATACTAGAAGTACAAAGTTCATTGTAAGTCACTACTACATACTACACTTCGCGCATATCCGTCTATGAATCTGATGCAAGTCCAATATCCTCTCTCTCTCTCTCTCCCTGTCCCTTTCCTCACCTTCCCATCCCGATCTTCCTCCCCCTCACCCCTCCAACCTTCCTAACCTCAATCATCAATCAATCCACGAACATCCCACCACTCTCCGCCGAACTCGGATCGTGCTCCGGTCTCGTCGTAGTGCTCCTCCCTCTCACAACCCCCTCCCCCGTCCCCACACCAGCGCCGACATTAATATTCGGAGGAACATTCGAGCTTGAAGGAACGGGTCTATCGCCCGCTCGGAGCCTGTCGAGTTCGGTGCGCCATTGTTCGAACATGCTCAACGCACTTCCATTTCCACCACCACCGCCATTTTCATTCGCACCGTTGGAGACCCCAGGCGAATACCCCTCACTCCGCACAGCATCAATAGCCCGTCCTAAAGACGCATCGAGATCATCGAGCACAGAACGGAGGAGAAAGGGGTTGCCGAGCGGGGAGGAGCGCGAGGAGGAGGTGTGTCGGGGGTGGGAGGGTGGGCCTGTGCCGGGGATCGTGCCGCGTGGGGCGGCTGTGCGGGAGGGAGAGGGGGAGAAGAGGGAGGATGGCGGAGGGAGGAGGGAGGAGGTGAGTTCGGATTGTTGGATTGGGCGGAGGAACAATGATGATTTGAAGAATGACGAGGAGGACTTACGGGAGGGGTCGGATTTTGGGTAGACCTACGTAGATTATATAGTCATGGTATATATTTATCAGCGGGACTCTTCGAAGCGGAACGGGGATAGGGGCTCGAGGTTGGATGGATGGGTGAATGGATGGATGGTCGGACGAACGTACGGCTGCGGGGTTTTCGCGTGTTGGAGAGGGTGGGATGGCGTCTGAGTTTCCCGAGGTTGGGAATTTGGAGTCTGCTGTTCGAGAGGGAGGTTATGATATGGTTTCGATATCTTATTTCGAGGGAAGGGATACGAGACTGAAATGCTTACCTTCGCCCATGCTAGATGCCATGAAGTTTTCGAGTGGTGATTTTACGAGGAATATGTGAGGAGGTCTATGATTATGTTAGTGCGGTCGCGACTGGGGGCGTGAACAAAAACGATGTTTATTTGTCCTGAAAAGAGGTGGAGAAGACATTGGTCAATGACGAAGGACGTACATCTGACGTCACCTCGAACTCCTGAACAACTCGACCAGAATTTGATTTCGCGCCGCCCACTAACTCCTTTCATCTCCGCCCTCAGATCCATAACAGTGCGCCCGATTCCTAACCCTGTAAGTAGACCCGAGGGCATTCGCGCACGCTGGAGCATGCATGTCTTTGTTTCTGGGTCGTCTGACTTTCCTCCATGTTGACCCTGCAGACGATGTGCTGAGAGCGAAGAGCGAGGTGGTCACGGTACGTCTTCACGCACAACCTTGTTCTCAACCGTCGTTTGATTTGGAGGCTGGACTGATGGATGTGTGTGCGGTGAGGCTCACGAGATGGCGCGAGTTTCCTCGGTGACAGCATCCTGACCCAATCGTCTGCTGGTTCACGTACATACCCACTGCATGTGCCTTCTCCTTGACTCGAAAGAAAAAATGCAGCACGATTTTCCGCCCGCTAGAACCTTGCTTTGACTTCATCTCTCTGCTCGCTCCTTTGTTCGGAAGCGATAATCATACATCATACACGATGATATCTCGCAAGCGGATCGGGGCACATAAAATACTACTGGCGTCCGAGTCTGCTGACCTCTTGCTTGCCATCTCGAGGCGAATTGCAGCAGATCTGGGCCCTTGCAGTAGGCTCTCGCGCGCTTGAATCTGATTCCCAGCCAGCCAGAATCGCAATCAATTGAATGCCATCATCTTCCGGATGCAGCTTCCCCACACTCTTTTTCAACCACCCCTCGCCAGACTCGGTCGTCCTCCTCTCTTCCTCCCGCCAACATCCACGTCCATATCTACCTCTCCTATCGAGCCCTGAGACCTAACCACCCATTCACCCTACCGCGCCGCCACTGCTGACCCTCGACCTCCACCTCGACCTTCTTGTATTCGTATTCGTATTCCCATCTCGACTTTATATTTTCAACGAGGCACCACAAACTTTGACCCTCGCACAGAAAAAACATGATCACAGCCATGGCCCACAAAACCGCCGCAACGACGAGCACCACCTCCGACTCCTTCGAGCTCCCCACAATCGTCACCACCACCACCACCAACCGCAACTTCTTCAAACCCTCTGCCTCCGCGGCGTCTTCTATAGCCACCGGCAACGGCGATGACGACAGCGGAGACGAATCCAGCGCGCCTACTTCGCCCACCAACACCAACACCAACACCAACTCACACCTCTCCACGCCCCATTCCCGTTCCCAGTCCCCCGTCCGTACTAGGTCGCGCTCTCGGGCTAGGTATTCGCCCTCCCTCCGTCGCGGTCGTGGTCGTGGTCGGCGCGATGACGACGACCGTCAATACCAGTACCAGCACCACGACCCATATGCCCACAACGACCATGACCACGACCACGAGCTGCGCGATCGCCATCACCACCACGACCACCACAACCGCCACCTAAGCTCACACATCGAGGACGTGAACGAGCCGTACGGGCTGCGCGAACAAGAAAAAGGATGGAGGTTCTTTCAGCCGTTTTTGGCGAAGAGGGGGTATGTGCTTAGGAAGAGGTATTGGCCGGGGTGGATTGGGAGTTGGATCGGGAGGAATGTGGATCCGTTGGTTTGTGAGGATTCGATTGTTGTTGTGAGTTCTTTTGCGTTTTTGCTTTTGAGCGAGGATATTGGTTTGTGAGGATTTGACCTGACCATGATGGAGTTATGTAGGATTCAACGGTCATTGATGCAGTCCGCACGTCCGATAATGCCCAAGTCATTCTCAAAGTGCACACCCCGCTCGATCCCTCAACCGCACACGAAGTCGACACCCTCCTCTACTTCTCCTCCTCTGCCCCGTCCACCGCGGCCGACCCGCACACGCCATCCACCGCGGCCGACCCGCACACGCCCTCCATCGCAGACGACCCGCACACGCCCTCCATCGCAGACGACCCACGAAACCACTGCGTGCCACTATGGGACCTCCTGAGCGTCGAGGTGGACGGCGTGCCGTTCAATGGGGTGCAGATCAGCGTGATGCCGCTGTTTAGGGATTGGTATGCGCCGAGGATGGTCATGGTTTGTGAGGCGATGGGGTTCGTTAGGCAGATGTTGGAGGTGAGTGTTTTTTGTTTTTTGGATTTGGATTTGGAAGAGAGGGAGCGGGTGGTTGATGAGGTTTTGGTTTCAACGTTAATGTTTAGGGACTCGAGTTCATGCATTCTCATAACGTCGCGCACTGGTCAGTCCATCATCATCCCCACCACGTACCACCTTCCTCCCTCTCACCATCCCAATCGCATCGCTCGCTCACACTCACACTCACACGTTCATTGACCACAGCAATATCTCACCGCACAACATCCTAATGGACGCCCGACCGCTCTTCCCCCAAGGTTTCCACGGCGCCTTCAACATGAACCCCACACACCGCGTCTCCGAAGACTCCCTCCCGCATCTCACGCGGCTCTCCTGCACTCCGCCTGTCAAGTACTATTATATCGATTTCGGGCATGCGGTCCGTTTCGGTTCGGAGGAGGAGAGGAGGAAGGTGCAGTGGAGAGGGGGGAGGGGGGAGGGAGTAAGAAGAGGGGGATGTTGCCGGAGTTGCGGGGGGACGGGGAAGGGGAAGGGGAAAGAGGGGAGGGAGGGGGGGAGGGGAAGGAGGTGTTGTATGATCCGTTTATGGGGGATGTTTATGCGCTGGGGAGTTTGTTCGATCATTTCTTCTATCAGGTACGTACCTCTTCCATCTCCTCCTCTCACCACCTCTCACCTCTTCCTCTTCACCTCTTACTCACACCACACCCACCAGGGCCACACAGGCCTCGAATTCCTCCGTCCCCTCTTCCTCTCCATGACCCACCCCTCACCCATGCACCGCCCGACCGCATCCCAAGCCCTAGCAACATACGACGAGCTCGCGGCGAAGAGGGGGAGGCTGAAGAGGATGGGAAGGTTGGGGTATCGGGTGAGGGTGGGCTGGGGGGAGTGGTGGGAGAATGTGGTGCTTTATTGGGGGTTGGTTTGGGTTGTGGTTTGCGGGAGGGGGAGGGTGGGGATTTGATGTGGGAGCTTGGAGGGGTGGGGGGTCGATGTTTTTCGTTTATTCTGGGTTGGTTCTTTTGTGCTATACTTTTTCTTTGTTTTTCCGTGGTCTTGGACGTTTCGATTTCTTGGTCTTCTTGGTTTTTGTTGTATCGTTTCTTGGATCTGAGAGATTTGTGTCCCTTATTCTTCACATCATACCTTACCATACCTCAGCACACCATACCATACACACGGACATGGACACACGGACATCTGCACTCCCCTTTTTCTATCCTTTTCCAGTCGCCCTGTTGTTTCGCGTACTCTCCGCCGTTAGTTTATCGCATCCTAACTAGGCTGGCCTGCGTACTTCTTCCTTCTTGTAGTACCCTACTCCACTCGTAACTCTATGTACTCCACTTTATGTTACTGCGTACGTCTCTTTACCCTCATTTAGTGCGTCCTTCCGATCATGAATATGTAGTTTATTCTACGCGTCTGTAGCCCCTAGTACTCTCTGTCTGTCTCCTACCTCAGACTCTGTTTGTGTCTGTCTGCCTGTACACAATGTCTGCTTTCCTTGGTGTTCTTGGATCTATCTACAGTCTCTGTGAATGTGTTTGTCCGTAATTGACCCTCGTGTGGCCCACGGTCTCGGTGTGTCGTTCGAGGATTTGTAGAGTGTGACGCACTTGGATGCATACTACCAGCTCACACATCCTCTTCCTGGGACGGATCTCTCGATTGTCTGCCGTTGACTATGTACCATGAAGGGGTAACCAACTTAAGCTGGTTGTTTGTTACTCTATTTGAGCGCCACACCTCCGGTCATTATCCTGCGCCACATGTTCGCTGGCCCCTAAATGATGTAACAGCATAGACGCCCAGCTCGCCTTCTATCAACCTCGCTTTCTTCTCACTCAATACCATCTTGGTAGCCAATTCGAGTACTTAGTCTGAAGTCCTAGGATAATTATAATCAGAACTCACGGGTACCCGAGTGAAGATGTTCTCTGCGTTCAAACGATTGTTGGTGCGTTCTCAAGTGGTTCTTGAAGCGAAGTGAAGTTCGTATGGTTGGCTGACGAATTCGAATCGACTCTGAAAGCCTCAAATCTCCATCTTGTACGCCCATGCCCATGCCCTATCCCGTCTCCTCTCCGAATCACACTGACGACCACCCCATTCGAATGGAAATACGCGACAAACAGCCACAACCCCTCCTCGCCCCCCTCCCTTAAAGCCCTCGCGCTCCTGCAGTCCGCAGCGTCAGGCCCATATCCCCCCTCGTCCAACAAACCTCTCAAGTTTAATCTTGAAGTGGTAGAGCGCCCGCCTACGGCTGATCAGATTGCGACTATATTGTCCTATCTGTCTTCTTCTCCGTCATCACAAACGAAAGCGAAGTCATCTGAAGGTACGTTAGCTCCACTTGAACTGAGACTCAAGCCTATCCACTTCCTCTTTCTAACTCGACTTGCACTCGCACTCTCACTTCCAACAATTCCTCGTTCTTATCAACGCTACACCAGACCCCGACCCCACCTCCCCCACCTCAATAGCCTCCTTCCTCTCCTCCCACCCCTCCTCCCCCTCCCTCCCCGAGCGTCCGCACTCCGCACACGGCCTCGCAAAACTGGCATCCACGAACCCGAACGCGATTAAATGGCCTATCGTCGTCGATTGGACGGCGGGCAGGGCGGCGGTAGGGAGTGCGGAGGGTGTGGAGGGGATATTGGAGGGGATTCGGAGGAAGAGGGATGGAGAGGAGGGAGGAGAGGAGGAGTTGAAGCCGAGGGGGTGGTTTAGTTGAACAGAGGACGGGAGGAGGAGAAGGACAAGGCGCGTGTGGCGAGGCAAGATGTGGCGTACGATATGAAGCTGAGCGGATATGGATTCAGGACTACGATTTCATGTATGATTATTCTTTCAATGAACCTCAAAACTGGCATCACTCTATCCCATGTAGATGCATCTGGACATCGACGTCAAATGCGAAGTCAGACGCGCCAGTGCGTTCCCTCGTTGAAAGGAATTTGCGACAGCTTCCAGTCATTAATATTCTTCCATCTCGTGCACGCGGGCGTTGGATTCCAGGGACTTCCATTCTCTCTCGGATAACGTTTCAATCAGAGAAACTAAAACTACACATGTGTATAGGATATTTCTACGCGTCGATAGGACCACCTTCCAGCGTTCACCTCACCACCTCTGATTCCCGAGTCTGAACTGATTAACGGAAATAGCTACAATTGTATTGTCCATACTGTACCCTCCATTCTTCACCCTCACAATCAGTCTCCCAAACTTCACGATTCATGTCATTATGACCAGAGGCATACGACAAGAAAACATTCGGAGCTGAAGTAAAACCTTCTGAGCCCATACAGAAGGAGGCATCGAGGAAGACAATTGGTTCGGGATATGTGTGTGTGGTCGTTGATACTTCGCACAAGACATGAAGATGAAAAAACCCGTTTCTTTGACACGAGCAGGTTATCCGGCGAGTATAATGCCCAAGCTGAAAAGTCGAGGCTGCCAGGACTAGTAACCCGTGTCGGTGCATCAACCAACAGGTCCGTTGGGATCGTTGTTTGCCGAACGGACGAAGGCCTCCTTCTACATATGCGTAAACTTTGAACCATCGTGGCGTGACAAACACAATGACCCGCATTTATTCGGCAAGCATAGAATGTACATTGGTAGCTTGGAAGTTGGTCGTAAAGGAATCGACACGAGAGCACGAAGTAAGTGAACAGAAATACAAAAGACGATTCGAGAACGACGATTCAGACTATCAGTGCATAGAACACGGACGTACACGGACACTGGCGACGGATATGACACGGAAAGCAAGTCAGAGCGGGACTTACATGAAACAACTGTGGGTACGGGGAGAGCAAGGCGGGAAAGCAAACAATCAAAGACAAAAAGGAGAGAACCACGATATCAACATGCCCTTTGCGACAAATGCCCTTCAATCCATATCCATATCCACATCCAGACGGTCCCAGTCCGACTCTGACTCCGACTCTGACTCTGACTCCGGGTGACCGACGATGTGCCCCTCAACTATATCCTCGCCTATATCCTCGCCATTATCCTGAAGATCCGTCGGGTTGAGCACGGATGATCTGATCCAGGAGTAGCTGTTTGGACCAAGCGCAAAAACCGGTTTCATTTGCATCACCAGGGGTATCGTGTTTTTGCGAGGATGCTCGAGTAAGAACTCCGACAAACGGAGTACCTCCCTGTACTTCACCCGCTGTTCTTCCGTGATGAGATTGTAGTTCGTGTTAGAGCATCCAGAGACATAGATCTCATAGCGTGGGTGTTTCTGCTTCCGACCACGATGAGGACGATTGACAGGGCCAGCAGAGACCGCGTGCTTCGAGGGTGTCGTGGGTGGCATTTTCCCCTGTAACTTGGGGGGTGTCGTGGGTGGTGCGTTCTTCTTTGACCTTGACGACGCCGTGCGTGGGAGGTTTTCCTTTGAAGACGTCGCCGTAGGCATCCTACGCTCTTGGGCCTGCTGCCTTTTCTTGATCACATCCTGCATCGGAAGCTTAGCGTACTGAGGGAGGGGATTCTGCACGCCAAGGTCCATGACGAGCGTGACGTAGGGGCGGTGGTCCCCGGGATGCTTGGGACGGTCGGGCTCGGGATGGAAGAAGTGGAAGTGTTTCTCTGCATCGAAATGGTACTTGCCGGCTTTCATTCGACGCTTGACTTGGATGAAAATAGCGGTCATGACGGAGGATCCGATCTTCTCGTTCCAGAGGAGAACAGGGATGATGAGATCGATGAAGCTCTCTCCACTCCTGCAGACGAACGCCATGCATCGAATGAAAGCTGCGAACATGGAATGCGTGTTGAATATGTGGTCGTCGCCTGCCTTAGCGAAATGCGTAAATCGGATCCACGCGTCCTTGAATACCTCCCGAAACGTTTCATTTCCACAGTTAGCCGGTGTGCTGTTCAGGATATCTTGAGCCACCTTCTCCACGAAAATCGTCTCTATCCAGTCTATGAGACGGCATCCAAAGCTGAAAAGTGGTTCTTCTCGAGTCTTCGACTTGCGAAAGGCTTTGGCAACGGCGCGGTCGTAGGCCTCGAGGATGAGCATGCGAGCGACAACCTCCCCTCGTTCCCCTCGATCGAGAAGGCCGTTCTTCATGAACTCCTGGACGGTGTCAAGCAGAATTGATGGATCCAATTCACGCCAGTAATGCAGCTGCTGAGCGGCCGCCTATGTCGCCATATGAGGTTAAATCAGTCCATCGTCAACACGAATCCTTAGGACGAGTCGAGGAGATTCATGCGCACCTCTGCCAACAGCGGTTCGCTCGGATAACCCGAGCGAATATATTCACGATGAGCGGGAACGGAGTACACGATACGCATGTGACTTGCGACTAGCTTTGCTTGCGCATCGAGAGCTTGACTCCGTTCTATGTTCGGCTCATACTGGAGGCAAAGACGAACGTCCGCGACGGCCAGACGGCCAAGGTTATCGCACCCCTTGGGAGAAACGAAAGGGTCCTGAATGTTGGTTAGCTTGGTGCGTAAAGTCGCGAGAAATCCTTGGATCATTTCGTGGTACGTCTCTGGGATCTGTGCGAGGGTAGTCCAGAACCTGAAAAATATACGGGTACGTTTACGACTGATTGTGAGAAGCAGATAAATGAACACTCACAGAGGTCGACCAAAGCGACCGATGAAGTGTAATTCCGAAATCTCTTCCCGATCATAAACGTTTTCCTCTACCATGATATGCGGTGCGCAGTCGAAGGGAGTCTCCGTGATTGGTGGCTGGAGCGCCCCGCTCTTAGAGGCGCGAGAAGAGTTAGCGTTTTCTCGAGAAGGGGCGAAGTCGGCGATGTGTGAAATGGTGGAAAGGAATATGACGAAAAGCGGATGATCCCTATAATCGTTGAGGACCGAAAGGAATACGTTGTAATAATTCTTTTCTTTGTAAGGTGCAGGACGAGTGTTCGTCATTTCGTGAGCCTCATCGAAGTACAACAAAATGTCGACTATTCCTCCGAGGTCATTGACCTTTGAAGCGATAGCTTCCCGCAGATCACCTATCGCTTGTCTTGTCTTCTCCTGAAATGATCCTATTGCCGTTGTGGGATTTACAAGTTGATCGAACACAGAATCCTAAGCATCGTATGCGTTCAGCCATGCAGTGAGGAGAGCACAAAGAAAAACTCACAAAAGCTTGGGAAGCTTGAGCGACGACGGCTTTGTATAGGTTGGCGCGTACATTGACCTTCGCAAGATGGCTTCTCCATTCGCTAGCGAACTCTGTTTGAGGAATCTTCGGGCCGTTAAAGAGCGTTTGGACCTCCGACGTGGTTGATTGGCAGAGACACATGAGAAACGCGTGATATCGAAGACGGAGCCCATCCTCCCCCCACATCTTAGTCATGTAATCACGGACATCTGGATCGGGTGGTGGATAGGCATGCACTATAAAAAGAGGTCATTTATCGATACGATGGGTTATCGGAGAGGGAGTTGAGTAGATAGCTACCCTCTGATTCTTTATCGGCCCGTAAGTTGAAAGGAAGAGTAAATACAAGGCGTGCTGCTTCATCTACCATCCTGGATTTTCCGGTTCCCGAACTCTGAACAATAGTGACAGTGTTTCGGTAGTCGGCAGGTTGTGTCTTCCGGTCAGCCAATTCCTCTCCGCTCTTTTTCATTTTGGTGATAATGTCTACCAGGACTTCATGACGATTCAAGACATACGGTGTGCGCCATGCCTTCTCTACCACTGATATAACGTTATTGAATGAGCATGTTAGCGGTGATCTTTGAGTTTTGAGTCTTACATGTTGCTAAGGTCGACATTATTCGTCAGTTCAGGTAACATGGTACAATTAGGTACGGACCATGACTCACCACGCGATCCATCGTCTCCGACGCCCCTGCGCAGAGGATCCACAGGTTCGGTCTGGAACGGTTCGCGGAGAAATGCTAGTTCACGTATACATAAGACACATGCTATAGATATTATGACAATGTGTGCATACCGGCGTTTCGAATTAAATGGAATTTCCTATCCTCCGATGCGTTTTTCAAAGCATCTCTCAGCGGCTCTCCGGCGACTTTGATGGCCTTTTGTAACAAGCGGAGCCGCTCCGTCGTGTCTTCGCCTAAGTAGACCCAGTCATTGTGTATCCGGCGTTCGTTGAATACGATTGTACAGAAGATGTCGGCGTAGTCCTGTTCGGAGAAGGATCGATTCTCATCTTCCAAATTCAAGCCGTACTTGTCAATGAGTTCTTCCACAACAACCACGTCTCGGGAAAGATGGACCCGTTCGCTATAATCGTCACGGGATATCTGCGGAAGCATGTGGTGCTGGCGTTTGCTAGCATCGGAGGATGAATCGTCGAGCGAACGCTTTTGCGAGGGTTGAGCGCGAGACATGGAGGAAGGCGAAGAGTTAGATGCTGAGTTCAGATAATCTGATTGCAAGGTCTTTAAGCGAGTGGTTCCGGCAAACGCCGGCATTGTGTGCCAGTGTCTGTTCCGTTAGGACAGGTCTTCTTGTTCCGTCGGGACAGGTCTTCCTGTTCCGTTGGGACAGGTCTTGCGACGAGAGTTAGTCACAGGGTTGCATGTTTTTGTTTGCAGAGATGTTTGGACCAGACTCGTAACCAGTATCTATTGCGGGTATGTGACGGCTGCGCGAGTACAAGCAATAGAGACTGGCGGAACTCGGGGTGGCTGAAGGGAGAGGTGCGCCGAGCTGTCAGTCCAGGCGTCGGTCCGAGTATTGCGGTCACATGACTTAGTCGGAGCTCGAAATCTGTACGAAGTATGTACGAAGTCGCCGTCGCCACACGGCGCTGAGTACCTACTGCTCGCGTTCTATGCTCTGTCGCCTGTCCTCGCACTCTGCTTTTGTCTTCATCTGTACCTAGTCATAGAATGATGAATGACACATCATTTTTCAATAATGAAAACATCCCTCAGTCCTCGAATACTCTGGCTTCTGACAGTGTGGCACCCTCAGTTCCTGTCATACCGGGTCAGTTACAGCCCTTTTTCCCAACACACGAGGATGAGGAAGTCATGTATGCCTATTGTACAGTACAGTACACATTCATACATGGACATGTTCGCATTCTCACTTAATATAAGAGCGTCGATGGAGTGCCACTTCCGTTAGCCCACGCGTGGGCTACGGGCCACAGTGGCACTCAAGCCGTGTCGGATGACCTTGGAATGGCTTGCACTGTTCGGGTGAGGTCAAGACGACATTGTAACGGCATTTCTCAATATCCTGTCATATATCCACGTCGATTAGCTTGGTTGCCTTAATTAAACTTCATTGGAACACATATAGTAACGATCACATACGTCCAAGTATCGGAATCATGATGCATCTCACTGTTCACAGCAATCGCACGCAAACCTCGGAACCGTTCTATTTCCTTCGTCTAGATGTATGTGAGTAATTTAGACAATTCTCATATGGTTTCGTGGCGCTCACCATCGTCTCCTGCAAGCGCAACAGCGGTAACATGACCAAGATGATGGCGTCAGGGTCGAGGAGAGCAGAGATATGATCTGCATGGTTTTGCCAGAACCAGTACCAGATATATACAGAACATCGCAGCCTTCCTGATAATTGACAGATGGAAGCACCTGAGATTCGCGAAGATGAATACACTGGTTCTCAGGAGATGCTGCTAGTGCTGTAGAGTAAGCCTCGAGAGCAGTCTTGTACGCAGTGTGAGACAGCCCAGCAAGAGAATCCCAGAAAGCTTGTGTAAAAGGGACACAGGGCCCGTGAATCTGATCCGGGCTGTCGATGTCCATGGCGGGCATGCAGAGAGCGAGGTAGGAGCCGTAGAGCAGAGAGCCACACTGGAACGGCGGCGACTTCACCGCGCTCCTGCTTACGACCGGGCACACTCGTGGGAATATCACTAAGTCTCGTGACATTTTCATTGCCTTTCTGAGCCTCGACGCACACCTCCGCCACGCCACTCCGAGAACCTCCAGTCTGCTCGTCCGAGCCTTGGGCACGAGAAGTGAAGTCAATGAAATGCATACAGGAATCGTGCTGTGTACATCGGGACTACATAGTACAGACTGTGAGTACGTGGACAGCAAAGACGTGTGATTGTAAGCAATTGCGAAGCGAGAGACAGAAACAAGAAAACCATGCTGTCCGAGTCGGTGCCAGCATTCCGTTCAACTTACGACAAAGGCATATCGACATCCGACCTCGAGATCTGGTCCCAGTCTGAAGAGTCCTCCTCTGACTCGGAGTAGATATGTCGATGACCGCCGACGATGGCGTACCCCTCCTCCACATCCACATCCACATCCTCGTCTTCGTCACTGGCATTCCCCTGACTCGGATTAAGCACCCCCGACCCAATCCACGCATAACTCTCCTTTCCACGCACAAACACCGGCTTCATCTCCATCGCCTGTGATATTGTCGCTTTGCGCGTATGTTCGGGTAGAAATTCGGGCATGTGGAGGATTTCTTTGTATTTTGCGAGTTGGGCACTGGCGGGTGGGATGAGGTTGTAGAGAGTGTTGGAGCAGCCGGAAATGTGGATTTCGTAGCGTGGATGTTTTTGCTTTCGACTCTGGCTCTGACTACGAGAGGAATGCTTGATGGGAAGAGTATCAGTGGAGACTTGGTGTTTCGTCGGTGTCAACTTCACCTTCGTTTGAGGTGTAGCGTGATCCAGGAGAGGATCCCGTACACCAAGATCCATAATGAGCGTCACATACGGACGATCGTCCTCAGAAAGCCTGCCAGGCTCAGGTTGAAAGAAATCAAAGTCCTTCTCAGCGTCGATAATCGCATACGTGCCCACTCTCGCTGCTCGACGCCCAAACTGGATGAAAACAGCGGACATGACAGACGACCCGATCTTCACGTCCCGAAGAAGAACAGGGATGAGGATATTCACAAAACTTCCTCCGTTTCCAAGTCCGTCCCGACAAATAAAAGCCATTCCTCGAACGAAAGCCGCGAACATCGCGTGCGTGCCAGCATTGAAGACGTGCTCGTCGCCCGCCTGTGCATAATGCGTCACACGAATCCACGCGTCCTTGAAGACCTCCTCGAACGTCTGGTCCTCAGTAGCACCATTAGCGGGTTTGCTGTGCAGGATTTCGAGAGCCAGGTCGTGCGCGAATAATTGCGATATCCAGTCTATGAGACGACATCCGAGGCCGAAGAGCGGTACATGTCCATTATGATTTGGGGTGAAGGTTTCGGTGACGGCGCGGTCGTAGGCTTCGAGGATGAGTATCCGGGCGACGACCTCTCCTCGGTCTGCGCGATCGAGGAGCCCAGTCTTCATATGATGGTGGACAATATCGAGTAAGAATGAGGGCTGAGTTTTGCGCCAATGGTGGAGTTGTTGAGCTGCCGCCTGCGTCACCGTCCGCATATCAATCAACACAAACACTTTTGAACGTGGACAACGAGATGGATAGTGGGTAGAGGGATGGGAGCGGCGCACCTCTGCCAACAAAGGCTCGCTCGGATATCCCGAGACAAAATACCTACGATGAGCAGGAAAGGAATACGCGATCCTCATATGGTTCGCCACCAGTTTCGCTTGCACCTCCACGACTTTCTGCTTGAAACTTTTCAGATTCGGCTCATATTGGAGGCAGAGTCGAACGTCTGCGACGGCCAGTTTTCCAAGCTCTTTGCATTCCCATTCCGAGGGGAGAATATCGCATTTGGGGTTATTGATAAGTTTGGAGCGTAATTTCTTGAGAAAAGTCTGGATCGTTTGATGATCTGTTACCGGAATCTGTGCGAGGGTGGTCCAAAACCTGCAGGGTATATATATGGTCACGTTTGCGATTGAAGGTGAGAGATTGATGGAGAAAAGAAAAAACACTTACAAAGGTCGACCGAACCGAGCCATGAAATGTGGCTGTGCGATCTCCTCCCGATCGTGGGCGTACTCTGCCACGAGAATATCCGGTGCACAGTCAAATGGTGTTCCCGTGATGGGTGCCTTAGGTTCTCCGAGTTTATGACCGTATACCCTGGTGGTGATTACGGGAGCAACGTACTCGGCGATGTGTGGGACGGTCGAAAGGAATATGGTGAAGAGCGGACAATCCCCATAGTCGTTGAGAACAGAACGAAGTGCGCGATAAGCTCTGTCTTGTGGGCTATCCTCAGCTTTCATTAACTCTTGAGCTTCGTCGAAGTACATCAAGATGTCGACTTTCCCTCCTAGGTCATTGACCTTCGAAGCGATGGTTTTCTGCAGATTTTCTAGTTCTGGGTATGTCTTCTCATACATCGAATACGCAGCGGGGTTGGCATCGATAACACCTACCCCTATTAGCTCGGATTGCTGAATGCAGTTCAAGTTAGGCACAGATCTGCGCAAGATGAGAGGACGTAGAAAAACTGACCGAAGCTTGGTTGGCCTGATCGACGACGATTTTGTATAAATCGGACCGCACATCCTTTTGAGCGAGATGGTCTCTCCATATGCTGGCGAACTGCGCTTGAGGAATCTTTGGACCCTTGAAGATTGAATGGAGTTCGGCCGCGATTGTTCGGCAGAGGCAGAAGATAAACGCATGGTATCGAGTACGAAGTATGTCTTCTCTCCATATCTGACACATATATTTGCGGACGTCGTTATCAGGTGGAGGATACCCTAGGATTATAGGAAAACATCAGTCGAGGATACAGAAAAACGTTATAAGATCTTAAATAGAGAGTTACTCTTCAAGTTGTTTTCGGACTGTAGGTTGAATGGAATGGTAAATACGAGACGTGCTGCCTCGTCGACCATCCTGGATTTCCCAGTACCCGAGCTTTGCACGATCATGACGGTGTTGTTGAAGTCACTAGGACCACAGCACTCATCCTCTTCCCCCTCCTTTATTCTGGTCATGACTTCGATCAGGATATTATGGCAGTCCGAGACATACGGTGTATTCCATGCCTCGCGTAGAGCTGATGTGTTGTCAGTGAACGGACAAGCCGAAAATATTCTTGAAGCATCAAGATTATATCTCACCATGCCCTAAAGATCGATGCAAGCTCCTGAATCAACATGGTATAGAGGAAGTGCATGGTGACTTACGCATTCCATGGTATCCGGCCTTTATCGCAGGTTTCCAGGTGCTGATCGGGAACGGCTCACGGAGAAACGCTGATTCATATATATATATATGTAAGATTCACACTACATATGATGCTTGGAACTGTGTGTGCATACCAGCATTTCGAATCAATTTGAACGTCCTATCCTTCGAGGCTTCCTTCAAAGCATCGAAGAAGTGTTCCCCGGCGATAGCGACCCCTCTTTGGAATAAACAGAGTCGGTTATCCTTATCTAGACCGTCATACATCCAATCCCTGTGTACATTATTGCCAGCCTCCAAGACTGTGATGGCGCAAAATATGTCGGCATAGTCTTGCTCGACGAGCGGCCGGGTCAGAGTTTCCAAGTCCAAATCGCGCTTGTAAAGGAGGTTTACCACGACATGGGAACGTTCGGTCGTAGCATCGTTAGCGATCAGGAGATGACGGATTTTGGAAGGAGGATCGGACGGATCGTCGAGCGAACGCTTTTGTGAGGGTGGCGAGCTGGACATGGAGGTAAAGAGCTAGTTACTAACATGCCGCCGCGGCGCCTGTACGCGGGTGACTCCGTCGTATCGGCCGATGCCGGAGTTGCGTGTCAGTGTTGATGTGGCCCATTGTTACACAATTTAAGCGACAAAGACCCCAACAGCGATGTCATCGCTGTCTGATTGCTATATGGTGAGTGCAACGTTCAGACGCACACGTTTTGACGAGTCCAAGAAAACGTCATATCTATTCATGTATCGAAATATGAAATAAGATATCGTACAAGTACTATGTAGGTTGTGAGTCCAAGATCAAGTCCGAGCGTGTATAACATACAGGCCACCGCAAACCCCAAAAGAAAAGAAAAGAAAACTAAGCATCAACCTCAGACCACTCACTCCCGTCCACCGAAACGCTAACACTGCTCTCGCTCTCCACCTCGCTCGTCACTGTCTCCGTCCCCTCCACTACCACCACGTCCTCGTCCGCCTCCGCAGGTTTCACGGACTGCGACTGTGATTCCTCGGTAGTGAACGATCGTCGAGGAGGGAAGCTGAACTGGTCTTTCGTGAACGAGCTGAGGAATTCTGGAGTCGAGTCTGGGGACTTCGGGCTATCCGTTGTTTGTTCTGCTTCTACCTCTGTTGTCTGCTGCGGCGATGATGGCTCTGGATCAGAAGGCTCGTCGTGGTGGACTCCGGGAATAACGGAGTCGGATGGTGGTGACGGCTCGGAGTCGACGGAACTAGCCAAGTCCGTGAGGGCCAAAGGTTCGAGGGGCGTTGAATTCGCCGAAGACGAAGAGGAGATCGTGGGGGTGGGTTCGGCTTCGGTGGACGCGGGTGAAGGCTCTTCACGTGAAAGGGGCTCCTCGGAGGCGATTACGGTGGGAGATGTCGCGATTGCCGGAGGCTGAGTGACAACATCCTCGACGACTGGCGCAAGAACAGGTGAAGTAGCAGTGGCGGCGGTATCAGAGTTATCGACGGGATCTGACACGGTAGAGGTATCGACGAAATCTGATGCGGTCTTGGATGGCTGAGGCTCCAGTTCGGAAGTGGAAGGAGCCTTTATAGCGATTGTAGACTCTGTTGGGACCTCAATGGCGGGAGTGGGAGTGGTCTCCGCGTCGAGTGCAACTTCGACTGTGGCGGGCTGGACCTCCTCCACAGTCTTCTCCACTTCGACATCCTTCATCTCCGCGCGTTCCACCTTCGCATCGTCGCCAGCCTCCTCAACTTTCTTAGCCTTATCCTCCTTCACCTCCACCCCCGCAACCTCCTTTTTCATTTCCCCAACCTTCCCCTCAACCCTCTCCAACTCCTTCTCCACCTCCCTAACGACCTCCCTCCTCCTCCCTCTCACACTCTCATCTCCCTCACTCTCCACCTCGTCCAACTGCGCCAACAAGTCATTCAACGCATGCTCGTATGCGCGAAGCGGGGCGTTGGTAGGTGTGAACGCGAGATTGACACCTTGTACACCCTCCTCGGAGGTGGAAAAGTCGAGAGAAGGCGGGAAGACGAACGAATCGCGCAAAGTATGGAAAGAGGATTCGATCTTGGCGATGGAGTGGATGGAGAGCGTGGAGTGGTTCGAATGGGTCGATTCGGTGGGGGAGGGAGGTTCGGGGATGGACGGTTCAGTTGAAGTGGGAGTGGAGTCGACGTTTACGGGGTTGACGGAGATGGTGATGGGTGTAGGTCGAACGCTTTCGGTGCTCTATAGAACGGTGAATTAGTTGCTGAACGTCGGACTAGCTCAGAGAAGTCAATGGTGGCGCACCTTCGTTCCAGACCCCGAAGCACCAGGCGAACTCGACCGCGAACTATGAGAAGAACCCGAAGTACTCGCGCCTTCAGCAGCAGGCGAATACTGGTGCTGACGATCACCCAATCCGCCGACGAGGCTAGCCAAAACGTTCGTCACAACCTCCTCCATCTCCCTATCCAATTTTCCGGACAACAACTCCTCTTGAAGTCGAGTAGCGACTCCCTGAGTGGCGGCTCCGCCTGCCGAGGACAAATTCTCGAGAAGGGATGAGAGGAAGTTGTGTGTCACTGGGGCGGTGGGTGCGGATGTGGATGCAGGAATGGGAGCGGGGGAAGGCGACGGGGATGGGGATGGTTCCCGGGCTTTGCCCTTGCCCTTGACGTCCTTGGGAGGGTCATCTCGAATCACAATTCCCTGCACGAACGAACGTGGGTCAGCAACTGGAGAAGGATAAGAAAGTTGATTCACGAGAAGACGTACGGGTGTAGAATGAGCTTGAGGAGCTGGTTGAGGTGTTGGTTTAGCGGTTTGAGGAGCTGATGGATGGTGCTGAGGGAAAGCTCCGAGACCGAAAAGACCAGAGAGTATATTGAGAAAAACATCTTCGTCCGACGCGGTCTCCTTGGTTGCGACAGGAGTAGGAGTCGGCTTCGTTTCCGCGGCTGCTGGAGCAGGGGCAGGTGTAGGGGCGGGAGCAGGACCAGGAGTAGATTCATCCGGCGTAGTCTTCTGCGAGACGTGCATCGGAACCCCGAAAAGGTTGGAGATGAACTTCGCGACGGCCTCGTCATCGGCAGGAGAGGCTGACGAAGATTGCTGAGGCTCGGGAGCCTGCACAGTAGGTTGCGCAGGGGCAGCGGCCTTCTTTGGAGCTTCAACAGGAGCATCGAAGAGACTTGTGAGGAAGTCGGTTATGGCGTCTTCGTCAGACTGGGGCTTAGCTTGATGGGCTGAGGGACGCGGTTTGAGTGGCGTCTGGGGAGCGGGAGTGGGTGGTACCGAAGACGAATATGACGGAGCAGCGGCGAAGGAGACGCGTTTGGTTGGAGCGGGTGTCGGCTGATTGTGCGATGAGGTGTCAGGAATCGAAGTTGCTAGCGAAGACGAAGGCGAACATACATTACGCTCGGCTGTGGCGCCGTACAAGAATTCGAAGACGTCCTTCATGGCGTCCTGATCTTGACGGGGACGAGGCTGCTGCAGCTCGGAATACTGGCGGTGAGGGTACCCAGAATGATGGAACGTCGTAGCATCGATATCCGGCGTCGTGAACATCTGTCTACTCAGCAGCTCTATCCTGATCCTCCTCTGCCTCTCAGCTTCGGCCCTGGCCTGAAGAACTCTCGCACGCTCCATACGGGAGAGCTCCTCTTCGTATGCTCTCTGCCTTGCGGCAGCCTGGAGAACTCGCTGGCGTTCAAATCTAGCCTGCTCTTCGGCACGAGCACGAGCCTGAGCTCGCAGATACTCGGCCTCGGCAGCGCGAACTTGGGCTAGAGCCTGGGTATAGCGTTGTTGGGATGCATAGAGGTCCGACGAAGAGAGGGAGTCATCGCCGATATAAGGTGTACCGGGTTGAGCAGAGCGATGGTGGTGACGATGATGGTTGTGAGAGTGAGGACGCGCGAAGTCCTCGGAGGGGTACGATGGGAATGATGCCCTCTGCGAGATATTATGAGGAGCCTGAGTAGAGGGCACAATGTAGAACATTGTTTGTGAGACGATGTGAGTTGATTGTTTGGGGATGAAGTGTTTGAGTGCGGGATATCTCTAAGAAGAGAAAGTGATACGGACCTGGAGCAAAGGGCGGGGAGGACTTTATATGAATCTGGGTAGATGCTCGGTCGGCGTACATAGCTTGCGTGTCGGGCCGCGCGTCGTGCTGAGCAAGGATGAGTCGGGCATATTCGTACGCTCCTGTGAACGCGTGTACCGTCGAGAGGAGACGCGAATGTTCGCGACAGAGCTGAGCAAGCTGGAGAATGTGCCAGAACGTGGCGGACCAACTCGTGATTAGATAAGATCCGCCGGGTCTTGCGGGACCCAGCGCGTCGGCGCACACCTCCACGACGGCGGGTGCCACAGTGCCACATCCGGTGTGACATCCAGAATGACTCCAAGGAAACCAGCCCAGGGAAAGACCCGTAGAGTCAGAAAAATTACGAAAAATATCAAAGGCCTTTATATTGTGCATATGGATGACCGACTGCAAGAAGACAGGACAGTAGCAGACGGAAAGAGGCCTGTGAGCTATCGAGCTGTGGCGATAGGGATCGAATGCGAAGTAATTGCGGCTCTCTGCAAAGAGATAGTTTGAGAGAGGGAGGGCGGTGGATAGTGACAGTCGCGAATAAGGTCAAGCTCTGATAGACTCGTGGTGCTGGTCCTTGTCATGAATAGAAAGTCGATAGGCGATGCATGCAGATCCTGTATTGAACGGTGGTGTCACGGACGCCGGGAGAGTTGTCATCATAGCCTATATGATCGTGCTGGCATTGTCAGAGACGGTACTTGGCCAGGTTCAAAGCATACGGAAAGGCAGTCTTCGTGGTTGTCTGCGGCGATCAACGAAAAGCTCGGCTTCGTCGTCAGGACCGTCACATAGAAATCCGCATATGACCCGATGTTCACTCCAATCTCTGGAAGCCGAAAAGAGTGCAGTAAGTAGTGAGAAGACGAATGTTGAAGTCGAAAAGCTGAAACCCTTACTCTTTCTGACACTTTCGGCCACAGTATCTCGTCGAGCGACAATCCTTACATTGGCCTCGCCATCTCCGCCTACAACCTCTTCGCATACATTGACCATCTACGAGACAGATGGCTTCTAGGTGCACTATGGAATGCCACCTCCCATTCAAAGATACCTGGCTGCTGGTGTTTCTACCTCCAGAGGGAGAGATTCGGCTAAGTACGAGCCATTCTCGAACCATCTTTGGACGAGGGAAGTGGGTGCGTAGACTAGGGAGTACTTTCGGCGACTTTTGGATGAGGACTACAAGAGCCTCCGCGATTGAAGAAATGCGTGCTGCAAATGCAAGCCAAGCAAAATAAGGTTCAGAAGGCAAATTGTCGACGCACGGGAGGAGAAACTTACTAAGAATGGAGCGCTGTGGAAATCGCATGAAGGCAGCCTCGATAGCCTCGACGAGGCCTGCACGCCCGCATATTCCCATAAATGCCTCACTAAGCTCCGGATAATCCATGGCTACCTTTGAGATCACTGAAAGTAGAAGATCCGTGATGATACTGGCAACCAGGTCAGGCTGACATCCGTAATCTGGTTTGACTTTGGCGACGCCGTTGAGGACGGAGAACAGATACGGGAGCAACGAAGAAGACGAAGAGACGGCCCGGAGAAGTTCGAGTCTATGTGAAGACTCCAGAGAGAGCTGCGCCATGAGGCTGACCAAGAGTTGGAGAATTGAACATAATCCGAAGGAAGAAAGCGTAGGAAGTCGCTCGCCAGCTTTCGACACGAATCGCCGCTCGGACGTGCCGGGCGTACCTCGAACGATTCTGTCAATCAAACACGACGGCACTGGATGCCTTGAGCGATAATCTGATATCGACCGTTCCATGTCACGATGATTCCCGATGAATAAGTGGAGCGATTGCAAGCATAACTGAAAGTCGGAGGTTTCGGCGCTTGAAAACCAAAGCCGCAGGATCACAGACACTGTGAGATCGTCTTCCGCGTCAACGAAACTGTGGTCATTTCAGGTCAGTCTGGCAAGATGTACGCCTCGCGAGCTGGAGTGGTGCCTGACCTCAAGAAAGACGGATCCGCGATGAGCACGAGTCCGACAAATTTTGCTATGGTCTTTCGCTCATGGATGCCCACGTCATTTCTTTTAAGTGTCTTCTGAGGGTCCTCCCAAAGCTGTCGGTAGATGCATGAGAAAATGTTCGTTCGGGCTGATGTAGACGAAGGAGTGGAGATGTGGCTCACCCGCCGCATAATCTCGGCCCATCGACTTCGCAGAACACCAAGCAATTTGCTATCCATCGCTGTATGCGTCTTATTGTCCATGAACGGCTGGATTGCATAAGAAAGAACCACGATAGGCGCATGATAAGATGAATGGCGCTGTTAAGAGAAAGTTAACATCAATCTTCGACGTTAAACAGGTGGAAACCGTGACAGAAATGAGTACCAACCCCGAATTCGTGGAGATCGGACAAGTTACAAAGGAGAAGAATGCAATCGCAAAGCCCTTCTATGATGCCCGTTTCAATCAGAGCTTCACGCGTCCTGTGTGCTTTGCTCGCCGGTGATGAACGCAAGGACATTGGACCAAGAATACGGTCTAAGGCAATTAGGACATAGGGAATATCCTGTAAGGAAATTGGGGGTCAATCGTGTGCAGACAGTGTTCCACAAGATGTACCAGAAAAATGAAGAATGCCTGCATACTGAAATGGTATCACCCCATGGGCCACTGGCAGTCCTTCTGCGGCCAGCCTGAGGCCGATGTTGACGCTGTGGTTTGCAGAGATTGAGAACGCTAACGATTCGAGCAGGGTTCGTTTCGGCCAGACTGCGCCACTCATCCAAAGTCGGCATATTTCTGGAGAACTCGGTAATGTGGACGGAGCGAACAGTGGCCGTTGTGGGGGGAAGGTTCTTGAAAACGTCTAAATAAAATTTGAGCGAAGTCACGGTCGGAGCTGTCGTCGCCACATCCGAGTGGCACAACGAGGATTGTCTGAATCTTTGGTGTTTTCTAGTTATTTAATCCACCGCACCCCAGAATTTCACAAGGACTCAAAGCGCGTTCCCATCGACAAAGGCCGAGCATAAAGAAGTAAGAGACCTAGTCTCCGTAGCAGATCCCACACAAGATAGTCGTTGTGTGTGAGAGACTCAAGCCCACAACGCTTGCTATTTTGTTTTCCGGTCCTCGATGATTGGTCCATGGTGCGACGTCTGATTGGTTCGGAGATGCCGGTCCGAACACGAACGACGCGGTGGCCAAGCGGTGGCCCTTGTTGTAGTTGCCACAATTCATGCCTTCGCACTTGACGCTCACCGTCTGACCAGCGCACGACCCCCCTTCTAGAGTTTTCACAGCGCCTTTCTTCCACTAGCTTTACTTGCTCCATCTTCAACGGAAATTATGACCGAGGCTGTACGTCGCTGGAAACTAAAGCCAGGTTACTACTTATCGGCCTGACCAACTACATCAACACTGACCTGGCTGTACTTTTGGCTCTCGGACTGTTTATTCGCAGGTTCAGAATACGTTCCGAACGTTTATGCTTGATGGGGCTCTCTTTGGCCCAACGGGACAGAGCATACCCATCGAGCTCACTCGGGTCGACGTTCCTCTAAACCTCATTCATCCCGCCTCTTCAGAAGGTCACAATCCTAGTAGCATTCTCCCTAATGCGCCACCACGACCACCTTCACGACTTCCTCATCCAGGAAACGCGACACTCAGTGGTTCTCTTGGCGACTTTATTGGAGATGGCCGCACAGGGCTTGTCTATACCCTATCGAACCCCCACATTTCCGGCATTAATACCCACTCTGGATCCAACGCCACCATCCCCCCAGTTATATTGAAATTCGCACGACCCAATCGATGTGCAGATTTGAACCGAGAGGCATGGTTCTACGAAGAGATGGAATGTCTACAGGGTGTGGCACTCGCGCGCTGTTACGGTCTATACGAGGCGGACGTACCTTCGTCGTCACAGTGCAGCATTCGTCTACCACCCAACGGATGGACAGTGCTTGACGAGGAGGAGAGTCCAGATAAATACGTTGATGCTGAGCAACACCCGAGACTGACCGAGCTGCGAGAAAGGCGGGACAGGTTGTCGGTCCTAGTGCTGGAACGGTTAGGCGACGGCATTCCTGTAGGAAAGCCTATTTCATCGGATGTCCGGTGAGTTTACTATCTTCGTCTGCGCCCGACATTTCTTCCCATCTCTAATTCACACTGTCCTATAACTTTCCATTCGTTCAATTCTCTATGCGTACTGGCGACTACCAACTTCGAATATTTCGTGTCTCTGTCATTTCCAGGGAGGATCTCATGAGCCTAATCGACGAAATCGGCCATCTTGGTATTCGCAACTGCAATGACATACGCTGGGCGAACATCCTTCGAGCGCCACAACCGACGCCACGACAGCCATCCCTCGGACCTGGACCATCCACCAATGGCAGCGATAGTGGCATCGTCCTACCTAGCCTCGTGTCGCCATATACGAACCGCACGCACGACTGGCGCATCATCGACTTTGAGCTAGCGGAGAAGACATGTCAGACCGCGAAATATTTAAGGTTGCAGCACCATATGTGGCTGAAGGATATATTGGAGGGATTGCCGAAGGGGTATGTGGCGGGTGAGCGAGTGAGTGAATGATGGGTTCTATATGAAGGTTGAGCGAAGATGAGGATACGGGGGAGTGAACTTTTGAGGTAGAGATGAGCGGACAGTGCGAAGAGTGGAATGAGTACGTTTCTCGTTTGCGTGCGTGATGCTGAGACTACTGCTGATTTCGACTGCACTTTCCATGGATGCCTAGATGTTATCATCGTTGGACGCGCTTGTACGATATCTAATATTTCTTGGAATTTACGCCGCAGGCTCTATACCCGCGATCATTCTGATTCACTCGCCTCTCTTTTGGACGCGCCACACTCAGTCATTTCGCAAGTTCGATGGCTGCGAGACAGAGTCGTGTGCTGTCATGTCATAAAGCCTAGACCACAACACCACCACGACAAACTGACACTTTATCAAGCAGACCTCGACCCTTGGAGCCTCAAATATCCCAACTTTTAGAACGCGTCCAAGCTCCACGCAATCCCTTCACGCGACCATTTGCGAATAGGCGCAATGTCCGCGGCACACGTTCATTCATTATTCGTTCATATCGTGCCACTCCAGTTCTCGCCTTCGTTCCTCTCCGCCTTCTCGTCTTCCGTCTTGCCTATCTACCTGTCTTTCTGCCTTCAGGCTGCCGAAATGACAGGAAGCGTGAAGAGTTAGGCGTCAGGGCCCGTCGCACCGATTTCCCGAACTTACAATCATGGCGGCGTAGCCCCAAGCTTCTTCACGTCGACGCACGCACTACATTTAGATGTACGCAAGGAGGCCGCACATCCCCAACCAGACGTTATGTTCGAAGTACTAACTCCACTGGCATCTCGAACTTCACAAAAGCATCCAATGCCACGCACGACAAGAAACGAGACGAAGGCAATACTATGATACATCGACGATTAACTTAAATAAACGACGTAGAGCTAGGGTGAAATAGAGGACGCGAGCTAGCGAGAATAGAGAGAACGTATCACGTAGGGCATGTCAATGGTCAATGGCCGTAGGCTAGACGAAAGTGGTATCGATTTAAGTATCCAATCCAGATCCAAAACGAAGGTTCCATAGAGTAGTGGCGGGAATAGAGCAAGGTAGAAGGGAAGCGACTGGAAGCACGAGAGGAACCGAGGTGTGATCGTGTAAATAGAAGAAAGGAAGGTGATCGTGGGCTGGGTACGTGAAGGGCAAACGTTAGCGTATGATGATATCGTGATCAGGAAGGAGACAAGGGAGAGAAAGTGTAAACGATTACAAAGCACGGCAGGACAAGGACAAGACTAGACACGCAAACAAATGAAGAACACGAACGAAGATAACATAACTTAATCAGAAGCGACGGGGAGCACAGAAAACACGGACACGGACAGGGGAGAGAGAAACAGATATACAGGAAGGTGAGACTAGAATTATACACATGAGCTGATTCATCTCGCAGCAGACAAGCACGGATCCAACGAGCCAAACACCGCATACCATACCTATCATCATCAAGCCAACCACCACCATCGCGTCATCCGCATCTAGAGAATGCCCGATCGCCCCATATCTTCCCACCACCATCCGTCTCTCATCGCCTTCTTCACAATGAAAGACCACTTCGTCTTCGAACCTCCACAAACTCTCCTCATTGCCTGATCGTGGACAAGCCCCTGAAATTGGCACTGTTCGCCATGCCCCTCACACTCCTCCACGACCTTCTCCACGACCTGCTCGTACCCCAGCCCAGCGCCACATATCGCATAGTGTGTTTCCTCAGAGCTGTCTGTGGGCGGCTTGACACCAAGAAGGAACAGACATTGTAGGCTCGGCATACGAAGATAATTGTCGAGGAAGTTTTCGACCCAGACTGTGCCTGAGATAACATTTCCGCCCATGTCTGACATGGCGGACGACGAACCAGAAGATGATACGGAGAACAGTGATGAAGAGGAAGAAGGCCGTGGCGAGGTGGGTGGGGACGTAGACATAGAGACTTCTGCGTCGGAGCTGACGTTGGACAGTCGGTGTGTTTGGGGAGACGGAGAGAATTTAAAGACATCGCCGTCGTCCCTCATCGTGACATCGCGAAGGGGCGAAGGAGAACGTGAGCCATCAAACGAAGAGTCGGAGTCGGACGAGTCGGAGGCCCAGTCGGGACCGGTATAGGGACCGGAGAAGTCGAGGACGAACATGCTAGCGAGGCCGATACAGCGGAGGTTTTCAAAACGTCGAAAAGCGGCGCCCCATTCCTTCTACACAACGCGCACGGACGTTTAGAGTCTTGTAGACTGGTCACAGAGTAGAAAAGAAAGCGGGACACGACGTACAAGATCTCCAGGTAAAGACGCTGGTAACACCATCCCAACTTGATCCAAACAGAGCTCTTCGAGGTCAGGGGCCTGATCAGCGATGAGGTGAACATAGCGAGGTCCGAAGTCTTGAACCCACGTTCCGTTCTGATTGACGACCAGGCGCATATGAGTGATGTTCGACCACGCATACCCGCGAATAAGTCGCTGGAGAGAATGTGGGGTGGTGACCAGATCGAAAGACACGGCACGGAGTTTGGGCAACCAACTTTGTTGCTGGGAGATTGGTGGCGAGATGTGTCAGCGGAGGGCAGAGGGTAAGAAGAGAGGGTTAAGAGCACTATAGACGAAAATAGAATATACTCACGAATGCGTTCTCGAAGTATGAGCTGTAGCAATCGAGGTTGAAGAGCTGGACGAGACTGGAGACGACGAGTACTTCGAGATTGTGACCGTATCGGGCTAGATGATTCATGGCCATGGCGGTGGCACGGTCCAACGGGGTGCAATCCGCTTTGTGGAGCGATAACCAACGAATGTTGCGGGGGTCCTCGACGAGATAACTGAACCAATCTGTACTCGTGATGTCTAGGTCGATGCGTTCGAAGCCTGGAGCATAATGAAAGGAGCTTGGGCGAAGGTGCGATGTTTCCGATTTACTGAAAGATGGGGGAATGACGCCGCGGACAAGGAGTTCTGGCACACGTTGCAGGCAGAGAGCCTGGCCGAGGGTGGAGGGTAAAGGATGATATGTTCTTGTCCTCGAGAGGTCGACGAAGAACGACTTAAGCCTCCACATCCGTGTGATCACTTGAGCTGTCGTTCATCTCGTCAATTAGCTTCCGGCGGCGTAATGAAGCTGTTATGAACGAAGAACGCACCGAGAGAGTGGTCTAGCGCTTTGATGCTCTCGGCATACTTCTCGCTATGAGAACCCGAGTTATCTGACCATCCGAAGACTTTGAATGTCCGAACGGAACCGGCATGAAGCTGATTCTCCTCTAAGTCCTGCGCCAGGTTTTGTACGGATACCACGAGCTCGTCGAGAGTCTGCGCAGATTCGAAGACGACAGACACGTACTCCGGAAACACCCATACAGGGTCTGCTCCCACAATTGGTGGAGCAGCTGAAGCGATAGCATACTGTTGGCGAGGCCAACCTCCGAGAAGATCGACATCGTGATGAAGCTCAAGGTACTAGAAATGAATATGCGCACGTCAGAAAGCAACTCTGGACAGAGACAAGAACAGGACTCGCCGGCTCGTAGTCACTCATGATGAGCGAATGCGACGGGCGAGAGGCAGAGAGGGTGTGGGGCTGATGGGGGCGGGGACGGAGTGGCAAAGTACTTGAATGGTTCCGGCGCTGCTAAAATATGTTACGCAAGAGAAGGTCACGCTGTCCGCGACCGTGAGTTCGCCGCACGGCGACGTCTTCGCCTGTCTTCACGCAAGACGGGAAGTGTACGTATCGAGTATCAATCGAGTACGTCCCTGGCCGGTCTTTTTCTCTCCGCTGACGACGCCGGCGAGTTGATGAGCAAATCGTGCAAGCCAACCCTTGACTGAAATTAAATCCCGCGAGGCGCAACCGCCAACACCTATCGCAATCGGTCTCCTCCTTGTCCTTCTTTTGGTCAGATTGGGCGGCGAATGCTCCGATTTGCAGGATTGGGGCCCGTTGCGGTGACCTTTTGCGGCGTCTGACTTCCAATCTTGAGCCTAAACAGCGAGCCTAACTGTCCAGGAAACAAGCTTTGAGGGTCAGTAAGTCCGTGCTGCAATGGTCATGATCCCATTTGGAGAGATGGCCATGAACGTAACGTACCGCGGTCGCGGCCTAAACAGAGTCAGAGGGGGAAAGAAACCTCAGGCGTCGCCAGGAGGATCGTCTCCCTTTAACCCTCTACCAAATGGCCAAACGCTAATAACCTCTCACAGTCCTGACACCTGACAGATGCCCTGACGAAGATTGCAAGACCGGTTATTCGTCTCCCCTTCACACACGCAAATCTGACCGAGGACGAACGAATCGTCGATTGGGTGAGTCACTCGCAATATATGGCCTGTGAAGTTACCGGTAAATCGCCGGCGGTAAATGACTTTGCCCGTCGCATCGCGTGGCATTCGCGTGGCTTCGTCAAGGTGGCGAAGTGGCGAACCGCAGGCAACCAACAAGTTGACGACAGCCACGGCGAGAATTTTTCTGATCAAAAATTACTGGTGAGCATTCTCCCCTTCGAAATAAATGAGCATTCAGTAAACGTATTAGAGTGCTTCGAATTGTTGCGAGGCTGCGGCTGCCACGGAGCCCTTTGGTCCCACTTCTTACTAAACTGGAAGTGGTTCTCGTGGGTTGGGCTAACGACAAGCTGACGATCTCAAGAGAGTTTTCTCTTATTCCTCTCAGGTTTCGGAGGCGAGAGGATGATCCTACTACAGTGTAGGCCCACTCCTTGATCCAACCCCGGTCCTTGATCCACTGCAAATCTGCCGCCTACAGCTCCTCCAGCCTCAATGTCACTCTTAAAAACTCTGCATATAGTGCATTTAAGGTTACATCGAGGTTATTAATGAGCATGTATTATTTTTATGAGGGGGAATCGTGCAGTGCGGGGTTGGATCAAGGACCCATATTTTGTGGCGCTCGGGTGCCACACCACATCTTGGTCTCCCGATAATGCACACTCACTTTAGGCACTGCGTGTATTTTATTCTGAGTACCTTTATGAATGTTCTCAACCCCTAAGTTAACAGATTTGATGAATATGGGAAGGGGAGCCAGAAAATGAATTTCTTCAAAGTGGCGGATCAAGGAGTGGGCCTACACTGTATGTGCATATATAGAACCGATTGGAGCTATCCAATTCCGACTATTCTCCTCTGTTTGATCCTTTTTATTTGGGACGTTTGTGGTCGCGGGTCAAAGGGCTCTCCTGCAAAAGACTTCCTTCGGAGATGGTGTGTGACAGATCGTCTCAGCAGCACTCCTTCCGAGTCGAATGATCAAAATCTCACCGAGTTGCCTTCCTCCGTTTTTATGTCGTCAGGTCGCACTATGCACGCCAGCCGTCTTCCTCGCCTCTTCTTCTAGCTCAGAATACACTCCTTTTGAATCCATACCACTGTTTGTAGCTCACTCATGGATCCCGCCACTGGTCGCCTTTCATCTCCGGCACGAGCCACCCGATCATGAAGAACGCCGCAGGATCTCTGTAGGACCGGTGTCAAACTTTCACAATTCATGTCCGAATGATTACTGGGGCTTCTAGCCTGATCTCAGTGTGTATTGATAATACGGCTACTTCGAGCATAACGAGTACTTATGCTCTTAGACCCTTCCATCGCCGGCACGGACCTCCCTGCAGATCGGTACTACACATTCTTCCTCCGTGGTGAGGAACGTGGTACGGCTGGGAAGTCGAAGTGAGTCTCGCTCATTCTTTTTATGTCAAAGGGAACCGATGCGGCATGACGACATTGCTCTGCGCGTTGAACCTTGAACATTCCGACGTTGCTTCGTGTTGGCCGACATGATCAGCTCTTTTTTCAACTAGTCATCCCCGGCACTAACACCAGAATACTCGCCATAACTGACCATGACTTGACCACAGCCCGTCGAGAACCCTCACTCGATCCTATGAGTGACTTGTACGGCCAGGCAACCGACGACACACGGGGAATTCACCTTTCGAGTTTGTGACGAGAATGCTCTCCGTATAAGGTGAAGGCGCGAGCTTGTTGGCAATGTGCGAGAAGCTCGGATCTGAACACGTTGTAGGTGAGTATATCCGCATGTCATCGTCTCCTCCCGTTCAGCATTGCCTAAACAGACCAGGTGTAGTAGATTCGTACAATGTACTACGACAAGAATCTGAATATACCCAACTAGCATGACGCCACATGCCTTTACGCTCCTCTTGTCAATTTTTAAATCCTTAGGACTGCTGAATCCCAAGAACGTACGTACTTGCCCCGTTTGGTAGAAAGGTCAATCATAACAGGAATTTGCAAGCGATGACACGCCTGTCTCTCTCTCCAACTGCGTAGAGCGCCACACATTAAATGTTCATAACGCTCGTCTACTTATCACTGAGCGCCCAAGTCTTTTCTCTACTTGTAAACTCCGTCGACGTTCAACCAGCCGAGCTCCAGGAAATACTCAGCGTGTGCGCGCTTTCTCGCCATACCTAGCCCCGTATATTAGCCATGCTGCTTCATAGGTGCGCTCCGACATGCAACTCGGACGTGAACGGTGCCGATGGACGTATGGGTGCGCCCATATCGTATGATATTGTTCGACCCAATGGATAACTGTACCCATTTTACGTTGAGAGTGGGGTCGGTCGGGGAGCCCCGTTGGGCGTCTCTGAAATTGTACGCCAGTGAGTCTCCATATTCCCTCATCCCAAACTAGGTGCGATGACGCTACTAACCGATGTGTGGCTCGAACGCCAACAGAGAACGTCAGTTCACCGATGTCGCAGGATACTATTCAAGCCCGTGGTTTGCTATAGCTATCGCATGATGGGAGTCTCGTTGCGCAGTCCTACATCTCCAGTGGTGAGGCTGAGATAATTTTCTTTGTTCCAATCTGCCAGTGCCATATTGGCTCGACTGTGTCAATGACTGGCGCCGGCGATGTTCCTTCCATGACTTTGTCTGATGGTCGAGATCAGTCCAATGCTAGCACATCTCCGTTCACTGTCACCGCAGTCCACGGCGAGTACATCGAATGGGTACCCAATATCTGTTTTTGGGTCCGATAATAGCTGGGATCAGCTGTGAACAAGGTACATACCAAACGTTGGAAATCCGTTGGAAAGATTGTGCCAATGGCCGTCAAGTCAAGTGGCCACAAGGCTCGCAGAGGATGGCATGTTTCATCAAGAGATCGGTAGGTTTGGCCCCAACAAAAAATGTTTCTATCGGAGAAGGCGCTTGTCATCCTCTTACCGAACCTAAGAACGACTCGGACTCCATAGATAACGAATTGACGTAGTGTCAAAGAATGACAGCACTTCCGAGGCAATAGGAGCGGTATCGGAAACAATGATGGGTCAGTCTAGATGATCCAACCAACGTCCGTATTTCTGATCAAGCTTCACAGAACGCAAAGAGAAACTTACCATAGTGTGGCTTGCAGAATCTTCGAAAGCAGTCCGGAATTTACGACACAAAACCATGCCGCCCCGCCACACAAGGCACAGTACCCATGGTGGGTGGCTTCTTCCATCGGCCCAAGAACTTGTACAGAGAGAATAACTGATCATTTGTTTCTTATTTACGCGTGACGGCCTCAAGTGGATTCAACCTGAATTCGAAGAAGGTCTCCGGCCTCGCTCATCAGCCCCTCTATCCTGAGGTGTCGAAACACCTTGGCATGGCCAATGAATCATTGCATCCTGCGATCCTTGGTCACGGACGGCTGAAATTCGCCTCGGAGGATCTCAGTACAGAGGAATTATCCTTCATTCCTCGAACGTTTTCCCGAATTCTACGTTAACACGTCCAAAATGATGATTTGGCGCGATTTCACTAGCGCGCGCAGGAAGAATGAGCGAAATCGAGCCATCTCGTGTCCCAAGGAAAGCACAAAGAGGAGCACATTGTGGAGCTTCCCCCCTTGAGTCAGTCCGTCTATCTCTTTTGTGCCTCTATTTGCTACACTGGCTCATAAATGATTGGCAGTGATGCGCTTTGGTCGCGTCTCATCGCACGGAGAAGCCGAAGGTCCCCCATACTTGTTGAGTGCACATTTGAGCTCCAATTTTCCGGTTCGATCTGACGCCATACAATAATATGGCTAGGTCTAGATAGCAGGAAAGAGCGCATGCTACATCTGGAACGCCACTCAGGATATATGGAGGTACGTACTCCGACTACACTATCTACATAGCCAGTCTGCCGGTCAATGTTGTCAATTCTGTAGAGGGAGCGATGTACGCCGGTAGGAGCTTTGGCATCCTTGGCGAGCACCCACGCGTGTTCTGCGTGACAAACTCCATAAAGCTGCGGTGAGTATGCATCGCCTGAAATGAGCTCGGGGAAGAAGGTTTGCATCTCTGTTTTTCCTTCTCCGTTTGCCGTAAGTCTATGACCCTCACTTACGAATCCACCAAAAGTTGCACCTCATTTGGTTGGCAATTTGCAACACGTTTCCGCCTGACAGTCTGTGGATCGCACCGCGCCATCCCGTGATATGATTGTGGGCCCATTGGCTCGATGTGCATCCACGATCCCCGTCTCTAGTCATGCGTCCTCAAGATGCGGATTGACGAGAAAGTTTTCGATATTGATGACCACTTATAGGTAAAAAGAAACCTTTTACAAGTGCTACTGACACAGCGCCGTTAATGAATACAGCCTCCAGGTACGTCTTGTCCTTGCTATGACTTATACCTTAATCAGGAAAACCATTATATTCTACGAGTGATAGTGAGCATCGGGCGAGTATCGGGGAAAATACCAACACATTTATTTGGCTGTTTGTGAAGATCCCCATCGAGAAACTGACCTATCGCTTTCGATCTCCGTGCCATCATTTCTCGAGGATGATATTTTCTGTGAGCCAAAATGGCACTGTAGGGCTCCCGCGTCAATGCCGAGGGCTTAGCGTTGTCAATTTTCCTTATTTTTAGCGTGAATCGGACATCCACGCCGCAGATTTTGTCTCTGTGATGTGCGGCAGGAGCATCTGCGACTTACGCATCGTCGAGCTGTTACAATTTCACCATTCGTTCCGGCGATTACGGTGATGTGTCTGTATCTCATTTTCCCGCCCTTTCTCATCACGGAACCAATACTAATCCACTGGCAATGGCAGTAATTCCGGCTCAATCGGCCCATCACATTGTTCGGCTCCTCGTTCTTACTTTTTGATGTAGGTAAACATCAAGACACTTCGAGAACACTTTTAATTGACGCTCTGTCCACCCCTCCACGACCATTACCGAGATCAATATACAGCGACAGTCAACGATGCATGAAAGGTAGGTTCCACGGTCAAGACGGGAAGCATGACGGTACCTTAAGACTTATTCGGGTCAGCCATGCTGGTGGGGACGACGACAGTAATGCGAGGTTCCGTGAACCAAGGTTTGGCTTCTAGGATGAATCTATCCGGACGAATTCTCGGGTCTATAGCTACTGCGTATTCCTGTGAAGAGTGTTCTGCACCAGGTAGGTCATCTATGCTGTCTCGGTGACCAGATCATTGCCGAGGCAGATGGTGAATCTGCATAGATGACTCCTTCATTGATGGTCTGTCAACTTATTCGCTTCATGCTTGGGCATCTTTCCTCCGGCCATCAGACTCTAGAATGGCAATGTGTTCGACAAGCGCTTCAATCGGCTGCCCAGTGCAGTAAATGTCCTGGCGAAACCAGGAGGATACTCCGAACATTGAAAAGCGGCGTGCCTCGTTTTGCGGCAGTTAGGTTTACAGTAAGCGAATGCCCTCTTCCTATAGTCCCCGGAGTATATGGCCAGTACGTTCCTTCGGCAATTATAATGAATATTTATATTATAGTGGAAAGGTGTCAAGACCGTACTTCGGGACGTGTGAGCATATACCCTTCAGGCTACAAGCTCACTCGATCCCCAGTCCAGCAGATTCCGCTCACAAGGTTGATCATTTCGGCGGCAGGTGGTCATCAGAATTACCAGAAGAACAACGAAAGTTTCATGAACAGTCCACCAACCAACTCATTGCCCTAGATTCCTCATAGAGGAGCTCAGTGGGACATGGTGGTCGGTGGCGTGCCGGCGCTGCAAAACTCTACCACAGATTAAGATACGTAGATTCCATTGACATTGCTAATGACGCTCTCTCAGCTGCCCAAGATGCGTCAAATAGCACAAGGATGGCATTGTAACTTCTCTCTTGATGCGGCTGCCCGCGTCAACTTTGGCGCGCGCAGCGCTTCAGAGTCATGGAATATACTCGTCGTTGGCGTAGCGCTTGATCCCTGTCATTTGTGAGCCTGGAAGCTATGTTCAAATACTGGTTGTTTCTGACTGTAGGAAGACCCTGATGGATGGCCTCGAAGACGTCAGGCAATCAAAGTCCGCCGTGATTCAAACGCCAGAGAAGAAGAGTACCATAAACGATAATGGTTCTTTGTGTACCCAAAGAATGAGCGGTCCATGATCGAGGTACGCCGGCGAATTTCAGTCAGCGCAGGAAATCTCACCCCTTCAGAGCTAGGTACCAGAGCGTTCTCAACATCTTTTCTCTCTCTCGTTGCCACATCTCTGCATCTATCAATGATACCTCATCAAACATTTTTCTGATGCGTAGCCCTCGCCAACTACCTCCATGGCCTAGCAGAAGACTTGGACGACAATGACACCGCGGTAACGAATCACTGCTGTCCCGAGCGTTCAAAACCTTGACATGGTATTCGTATAGCCGCTTCCTTTGTTACCCCTTACCACGGTGATACTGATACATGACTCTTCTCGTTACGTTGTACAGGCATCATGGACTACGGCATTCACCGACTTTGTTCGACCTGATCATACGAACCAGACAAGAAAAGGTAGAGAGATCCCTGAAAGACGTAGCAAAGTAATGAGGCCACCCTGGTACTGCTCTCATGACAGATGGAACGAAACGAATCCCGTCCTGTTGTCCATGCTCTAGATTAAAACCGACGGGGCTGGTATAGTAGCATCAGCTCGCCCTCTCGCGGTCAACAAAATCCTCGGCAGTCTGTGTTCACTGATGCAGACCTCGGAGCTCACTAGCGAAAGAAGTGACCTCCTTATTTTACGTGGAGTGCCCCTTGGTTTTGGCTTCGTCATCAAGATAATACTTTCTCAATGGGGCTCGCCGCCCTATACACCGTTTCCTCAAGGCTCGTCTGCGCGTATACTCCCAATTCTATAGTGCCAAGCAACGTCATCCAAGCTTCTCAAGGCGCGCTTTCTTTTGCTCGACGCCGATCACGGGCTCGTTCGCTCGTCTTCTGACTCATTGGGTGGGCACATGAACTTCAATGGTGCTTCTCGGGTCTTGTAGACTTGCTCCTTAAAAATAACAGTTGTACCGATAGATGATCATGATAGAGACATGTGCCTTATATCGGCCGTAATATCCACATGTTGGAGTGCAGAGTTGGCCACCAATTCCCCTGAAATATCAATCGTTTGGCCGCGGTGCATGCAGGTGCGTTCCTTGCGACCATCCATCCCTGCTCTGACGGTTGCCTCTTGTTGCAATTTGTTCAGATGTTCGAGAAACACGAGCAGATGTATTCTTAATTTCCCCATATGTAAGAACGACGGATGTCCTTTAACTGACTGCGTCTACGCGCACCCTTCTCGGCGGGATATACATAAAATATCCGCTTTTGCCATGATACATGTATCCACGGCGGAAGGGACTACGCATACGCATAAACAGATCGGCAATCCGGGTTGTCATCTGTGTCGACAGCACTCCCAAGTCTGCGAATGATTTTGCCTTGAGGAAAGATGTGTTTATTTTGCGTCGGCGAGGAAGGAAAAAAGTGAAGTGTATTTCCTGTGTCGGTGGTACGCCAACAAGCGCTGAGGCTGTCCGTTGCCGTACCCTGGTATTCACAACCACATCGAAGAATAATTGAAGGCGAGGCACTCTCACCAACCAGGGCACGATTCTGTTAAAGAAAAAGCGAACAAGCGCCAAGTCCTACGCCATGTATCTGGGATAGTGCAGCTCGAAGAGGCTTTGAGCGTCCCCAGAACAAACTATGCACGTCGGGCCTGCAAGTACTACCGAGGAATCAGTGGCGTCCCCGAAGGCTAAAATGCATATCACACGTTCAGCATGATCCTCTCCGATAACTGGTCTTCATTCTTGTCCCTCGCAAACGGGACGAAGTTCTCCGCGGAGCCGACCACAAAACTAAAGACATCTCGGCAAAGCGCGAAGTCCGGTGATAGAAGGCAAGTGCTTGGGAAGACCATAAATGTCGAGATTCATAAACATGCCTCGGGCACGCTCGAACGAGGCCGTGTATTAATGAAAGGTTTATCTCGCGATCCGAATGTCCCGTCATGACAGCCTCTGCAAAGTTTACCACATTTTCGCGGATTGTATAGCAAGTGCAAGCGGTCGTTCCATGGTGGCAATTCCATGGCATTGTGATGATGATGATGAGACGTCACGACGGGGAGGAAGTCCACGCTGAACGCCGATTGCAAGGCTATACACATCTAGCCTAACTCTCCTCACCGGCCGGTGTTATGTCTTGGTTATGTCTCGTCTCGTTGCACATGGTGAAGATTTCAGACATAGCCAGTACGCCACATCCATCCAGCGCCAGCGAAGATGCGGTGATAACGAGATGATCGTGTCCGAAAGTGAGGAATAATGACGAACGAGATAGATTGTGATTCTGAAGTGAATGATATTTGATGAATCGAGGTGTAGTGTAGACACGCATGCCCCCATGACTCTCACATGACGTCGGGGTTGGTTGCTCGGCCGCCTGTATCGCCCGCCGAGCAAGAGATAGAGTATATTCCAGTAGTAATGGTGGCTCGGACATACCTAATGGACCACACAGTTGACCACAGCCATAACAATGGACGCAATGTGGCGGTCTGATAGCTCCAAGGAGGTTATGTACCAATTTTTCATCATAGTGATGCCCTGCGGAGGAATAGGCGGCAGGAACATCGGCCCTCGATAATGAGCTGGGCTAGGAACGCCATATCGACTTGCCGCATTGCTTTTGATGAGGAGGAAAATGACATACGGCGTCTTGCAGAATGCAACGATACCTCTTTCGAGAACAAAGGCGGCTAGATATAGTGCGGGATATTACCCTGGTCGATTTTTGATCAAGGAGGATCATCCTAATTGTCTAGTCGACCGCCGGTCAATTCAGCAGACTTCGATCGCTATACTCACTGAACGCGGATCCTCGATCACCATTGAAAGCACGACTCAATGCATGCGATGCAGGCGCCCTTGTTCCTCTACATAGACCCTTGAAATGCATCAGAATATGTATCATGCAGAGGAGCGAGTGAAAAACATACTGACAAATGGATATCATAGACACAATGTTGATGCTGACTCCGAAACGGACTCCGCTATCTCTCCCTGTGTGTTCGTCGCGAGGAGACACGGACTCTGGACACAGACCCCGACCGGTATCCCGATGTTCCATGTTCCCTTTGTTCTCGAAGAAGGAAGGTGGGCCCGTGAGCAAAAACTCGGGTGTACCGGGTGTGGAGACATGCACAGCCAGAAGGCCCGCCTGTCGCGGTTTAGTGTCCACGTTACGCTGATGCGATCATGGAATGATCAATTTTGGGATGATGAGAACGAACGACTCACAAGGAAGTGGGGCAGAAAGGTTCAAGAACGTTGAGAGATGTACGATCATTGGGTGTGAACGAGGTCAAGCTCGGAGTTTGAAATGTGGTTGATCGGTTGGTGGGTTCGGTTACGAGGAGAACAGACTCAGTATGTTCTAGTCTGGTCTGAATGAGGCTGATGGACATTGAGTTCCGTAAGATGGGAGATGCATCTTTTCCGTCACGGTGTATGGCGCTCGGACTATCGACTGGACGAGCGGTCGGGTCGTAGAATGAGTTGTGAAAGATGGATTGCGGGCTTACGGGAACTACCGGGTTGCAACCAAAATTCTTTTCTGTGCCTTCATTATCTGCGTTCGCCTCCATATAACCCATGCCGAATATTAGCAAATGCCGAGCAGAGAAGCGTATCCGTGGTTTGGTGTTGTCCTGACGTATCGATATTTAGGAAAATGTGAGACTAAAGTCCAAGGCGGAGAGAACGTCATGTCCTCAATCACCACAAGTCGAGCGGGACCTATGGTACTAAGGCATGGAGCAAGATGTTGAGAATAAAGGCACCCATACCGTCACGTACCCGACGCATACGTATACTTTCATCCCCTCTTAGAAGTATAGAAGATGAAAGGACACTTGTGAGCCTGATAACCACGGACCTAATCAGCCTCAGAATTGATCGTGACGTTGTAAACGTGCACTGGCAACCCAGCAACTAAACGCCAGCTCATTGGGCCTGTATGGAAGGTATGGAAGGCAGAAGAGCGCGTCGCGGAAAGTAGACATACTGTGAATGTAACCCGGTGCCCGACCTACACGACGTCAGCATTGCCACCATCGACTCGGCGATTACCCGTGCACGCCGCAGTTTCATCCATGGAAGGTGGTCAAACTTACCCATAAAATCACCACTCTGGACTCCAACCTCGTCGTGAAGGGCTCGGAAGAGAACGTCCACCGTGGCATCGCTTCGATCCGTCCGGGCTCGTCGTCTTCATTTCCACTCGTGGAATAAAGGTAGGGTATCCAGTGCAGCCTCCGTCTCACGAAAACAGTCACCCCAGGCATTGTAAGCGGCCGTCATTATAGGTCCAGACGCTGAGTTAGAGGCAATCGAAAGTTGACATCTTGTCGCCGTGACAGACCGCCGATATAGGGGGCAAGAGCAGCTATGTGAGTCAGTAGCGGAGTGAGCTGAGCTTACATCATCTTACCACAACGTGAATGACATACGGTGGGTCGTCGTAGAGGCGCAAAGATGGAGGGTATCCACACCGGGATTTCTGGTGGGCGCTCTCTGTCCTAAAGAAATTGATTAAAGTGGGCCTCGGCGCTTGGCAATCCAGAAGCGTCTCGATGTCGTTGAAGGCGCCGATTGAGATAAAATTTCCGGTAAGATCCTTGCCAGGAAAAATCTAGAGGTTGCACTGGTGAACGGCTCACCTTAAACAACCTTGCGAGGACGATACTATAGGGATTTCATCCCGTACACAAATATTCCTGGCGAGGTCTCGGCGCCGTCGCGATGAATGACTACATATACTCATCTAAGCTTTCAGGACTGGGAGACTGGGTGGAAATCGTGTAACGCCATGGGTAAGTGATTAGACATGCAGAAGGACAAGATTAGGAAAAGACGTACCGCCGGTACCCGAAGGAATATGAAGAAAGCAACGCAACTGCGTGGAGTGCGACCAGTAATGCTCTGCACTGGCGTAAGCTTCAGATTGTCCGCCTAGCCCGGTATCACGATGCAGGGGACATTCGCGGATCATAGCACAGGCAACTTGATGGTGTGGATATAGCTGAAGCACATGGAGAACTAAGCTAATAACACCATACTACAGTTCAGAGGCTGAAGAAGAGGAAGGTCAAGGGGAGGAAGAGACCACGATCTGAGACAGTCTGCATAATAAGAGAAGAACGTGGGGATATTCTGAGTTCTCCTATTGTAAGGACGCCGGTGCCACCTACTGGTGAGAGAAAAGAACGCTTCTACGTGGACTGCGGCACGAGGCATGACTCACTACGAACTTCAAATGCATAGGCTTTATCTCAGGTATAAGGCACTACACTGCTCAGCAGACTCGAGCTCGCCGCAAGACGTCGTCCACAAGGATTTCAGACCTCGTAGAATACTCTACAGAACGACAATACAACAGGAGAACATCCCCGTCATGGCCATAATCCACACGCTCATGCAGGCTCATGCAAACGCATAAGCCGCACGAATCGACATTCTGAGATCGGCGATATCTACGGCATGCGCAAGTATGGGTATGTGCGACGTCGGTCCCGACTGCCATGGCTTGGCGAATGTGCTACGAGTCTGTATGCGACGTATCTCGTTCGCTTTTGAGAAGCATACGAGCATAGACCATCGCGTCTTCGACGAAGATACTGTATCCGGTTCAATGTGCCGTAGAAGCACGCCTGGCGCACGCCGGTCCGCTCTAAACCCACTTCTGAATCACAAAGTCGCACACAAAGACAATGACGCGTGAGTTCAGCGACCCGGAGGCCTCTTCCAACATCAGTATCACAAGTCTCCGGCAGTCAAGAGCTCATGATCTCCAGATATATGGCTAGTGTTACACCTCGGCGAAAACATCACCGGCCAATGCTCTGCGCGAAATCTGATGCATGAGGGTACGACGGTATGCGGTCAATGTTGTCAATCTTTTTGAATATCATGGACCGTCAACAACAACGAGGAAGATCTACCGGGTCATTCTCGAACACAGCGCAAGAACACGTCTAGATCAAACAAAAAAGATTTATGCTGTCGGAACTGCTCTTGGAGAGACTCCTACTGTCTCGGACACAGTGTCAACGGTTTGAGTTATAGATACCTCACGAACCATAAGTGGAGAGGTGCTCCCACGCAGATTTGGGACAGTAAGTACTAGGTCATCGAAGGTCATCGAAGGTCATCGAGCTCCGGAAACCCTTGCGTGCACCTGTGCAGAATCATTCCTGCCGACCGCACCAGACTTCCAGTGCCCGATATAGGGGCTGAAAAATATGGGCGACTGCCACCAGAACATACGGCTATGCAGCACGAAGATTTCGAGTCCTACCTCCCGAAGCCGACCGTGGCGCATCAGCAGGGGCTGTACCTCCCCGACCCCATCCGCCTGAGTCGCCTACTCAGCCCTGCACCTCTTTCCAAGTCGAGAAAGCCCGACGCCGAGACTAGGTTGAAAGCACCCAATAAGTAGTGCTGTCAGCAGCATCGATTATATTGACCCCTGGGCTCCTGCAGGGCCGGAAGACGGCGGGATGGACTTCGTTGCGTCAAGGAGGATAATCCCGACGAGATTGGGTAGTGCTAGTGATGGCAGTTGGTTGTTCGTAGCGCGGTACGCGCTCGCCGCGGAGTCCCAAAAATATGCATAAATAAGGAAAATGGGCCGCCCGAGCTGTCAACGGCAGGAGCTAGCTATAGCGCAGCGTCAATGACAGCAGCGCCGAATCAAACTAGCAATTAAACCAACGAGAATGAGAAAAGCGCAACACGAAGTCGTATTAGTGGGCACTCTGAGCAGGTCATGGTGAGTTAAGGCCGAGTCGACACCGTCCGGGAGCCGGCTGGCCAGTGGGAGCGCCCTGGGCGTCTTTCGGATCACGAAATGTGCGCGCTTAACGCTTTGAGAGGACCCTGGCCTGGTCATGACGCGAGGTGTAGAGTACATACCGCGTATACAGCAAGTTCGTCTTCGTATCTGTCTATTTCCGAGCTTCGGCTCTCATAAGGCGCTTTTTCGCACATCACGAGCGTCAAACAATAATCCCCGAGATGAACAAGAAGATGGAAGAGAAGATGTCAGCGTGTGTCGAAAGCAGATGGGTGGATGCGGATGGATAGGTGGATAGGGATAGGTGGATAGGGGGTGGATAGATGTCAAAGCGAGGTACATACGTACCTGAACTGAAAGAGATCGAGCATATCCTGGGCGAGGCGAACTTGCTTAGCGTGAGCCTCAGCTCCACGTAAGGGCTAAGCCGAGCCGATTGAACTCTGTCTGTAGCTGCACTTGAGACTTCGGAGAGCGCGTACCGCGCCTATTCCGGCTTATGAACGTCCAATTGAGGATTTGCGGCGTCCCGATCGCTATAGTAGCTAGCACGAGGCAAGAGTTGCACATTGCACATAAATAACCCAAGGAAGCTAGTCTATCTGCGCTCAGAAGAAGAGAAAGGTAAGATCGGGCGAATTCGAAGGTGCGATGGGCAAGAGCGGGTCTCTGTGGCGCGGGGTTGTATACGTGTCTGTCCTAGAATTGGCGAGCAAGCGGTCGTGGGTCGAAGTTCTGCCCAACTGAATTGAGTTGAGATGAGGTGGCAATGCGAATTAGGATGGATTAGAAAAATAGCGGGCTGATTGATGCTGGGAGAGTGCGCTCACTCAGCTGCAGACAAATTACAGGGGACCTCGGGAGTGAGTCGGAGCGCCACACCGTCGCGCCACGCTGCGGTGCGTCTACTATAGCCCCACCACAAGTGTCAAGTCTGACTGAATGCTTCTCTCCGGGGATCATCGATCTACTTACTGATTATCTGCGCAAAGGTCACCCGGCGTACCCTAGCGCAGTTTCGAGCGTCCGGACGATGTGGACCGGGTAGTGCGCAATGCAATGTGATCCAGGCGAATAATCCGTGCCGTAGTAAAAATGCAGATCGAATCGCACTTCTGAAGTGTGGGATTTCGAGAGCTAAGTATGAAGGTCGAAGCGCGAGTGGGAGGCATGCATGGAACTTGGAAGGATGACGAGGGTTCCGGCGGTAACGTATAGTACACCGGACGGTACCCAAAATGTCGACGAGACATTCAGAACTGGGTGTGTATGCACTATAGCTAGTTCTGTGGCACTGGCTAAACCCGGGCTTCGGGAAGAAGGTGATTGAGGTTGGAATTATTGATTAATGGAGCGGTGGCGTCCGTACGGCACCGGGAGGCGTAGGTTGGGATTCATAACCTTGTATTCTAGACAGTTAGTCAGTCGTGACGAGGGCCAAGGGCAGGTTCGGCATCAGCATCGCAACATCTCTGCATCGTCATCCCAGCCTCGAGCCTCGTACGAGGACTAATACATTCGGATGGAGGTTTAATTTGAAACCTATGATCACCTCTGTAAGCCCAAAAGTAATCCTGAAACCGAAGAAGTGGGCCCCAAGAAAATTTTAAAGACTTACCCATCCATCTTTGTTCGTCTGTGAGCTGGCAGTGGCAGTCGAAGACACAGACATACGTGTGCAGTCCCGCAAACCCTGCCGAGTCGCTCAGGCTCAGGGTCTTCTACAGGGAGACTCGAGCCCGCGATGCGAATCTTGGCCAAGTCAGTGCTAGTCGGGTCGAGTCGAGTCGAGTCGAAGATCAATTAAGTTAGAAGAACGCGGGGAAGAGGAACCCATTGAATTGCTGCCACGTCCGGTTGAGAAGCTCGAAGGACATAAAGATCGAAATCGATAAATGGACAAAGTCAGACGCACAGGGATCAATTCAATGTCACTGGTCCGACAAAGTCAAAAGCGAAAGCCTCGAAGGCGTGGTCCGGGATCGGAGCTAAGTTAGAAAGTGCCAGTGTGCGGCTACGTGAAGGAAAGGGGATTCACGGTTGCGGATATCCTAGGAGATGCTAAGATCGCTCCGTGCTGTACAGACCTGTATAGCAGAACAAACCAATAGGAGAATTAATATAATGAATAGTAACGGACGCCACGAAGACTATGGAGTTACTTACGCAGTCGAGTCATCGTCTTTGTCCTCGTTTTCGGTTTGCACTTACCACGAGCCCGAGAGCAAGAAACCACCCATGGAGCTCGAGCTCGCCCGTTGCTTACCATTGGACCATCCAAAGCCAAAGCGGGAGCGGGGAAACGGGGAGGGACGCTCCGGGAGCCTCGAAGTTCTCGTGAGTCGTGCCCGGAACGGAGACACCCGGGCATACGTATACGTGTCTAATGCTAAGACGATCGCGATAAAGAATCGGGACAAGATGAGGAATGGAACTTGGAAGAACGTCCACGTCCGCATACTTTTAGTTTTCTGGCTTGTGTTTTCGTTTCTTCCTGGGACAAAAACAAAATACACACGGCAGACTGCGATGGCGAAAAATGTGAAAGCCGGTTCGATATAAATAATAATTTGAAAGATAAATTTGAGCAAGCGCCAAGGGTGAGTAGGTAGGTAACGAAATGGGTACTCACCTTCGCACGTGTCCTTGGGTGGATTCTTGTGGGCGAGCATTGAGTGGTTGTTCGAATGATACCACACAAGGCAGGAAGAAGTTTCCTTTCATCTTGTGATCAAAGAAAATGACCGTAGAAGAAAAGAAAAAGAAAACAACGCCGTCGATGGCCGGAGCAATATCATCCATGTACGGCCGTCAACAACAAGGATCCACGCACTGACAGCTGTGCATTAAGTGGGTCAGCACAGCAACCCTTACAAAGTTGATCGTACTCGACTTACTCAACTTAGCAGGATCGACCGTAGTACCGCGTTGACACTTTGACAGGCGTTCGAATCGAGCTCGAGTCACTTAGCTTGCAGTGCACCACGGTCTATGGCGGGTGGAGCGGGTCGAACCGAACTAGGCGGAGTGCGGAGCTTGAATTGGAATTGTTTCGACAGTTTGAATTTGAGGTTCGAACAGGATCTGCGTCGATCGTGTTGTTTTGTTTTGTTTTGACTGGTCTTCACCTACCTATTCACGAATGAAAGAACCAAACAAATAAACGGTCAGCCAAGCCAAGTCAGGCCCATCATCGACACTGCACCGCACCCTTCATTCACGCTCCACGAACCTGACCCCGACCCCGAACCTGAGCCGAACCTGAGCCATCACCGCCCCGCTCCATCCCGACCGAGCTCGTTCGTCCGCCCGTCCGTGTGTTTGTTCATTCATTCGTTCGTTGCAGCGATCTACATTCTCCGCCTCAATCAACGCCATGAAAGATCCGGGAAGGGAAATGTGATGCGATGCGATGGAAAGGCAAGGCAAGGGAAGGGATGGGATGGGAAGGAGAGGGAAGGGGGGGGGAGGGTCCCTTGTACCTAGTACCTACATTCGTACCCAACAACCCGGTCTCCGTTTTCTGATTATGATTGTGATTCTGATCGAACTGTGTGTCGCACGAGACATAGAACATAGAACATATTTCTGGTCGGTTCGGTTGTGCGGAGACGAGACGAGGTGAGACGGATTGCACTGTATGTTGACGGACGATCCGAAGCTCGAGCTTTTCTGCGGCGAACGTTCAACTATAGGCTATAGTTACATGTAATTATATGAATGGATCAATGAATGAACACCGCGAATCCTGAATCCTGAATAGAATGCCAGTGAACAGTCTCATTCTCGGTTGATACCTCGTGTTGGCGCGCGTGAGTATTCGTATTGTGCATACCTGAGTTTAAACTTTCAATCATACCTCCTATGTACTATAACAGCGACCTCACTCCCACTTGGTCCTGAACCTAGGCCTGGAATGATACCCTGCACGTTGAAGTTGAACGTGGTGTAGAATGGTGTTTGTGTCCTGATCTGATCTGATGGCGGATTTTACGGATTACGGATGATGGGCCCTTTTCCCTCCCAGGTTGCAACTACAAATTCTGAGGAATGGGGAAAGAGGGAACGAGGTGATTGATGATTTCGCAGGCAGAGGCGCTGGAGGTCCGTAGGAAACTAGCTATGTTCGTCAGTCCGTTAGATAAGTAGTGAGTTAGTTGGGGAGTTAGTGGGTAGACTTTCAAGCCTGAGGCCTCAGGGCAGACTCTTCCGGTTTCATTTTGATCTTCAGGCCTCAGTCCTCAGGCTGGCGGAGCTTAGACGCTCAACCGCTCAAACGCTCAGAGCAAACACCCACGCACGGGCACTGTGGGATATGCATCGAGTTCAAAATAGAGTAGGTACGTGCGTGTGTGGCCATCTACGCACGGCGGACAGGTGAAAGGCGGTAGAACGGCTCATTTATGTAGTTAGTTAGTTGGAGTAGAGTTGGCGACGGTCAGACGGTCAGGTCAATGTTGGTAAAGTTGCACGTTGACGACGGTCACGGTCACGGTCAGGTCGATGTTGACGACGGTGGGTCGAGCCTCGTTGTGGGGAACTGGACTGCGAGACTGCGACTGCGAGATGACGTTGGGGTTGGGGTTGGGGTTCGGGTTCGACTTCTTTTTTTCGCAGTACTTACGATCGCCCCGATTTACGAATTTCAATTGTGTTTTTATGTTATTTATTTGTTTTTTGGATCTTTTGCAAAAAAAAAAAAAAAAAAAAAAAAAACGGAAGAGGGAGGCAATTGCAACAAGGGCAACGAAGATCTCCATATGGTTACTGTAGCACGCGAGCCGCGCGTGGCGACGAACGACGGACGGGACGGGATGATCGGGCGAAGTGACGTGCCGGACCCCTCGAGGTTCGCTCCGGATATCTGGTGTGCAAACCGTCGAAAGAGATCTGGTGGGAGAAGCGCTGGAGGGCTGGCAGGCAGGAGCGGATTTCTTTTTGCGTTGATGATGATGGCGGCTGGCGGCGGCAGAGGAATTGTCGATTAAACTTTACGTTGTTGTGCTGTGGTGGCTGATTGGAGCTGTGTTATCCCCGAGGGGGGAGAGAGAAGCACGAGGAGGACGGACGAAAGAGGGGATAGCGCGAAGGAAGGCTGGAAGGCAGGCAGGAAGGAAGGCACTCGGACGATGGATGGGCGTCTGTGGCAAGAGCAATACGAGCGTCTGTGGCAGGCTGTGCCGCGCGGTCGCCCGTCTGTGCGCCTTTGGGTGGGGAATATGTTGTGCAGCAAAGGATGGCGGGTAGAAATGCGCTTTGAGGGGGCTTTGAGGGAGGGCGAGAAGGGACACAGGAATGAGGAAGGCGAAGGGGCGCGAGGGCTGAAGAAGGACGGACGGAAAAGGGAATAGGTGCGGAGGGAGGCGAAGTGGGAGGAAGGAGGCGCCGGATTTGGACGGCAGAGTACTTAGACTCGCGCCCCGCCCCGCTTTGGGCCAGACGCGCTCGTCCCCTCGTCCTCCGAGCATCTCGTCGTCCCTCCCCTGCAGCCCAGCTGTCCAGCCTTGCCCTACCCTATAATATCTAATTTCCTCTTGCGTCCTCTTATAATTCTCCGGCGTCGGCCCATTCTTGCCGATACTCTCGCATTCTAATCATCCTCACAGCCCAGCCATCGACCGCATCGTCTGCACTCCCGCAACTCCTCCAGCTATATTCGCGGACCGGACGGGCTGAGAGGGTATGTTGATCCGCGAACAATCCCTGGCCATCTCGTTCTGATCCCTTTCAATCCACAGCCTATTTAACCCGCTGCCCTTGCGCACTCCCTCGCGCTCTCCCTCGCACCCACATATTACAGATGATGGACATCCACCCGTACCCCCAACACGACTACCCACAACATCTTGCCAACTCGTCATTCCCTCATTACTCTACCCACGACCCTCTCCGGCCCATGCCCTCCTCCTCCTACGCCGTCCCCCGCATCCAGGACCTCACCTTTCCCCCATCTCCCCGTTCAAATCCCTCCCTCTCCCGCATCGCGTCCACCAGCGCCCCGATCCGGGAGGACTTCGACCGCGATGTCAGTCTGCCCCCGCAGCCCGCTACCCAGTCCTCGCTCGAGGCCCTCATGGAGGACGATGGCCGTGCAGGCGGCCTCTCCAGGCCACTCACCGTACAAGAACAAGACCGTCTCGCCCACCTCGACCGTCTCAAGTTCTTCCTCGCCACCGCTCCCTCGCGCTGGTCCACCAAACAGGAAGACGACCCCGACGCACACCACCTGAACCCGTCTCACCCGGCCCTCAACCGCTTCTTGCTCCCCAACCAGGAGTACGTCTCCTGTGTGCTCTGGAACGGCCTCTACCATATCACCGGGACCGATATCGTGCGCGCACTCGTCTTCCGCTTCGAAGCCTTCGGAAGACCCGTTAAGAATATGAAGAAGTTCGAGGAGGGCGTGTTCAGTGACCTCCGCAACCTCAAGCCCGGCATGGACGCCTGTCTCGAGGAACCCAAGGCAAGTGTCTCTACTATACTTCTACGACCCTGCACACCCTCCCGTGCCCCATGGTCGATCCCCCGAGCCATCGTCTTCTTGTTTGCCAATCGCTTTCTATTTTTTGCCCCCGCGCGCGCGTGGCCGGTGATGGGGGCGTCCAGTCCACTCCCATCGCATCGCTTCTCGGAGAGATCTCCGTCTAGCCAGCCTTGGAAGGTGTGGGACCCATCGTCCTGATCGTGATCTCGCATCTTTCCATTCATCCAACAATTTCATATTGCGTTTCTCTTCCGTCTCTTGTGTCTTGTGTCTCTCGTCTCTCGTCCCTCATCGGCCTTGTTCAATGTTCTCATGATCATCCATCATCCCATCATAGTCCCCCTTTTTGGATCTCCTCTTCAAATTTCAATGCATCCGAACGCAGAAGAAGCAGAAAGTATTTTTCTGGTGAGTTCTTCAGTTCTCAGCCTGCTTTACGCCCTCCTCCCGCGGCATCTCCTTCTCTTCCTCTTCTCCTCTTCTTCATCGCATCGCATCGCCTTCTTGCGCCCTGTCTTCCGTTTATTATATTCTTCCACTTCCAATCCACCTGCCTGCCTTGCCTTCCTACGCTACGCCATCGTGCCATCCTGCCCGTCATCCTTCACGTTCGGCTTCTCGGATCGGCTTCTTCCATTTGGCATCACCGCACCCCCGCTCCAGTACGGTACCTCGCTTTCCCAATATAGCTCTCGCGCCTTTCCCAGTATAGCTATCCAACTGCCGTTCCATCTTTCTGATCGCCCGAACCCCATCATCATCATTGCACCCTCCCTTTCCATTTTCCATTTTTCACGCCGCCGGTTGGTTCGTCGCTGCCGCAGCTGTCAACCTCTGTCAACCTTTCAACGGTTTCTCCTTTGACTTTTAATTTACCTTTCCATTTATCCCTGTCTAACCTAACTACCTCGGCCTTCTATTCTTACCTTCCTATTCTTACTGCATACCTTCCTCTTTCGTGCAACGACTGCAATGCCGCGGGTTGGGCTATACCATCTCCCATTCCCCGTCCGTTCGTTCGAGATGATCGCCTGGACTGAGTACTGATTGCTGACGGTCTCCCTCTCCCTCTTTTTTCATCCGCTCCCTTCCCGCCTCGTTGTCCGTTGGTCCCTCCTCTCACCCCGTGCCTCTCACGGCATCTGCCTCGCCCCCTCCTACGGCATCTCGACGCCCTCTCCGGCATCTCCACAACCTCTCCGGCATCTCCGGCATCTCGACATCACAGGTTCTCCGTCCCACACGACCGTCTCTTCCTAGACGCCCTCGAGCGCGACCTCAAACGTGAAAAGATGGGTCTCGAACCCACCACCGTCGTCACCTCCGAGCCCGCCATCTCCTTCACCTATGATCCCAAACGGAGTCTTTATGAACAGTTTAGTAAAGCCCAAGGACGGGCGGAGGGAGAAGGCGATTTGGAGGCGGCGGTTAGGAGGGCGAATGAGGCTTCTGCGAGTGGTGCGGGTGGTGCGTCGTCCGGGAACGAGGAGGGTGGGAATGGGAATGAGGAGGGCGGGAATGAGGAGGGCGGGAGCAGCTCGTCGTCGGGCGAGGACGCGGACGCGCCTACGAGGGCTTCGTCGATGAAACCTTCTGCCTCCTCGAATTCGACTCCGGGACCGAAACCGAACCCTGCCTTCCTCTCTATGTTTTCCCTCTTCGAAGGCTCACCATCCTACAAGACCCGTCGACGACGCCAGCCCAAGACCGCCCGTAAACCGGACGGGTACGACGGCCGTGGGAGCGTCGCGGGGGATGGTGGCCCGAATTCGTTGAGGGGCAGCCCGATGGACGATAGGCAGTTCGCGCCGAGCGTGGGGCATAAACTGGGCGCGGGGTTGAATGCGCCGGATATGTTTTTGGCGCAGGCGCAAGGGAGGGATCAGGGGGGAGTGAAGATGGAGCCGAGGGTGCCGATGTTGCATCCTGCTATGGGCAATCTCGGAGGCGTTGGGGGTGTAGGTGTGGGTGTGGGTGTGGATAGGTCGATGTTTAGTGCGTCGCCGGGACCGCAGAGACAGAATACGTTCCCGATGTATAACCCGATGGGGGGTTCGCTCCAGCATCAGCATCCCCAGCAACAACAACACCAGAGCGGACTATCGAGACACGCTACGCTCCCCTCCACCCAGTCTTCCATGATGCCTTCGTCCGACTCTACCGCTTCGTACGACATGTCCGGGATGGTCGGTCTCGACTCTTCCGTGCTCTCCGATCCCTCCTCTGATCCTTCTTCGCTCGCCGGCGGAATGGTAGGCGTGGGCATGGGCGGCATGAAAGAAAAGACGTTCTGCTGCCCGCTCTTCTCCTGCGGCCGGCTCTTCAAGCGCCAAGAACACCTGAAAAGACACCTCCGCACACACACGATGGAACGTCCGTTCGAATGCCATAAATGCCGCAAACGCTTTTCGAGATCAGATAATCTGAACCAACATATGCGTATCCATGCGCGCGCGGAACAGGGCGAGGTCAATTTCGTCGCGATGTATGGTTCCAACTCTGATCTCGGCGGCGGTGGTGCGTTGGGTTTGATGGGAATGGGAGGCGAGGTGGACGAGCTTGCGGAAGATGAGGATGGGATGGATTTCGAGGCGTATGTGCAGGGGTATACGATGGGTATCCCGTTGGCGGCGAGTATGATGGGTACGTTGGATGCGAGGCAGCAGCAGGAGACGGCGGCGATGCTTGCGGCGTCGAACGCGCAGGCTCAACAGGCCGCGGGCGATTATTCAACCACCAGCACCACCAACACCAACACCACCAACACCACCAACACCAATGATCCTATAGCGCTCTCGGACGTGTATTTTGGAAACTCGGACGCGGGGGCGCAGTATGCGAACGTTCCTGTCCCTGGTGCTGATGATGGTGGTTCGCAATCGCAATCGCAATCGCATGGAGGTTCGCCTTGGGCGTCGCAGAGCACGCTTTCGCCCCATCCTCATCCCGGTCCGTTACCCAGTCCTGCGTTCTCGACGATCAGCGCGCCTGGCGGTTCCTCTCAGCCACTCTCTCAGTCGAGACATGGTGCTATGTCGCGTTCGAACACGAATGGGAGCGCATCTGCTACGACGGGTCATTTCCCTCATTACTCCCATTCGCACTCCCATTCACACTCGAACTCGTCGCAATACGCGTCCATGTCCGCCCCGTCGAACAAGCTCACGTTCGACCATAGCTCGCTTTACCCGCCTGGAATAGGGATGGACTCGAACTCGAATGCTCTGTCGCTCTCGTCTGCGGGAGGGCCGGTGAGGTATAGAAGTGCGACGCCGTCGAGTGGGAAACATTCGGAGATTAGGAGGCCGATGACGGCGACGAGCTTCGATTATGCTTCTGCCTCTGCGTCGAATGGATCGCCTGCGCCTGGGTCGTCGCATTCGCTTTCGAGGGGCGGGTCGTTGGGTCAGGCGAGTGGGACGAGTGGGAGGGGATATCATCCGTATGCGAGATCACAGAGCGCGAGGTCGAGTCCGACGGGGTATACGATTCCGCTTGAGGCCCAAGCCCAACAACATGACCAGCAGCAACAACAACAACAACAACAGCAGCAGCAGGAGTTCCATGCGGCGAGTCTGGGCATGATGGGCCTTGGGGAGTATGCTGGTGCGACAGGAAGCGCGAGTGGGCTGTATGTGACGGCGGATTCGCCGGGGGAGTATGGGTCTGGGTCGCAAGGTGGCAGTGGTGGGGCGAGCAATGCGCCGTCGCCGTTTGGCGTGGGGTTCCAGACGCAACAGCAGCAGCAGCAGCAGCAGGGCCAGGGAGAGGAGGTGTTCGCGTATGGGGGAGGGGCCCAGGGGGATGCGGCGGGGTCGTATTATGCGATGAATTCGTCGTCGTGAGTGAGGATCGTCGACACACAACACATGCATGCGAGGAGCAGGGTTGGAAATCTAGGTTAAAATTCTCAAAATATAATTCGGAGCGAATTTTCGAAAGTATCAGTTTTTTTTCTTTTTGTTTTTGTTCTCTATCTGATCTCGACCTCTACCTCCTACCTGCTTTTTCCATTTGTTTCTTTTTGTGTTTTCTCTTGTTCAACCACCCGCTGCTCTCCAGTCATCTATGTATTTGATCTTGCTTGTCTCCATCTTTCTCTCGTGCTCGATTCGTTCGATATATCCACCGTTTAATCGTTCGTTTTTACCCCCTTGCCTGCGCCTGCTTCGTTTTGCTTCGTTTTTGGTCTTCGTTCTTCGGCTTTGGTCAGGCTTGTTGGGATTTGCTTTACTCTTGATCGCTTGCTTAATCATCTCACTTTTCGTCTTGTCCCGTCGTTGTCTTGTTTTGCAAAGCTCTTATCTATTGAATACTTACCTTCCTCCGCGCAAGGTCGCCTTTCTTCTTCCTAGTCTTTTCTTCGCATTTCTTTATTCATCGGAACACCAAGCATCAATTCCTTTTTTCGTACTTTCGAACTCGAACTCGTTCGAGACTTATTACTACCGTCCCGTCAAATCTAATCGCAAATTCTTTGTTCTGTTCTGTTCTTCGCACCCTTTTCGTTACCTTCTCGACATAATCCGATTTCTCTTAATCATTTCGAGGCTCCTTTCTGCCCTGTCGCCGTCGTCGTCGGTCTTCTCCTTCTCCTTCGGCAATCACTTATCACCTGTTGGCTGGGTGGCTGGCTTCTGGGACGCACCCCCTTACCCCTTCCTCCTACTGTATCCCCTTTTGATCTCGTCGTCAGTGTTCGATTTTCGTTCCGAGTTTGTGGTCACTTCGTTTCGCTGTTCTTTCGTTCTTGCTCTTTTCGTTCTTGGTCTAACACTTCACATGTTTTATTCATAGCTCGCTGCTTCGCCTGCTTGTCTTTTATAATCCTGCCCTGCTTACAATACCTTCCCCTCCTAGTTTACCCAATCTCCATCTCGCGACGTGCATGCTCCGAGTCCCCCACCCCACCCCATTCCCACCGTCACCGTTCGGCACCTCGTACCGCGACGTCTTGTTCCGTTCCAACCATCACCTAGTCACTCGGCTTCGCTTCTCCTTCTCCTTTCTCTCAGCCTCCTTCCTGTTCCTTCCATCTAATCATCACGACACCTCGGACTTTGTTGAATAATTCTTTCTCCTCTCTACTCCGCCTGCTTTGACCTTGACCATGTAGCTGTATGTACATACTCTATCTCGATTCCCTACTATCTCCTTTTCACCCTCAGGCCTCATTGCATGCCAGCACATGTCTATATATCTAATACTTTGTCTCTCAACCTCTCAGCCCCTCAGCCTTTCAGCCTCTTCCCCAAAAAAATCCGAACATTAACGTCTACTAATAAACGTCTTTTCTTTTCGAATTACTACGCATACACGAACGCCCCTATACGTACCGTACATAATTAACTGTAAGCTTTCCTGCATAGTCCATAGTCTACACCGATTATGCCGCCCCGCCCTTGAATAATGATAATGCTATGCGATCATTCATGCCCCTTTTGGTTCTTCGTAGAATGCAGCGCAGCCATATGCATATGCATACGAACATCGACTCGGAGTCCTACTGGCGACGATCGACCCCGAGTTGACCTGAGACCAAGGACCGGAGTGATTGAAGAGACGATAAGTGGTTAGTGAGTATCTAGCGACCGCAGACGACGCCGATGAGACCGCCGGTAAGGTCGTGGCCAGCTCGGCGCTCTGCTTTGAAGGGACTCAGAAGCAACACGGTGTAGGCTTCGGTTAGGGAATTCAGATTGATTCGGGCGCTCATTTGGCTGCTCCATCGTGCTGATGGACTACGGCGACGCCACTGGCCACCCGAGGGTTGCACTGCCCTGCGGTGACTTTGAGTATGGCAGCGTGTGCCACGTCAGAGCCCGGCCGGTCCCTTCTTGCCCGAAAGAGAACAAAGGATTGTCTCGAACGGAGGTGAGGGCGCGATCGTTCTCGATTCGCTCCTGTGTCGACGGGATTTTCATTTTTGATCAGTTGCAGGGACGATCCTTTCATACTTCAATGGAGAGCTGCACATGGCATGCATGATGATCACAGAACAGAATAAAAACAGAAGAGATACGTACGGAACAACACCTAGTTCGGTGCTAGGACCAGGCTACATAGGAGCTGTCAATGGGGTCGATTTCGTAACCGTACCGCCGGCACGCGGGTACATCGACGAGCCATTTGGACTCGACTGCATATTCCGATCAAAGCGAGCTCGGGCTTTGAGCCATACGATACGTACGTGCCTGCCTTCGATGACGAAAAATTTATGAGCACGAGCGCTACCGTCGAGCCCGAGCATCAAAGCGGAGAGCACCGCCTGCAGGGTCGCAAGGCCGAATCTATTGAGATATCGACAGACCCGGTTCTCAATTGCAACCACGCGAAGCTCGAGAGTGAATGTGGAGTAATTTGTAGTGTGAGATCTGATGGGAGGCAAGAAGGAAGGGTTAACGGAAAGAAAGCACGTTTTTGGATCGGCGAAGTGAGGTGAGAGAGGTGCTCGGTCAATTGCATACTGCGAGCCTGCTTGTGGGTTTCACGAAGTGCCCCATGGGTGTGTCACTGTGTTGATGTCTAAGGGTCTGCAGAGGTGCCAGTGCTGGTCTAGTGTTATTCGCCGCTTGTTGCCTGTTGCTGCAGTTAGTAAGGAGTAGGTGGGATCGGGGAAAAGAGAAGCCCGGGGGGGGAACGCAAACATACTAGTGTTTGACATCGTTTTGCCGCCCGTGAGTTCATGTCTTCATGAGCTATTGGTGTTTGGCTTTTGGACGCCCTCGCGGGACTCGCCGTCTGCAAGGCGAGGGGCCAGGTGGTTGCCGTAGGTGTCACAATCACCCAAGAACTTGTGACACTTCACGTCGCCGAAAACCGCCCCGTTCCACAGAACGTCATCGACCACCTGGAGGACATCGTGTGTCGCAAGGACCCCCGAAAACCCCCTCAGAGGTCTGTTCCGCCCTCTGATCTTGGGCCCCGCGTAGTCGCCGGCTCTGTGAGCTGCCCTCGTCCCCGCGCTCGGAACATACCTGTGTCCCAGGTCGTTTTGGGCCCCGCGTCTTGGAATATACATCGAAAAATCCTCATAAATAGTGAATTTATTCGAGCACCGCTGGTTTCATTAGGTGAGCTTGAAAATCTTCAACTTAACCTCAACTTAACCTCACCTAACCTCAACTTAACCTCAACTTACCCTAACCTAGCCTAATCAAGTCTGTCACAGTCTCGTATCGCTGATTCCGAGCCATACCGGTTCGAACGAGCAGTTTTCGGCTGCAGGAAAAGCTAGGTTGCAAAAAATTTAGGTCCGGACTAGGTCAGTTTATGGTGAGGTTAGGTTATGTTGAGGTTAGGGTGAGGTCAAGATCGAGCTTGGGGTCGCCTTCGTCCCCGCGACGGGAACAGACCTCGGCTGAAACCACTCTCGTCCCCGCGAAAAAATCATACATCTGGCCAGAATTTCCCGTCCCCGTCCCCGCGAAAATTTCGGACCGCGGCGCTGACGCGCCGCCTTCGTCCCCGCGCAAAAATCAGACCTCATAGGGAGTTTTCGGGGGTCCTGTGTCGCATCAAGGAGATCCGTTCGCTTACACCCCGCATACCGGACTCTCCTCCATACGTTGAGGACCCCGTTCTTTCCGAAAAGCTCGATGATCTGGAGGAGCGGATGATCAAGTATGCGTGGCCTAAACTCAGGCAACGCTTCCACAAGCGAGACGACGACTTCAACAAGCTCCTTCGAGACGTCGTCTACGAGGACGGCAACGTACACGCCGAGGCGGACCGCAGCAACCCGCCCGATGATCACACCCTCGCAGTTCGTCAGCGTCTCCTCGAGGATTTGCGAAACTCAGATACGCGCGAAAAGCTCACCAAACTTGCGGAGGCGTTGAACTTGATGAAGGTTCTCCGGAAGGTCGTGACGCCGACACAAAGGGTCACGGTACCTGTGCGGGTAGCGATGCACCTTCTGAAGACATTATACGACGAAGGTGTCGTCGACGTGTTGAACCTGTGCACGCTTTACCTTAGCCGTAAGGATTTCACCGATATGGTCACCCGATACCGCAATGCTCATTTGTCTTTGGTAGGTCCCAGCTACGACTTGGCGCGTTGGATCAATAAACTTATCACTCCGCACCGTAACTTCACCTCCGTGTCTCGACTCGCCATGTCGACTTCTCTCGCATCGCTTATCGACTCAAAGGTCGAGGTCGTTGCCGTCGATCCCCAACCGCCCGTCTCCATCTCTGTCAACATCACACAGGATACGATTCGGCAAGCTGCACAGGAGTCCGGGTGGAAGAAAGATGAGGAGAAGAATAGCACGGGGAAGTCGATCGGTGATGTCGTCTTGGAACAGGTCTTCCTCGACCTTCCAAACAACCTTCGGTTGCCGAGACAGGGTACGCGGACTTCACTCTCTTCCTTACTTTTCCTTGTAGTGAGTCTGGAGTCCTCACTATCGGATTAGATGTGCATCCTACGCAGATACAGCCCAAGTATGAGTCTGTATACTCTCACTGTGAGTGTACGCTCCTTGCGAGCCTCCACGGACAGGCCGGCCTCTACGCGTACTTCGGTGTCTCGAAACTGTCATGCGCTCTGTGTGGCGAGTGTTTTGCGGCGTACAGGTCAGTGACGAAGTTGAAGATCAACACTCGCGGCTCCAACAGTCAACTCATCGCCCCATGGGTGTGCCCTAAGTTCTCTGAGAAGAACATTGAGATGCAGGGGAGGATGAGGGCATCAATCCTTCAAAAGATCTCCAACGGCCTGGAGGCCCTGCAGTCTGCAAAGAAGGCTCGGCAGAGATTTCAGAGGTCGGTGGCCTCCGATGACAACTATGTTGAACCGGAGATAAAGGATGACGAATGTATGTTGTCTCGTATGCTTTCGTCGCTGTGTCAATCTTTGATATGTTTTGCAGTGACCCTCGCCAACCTAATAATGGAGGAAGTCATGAATGCGTAGGAGCAGTCTGGTGTCTGAAAATTGCAATTAGCGCAACACCTTTTCTTCTTCTCATTGTTCTTTCCCTGATTGATGGTCACTTTTGTTTGTGAGTAGGGCTGCAATGGATGGTGTCGTGCATGAGCCTGAGGGTCCTGTATTGTAGTGCTTTGATCTCGTCGTTCGACACCGACCGATCATTGTTCTCATTGTTGATTCTTTTTTGGCAAGGCTCTGTGGACTCGTACGACCCGGATCCCATTAAAGACGGTCTTGATCAGACTGACGGTTCAGTCCACTCCCGGTTTACTTGCCTGTGATGCGTGCACTAAAGGGTTCTATGAGATGAAAGCTCCAATACGAATACGAATCGTTGCTGATGAAGACGTCTTTTTGACGTTTGTGGGTGCACATATGTCCACATGTATGTAGCTGCAAAATGCGTGCTGCGATGATATGAGCTCGATGGATCAGTATCAGAACATCATCATGGCTGTGGTATGTGACGGCGTGGGTGTGGCACCATGGTGAGTTCCAGTTTGAAAGCATTGTTATGCCCGAACTCTTCGTTCGTCTGTTCCGCTCTGCACGCGAGACTGACGGTTGTCACCAAATCTTCTCACTCTTTCTGATTTGGACATACAACCCAGCAGATGCGCCCAATGTCCGTGACCTGGCCTTTGTGGTCGAAATAAGCACAGTTAATATCCTCACAAAACATATCTCAGCTTCTCTTGTGCCACGACGACGGCCAAACGATGGCCCTGATTCATTGCATACGCATGAGCGGAATCTGCCAACGGCCCTTTAATCATGTGTGCCTAGGTTTCGTTAGTGTTAACACGGCTTACATTCTGCTCCGGCACAATCCAATGGGATTTGCCTCTGAGCGCAAAGAACAATATCATGCACTGTAATTACGCCAGAGTCCGACGTCCTGGATTTCTTACCATATGCATCTAACAGTAATAATCATGTTCAAAATATAACATGTGAACTCACAATCGCTTCTCTATTGATCCTACAACAATTCCTCGGCAGATCCTAGACCCCCACCATCATCGTTCTTTTCTAAAGCCCTTCTTCCATCTCGTACATTCGCCCTGACCCCGACTTCTAAGGCTTAGAGCAAACGGACCAATTGGTCCGACTCCTACGCCCGTTTATTGTAGCATTAGAGCACACAGGACAAGCCGGGAGGCTCTCATTCCTGACCATCCCACACATATCCCGAGAACACGTTCAACCACCACCTCAACTCCCCACCGCCACCGCCACCTGTCCCACCACCAGCTGCGGTAGGGGAGACGCCAATTTTCCCTTGCACTTCGTCTCTACAGAATTTCCCATCAAGCTCTGCTTCGCCAATCATCTCCGTCACCAAACCTACAGGTACATTCTCAGCCCAGGCGACCTCCAGGGACGTGCGTGGTCCTTTCTCCGTGATCATGGAGGACAGACGCTCGATGAATATGGAGGGCGAGTAGGTTGGGGTGTGGAGGACGCTGAGACCGGTGGAGTGGAAGGTCCGCATGTGGATGGATGGGGTTGTATGTTGAGGAAGGTGAGGAATGACCTGGAGAAAAGTCGACGGTGGCACGAGAGCTATGTATGTAGCGTAATATTTCCAAACAACGAAGTACCGGTACGATAAGATTCAAGAAGAGTCAGCGCTGAACGATCATAGGTATGGAGATGGATAAAATTTGCCGTACCGATACCGCGAGCACGATTCCAGCTTCCCCATACTTCGTCGAGACCGATGATTCCTCTCTCGCCCATGATACCCGTCGCGCCACCTTTACCTCCGGTACCTTGCAAAACGCCAGAGAGCTCCCTCGCCAATTCCTCGTGCCATCTCTTTTCATCGCGAATCATGTCGAGCGTGACTGGTGTATTCTGCATTTGCAAGCCTAGCTGAGCGAGTGAAGAGCGAATGAATGTAGCCTCTTCTGGCTCCGTGGACGGTATTAGCGTTGCCGACGAGGAGAAGGAGGTCGTTTGCTCAGGTGAGATCCCATCCGTCGTAGACGTGGAGGATAGTGCAGATGAAGAATATGGGTTCGAGGCGAGTGATGATGTGGCTGTCAGTCTCTCGTTAAGGTCGCCGGCCAATTTGACCATGTCGCGGGCCTTGATCATCAACGCTTCTAAATCCTGCAGTGCGTCGTCCATGTCGGTCTGGCGAGCCTTGGCGGATGTCTCGACCGTACGGAGTAGACCATCTGAGAAATTCCCCGAAACGACGAGTCAGGATCTCTGCTAGCATCAGAGGAAATGATCCACGTACGGATTCCCGAGCGTTCTGCCCCATTCGTACTCGTCGATGCCGCGCCAGCGTCTTTCGTCTGAAAACGAGCCAAAGGATCTTAACGATTTATATTATTATTCAAGCGAAGTGATCAGCACAAACCTCCCACGCTTTCCCCAGCAGACTGCGCTTCAGGACCGCGTATAGAACCTTGTCTCCTCCTTTCCTAAAGCTCAACTTTAACATCTTACTATCTTCACCCTCCTGCAACTGCCCTGCTGGAGATACAGGTCTCGACACAGGGGCGGACTTCAGGAAGAGACTGGAACCAGGCACCAACACTGTTTTCGGCAGTGCGGTGCCACAGATCTCGCATTCTCGCAAAGACGGGTGATTGAGGAAAGTGCAGGCTGGGCAGGCGATCTCGCTGGTCGCGGGCGCAGACACTGGCGCAGGTGTGGGTGTGGGAGAGACGGGGACAGAAGCAGAATGGAGGAGAGTGGCGGCGACAGAAAAAGGACGTGGGCTTGCTGCCGCAGAAACGCCCCCTGACGTTGTATTGGACGGAATTGGAGAGGATGCGGAGACGGAGGCGGAGAAAGAGCTTGATGATTTAGCGCGAGGAACACCACAGAGTGTACATTTGGCCGTGGTTGGGCTCTGGCCAGGAGGATTGCGAAAATTGCAGACTTCACAGATCCAGCTGTCTCCTGCAAAACCGGAGTCGATGATGGGGTCTGTTCTAGAAGCGTCCGGAGGGCTGATGTGGAGTGTGACCTTCGACGAAGAGGTAAAGAGCCCTGCATAGTATTCGGTTCGAGACACCAGGGAGAGATCAAAGGCAAAAGACCGGGAGTGAGGTTTCAGGGCATCGATGTAGAATATGCGATGGCTTGTAACGTATACTGTGCCGTTCTGGTGATTCGGAGATTTCTGGGTGCTAAGAAGTCATTATTGAGGATGACGGAAAAGGTACACCGAGAGACAAGGAAAGAGACACAAATGGAATTTGTAAAGTTCTAGTGAGGAGGCCAGGAACATTGATGCGCTGATGCCTGCGATGCTTTTTTCTGGTAAAAGCGAAAGATGTGCAGCGCCCAACTTTATGATAGACAAGAAATAGACGGTATCCGTGACGAAAGAGGGATACTGCACGACGTCCCGTGCCTGCAGCATCAAGCCGTAACATTCAGGACAGCACGGGGCGCTTTGGGGGATTTGGACATAAGGCAAAGAATGATGCCGACATAGTGGCATCAGGGACTTCCGCTGGGAAGAATCAAGTACACCAGCACAGAGGCCAGACTCGAGAAGAGTGAAGGCAAAGGGATAGGAAGAAGATATATTGAGATGCACTTACCCGTCATAGATGCCTACACCGTCTTGACTAGCAAGACCGTCCTCATCATCGTAGAGCAAAGCGGGAACAGGTATAGTACCGTCGACAGGCCTTGTATACCTTTGAATACTCATCGGGGTCGTGGTGCGCGATGTTAGAACACGGAACCAATGTATAAGGTCCGGTAGGGAGAGTGGCACAGATGCGTGCGCCCAGTGGATTGACGCCTGGGAGTAAGAGTTGGATTGCAGCCGTGTCAAGCGATAAATAGTTGAAAGTAATTCGGGTAGGAGTATTTGGGCACCATACCTATGAGCCTCCTTCACAGGAACGAATGTTGTCGTCCAATAGAAAGGATGAGTGAACGGTAAAACGGGTCGCTCGAAGTTCCCCACAGGCCCCACTATTGATGTGGAATTTAGGAGACCTCCAGTGATATTCTCAACGCCAAGGAAGCGTCCACTACAACTGTGTACACCAACAAAATAAGCAAGGTTATCGCAGTCAATAATGCAAGAGGGAGATGGCGGTCGATGAATAAGATGTTGACCAACGGAGCGGCCGTCTTTGAGCTGTGTGGCACAATTGACGTAAACTTGCATTGTGGCACCAAACACACCTTCCTCTTGACCACCATCACCGCCGCGAACACTATCACGAGGCATGGTCTCTTCTTGCTCCTGACAATACGGGATGCTCGACATATTTCTCGTGTAAAACTCAATACAATCAATTCTTCGCTTGACCACGAAAATAAGCAATCATGACTGCCAACATTTTGAGCGGTACTTCTTTCTGTAGGCTTGGGACTTTCCCAACACACGCCCTCCCCGCCGATGCATCGTCTTTCCTATGTTAAATCAACGGTCCATCTCTAACCTCTGTTTTATTGCAGCAAATCTCGACCAATCAGATGCCCGGCCTTTCTTGCTCCCACTTTAGCCGAGGAAAGGGTATGACTGGCAAGCGCTCTCACCGAGACTTTTGCGAGATCGTAAATAGCCTTGACCGGAACCACGAACTTGTGCGTGGGCATTCTCCGTCCTCCTTTCGTCGGCCGTGTCCAGCATGGGTCTTTTAAAGTTCCTGCCCCACCATTCCACATCGTTTCCTCTTCTCCCACCGTCTCCTCCTGCTTCTCCCCGCTGGCTTTCTTACCAGACCGTCTGTCGTCCTCCACAAGCGATCGTCGCTCTTTCGCTGCTGCATTTCTCTGCTCCTGACGATGAGGTATGCTCAGGACGCACCTCTATAAGTATTCGATAAATCAGCCGTTCCTGTTTGCTGACAGACGTGTGAACACTCGCAGGCAATCCTCTTCACGCAATGCATTTCTTGTTCTCTTCACTTTCTTGTGGTCGACTCTCTCTCCGGTGACAATGGCGGGACAGGTCAACGTTACTGTCGATGATTCAGATTTCTCGATAAATTACCAACCTCCAGCGATGTGGTGGGCCAGCACAAACTCGACGGCTTGTTCATACTGTCTCACGCCTTTGAACTCGAGCTCGGCATTCCAGAGCACTTGGCACCACGGTCTCCACATCATACCCGTCACTGATAGCGATGATACACCACCACCACCACCACCACCACCACCTCCCCCTCCATCGAGCGACGATGATGACGACGACGACGGTGATGACGGCGATGACGGCGATAGTGATAGTGGTAAGGGAAAGGGTAAGGGAGGGAAATCGAGAAGAGAGGAAACTGCGCGAGTTGTCTCTATATTCACTCGAGTGGAGGACGTAAACACAAGGGGCGAAGTTGAATATCTCGAGGACCCCAGCTCTATATCTAGCCCTTTCGACGTGCAAAAATTCGACGCCGACGATCCCCAATTTATTGACTTGCCCGTCTTCGTTGAACTCAACTTTACCGGTTAATAAATTATTTTTATTCACTGCGAGACTTGACGTACTGACATGTTTCAATACACAGGATCCGCTATTTATCTCTATTGTCTTCTCCCATTAGGCCTCCCTCCCAACAGCAACAGCACTCCGACTCTCACAAATCTTACCTATACTCTCGATGATCAGCCTTCAGGCAACTTCTTCCACGACGGCACGGCGTCACAATCTGGCCAGATGATGCCAAACTCTACCGTCTTCTCGATGACTGGTCTATCGCAATCACCACACACGTTGCGAGTGGATATTGGTCCAGATTCGGTCATGCTCTTCGACTACTTCGTGGTCACCCAATCGGATGGGAACGACGCAGGTTCTTCCATCGGCGCACCTTCTACGGCGACTCAGCCAACGCCAAGCCCTTCTGAACCTACCGAAGCCAGAGCGTAAGTTCTTTCAACGCACTTTCTTCGGTGTTGTATTCTCTCGTCTGACTCTATTCTCTATTCATTCGTCATCGAACTCCAACCATCGCTTCGTCTTAATTTCATGCGTCTTCTATCACCAACCAATCGTCTTTCTATCTCCCCAGCGCCTCCTCCAAACCAAAGAACGTCGCCACTTTCGGTGGTGCCGTTGGTGGTTCTGTCGGCGTCCTTTGCGTCATCGCTATCTGCCTCGCCGCGAGTCTCATCCGCCGCCGACAACGAGCCGCAAAGCGTGATCGACAACGGCGCGCTCGTGCAAGTTATGCTTCATCTGATGCCGAGTCGTACCATAGCGGCAGTGGAGGTAACGCATTACCCGACGAGGGCCCGCAGATGCAAGGACCCAGTGGTTTCGTGCCGAGATATTTCCCCGGGACGGTACCCGCTCCTCCACCTCCCTATGCAGCAGCTGAACCACGACCGTTTTCTCCGTCGGAGACGACACCACTTTCCTATGATGACATATCGCCACACCTGGACGGAGATGAGCCATACGAGGACGTACCTCCGTCATTTGTTGTGGCGATTGCTTCACCAGAGCCTCCTTTGCTGGCGGTACGTTTCAAGCATAGTTCTTGTTCACCGACATGTGACTAGAGCTTACACTGCTATCCCGTGCATGCAGAATATCGTTCGGAGAAATATAGTCCGAAGTCTGACCTCGACAGAGGAGTTGGGGCAGCAAGAAACGGAGGAGGGTGCTTTGCCGAGGCAAGATGAGCAGGAGACTGGCGAGATGCAAATTCTGCCACCACCGCTCACACCCCTACCACGGTCACGGCCGCCTAGTTTCCGCACGACAGAGGGCTCGCTTGCTCCTCGTCCTAATCAACCGGATCCGCTCGATAATGTGAACATCCTTGAGACTGCCGGGGACGAGGAGGAATACGATATCAACGGCAACATCATTCTTCGTCGGTGATAGTTCGCAGGTTCGTGCCACTTGGACTTTCTTCCTTTTTGTTTCTCTATTTCTACAGTACTATGTTATTTCGTTCGGGCGAGACGTGTATCTTCTCTACCTGAATATACCACTCCTTCGCCACCATTTGTCTGTGACGACCCAGCCCTCCTAATCGACGGACTGGTACCTATCCCGCGCTCGTACGGACTTTCCACTCCACCTTTGCGCCCTTTTTGCCCGTCCTTGTTCGCTCATCAGCCTCCGTACCTCATGCTCCTGCCGCTTTCCCTCTCCTCTTCATGATACCACTGTCATTTCTCTCTCCTTTCCCTGGTCACTCGCTTTCATCCTCTTCCTTGGAGCCGGAACCCTGTCCTTCCCACAGTATACTCGGTATATTACAGGGTTTTAAGGTTGACTCCCACGCCCCGCACAATCCCGCTCTCATGCTAGCTCTTCATTCCCATACCCCAATCTATTCTCGCTTTTACCCCGTTTTTCTTTCTCTCTCGTCTCGCTTGTCTTATGTTTTTATTCCCGAAACTGACGGGATGATCGTTCTTCTCCCTTTACCCAGAGCATTCTAGGTAGATTCAAGAGCGATTTCGAGAGCGAGGGTGGAGAAGATTCCATGGCAGTTGCAGCAGCCTCATCGTCATGAGTATTATGTTCAGTTTGTGACTTATTTTGCATTCATGTTCCATGTTCATGCTCGTGTCATACCTAGAGCGATTCGTCTTTCCGTCGGGTACTATTTCTAGGCCTCTCCGTGAGATCCGACTGTCTCTCGACCTGAACGCCCTCACCTTCGTCTCTCATCTTGTCCGGGGTAATCTCTGTATATATGCAGGTCCTGAGCCTCGATTTTCAACTCTCTTTCCACCGTGACTGTGCATACGCCCGCGCATACCTTGTCACTACATCGCTTGTTTGCTGAGTCCGAGTCTTCGAGTCAGGCTGTGAGGCTGTGGGCGCACGGGTACACTATCATCCCTACCTTGGCTTCGTGACTGCGTCTCGTGCGCCCTTCCCCGCGCGCCCTAATCCCTCCGTTACGGGTTTCGTGCACGGTCGTGGAGGCTCGTGTGGCGAAGGAGCGATTGACATACGTACAACCTCACTGGTACGTTGTGCGAGTTCCGCTTGCGTTGTGGCACTACGCTGCGCTATTTCACGACGGGAAGTCGGGTGGGGCGGGGACTCGCTCACGGTGGCGTGTGGGATTGTTCGTTGCGGACCTTCTTGAGGGCAGGTGATACAAGAGTGGCGTGGTATCAAGCTGAGGTAGAAGCTGCCCGTCATATTAGTCTCATGGTACTGTTTTTGGAGCGCGGTAGTTGGTGGATTATCTGAGTTGTAGACTGACACGGCGTGCCATTGGAGATGAGCATGATGGCTAAGAAGTCGTCAATTCGATAATAATAAGAGTTGCACGAAGCTCCTATCGATTTGAAGTTCTCTCCTACTCTGCCCTACGGTAGCTAAGGACGAAGTCACGGTTCCTCCAAAATATTAGGGCACGATCTTCGCCTGTTGAGCGTAACAAATCTCACCGAAAACGCGAAATATTAGGGAAGAGGAGAAGACTCTGTAGGACTTCGTATGTCGATGGCCTTTCAAGTTGCTCCGAGTTGCGAGTTGCTACACTAATTGGTCAAGTGGCACAAAAAACTTTCCGACTGAGAGAAGTCGCTGAGTGCAAAGTTGACGTTGATCGGTGGCATGTTGCAACAATATATTGTAACTAGGAAATGGTTATAGAGACCTCAAATACTCATTGAAACGCAATTCTCGCTGAGCACGGCTGAGAATGAAGAAGACAAAAGATATGGTCAAGATTATATTAGGTCACGCGTCATTCCCATCGGCTCTGACCGTCAAGCGAAAGGGAAAGCGTTTCGGAGGCTCGTACATGGGACCACTGTATGGGATACCGTTGTCTTCAAAACCACACATCAGTGAGAAGGTCCTCCTTCTTGGACTGAAGCTCGCGGACATATTCGATGATCTTCTCCAGTGGCTAGGGAGACTGTTCCAAGAAAGATATACGAAGCTCCGTGCGAGTATAGGTGCCATTACGCGTCATCTCCTCAACAACGGCCTTCCAGCGCTCTTCGCAGGTCGTGAGATGCATGACACAAACCAGAACCGAGTCCGGAAGATGCTGAGATAGGAGGTAGAGCGCAACTCTTTCCGCTTCGTCCCATGTTTTCACGGCAGCGAGTTCTGCTTGGGTAGCCGGGTTAGCAGTCGAGGGACGAGGAGACGAACCGTCGAAGTGAGCCCACTTGTTCTTTGCGTTAACGGCGGTGCGGAAACGCTCGAAGAAGATAGCCCAGATGATGCCATTAGGCTCAAGCTTCGGAACATTCGAGGGAAGAGTATCGGATGATGTGCTGGTGGTGGACATTATCATGATTATGCAGAGTCAAAAGGATTCGGAGATACGCAAGGTAAAGGCAGGGCCCAATAACCTGTAAAATGGACAAGTTTCTTGCACTAAAGGAGCCCGTCGAGGGTTAGAACTCAGACTTGGCACGAAACGGGCAAAGTCTATTCTATTCACCTAAAGGAACCCGACAAGGGTTAGAACTAAAGGTAAAGTAAGCAAAGGCTCGAAACGGACGATCATAAGGTATACAGCTCACCTCAGACCTGGCACGAAACGGGCAAAGTCTGAAGTGCGCGATACGAGGGTGCGCGAGTAAGTATAAGCAAGTATTGTACGACGAACAAGCGGACACAGCTCCGAGCTCTATCATAAGGAAGGATGTAGAACGCTAAACGTAAAAAACGTACGAAGCGCAGCTTGTGGTTCCAACACAGCTTACATCAAACGGGAAAAGGGAAGAACATAACCCCACACTTGCACATGTACCCGCGAGAGGCCAAGGGTGAAATGCTCCAAATGCCTCGAATACTTCGCTACGAGCCCATTAACCGCTCTTGGAGTGTCTCCAACGACGACCAAGTGCCAGGTACGACCCCTTCGAGCGTGGTCTTCGAGTTCTTTCCAGGTCCGTCGTAGGCCATCGTCGGGAGTACGATGGTCGTCTGCTATAGTCGTCTGCACGGCAAAGATGTTCCCCTCGGTATCGCCGAGAACGCCATCGATACCCGGAAAATTCATGACGGACGGCATCCAGTAGAAGGAGTCACGCGCACTGGTGCTCTTAAGCCCGGCCGCTGTGCCAGGGACGAGCTTGGGCGACGGTCGCATCTTCATCTGCAGTGCATCGGCTCTAAAGATATCAAGATCCACACCGGCTGTATACAGGTGTTTATGCACGCGAATTTCGAAACCCCAGGCGGCAGCGGTCCGTGTCAGAGAATTAGAACTGAACGCTTTGAAAAGGTCGAGGCATTTCTGGTTGGTAAATTCGGTGCAATGTGCTGCGAAGAGATTGTCGAGGAACTTCGTCGGGATGAAGGAGATAGCTCGTGACGAGGTGAGGGCCGTGTTGTCGTATGAGCGGCAAGGGCGGACGAACCTGACGCTAAAACCTTCGCTGCCTAGTACACCCTCGTTAGATGCGAAGAGGCTGACGAGCGATGGAGAAGAGCATAACTGGATTGCTGCTCCGTTGGCATCAGCTTCCAATTCTTCTTCGACTGTCCAGCCGCGTCCACAGGCGGCAGCAATCACGATGTCGATGATCGAGCGAGTAGATGGTCCCCACCTGGACACGAGGGGGAAAGTAGAAGATGGGTCCAAGCAAAACTCCTTTCTGTGGAGAGATCTCTTGAGCAAGGATATCCCAGGACGAGCATCGATTCGGCTTACAGGATGGCAGCAATCTCAAGTATCGTGGGCAGCTCTGAGTAGAGCCGCCCGCCCTCGGCCTGCTTCAACCATTCCTTCCATGTCGAGGGTTTCGGTGACGACGCCTGGATGACAAGCTTGGCGTCACTTTGGAAGCCTAAACACGGCTGGGAGACGTTGGAATTGCTGTCGGCCAGGGCCCAGCACTGGAGGATTCGCGGTTCGTCGAGATCAACCACAGAACGGGCCAAAGCGCCTTGTTCGTCGAAGAGGAAATAACGATGATCGTCGAATTGGACCGCCGTCGGAAGGCAGCGCTGAAGACGATAGAGAAGAAGGTATAGGAGGAATATGGTTTTTCCTAGAAAGGACAGGGAACAGAAGTGGACATTGGAGTTGAAGTGAAAATGACAATACTACGAACCGATCCCTGGGTGACCCGTCACGACGAACGCGTTTTTGAACTGACTATCGCTCTCAATTGCCATCCGAAGCAAGTCGTACTCAGGACGAACAATGAGAACACTCGCGTGTGACTTCTTCAAATGGAGGAGACGATAGATGGCATCCAAATCCTCATAGCAAGTGTAGTCGAAATGATCGTCAACTTGAACAGGGAAGTTAAAGACGTCGTCGGGATCGGTGTTGATGGGCAGGCCGATGTCGGCTATAGAAACTCTGCCTTCGTGGTGAGGCCACACATGACCCCAAGCTTTGTCATAGAACTGGTCGAGGGACAGAAAGGGAGCCATGATGAGTGCAGACTTCGGGATTGTCGAGTCGCAGACTCCAGAGAGAGCACCGACCTTAGGGGGGGTGCCGGCATATGCCGGCAGATCATGTGACGTCCTTTGTCCATTGACCTCCCGGGCCAGCCCGGGCCTCGCAGATTGCTCGCAGAACCAGCGCAGTACAAAGCGCGAATCTCGGACAAGTTACCTATTATAATACAGAAAAACGGCACCATTTCACGGAAACTACGCCCGAGGCCCAATGATCTTGCGCGTGTGTACATAGAGACTTGTCTCCCAAACAAAGATGCGGCTTGGCGTTCTTTGTACGGTAGCGGAACATGCGCAGTACTTATGAACAAACCTTCTGATTATTTGTGCCATATAGTGGTGGGACTCAGAAGTTAAGGAAGGGACATACATGCAAACGATGACATACACAAAAAGAGGACACTGATATCCTGAAGAGGCTGCGGTTACAACATACTAATGAGTACAAATCTAACGAAACTGTTGTGATATAGTCATGGAACATACAAACAAGCGAAAGAGAGAAGGGGCAGCGAAAAGAGACACGAAGGAGAGCAAAAAAATCAGATAGCATACATTGGCCTCACATCCAAAACCTCATCCTCGTCTTCTTCTGGCTCTCTCACCATCAATGGCATCGCTCTCGTTCTCGTCGGCTCAAACCTCGCATCAATCACCAAAGAATTTCTCGCACCGCCCCTCGAACCCATTGATCCCGAAAACTCTCGAGACACAGGTTTCCTATGAGATGCTCTTGACGCTTTCGAACCGGACCTATCCACTCCACCCGCGACCGTCATGTCACCCGGGCCCCTGCTCACTCGCTGAGACCCTGTCCTCGCAGTGGGCCTACTCGAATCCGTCCTCCTCATCGTATCTAGACCACCACCTCCCGGAGCAGTCGAAACCCTTTGTCGCGGTATAGTCGGGTTCGCTCCCACAGGCGACGGCCCAAAAGCAGCATGGTAATTATTCCACGGGTCCGCAGCGTTCGCGTTCGAGTTCATGTAGTTGGCGTGAGGTGAAGTAGAAGAGGATGTCCAAGCGACACTGGCGCTAAGAGGTCTCGGCGAACCGATCATCTCCTTGCCGATCCTACTCCCACCTTTCTTCCGACTGGTACTTGATCCCGACCTCGAGCCTACCGTATTGACGTTCCTCGTGCCATTCTCAGCCCGTTTCGAAGGAGGCTGTGGTGGCAGAGGAGCACTGGCTTGCGTTGAGGACGTCGCGTCGTCGAGTACGCAAGAGCCGCCTTTGGGAAACGTGAGATCCTTCATGAACGCGAGGAAGGAGCGTTTCTTCCGTAGACCCTTCGGCTTTGACTTCGGGAGCGTGTTCGTGGTCGTGGGATTCTTAACTTCGGCATTCGCACTACTGGAACTGGGCCCAGCATCGTTCGGATGACCATGAATAAGAGGAGCTGTGGGATGGGATTTCGACGAGGTGGCATCCAGCAGGTCCGAGTTCGGGAGTGGTGGGGGTGTGTGGCTCTTAGCAAGCATACGGCGTATGAATGACTGTTTATGTTTCACGGTCTTCCTTCTCCCTTCCTCTCCTCCCTCAACCGCTGTGTCAGGGCCTCGGCTTTCATCAACAGGCAATGGCGGCAAGGTCGGCGAAGTCAGCGTTGGAGACCTCGCGCGCGCCTGTGCCCTCGACCCCGATAGCCCGGGTGGAGGGAAGATTCTGCGTAGCAAAGGCGAACCTGGACGCTCCACCACACCGACGACATCGACCTCTCCCTCAACTCCTGCGCTAAGCTCCGACCCAGAAGCGTCGAACTTGGCAGCCTTGAATGACTTAAACGTAGGCGTAGGTGATTGCGATTGTGGCGACGATGCTCGGATTGGGATTGATAGGGGTAGCGAAAAACGAAACGCACCCGTCTTGGGGCTGGGACTGGAGTAGGGATGCGTTGGTGAGAAAGGCGTGGTGTCAATGAGGTTGCTCGTAGTAACAATGTCGGCGGAGATGGAGTCACTCGTGGCAGGGATGCTGGGCGCAGAGGTAAGAGTACCAGAACCGCTAAAGTCGGTGTTAGCTTTATGAGCAGGGTGCGTGCACTGGATTTGGTGTTCGGTGGGAACAAGGGGAACAGGGAAGGTCGAAGACACGTACGTCTTCTCATCATCGATCGAGTCTAACCAGCGAGCCTGACTTTGCGGTCTCGGTTCTTGTGCTGCCACTCCCGTCAATCCCGTCCCATCGATAGTGATGCCGAAGTCCACGTCGGTACCACGAGTAACAGGCGCTGCAACAGCGACTCCCGCTTCTTCGCCTCCTTCACCGCCAGAATTGCACGCGTTCTCATCATCACCGATGTCTGCCTCGCACGCCGAACCAGGACGAACTGACGGATGGCGAGCCACGGCACCTCCACACGCCTCACAAGCACACATCACGACTCCATCCCTCATAAAAAATGGATATACCTCGTCCACCTTCACCGCTTTGTCAAGGTCAAGCGACGCATACCCAAGTCCCTCCAAACCATCCGACTCCTTCGTCACTGTCCACCAATGTTCGGATCCAGTCGACGTCGAGCTACTGCTACTGCTAGTAGATTCCGAAGACGCTAGTTGATGATGATGACTAGAGTTAGGTGTTAGGCTGGGAACAGAAGCCGGTCTCGGTCTCGGTACGCGTCCTCTCGCATCCGTCATTGGGACGGCCAACATCTCGATATTCGGGAGCGAAGCTTGACGCGTCAGATTAGAAAGAGAACTTGACGTAGAGGAAGACACTGGTATCCATGTGGGCGTTGCGGACGATGCCTTTGTATGTTCGTGCGGGTAGGCTTCATACGTAGAAGTTGCAGTCCCATGGCAAGAATACGCAGACGAAGACGAGGCTGGAACGTAGCGTGTCGAATCGTCCTCGGGTCTCGTCACGACGATACTGGGCACCTCGACTCCGTTGAACATCGTCGACCGAGTCTGGCTCTGCATCCTGACGCGCATCCCGACGAAGACTCTATCCTCCCCTTCCTCCTCAACCATACATTCCTCGTCTCCTTCGAATTCGAACCCATCCCGGTAACTATAATAAACCTCCCGTGGCGGTGGCGTCAAAACTCGATCGAGCGGGTTCAGCGTGTCAAATGAGTCAGATGGGATCCCGAGTGAGGTATAGAACGACTGATGCAGCGTCATGTTGCCGTCCGTTGACATCGACAGGCCAGAGATACCCACTCCGACTTGAAAATCGTCGTCAGCATCTAACGGATGTTCCATAGCGTCCAGTTCCTTCGATACGGCCACCAGTTGAGCGAGTGCGTCAAATGTAGACTCCGATCGTGGAGGTGTTTTGCCCACTAGATCGTGACTAGCTATAGCCAAGGAAGAAGTAGTGGTCGTGCTAGATGAAGTAGATTCTTTGAATGCAGGGATCCCGTTCGAGAGATCGGCCTCCGAGATTGGGGATGTAGATGTGGCGGTAGAATGTGCTGATTGCCTAGTCTGCGTCGGAGGCTCTATGAGCGATGATGATGGCACGATGAAAAGCTCTCCGAGTCCTCCAAGAACCGAATCTGACAAGTCCTCCGACATACCACTGATCTCCTTCGAGACAGTATCAAGCTCGTCTATAGACCCCGAAGGCGCAGACAGCACCAGTTCATGGGCGTGATTGGGACTAGGCGGAGGGTAGTGAGTGTATGAGGTTGTGGTCGATAAATATGTGGTTGCCGAGGGCTGAAAGGTGTCGATGTTGGTGATGCGCCGTGCCGAAGAAGACTGTGGTAGAGCCAGCAAATCGAGAGATACACCGGTGTTAGTAGGTACCAGGGGCCATGGACTCGCTATGGAGGTCGAGGTCGAGGCGAGGGAGAGTTGCACGAGATGAGCTTCAGGATTATCAAAGTCAAATTGACGTTGAACCAATTCCTCTTCCTCATCTTCCTCTTCAGAAGAGGCATTCTGGTCCTGGTCCTGGTCGAGAGTCGCGTCGCATTCCGGCAGAAAAGAAGTCGACAGCTCTATGGGCGAGGTGAAGACTGGAATATCGAGCCCAAGAGGAGGAAGACATGAAAGGCTCGAGTGTGGTTGTTCGTCCTCGCCTGCAGCTGCAGTTGCAGCCGCGCTCATGATACCGTCAACCCACCCATCGTTCACCTGTCCCTGATGCCCCTCTGTCCTCGAGTCCGCCAAACCGACGTCGTAAAATGACGAGAAAGATGTCGGTAGCTGCTCATCGTGTGCCCGTGCCTGATCAAGAGACGTCCAGAGACCTGAATCTCTCCGCGCCTGCTGTCGAAACTGAGCATCAGCAACAGACTGCCCGACTCCAAGGAGATCAAGGTCGGCACTAGCAAAATCAGCAAAGAACGAAGCTTCCGAAAAGGTGTTCATAGCGTCCAGAGGCGAACAAGGCAGAACGAGGCCCAGGCTAGGAGGAGGCGAGCCGACCGTGAGATCGGTGTCCCCAAAAACACCAGACGCAGCAGCAGCAATATTACGGGGATGTGGCTGAATCTCAGCCGTCGTGCTCTCCAGCGCCCAAAAAGAACAGCCCGATCCGTCCTCCAAAGGATCCAAGTCAATCTCCGGAAGAACAAAACCAAAGTTCGGGCGAGTCGTACTCGGTGGAGGTGTCGGATATGCTGACGCCGTTTGTGCCTCGTCAGTGGGGGCAACTTTAGGCGAATCGTTACCGAATTCGACTTGAAGAGCAGCAAGATCAAAAGGGGGTGGAGATAGTGATCTGGCGCCACCACCACTGCTGACAAAAGATGTCGCTTTGCGTAGAAGGAGGGATGCTCGAGAGCGTGGGCGGGCAGGTGGGACAGGGGAATCGGGAGTGAGGGCGGGGGTGGGAACCGGTGTGGTAGTGTTTATGGTGGACGCCATGTTCCGAGTCCCAGTACGCGATGGATTGAACAATGGCAGTGATTCTGAAGCGTTGCTAAAAAGGTGGAGATGGTAGTCTGTATGTTGTAATGCTGAAGAGAAGCGTTCGACGAGTGGTGCTTGGGAACCCGGTAAGAAACCACTTTTGACGAGCACTGGCAATGAGTAGAACTCTAAGAATCTGCGAAGGATCAAGTCTATGTTAGTAAAGAAATAAACGAAGGTGAGTATGGGTTCTTGTAGCGAGCAAGGTTTAAACTGGTATCCTTACCTCACGAACTCAAGCCTCGTCGATGTTCAAGTAGAAGAGTTGTGGCGGGGTGTTGAGAAAGTGCGCCTGAAGTTTGAAATTCCCCACAACATGGCGGTGTTGACGCGTGTTGATTTTGTCGAAGACGCCACCGTTCGATTGTGGCCCTGTCTGTCCCTCTCCAGTCCTCAATATTTCTCCTAGCTTTTTGCATCAGCAATGACTGGACTCATACATACGATCTCTACATTTTTTTGGCGGAGACAGGATGCGAAATAATTCTAGCGCTCACCAGCGACGCCAAGTAAGTAACCTCTCTTCAAGTTCAGACTCGTAGTTACCGCGGAAGACGGACGTCAACAAGATCTTCAGGATCTTCTGAGTCATGACCTATGAGGGGACATCTACCGTATAGCGCTCTGGGTCCCGAACAAGAGTCAGGGTGGCTCAAAGAACATTTTTGAGTTCACCTTACACCACATTCGGTATCTGACACAGCAAACGGTCTACAACGCTGAGGGCTCTCTGGATACGAATTTAAGAGAATTACATGACTTGATCAATTGATACACATCGTCTGCGCCACTCCATGCCGAGCCGTATGCATGGCCACGGGCAGTGCATAATTCTGACACCATACACTAGAACGGCGATTCCCAGGCATAGTATCCTTTCTCAAGCCCATCCAGAATAGGCCTGAGCATGCTCTTATGTGCTTGTCGAAGAGCAGTAGGTGTCATCATGCTTTTTGCTGTCATCTTGAAGTCGATGATGCGCCAGCCGTGGGTGCGGTGAGTGAACGGCGAGGAGATACTCGCAAGGCCAGGAGGGTGTTGCGGCGCTTCTAGAATGTTTGCATGTCGGATATCCTGCGAATTGAGGATAGCAAGGTACCCTATCTCTGCGATGAGGGTGTGCAAGTCTTCCCTATGAGACGTTGATTAACCATTATATATAAATCGCAGCGCACCGAGAAGCTGAAGTTGCGTAACGTACCGTACATCCGCAGGGATGGGTTTTCCGATGGGCAGACGGCAGCCCAAGCGTTCTAAAACGAGAACAAATATTTTGTTTCGAGTGGAACGCGGCTTCAGGATATCAGGATGCGGGAGGTCGTCCACTCAGGCGTCCGGGGACTCGAATTCTTCGTGCGCGAGTAATGTGCGGCCATCTGGTAGTCGAACCGCGCAGCCTACAGGAAGATCTGCTTCGAACAAACCATAACACCTCGGTATCGCTACACCTTGAAGACGCTCCATCTCCTCGTAGAACCACGACTCGCGGTAGATATCGGCGCATCGATGCGAGCGAGGAAATTTGAAGACGAGTTCGGGGAGTTTATTGTTAGGGTCTGAGAGAACGGGATCACTGAGGATATAAACCAGGCCGGTTCGGCCGCTGCCAAGGTACTCAGCGACTGAAGTCCGGAGTGTAATATCATGGGGTGGAGGGAGAGATGATGGAGGGCGAGTAGGAGCAGCGGATAAGAATAAAATTGGAGTCGCCTCATTATGCGGTGTTCGAGGGCGTATTAGATCGACAGGGAGGTTGAGACGGTGAAGGTCGATCGGTATGCTCAGTCCCAACGAATCACGCACGACATCCAGTAAAACTAATTTTTCTATGGCGTTTTGAATCTGGTAAATATTCTTTCATCATTACCGTTCCAGAGAGAGCATATATGCTAACTCACCAGGTTTTCCGCTGTGACGGGAGGCGATGACATTATGATAATATTGGTACTACAAGGAAGTCTGAGAAAATAAGGTCGGAGAAAGACACGAAGAACGACGCCACACGCAGAGTGAAGTTTCTTTAGCTAGCTAAGATACTATCAGTGAGTACGTCAAAAGCGAGCTGGGGTGAGCGGCGGTATTGTGGTTCTGGTTGAGTTGAGTTGTGGCGTATGCATGGAACGGCTGCACCCGAATTGAGTTCAGTTTGACCCGGCATTTTCCGACAGGCAACGTCTCAAAGCAGAAGACAACAACAACCATCTTCCTATCTTCCCGATCTTTTGTCTCTGATTCTGAAATTGTCCGATCCGAGTCTTGCCATTCATCGAGCAGGAAACCTAGAAATTGGACCGGTCGACATCCTAGTCTGACAACTTTCACAGCTGCAGGCATCATACGTCTTGAATATTCGCGAACCTTCACCAGAGCTGTATATCCGAGTCTAACCTGGATAGGAGTCAACCCACCCTTCCAATTCATTCCTGCTATGACTGCTCCGTCTCCAAGCCTTCTTGGCGTGCCGCCCGAAATTCTTGATGAGGTCATTGACGCCATCGACTCTCCAGCCGCTCTTCTTTCCCTCTCGTGCTCTACGAAGAATCTGGCTCGTCTCATCATTCCCAACCATCTTTCCTTCCGCTTCGTACGGGCGCCGTTCTCAGGAGAGAACTCCATATGGGAATACTTCGCATATAAGGCCCCCCAAGCTGCCAAAGTCCGAATTCTATTCGTCCTCCAAGAGGGACTCCCTCCATTGACTCCGATAATCGGTTACAACGTCTCCAGGCGCATACCATCACTCCCAGACAGTGCTATTCACCACTCGTTTACACGGTCGGACCTGGAGTCTGATTTAGAACAGGAGAAATTGATTGTTTCTGCCGTGCGCAACATGAAATGTCTGCGGGAGTTTGCATGGCACCGCGAAGCGCCGCCTAGCTTACGCGGCAGACATGGCCTATGGAGCACTTTGAAGGAGCTTGGGACAGTTCGAAGACTAGATGTTCTCGATTGTGCGGAGAGAGGAGATGGCATCTTGCAGTCACCTTCGGTGAGAGGACCTCGGTTGTGTGTACTCGCAAACCCTGGCTGACATTATTATTTATGTACCAAAGTTCCTCGATATGTCTGGATTGAGGGAATTCAAAATGTTCTCCGACGCGTTAGACACTGTGAACCCCATGCCGGAAGAACCTGACTTGGACCCTCTCATGCACATGCTAGTGAATAATTGCCCCGAACTCGAGGTGCGATAATTCCTTCCGATCCGTTATTCTTGCGAGCGCCCCATCTTACATTCTCCTCTTTTCAGTTGTTGTCTCTTTCAATACAGACCTACCGCTATCTAGGAGTCGCAAGCATCACACACTCTTTACCGTCCTCCTCCTGGCCCAATCTTCACACTCTCCAGCTCACCAACGGAATCGGTTGTAGCGCTGCTTGCATGGCGTCATTCCTCAAAGCACACCAGGTATTAGAAGAAGTTGTTATCGGGCGAATGCTTCCCGGATACCAAGGAGGAGATTTCACCTCACTGTTGCAGTCTGATGATGGTGGGAGAGTCCTTCCTCGTCTCAAACGACTTTCTTGTTCCTCCATGCAAGCGGCTGCGATTCTACCGCACGTCAAGGGAACCCTGGAATTTCTCTCAGGCATAGAAGTCAATGAAACCGTCGTTCTGTTTGAGTTTTTCGACCCCGACCTCGACCCCGACTGGGAGCCTGAGCACGAGGGCCAAGACGATGATATATGGGACTGCGCTATTCTGTCCCCTTGGCGCTCTGCTTTTCTCGACGCCCTATGTGACTGTCGCTCCCTCAGGAGCATTTCCGTAGGACACCATGCCCGGATCGAAGACATGTTCTTACTCGCATCGGCCGTACCGTGGATTCAGAGATTTGACTATCTCGATTCCACCCATTCAACAGACATAAACGTGGAAAAAGTGTGTAGTTTCACTTACTCAGGCAGAGCCGAGCTTACGCTAAAGGACGACCCCTCTGTTCGCCCGATAGTGGTGTTCGCTTTATTTGAAGTTTCCGGAGCTGACCACCCTGGAAGCTCGTAATCTCGTACACTTCGCCGACCTCGAACATGTTTACGCCAACAACAATGCCACTCTTCAAAAGCTCTCACGCGCGATAAAGAAGCTTCTAGTAGTCATCTCATGGGATATGAAGGCTGTTATTATCAGAGGTACAGAGGAAGAGGGGGTCAAATGGGTGGTTAGGAAGCTGAACGACACTAACGACTGTTCTCTGAAGGAGGGCGAGATCGTTTATGGGCTTTGAGGGCCTACTATTCAACAGAGTCAAAAATCCATCATACAGAACGCGTTATGTTTCTAGTACTCGACTTCGTCGCTGTGCTTTAACCGATAAATTTCAGTCCCGCCGGTGGCCACAGTACGATGACCTTCCCCTCTCACAACCGAGCCGCGTATTATAGTTTGTCTACCCCTGCTATGTGTGTGGCCTGTCTCGTTGTCATTATCTCGGTGGTTTCGTCTGTGTTCGGGATCTCTTACCATATATGTGGAATTGTGGGACGATGGATACAACTCTATATCGCTTACAAGTACAAGTCCCGATGAAATTCTTCGTGGGCACGATTTATAGGAGGGGAATAATGTTATTGAGATCTCGTGCCCGTCACTCCGTTCAAAAGAGGCGAAATCATCATCAAGAATGCTACTAGTATAGAATGTGAAAGAGCAATAAGAATACAATCAGGTATACTGAGTACATGTAAGACTACATCCCTCGCCACTCGAGATAAGAGTTCAGTGGAAAATCAAGAGAAATATCTATGCATCAACCTTCGTCCATTCATCCCCATCTACCGAACTCCTACTCTCTGAAGGCCCCTCGGGATCACTATCCTTCGTCTGCCCGTATACAAGCACCGCATCATGATCCCCGTCTGCCTTCTCCGATGACTGCCTATCGGAAGGCGAGATTGAGGAAGAAGCAAGAGGTGCAGGATCCGACTCGACCGGTGATGGTGAAGGCTTCACATCGACAGGGGTGGCGGACGATGAGGCGTCAGAGTCGGAGGCGATGTGGGGTGAAGACGGTGTCGATGTTAGGGAAGTAGACGGAGAAGTAGTGTCGGATTCTGCAGACTTCGGTGAAGGTTCGAAGTCTGAACGAATTTCGTTGACGGAGTCAGAGACGTCGACGTCCTGGGCCGAGGAGATCTGTAGTCCACCATCCTCGACGTCTCTGATAGAATCAATGTCAGACGAAGTCGAACCGGACATGCCGTCGTCGGGAGTGGCAGCATCGGAAGGGTCGACGAGGGAGAAGGTGGTGGTGGCAGACTGCGATTCCCCCGTCGATGCAGATGCAGGGAGCAACTCGGCTTCCGACTTCTTCAGATCGTGGAGGGTAGTACTGGAAGTCGTTGCCTCAGGCGTGACGTCGACAGCGGCAGATCTAACCTCAGCTTCCTCCTCAGCTTCCTCGGCCTCCTTCATCTCCTCGATTTCTTTCTCAACTTCCTCTGCACGCTCGACCTCTGCCTTCACCTCGACCTTTTTTCTTCTCCCCTCCTCCGCCCGCCTCATCTCCCCAACCCTCCTCTCAATCCTCTCCAACTCCATCTCAACTTCCCTGACCGCCTCCCTCCGCCTCCCCCTCACACTCTCGTCCCCCTCACTCTCCACCTCATCCAACTGAGCCAACAACCCGTTCAGTGAATGTTCGTATGCGCGGAGCGGGGTGTTGGTCGGTGTGAACGCGAGCTCCAGTCCGTCTTCGCCGTCTTGTGTGGCGGTGGCGACAAAGTCGAGCGAAGAAGGGAATGTGAAGGAGTCACGAAGTTCGTAGAACGAGGACTCGATTTTGTCGATGGAGAGGATGGACATTGTGGAGTGGTTGGAGAGAGTAGAGTGGGTGGATTCGGCGGGAGAGGGAGGTTCTGGAAATGAGAGTGTAGATGTGGCGGGGGCGTTGGTGTTCATAGGCGGGATGGAGATCGAGATGGGTGGACGGGGTGGAGAGGAAGATGCATTGTGATTATTATCCTATAAGTGCACGAAAATCGTTAGAATATTGAGCATTTCACCGTTGACCTTCTGAAATGAGACTTACTCTGGGTGCTGACTCCTGAACGTCAGGTAACTTCGACTCAGAGTTAGCCTCAGGCTTCTGATGCTTGGCTGGGCCAGCGAGACTTGTCAATAGGCTCTTAACGACCTCTTCCATCTCTTTGTCCAGCTTGCCTGATGACAAGCCCTCCTGCAGGCGGGTGGCGAGCTTGCTTGGGGAGGAAGGCCTGTCCACGGGCGAAGCTGAGGCAGGTGCCGGCGTAGATGATTTATCGGGAGATGGGGACGAGGGTGCTTGGTGCGAAGCTTTCTGCTTGACACCAACTGCCTGAGCAGAATTATCGCCAGGAACAACGGTCTGAAGAACGAGCTCAAAATCAGAACAACGAATAGAAGACTCTCGGGTAAGAGAAACGTACAGCAGTCGTCGGAGGAGCAGCCTTCTTCTCAGTCTGATTCGATGCCGCTGAAGCAGGCCTGAGACCAAACATCTCTGCGAAGATCTTGAACGCGGCAGCTTCAGCCGACTTGTCCTCCTGAATATTCGACGTGGTTGTAGGCTTCGCCTTCGTAGGGGTGGGTGCTGGAACAGGCGCCGTGGCGTGAGCGGGAGGGCTAGCAGACTCGACCGGGAACACTTTCTTCGCATCGTCCAGCGAGACGCCGAAAAGGTGGGAAAGGAGGTTCGCGTTTGCGTCCTCGTCAGGCTGCGGCGAGGAGTGAGGGACTGCGGAACGCGATTTGAGTTGAGTCTCGGAAGCAGGAGTTGGAGGGACGAAGGCTGGAGATAATGTAGTGGGTGAAATAGAGACGCGTTCTGCTGAAGCAGGAGCTGGCTGTATGCCCATTGAAACGTCAGAAAGCAATATTGGGACAGAATACGAAGATAAACGTACCTTGCGCACGGGTGTGCCACCATAGAAGAAATCGTAGAATGCCCTCAGAGCCTCTTGCTCTTCGCGACGATCAGGTGTTTGCGGCTGCTGGCCGCAAGCTGCAAGTCTTGGGACGTCAACCTCAGCCTGGGGCATTCCAAGCATCCGCCTCTTCAAGGACTCGATCTTCTCCGACCTCTCCCTCTCCATCTGGAGAGCTTTCGCCATCTTGTGTATTTCCTCGATCTCCTTCACACGTGCTTGGCGCGCAACTTCCTCTTCGTAGGCCCTCTGCCTGGCAGCGGCTTGGAGGGCTCGCTGGCGTTCGATTCTGGCTTCTTCCGCGCGAGCGCGAGCCTGAGCCTGGAGATACTCGGCCTCAGCAGCGCGAGCTTCGGCTAGAGCCTCATAGTAACGTTGACGAGAAACATAGAGTTCTGAAGAAGAGGAGGAAACATCATCGACGAAGGGAAGGATGCTCTGAGTGTGGCGAGGGTGGGTGTGGCGAGGATGGTCATGACGCAGAGAAAAGTCCTCAGAAGGATACGACGAGGATAGAGTCTTCAGCGAGAGAGTATGAGGAGCCTGAGCAAGTGGTACAAAGGAAAACATTGTCGTCGAAGTTGTTTCGATGGTTTGAGATGAGACGTTAGGCTTTGGGATATGTCTGTGGATATGCGTGAGCAGTGGTAACTTACGGACCTGATGTGAAGAGGCGGGATGCTTTATATGTGGACGGGTATTAGCTAGCGCTTCCACGCTGAGCAGACTGCGCCATTGAATGTCGCATCTTCTTGAGGATGCGGACGTTCTCGAGGATAATCTCGAATATTCGTCGAACAGTATGAGTGACCGGAAGAAGGCTGGAGAAACTGCTAGAACGAGGCGAACCCGGAATAGATTGGAAAGGACTGAGCCAGCGGCGCCGATTAGATTTTCGATATCGGCGCCACCCAACTGCGCCACATCAAGTAACAAGCTCTCTCCTCCAACTTGCCTCCATCCTCCACCCTTCGTTGCCCATGTCCAGTGGTATACGCCGCCAATTACTTTGACATTTTTTGGTGCAATGTCTCATACTATCCGATAGATGAAACGCTCAACGATACTCTAAAAATCTTCATCTCCTAGCCAACCATCTTGTGTTCAACATCCCATTCAATCCTTGTGTTGGCATTAGATATCTATAGAACGACAAACAGCGCCGATGGCGGCGTTAACACTCTATAAGTCTTGCTATCTGCATCTGTTTAACCTCCTCGTTTTCTCTACGCTTCGTCATCATGGCTCTGGTAGCCTTCACCTTCGGCTCTCTGGGAGACATCATCGCTGTCATTGACCTCCTCAACGAAGTTCGCAAAGCTCTCTCTGATAGCACAGGTTCATCGGCCGAATATCAAGCTCTCCTCATCTCTCTCGACATATTCCATGATACCCTCGAGGCCGTCCGAGATACTTTCTCAACCGCATCGCCTTCATTGCGAAATCACACCCCACTCCTTCCCTCACTCCAGAACGCGCATCGACAAGCGCTGAGCGTGAGTCGTGCGCTGCTCAAAGATATACATGCACGTATTGCGAAGTATCAAGCGAGTCTGAGGAAAGGTGGCTCGGGTAGTATGATGCGAGATTCGTGGCGGAAGATCGGGTGGGCATTGTTTCAAAAGCCTGAGTTAGAGGAGATGAAGATGAAGATGATGGCTCAAGTAGAAACTCTCAATATTCTGCTGTCTCTTGCGCTCAGGTCGGTGGCTCTCTGTACCCTGTGTCTCTGTGGGAATCAGAGCTTAACATGTTCAATCTTTTATTCCAGGCATGACGTTCGACAACAGCACGCTGCGGTCTTGGAAATGGACCGTTCTGTCCAACAGCTGCCAATCCTCATTCAGTGCGTACTATCTATTATCCACGAATCGCCATACCTTCGAAGATTGGAGCACTAACCTCTCGTTCACCCAGGGAGACCATCGCCGAGCAGCGCACAGTCCTATTCGAGATCAAACACTGTGTGAACGAGCTCCCGAACACTCTCGGTTGCACCTGGGAAGGCGGCATGGCACATAGTCAGAGACCTGTGGTCCTCAGAGACGCTCTCGGCCAGACGCTGAACCTTCCTCTAGAATTTTGCGAATCCTACGACGTACGCGATCTCTATCAAATACTCTATTTCTTTCTCTGATGTCCTACTTGCTTCACTTGACGCCCATTCATAGCTCCTCGATGGCATCCTCAAAGTGTACTACCGGAAGAGAGCCGGCGGTCGTTTCGTAGAGCGCGGGGACTACGAGCTCACGATACCCGGTGATGAAATGACCGACGGCCCCGAATCTGCATCCACCTCCCTCGTCCAATGCCAAAAGGAACGCCAACACGAACGCGCCTATGTCAGCCATAGGGACGATAGGGAATGGAGGGATCTAGTCAAAGCTGGGATCTCAATCGACATGAACGTCATCGTCCGTGAAAAGGTCGATGTCGCGGGACTGGAGGATATGCATAGCTGGGAACGAGCACGCCAGAGGTGTCCTAATTGCTCGTTTGACAACTCGAAGCCTCCTAATGGTTCAGGTCCTCGACGGAGTCCACGTTCTCGCTGGACGGACGGGGCACAGGGGATTAAATGGTACTGTGTCCATTAGTCTCGTATACCTGTGAAGAACGAGCTCACTCATTCTGCCTTACATAGCGAGTTCTGCCAAGTCTGGTTTCACATCAACAGTCTCCTACCTTCCAACGATCCAGAGCTCGAAGCGTCCATTTCAGCAACGGGACAGAACACGGAAGGTGAAACAGAGGAGCTCGTCTCGTCCCAAACTCAGAAACAACGGGGGGTTCGTCCACTTCGGACGACTTCGCTGGACGAAGTGCGCTTTCTACGTCGCCTGCGGGTAGTGAAGTCGTTGCCTAGACCTTCAGCGACTCCAAATAGAAGAAGGTTTCCGAATCCTACGTTTGCTGGGATTTATTACATGAGGGCTGTAGGCGAAGGTTTCTAGATCCGGTTGGTGTCGTTCTTGAGTGTACTTGGGACACCGTGGGTGGCAATCAAGCGGGTACTGGGGAGTCCGGACTTGGAGGGCTTCTCCTAAGTGAGGATAGAGTAGTGTGCTCGTACAGTATAGTAGCGTCCATCAATACACTTTATTCCTGGTTCTGCGAGCGTAGACACTCCCGCCTGGGTTGAGAGCAAATTTTTCACTGTACTCGTGATGGCAGAGAGAAAATATAAACTAAATCGTGACCAAACCCTATTCATCAGTACCTGCAGAACACCCTTACCAAATCAGAACGATCCTCCGGATAGAGTCGCATGGACAATCGCTCCCTCCAAACCACCAGTGACCGTCAAACCTGCGGTCGGAAAGTTAGCACTACCCATAGTAGAACATATTTCGAGATAAATAGAAGAACCAACCAGAAAAGTCCATCGTACTATAAAGTACAAGAGCGTCAAAACGAAGAACACAAAAACAGATGAAGCACAAGCGAGTACTGACCCAGGACAGCTCGAAGTACTCCCGCAGTTCACTTCGACGCGGTGCGCGTCGCTTGCGACGGAGATGGTGTTCGTTCCAGAAAAGACGACATTCTGCACAATTCATCAAACAAATGTATCCGTTAGCATCACTTCTGGATTTGTTCTGGATTATATCCCATCGCACAATACAGAATGGTCGGATATCTGCCATGGTTTTTCGTACCGTAACTCGAACAGTCACATACCTCGACAATAACGCCCGTACCGGGCGTCGCCAACGTACTCGGATAACTCTGATCGATTATGACTCCGAACTGCGTGATTCCGGAAAGCTTGTTGTTAGTGAAGGTGATGCCGTTGACGGTCGAGCCTGTGGCGGTGGCGTCAGTCTTGATGCGTAGACCGTTCACACTGTTTGCAGAATCAAACACCCAATCGTATTCAGTCAGTTTCGAAGCAAGAAAAATGTCGATAAAGAGGATGAGAGAAATGAACATGATGTTGAAGAAACATACTTGTTTGTCACCGTGTTCCCAGAGATCGTAACATCTGAGACAGTCACGTCACTCGAGATGGATCCCTGCATCAGCATATTCAGATCATGCAGAAGAAAAGGGAGGAGGACTAGAAGATCACGCACGATTGAGATTCCATGACCACCAGAGCACGAATTGTTCTCGAAAACGATGGTCGTTCCCCGATTGATAGCAAGGCAATCATCTATGTATTGTTGTATGTAATGTTCGCCACGGTGAGAGCTGTGAAACCTTGCAGAGGGACATAGTCCACCTTACCTTGGTTAATTACAGTGGAGTCTTGAATGATCACATCATTCGCAGCAACTGTGCAGATGGTGAGTATCGAACGTGAGATGGCTCGAGGTGCGACAGGCGAATACAGTACCATCAAACCCGTCGGTGTTGGCGCCGGCAGGCTTGCCTCCAGAGGCACTGTTTGCAGCGGCACCGGCGGCTAGGGAGTACCACAAGTTACAGTGCCACAATCAGCGTCGACTGCAATCCACGGGCGTAAAATAACTCAACAGTTATCCACCGTGATCGACGTCAAGGTCAATCCAGTACCGGAGACGGCGACTGCTCGCGTGGGTGAGTTTTGAATCTTCACGTTCTCAAATGTTCCTCCCTGAATGCAACGATATAGTTAATCACAGGTCAAATTCCTAGGAATCGAATGTCTCGCGTTACATTAGGGTCGGGCTAATGGTGATATAGCTTACCATGTTGAGCTGGATCATTGGCGCTGGTTTCTGAATACCGCCGTTGCCCCCAAGCCCATCCTATGCGTAATCGTACCGTGAGCTTCTGACTATTATTATGCGAGCTGAAAGCTTGCGGTGAAAATCACACATACCCAGTATGAAGGTCCATTACCATTAAGGACATGGTTGTCTGAGAGACGAAATCTCTATCGTGAACAACCAAATAGTCGCCGAAGATAAAAGAGCCGATACTTACTCCCATTGACTAGTCGTTTACCGGCGCACAAGGGTGTCAGAAGATGCTCTCGATGAAGAAGCGAGAACAGTACCACTCACATGTAACATCGTTCCCCGAGATAACCATAAGCGGGCCGGCCCACGCCTTGAAGCAGGGAGTTCAGGTAAAAGGTATGGTTAACGAAGTTGGGCGGTACAAAAGCCGAAAAAGTCTAGGTTACCTCGAAAGCAAATGTGAGCTCCCCTGTGAGGTTGATTACAGCCCCATCGGGAGCACTCAGCGCGAATTGCTCTGTGGTTGCAGGAGATGTATCAGACCCGACATAGAGATCGAGGGTAAAGGTAGAGACGTGCCGCCAGCTGGAACCGTGAAGCCTCCGATCTGATGTACAGGCGTAAGTGTCGTCTCCGAACAACGATGAAGAGCACACATACATTAATGGTCGTGCATTCTTCCGCATCTGGAATGTCGGCCAAAGACTCAATCGTTCCAGTGCAGCGCTTTCCGATCTTGCGTGGCCCATTCGAAAATGTTGCATTGTTGGGAAACGCGAAAGCCAGCTGCCACAGAGAGACCACGCTGAAAATGAGATGAAGCCTGACAACCATAGTGACCTTTTGTTTTCAAGATATTCTGGAGGGAAGGGCTAGGTGAGCTTACGGACGCGGCGGTTTAAGTAATTGAAGGATCTTTTATCGAAGGAAGTTGGCTGATGAGAGAAATTACAGTGAACATGTGCCTCGGAGCATGTCATCACGACGTAGCAACCCATCGCATTCATAGACGAGGATAAATCTCGCGTTGAGAAACCACTGCCACCTGGGGAACCGCACGGGAGATAAAGAATGGTGTACGGATTGCTATGGGTAATGGTCGTCTGATATTAGCAGCGATGGAGCACTATGTATCAGCTGTTGTACCTTCCGTATGTCACTGCTCAAAATGGTACCGAGAGTGTGAGTGCTTGGGTATAAGAACGGAAGAAGTCAATTGTACGGAGACGTACTGCAAGCGGCTGCGGTCCGCGTGTACAAAGGAATGGGCATGCGAACGGTAATTTGAACAGCGATACACTTCACCAGCGGCATTTCGACGGTCCGCTCTGATGTAGCAAGCATGGAATGCTTGTTGGAGTCACAGCCAGCGAGAGCATATACACACCAATGTGAGTCAAATGGCAAGACTCGGAGCGTTATAGTAGTCAACGAACAAGCAAGACGGGCCGTGATCCAGATGGACACTTGTGAACGTCTGGTCCACCTACTACGGTGTTTTATCTCGTTTCGATGGACAAGGAACCACGCTACTCCGTCAGATTGCTCATTACCAACCATTTTAAAAGCTGCCGCCTCAAAAAGGATTTCTGATAGAGCTTTCGGTGACAAATAGCTGCATATTGCAGTTGAGCTATCGCCATGAATTCCATGGCATGCCACGACCAACCCAGATGTCGCGCTACACAGTATGTCCTAAACATTTCGGCAGCTCTGGCATAGATTTTCAGAGAGTACATTATTTGTTGGCGTCGTAAAGAACGAATTTCCAACCTGGGGAAAAACAAACTCGTCAGTTGGACCGTGGTCGATTTTACAGCAATGGAAAGAAACGTGCTACATCGGTTTATGAACGCAGCTGCTCCTCAGACACCCCTCATTCCGTCCACGATATCCAGGTATCGCGATCCGTCTGGATACGGGAACTCGACCACCTCTTCTTGCATGGCCTGGCACATAGATGCAGGTGTGTACCGAAGATCACAGCCTCTGAGCCGGAGTCTTTTGAGAGGAGCACCGAGGGCCTTGCGCCGTCGGGCCCAGTCCAAAAATCCCGTGAAGTCTGTAGCGGAGATTTTCGCCCCTCCAAGATTCACGCTCTCGAGTTTTGGGAGAAAGGTACCTGAACAAAGTGACGAAGAAGTGAGAGGCAGCATACGCATGAAGCGGATGGATTATGCTCACCGTCGTCGAGTCCACACGCTGACGGCTGGTGGTCATCTCTTGAAGACAAAGACCGCAAAAATGTGGCTGACGATTGACCAGTGATCTGAACATGCCTCATTTCGCAGCATGGTTTCAAGAGATGGTTCCAATGATGAGTGTCCAACCCTTCCTCTGCGCACGAGAGGTTCATCATGATGAAAATTCGCCGCAATTCCCGAAAATCGACCAGTCGTTCAATGCTGAGCAGAACGGATGGATCACATAGCCCGTGTGGCTGTCCTCTGGCTATCATGAATGACATAAGTGGATCGCGGGGCTGATGGTACTGCAGTGGGGATATAGGCCTGTCCCAAGCTAGTAGAGTGAGGACACTACACATGCTGCTCATGGACAAATCGATTGTTTGACAGCCTGGCCGTAGGAGTGAAGAAAATGCAGTGACAGTGTCTCTCGCCTTGTCGTAATGGTTATCTAGGTCGTCCGTCCTTATGGAGACTCGCGTAGAAGGAGGGATTACGATCAGAGTCGCAAGCAGCGAGCATGATAAAACGCTGCCTTCAACGTGAAGCCGCTCAAGGCGATCCAAAGATATTGGAGGCTTCGACACCGAACTCGACGTAGGTAGGGCCGAATTGGTCAGCAATAATTCTACTAATTGAGGATTATGACGGAGGACGCTCGACATTTGTTCCATGGACGGCGATGCTCCAGCGGGATCACGGATTTGTAAGACAGTGAGTCCCGTGAAGACATGAGAAGTCCAAGGGACAAGTACCGGTCCAGATATCGAGAGTTGTCGAAGTCGAGGCGACTGGTTAAGAAATATATTGGAGGGAAGAGTCCAAGGCCTGTCGGCTCCGCGTATGGCCCCTAACGAGAGCGAAAACTCCTCTAAGATGGGAGCAGATTTCGATGTGAGGGCAGTGCTCAGGAACTGGAGGGAAGTCCTGCACGCCATGCCGTATAAAGAAAGCACCTTCGCGCGCTGAAGCTCCGCAAGTGCAGACGCAATGTAGAAAGTATCCGGGTGGCTATCGTAGAACTGCCTGTCGCAAAAGGTGTAGTCGATCAAAAGAGGGGCTCCTCGAGAGCGGACAAGTGACACCGGGATCCATTTCGGGAGGGAGAATGGAATTCTTCCCCATAAAGTAGCGGTCGACAGAGCGACTTCCCTCCACATATGGCAAACGTGACTGACTACACCAAAGTAGGATCCGACGGTCCGTCAGTTTGCGTGCTAGTATTAGGTGCTAACGCCCATTCCATACGCACCTTTGACCCATCCAAGATTGGTCTTCGCAATATCAACTCCTGCAAGATCTTCGTAGTCATCTGCGTTACATCCCAAGTATTCATCCTCGTCCATCGCGATCAGGGTGAATACCTCGCTCAGAATCTCGGTCGGTATGCGGAAAAATGGACAAAGCGCGTTCTGTCGAGGTCGGACGGTGGCTAAAGAATCAAACGCTCTCCGTGCCTCCGAATCTGGTTCGCGATGAGCTACTTGAAGAGCCTGTGAGTCGACCTCAGTCATGATCTCCCCATAGCGCTGGTTCAGTTGACTTCGAGGAAACGCGTGCCATACTTGATTCGAGCTGTCGCTATTGTTCCGCAACCCAGAGGTAAATCCATGAGCTCCACGTATCCCCCAAGAGCTAATTTTGATGAGAGCACAAATAAACGACGAACCATTGGGCATTGTGATCCGTCATCTGGATGAGAACAAGGTCATATCTCGATGGGTCAACTCTTGAAAATAGCCACATATGCATAGTAACTCACATAACTCACATTCGCAACGATTCAGAACGCCCAGAAGTATTCGATATAGTAGTGAGATGGAGCGTAATTGTGTATAACTATTGCACATTCGAGTGCGTCGCTGGAGAGAAATAGTAGAGGTTGAGTTGCTGGCACGAGGTGCCGAATTTGAAACACCGCGCCTATGTTGGTTACGCGCCACACGTCTGGAGCAATGGAGCGCCACATAGGAATGCGGTTTTGTTTGAAGTTTCTCTTCTGAATGTTCACGGAGACATCGGCTTGTACGAATGGAACCGCGCCCTCCCACAAAGGTCTCCCTTTGGTCTCACTCCACAGATGTCATCAGTACGCATCTATAAACACTCATGCGCCAAAGTGATACTCGTACACGCTTTCTCAAGACATGAATTCGTAAGTCGTGCCATAGCAAGATCAAGACAAGGTTCAATATGTATGTATGCTGAACCGAAGAATGTGTACGTATTCCTCTGCGTCAACGAATACCGGCGTTTCACTGACCACGTCACCCATACAATGTCCTTTTCTACGATGGCCACTCTTCTTTATGCAACACGAGCCGGAAGTATCAAAGACAGAGGCTCTCACTCCGACAACTTCACGCTCTCGATGTTCCAATAGCTCTCCGCGTACTCCATGATCGCCCTGTCGGAGCTGAATTTGCCCATCTATACAATACGCCAAAAGAGGATCAGCATTACCATCTCGGAGAGAGAAGGACCAGTAAACACGTACCTTAGCCGTCGTCCTGATACTCTTCTTGGTCCACTCCGTACGGTCCGCATACGCCTCGTCGACCATCTCCAACGCGCGAATGTCTACCGTGACAAATGACGTCAGAGATAATACTCTCATCGCACTTTGAATACTATGGACAGTAGCTTACAGGAGTCAAAGTCCTCAGTGAGGATGTAGTAGTCGCCCTGGCGAATGGTGTTGAGGAGCCTTACACAAAGAATCATGCGTCAGAATTCATGTTGACCCGAATACTGGGGGATACACTTACGGTTCGTAGACGCCACCGTCTCCGAAAGCGCCGGAAGAGACAGTGTTGAGGACGTGAGCCAAAGCAGGGGACTTCTCCTCAACAGGGACGGGGTGGTAGGTATGCTGGTAGCGAAGATCCTCGACATCGGGGGTCAAGTGACCGAAGAAGACTAGAAATAGTCAAATGATCAGTATACCAGTCTATACGACCGAATATAACGCCACAATACTCACAAACGTTGTCCTCTCCAACCTCTTCAGCGATCTCGATGTTTGCTCCATCTATTTCATGTACGAAAATGTATGAGTATCTCGGCCACTTCTTGCTAGACGACAGAGACACCCACCGACGGTTCCGACCAACAGCCCACCATTCAAACAGAACTTCATGTTCGACGTTCCAGACGCCTCGGTACCAGCAGTCGAGATATGCTGGCTGATGTCTGAGGCAGGGATGAGCACCTCCGCGAGTGAGACGGAGTAGTCCGGAAGGAAGAAGAGCGAAAGGTATTCGTTGGTGTCCGGGTCCTTGTTGATGTGCTTGGCGACGTTGACGATGAGACGGATGGTCTGTTCGGTGTGGGGTATCAGTACGGAGCGTGCAGGGAGGCAAGAAAAGCGAAGCTTACGAGCTTAGCAATGTAGTCTAGCAAACAAACCATATTCGTCAAACGATGTTGTAGCAATGACAAGAGAAAAGCGACTTACAGCCAGGCGCAGCCTTTCCAGCGAAGAAAACAACCTTCTTGACGACCTTCTTCCTCTCCTCGGGCGTCATGCTCTTGATGAGCAGGTATCTCTACGAATGTAGAATATATCGTCAGTAAATGTGCTACATGAAATGAGGAATGTACGCACGTGGATAACACCAAGGATATTCAAAGTTTGACGCTAAGTGGTCAAAAAAGATGTCTGCTCAATATCTCACAGCATCGTGCCAAAAGCAGAAGCGGCGTACCTTATACTCATGCAACCTCTTAATCTGCACATCGAACATTGCATCCGTATCAACCTTTACGCCCATCTGCTTCTCCACAAAATGAGCCAGCCGCTCCTTATTCTGTCTCTTCACGACCGCCCACTTCTTCTGGAACGCCGTATCGTCGACATGCTTCAACAAGCCCTCGAGCTTGAACAGGTCCTTCAGCCAGACGTTACGCTCGAGTCCGAGCGTCTCGGTGATGAGCGCAGAAAGATCGGGGTTGCACTGGTCGAGCCAGCGACGGGGGGTGATTCCGTTGGTAACGTTGCTGAACCTACGTCCGTCCACACGCCACATGCGCGTACTATCAGTTTGTGGCCCATAGAATGAAAAAGAGATGATCGCACCTGCTCTTTCCGTAGAACTCTACGAAGTCAGGGAAGATCATCGATTGCACGAGCTGACTGTGCAATTCTGCGACACCGTTGACCTTGCGTGAACCGATGACGGCGAGGTTGGCCATGCGAACTTGCTGTGGGAAGCCCTCTATGTTGAGCGAGAATTATCGTCAAATATTCGCAAACGTGAGGTGTAACAGATGATGGGCCCAGCACGGACCTTCGATGAGCGACATCCGGGCAAGCTTTTCACGGTCGCCTGGGTACTTCTGTGCGACCGCTGTACGTCAAGGCCCTCATCAGCACGCACTCGAGCAGAAATTGTAGCAAAATACGTACACTTCAGGAAGAGCCTGTTAACCGTCGAACGATGGTCAGCTTATAGTAACAAAAATACGACCAGATAGCTGTCCTTACATGTTCTAAAATCATGTCCAAGTTAGTAAATCTCATTGAAAACACGAAAAGTTAAATGAGGAACTTACGACATCAAAGATGATCTGCATATGCCTCGGCAGGAGGTGTTGCATGAGCGGGACGGCCCATTTCTAGACCATGTATGGATTGTTAGCTCCATCTCTCGAACATTTATCGCACGCCGTACCTCGAGCGCTTCCTGCATCCGGGGCAACAATTGGTCAGTAATGTAAAGGAAATGCTGATATTCGCAAGACTTACGGGGAGAACGGTGTGGTTAGTGAAGAAGAACGTCTGGGTTACGATGGTCCAGGCTTGGTCCCACGGGACGTCCTCCTCGTCGACAAGCATGCGCATCAACTCAACAATGGCGAGGGTAGGGTGGGTCTACACGGATCGTATAAGCTTCTGTCTCATCTATGACCGGCGAGAAGAAGGAGACAAGTGCTTACGTCGTTCAACTGGATAGCGTTGTCTGAAAAGCAAGTTCAATAACCCCTGACCAAAATGTGCAGATACCATGCAAGGGTAGAAGACACGACTCACATTCCGCAAACTCGGTGATAGGTTTATCAAGGTGCTTGAACCTCCTCATCATATCCGCCAGACTTGCCGCAGTCCAGAAGTACTGCTGCTTCAACCGAAGCTCCTTTCCGACTGTTCAGACCACGATAGTCAGCACAGTCACCTCGACAATAAGCACAATGCGGCAGCGGAGATGTTCATATCACTGAGATAGAAATGGAGAAGGGAGGGACGAACAGGTAGTGTGGTCGTTCGGGTATAGAACGGCTGTGATGGCTGCCGCAGTGTTCGACGTCTCAACGGCACGTTCGTAGTCACCGGCTACATAATGAAAAATAAGTCAAAGAAACTCAGCAGCGAAAGGAGATGAACTATGATGGTGAGAGGCGTGACTGACCGTTGAAGCTCTGCAAGTCAAAGCCACGCTTGGGCTTGGACTCCCAAAGGCGGAGGTTGCTATTCGCGAGTTCATTCAACGCTTTTACGATCATCATACAAACGGCTTGTACTCACTTCGTGTTCTTGGTGTGGTATCCTGGGATCATCCTTGAAATAGTAAGCGAGATAGGTCAGTATTCTACCTGCATGAACCATAATCACGGACGAAAGACGTACACATCGTATGCCACAGCAAGCACTTCTTGTCCACCGCTCCAAACAGCCCTACCAGAGCCGTCCGTGTATCTATCCGCGCTTCCGTAAAACCTGATCTCGTAGGTGACGTCCAGACGGGGCAGCTCCCATGGGTTTTGGTATTCGAGCCAGGGGTCAGGAGCCTCGAGTTGCGTTCCATCCTCGGCCTGATGACGCGCCACGCAAACCAGCAATGAGTACATGTCAAACGACTATCGCCCACTCCGTCCAGATAAAATCAGGCAATAAATAAAGAGTTGAAACGCACCTTGATGAGCTGCTGGAAGATACCGTACTTGTATCTCAACCCATATCCCCATACCGGTAACTCCTGGCTAGCAGAAGAGTCGAGGTAGCAAGCGGCTAGACGGCCAAGGCCACCATTCCCGAGACCGGCGTCACGTTCTTGGACAAGGATGTCTTCGATGTTGAACCCAAGGGCGTTGAGCGAGTCGGTATACTCCGGGACGACGCCTTCGATCAGATACCAGGGAGAAACGTGAGTTAATTGGTTTGGTCGGATAGAAGGGCGGAACTGACCAAGGTTCAAAAGAGCGTTTGAGAGCGTGCGGCCCATGAGGAACTCAAGGGAGAGATAGTACGCCCTTTTAGGGGCCTTGCGGGTGTAATGCAACTGGGTAGAGTTCCAGTTGACCTATGGGCACAAACCATTATTGTTCAGCATGATAGTTAGAACTTTCAATCAGAAATGCAAAAGGCGCGGGATGTGTGTCTCAACACAACACAGCCTGAAAAGTCAAGTGCTACATGGGCCACAACTAGGGGAGTTCACGCGCCACGCCACGTTACGGCTGGTTCCGGGAATTTCCCGAAAGACAGGGGCTTCCAATCGCAGAAATACGACTTACGATCAAGTTGTCTCGGACAGAGAGAGCAGCAGCCTGCACGACGATCAGTGTTGGTATACTCCGACAGATATTACGGACGAAAGACAAACTTGGTATGCGCCGAAATCCTACAAAGCACAAATGATAGGTCAGAATTATCGGAATAAATGCGCCGGGCATGATAGGGCATCGGACATACGTCGACATTGTATGGCGCCCTCGCGATGGAGGTCTGAACATGGTTGACGATGGATTTTGTGATGGTGGGGACGTCTATTATAACAAGTGTTCAATAATGGTCACTATGGATCAGAGTATGGAGGAAGCATGTAAAGGATGCTTGGAGGCGGGGATGGGGAATGTGGGGCGCGTGAACCGAATCCGCGGAATGAGGACGTACCTGTGTAGACATCCCGCAACGCATCCTTCCAAGCTTTCTCGTCACCCTTCGGCCACTTCTCCTGACCCTTCTCGTCGACTTCGGGGAAATCACCTGAAGTCCAGAGAAATCAGTAAGATCAGTCCTTGTAGCCCTGGCAGAGACGAAGGGACGCACCGGTCAAAGATCGTACGTGCCTACGACCCTTGCGCCCACCCGCCGGGGGTTTCCCGATGCTACTCGTATCAATACTAGAAGTCATCGCTCAGTGTCGGCGCTGATGATGCTAGTCGTCGTCGTCTCCGGTGGCTCACGTAGAGGTCGGGGAGGAGGACGAGATAGGAGAAATGGGGCGCGAGAGCGGTATTTAAAGACGGGGAAAGGCGGGATTTCCGATATGTCCTCACAGTCACCGTGAGGGCTCGGAGGAATGGGTTCGTCGGCTTTGACTGACGTCACGGACAAATCAGTCCTCTGTGTGCTCAAAGCGTACAATTGACTGTGAACTATGCAGTCAGCTGGGCTGGTACAGCTGGCCTCAGCTTCTCGGTCAGATGCACGGTCGAGTGCTTGAAAAGTTTTCGACCCCGCAGAACGATGGGGGGCGAGTTGCGGTCGAGAGCGTATCTTCCCAAGTTCTGGACTTGGCGGGCGCAATGCGCCAGCGACAATGACTGGGTGAAGGTCCGGTGAGTATTTTGACGAGGTTATAGCCTGCATTTTTTCCTCTTATAGAGACCCATAGCCTCACATCCACCATGCGACCAAAGTTAGTATCTTCTGCGCCTTCTGAATCTGATGCCTCCCACTCCACAACGTCCCTTTCATAGTGCCAGTTAGCTATTCTGCTGTATCATCTGAGTACTTATGCCATGCTTCCATCTCTCTCTTCCCCGGCCGGTAAGACGCCTACTTTTCCATAGGAAAGATATCTGGGGTGAGGTGATAGTCGAGGCGAAGTTCATCACAGTGGACAGCTTGGTTGGCAGTAAATTGGCAGTAAATCACCGAAAGGTTGTTTCAAATCGGGCATCGACGGGCAGGGACGGACTTTGGCAACTTGAGCACACGTGGGTCGCTTTTCCAAATCGGGCCACAGCGATAGCGGTTGATGCGTGAGAACTTTCTCCCAACGGGGACACATCGCGACACAATGCGACACACTGCGGCTATGGTTCTCAAGTAGAGTCCTGCGATATATACGTTATCCATCGGTGGGTCATGATTCCCCCCCGAGTAAACAGATATTCTATCCTTCTACCTATGCACGTCGCTGCAACAAGTCTGAATGTTTTCTTTATCATTATAAAAGTTGTAAATGGCCTGACTAACGAGACGTATATAGCGAGGGAGCAAGTATTGATGTAATGTAGTGTATCCCGACTAAGAACGTTGTGACGAGCAGAGCAAAGCAAGATAAGAACGGTCATATGCATACGTACCTATAAAAACGAAACGTGAGTCCATCACCCCAACTCGCCTCAAAGTCCTAAAAACCTCGGCAGGATCATCTCCAACACCTGCATCCTCTCGTCCACATACTCCCAATGCAAGTCCATACAATCCCGACACACCTTCTCCACCCTATTCTCCAGCATAATCAACAACGCCCTCATCATCCACCCACCCACATCCGCAGTATCCCACTCCGCCGTTGTCCCACCCGCGAAAGATCCTGGTATACCTCCCAAGGGATTTGTACATGCGTTCTTGTCGACCACCTGCATGGCCTGGGCCCAATAATTATCGAGGTTCATAGCGCATGATTGATGTTCGCACGCAGCGCCGAAAGAGGCTTTGTCGAGCGTTTGTTTGTGAAATGCGGAGAGACGCGGAGTGGCTTGGAGGATGCGGAGTTGGTCGACCCGGGAGAGGTGAGATCGGAGGGTGGGAGAGAGGGTGCTGTGATGCATCTCTATACAGAGGGAGTAGAATATTGAGGGAAGGATCTCGGGAAGGTCGCATTCGCGTGCTAGTGATATTGCGTCTTGAAGACCAGAACGAGTGATCAAACGAGGAACGAAAGGACAGGGCGGAAGACATGGTTAGTCTATACGGTTTCGTGCACATATGACTGAGAGAGGAAGGGGTCACATACCTATCCTCTCATGCGAAAATGCGCGTTCGTCCATCTTTCGTATCGAAGGCGGCCACAGACGAAACACATGCTTCACGGCCGTCTTCCTCAATTCCGCCATCTCATACTTCGACGAAATCCTCAGCACGCTCGCAATGGTCTCATACGGAATATTGTACCGCGCCCAGAACTGACTGGAATCATCCGCATCCGCCGCCGAGTCCAATTGATAGTTACTTTGTTAGTTCACCCGTCAATTCCTGCCACTCATGCTTTGACAACACAATGCCCACATTTGAGCAGGGGAAAGAAGCAGGGGGGGTTGCTCACCGAGGGTTATCCAAATACTGTAGAACGGCCATCCAATCCTGTGCCTTGTCCGACAGATGAACGACAGGACAGCCTTCGAACATCTCCTGCGCGTCAACGCCGGCATAAGTGGGCTCCATACTAGTGGTACTCGAATTCGGATTTGGAGGTAACGCCATTAAGAACATATCCTCGAATATCTCCGACGACAACAGCCACATCCTGGGAAGCTTGAAGATATGGTTGTCGACAACAATGATAAGGTCTCCGTCGTCGTGCCAGTATGGTTTGTATGTTGGTCGTACGAGTCCGACGTGAGGCTGCAGCTGGGAGAGCGAAATCCTGCGCTGCAAAACTTGTGATTCAAGTTGTCGACGTTTGGAAGATGATAGGGCGTCGCCGTTGGGTGATATAGAGTATGGGATGCTAGGCTGAGAGTGTGGCTGAGACGACGAGGCTCGAGTAGATTCGGAGTCGGACTCTCGTCGACGTTTCAATGGTGGATACATCGGAGGCGCGTCTGGCATGTCGATGTCCATCATGTTGGAGCAAAATTTGAGCAGAAAACGTCAAGATGGGAGGAGAAGACACGTAGAAGTGGATACAAGGGCAACGGAGGAGACGTAGAACTGTCGTAGTGGTGGCTCAAAGCCAAGTTGCGGTTCAAGACACGCAGTTTCCCAAAAGACGCGTCAAAGGCCAATTTACGCGCTTTCACGTGATAGGAAACAACAAGTTGGTGCCATGGTGTGGCGGTGGCCCACGCACAGGTCTCGTGGCCCTCCTCCTGACTTCGTTCTCACCAACCACGACAGGCTTCCTCCTTCTCTACCACCTTCGTTTCTCTGTCCTGGACGACAAAAATTCTATCTCTCGTACACAATGGCTCCAAAAACTTACTGGTGGATCTCCGCTTGGTTTTTGTTGTCCGCACCCGTAATTTTCTGGGATGCGGGATACTGTTTCATGCGGTGAGCACACCATATTTATGGTAGAGGGTATACAGCCGGCTCATCGACCTTCCCATCGACCGACCAGTCCACGGTCCATGAAAGGCGGAGACCTGCACTGGATCTGGTCTCCCTACGCACTCTACCAAGAAGTCGACTACGTACGTACCTTCACCCATACTTCTGTCTCCAAAGCGTAGCCAAGTCTCAACTCGACCCCTCAATCAGGTCTACGGCGTCCAAGCCCTCGAAAAAGGCGATGGCTTCACAAACGCCCAATCCTTCCTCAACCTCGTCGAAACTTTCATGAACCTCTACTACGTCTATCTCGCCCACGTCGCACAATGGCCAGCCGCTCCCGTCGTAGGCTTCGCTGCCGTCGTGATGACGCTCTCGAAGACCGTCCTCTATTGGTTGCAGGAATATTTCTGTGGGGGGTGTTCGGTGGGACATAACAACATGGTCGACCTGATCACGTTGTGGATTATACCGAATGGGTAAGCGTGTCTGTTCTTTGGTCGATGGGGTCGGTGAGAGCGGCGAGCGCAAAATAGCTGACTAGCGGCGTTCGTTCGTTCGTTCGTTCATTTGTAGGATTTGGTTGATAGTTCCGAGTGCTATCATCTATACCTTCGGGAAGGACATCACCGCGTCTTTCTCCGTGTCTGACCGTGTGGCGAAACAGACGAAGACGAAGTGATCGAGTCTGTATCGAGAGCTTCCATTCGAACTCAAGGTCTCTCATTCCGGGTCATGAGGCCTTGAGGCCTAGGGCGAATTGGGCCCGGTCATAATGTATACGAATCTCTATGGTTGTTTGCTCTGCTTTGTTTATCGTTCTGAATGTTCTTCCCCCGTCTAACAGTGTTGCTGCTCACAAGTCTCGCTTCCAGTTTCGCATACTCATGCATGGTCAGATTCCGGTGGTTTACATCGTAACAGTGTCATCTATCTATAAATATACCCGCGCCCACGCGTGTGCCCAGCCCATACTCTCCTCAACTCCGAAACCGTCTCTTCCACGAACTCGTCTTCTCCTCTGCACTCGCCAAACAGTCACCCACATCCAAGATGAAGAACCAGTCAGCACAACACCCTGTTACAGCAACGCGCAAATCCATCAATAAACACGAAGGAATGGACTCACTATCCCCGCCTTTCCCTTCTTCCGCACCCGCACCCGTTTCGTCCTTCGACTCGGAACCAGGCCCCTGCAAAGGACTCTGCCCAAAATACTTGTCAAGTGAATCCGCCGATACCTTCCTCAAAAGCCTCGCCACCGATACTGGAAGAAAGCCCTTCCGTTTCTCCCCCTGCGAACGGCCTCGTTCGTGCGGTTTCGGAGGCGGTCCAGGACGTATGATGGGTTTTTTCTTCTCCGGTGGTGTTTCTGGCGGCGACTTGATCGTCCGTTTGCCCGCGAGCGTCAGAAGTAGGGCGTGTTTCTTCTCGTCAGTGGGGGAACGCGGCTCTGGAGCGGAGTCGGGGTGCGAGGATGGGGTAGCGAGGAATGATGCACCGCCGAGGTAGTCCGGCGTTTGTGATGATTCATGCCCGTCTGTGTATGCCGAAAAGGCGGCCCAGGAGTACAGGTGCGCCAGTCCGTCCAGTCCATCATCGTCGCGGTCGAAAGATATCGGAGGGAGAGTGCTGCCGTTGTCGCGACTTTGTTCGTATCCGCGATCGTCTGCAGCACGAACGCGTGGTGACGACGACGCTGTCGGCTGAACATTGTCTAAGGAGAATGGGGCGAATTCGAAGGAAGAGAATACATTCCGAGGCGTTTGTGGCGGCGGCGAAGCCGCCACAGAGGGTTCTGAATACGAGGAGCCCGAGTCGCTCTCCTCCTTCGAGTCAGAGCCGGAGCTATAATTGAGCCAGTCGTCGCCAGAGTTACAATAACGGTTGAGACCGCGGGGACGAGTGGGTGGAGGAAGAGTGCGGCTACGGACGGCGGAAGGTTTGCGAGTTGAAGGTTTACGAGATGTGGTGCTCTGGGGATTGAGTGGAGAGGAGGGTGACCGTGGGTTAGTCCATCTGGCTTGAGCGACTGCGATGGTGGCGGGTGTGGCGGCGACGGCAGGGCTGCTTCTCTTCTTCCTCGGATGATGAGTTTCCTGGATGGTGCTTGCTCGATGCGGCGCAGGACGAGCAGATGTGCGCGTGGGCTGCATAAAGTTATACGCAAACTCAGAAAGTAGCCTTCCGAGACTTCTGGCAACCGTTCTCACTCACCAGCGAACCGTACTGGCCATACTGGTCCACAACAGTATGGCGGCCCGAGTGCTTGGCTCTGTCGGCCCCTGTCCATGTCGAACGGTGTGGATCGCGGTCTGGACGACGAGAAGGAGAAGAGTACGAGGATGCGTGTGATGATTGAGATTGTTCTGGACGAGCAGACGTGGTGGCCCAGGCACGGATATCTGACCGTGACAGTCTGCTCCCATAGACCGCGTCTTTGCCTTGTTCGCGTTCGTGAGAGGCGGTGAGCCGAGAGGGTGACATTTCCGGTTCGTCGAAATTTTACTAAACAAGATGTTCCAGTCTTGATGGTTCCCATCAGCCCTTCGTTCACACTATGATACAGGAGATGACATACCGAAGCTCTGAATATCCAACAACTAGAGGGGACGCGTCGAGGGGCGTGGACAGTGAATGCACGCGGGGGGTGGGGCGGTTGAAATCTACGGGCGACGTGCGCACCGTCCGGTCTACTTATACTGACGGGTTGGAATTAGGGTGGAAATCGACGGAGAGTTTGCGTCTATATATGGTATTGCTATTTACCATCTCCGTCCTCCGCTCCCGCTTCTTCGCATAAGGAGCGAGCATCTCAGGATTCGCCTTCGCCGATGAGTGTTCCCATCGCTCCGTCGACGCTCAGCGCCTAGCGTTGGCACGTCCATGCGTCTCGCTAGATCGGGCTTCATTCAAAAAATAATGAATTGTATTCTCTTGTCGCCTTGAGCCGCGCACACGGTGGGTTTATTTTCTAGTGGGTGACGTTAGGACTACCTTCGAGCGCCAACGTTGCAATGTTGTGTCGAACACGTTCATTGCCTATTCCGGATGAAAGGGCAATGAGATGGCGGGGAGTTTGGGCGGAGGGAACAGGCCATTTACATACACGCGGTTCGCATCTCAAACCCTAAAGTCAACGAACCACGATGAACTGACAAGTGACCATCAACCGCGCGACTAGCGAAAAATGGGCCTTTAGGGATGTTCAATTTCCGCTGGTCGTGCGAGGTTTGGCGGCACGATGATTCCATCTTACGAAATGTACGCTGGCGAGTTGCTATCGACGTCAATGTGCGCCTCGATGGAGCTCGAGGACGTACTATTCTGCGGGATGTACGTCGTCTGGCGCTTCGTCCACAGCGACGAATGGTAAGCTGCTGTGGAGCTCTGTAGGGTTGTCTTCTGGAACGACTTGACATCTTCCGAGTTTCATCGATTTTCATATACCTGATGATGACGATGCGGCAAGAAGGAATTCGTCAAAATCAGACAGAAGAATAGGTGCTTACGCATTTGGCTATCGTCGCGACATACACGGCCAGGCTTGAGTGTCAAGGATTCGCTGGACGCGGCCAATACTTATAGCGACCCTGAGAGACAGAGTCAAAGCGTCATACCATACGTCGCTAACGATGAGCACTGCGTCATTTACTTCCCCCGCATTTGTTGTGTGGCCATGTAGTGCCGTTGTGGATCCAGCGAGGCGACGGGTGCTATGATTTGCAACGTTTTCCTCGGAAATGTGGTCATCTAGGCTGTGGTATAAGAAGGTGATTCAACCTAAGCATGCGAGAATTAACGATTAATGAAACGCGTAGTGCAGAGAGCTTGTGCCCATGACGGATCTTTTCACTCAGTCTTCTTTCCTTGAGGCATGCATGGACAGAGGCAGCATGCATTGCGACACGCCCATGAGCTCGAGACGGTCTGTGTTGGGTACTCGGGAGCGTGAATCCTCACAAAGGATTGGCATATTCCAGTAAGTTTCCCAATAGCTACGATTGCTACCTCGAAGCACATCATTTACCCATACCTAAAGATTCCATGTCAACGATACACACCTACTGGCAGTGCTTCAGCTTCATCGCTGATCCCCCGATCTCTAGCTAGGAGCCTGGACGGGTCTGCATCAGAGGACACTTTCTGGAACCTTGTGCTTTGAGCTCACGCTGACCCCAATATGTCGACTGTTTCTACGTCTTTCACTCATCTATCCTGCAAGGTTCAGCTGAGTCCAAACTTTGTTCTCCAGGACCTAGGGTGAGCTACTACGAGCTCGTTTGACCATCAGCTTTCGAGTCGATGTACATACCTTTTATCACTCTTTTGAAGGGGATGAAAGTGAATTGCTGTTAAAAAGTCGCCTGTCCTTCCTGGATTGAACGACGAGGCTAAACAGTTTCTTACCAGATGTATCGGATGAGTAGAAATTTACGGCGGGTATTCCAGTAGCTGTTGGACCAGTATCAAGTCTAGAAAATGGAATGAACGAGAAGTGGCTGATATAAGTACCTGCCATGTTGCATCTAGTGTAGGCACTTTACGATCGATATTCTTCCTGTATGTTATTAGAGGTATCTTTGAAAAGTTACAATAGACCGTATCTGCGAGTGAATTTTTGACCTCGCTTAACCTCGCTAAAGCCCAATGGGACGCGACGATTGGTCCGATCACCGTTTTAAAGTCGGTTTAAACGGTTGCAGATACGGTCTAATGTGATTGATGATCCGAAACTTACAACTGGAGCGATTTCACGAAGAATGAAGAGAAGAATGGAAACGCCAATGTTGCTCGCCACGAAACCATGAGCTCGAGACGGTATGTGCTGGGTTTTCAGAAGAGCAGAATCCTTGCACAGGATTCACATACTGTGGTAAGTATCCCGATAGTAACTAATTGCTACCTCGAAGCACATCCTTTACCCATACCCCAAGATTCCATGTCAACGATTCACACCTACAGTACTTCATCGCTGATCTGCTGAGCCTGTACCAGCCTGGGACACTTTCTGCCAGTATTTGTGCTTTGAACTAGGGTGGACTACTACGACTCGGAGCTCCCTTGACCATCAGCTTTCGACATGTAACTTTTGACTTGATGTACATACCTTTTATCATTCCCTCAGAGAGACGAAGGTGAGTTACTGTTGAAAACGCCTGTCCTTCCTGGAGAGAATAGGCTGGAAGTCACCAACAGTAGCTGATCTACTTGCCTGTTGCATCTGGCGATCGTGTAAGTAAGCATTACACGATGGATACAATTTCTATCATGGTTAGTAGTTTAAAATTAAAGGTATGTTCTCTGAGTTACACTATAAGTGAGAGTCTGAGGCTTACAACTTGAGCACTCTCACGAAGAGACGTTAATTTTGTTCGCCAGTGGCGTTTGACCAATTTACCGGAACCGCTGCGGAGTTCAAACTTTCAAGCACCGTGTGTCAGTGCCTTGTGTCCAAATCTCGCGTCGTGCTCTTCTCTTCCTCTCACTAATTAGTAACATCCATCCAAATCCAAACTAACAACATCAATCTGCTCCAAATGTCAAACAAGGATATGCGGTACGTCTCTCTATTTGTATTGGTAGACGTCAGTAGTCTCAAGAACCTGAAACTGAACTTGAAACCTCTCTGCGCTGTGGCCCGTGTTGAACAGCGACGAGGCGTGGCAAACCTTCACTCATAATCGCCTAAGGCTCTACGAGGGTGTTGAAAATATTCGAAATCCGCATGTTCTTCGGGAAGCATGTTCTGGCCTTGAGTTGGAAGCACAGAAAGCACTCCGGTTTCTGGCAGCCATCCGATCTCGACAGAATGCTCTTCTTCCAATTTCTTGTGTTCCGCCCGAGATACTTAGAAAGATATTCACGCTGGTAGCCATGGACGAGGATCAATATTTGCAAAATCGTGAGGACTACTATGAACTTGAAAATCCGCCAGATTCAGATGTTCTACAGTCACACAGTCTTGGCTGGGTCAAAGGTATGTACAATATCGACGCTTGGTACAATCATGTGATCTGATGGTGTCTTTCCTCGATGAAGTCAGTCATGTTTGCCAAAGATGGAGGGAAGTCGCCGTCTCAACCGCAACACTTTGGGGAAGGATTCCGTTTTCCCTCCCAGCGTGGGTTTCAGAATCGCTCGTTCGCTCTCAAGGAGCTCCCTTGATCATTGCCTACGCCTTCCCCGACGAGAACTCCTCCGCCAGTGCTTCTAGCATCCTTCGCATTGAATCCACGCTCGCAGAGCTCCAGCGCGTAAAGGAACTCTCCCTCAGTGGCCCAGCTTCGAAGACAACCCTCAAGTCCCTAGGTTCTATCCTCACATCGAAGGGTGCTCCCTTGCTAGAAGAGTTCAGACTCTCATTGTCCAACTCACACACAGCTACCGAACCTTTCACTCTCCCGTCCAAAATATTCTTGTCGGAATCGCCTCGCCTGCGACACGTATCGATATCTGGACCGGTGGTCATTCCTTGGAACTCACACATCTTCACCGGCCTCACTTTCATAGAAATTCGCAATCCTTCAGGAAAAGCACCGTCCATGGAAAAGATATCGACCATCCTCGGTCGCAACCGCCAGCTCGTTGAATTAGCGGTGACCGGCTCTGCTCTTCCCTCGTCCAGTCCGACGTCGAGATCTTCGCATGCCCCGGTCCCCTTAGACAACCTCGAGCGCCTCTGTCTCGAAGGGAGCATATCGTCGTGTTCTCGGCTCACATCTCTTATTACCGTTCCCGCTTCTACGCGCGTGTCCATAACGATCTGGAACAAGCAGAACCAGTCTCTATCCGCGGAAGACGGCTTGAGTAGTTTCTCGTCTCTTTCCCGTCCAGAGGCTCGAACAGCTAGCTTGGAGATTACGTCGTGCCGATCGCTCACCTTGTCCGCTTGGGAGACCGTGGAAAATCCGAGATGGTGCAACGATTATTACAGGCGCCAGAGTCGAGCATTGTCGTTCGACATGCATACATTCCACGAGCATGAATTGTGCCGACTCTCCTTCCTGCTCAGTTTCAAACACCTGGTTGGTCTCGAGGCATTACATGCTCTTCGTTTGGAACTTACGTGCACTTCGGCTGTCCTCGACGCTCATCATTGGCGCCAACTCCTCGCGCCGTGCCGAGAGTTGAGGGCATTGCACATCTCTGGAGAAGCGTCGACTACGTTCATGGAGGCCTTGTCTCTCAAAGACAGTCATGAGTCCGGGTCTGAACCAGGCAATGGTGAGTGCGGTTTCTCGGTCATGCTTGGACTTTGTGTATTAACGACTTTTAATTCTTTCATGACTAGCTTCATTCCTACCGAAGATCAAGAGCTTGTTCGTGCGCAATACGGAGCTCTCCGACAAAGATCTCGTGGACTTGACAAGATGGGCGCACGAGCGTAAGGCCCTCGGTACTCCTCTTGAGGAACTTGATATACGTGATTATTGCGACATCAGTGACACGACGTCATCCACGCGCCTGGCCTTGCAGGAAGAAGTTGACAGCTTTGACTACGATTATCGGTTGAAACGTGAAGATGAGGAGAAGGCGCGAAGGGAGAAGGCGCGAAGGGGACGATCGGACAGGGGAGTGTTATAGCGAAGGTAAGACATCTATGTTATTCGCTGCTCTGAGCACCGTGGTTTGAACCGAAGCTAAACTCAGTTTATCTTTTGCCCTCGACCCCATCCCAGGATAGTATCTTCGGCGGTGGAAGTTTGAGTTTGCGTCTTCTGTGATGCTCAGGACATGAAGCCTAGGAGGGCTTTTGGGTGTAAGGTGGCGCACCAAGCGAAGTGTCGCCGAGATTCGACCTATGTTACTGTGTATGGATCCGTTTTCGTCTATTGACTCATAAATCTATCTCTCAGATCGCCATTATAATATTGACAACCGTCCAGATGGACATGTCAACGGTCAGGCATGATGGTCAGACACCGCTGTTGAATGTAAAGTCTAGCTGAAACGCATCCTGCTCTTCTCGTTCTTTGCGTGTCCTGGGTCTCTCGAGGCACAGCGGATAAGTATCCAGGCTGTTCCCGATATGTTATCATCGCGATCTACGTCCTCTCACCGCATATTTTCTACAGTTCAGCCAAGACGGCCCGTCAGGGACCATCCTCCGTCTCCCCAGAACCTCGGTAATACGCCACCGCGTATGTTGACATCCAGCGGCGGATCTTCCAACACGACTATTCCTTTAGGGCAAACGAGAATAGCAGAATATACATCATGCCGCCTTCTTCAATCTACCCATGGCCCTTCCAGTATACATTCTTCCTCGTAAGTAGATACTCCCCCGTCATGCGCTCACGTCGTCTGACACGGAAGGATGCCCCAAAGCACTTCATTTATAGCGACACGGTACTCCGTAACGCATATATGCGACCGAGAGACATTCTTATGTCTTGCATCTCTTCTCCTATCCGTTCATCTGTTGTGTAGGGCCTCCTCAACGCTTTTTCCTGAGCACAACACGTCGGTATAGCGCAGTAAGCTCTAAAGCAATATGGGCGCTGGTCCGACCGTCAATCTCTCGGGAAGGGATGTTGGGTATCGTCAATTTCTGGATCCTGAGAAGAAGTGGTATAACAATAGAAGGCGAGCCGATTTTCCTCGCGCATCAATGTCAGCTCAAGCTCAAAGATACTAACGTTAATCTGTATGATAGGCTCATGGCCTTGAATGGATGGCTTCTCCTGCTGTACGTATCTCTTTGCTAGCGGCTGTACCCGCGACGATTAGATTCTGGAAGTTGGACTGATCCCTTCGTTCGTTTTGCGTATCGGTAGCCTCATCACTTCATCCACGAACGGTTATGATGGAAGTATGATGAACGCTTTGGAGTCGGAGGAGCAGTGGAACGATTTCTTCGGAAAGCCAGAGGGCTCAAAGCTCGGTCTCTTTAACGCTATTCAGGCAAGTCTTCGAAACCTATCTCCTTTTCACGCTTGTACGGAACATTAAATAGCTCGATGTTCCAGAATATAGGCTCTCTCGCCGGTTACCCGTTTGCTCCATACCTTGCTGATGGAGTTGGCCGTCGTGGGTCGGTGTTCTTCGGGGCTCTCATCATGTGCATTGCCGTCGCGATTCAGACTGCTGCACAGTCTATTGGGATGTTCATTGGCGCCAGGTCAGTGCAATACTTCGCATACAGTCCTGCTCTTCGTTAAACGACCCTCCATAGGTTCTTGATAGGATTCGGTTTGACTTTCGCCGGTGGGTACTGCTGCATTACGGATGCCTTCTTGTATCGCTGTCCTTACTCGAACTTTGCAATCTAGCAAACGCGGCCCCGATGCTTGTCACAGAGCTTTCATACCCTCAATACCGTGCCCCTTTGACTTCCATGTACAACTCTCTCTGGATCGCTGGCGCTGTTATGTGAGCTATGTCTGTCCAACTCCGCCCTTAACTGAAGCTTACTCCGCCTTGCTTAGCTCTGCCTGGGTCACGTTTGGAACGTACGTCTCCCTAGCGTGATAATCTCTCAGAATGTGTCACTCAATAATCCGTGCATACAGGCAATTCATAGCCGGAACCTGGTCCTGGCGTATCCCTTCCCTGATACAAGGCCTTCCGTCCATAATCCAGATATGCCTCGTCCTCTTCGCCCCCGAGAGTCCGAGGTGGTTGGTCAGCAAGGGGAGAGATACCGAGGCTATTGCGACGTTAGCTTATTATCACGCGGACGGGAACGAGTGAGTCCATGATAGATCTTCATAGATGCCGGTTGCCTCTAACTACTACGTCAACAGCAAGGACCCACTCGTCGTATACGAGTACGAGGAGATTAAAGCGGCAATCGAGTACGACAGATCTGGTATGTCTGTCTATGAGTCTCCCTTTCATTGTTCAACAAGTAATACCTTGACTCGGTGTATTTGTATTCGCGTGATGTAGTAGCACGAAATGTGGGATACAGATCCCTGTTCGCCACGCCCGGAAACAGACGTCGCATGCGAATCATCATCGCCTTAGCTTTCTTCAGTCAATGGAGTGGAAATGGTCCGTCTTCATCTATCACTCTTTGGCTACTCATCAAGAAGTTATGTGGCTGAATCGATTAGACAGGTCTCATTTCTTACTACTTGAGTAGAGTCTTTGACACAATTGGCATCACCAGCCCAGTCATACAAGTCCGTGCTCTTTTCTCACCTCACGCTAGAATATATCTGAGCCTCTTCTCTTGATCTAGCTCTTAATCAACGCCATCCTGTCCATGTGGAGCTTCTTCTGGGCAAGCTTTGGGGCCTTCACGGTCGAGCGTTTCGGCCGTCGATTCCTTTTCCTAACATCGGTAACGGGAATGACCATCTTCTTCATGCTGCAGACTGTTTGTTCTGCGCTGTATGCAGAGCATGGTTCGACCGCTGCCTCTCATAGCGTCATTGCCATGATATTCCTGTTCAACGCATTCTACGCGTATGTCCCTCTCCTTTCATACTAGACGAATTCATGCAACAGGACTGACTTTTAATGCGTACGTTCTGGTGAAATGCAGCGTCGCGTTCAGCCCCATTATTGTCTCGTACACGGTCGAAATTCTGCCTTACTCCATCCGTGCGAAAGGGTTCAACGTATTCAACTTTACGATCTCACTTGCCCTCATATTCAACCAATACGTCAACCCCATCGCCCTCAATAAGCTTGGCTGGAAGTACTACGTATGTCTTATACCCTCTTACCCCGACTCTCTTTCGCTTATCCCATATGATCGCGTGTCATGCGATGAAGATATTTTATGTATGCTGGCTGGCGTTCGAGGGAGTGTATTGCTATCTCTTCGTCGTCGAGACAAAGGGTCTTTCACTCGAGGAAACATCAGCGTTGTTCGACGGTGAAGATGCGACGGAGAATATTGCGAAGCATGCCGTCGAGCAGAGCATACACGAGCCTCATGCTGAAGAGGGTGACGACAGTACTGACGGGAGAAGCGAGAAGGGGTCTAGGAAGATGAGAGAGGACATCACAGAAGAAAAGGTGTGATTGGGAAGGTGTGGGGTCGAGTTGATAGCAATCTCTTATTGACAGAGCGGCTATCTGCGATGTCATCGTGAACTTTTGCATGGTGTAAAACCTAGCCAGATCAGGGTATTGCGTTCATAGAAAAACAATACTGCATCGCTTGTCTGCTTAATCCTCAAGGTCCGTCAGCTGAATCAGCTTCACCGTAGCTTCGGACCGGGGCTTGATGTTGCACTCGAACGGAAACGGATACCTGCCATGAACATAGTGCATTAGCCTTTGGCAGTTGATAGATGGGGTATCGAAGCCTACGCGACCAGCCCATCAACATAGTCATCGACGGGATCGATCTCGTCTCCTTTCTCGTTGACAGTTTTCGAGATGTCGAAGGAAGCAAGAATGGACACCACAGCTATCCACACTATAGGTGCGGTTCGTTCAAAGTTCGTCAACCAACCTGTCGAACGGTTGTTGTCAAAGTACAGAGATTGCAGGTGCCTACCAGATTCAAGCGCAAGGTGCATTCCGGGACAGATGCGTCTCCCAAACCCGAAAGCTGCTTCCGGCTTGTCCAATCGGGGATCGAGGAAACGTTCGGGCTTGAAACTCAGAGGATCCGCGTATACGGATTCATCGTGAAGAATTGCCCTGTTTGGTGCACGGAGCGATCAGAATTACCGCGTCCACAGATTGAGAACTCGAACCCGTACCATACGTTAGGGATAACTGTGGCTCCAGCGGGCAGAAAATAATCATTGTAGACATCGTCGACCATGAGTCGATGGTACACAGCAGTGGGAGTAACGTTCCGCCACCTATTTATAACCAACCGATGTTCAGTCATGAAGAAACACCTCAACTTAAACGCAAACGCATACCTCAACACCTCGTTCACCAGCGCGTCAACGTATGGAAGTGATTGTCGGTCATTCCAGTCTGGTAAGCGCTCATGGCCAACTACTAGGTCGATCTCAGCTTGTGCCTTTCTCTGAGCATCAGGATTAAGCGTCATAGCGAGAAAGAAGTCTTCGAGTGCACAGACAGTCTACGTTTTGATTGAACAGCCCATATCAGACGTCGCGCATGAAAAAGACTGGGATTATTGATAACCATGCATACCGTGTCGGCACCCCCTAACACCATGAAAACGTAAGTGAGAGCCTAATGATAGGACTAAAGATTGTGAGGAACAACACCTACCAAGATACCTGGCAGATATTCCCAGTCAGCACTCAGAATGGCCGTCGTTGTTGATATTCACAGTACATACATGTTAGAGGGAAGCTGCTTCGCAACAACCCTGTCCTGCTCCGTCGCCGACTGATCTTCAAGTCGCGTCAACAGCGCAGAAGCTACTGAAGGTGATACCTTCCCCTCTGCCTGCATGACCATCGATGATTAAAGATCACTAAAACATTAAACCGGTAGGATGTGAGAATACATACCATGGCCTTCTTTGTCACCTGCATCGGATCCTCAAGCATTGCCGTCGAAGCGTGACGCGCTTCCTTCGTCCGTGCATTCAGCTAGTATATAGCCCGTCTGCTCAACCTTTCCTCCCAGTAGTACCCGAAGCTGAATGTATTGCCTACCTCTGCTCCCGGAAACCATGATGGCATGTTCTTCACTGAGTCCAATACGAATTAACCGTACGAAACATCCCTAGAACTGGAGCGAGAACATACGTATAGGAAAGAAATCGTACATCGCAGCTTGGGGCATAGTCCCTAATAGAACTGCCCCTAGCCCCTTCTCGGCCGTCTCGACATGAGGGTCACCTTCAGATTTGACTTCGATGCCAAAGGCGATGGCGAGGATGATCGCACCTGCCATGCTGTTCTCGTTCATGACACAAACCGCACCATTGAGTAGACCGAAAATTGGACAAAAAGAGGCAGTGAGAGGAAGTGAACACGCACTGTCTGAGAGATGCAACAAAATTCTCCGGTTTCTCCATTAAGCTACGCAAAAGTCGATGGACAGATTTGCTCTCCAGCGGCCGGTATTCCTGCGTCGCATGAGTAAGTATATGTATTTTATCAACAGCGAGGCTTTTTAGTAGGCAGGGCATACGCACGATGACGGCGTCAGGAGACAGATACGGATGGAAACCTTTCCTCAACGCTCTAAATCGGTCTCCATACCGGCTAAACACCAGTGCCCAGTCAAACCCGAGCCTGCGTCGCCGCAAACTAGAGTTAGCTTAATGCATGCCTCAATGCGGCTCAAGAAACTCACAAATCTATCAGCATCGTATAAGAAGGGCGATCCGAATAAATTGCGCCCCGTTTCTCAAACAGCTCAGTCGCTGCTTTCGCAGAATTGACCACGATAATATGACTGCCTAACACATCCAGATGCACAAGGTCGCTTCCTGTCCAAAATTCCAAATATCATCAGTCAGTATTGCTTCTTCTTTGTTCCTCCGGATCCGTCACGTGTCGAGACTGACAACAGGAAGGGACTCACCCAAGTCTTTTCCCATACGCTCATAAGCCAACCACGTATGTCTGTTAGGCACGTGAAGGAGACTGCCTATGATGGGCAGGCGAGGTGGACCAGGCGGGTATCGAGCTCTCGCCATAAGGCTAGTATACCTTTTATAGGCGCACGAAACAAGGATAGCACAAACAAACGGGGCGACAAGACTAGTCGTGTAGAATCCTTCGAACATGATGGATACAACGAAGATCAGACGGCGAGTAGTCAGGGGAAAGAAACCTTCACGGTTTTTTTCCATCATGGACGCACTCATCGATTTATATAGCTTTCACCACGATAGCGATCAGCAGAAGACTGACAGTAAGCTTTTTCTCCAAAGCAATCTTATATGCGGCCGAGGAGACGGAGATTGAACTTAGCTGATACAAAAACGTCCAATGAGCATGCACACCCACAGGAGTGAGAAGAGGAAGCTAGACCTAGTATGTACGAAGCAAACCTAAGCTCACTGCGGTTTCAAAATGACCGAATGACGTCGGTCATAGTGAGAAGAACGCAAGTAGAGATACACAGCCCCGGTTTGTTGTCTTGTATTAGAACAACCTCGGAACTCAAATCTAAACCACCACGGCATGGCTCGAAGCAAGGCAAATAAACAATATTTGATATTTGATTGCTTCAATCATCCAGTTCGTCGCTTGTCAGCTGAATCAAGTTGTGAGCAGCTCCTGATCGGGGTCTAATGTTACACTTGAACGGGATTGGATACCTATCGAAGTGTGACCCGCCCGAAAAGTGGCACACCAGTCAGCAGTTACGACATTGACCCCAAAGACGGAGTGCCTACTCACGCGACAATACCTTCAACACAATCATCAACCGGTTCGATTTCTTTCCCGTTCTCGTCTCTAGCTTTCGAGATGTCGAAGGAAGCAAGAACGGACGCCACAGCCATCCATACTGACGGTGCCACCCATGATTTGGTCGCAACACGAAGTACATCTTTAGTGCATCGTACAGGGGTAAAGGCGAACAGAGAGCATACCAGATTCGCGCGCTAAATACATCCCAGGGCAAATCCTTCTCCCAAAGCCGAATACCATTTCGGGGAAGTCCACCTTCGAGTCGAGGAAACGTTCTGGTTTGAAAGCGAGAGGATCGGGAAACACGATCTCGTCGTGTAGAATAGCCCTGTACGACGGATGAGCGAAGTTTTGACTTGAGCTAAATATAGCGCACCAAATGTTGCCCACAACTGTCGATCCAGCCGGCAAAAAGTAGTCCTCGTAGATGTCATTCGCCGTCAGACGATGGTACACGCCCAGGGGTGTGATGTTGCGCCACCTATCGAGCAGTATCTCTCACCATAGTACCAGCCAGCAGTGTGCATCAATACATACCGTAAGACTTCCTTCACTAAGGCATCAACATAAGGCAATGACTGCTGGTCGCTCCAGTCGGGCAAACGATCGTGCCCCACGACTAAGTCGATTTCATCCTGGGCTTTCCTTTGAACCTCGGGATAGAGTGTCATCGCAAGGAAGAAGTATGCCAATGCACAGACTGTCTACAACCGCAAGGCATTTCAGCTGAATATCTGATGGTCGATAATGGTGTGGCCCTACGGACCGTATCGGCGCCACCTGAAATAAATTTCAACGATGCATAAAAATGAGTATCAACGCGATAAGGCAAGTATGAAAAGAGCAGAGCGATGTATACCAAGGTACCTAGGGAGAGTTCAGTAATCTTTGCCTTCACCATCTTGAGTTCTGAATAATGACTAACATATTTGAGGGAAGCTGTTTGGCCACGAGCTCCTCCACCTCCGTCTGTGGTTCGGTCTCGAGCTGTGTCATCATCGCGGACGCGACCGAAGACGATGCCTTCCCTGCTGCCTGAGTTGACAGCGCTCGTAAATTAGAAGCCATATAAGCGAGTAACGAGAAGAAGGGCAAACCATGGCGTCCTTCGTAGCCTGCATCGGACCATCAACCATCGCCTTCGAGAAACGACGTAGTCCCTTGGCCTCTTCCTTGAACTATCCATAAAGATTCCTTGAGACACAAGTATACCAAACAAGGGAGGATTGCTTACACCAGCACCAGGAAACCACGAAGGCATGTTCTTCACTATCAACAATCATCGTCAAATTGTGGCACGAAAGCCGACGTAAGACAAGTGAAAATAATTCACGTACGCATAGGGAAGAAGTCAAACATCGCCGCCTGCGCCGTACTCCCCGCAGAAATAGCCTCGAGCCCTCTTTCCGCCGTCTTTACGTGTGGATCGTTTTCAGCTTCGACTTTGATCCCGAAACCAATGGAGAGGATGATCGCTCCCGCCATGCTGTTATCCGCGCCACAAGTCACTACTGAGTACGCCACCTTACGCCACCCAACTAATCGGTTCGATGCTCACTGTCTGAGATGTCCAACAAACTCCTCTGGTCTGTCCGCAAGGTTACGAAGAAGTTGATGGATGGACTTGCTTTCCAATGGTCGATATTGCTAACGTCAACGACACCATATCAACATTGACAGTTCGAGTCTAGCCCAACAGCTAAGAGAAAGACTCGAAGGGGACTGACCGTGACAGCTTCCGGGGATAGATAAGTATGGAACCCCTTCCGGAACGCCCTAAATCTGTCTCCGTACGGACAGAAGACGAGCGTCCAGTCGAAGCCGATCCTAGGTGGACCCATAAGGTCGTCGAGTGGACATGGGAACTCAGCAACGGGTGCGATATATTGTGAAGAATGAAATGGGCTCACAGGTCTGTTAGAGCCGTAAACGAAGGTCTACATGAATCATGATATAAGTGTCCTCATCACCAACGCAAGTGGGGGTATGAATAGTAAGAAAAAACGCACCGATCCGAATATATCGCCGACCTCTTCTCAAACAGCTCATTCGCGGCCTTCGCAGAATTGACCACGACTATATGACTCCCGAGCACATCGAGGTGTATCAAGTCGCTCCCTACGTTCCCATCAGTCAATCCCCCAATCCTCAAAAAACCTGATGTAATATGCCATGAAGATCCCTGCTCACCGTACTGCTTTCCCATCCGCTCATACGCCAACCATTCATGATCCTTCGGAACGTGTAGAAGACTTCCAACGAAAGGGAGACGAGGTGGACCGGGTGGGTATCGTTTCCCGGCTCTTGCGTCGTTAGACCTTCGATACACGTACCGGACCAGGATAGCACAGAGAAGGAGAACGACGAGACTCTGGGTGGATAGGCCTTCGAACATGACGGTGAGTGTTCCCAAGCAGTATCACAGGTCAACAGTATATGTAGCGTTCTCGAGTTCCTCTCTTATATCAGTCAACGCAGATCGCTCGATAGTCGTTTGAAGGTCTTATCCAATCTGGCTTTGAAGTCTCCACGATACCCACGAGAGGTCTTGAATGACGCATGTAGGTTGATTTGACGCTGGGAAACCCACCGTCCGCAAGAAGCAATTCTCGAGCAGAAGTTTGATAGGGGCGTTGTAAGAAAACCTTATGTTAAAAGTCAGAGGCACTTGGTGCAACCGTTCATGTAACCTGTGGTGAACGTCAATCAGCAGTGGCGGATGACACGAGCGATAAAAACTCACCTATTGTCCCATGAGTTCCGACAGGGTATTTACGAGACAAGATGGAGGCAGACGAAGTACTCTTGCACGGACGCAAACACGGCAAACTCGAGCTGGCTAAGATATCATATGTACGGGAAGCGTACTGTGGGGCCACGAGGATACAAGGAGACTATAAGATTTGAACTAAGGGGGCGAAGTAAGGTTCCATGAAAGGCTCAAATAAAACACGCAGACTCGTACAGGCCGACCACCAACTTCGGCAGAAAGAAAGAAAAAAAATAGCGGCGAAAGCGACGGAAGACATGGAACGGACTGAGTCAGAACTAATGCGAGGACAAGTGCAGCAAAAAGATAATCATAGGGACAGAGCAGAATGAATGAATGAATCACGACCGAGTCGGAGCTAACGGTACAGGATAACAAAAACGCAGGGAACGTACAATATTAGTTTCAGATACCACGAGCGCACAAAGAATAGTGCAAGTGCAATCATTAGCCCAGAGGATCACGCAAGAGAATTAAGTACCGAACAATCGCTGCACAGGCGGCACAACGGCCGTCAGGACCCTCACCGCGACATGATACGGCAAGGTCACCACATCCTGCACAACCTCCACGAAGGCCCTCTGTGGCGTGGGTTTGGCCGGCTTCTTCTTCCGCCCACGAGTCTGTACATGCGCCTGGATACCAGGTTCATCGTCTTCCGCGAGGGGCGTAGGGGATGTGACTAGCTGGTCCACGAACTTTGGATCCTCATCGTAATCGGTTTCGGAGAACGTCTCGCCGAGGAGACCTTCTGACGCATCCTCCTGGATGGTCTCGAGTGTTTGGAGAGAATTGATACGGTGAACGGGTGACTTCGGGTTGGGTGGGGAGACGGATGGGGTTTTGGTGGTCTTCACGGAGGGAGAGTGTAACGCGACCGGAACGGTAGCGAAGTTGAGGGTTATGATGGACCAGCAGATATACGTGAGACGGAGGAGGAATGACAGGAGGGACGAAGATCCAGCTTTGTCCGGGAAGGGTGCATATTGTGCGGCTGGCACTGTGTGGCTCATCCTGTCGGCTCGTTTGGTGTGTGAGACCCTCGAAACAGTCTTTTCCAAGGCGCTGAGCCGAGCCTCTTGCGAGTTGCGAGAGGATTCGATTTTTCGATCCTGTCGGCGAACGGTACGCTCTACATCGTCTAGTGCGGTATTGAGATCGTCGTACGCCTCCTCGACTTTGTCGCGTGCGGCCATAGACTCCTTGAGAGTAGCCAACTCTTCTTCAAGATGCTCCATATGTGAGACGAGTGAATCGAGCTTGGTGTCGGCGACTAGTTGCGTGGCAGGTGAAGGGTAGTGTATTGCGTCATGCAGTGAGTCGGTACGCTCACGAAGGCGAGCAAGGAAGTGTGACCAGGGCCGAACACCGGTGGCGAGGACGTATAGGGTCGTACTGAACCACGATAACGTACCGGCGCCGCTGAGGGTTGTAAGAACGTAGCGAAGAAGAGCAGCTCCGAGAAATGGGGACACGATGGAGAAGGCAAGATATATGAGCTCGTGCCGATAGAGTTCGGTGGCCGCGAGGCGCACTTGACGGTCAATTGCTGCGTTGGAAGGGCTATAGGGAAGTGTGGACGGGTGAGGACGACGTGCCCGAGCAGAGTGGTAAAGCTCCCATGGCACTGGTTATATAAAAATAAGAGTTATGATGATGTCCTAAGAATAGATGAAGGAAGCCAACCTTGAATGAGTTGGTGGAGGTAGATGATGAGGAGAAGGATGAGAAACAAGTTCTTCAGATGGTCGTTGCCCGTGAGCCAGTTTCCAATGGGTGCTGCTAATGCGACGACAACAGATAGGTCCAAGTCGGTCCACGACGACTTCGTGCCGTGTGCGACTGGAGGTGATGAGTTGGGTAAGACCGCTTCCGCCCTAATACTGCTCGAACTCCTTCGCCTCGTCCTCGACACCGGGCGCTCCTGTGGCGGGCTGTCGCTCTCGTCGCCACTCATCTCACTAGAAGGATCCTCGCCAATGGATGAAAACGAGTCAAGGTGTGGCGGCGTGGAGTCTGCTTCGCCTGTACATTGCAGTTTGGAGGGAAAATGTTGAGTGCTGCCAGTAAGTGAGGCCGATGCGTCGCGACTTTCACCCTTGAGGATTCCGGCTGAGGCTTTTGTAGGCGTCCGTTTGGTCAAGCTCATCGTCGACGGCGAGCTACAGATGATGAATGACGGTGTTCATGGAGGAAGACCCTTCGCCTCAGTCTGAGTACAGTCGGTGGTCGCGCGAGCAGAAACGATGACGACGAAGAACGCGCGGAAGCGAGACGCGTCGATGAGCCACGTGTAAGGCACGTGGTGGAGGGTCTATTTTCGGCCTCCAACGAGGCGCACCCTTCCTCCTCGACTTTGCCCTTCAAAGCGCTCTCGAAGAACCGCCACAGAGCCAGACTCGCTCGAGCTATGCTATGCCTCGGGATCTAGCGAACGTCATAGAAAGATATGTCTTGCGTTATACGTTATGCAGTGGAAATCTGAGACTCTAGGCTAACGTCTTCTGGGAATTCGCTCCGACATGCGGCCTGCAAAAGTCTTTGTACTTACCCAATTCAGCCATCTCTCAGCCATTTCGGGACGGTCCTTTGCCTGCACCCGTGCCGCGCCTATACTCTGGAACCCCTTCTCACTTCACAGGGTCGCTAACGAGACGATTCTGACCTTGACTTTGTGTCTAATATGGTTACTCGCGTTTCTCGCTCACCATCTTACCCGGCTTCGACGCACACACCCCCAGTCGTCCTTCCCTCTTAACGGTCATATCCTCTTATATTCTCGCGCTGGCTACGCGTCTTCTTTTTTTCTTGCTCTTATTGCAACGCGCTCATTTTGCTTGCTGACGCTTACGCCCTCCTGCTCTTAGCAACCTATCTTCCTCCTCAGGAATCTTGGCTATCCACTATGCGCGCTGAGCTGCCTGTGTTGTCTTTCCTCCCTGTGCTGCTCTTCATGCTCGTTCTCCCGGGACAGCTCAAGTCGACGTCTATCCCCGCCATATCAATCTTTTCCTGGCTTATCATCTGTAATATCATTCACGGAACCAATTCCATCCTATGGGCGGGAAACGTCGACATACACGTTCCAGTCTGGTGCGACATCGGTCGGTCTCTGCACATTCTAAAGTATAATTACCTCGCTCATTGTTTCCCTCGCAGTCACCAAAGTTATTCTGGGTGGAATGGTCGCCGTTCCCGGCGCGTTTTTGTGTATCGCACGGCGACTCGACTTCGCCTCGTCCAAGCAAACGACGATATCGAAAACTCGACACACTATTTTTGAAGCGCTTATTTGTATCGCTCTCCCCATCGTGTACATGGCGTTGCGTACGTGCTTGTTCTGTGCTCAATGTGATAGAACCGTGATGGTAAGATGGGCGCTGACTGTGAATTGATCCCATAGATCCGCTTGTACAGGACCGTCGGTTCATCATAGTCCAGGATTTTGGATGCCGCGCTGCCATTTATAACTCATTGCTTGCATTGCTACTCATACGAGTACCTCCTTTCTTGCTATCTCTCATTGCAATAATCTACTGTTGTAAGTAGAATGCCAATGCTGTCTGTCAAAGCCACAGTACCTGACCTTCCTTCGCCCCGTTATACAGTGTCTGCATCATGGAACATCTATCGCAACCAGCGCAATCGCACACCCCTCCTCCCTTCTGCTCCCCTAATGACGGCATCCCTTTTCATTCGCCGCACCGTCTTCATCTCACTCGGCATGATCTATATCACTACGATCTACCTCTACATCATCACTCAGACGACCCAGACCAGCCTTGACACTATTCCCCCAATTTCTCAAGTCCGCGCTCATGCGTCTGAGATCGATGTCCCAAATCTTGACCCTATAAGCTTAGTGGAAATCGAACTAGTATGGTGGGCGATACCTATATTGTCGTTGGCCATGTGTATGCTCTCAGCACTTGGGGAGGAGACTAGGAAGGGCTATAAGGGAATCATCAATTGGTTCTCTCGGCGATTCGTCGGGAGAAACATTCTACCCATACAGTACGTTCCCATGTTCATCCTCACTCCGCAACCTATCACTGAGCACCGATGCTTTTCTTAGCTCCAAATTCGGAAACGCATCTTACGGCGAGCCCACGACCCCCATACACCTACTTCGCTCCGGCTGGGACAGCGACCTCAATACTAAATCCTCCTTCGCTTCTCTCACAACCGCATCCACAATCAAGAAGAAACCGGTTTCGTACATCTCCACCGCAGACTCTGTCCTCCCTCCTTCCGACCCTCACCGCACCGGACAGACTAGCCCCAGTTCCCCTGTATCTCCAGAACTCGAAGCGTCCTTCACAGAGTCTACACTGCACTACCTCGAAACGAACACCGCAAAGCAACTCAGACTGCCTTCTCCCCCACCTACGAACCTCACCCACTCTCCATCCCCGTTCGGTCACAACGAATCATTATGCAATGCCATCGGCGTAGACTACCCTTCGCTCTTGATCCCGCCCTCACATCTGACTGATGTACCCGAAGGAGCTTCGCCCGCCACCTCCATTATCTCAACAGTCGCATGGCCCGAGCCACCCCGTCAAATCCCATCACCTTCCTCTGCTACTTCTCCATTCCAACACGAACAACCTCCTTCACCATCGCTCTCACACCCTTACTCCGCAGCTACCCCAGTCATCATCACCTCTGACTTCGAAGAAGATCATGCACGCAGAGCACCAAGCCCCGCAGGAACCTCCGTCACAGAGTTCCTCGACTCGTATGCTTATTTGCAGCATGAGAGCGACGCGCCGTTTAGTAATATTGGACCGAGCGTCATGAACGTTCCTATTAGACCGATGAAAGAGGTGCAGGATTTGAGGAGGGTGGGGTCAGCGACTTCGATCAAGAAGGGTATTCAGAGAGCAAGGTCGCCGCTGACGGTAGGTAATAAGGGCCACAGTCACGGACAGAGCTCGGAGGGAGAGGTCATTTATATGACTGTGGTCAAGGAGACTTCGGATTCGTAGGTATGGTGCACTGGTGCTAGACGCTCTCATCGTTGAACTTCTTGGCCGTTTGAAACGCGCCGTTTCCTTTCCTTGATCGCGATTCCAGTTTACGACTGCACTGGTATACTAGGACTTCTCTCCGGTTTAATGGTGGTGTTCTTGAATGTCCTCTCGCTTTTTGCAACGACCATATACCTTCGACCTTCGTCACATCGTACATTGGATGCTGTTTCGTACGCACATATCTACCCCGCTGTATTATCTTCTCGCTATCGTCAGATCGCTCTGTCTCTTCTCTGTCTTAAATATCTGACCCAACTTCCAGCCCACTCTCCAAACCGTGTATCTATGTAGCTAGCACCCCGTATAGATCGTTTTCGCTTTTACTGCCCATAATAAGAAACAAATCAGAATTATAATGTTCCTAGAGCGAGCAATTTTTTCTTTGTACGACGAGGTCGGTCAACTTGGTCTCCACCACGCCGCTCACTGAGTGCCTCGTGGCATGCGCTTCCTTATTGTTTTTCGCAACGGGAGGACGAAACACGTGGGAAGAAGGGAAGTGCAAGACAATAAAGCAAGCTCGGCGACTGCCCGGTACGAACAGCCATATAATTACAGTGGCAACGTCGACATCCTTGCTTCGTCCCTCTTTGCTCTCTCCCATCTTCATGTCCTCGTCATTCTCGCCGCCATTCGAGTGCATAGCGACGCACCGCTCCGCAACATTTCACAGCGACAATGTACACATACATGACCACAACGCCCACGAATCCCGAAACGCCATACTCCCACTCCAATTGGAACGCTTTTAGGTGCGCTCCCAAACTACTTCAAGTTGTTACTCAGATGGGATGAAAGGGCACGCTCCATGCAACGGATGGGCCTGACGACTCGGATGCTTACTTTGCGAGACCCTCGCGCTTATCTGCGCGAAGTGAGCAAAGTAATCATCGCGCGTTTCTCCCAATCCTGGAACAATGTCCTCTACATTCTATACCCAGCCCTTTTGCAACGAGCATTTGCCGTCTATCTTCCGTCGACTCTTGGTAGCCGACCCTACGATTCTACGCTTTTCTCAGACTGGCGTTCCACGTTCTTCTTCGAATGTACCTTGTCCACATGGGCCTCAGACTATCTCAGGTTTTCGCGCCGGAGTGTACTATTGGGTATGGTGAGTTCTCTATGTTATGTCCTCCCTACCCACTCTCAGTTTCTCGTGATGTTTGTCTTGCCTTGGATAGTCGCTTTGAACCATCTTTTAGACTTCTGTATGTCACCCCCTTTGACTTCCATCACGATGTTTACCCCATCGGCCTTCCGGCGCCGTGTCCATTACTTACTCGCAACGTGCAAAGGCCGTCACGCGTCTACCCTATTTTTGCAGGCCCTGTCCTCGGTCCGTGTATCCTATACATGGGCAAAAATCCCACCGCTTTTTGCGAGAATTCGCACTTCCGGATGCATTTACCGCTGGAATTTCATATTCTGACGTGATCCCGAACGGCCCAATAGGGCAATTTCCAAGGTGTGTCCCAAACTGGGTCGAGTTCCTCGGCTCGTTTGAGTAGCTTCAAAGAGACTTCTTGACGACCCCTCTTACGCAACCGAAGCTAGGGCACCCTATGAAGTGCCGGTCCATGAGAAAAGTACGGACTCGACATTTGAATAGCCGAGAACCTTCGAACTTTGACAAAATACAAGGGAGTTGGACGCTTTCGTGCAGAAGGCACAATCTCTGCGCGATTTCGCTCATAAGACTGGCGCTCCGCTGCATGCCTCTTGGTTTTTTCTTCCTTCTTCACTGCCTTCCCGCGAGTCTGCCCCCTTTCGACCCGCTGCGAGGCTATCTGTCCCGCCCCCACGCGCGCGACAGATCATCCCGCTCGACGCAATCTCCTTAGCTGGCACTTGAGAGCGTCAACTCGACATCAACACACAACTCCACAACCCGACACCAATCACACCGCACCGCACAGCCTATCCAGGATGTCATCTTCAACCCTCGCACCGTTTGAGCCTCCGAACCATGTTTTCTCTGCCTTTTCTTTTATCGCGTTCGTCATGTGCGCAGTGCCCGCTTACTGGCACCTGGAAGGTGAGCATTTTTTGGACATTATCGACGCGCCATCAATTTTGACACGGACGGACGCGTTTTGTAGCTTGGAACACGGGCACCCTCCTGTACATGTTTTGGACGGGAGTTCCGGTCCTCAACATGTTCATCAACTCCATCGTTTGGGATGGGAACGCGTTGAACTCGGCGCCAGTATGGTGTGATATCTGTACGTCCTTTTTCCCGACGCCCTGATGGCGACTTTTCTCCATCGGCTAACGAGCTTTGCGCGGGTCGATAAGCCTCCCGCATCATCATCGGTTCGAATGTCGGTATCGTTTTGTCGTCCCTTTGCATCAACAGGCGTCTTTACAAGATCGCGTCGGCCAAGAGCGTGGTGAACACGGCGGAGGACAAGCGCAGGGCGATCATTATTGATCTCGCGATAGGTCTTGGTATACCGCTCATTCAGCAGGTCATGTGTAAGTTTTCAAGATGTGCTGCTCGAGCGTGATGTGGACACGTCGCTGATTGTTGGTACAGACGTTATCGTCGAGGGTCACCGCTTCAACATCGTCGAGGACGTCGGCTGCTGGCCGGCCCCCTACGTGACCCCTGTCGCGATTGCCCTTATCTTCACTTGGCCGGTTGTCATCGGAATGATCTCCATTACTTACTCCGGTGCGTGTTTTCTCTCGCTCAAGTTAGGCTTGTTCTGACATCGGTATTGTTTTCAGCCAAGACGGTCCTGCTGCTCTATAGGCATCGCCGGAACTTCAAGAGTCTTATTCAGGCCAGCCACAACCTGAACAGCTCTCGTTACATTCGCCTGATGTGTCTCGGCGGCATCGAGATACTCACTCTTCCATTTGCCGCCTGGGCCCTCGCAGTCAACATCCAGGACGGAGTCTTCCCCTGGATCTCCTGGGCGGACACGCACTCTGATTTCGGCCGCGTCGTACTCATTCCCGCCGTACTGTGGAGGTCCGACTCCCTCAGCGTGATGAACTTCGAGATATACCGGTGGTTCCTCGTCCTGGCCGCGTTCGTGTTCTTCTCGTTCTTCGGGTTCGCGGATGAGGCGAGAAAACACTACCGCTTGGTCTACACTTCCGTCGCGAGCAGGCTCGGGTACTCCACCGCTTCGATGTCGTCTACAGGGTCTTCTTCTGGGTACGTCACATTCCAGAACGTAGAATGCACATCACATATCACATCCTCGTGTTCGGGCGTTTGCGCAGCATGTGTACTGATCTGCGTCTCCATTCTTGCAGCAATTACAGTTTTTCGAAGTCCAGGGACGATCATTTGTCCGGTGGCAAGAAATCCGTACTCCCCGCTTTCCTCAAGACCAGCTACCCCCTACCCAAGAGCGCTCAGAGGAAAAACGACCCACTCGGCGAGACCCTCGACAGCAGCTTCGACCTCGGCACTGGGGACCTCAACATCGACACCTCTGGGAATTCATCGAACTTCGGCATGGCTGTCACGGGCCGTCGTGGGGATGTTGACCCTGAGAAGGGGGATCAGAAGCCATGGTCGCCAACAGATACGACGGCATCGTCCTCGATGTCGCACCTTGAGCACTTGAGGGACGAGTACGAGAAGGAGCTCCCGCAGAGGCCACAGGCTGCGTTCGACTCCTCTAGACTGCCGACGAGGTCGACAAGAGAATCGCGTCCGTTGTCAACGCATACGATCTAAGATCCGTTTTTTTTTCTTTTCATTCTCCGTCTGAACTATTCTTCCCACTCCTTTAATTTTCTTTTTCAACCTTATCTTTGGGCGGATTTGTCTCTCCTTTTTATTGTTCATTATACTTTCCCGATCACCACAAAAGCGATATCCTTCGATTCCACCCGTCGCTGGTTAATCAACGCTTCATCTCACCACAAATTTGACTGGCTTGACATTCCCCACTGTAGTTTTAGCAACCCTTTTTACCCCCCACCGCGCCACCAATCCGCAATTTATAGCGGCATACCCCTTCGCGTCGGCATCCTTTGCGCTTGGTTGAACCTCGTCTTTGTTGTGTTTGTGCTATCGATGTTCCCATTAGTATCTGTTTGGTTAGCTCTCGGATCTCGGAATAACTGTAGCCACATATCGTCTCTCCTCCTCTCGCACGTACTGTGTATCTCTGCCTCCCTCATCTCTACTCGCTTTCTCCCTGATGGTTACAGAGATATACTCGTACCCTACTAAACTCACATTTCACATAGAATGTTGATACGACTTGACAGAATATATACGACTAGAAAATATGAGCCGATTGGCAACTTTACTAGACCTGATCTTGTGATGCGCATGGTGGATGTCAGTGAGGCGTGTTCAGCTGGGATGCGATACTTTGTTTGACAAGGTGTGGCACCGTGAGACTGTTTTCTGACAATTTTTACACAACAATTGTGGCGTGAGTTGGTCGTTCGGAACGCACCCAACACCCAAACTCCTCTCCCTTCGCTCATTCCAAGTTCCTCCTGCTGAGGACGCAATATGAGCCAGCGACGCACACTAGGACTCCCTCACTGTAAGTAGTACGTGACAACTACATACCAGACCGCCGGCTGTGAAAATTTACTTCCGACTTTGTTGAACCTCCTTCTGCCCTAAAGTACCTCCTTTACCGCTTCAAGTTACTGCACAGATTTACCTCCGTCAGGATTTTCTTCCGCTTGAATCTCGTGCTTAGATCTCCTTCCGTCAGCCATCACTTGTTCACTACGACGACTCGGCATGATGAATGTCACCAACGACGCCTTGACTCTCCGCTCCGACGCCCCCACCACCGATCCTGGCCTTTCCACGTCTAATTCCTCGACCATCTAGTGCATCTTCCTTCACTCTTCTCAAGTCTTCCCGGCGCTTGCCCCCAATGCCATGGCGTATCGACTACACGCACGCGGGTGCCACATCACCTTGCCCTCTAACGAACTTCTGAGCTTTCACAGGTGCCCGTCCAGAATTCTGAATGGACGTGCCTGCTCCCACTGAACGCTCAGTGTTTTCAGGAGTGGGAGGGCAGAAGACCTTGTCGTATTGATAGCTGCAAACCCAAACAGATACCAGCTGGTGTCGTGATGCAGGCAGGAGTACTTTGTCCCGAAGAATAACTCGTCAGACGTCGTTATCCGCGGAGCATCTGACGAGCTGGCGTCAATTAGTTTCGCTGAAGCTCGTAGCTCCTTCAAACTAAGGGCATACCAGGGTATCACAGTACTGGCTCGCTCTTCTTATCTGGTCATGTTGCCGTCCGGGACGCTCATGGATAGTTCATGTGTTTCAACCATGAGCTCCTTTACCAATCATCAAGCCGATAGAAGAACATATAGCTCCACCAAGTTCTCATAAGCGTGCATTGTCTGTCTGGTGTGCTGGTTACTTTGTTCTTTCGCCTATGTCTTCTCCCAAGTACCTTGCCGCACTCGACATCGCCGCCTCTGCCTTGTCTGTCCTGCTGTTTCTCAAACTTTTCACTTTGCGTTCCTCTCGTAAGCATGCGTTTCCACCACCAGGGCCCAGACAACTGCCTATTATCGGAAACCTTCTCGATTTCCCCAGTCACGATCATGGAGAACGATTGGGCCGGCTCAGAAAGCAGTACGGTAGGTCTCTCTCGGATTACTCGTTATTTTTTTTTGTCCCGCAACTGAACGCCGGCTTCTCATCCAGGTGATCTCATGTCTCTGCGCATGATGGGTCAAACTATCATCGTGATCAACTCCGCCCGCATAGCGAGAGATCTTCTGGATAGACGAGCAAGGATATGGTCTGACCGCCCGGTGATCCCCCTTCTCCAGCTGTTCGTCGCATCTCAATGTCCCACCGGACCACATCCTCATTCTCCAAATGCATAGGATGCAGCTTTATGAGTGGAACACTACCTTCATACCAGAGTCGCCAGATCATCGAGCCCAACGACGCATTGCGGACCGATACCTTCGACCAAGTGCCCTCATCCCATATCGCCCAATGATACGCTGTAGAGTTGATGAGTTGCTCAGATCGTTGCTGCACGGACCTAATGAATTTAAAGGGCATTTGAGATAGTAGGTCGTCACTTCAAAGTATGATCTCACTGGGAATTGATCAAACTTTTGATGCTGAATGTAGCTTCATGACGGGCGTGATTATGTCAATTGCCTTTGGGTATAATCTGAAAGGCGAAAAGGATGTCTATGTTACAAAGACAGAGGCCTTCGCGGAAGCTATCATCGATAGTATGTCTCCAACTTCAAGTATCGTAAACGTTTTTCCAATACGTGCGTACCGTCCAGTGCTTTTATGACTTCCATGGTGAGCTAACTCCTGTTCCAAGTGAGACATTTGCCAACCTGGATACCTGGGATTGGCAAGATGCGTTACGTCGACGAAGTCAGGCGCCTAGGACTAGAAATCAGAGAGGAGCCATTCGACTTCGTCAAAAAGAGCATTGTACGTATTCTGTCCCTTTTCTGAGTCCCGAACCGTCTAGTTACCATCTGAACACTGCGTACGATGATCTAGTCGGATGGTACGGCTGAGCCTTCGCTGAGTCGCCATAGCTTCATGATGGCGGAGGAAGACGGGCAACTCTCTTCGAAAAAGAACCAGGAGCATACTAAGCATGTCGCTGCTTCCCTTTACGGAGGTTCATATTATTCTCCAGATCCCATTGCTTCGTTGTTCATAAGCTAAAGTGTTCGTCATTGACGCTGCCCTTTCTAGCTGGCGTTGACACGGTGAGATTGACAATCTCTCGTCGTATTGAACAATTCTCTGATCAAACGCACGACGCATCCAGACCGGCGTAGCTCTGACGAACCTTGTCCTGGCTCTTTTGCTTTACCCGGAGGTGCAGCGTAGTGCTCAAACACAACTCGACTCTGTGGTCGGTCGTGAACGACTTCCCAGTCTTGATGACCGAGGCAAACTCCCGTATATCGAAGCCACGTGTAAGGAGCTCCTTAGGTGGAGGTTGGTGACACAGATAGGTGTGTATGTTAAATCAATGAACAACTTCTACTTTTCTGAAACTCATTTTCCGGCTTCTAAACATAGGTATTGCGCACGCTACCAAAGACGATGATGTCTACGATGGATACTTCATCCCCAAAGGTAAGCACTTAAGTTTAGATTTTGCGTTATACCATCGGTAACATACGGGCCTCATAAAAATTGAATAGGATCCATCGTCTTCGCTAACCTATGGTAAGATCAGGACGATCCAACTCGAGTGCCGCCCCCACTCACTTCACTCGCAATATTCTTTCTACTCAGGGCTATGCTACACGATCCTGTCAGATATCCTGACCCTGAATCTTTTCGACCCGAGCGTTTTCTGACACCTTCGGGGGAGTACAACGATGACCCTCATATGGCCGTCGCTTTTGGCTTTGGGCGCCGGTGAGCATTCTTCCTTCACATTTCTGGTTCAGACCAGGGAACGTGGTTGATTGGTCCAAAGGATCTGTCCCGGTCGTCATCTCGTGGACGAGATTCTTTACACTTTCGTTTCCTCGTTTCTATCTGTCCTCACCGTCGAGAAAAAGAAGGACGAAGACGGGAACGAGATTCCAGTGTCCGGCAAACATGCTGTGGATGTGGCGCTCAGGTCTGTAGCTTATTAAAATTCGTTTATAACCCAAGCGGAATCCTCACACAAAGGGATCTATCCAGTCAGCCTCTTCCATTCGAATGCTCGATATTACCGCGGGACAACAGAGCCTCACAATTGATACAGTCAACGGGAGATGGGCAGGAGAACTAAATAAAGGGGATCAGGGTCTAAGTCCCAGGGTATCGACGGTGCCAGAACGGGCGAAGATGGTATATTATACCTCCTTTTGAATCAAAAGCCATGTAATAGCATCAATCCAACCTGAGCTCTTCATTCCGACCCTTACCCACCGCTTTGCATACCTGCTCTCCCCTTCATCTCCCTTTACAGCCGCTAGTACGTATGTATGTGGCGGCCTCGTATATTGCCTTCGCTCCAAATTCCTTCAACTTAGCGTCTCGATCAATGCTTCCGACTCCCTTTGAAGCTACGTTAGCGTCCTCTCCACATGAATTCTAACCATCGTCAGTGACACCCGCCTCACCCTGGAACTCCTTACATCCGAGTCCGAGTGTCAGTGCTAAGCTCGACTCATCTGGATTCTGAACCACGCCTCAAATCACACTAAACCGAGCTAAATGAGGAGCATAAAGCATAGCATGCATTGTCATATATGTAGAGCGTATTTTTGTGAGCCTAGCGTGGAGTTCGAACTACGGTTTTGTGGTGTTGTGTTATGGGTCGTCAAGCAAGAATAGACGGGTATGTACAGTACTTATGAAGAGCAGCAGGGAGAAAAAAATAGACAGAGTATGTACAGCAGGGTGCTTGAAGTTGTATGATGCGAAGAAATGGTTGATGGAATGTGTTTGATTGGGATGGTAGAGAGAAAAATTATTGGAGGGCTAACGAGGCGCACGGCGCCGAAACGAGTAATGATTTACGATGTGTAGTATAAGGTCCATCCGAAGAGAGCCAAGATGTGAGAAGAGATGACGAGATGATACGAGATGAATTGTGAGCGAGAAGTGTGAGGGGAAAGAGACCAATGTGGGTATATCTACAGGAATATGCAATGCAAAAAGCCAGAGCCAGAACCAGATGATGGACGTGGTATAGATACAGTAATGTACAAATGAGAGTCAGAGATGATGATGTGCAGGTATGCAGATAGATGTTCGGTGTGTATGCAAGATGTGAGACGTGAAGTGAGATATGAAGACGAGGAGAATGGAATATGCAGTGTGGAGTGGATGAGATGATGTATAAATGTGTATGTTGTATGCATGTGTAGATGTAAACAGTGCAATATGGACAGAGAACGACGAGGGTGAGTAGAATCTGAGCGAGAATTAAATGGAAGTTTAAAGTACTTCAGAAACAGTGCACAATGCGATGAGAACAGAGTGGATGATGCAACAAGGAGCAAGGAGATACGGAGAAAGGCAGTAGTCCATGAATATGAACATGCGAACGTAATTATATGGTTTTAGAATTGAAAGATCCCCGACGGGGCAGCGCAAGAAAAGAGACGAGTCTGGACAACGCAGCATGAGAGGCCTACCTTCTCGACACTCAGTACTCCATATCCCCGTTATCTTCACCCTCTCCACCCTCCTCTTCCTCCTTAGTTTTTCCCCCTGTACCCGCATCCATATCCGAGTCGCTCTCCTCAGGCGATGCGGACTTGGCCCTCGTAATCGTGCCACACCCATGCTCAGTATCCGACCCAGCCTCGGATTCCTGCCCTTGGTTTCGCCCCGCAGCAGACGGTTTTGCTGTTCCCGTCCGGCTGCCCGATCCAGTCGCCGGACTAGGACCCAACACAATCTCAGACCACGACCTACACACACCACCCCTCTCACCCCTCGAAGACCCAACCTCTCCCTGTGCCTTGAGTGCTCCGTATCTCGTCCCAGTCGGAATATTGCCACTCGACGAAGGCCTCCTCCCTAATGCCTCATCCAACTCATGGCCACGATAACGCTGCCCCACAAGTCCACCCGCACTCCTCGGCCTCATATCCATCTCCATGTCATGATCACGATCACGGTCATTGCAGTAGTCCGAGTTCACGGAAGGCGACACCGAACGAGGAGGACCTCCCGCATTGATACCAGCACCCACACCGGACCTCGGAGCCACACCAGACATTTGCGCCATAGCAGGCACAGGGCTGATGCTCGTCCTCGCCGTGTCCGCAGTCCGCGCCCCGTTCCCCAGGCCGTACGAGTACGAGTAGTTCGACGTCGTGCTCGAGAGGGTGTGCGATGACGACGGACGATGATGGTCGGGCTCGTAGTTGTACTGGAATCGGGACTGCGCCTGGGACTGGGATTGGCGTCCAGCCCCGGAGTGACGTCGTTCGCGTTCGAAGGAGAACGTCGGGGAGTACGATCTGCCTGGCCCTGAGAGGCCTGCGGACCTGTCAAGGGAGACTTCTTCGTAATCGTCTTCGAGCTTCACCCGCACGGCACCGGCGGGAACGATCGCGTTGGAAATAGAGGCGGAAGGGGGAGGTGGCAGCCTTCGAGTCTCGTTGACTTGGCTTGCTGTGAAGCGCGCGCTTGAGGTCGTGCCGCGAAGATGAGGAGCGGAGGAGCGATGGATGAGACCCAGTGGGGAGAGAGGCGAGGAATGATTGTATGGGTGATGATGGGAGTGAGAATGGGAGTAATGGTGGTAGTTGTAGCGCTCCGAGGAGGAAGACCGGTCATGCATTGCCAAGAGTTGACGAGGCGACGGGAGTACCTGAGAATGAGCATTCACGGTCGAAGACTCGCGGTGGGATGCTGAGGTCTGTGGGTACGACGCGTGAGGATGGGGTGCTAGATATTGAGGGTAGGTTCCGTGGTGATACTGAGAATGGGGAGGAGGAAGGTAGGGAAACCGAGTGATGTGAGGTGGTGCGGAGGTAGGTTCAGCCTGGTATACATTCGAATTCGGACCAGATGTGGTAGAGCAAACGGGATGATGAGGGCAGAGGTGAGTGTGAATAGGAGCGGGGTACTGCGACGATACGGGGGAGTACGAAGCGTAAGAGGTGGGCGATTGGGAGGTCGTCGGTGAATATCCCGGAGCCGACGATGAATGAGAGTGAGAATGAGAGATGACGGCCAGAGGGAGAGATTCAAGTTTACGCGGCCTGGGTAAGAGCGGTCTCATCGAAACTGATTGTGATAATGGTCGGTCGGATGATGTCGATGTCGAAGGGGTGGGGGAGGGGGCTGGGGAAATGAATTCGGGGGTCTCTGAAGCGTGGAGAGACTGAGCGTCAGTCGATCGAACAACCTTGACCGCGTTCTTTCCGTGGGACTCCTTCTTGTGTTTTGAAAGAGCGGAACGGGTCACCCAAAGGAAGGGGCATGCTTTGGAGAAGGGACAGGGGCGCTGGGTGAGGTGACGTGGCATGCTGCATACCGCAGTACGTGAGAAGCAGAGCACCGACGAGATTTGAAGGAGTAGGAAACGTACTGCGTTTTGTAATGATCCTCGAAGTTTGACTTCTGGGAGAACGTTTTGTCACATCCAACCCAAGGGCACACCAATTCCCTGCGTGTTGCGGAACGCTGAGTCAGCATCGTAGCCCAAGTACAAATGTGGGGGACCAAAGACGAGAGGGATGAGGGGTACTGAGAACGCACCTTGACTTGCGATCTGGATCATGCTTCGTGTTCCAATGGCGCTGGCAGTCTGCCTTACGACCAAATGTAGCATCACAATCCTGGCACTGAAAGGGCTTCAGGATATCTGACTGCAATTGAGAAGTGACGCATTAGCTCTCGAAGTGGACTTTGAGTCACACCGGAATGCGAAGGCAGGGTTGAGCTGTATCTACTGACCTTGGCCTTGGAAGACGTGTCTCCTGTCTTGACCTTCTTGCTCTTCAAAGTTCTGCTGATAGCCATGGGGGAAGGGGGGAGTGAGGAGTGAGATGTATGTGGTCTAGCGCACAGCGAAGGTCAAAGCGCGAGACGGGGGCAAACAACGCAAGACAAGGAGATCAATGAGTCACGGGAAATTACGCGTGTTGTACGCTAACGGAACTTGGCACAAAGACAACACGACTGGACAAAGGACGAGCCACACGGGAAAGCGATGGGAAGGAGCAGTGAAAGAGAGAAAGAGAGAGGTGAAACCGTTCGCAAACGCGGGGCCGGTTTATGACCGCGCTTGGTCCTCGCTAGGCGAAGTCCAAGGAAGCAGACGGTGCCCGAATAGGGAAAGCCTGAAGGAGCACAAATGTCAATTTGGTCATTTACGTAACTCGAGGCGGCGAGCTGAGCCAAATCAATTTGTGCAGGGTCGCACTTCGGATTTCGCGCGGCCAAGCGTTGCTTTGAAGGGTTACTCAACCAGGCTGTGCACCGATATCCGTGGAGGAAGCGCGACATCGCACGACCGGTGCTTCTTCCTCGTCGTTGAGCAAAGCCTTCCCCCGGTAAATAGCTGGCAGCGCAGGGGGGACAGAGAAGAAAGATGCTCAGAAGATATTCGGGATAACGAGAGGGTTCATGGAATGTTGTGACCGACGGCGATGTTGAAGCGAGCGGCGCGGTTTCAGCGTGGTTAGCGGGCGGAGGCTAACGGAAGCTTTCCATTGGGGATTGGTCAAGAACCCGTCAGTAAATGGAAATGCATACACGTGTTACCGTCAAAGCGTTTCAGCGCGGAGTGACCCCCAATCGCTACTTCTGGAATAGGCAAGACCTTCGGATCCTAACACGCGCAAACAGCGCATGCTGAGCTAAGCGAACACGCAACGCGCGTACGCGTCGCCCAAGACGCCACCATCGCGCTCATCGTTCCACACAAAATTACCTTCTGAGCACTCCTTTTACACGCCGCACATCGTCCGAAAATGTCATCTTCAATACCAGCTGAGAAGCCGAAACAGCCAAAGCTCGATGTCGAGGAATACCTTACTAGTGCACTCTCTGCAACCCCGGCAGAACTACACCCATTCTTTGAGTCTTTCCGAGATTTGCACTCAAGAAAGTGCGCTCGTTAATCGCGAATTGAAATGGTGGTTTGGGCTGATCACTCGAATATTTACATCACTGCAGGCTATGGCATCAGCTCACGGGCAAGCTCGCCCAATTCTTCGACCACCCACTCTCGCAGCCTTACCGAGTAGATGTCTTCGACCGATTCGTCAGGGATTTCGAGTCGCGGCTAAACGCGCTCCGCTTTGTGGAGATGGGGGTGAAGGTGTCAAGAGATATTGACAGTGCGTTACTATTTCGTCTTCTCTAAGCTACTCGGTTCTGCAGGGATCAGGGTTCGGTTGTGGCGCCCGCCCGAACCAAGCGGGGAATGTCTGGAGGACAGTGCTCCACTACTACCCCATACCCAGTAGCGTCATTCACTTTGCCAGTATAACTCACTACTTCTCCGCTGTCTTTGCTCGCAGACCCTGCCCAGCACATCGCCTTCCTGACCGACCTCCTCTCTCGAATCGACACCGACGCCTCGCCTGAGGCTCATGTCCTTCTCCTCGCCACACTCGCCCACGCCAAACTATCCTACGGTGATATTGAGGGAACCAAAACCGACATCGATGCTGCCTGGAAGATTCTTGATGAACTATCAGGTGTGGAGAATAGCGTGAATGCGGCGTATTACAGTGTGGCGGCGGATTACTACAAGGCAAGCCTCTACTTGACGGTATGATTGGAGCAGGGGCGTTGCTAACTAACAGATGTGACTGCTTGATTGAATCTGATAGGCAAAAGCAGAATATGCGCCGTACTACCGCAACTCCCTGCTCTACCTCGCATGCGTTGACATACAAGCGGATATGTCGGCGGAGGAGCGTCTTCTGCGTGCACACGATCTTGGGATCTCAGCATTCCTTGGGGACACGATCTACAACTTTGGAGAGTTGGTGAGTTTTCATCTTCCTTACTTGCTCCTCTTCTTTCGGTTTTTGGGGTTCCTGGCATGGTCGAAATCTCAATGCGCAAGTGCGATCTGGACGAGAATAATCTGTGTCGTCCCTTCTGCTTTGCACGATCAAGGCGAGGCGTATGTTTTTGCTTTGGTGACATCAAAGCTTGAATGCGTTAGTTTTCTTCCCCTCATTTGGGATGAAGCTCGGAGAAAAAGCAACTTGTATCGCACGTTTGTTTTCTGTGCCTCACTGCGACGATTCACATCCTTGGTCGTAGCCTCTGCGTATCCGGATGCTTTCATCCAACTGATTCCTTTCACTGCGATACCATTTGTTTGTCCTGTGTGGTGTATTCTGTTCAACCGCGCGTGAGACTCGCGGCAAGGTTCACCGCGTTTAATGTCGGTGATACTTACGCTTATGCTTACGTGCAAGCCCCGCCTCTGAATTGCCTCACCTTCTGTCGCGTACTTTGCGACTTATGTCGGATTTTAGATATGCCGCTACTGGCGGAGAGATCTATCCGCTGGCGTGGTTGCAATATGACGCTTCAACTCGGGCGTAATAAGCTTGTGGTTCATTATGCTTTTCGTGGTTGCTTTGCTACCTTTGGAAATTCGAATTTGAGTTGTGATAGCGTTTCCCAATTTACGATTGGTTTTGGCTTAGCTTTAGTCTTTCATTTTCGGTGCTATTAAACAGTCCTCGGAATTCGAGGAGAACCCCCGGAGTCGGTGTGGGCGAGCCCGCTCTGCCGTCACTTTCACTTTTGCTTTTATTTTAACGTCGATCACTCCCCAGATCGACCCTTCCCTCGAGGCCTTCCTTCATCCTCTTCTTCTGCTTCTGTTTCCCTCCCTGAGTTTCGTCAAGTCTCCTTTATCTTTCTGGCGTCTTCTTCTGCGTTTCGACTCGCTTCCCTCCCGTGCTTCTCTCCATTTCTGTGTTTTCCCGAGATCACACCCGTAAACTCTAACTGACCTTGCCACACCATTTTCTTTCTTCCCTGCATGTTCACGTTCACCTCCACGTCGACTATCTCGGTTGCGAATGCCTTTCTTGTGTCGGACGCTTCCGGATGGACAACCTCTCAATTCTCGATCGACCGTCGACTCTTTACCCTCAATTGTCAAATCGGACACGGCTACCCTCGGGTCGGGCATTTGCGTGTCGTGTCGTTCGCGCGTTGGGTCGTATCGTATCGGGTCGGACGGGCGTGTCATTCTCTTCTTGGTCCACACTGCCTCCTCGTCTCGCCTGGCCTCGACGTGTATCCTCATATCTATTCGAACCTGCCGGCCGACCTTCCACATTCAATCGACCACATTCAAAAACCTGGACCTATCGCGACTCGGTACCTTTTCGACGCTTGATTGGATTGGAATTGGATTGGATGCGAACGCGAACGCGAACGCCAACGCCTATCCATCGTCGCTCGCCGTTCCTGCACCGATCACTTTCTGTTGTTTTGCAATCGCTGAACCTTGAACCTTGAACTTTGTTCAAACGTTCGTCCGTCTCTCCATCCGTCCACTCGCTCGCTCGACTATCCTGCATTCGCGTCGCCTAAACCAAAACAACGAAATCAACCACCACGGACGGCTCCCACGACCTGAAAATCTCCGCTCACTGATACCTGGAACTGACCGCACCTGGATCAAATTTACCGTTTCGATGTACGGTCTAATGGGAAACGCAGCTGATGCACCCGATTTTGGACGCGCTGGACGGGACGCCGCATGAGTGGATCAAGAGGCTGCTGTTCACGTTCAACGAGGGGAACATCGGCAAGTTTGAGGCGTTGGCACCGTTGTTCCCTAAGGAGGTGCGTTTGGCTCCCTCTTCCTTCCTTCCACCCAATGTTCTATTCGGGCTGATTTTTTTCTAATTTCTTTTGTGACTTGTTTGTGTGGCGTGTGTGTGTATGTGGCGTAGCCGATCCTGCAAGAGAACTACCCGTTCCTGAGGCAGAAGATCTGTCTGATGGCGCTCATCGAGTCCGTGTTCAGGAGGGACGCGTATGATAGGACGATGAGCTTCCAGACGATCGCGGAGGAGACGAGGCTGCCGTTGGACGAGGTCGAGCATTTGATTATGAAGGCTTTGAGGTGCGTTCTTTGCTTTGTGGTTTCTCTCTCTCTCTCTCTTTCTGTGTCTTTTTTGCTTGGCTTTCTTTGTTCCGGGATGTCCATCATCTTTTAGTTGGTTGGTTGGCTGCGTGAATGGCCGGGTTGTCTCTCGTGTGGACAATGACGCTATCGCCCAACTAGCCAATAACCAATAGTTCATGGCTCATGATTGTGCGAAAGACAAAGCGTCGTCATTGCGTCGATGTGCAAATGATCATGATCTGAATCTGATGTCCCCCACGTTCATAATTCGCGCACTCGGCGTACGCTTTGAATGTGATGGTGATAATGAGATGATGATGATATAGTACTTGCCAGGAGGCAGGAGGCAACTGCAGCCTCTAATCGACGTCACATCCAGCCAGCCAGCCGCGGGGGAGGATGACGGCATCTTTGGTCCTTTGCCAGTCTTCGTTAGAGGCAAGATGTCAGATGCGGGCGTGAGAGCTTCGAGAGATTGCGGGATGCGATCGTGCGATATGAAGCGTTGAGGTGTCGAGGTGTTGAAGCGTGAGGGAGGTCCTTACATGGCCATGCTCGTGGTTGCTTATCGCGATTTGGGGGGGCGTGTTCGGGTTTGCGGATTGTGAATTTCTTTGGTGTTTATTTTTGGATGGATGGGGATGAGATGAAGGTGTGAATTGGAATTGGAATTGTTTGCTGATGATTTTTTTTCTTTCTTTTTTGTTCGGTGGATTGTCGGATGGTCGTACGCCACTCGCCACACTCCCTCCTCCCTCCACCATCCACCACAAACCACCATAAAAACCGCACACAAACGAAACGAAACAGCTTAAAACTCATCCGCGGCTCCATCGACCAAGTCGACTCCAAAGCGACAATCAGCTGGGTCCAGCCGCGCGTGTTATCGAGGGAACAGATCGGCTTGCTGGCGAAGAGGCTGCAGGTTTGGAATGAGAAGTTGCATGGGGTGGAGGAGAGGATCGCGCCGGAGTTGTTGGTTGGTGCGTAAGGGGGGTATGTTGTAATTGGAGTGGACTAGTGGACTAGAAGGAGCAGAAGAGGGAGGAGGCGGAGGAGGGGGGTGGTGGAGGATTGAATTGGTGGGTGGGTGGATGAGTAAGGTGGCGGTGGCGATAAAGAGACGGGAAAAGGGCGAGATGTCAGATGTGTATTACCGTAAGGTTTGGACGTGAACGAACGATGGGCGTTGGACAGTGGAGGATTGGCGTTCTTTCTTGCAGATTTGTGTGGACCGTGATCGCGTACGGTCGGACTGTGTTCAGGAATTAGAATGGGTATGTATGGCAGGTCGCGCTCACGGTCATATAACTTTGGGTTTGGGTTTGGAAGCAGAAGCAGCTTTGCTTGACATAGATTCCAGCCTGAGAGTGCTCGTATGTATTTTCTTTACTTGACCTTGGTTGGTCGGTTGAGTGGTTTAAGATAACTCAGTGCAATGAGGAGAGCGAGTGGATCTGAATCTGAATCTGAACACTGGCATAAATCTGAACCTGAAGCCCGAATTGGAACGGAGTCGGAGATCGGGTGCTGCCTCGATTCTCGATTTATTCGAGATTGTGACTGTCGTACATAGTACATGGTATCTAAGATGCACTATACTATGTGAGAGATGTAGCACTATGCAATATGTGAGAGATGGACGTGCGGGGAAATGACGGAGGGGTCGTGTCGAGGCAAAAGGCTGTGTCGTGCACGAGCAAGCGGCGAGTTTGTGAATGGTACTGTGCCACCAGTGATTGATGCGGATAAGTGGAGAGCGATGGCCAAGTTGAGAGTGGCAAGGAGGAGGAGAGGTGAACATGCCTCTGCCATGATGCTGATGCAACTTCTTTCGGCAGGAGAGCCGGCTGAATACCCATCCTTCCTGATCGGGACGGCCTTCGTTCTCGGTCTTGTCGCAGCGTCGAAGGAAAGGAAACTTGCTCGTGACCTTCGTGCAATTTCTTTTTCTTTCTGGTACGCAGGACAGGGCGTGTCCGCGTCACCTCATTGATATCGGTGTCACAGAATCCCCAATCGAATTCAAACTGCGTTCTGCGTCCATAGAGGTCCATACCCCCGTTCGAGTCCGGAAACGGTAATCCATCCTCCCTCTCCGTCCGTTTCTCCATTCATACAAAACCGCCTTGACTTCGCTGCGTTCCCCTTCTCTCCTTTCCTTTCCATCCCATCCTCCCCATCCTCTTCGAGCTCTGACTATCTCAGTTCTGAGTTCTGACTTTCTGACTTTTTGAATCCTTACCATTTGACATTGGATATCGACAACGCCAAACAGGACCGAAGGCTGATATGTCTCAATCGACGACTACGCTCGAACAACAGCAACAACACCAGCGACCTGCGAAGGGTCTTCCCCGGAGTCTACCCACTTCCGCTACCTTCTCGTTTACCGCTCCCTTCCCACCCCCATCCTCCACACACGCACCACCACATTCATCCGCACACGTACCACCATCCTCATCCTCATCGTCTGTGTCTGCTCCACCTACTGCGACCACGACCACGACCACCGCGACTACTGCTACTATGACAGCCACGGGTGGCACGGGCACGGTGTCGAGACCGTCAACGACGAAACAACGAAGAGTCTCGCTCGCATTGCCGTCGTCACCGCGTCAAGTCCAGCCATGGACGTTCAGGGACGACACGTCCGTGTTTGAGAGCACGAGCGCCACGGGGACGAAAGCTGATGCCGTGGCGGGGAGGGAACAGAGAGAGAGGGCGGAGAGTTTGGTCATGGAGAGGAAGGGGAAGGTGAGGAAGTTGGAGAGTGGCGAGGGGTCGAAAGCGGCGGATGCTGAGAGGCTGACGGGTGGGGCGGTGAATGTGGGTACGGGTGTGGCGGGGAGTGGGAGTGGGAGTGTGGGGACGGGGGCGGAGAAGAAGATGAGGAAGAAGTGGACGATGGAGGAGACGCAGATGTTGGTTGAAGGGTGTAATCGCGTATGTCTTTATTCTTTTTCTCTTTCTCTTCCTGACGCGTCGTTGTTCTTCTTTCATTATCATTTATCATTATCTCATCGTGCTCGTGTCTGTGTAGCATGGTGTGGGGAACTGGAAGGCGATCTTGAACGACAAGTCACTCGAATTCGACCATCGCTCGCCCGTCGATCTCAAAGACAGGTACGTTCCCTTTCCATCTCTCTTCTATCTCTCTTGTACTCTTCTCTTCTATTCCGACAACTGCACTGCGCTGGATTGTCTCGAGGGCAGAGGGTTCGCGTATCATCAGCCCGCAGACCGCGAATAGCCGCGTCTTGTCTTGTCTCAGTTCCGAGTCCAGCCTGCGTCTACATCACATCCCTATGTGGCGCGTGCTTCCGCGTTCCACGTTGTTAGTAGCAGGCCGCGATGTGCTGTGTGTTGCACGCGCAGGCATGGGGCGTACATGTTAGCGCGTCTAATGTCTACGCCACACGTACTCGTACTCGCACACGACCTCGTCTTTCTCGCTGCCCCTATTCTCTCGATGGATGAATAACTAACTAATAAATCCCTCTCTCTATCCTATACTATCTATATCCACCCTCCACCCACTCCACCCACCCTTCACCCACCCTTCACTCCACCCACCCACCCACCCACCCAGATTCCGCACCTACTTCCCCGACGCCTACAAACAACACTACCCCAACGCCAAAACCCACCTCTCCACCAAAATCCGTTCTTCCCTCCCCGACGGCACCTCCATCTTCGAAAAAACACGTTCCAAAAAGCGGCGCCCATTCACCCCAGAGGAAGATCGTGCCCTCAAAGCGGGGTATGAGAGGCACGGAACGGTGTGGGCTGCGATTGTGAAGGATCCGGTGTTTAAAGGGCAGGGGAGGAGGAGCACGGATTTGAGGGATCGGTTTCGGAATGCGTTTCCGGATTTGTATATGAAGGCGGGGTATAAGCCGAGGAATGTGAAGGGGAGGAGGGAGGGGGTGTTGGGTGGGGTGGGTGGGGTGGGGGCAGGTGCGGCGGGGGTGGGCAGTGTGAATGGAGGACAAGGGCAGGGTTTTGGGGTGGGGGTGACGGGGATTAATACGGGGCAACAGGGGTTTGGGACGACGATGGGACAAGGACAAGGGGGACAGCAGATGCAGTTCAAGATCGCGACTGCTGCCACCCTCGGGGCCACATCCACATCCCACACCAACGCCACCACCACCACTCTCGGCCGAGCGACGCAACAACAGCAACAGCAGAAGAAGAGAGTAGGGCGGTCGAAGACGGACGAACAGATCCACGAGGTACGAGAGATGGTGGTGGAGATGGAGACGGGGATGGGAGGGATGGAGAGCGGACCGGGACCGGCGGCGAGGGCGAGGAGGAAGAGACGACATACGACTCAGGGTTTTTTGAGAGGTGGAACGAAGAGTGTGCCGCAGAGTGCGACGTGTAGTGAGGATGAGGGGCGGGATCGGGGTCGGGGTCGAGATAGTTCGGACGAGGAGGGGTTACGGGATGATGAAGATGATGAAGATGAGGAGGATGAGGAAGAGGAAGAGGATGACGATGATGATGATGATGAGTATAAAGCACCGAGAACGAGGACGAGGAAGACGTCGCATTCGGTGCCGAGGATGCCTAGGCGGAGCGGGCAGCAATATCATCATCAGACCTCCTATCCCCCTCCCCATCAGCAGCAGCAGACTCGTCAACCACTCGCGTACACCATCCCCACCTCGAAATCGCACACGCACAACGACGTCCCCTCCACGTCCAACGACGTTGATTTCTACGTCGATGATGCGGATCTCGAAGTCCTCGATCCCTCTCCGCTCGATTCGATAGAGGTCGATATGCACGCTATGGAACCGCTCTCGCTTGATTCTGCGTCGTCTATCACGGACCCGCTCTCGGATCCTTTGTCGAGCCTGCCTGACTTATCCCACTCTCACTCCCATTCACACTCCCATTCACACTCACACTCGCACTCGCATTCGCATTCGCATCCGAATATCTCAACGGCGGCGGCTGCGGGGGTCTGGTCTTCGTCTGGCGTTGTGAACAGTGCGGCGGCGGACACGCCGATGTCGAATTCTTTGGATACGCCGTTGAATGCGGGGGAGTATGCGACTTCCGCTGCGGGAGGTGCAGGTGCGAATGGGGAGTATATGTTCGATGAGCCGTATTTGAAGAGGGCGTTGTCGGAGTCTGGGGTGGGCGGGAATGGTGGTAGTGGGAATGGGAATGGGAATGGTGGTGGTAATATGATGATTGGGAAGAGTGCGTGGGGACCTTCGGATTGGATGTCTTCGAATCCTCGTCTTGATCCCTCGACCGCCACTCATCCACCCGCTGGTGCCACCGCCACCGCCACCAACAACACCTCCAACAACACCAACACCAACAACGCCAACCCCTCCTCTGCTTCTTCTGCTTCCGCCTCTAGCAGCTCACCCCCATCCTACTTCCACGCCTCCCCCTCCTCCCCGGGCCAACAATCCTCCTCGTCCCCCTTCCTCTCCTCCCCCTTCAGCTTCGCGAACCTGAACAACCTGAACTTCAACAACCAGCTCCAGCAGCACTACGCGCACTTGGGACTCGGGCTCGGACTTGGCCTAGGGCTCGGGATGCCGGGGTTTCATGATCAGGAGGAACAGCAGGGGGTTATGGATCGGTATGATTTGTTGTATCCGTCCGCGAGCCATAATCATCCGAACCACCCGTCCAACCACCATCACCACCATCATCACTCTCATCATGGTCATCATGGAGGAGGAGGCTCGGAGGCGAACGCGACATCGGACAGTTTCTATTCGAACTCGCAGTCCGCGGCGTCGAATAGCGCGATCTCGTCCTCCTGGCTCGTCAATGACTCTTCGTTCCCTTCTGCGTCGGCTTCTGCTTCTGCGGTGTCGGAGGGGGGCATAGATGGGTGGGATAATGATTATGATTTCGATGCGGATAGGCATTCGACGTTTTCGGATCCGGAGGCGTGGGGCGGACAGGCATTATCCGGGAGTGCGTCCGCTGTCGGTGCCGCGAATTATTATGGTCCTCCAAGTGGGTCTGGTGGTGCGGGAGGCGCGTATGGTGGTGCGGGAGGAGGAGCGGGAGGGAATGGAGCGGGGAGAGGGTTCACGCATCATTCGAACTATGCGGGCGATTTGATATTCGGGGCGAGGACGCATCAGCCACAGTATTCGATGAGTGGGTTTGCTGGGGGGATGGAGACGTATGGGGGGTTGGGGCTGTTTGGGTTGGGCGGGTTTGGGGGACCCGGGGGAGGAAGGGCGAGTACAGGTGGGAATACGACGAGTTCGGGGGGAGGGGGCGCGAATGGGGGGAGTGCGGCGGCGGTGAGTCTTTTTTTTTTGAGGAAGAGGAGGAGGATTGGGTGCTGATTTTTTTGTCTTTTTCTTGTGCAGCTTCACAACCCCGCCCTGCCTGGTATCGACGAGATCGAGCTCACTGCGATCTCGCTGGACGATCCCGTCGCGGACTCGGCCGTGGTAGGCCAAGGAGACGTCGACATGGACGGCGTGGAGGCTGGTCCTGGAGGCCAGGAAGGAGGAGGAGAAGAGGTGCGGATGTTGACGGAGTCGCCGGTCAAGATTCAGCAGGACGATCTACCTGGAGTGGATGTCCGGCTTCCGCGACAGACATCGGACGAGATTCGCGGCCTTTCGTCTTCTTCGTCTGCACTCTCGGATGCGGGCGATGATGGAGATGATGGGGTGGCTGGACTTGGAGCGGGACGCGGCGAGGGAGATGGGGAACAGGCGGATACGCCGCCTGGGACGCCTGTGCGTGCGCATCATAGTCTTCATCGTCAGAGGGGCGCGCATCAGCATACGGGCGGCGGTGGGGGAAATAATAGGTCGTTGAGTGTTCCGCCGCCGGAACATAGGTTCGCGATGGCCTCGACGAGCTCGAGACATCAGCATGGGTCTATGACGCCCTCATTCACCCACCACACACTCCCCAGTCTTTATTCGCAGCCTCAGACGCAGCAAGCGCCGTTCCTGTCGCAGTCCCAAGCCCAAGCCTCGCACATCCCACAATCCCAGTCCCAATCTCAGTCCCAGTCTCAGGTCCAGTCCCAGTCTCAACAACAACAGCAGCCTCACCAGCCTCAACCCCTCCATGCACCGCTCACGCCTACCCGTTCGCTCTCGCTCGACCTCAATGCGTGCCCGACGCTCAACCCCGGCTCGCCCGCAGCCGCCGAATCTGCCCTCCACGCGCTCCTGCAAGGCGATCCATGGCGCACGTCGACTTCTTCCTCCGGCTATGGTGTCGGTGCCGGTCTCGATGGCTCGAGCTCGAGTAACGCGCTGGGCTCGATATTCGGGTTCGGTGCGTATCCGTTGTCCGGGATGACCGGTGGTGGATACAACAACGCGGTCGCTAGCGGAGGTGGTGGAAGCGGTGGTGGTGGTGGTGGTGGTGGTGGTGCCGATGCGAACGAGGTGCCGTTCTTGGATCTGCATTATTGGGGCTCGCCGGTCGTGATGAGCGACGCGGTGGCGACGGCGACGGAAGAGTCGAGGACGGGGCTCGCGTTGGATCTCGCGTCGTCTTCTTCGGCTTCGACTTCGTCAGGCTCGTCCCTTTCGACGTCGGCGTGGATGGGCTTGGGACCGTCGAGTTATTCGCCGCAGTTGGCTCATGCTCATGCATCGCAGGCGCAGGCTCAGAACCAGCAACAGCAACAGCAACAACAGCCGACGTACGCCTTCGCGGAGCCAAAGTCGATGGGCTTCAGTCTTAGTGGGATGGGGAGGAACGGGATCGGGTGTGTGGCTCCGAAGGCTTTGGGGGCGCCGTTTACTATCGTTAGGCCTACGACGGCTATGGGTGCGCGGGATGTGGATCCGGAGGATGGGCTTGTGGGTAGTGGTAGTGCCGTTGGTGATGGATTCCGTGGTGGAGGACGGGCTGTGGGTTCGGGTGTTGGTGTCGGTGTGGCGCCGGGGAAATTACAGATGCATCAGAGGGGGCAGAGCGCGGTGTCGCCGAACGATTTGTTGGTGAAGAAGGGAGCTGGGGGGAGGGATAATAAGCGCAAGAGGGCCAGTTGGGATGGAGGGCCGCGGTGAGGTGTTGGTGGCAAGAATGTCTGTCTATCTGTCCAATGGGTCGTGAAAGTCGGGTTTGTTTCTATTATTTGTGGATTTTCTTCTCTCTTTGTTCTGCTTGTGTTCTCTGCTCAACGAGTGCTCCCCGTGGCTGACTGGTCTCATGGTACCGTATCGCATTTTGAATCCTCCGTTTTGCTCTCTCATTTTATTGTCTTGATCACTATATGCAACCCCAATACCTACTATGATCACCCCTCTCCTCTTTTCGACGGTACACCCACTTCATTGTTTCCTGGGTCTCTCTTGTTCTCTCGCATGCATACATTCACAAATTCAACGCATTCAACTCAAGGCATACATATATCGCATGGAATTTCCTTCCCCTTCTCACTCCGCAAGCATTGCTCATCATTCTCCATTCTCTCGCATTGTCCATTTCTTTTTCTTTTTGATCGCAATGTTCATACGCCACATCGTGGCTCCGCGATTGCAATACATTGAACAAGTTCTAATTTATAGATCGCTCTAGGATCATTCGGGAACAAACCGAGACAACGTTTACAGATATATACGCTAATGCGTCCGAGAGGGCCCTGCGACAGCGTTCTGCTGGAGAGACCTCATAGAAGCCGTTCGCTGCGGCGAGTCACTCCCACCGGCATTGGCACCACTAGCCTCTGGCGGTATCAAGAACTCCAAGTCCTCATATAAATGAGGGAATAGAATCGCAAGCATGTCGTCCGTCCTGCAATGCACGCAAGATCATGTCAGTGACACCGTCGAAGGCCATACCAAACGCAGGGATGACGCATGGAATGGAGAAAGCGGAGACGAACTTGATGATGAAGTCACCCTTCTGCGTCCCTGCTGCTTTCCTTCCCTTTCCTTTTCCCTTGGAAGGCGAATCGACGACATTCTTCTCAGAGTCAGGCGCGAGTGGCGTCACGTTGAGCGTCCCTTGTGCGCTGTCTTTGGTATAGAGCGAAAGTCCCTCCCTCGCGGCCAAGTCGAGGATGTTTTTCTCCACCGTATCTGTGCATCATCGTACAACGAGGACATAAAGTTCGAGAATATGTCAGAGCATGAATCGGTAATAATGTGATAGGCGCGAAATCTTACCTTCAGCATAGTAGCAATACACTGCGAGAGAATAGGGATATGCGTCATCAATAAACGACATGAAGCATCGTGCGTTCATTTCGCTCACCTTCGGTAGGCCTTGTCTGTCCAAGTCGATCGATTCGAGCGATAGCTACGAATATCGAGCAGGAGTTAGTTCGTCAGCAACTGAAGCCCATCGATCACACATGCAAAAGGCGGTGTCGCTTGCACTGTACACACCTTGAATCTCGAACGAATGCTGGACCACGCTCTCGAGCAGGAATACTCTCGAGGCACACGTTACGTTCAGGCCTGCATTTTCACGTTCCCTGGATATCAAGATTAGCGTGAGTGTCGTGAGGATCGATGCAAGATTTGAGGGTCGAGATTCGGTTGGGCTCACCCGTGAAGAAGCAAAACTAGGAGATCGGGATCCGTTCGGAATCTCTTCGCAGCGTTCTGCTTGCCTTTCGTCGAATCGATCCGCAAGCAAGGTATCCCTAGATTGCAGATAGACTTGGTTCAGCCAACCAGAGCTTTGCGATATATTTCAGCGATCTTCGCACCGTTCATGTTCAACGCATGTTCGATAACTGCAAGCGCACCGTGTCAGTCTCATACATTTACCATTGCAGGCCTAACGACGAAAAAGTGTAGCAGAGACTCACTCGACAGCGAATCAGCCCATGCCGAGAACACGATGCTCTTCGCTCCTGGTTCCGACTGTTGAAGCAACAGAAGGTGCCGAACGAGCGTTTGGATTTTTGAGCCGTAGCTTCCTTCGGATTCTGTGGCCGCGATATCTTCGAATAAACTGGCTTTGATATAATTGTACTCGATCGTTCGGAGTGACCTCGGTACTCCGTCCTTGCTAAGCTTGACTGGCAATGAAGAGACGGGGGCGTCCTTGCTCTTGTCTTGAATGGAGAAACGTTGAAGGCTACTGACGTCCAGCGGAACTCTAACGGACACCCGTCAAATAGAAGAAATCTAGAAGAGAGACTATTTCCCAAACCTGCACACTGGGCATGCCTTCCCGTGCTGTTTCGTCAGCCACGACTTCATGCAATCCTATACAATCGGGACGTCAGCACCGGCGGAACGATCAGGCAAAGTGTTCGAATTACTTCGCAGTAAACATGTGCACTGGTGAGGGGTGTAGGTCAGCCTGGACTTCCTGGAGAATGCAGGATGCAATGAGGGACCAACCATTGCGTGATGTATCCACGCACAAACTCGCACTTGCAGAGAACGCAAGCATCCTCTTCATCGTCCTCGCCACCCTCTCCCTCTTTGCTTGCGAGATGGTTGAGATATCGATGGCGTGCGCGAGCAGTGTTGATCTTCTTTTCCAGCTCAACTCTCGTCGTCTCATTCTCTTTGATAGCGTCGCCAACGGCACCATCCCATTGAACTTCTACCACAGAGTCCGAGATCTCTTGTAGCTGCCGGAAGTACCTGGACGTGATTATTAGCCAGTGATGAAACATAATTAAGGGTGGTCCTCACAAGATCCGCTCGTTGAAGGCCTTCCGGAACAGGGCGAGGTCGGCCTCCAGCTTTTCGTTCGCAGAAGCTGATGTACTGTGAGCGAGCAGAAGGGCACTCCATGATCAAGTGTCTACGAACCTTGGTCTGACATCAACTTACGCAGTGCGCTCGCGCCTTCCCTTGCCAAGATCTTCTCCGGGTCGTCTTCCTTGGGTAACTTCGCCGCTACGGCATTGAGCTGGACTACGATGGACTTGACAGCCACGCCCTCGAACTGTGCAAGCAGTGCTCTCCTCTCGTCTTCGAGCTGCTTCCTCAAGACCATATGTTCTGGCTCTACTTCGACCTCGGTATCTATCATATCCGCGTCATCATCATGAGCAACGGCCTTTGCGGCCGCCTTTGTACGACGAAGTTTCTTCTCCTTGGCGTCATGGACAGCAAGCATAGTACGCTCGTTGACGAGGACTTCGCGACGGTCAGCGAGAAGGGAGGCATACGATTGAAGGTAGACCTCAGCCTCGCCCTGGGTGGCGAGCGAGCGAGAGTACTCTTGACCATCAGCACCATCGGTTTCTGAGTCGGAGGCGCCGAGGGGTTGGGCAATGAGATGGTAGATGTGCTCTCGCCACTTCCAAAATAGTCTCGCCTGCGCGTTTAGGAGTTCGTCTGCGATCTCCTTGGCTTGATCCAGCTAGTAATTGTCATCAACCGACATGAATGGTGCTAGGAAGTGGGGAATGCGTACCAGGTCACTGGAGCGTATCCCGCCTTTGGGCCAGTCGTCGAAGTCGACCAGGATCTTCTCCAAATTCACGCCCTGTCGGCTCGAAGATGTTGTGACATCCACCTTGAGCTGCCCCATGGCCCGCACGGCAGATACCTCCGTGACTGCATAAATCAGTTAGTACTCTCCTAAAGTACGACACAAGATAAGTATGAAAACGAAATAACTTACGTTTGAGCAGCCGCTTCCGGAGAACCTCTGCTGCAGCATACGCTGCCTCCTCATCCACGGCCTTATGGTCTCCTATGACATGATACACATCTCCCTGCAAGAACTTCACCCTATGCAATGTCAAATACCAATCCCTCAATCGATTGACCAAACCGGTCTTCTTATGCACATGTTCCCTTCCTGCAGGCGTCTTCGGCATACCTTCGTCGCTCATCGAATCGTTGTCGTCGTCGCTTTCATCGCTGGAAAAGTCGTCCACCACTCGAGCCTTGCCTTTGCCCTTGTCAAAAGGATCGGGTTCGACAGATTTCCTGCGAGCGGCGCGCACGGCAGCGGCCTCTTTCTTGAGTACTTCACCTTTTTCATCGTGCAGTGCGATTTCAGCTTGTACTTCTTGGATGGCGGCGTTGGCTTCTTGTTCGGCCTGGAGAAGTAGGTTGGCAGCGCGTTGGGCGGTGGTGGCTGCTCCTTTGTCGTGCTGGACCAACTGTGCAGCTGTGGCGAGTTCATTGACCTGGAACAGAATGTCGAGGATGAAGCAAGATATGAAGAGTGCGTTAGCATGGTCTTATTTGCTGCCACTCATAGAAGAGCTCCATACCTTCGTCCGTCGATCCTCCATCATGTTCTTCCAATTCTGATCTCTCATGCCCTACAGAGCAAATACCACCCATAAAGTCAGACAAATTACATCTTCCCTTTTTATATTGCGGCAGGAGGGTAACTCTACTTTACCTCAAGGACCTCGGCCATAGTCTTCAACGCACCACTCTTCCCAAGCTGCTTCTCTTTAGTCGACAAACTGCCGACTTGAGGATGCGTACATATCTGTCGAAGCTTCCGAAGCCAGGTCCTCAAGACGCTCGAATCGAGCTCCCAGTCTTCTGAGGCGGCGACACCGCGAGCATCCAATCCAAGATCGAGCAGGGCATTTTCAATATTTTGATCGTATACCTGAGGTTGTCGATGGAAAATGAGAAATGAATTCAGTGCGATAAATAGCGAAGAACGGAGCGAAGGATGATGGGTTGTGGCGTACGTGGCGTTCGACGCGACCAAGCTCTATTGGCACCAGATAACGTGTTTGCTGTGGAATAGTGAGCTCGTCTTTGACAGCGGATTTCATGGTCCTACACAGTTCCGTTAGTCGACAGTCCTCGGCGTTTGGCATAAAGGCTGGATTGTGTTTCGTGTGGAGACGCACCTGACAGTATACTTCTGGAACAAAGCGGCAAAGTCGGATGCGTATGGTGCTCGCAAAAGGCGGGACCAGATTCGTTGTGAGTAGATCATCGGATCAACACGCAAGAACCTATACATATTTGCGTTAGCACAGACAAGAACATACAGAATCTGAGCGAGTCCGTACTTGAGGACGTGGGACAGGTCAGCTACATGAGATCTAGCAGGTGTACCCGAGACCGCAAAGGATGAAAGACGTGGAATAAGTGACACCATCTGCCTTTTTGACGAAGATATTCAGCATCCAAAGTCAAGAAGGCCTTAATGACAAGCAGACATACTCAGTCTTTCCTCCTCCAACCACCTGCACCTCATCCATGATGACCCTAAACCACTCCACCATGATCAACGGGCTTCTCGCCCGCTCCGTCCTCGAATATTCCGCCACCTCCCTCCTCGGCCTCACAGGTGGTGCCCTCGCCACATTCAAATCCTGTTGGAGAACATTATACGTTGTGATGACCACGTCGAAAGTGTTCACGAATGCGACCCAATCCAGGCCGTCGGTGATCTTGGCTTCGTTATCTTCATCGATTTCCATGGCGTCACCGTTCGCTCCGACCGTGTTTTTACGACGTCCGACATTGCCTTTTCGTCTGAGTTTGGGTTTGCCGATGGGAACAGCTGTGTTGGGGGTGATGGGAACGGGAAGCTTGTTCCAACCTTCGTAAACGAAGACTTTGAGAGTGGGAGAATGTAGAGTAATTTCGTCTTTCCATTGCTGGGACAGGGAGACGGGGGTTACGATGAGATTCGTCTGAAGGAAGTTCCAAATCAGATGAGGATCTACTGTCTAAAGGAAGGATATTGCAAACCTTGATCTGCTTGACCTCCACCTTTGCCTCAGGATCCCAACGGACGACAGTGGGATTCCGTCCGATGCCGGGGTTGAGAAGGATGAGCGCTATACATTCAAGGGTCTTCCCCAAGCCGGGTTCCTCTGTTTAATTATGACACCATAACAAACGTCAACACCCCTTAGTTCAATTAACAAGTAGACGAGCGCAAGTGAAGGACGAACCGCAGACAGATGCACCAAAACACGTCATCTCCTGACTCGGAAACTCGCTAGTGAGTTCGCTTGTGAGTCTTCGGAAATACCATGTCGTTGTTGTACCCGACTCTGGCCTGACCCTAATACTTTCCCAGAATAACGGCAAGTCCGTCAGATCTACTGCACGATCTACTACAGCACCAGACGACGCGTCCAACGTTTTGTCCTCCCTCTCGAGCATCCAAGCCACAGTTCTTCGTTGGAAAGGGAGTAAAGTGGGGAGAAGGGCATCCGGCTGAGCAGCTTCGTAGAGCTTGGTGGATGAGAGCTGTGGTGCAGGCTTGATGGAGGCGTAGAAGAAGGGAATGTCGATTCGATTATGGAATGGTGGTCCGAGAGAGGGGGGTGGAAATGCGAAGTGGAGGAGAACGCGTCTCGCTTCTTCGGCGAGGCGGCTGTCAGTGAGGGGTTCGAAGATGAGGGGAGCATGGAAGGACACAGTCATATCGACGATGAGACGGAAAGGTAAGTCGTCTGTAGATGCGTCCCATGTGTCGGTGGGTTTCACGATAAGTTTTACGTGGGTGAAGACAGATGCACGAGGGAATGGGCGGGAAGGGAGCTCTGATAAGCAAGAATATATATCATTGTGCCGAGGGGCAACGTCGTACGAAACGACGTCAATCCTATCTGCGTCCCTCGGCAAGATGCACATATGTCGGTCCGAGCCTAGAGGGCATACCCGGACAGGTCGTTCACGTTCGAAGGGATAGAAAGGGAAACAAGGTATGCTGAAGTCTCCGAGGTCAATGGTGGTGTCCTCCGGAGATCCTGCGCAGTGACCTCTAAGCACTGCTAGAAGCGCACCCTCTGTTTCCTCAGCTTGTTTCAAAGCCTTGTCGTCCAAGATGATAGATCCTGTCACCGAGTTCGAGTTGGTATTATTGACCTGTCTTCTGGTATAGCGTAGATCGTACGTGTGGCGGTAAACTGGGACCACAGTGGCGTTCTCCACCACTTCCACATCTGAGTCATCGACCTTCGTTCTTTTCGTATCTCCAGCAGACACGGAGGGTGCTGCTCGCTTCTTCCCTTTCTGCAATTCGCGTGCCGAATCCTCGAGGGAGTTGTCTCCGACTGTTTGATTGATGCGGTCCAGCAGACTCTTAAAGTCGACGGGCAGCTGACATCTGTCTTGGTTGTAGTAAGGCCATTGCGCCAAAGCAGGATCTTTACATCGGCAGGAGAACTGGTGTACTGATTCTAGAGCGCGCATTGCAAGAACAGAACGCGGAACACTGGGACAAAGGAAGATGATGGCGGCTGAGAGCAAGACGCGTCGCCACAGAGCTGAGAGGACGCGACGCGACGACGCCTCCCGCAAATGACTCTTGGTTCCCACGCTCGGCGGCTCCGCAACTTTTCCACGCGCTCTTTTTTTCGCGAGTATTTTTCTTCGTCTCGTCCACCATGTCCCGTCTCATCGTTAAGGGCTTGCCCACCTACATCACACCAGATCGTCTCAAGGAATACTTCTCTCAATCCAAAGGCCCAGGGGGAACCATCACTGACGTTAAAGTCGCACACAAGCAAGACGGCACGTCTCGACGCTTCGGCTTCGTGGGCTACAAGACCGACGCAGAAGCTGCCAAAGCTAAGGAATGGTTTGACAAGACATTCCTTGATACGGCGCGGGTGAGGGTCGACGTTGTCGACGTGAGTCTTGTGTCGCTCATCCCCGTACTCACGTCTTTCTGATCTAGATGATGAAATTTTCTCTTTCGACTATTTATGTCGTGGATTAGGGAGCGAAAGATGCACCTGCTCCGAGACCTAATAAGCGTCCACGGCTAGGTCCTTCGCCCTCTGAAGCTGCGTCCGAGGCTGCTCTTGGACCGAAGACTAACGCGAAGAAGAGCTCGAAGTCGAAAGATTCGCAGCTCGACGAGTTCTTGCAGGTCATGCAGCCTAGATCGAGGAAGGGTCCGTCGTGGGCAGACGCACCTGAGGCTCCCGAAGATACTGCAACGCAGTCGAAGAAGAGTGATCGTCAGGCCAAGTCTGACGTTGAGAAGTCACAGCCTGTTGAAGAGGAACCGCCGGAGGGTATGTCGGACATGGAGTGGTTGCGGGCGAGGATGAGGCAGGACGTTGAGACTGCTGTTCCGGAGAAGGCGTTCGAGCAGTCGGATGACGAGGAGATGGATACGGGGGAGGCTCTTGTTCCGGAGCAGAAGGAAGAAGAACGGTCAGACCCTACGAAGGAGACCATTCTCCAGACTGCTCGACTCTTCGTCCGGAATTTGGCCTTCGCTTGCACGGAAGATGAGCTGCGAGAGCTATTCCGACCGTTTGGCGAAATATCTCAGGTGAGACATCACATCTTTCTCTCCTGCTTTCGTTTCTTTGTGTTTTGTGTGGCGACGGCACCTTCGGGATGAAATAAAGAATAGGGACAACAGACTTTAGAGGATGTTGATTTATTCGGGAAATACCTAGATAGTATTTATTATCTGATCTCTCTTCGCGTGTATCATTTTTCCTCGTTTCGATCGCATGCTAATACCTCCATATACTCCCCTAGGTATGTTTGTCTGCCGACAGCAAGCGTGAATACGGTTCTTAAGTTTTATACCCTTCTGGTGTATCCATCTGAACTTTAGGTGAGTTCTCAGCCCATTGTTCAGGGCTTCGCCCCCTACGGATGATACACATGCATAGGGACATCAGATCCTTCGGGAATGTTGATTTATGCTGGGAAATTGATAGTTTATTTCTGACTTTTCACCTCTTCGCGCTTCCTGCCTCGACTACGTCGCTGACCACTACCTTTCATAGATTCATATACCAATCGACCCGAAGACGAAGCAACCGAAGGGATTAGCCTATGTCTCGTTTGTGCAACCCACCGCCGCTCTCGCTGCCTACGAAACGCTAGACAGGAAATCTTTTCAAGGCAGGCTTCTGCACATCCTGGGCGCAGTCGACAGGAAGGGCAATATCGCGGTCGAGGATGCGGATGGTAAGAAGAAATCCTTAAAGGATGAACGGGGTGAGAAGAAGAAGGCGACCGCCGGCAAGGAGTTCAACTGGAGTATGCTTTATATGAACGTAAGTTACCACTCGTCCTTTTACATCAGCGGAGAAGTGCCCAGAGCTCACATTGGGTGTCTCGTAGAGCGATGCCGTCCTCTCATCCGTAGCCGATCGCATGAACCTCTCCAAGTCCGACATCCTTGACCCCGAATCACCCAACGCAGCCGTCAAACTCGCACTCGCCGAAACTCACGTCATCTCCGAAACAAAAGCCTACCTCGAATCCCAAGGTGTCATCCTCTCTTCCTTCTCCGACTCCTCATCTACCCCCACTACCCGCACTCATCGCTCCGATACCACCATCCTCGTGAAGAACATCCCTTATGGTACTACCGCCGACCAAATCCGCGAGATGTTCGAGACTCATGGCGAGTTGAGTCGGGTGCTGGTACCGCCAGCGGGTACGATGGCTGTCGTTGAGTTCGTGCATCCGGATGAGGCGAGGAAGGCGTTTAGGGCGGTGGCATATCGGAGATTGGGGAATTCGGTGATCTATTTGGAGAAGGGGCCGGCGGGTATGTTCCAGGAGCCTGCTGAGCCTGCGCAGGGCACGAAAGTCGCGGACGGAGTCAAGCCAGTCACTGTTGAGGACGATGCTACCGGCAGTGCTATCAGAATCAGTGCAGACGAGGAGGAGCCCTCAATGGCGGCAGGGTCGACACTCTTCGTCAAGAATCTGGCGTTCTCAACCACAGCAGAGCGCTTGAACCAGGTCTTCAAGCACTTGCCCTCTTTCGCGTTCGCTCGTATTCAGACGAAGCCGGACCCGAAGAGACCGAACGCGAGGTTGAGCATGGGGTACGGGTTCGTTGGGTTCAAGACGACGGAAGGCGCGAAGAAAGCGTTGAAGGGCATGCAGGGGTATGTGCTCGATGGGCATGCTCTCAGCGTGAAGTTTGCGGGTAGAGGCGTCGAGGAAGATGAGGCCGCTGGAGGGGAGGGTGCGAAAAAAGGAGGAAAGAGTAGAACGACGAAGATGTTGGTCAAGAATGTACCATTCGAGGCTACGAAGAAGGAGATCCGGGAATTGTTTGGGTGCGTGGCGCTCTTCGTCTTTTCATTTATTTCCCTAGTTTGCCTTTCCGTTCTCCCGCTGATCATAACCTTTGTATCTTGTGCGCCTACAGATCTCATGGCCAGCTCAAGTCCGTTCGTGTTCCCAAACGCTTCGATCACCGCACTCGCGGGTTTGCTTTCCTCGAATTCGTCACTCGCCAAGAAGCCGAGAACGCGTACAATGCGCTTAAGCATACGCATTTATTGGGTAGGCATCTCGTGTTGGAGTGGGCTGAGGAGGGTGATATGGATGTAGAGGAGTTGAGGAAGAAGGCGGGCGTAGGGTTTGGAGAGGGGAAGGAGTTGCCGGGACGGAAGAGGAAGATTGTGATTGGAGGGGACGAGGATGGAGGCGTGGAGGACGCGGAGGCTTGAAATTGGTGTTGAGATCACAGATCGATAGCACGCGGATTCGAGTCGATATGGATATGTGCGATGTTTTCATGTTTTGGATGTTACTATTTTGATATCTGTTCTGTCTCGCCTGTGTGTCCTCAGTACACCCTCAGTCCCGTTGTGGCCCACAACGCCACACGCCGTTTCAAGACATGGCATTGGTAATGTCACTACTTCATCATGCATTTCTTGTGGACTATATTTCGAGTCGGACGCTGTGAAATCAAAAGTTGGTTGGCTGCTTGACGTGTCAAGGTGTTGACGACATGTGCTAGATGCTTTGAGCAGCTGAAACGAAACAGCAGGGGATGACCGATGTCCACTTCTCCGAACCCTTTGCGTGGCGCTTGACGACTTACTATTACAGTCCAAACATTCAAATCCGCAATGGCTGCTCGTGCTATCCTTCGACCACAACTACTTGCTTTGAATAGAGTCTTCAATCCTTCTATCACCACTCTCAATCCTGTCCAGCATGGTACTAGGGTAGGAGGCGAATCCGCCCATGCATTGACGGTCCAACTACCCGTCAGACATCTTCGAACGTCGTCGATAGCCGTGCGCCTTTCTTCATGCCCTCGTCTATAGCAGTTTCTGAAAGTTTGTGCTATACGGATGGAACGTAGGACCTCCAAAGTGCATTCCGCGACCCAACTTCACCATACCACCTCCCTCCGGGCGCACAAGGACCCGCACACCCAGATGACCATGGAATCGAAGAGTCTGAACCTGTTTCTGCCGCAGAAGAGGCAAAGGCGACATTCATTCAGCAAGGATATGATCCATCCAGTTTTTGGGAGCAGAGCATTGTCTGGGGTGACCATGATGCGTTTCAGTACGTGTCTTCGCTTTGCTTTGCTGTCTGGCACAATCATGAATGAGGTGTTCACGCGTCCTGCGCTTCTTGGTCGTTCTTGCATGGGCCGTCTGGCATGAAGACACGTCAATAACGTACGATATGTCCGATTCTTTGAGTCTGGAAGGATGGTGTGGATAAATGCCGTTGGGAACACGCTCGGAGGACCCGAGAAGGCGAATGGCATGTTGTCCGCGAAGGGTATCTCCTTCATTCTGAAATCCATCGAGGTCAAGTTCAGAAGACCTGTGCGATTCCCTGACACGGTTTGTTCGCTCACCTCCAACACTCTCATCCCCCTTGCTGATCCGTAAATTTCGAACCACATTAGCTCCTCATCGCGCACAGGGTCGAACGCTGGCCAGACGCCCCTAGTACCTCGTCATCATCGTCGAAGTCCTCACCACCACTCACGCGCACTCAGTTCTACCTTCACGGAGCGGCGTACTCGTATGCGCAAAGGGCGGTAGTCGCGGATTCGACGAGTGTGATTACGTGGTATGATTATGACAAGTTGAAGAAATGCGATCCTGGTGACGAGGCATGGGCTGCGCTGTTCGAGAGGATGCAGTGATCACAGAGGTCGCTTCTCTGCAGTCGTCCGATGCTTCTAGGCGGCTTATGGCCGTCGTGAATCCCTTCTGACATTATCAAGCTATATTCAGATTGTCTATTACCGAGCGATGACAGCAATGACGATTATCCCAGTGATGAAGGAATACATGGGTAGGTGGTTACTGTTCTGGTACTGAGGGCGCTTTAAACCCTGTTATAAGACGACGATGAGACTTCCTCTTTTCGTGAAGCCCCATCAACCTCCCTTCAAGTTGCCAGAATGTTATTGTACCATGATGCATTCTCTAACCTCTACGGTGCCTGGGCCCTCTTCATCACATGCGCTTCGATCGGTTTGTATCTGTGGTACGGCAGACATGTCAGCGGTGACCGGAAGAGGTTCCCTCCTGGTCCGCGTCGCCTTCCCATACTCGGTAGCCTTCTGGAGATGCCAACTGATAAACAGTGGCTGGCCTTCGAGCGCTGGGGGAAAGAACATGGCGAGCTTCGTCTAGCACTTTTTTGAAGACCTGCGGCAGAAACTCACAACTGACTCCACTGGCAGACAGCGAAATTATTCACTTTGATTTGTTGGGCAATCACTTCATCGTAGTGAACAGTATGGATGCCGCGAGAGAACTCTTCGAAAAGAGATCAGCTATCTACTCCGATCGGTGAGAGCCAAAATGCACTCAACGACATTCAGACTAACCAGTATGCACATCATACACCACATAGGCCTTTCTTGCCTTCCTCTACCATTCTGTGAGTCTACGAATGTATTTTATTTTGACCCGAAGCGTTAACGTGAATGTCGTCAGTCTTGGGTACCACTGGACGATGCCGTTATTGCCCTACGGCGATCGCCTACGCGCTTTACGAAAGGGATTTCACACATTCTTGCAACCGACCCCTGCTAAGGTGCGTCACGGTCGGTTATATTTGTATATTGTAGAAATTAACCCTGACGTTCTCATTCGGACAGGAGTACCGCCCTCTCGAGCGCGAAGCGGTTCTTCAGCTTCTGCTTAATGTCTTGCACAATCCCGAAGGATTTATGGCGCATCTTCGACAGTATGTTTTCAAAATTCCATTTGCGAATGTCTATTTATGACGGACTGATGACTTTCATGATGGACTTTGGGTTCGAATAGTATGGCAGGTGCTATAATTTTGGGTATCGCGTACGGAATCAAGGTCCAACCGCACGATGATCCATACGTCGAGACCGTTGAGAAAGGCCTCCAGGCCGCTGCAGCTGTCAGTGAGCCTCATGCTCAGCTTTTTGATCTTTTGCCTTGCCGTGCGTATTTCTCGCTCTAAGTGTTCTGGTCAATGCTGATACTCGAGTGTACTGACAACTTCAATGGCTGTGACGATGCAGTTGTACACGTGCCTTCGTGGTTCCCGGGTGTTGGGGTGAGGGACTTTGATTTTTGACACCAATTTCCTGCTTCTCGTTATCGTGTGTATTACACTGATTGTTGATCGGTTAACACAGTGGAAAAGGTTTGCAGAGAAAAATCATCACTGGAGCACGGACGTTTTAGAACATCCTTACCTTGCGACTAAGGAAGCTATGGTTCGTCTCTTCTTGCCCTGGATTTTCCGGAGCATGAGCTAAAAGTCGCCGTATACACTTCGACTTGTAGGCGAGAGGAACTGCAACTCCGTCAGTTGCTGCTACGATGACGACAGAGATGGAAAGTAACGGAGAGATGACGCCGGAAGGGGAAGCATTTGTGAAGCAGCTTGTTGGAAATATGTGAGTGGGTCCAATGGTCCGATGAGCTTGCCTTTGTTTACTTTTCCCTCAGGTATGTCGGTATGTACTTCTACTCGGCGTTTAACCTCAGAGCGGATCTCTATGAGCTCATCATGCTCCATCGCACGGCATATAGCTGGAGCAGATACGGTATGGTTATTGTCATTAAGCGAAATCTACTGGTGCATATGATCTTGGAACACTCTGACCATAAGTTCTTTCAGACCGTTTGTGCCTTAGAAAACTTCATATTGGCTATGATCCTCTATCCTGAAGTTCAAAAAAAAGCGCAAGCTGAGATAGATGCCGTCGTCGGCCACGATCGACTTCCTGACTTCTCCGACGAGAAACTCCTCCCGTACGTTGGTGCTCTGGCGAAAGAGGTATTGAGGTAAGTGTTCAGTCATGGCAATGTATCTTACTTGCTCTTGAAGTATTGAACTCATGCGCATATGCTTTGCGCAGATGGCGTAACGTTACCCCTTTGGGTGAGCTCCAGTGTTCGTTCTGTACGATGGTCATAATAATGTCAAATCAACAATTGATAGGAGTGCCTCATCGCCTCACCACTGACGACGTCTGGAAGGGCTATTTTCTTCCCGAAAATTCTACGGTCCTAGGAAATATCTGGTATGCCTCACACTGCTGGCTGCGATTACTTATGCATTGTCGAGGCTATCCAGAAACTGACTACCGTCCGGTTCTCATCAACAGGGCTATACTACACGACGAGTCCGTTTACGGCCCAGACGCGCTCAGCTTTAATCCCGATCGCTACGTCAACTCAGACTTGCCTGATCCTGAAATTGCTTTCGGCTTTGGGCGCCGAGTCTGTCCAGGTCGGCTCAGCTCTCCCCACTAATGATCCTCCCTAACCTGCAGAACGCGAACGCTCTGACGCCGTACCGTTTCGATCAGGGCAGTACATGGCTCGTGATTCCATCTGGTTGGCAGTGACCTTGATTCTTGCCACGATGGATATTTCCAAAGCTGTAGATGAGAACGGGGAGGAGATTGAACCCGAGCAAGATTATGCGTCAAGTACCGTAGCGTGAGTTTCTTATGCTGTCTTTCTGTTCTGTACGTGAATCGTTGACCACCCTGTCTGTTGCTTTCTTTCAAAATTTCCTTTATGTATGATAATGGCGGTGACTCAGGTACCCCCGACCATTCAAATGCAGTATCAAGCCGCGGTCTAATGCTGCTGCAAAACTAGTAGACCTTGAGACCTCCGACAAGATGAGTGGCTAAACCTGATGATATACCTAAGTCCCCTTTTGGAGAAATGATTAGGTATATTATATGAGCGTATGGCGACGAGAAACAATAAAAAGACCATCGAACGAGCTGAATGTACGATATCGAATTCTGCGACACAACTGCAGAAATACAATTTGAATGTGCCACCGTGGCACCTCCTTATCGGAGACAGTCGGGACATTGCCGGAGCCGGAGTAGCCCGGGAGCAACGCCACCAAAACGCCACCAAGTTAACCGGTCATCATTGAATATTGAACCACCACCTCAGCAGTAGGCTTCAATCTCTTTTCACTGTTCAACACGTGAAATTACTATGCAGTAAATCAATACTTTCAAGGAATACGTGTAGGCTGCTTCAGAACATTCAGACTGTCGTTGTATCGCTGCTTGCAAGTGACTCGGTGCTCAATGATGCCAAAAACGGTTGGCGGGCATGGAAACCTACCCGGCTTAAGGTGCTTTTCCTGAACCTGTTTAAACTCGACCGCCCGTATCACTAGAGGTCTCGTCAGATATCTCTACTTTTGGTGAGTCCAACTCCCCCGGCAGATCCCTTCCAACCTCAGTACTTAGTACTGAAGTCTGTTTATGACTTTTTGGGATATATTGCTAGGCCTCCAGGCCGAAATCCCGAGAATATGTGTCGAATGTAAAGCACCCTCACGATAAGGAGCACCTTTCTTTCAAGGGGACAACGTGTGTTTCCAGCGCGAGTGACCCGGACCGGCTCGGGCGCATACACTGAGCTCCTTCTCAATATAATTGCAGCGTCATAATAACTCGGCGAAACTACCAACGTTGCGGTACAGACTCATGTCCGCTATTGACGGTGTGGCGAGATGGGCGCATAACTAGTTTGCTTCAGACCGCCAGTCGGGGTTATTCAAGGTTATATCCTTCGCGCTCCACGCAGGAGCCTCGAATCGCTTCAAGCTTGTTTGGAAAACACTGTTTGCAATGGTGTGTATCACATTTTGTTCTTCATGACCCCATGGATGATTTCACATGTATTTCACAGTATCCGACGAGAGTCGGACTTGTGACTCTCCGAAACAATTCCAGCTCAAAACAACGCTCGACCACACAGATTGAACTTACTCGATCCGAGTTTTCCGACGTCGTAAACCACGACGAGAGGATATTGTCAGTTCCATAACAGGTGCAGAAAACACCGCGGTGGGGCCAAATGATAGTGGCGTTAGGCTCCGACAATGTTACACTGTGTCATCCAGTGATGCTGTCGTAATTATCCTTGGGCTTGCAGTGAGTTCTAGCATATTCCACGGGTATAAATCAGCCAACTGCCAGTGCCAGTGCATCCTCTCCCTCCATTATTACCCATATTAATCGCAACCATTATGTCTGTGGGAACATCCCCATCAACCGCTTTTGTCGTCGCTCTTTGTACCATCTCGGGTTTGTACTTGTGGCGAAGCAAGGATAATGCTCGCGCGGCAGGGAAACGGTTACCCCCGGGTCCTCCTCGTCTACCTTTGATAGGCAACCTTTTGCAGATGCCGGACGATCACGAATGGCTTCGTTACGAGCTGTGGGGAAAGCAATACGGTGAGCTTCTACACCGGGCCTTCCCTCTCAATAATCCAGGGTAACCGTTTTACAGGCTCGGAGTTGATACACGTTGATGCCCTGGGTAGCCACTTCATCATAGTGAATTCCGCTGAAGCCGCTACAGAGTTGTTGGACAAACGGTCCTCGCAGTATTCGGATAGGTACCGCGAGCGCAGTAGAGCCGCTGTTTACAGTGACCATATATGAGCAATGCTGACGATCATCACAGGCCAGCTTTTCCTGTTTTGAGGTTCATGTGAGCATTGGTGTGCTCGATCGAGGCGATTGTCGTCTTTACTGATTGGTCGTACGACACAGGCTGGGTTTCCAATGGGCAATGGTTTTCCTCCCGTACGGCGATCGACTGAGGGCCTTGCGCAAAAGGTTCGACACTTTCTTCCGGCCAGCTATCTTGACAGTGAGTATTTACTATGAGTAGTATCGGACATGACACTTATACTTGAATCTAGGAATACCATCCAATTGAAACTGGGGCCGTACACCAACTCTTGCGGAGCCTTGTGAACAGGCCTGATGAATTCTGCGCTCATCTCAGGCAGTAAGCAACAGCTCGACAATTGCAGACCTCACCGCTCACGGTGACTCATTTTGAAAGTATGGCGGGTACCATCATACTGGCCGTCGCATATGGGATCAAGGTCAAGCCGCGGGACGATCCGCATGTCGCAATCGCGGAACAGGGTCTGAATGCTCTTTCGACCGCGTCCTCTCCACGAGCCCGGATATTTGAACTTCTACCATCAGGTGTGTTTAATTTCGTTCTCCCATCTATATGATCAACTGATTACTCTCTTGGTGCAACGAGCAGCAATGTATCTGCCTGCATGGCTCCCAGGATTGAGTGTGAGCAAATACAGCTACACGTATGCTTGGTATCGATCTGATCTGCTGTGACAGTATAAAAAAGACGCAGAAGACCTTCGTCGTTGGAGTGCCACTATGAAGGAGAACCCTTGGCGCGCTGTGAAAGAAGGATTCGTATGCAGTTTCAACACAGTGCATTTTGTACGGCCACTGACAGGCCAGCGTGTTCAAGGCTGAAGGGACTTCTTCCCCTTCCTTCGCTGCTGCTACACTGAACCAATTGGAGAACAAGCCCTCGATAGAGGAGGAAGTCATCGCACAGCAACTAGCCACGAATATGTAAGACCTTTCGATCTGTAGCTCAGTACGTTAATGACGATGCATCTTGGTATGCGTTCTTGCTTTTGCTCAAATGCTCTGCGCTTGCTTACAGAACCATTCTATAACAGGTGGCGCGGACACAGTGAGTCCATTCAATATTCCTGTCGCACATACGCTTGTAACTGGAACTAACGTTTACTAACCTAGACTGTGTGCGCTCTGGAGATCTTCATCCTTGCTATGCTCAAATATCCCGAAACCCAGAGAAAGGCTCAAGCTGAGATTGATTGTGCCATCGGCCCTGATCGAATTCCTTCCTACGAGGACAAGGAGTTGCTTCCTTACGTGGATGCGTTGACCTCTGAAGTCCTCAGGTAATGCGGCATTCTTTATAGTGAGATGTCCTGCGTATTGACTCTTCAGCAGGTGGCGTAATGTCACCCCTTTGGGTACGCCATTTCCTTCTGCTTGTATCCGTACAGTATAGATGCTGATCGAGGAAGCAGCTGTTCCACACTATCTCGCCGTCGACGATGTCTACAAGGATTATTTCCTACCAGCTGGGTCAACAATAATCCCGAATGTGTGGTAAGCAGTGTCCGAAAATAAAGTACAGCTCACCGATCTTGACTGCTTTATATCAGGGCTATGTTGCATGATAAGGATGTATACGGTCATGACGCTAAAGACTTCAGGCCTGAGAGATATCTTGATGGTGACCTCCCTCAACCAGACATCGCGTTTGGTTTCGGACGTCGCCAATGTCCAGGTCGGTAATACTTTTCCACTTTCCTGTTCGAGTCGGGTCATCGTCAAGCTGATGATTTATCTCACCGGTGCGTAGGCAGACATCTTGCGCGTGAATCGGTCTGGCTAGCCATTGCTGCTATTTTGGCGACTCTCAATATCTCGAAGGATAAAGACGAGAACGGAAATGATGTTGAGCCGGAAGATGATCAAGGATCTGGTATTGTTTCGTAAGTCAGCCTCTGTGTTTAGGTCTTTATATTCATCTGACACTGTGAATGTGGAAAATCTAGGTATCCTGTGCCGTTCAAGTGCAAAATCCAGCCGAGATTCGCTGCTGCCTTGAAGTCGATACAGATGACGGAGGAGATCAGTACGTAGCGGATATGTTCTTATGATGAGCATATGTACGAGATAGGCGGGCACCTCTTTGGCCTGTTCATTTGCTTCAAGTTGTATCACTCTCGACGGAATGTACCAGTATACATTCATATGTCTAAGAACAAGTCTCCTTTGTTTCACACCAAAGATATCCCGCCGACGCGTACATATTCTCCCTCAGGGCCATAAGAACCCATCTCACATATCTGTATCTCATCAACATCCCATGTTCCAAAATTGACATTCATCGGTCGTTGCTTCTCCTTTGAATGCTTCCGAATCCCCGGAAGGACAGGTCCTTCTTCTCGGTTTGGCTCATCTTCATCTACCTCAATTTTGGCCCTCTCTGCATCCGTTGAGATCGCCGAAAGAGACGGAGTTGATTTTGGAGACTGGAGAGCACGGAAAGCCTCGGTTTGAAGTAGCTCGGTGTATGAGAATGGTTTTCGAGGGCCGCTGGGCCGAGGCCTGCGATAGGTGGTGTTGACAACAGTACAATGCAGCTAAACAGAATCGTTCAAACGCCAAGAAATGTCGTAAGGAATATCAGTGCATGAGGCATACCTTCAAAGGCCGTCGTTCATCGATCATGAGACCGGCTTGCTTGAAAGCCTTTTGGATGAATGCTGTCAACAGATCGCACCGAGCAATAAAATCAGATAGACGTTCAGGAGAAGAGATGTAGTATACATACTACCGACTGCCTTTAATCTTTTCGCATCCTCACTGTCCAACATTGGCCCTACATACATAACATGGGCCCTCGACGAGTCGCCACGATCCGGTCTCATGATATCCATTCTTTCCAACCCGACACGCAGTCGTTCTCCTCCAAGAAGCTCCATCACATTTTTTCGCAAGGATTCCAAGACGGAACAAGCTTCTTCTAGAGTACGAGGGCCCCCGTTTTCTGCGAAAAGCGCTTCATTATCTCTACTTTTAGACAGGACTTCATGTGGCACCTTCTTGTTCAGATGAAAGCCCTGGGTCTTCGGCAAGTGACATGACTCCGAGGGTGAGATGAAGCCTTCGTGGAGAGATTACTATAGACTTGTCAAAACCCGTGATAGGCGGCGTGCTCTGTAACAACGCAGATGTGAAGTTCGAGATCGAGGCACGTAGTGCTTCATGGTGGCCCTAAGAGAACACAGGATGGGAAAAAAGGTATCAAAACTTGACCTTTCTTGGTGTTAACTGAAAAATGCTGTAACGCACAATGGGAAGAGATATGACTGTAGGAATTGCGCCAGCCCTTGTGAGCTTGAAACTCGTACCGACAGCCTAAATGATGTTTGATGTGACACTTACAGTGGGTGGGCGAAGGCTTTTGAGAGAAGTCTCGAGAGGCTGCCCGAGCTTTCTCTCCCGCGCTTGAATTACTCTTACCACTCTCCTCCTGAGAAGTAGCAGCATCTATTCGCGTGTTGGCTCGTGCAGGCGTATGAGCTCCTCGAGCTCCTCTTCCACGACCACCGCCACGACCACGGCCCCTCTTACTGCCAGAAGCGGGCATTGTAGTTTCGGGCGTGTCAGACATTGTGCCTGAAACTAGAAAGCGAGTCAAATGAGGTTGAATAAGAGAGTAGCGCTTGAGTACGGAGAGATGGTGGTGGAGCATGCGAAAGCCACGAAGGACTTCTGTTTTCGGCAACTCGAACGTTTACGCCGCTGTGCGGCATCTTCCATGTGGCACCGACACGGCGCCCACGAGAGCATTAATGATTAATATCAGACACAGATGTGGGATTGGGCATTGATTTATGCTATATGCTAACCACACCACTATCTCCTCTCCAACGCTGAAATCTCTGCAACATCTCTGGAGTGATTTGTTTTTTGATATTCCGCGAAGCAGCGACAAAGGCAGAATGAGGCACCTGATCATGAGAGTTCAGTCGCATTCACAGCACTAGAGAAAATAGATAGAACTGACATATGCCGCTTCTAGGTCTTTTTGCATGGTCAGAAGGGCAGCTTCCTGACACATCGATGTGATCTCAGCGCCAGAGCAGCCGTCAGTCTACCCAGAATCATGTAAGCGCGGATTAGATTGTGAAGAGGTCATTGAGCTTGCGACCACCCACCAAAGTTGCGAGTTCTTCGAAATCCACATCAGGGTCGACGCTCATCTTCCGCATACGGATCTTGAGGATTTCAATGCGTCCTGCGTGGTCTGGCGGTCCGACGTACAAAATTCGGTCCAGTCTACCGGGACGCATGAGGGCAGGATCCTGTGGTATTCAGAGTAAGTGACTATTGGAATTGTCGGGATAACAAAGGGGAAAATAGTAAGAACATACGATGACTTCCGGCCTGTTCGTAGCGCCAACCACGGTAACACCCACAAGTTCTTCCACTCCATCCATCTCGTTGAGAAGACTGGTGAGAACGCCCTCATGAGAACCTCCCTCCGATCCTGAAGAACGACTGATAGCTAAAGCATCAATTTCGTCCTAAATATAATAAATCAGCGCCAAAAAAATCATTTGCGAGTTATAACGAAGATAGACTCACGAAGAATATGATTGACGGTGCTGCCGCTCGTGCTTTACGAAAGATCTCCCGCACAGCCTTCTCAGACTCGCCTACGTATTTATTCAACAACTGAGAAACATAATTAGCAACGATAATTCTCGATTTCTAGCGAAAAAGAGATACCTCGGGTCCCCGGACAGCCACGAAGTTTACTCCGCTCTCAGTTGCTGTTGCCCTAGCGAGAACAGTCTTACTGCAACCTGGAGGTCCGCAGAGCAGTACCCCCTTGGGCGCAGTCACACCCAGTCGAGCTAGGGTGGCACCATGAATCAGAGGCCATTCTACGCTTTCGCGTAGACGAGCGATGGTAGACGAGAGTCCGCCAATTTCGGAGAATCGTACGGGGGCCATGTCGAGGAAGTGGGCTCGAAGAGCAGATGGTCGTATGGTAGGAAGCGAAGCATCGAGGTCAGAAGAGGTCAAGTGTATAGAGGTAGGTGATAACGATTCTGTGGATGTTGAAGAGGATATGTATCGTTTTATCGCGAGCGTCCCTGCTTCGCGGACGACTGCAGCAAGATCTGCGCCAACGTAGCCGTGTGCTCTAGAGGCGACTGCTCTGAGTTCTTCGGGAGAGACGGTGTGTGGCGTCTTCGAAAGGAGCACGTTCATAATCGAAATGCGGGCTTCTAGATCTGGAATACCTAGAGAAACAAGAGTGCTCAGCCTGTCGTACTGAAGAACATGAAATATGTCGTCTTACCTATTTCTATTTCACGGTCAAACCTGCCTGGACGGCGCAAGGCAGGGTCAATAGCGTTCGGACGATTAGTCGTCGCCACAACAACGACTCTGGCATCCACATCTCCCTCGACGCCATCCATCTCAGTGAGGAGAGTCGCTACAACGCGCTTCTCGACTTCACCTCCGGCGCCTTCTTCCCTACGAGGGCAAATTGCGTCCACCTCGTCCAAAACGATGATACACGGGGCCTTGGCCCGTGCATCCGCGAAGACCTTTCTCAGGCTTGCCTCTGTCTCTCCGTGATACGCAGACGTGAGTTCTGGGCCATTGACGATGAGGACGGAGGATTGAGTCGATGCTGCTATCGCCCGAGCTAGGTGTGTTTTTCCTGTACCCGGTGGTCCGTGAAGGAGTAATCCACGAGGAGGTTTGAGACCTTTACCGATTGCGGTGACAATGTCATGAATTAGTGTCTACAGAACGATTTAGGCTAGAGATAGCCTACTGACCAAAATGTCGAAAGAGATCGGGCCGAGTCAATGGAATTTCAATCAAGTCACGGATTTGCGCGATTTGCTTGTCCAGACCTCCGACTGAGACGTAGGCTTGGGGACTAGCAGATGGACCCAGTATCTCGATTTCTTTCTGAAGAGAAGGTAGTCAGTATGAACAGTAGAGACTGTAGTTGAAGGATACATAAGTAACATGGTGGTCACCTTCTCCAACAACTTCGTCTGTTTAGCCGTATCCTGAAGAGTAACGGTCGTCTGCCAGCTGACGGTAGAAAGCGGCGGTAGTGATCCCACAGAAAGGGAGTCTAACCCTTCCGCAAGGTCTGTAACAGGATCACCTTCACCCTCGGCTGTCGAGCGCGAGATCGAGCTGACACTGAATCGTCGTGTACGGCCCTCATACGGAACCTCCACAATCTGAGAAGCCGTGACGTACTTCAAGTCAACTTTCAAGACATGTGGGGGTCAGCTAGGTTCAGGGACAAGTAAACTGTCGGTCCATGAGAGACGTACTAAGCAATTCGCGAACAAGCAACGTCAGCCAGTCTTGCCGCTTTTGCTTATCTGTGGCCTTCAGCTTGGGTACAGATGGACCTGGCTCGTCGGCGTTGTTGAGTTCTTTCAAACGGACATTTCCAGCCTCCTTTACATGCTTCAGGTTCGGAATCCAAGAAGGAAGTTTTTGGGGTTGTGACGGGTTCAGTGGATAGAGTTGCACTTTGCTATTTTCGCCTACTTGGGCAGTGGCTAGCACAGATATTGAAGCCTGGATAACTTTAAGAGAAAATGTGGAGAGGAGAAATCGACCTCAAGTTAGTGCGTTGTTTTTAGGTATCCAGTCGTTAGAGGGTAAAATGTACGGTTGGACTCTAGCTCTTGGGAAGGCCACAAAGATCCCACTGCGAACTAAGGGACCACATAATTAGCAAAAAATAAAATGCTCTACATAAAAAAACAGCGTTCTCACCGCCCTCCTTGTACCGGTAGAATTAGATATTTGGGCGGCGACGAGGGCCACAGGATCACCGGCGGTGAGCTTTGTGCCTTTTAGGGCTTCACTCGACACAATTATCCGTCGTGCACCTCGACCTTCAGCATCGAGTGGATCAGAAAGTTGAGCAACAAATATTTTGGAGAAGGACATCTAATGAAGCTACTAAGATTAGGCTGTCGTTATTATATGAGAGGCGGCCGCGGGCAGTCAAGAACCTTGAGTGGCACCGACGGTGATCGTAACAGGACGATTTCGCGCGGTAGCTACAGCACAAGTCCATAAGATCAAGAGGTTAAATCTGAAGGCATGCAAAACATACTATTTGCCTTCAAGTTATACGATGAAGTAGACAAGTTCTGGCGATGTCGGTGGCCCTCCCAGTATGTGGCCGGAAATTACTGGAGAAGACCTGGAGCGGGCGTTGAATCTGAGAAAGCCGGAGTATGAACATCTGGTGCCGCAGTGTGGCGCAATGAATGTTCGGTCCTGCAACGTCCCAAACATTCCTCCTGTCGGTGCATCTTTTTGTGGTGCATCATGCCAAAGCTCTCAGCAAAAATACATCACTCTCAGAAATGTCTCGAAATGCATGGAAGCATTGCGCATCGTGAGTGAAATGACAAAAACTGCCAAATTCCTGACCAATCCTCGGTCATCTTCAAGATATGGGCCAATCACGCGTGATTAGCGTGGGTGACTCCCTTCCCATTTCACTCACTCGGAATTGCCGGGGACTCAGAGGCCGTCCGTCATCTCCTTGAATTCGCTGCTATTTAATCCAGCTCGGATTGGCCCCTACCAGTGTCTTAGCTTTCTCCTCGATCACAAGATGTCATCCTCACTGAAGAAATCCAGCTCACAAGACACCCTGCGGGGTGCTAGTACGCCTGATATTGCAAAGGCGGATATCTACGATGAGGGTGTCGTCGATCCTGTGTACGCAGCCAAGTCTCATGTACTCAACAGGGCATTGCAGGAGATCGGCATGGGCAAATATCAGGTCAGCTCATCTCACCATGAACCTCAACGTTTCGGTGGATTCTTAATACGAATGAACTGTGGATAGTGGGGTCTCTTCGCTGTCGCAGGCTTTGGCTGGTTCTCGTACGTCCGTTCTCTGCACTCCTTGGTCATAGAACTTACGCTGATTGTTGGGGTGAATACAATAGGGACAGTGTTTGGCCGCTCCTCACGAGCTTGATACTCTCGCCCGTTCTACTCGAATTCGAATTCAACGGACCTTTTCTTTCCCTCGCCTCGAATATCGGGTTGTTGGTTGGTGCGATACTGTGGAGCTTTGGGTGTGATATCTGGGGTAGAAAGTACGTTATGCTATCTTTTCCTTGCATGCGTAGAGTGCTTTACACGCGCTTTTCTTGTGAACGGCTTTGCGTGTTTCGCTATTTTTGGTGTGATGCGGATGATATGCTGTCATGACGGCTTTCCGTACGGAGTGGGAGGACCTCCAATTGTGAACTGGTTTAGCGCTAGCCCTTCGTTGATCAAGAAAGTGTGGCGGCGCTGTGACCCGTTCATTACGCTATTCTGCACCTCAATTTCTCAGACATGTAGCATACTTCAGTTACTGACTCTGGGGTACCACCTCTTCTATAGATGGTCCTTCAACCTCACGCTCTTTATGGCCAGCATATTTGGTATCGCCTCGGGTGGATCTCCAAATTTCGTCGCTCTCGCTGCCTTGGTGGCCGTGCTCGGTGTAGGCGTTGGTGGAAACATGCCCGTCGATTCTGCTGTTTTTCTCGGTCTGTGCACCTTTCTTATGTTGGGTAAATATATGACTTAGTGCTCATGAGAGTCGTGACAGACTTCGTTCCGGCTTCACATCAGTACCTCCTCACCGTCCTCTCGATCTGGTGGGCGATAGGCCAGCTGGTCGGTTCCTTGGTACGTGACACTCCGCCGCCTCCTCTTACTTTTCTTCCACAAATCATCCGCTGACATACCGCCGCTACACTGCACGTTTCATTATCACAGGTTGCCTGGCCCCTCATAGCTAACTTCTCCTGTCCCACCGACGCCACCCCCGAAACCTGCTCCCGTTCACAAAATATGGGCTGGCGTTACACTGTCTTTACCCTAGGAGGCCTCATGCTCATTCTCTCCTTCGTCCGCCTCTTTGCCTTCAAACTCTTCGAGTCTCCGCGGTATCTCCTCGGACACGGTCGAGACGCAGAAGCTGTTGCCGTGGTGCGTCAAATCGCAGAATATAACGGCCTAGGCTCTGGAGATACCGAGAGTAACCGAGGAAGGATCAGTGTGGAGGAATTGAACGAGGCTGCAAAGGCGGTGGAGGACAAGATGGAGAGGCAGGGGAAAGGGGGTGAGGTGGGTGAGTGGAGGAGGTGGAGGGTGCTGAGTGAGGAGAGTTCGTGGAAGATGGCTCATGTCAGGAATTTGTTTGGGACGAGGAAGATGGCATGGTCGACTTCGTTGTTGATCGCGCTTTGGGGTGCGTTATCATATGTCGCAATCTCTATCGCTCTTATTCACCGTGCTTTTTATGTCAGGTATTATTGGACTGGCATCGACGTTGTACAACAGTTTCTTGCCTTACCTGTAAGTCCGAATCACAGGTGTCATCTCAAGGTTGAAGTTCGTACTCATCAGCCTTTCATTTATCTAGACTCGCAAGTCGTGGAGCCCAATTCGACGACGCGACCTATTACACTACTTATCGCAACGTACGTGCATCTCATATTTATCTTCCTTCTCTTTCTTCCGATATTAACGTTCTGTTGCACACATAACAGCAGGTCATCCTCTCTATTACCGGTATACCTGGCGCCTTCCTTGCAGGCTGGGCCGTCGAACTCCCTTGGTTCGGGCGCCGTGGCACATTGGCGATCTCTGCGGGCGAGTACTCTTCTCTGCTCCCATCTCACCACTTCACTTTCCTTGGTCCATTCTTGTCCTACCCTCTCCCTTCAAACGTTTTCCTTGTTCTCCCTTCCTTCACCTTTCTTCCCTTCAAGTTTCTTTTGACTTTATTTTTGGCTGCCCCTGCCGTCCTTCTCCATATTCCGCGTGAGTATAATTGCAGATTATTCAACGACCCCCGTGCATACATCTAGGGCTAACGGGTGCCTTCCTCTTTGCGAGTACCACCGCGCGCAGCTCCAACGCGCTGCTCGGGTGGAACTGTGGGTACGCGTTTAACAGTAACGTGCGTTTTCCACCACACTTCTCCAGTCTATGGCCCGGAAAAGAAAGGCTGACTGATCTCTGGTGGATTCTGTGTGGCGATTGGCGATGTTGTTGTCGGTGGTTTTTTCGTGGCTGGCAGATCATGTACGGCGTTCTCTACGCTATCTCGCCCGAGCTGTTCCCTGCGAAAGATAGAGGGACAGGGAACGGACTGGTCTCGACTGCGACGAGGGTGTTTGGTGTCATCGTGCGTATTCTTTTACTCCTTCCGCCTTCATCGTCCTCTCCACCATCATCGTAGTCTTTGCTACCACCCTCGCCCCTGGCCACCTTCCCCACTATCTGCACCAGGCCTTGTTTTGCGGTCAAGCTGACCTAGGTTCGGACAGGCTCCCATCATCGCGCTCTACGCTAACATCAATACGCCCGTGCCCGTTTATATTGCTGGGGCGCTGATTATTGCGGCTGGTGGGATGGCCTTATTGTTGCCGTTTGAACCCAGGGGAAGGGCGTCGATATAGGCGAGCACCGACAAACATTGCCGTCTGTCACTGATGAGTGATTGTCGGGATGGAGGGCGCGGTGTTGTGGTGGGCAGGTGGATGTGGTGGTTGTCGTGTGGTGGGTGACGCGGAAGTAAGGAAAGAAGATATAAGGTAGGATTTGTGTTCATCGTTTCGATCTCTTGATTATTTTGGGTCTAGACGGGTGGGTGTAAACGTCAATGTACGTGGAAGAATTGTTTGATTGTTCTGTTCTGTTCTGTTCCGTTCTGTCGTGTTGTGTTGTGTGTTCGTGCTTGAGTACTCACTCGATAGAAATAGCCTGTCGAAATGTTTGGTTTCCCTTCATATCTGCGTTGCTTTTCTTATTAGCTATCTTTTATGAATTCGTATGGAATTGAATCTCCTCTCATCACTTTCAGGCTTGAAGCTTGACGCTCGAACTTCCTCGAGAGCGGTGTGGCGCAATCCTCGTCACTCTTTCGATCACCATAGCGGAAGATGAGATATTGTCGCCTGCCTTTGTAGATACGATCGTATCTTAGACCATCATGGCTACAACGTGTAAAGCTGTGGTTGCTTTGGTTCAAAAAACCTAGAGCATCGATCGTGTCGAAGTTCAAGATATGAATGTGGCGAGATGTTCTTCAAAGCGCATCGACGTCAGCGACGGACTTCTACATACCTACTCGTACTTCGTGTTACCCTGAACCACAATGGCGAACACTTTCATGATCACCCTGCTTGACTCCGTTCATGTTATTTTGTTCAAAGTGTGTTCCAACTTCCGAACCCGTTCCGGCTTAGCTACCTGGCACGACCCCGTGCTCGGTGAAAAGTCGCGCATCGATGCTCACAGTCCTAAGACCGGAACGGGACTTTTGGACCGTAAAGGGAGCGCCAAAACGTGTTCTCGTGTGGAGAATGTTGAGAACATGAGGTTCAGGTGAGGCGACTAAAGAATAGCGAAGGGCACTACTGTACTTACGATAGCAGCCGGATAATGGGAAGAGAAGGACGTCGGGCCACAAGGGCATTCAGATTATCTTTGCACTTGTTTGGCCCGCCTCTTCGTCCCGTCCACATCGTACGTGCTCATCCGCGATTTGAGCTCGACGATCCTTGGTATACGGTATCTTGGTTGGACTAGACGTCTTGTCTGTTCTATATTGTCGTCTTTGAGTATTTATTTACAGGCCAATTGGTACGAGTCATATTTCCCAATCTTTTACTGTTCACGGAAAGTAAACAGGCGGGGCACTGATGGTCGCAGTATGCACAGCGTTTTTCAACCGTCAGAGTTCAAGTCATCAGTAGTACAATAGGACAAGGTCAAACTAGCCGTCATGCCCTCATTCCTGTCCAAGGTATTTGGTCGCAGCAAGAAGGAAGAGAAGAAGGACAAGCGAGCATCCCAAGGTTCCCTACTCGAAGGGAAATTCGAAGCCGTTTCGCCGACCGTCTCTCCCTCCGCTACTCACTTCGACCAAGCCCAAGCCATCCCCGAAGTCCCTCAGTCCAAGGACAAGGACAAGGACAAGGACAAGGACTCCAACGAGTCGAAGGATAAAGAGTCTGCAGGCTTCATCTCGCTGTTTCGCCCAAAGTCACGTCCTTCGGCTGATCCTTCTTCAACTGGTGGCGCAAAACGTTCGAACGAGGTCCCTCATCTCAGCTTGAATTTATCCACCAAGGAGGCAGATAATAAGCGTGCGTTAGGAGTTGTATTTGAGGCGGATCCGGATGCGTATGCGGTGTTGAATGAAGAGGTGATTGGCGAGAGGAGGTTGACGAGCGCTGAGACCTTGCTGCTGGTGAGAGCGTGTTCGCAGATTATTATCGAGCGTGGTGCGTATAGGAGTCCATTTTTATATAAGTCTCCTCCAGTAGCCGAATAATATATCCTGACGCGTTATTTCGATTTGCTGGGAAGGTTTGGAAACCCTCGGTATCATGCACCCGCACTGGTATTCCGCGTCTCCCGACGTACAACAGAGTAAGTACATCTTCCCGACTATTTGAACATCGTACTCATGAATATCACGTACAGGACTCATATCCGTCTTCATTCTATCCTTGGCTCCCAGCAACCCTACGAACACGCTCTCTTCCCCGACCACCCCGGCATCCGCATCTGATGCTTTCTCCACATTCGAGTCCGAACTCTCCTACGCGCGTTCGCCACACGACGTCGCTGCCGTCCTGCGCTGGGGTCTCCGTCACCTTAAGCTCGAAGGAAATTCCTTCGGCCGTCCCGCCCTCAACCCCACCTCTTCCACCTCCCCCTCTTCCCCCACTACACCATCCACGAATACCCATACCACTACTAGCGACGTTAACAATAATACCGTAACAGATGACGAATTCTCATGGTACACTTCCTTCTCACGCGCCGAACGTTCTTCCAACTACCCACCCACCGCATTCTCTCAATCTCTCGTCCCACTTCTTCCCGAAGATCACGCTGAGCTTCTCGTAGCGCTCTTGGACGTGATCTCGTCGTTGGCAGCACATGGTGAGGCGAACGGGTCTAGTGGTGCCAGGTTGAGCATGATTATAGGACTGTGGCTGGTTGCGGCGAGTAGGAGCGAGAGCAGGGATGGATGGGCGAGTTTCTATGAGCGGTGGGAGAAGGCGGGGAGAGTGTTGGAACATCTATTCTTGGCCAGGATTAGGTACATTTATTATAACCTTGTCTTCACCGTCTCTCCATCTCACCGATTTCTAATACAATTTTTATTGGTATGTACTATCATTATAGGGAGGAAGCATCAAACCACAAGATGCCCCGCCGCCTCACCGAACTCGTCGAACAATACCCCTATGCGAAGTACGCGTCACCAAACCCGTCCGGCGACATTGCCCTCCTCCCACGAACCCGCTTCTCTACCCGTCGCTACGACGCCCTCTTCGTCCGCCTCGAGACCCAAATCTCAGGGATCACGAAACCTAAGGCTTATTTCCCTATCCAGATCATTCAGGAAGCGTTGAGGTCTACGTATGAGAGTACGGCTGGGGATCAGGCCGGGGTCTGGGAGGTTATCCAGAAGTTGGCGAGGAGTGAGCAGGAAGGTGCGGCGGCGGAGGCGGAGGAGGTCAAGGAGGAGGATCCGGTACTGAATAGGATTTTTGAGGATGGGACGATTAGGTTGTTGAGTATGGTAAGGGACAAGGAACTGGGAAAGGAGAAGGAGAGGGGAAGGAGCTTGAGCCCCTCATTCGCGGGCAACGGTAACAGCAATGTGGCCAGTCCGGCTACGGCCACAGCTGACAGCAACGCTCAGACGCCTACTGCGACTGCTGGTGGCACGGCACCGACGACCGCTTCTCCTCGTACGCCTACGGATACTGACTGGACGCAGTTCTCCAGTCGTGGGTTCAAGGAGACCCCTGTCATCCCTAAAGATTTCGCATCGACGCTCTGGGACCAGGATATCGAGAAGACGAACCCGCCTTCGTCCGCAGCCCCTCTTTCTCGCAAATCGTCCAAGAAACGCGATAAGTCTCAGACTCGACGTTCATCCACCGATAACACCAGCCCCAACTCTAACAACCCGACGATCATAGTATCTGCGCCCGTTCCTCCTTCAGCCAAGACCGCCGGATCGAGTCCTCCATCAAAGGTCGCGCTGGTCGAACGCATCAAACTGGACGAGGCGTTCGTCGATTTCTGGAGCGATGCGCTTTTGGACCCCATAGCCAGCGATTGGCCCAAATTCGTCTTATGCCAGTTGAAGCCCATCCCTGCCTTACAAGAGGTTTCGTCTGCTTCTGCCCCCGCTACAGCCGCCTCGCCTCCTACGTCAACCACAGATGTTACGACAGCCACTGCGACAGCTTTGCAGCCCAAACCGGTGACGTGGCTCGTAATTGAGCAGGCTTTCGTGAGGCCGCCTCCGCCGAGGTCACCTACGCCCACTGGTGGCCCTGCGCATGAACGCTCGTCATCTGAGGGAGCGGCTAGTGCCAAGAGTGGAAACGGACGTGCTACTTCACCGACGGCGAGGCCTTCGATCAGAACGGATGGAGGACGGGTCAGTTCGACGATCTCTGCCACTAAGAAGCGGTTGTCGTTCTGGGCTACGGGAGGTGGTGGAAGTGGCAGTGGGAATATGGAGAGGACGATGAGCTCGGATACGATCCAGCTCAAGAGAAGTGATTCGGCGAAGAGTGGGAAGGAGAAGGAGAAGAAGGAGAAGGTCAGTAAGGCGCCGCAGGTGGGGGAGATGGGAGAGGTAGTACATGAGGAGGAGCATGAGGAGCAGCCGAAGAAGAGTCTGAGCACTGAAAAGGAAGAGGGCAAAGACGAGAAGGTCGATGGGAAGGAGGTCCTACTGGGCGCTGGCGTAGCAGCTGCGGTGGCGGGTACGGTTGCTGCTGCTGTTGAGGCGGCTACTTCCGAGCCGAAGGAGGAGAGTGCTCCTGCTGCTACCCCTGCAGGCGCCGAACAGGCTCTATCTACTCTCGTAGAAGCTCCCTCCACCGTCCCAGCTCCATCCCTCGTCGTTCCTCTTCCTCCAGACGATGAGAAAGCTCACCTCACTTCCGCTGCCGACGAACCCCAACCAGAGACCGAAGAGGCTTCCAAGCCTACTCAAGTCCCAGCGGACTCGACCGGCGCTACACTCCCACCTGCACCCCAGAGTGTAATTTTGTCTGGCGAAACGGTTGGTCCTCAGCTCCTGTTGAAGACCAGTGAGCCGGTGGCGGTGGCGCAAGCCCAGGCGGACGAATCACAGTCTACAAATGTTGAGGAAACTCCTGAGGTCTCTGAAGTGGAGGAGCCTAAGGTTCCTGAAGTCTCCGAAGTGGCTGAGGTGCCGAAGGAGGAGGTCGAAGAGGTTGCTGAGGCTCCAGAGGTGGCGGTGGAAGAAGCACCAGTTGAGAAGGCTGTAGAGGAAGAGGTACCGGCTGTGAGTCAGGTCGAACCAGAGGTTGAGGAAGAGGCTCCCGTTCCTGCTCCTGTGGAAGAGGCTGCACCTCCGGCTAAGGCAGCTGAACCAGCGCCCGAGACCGAGACTGACACAGTGGCTACACCTGCGGAACCGGAGGACGTCCCAACTGTCATTGGTGCTGCTGCCGTCGCCGCAACCGTCGCAGCTGCCGCGATCGAGGAAGAGACTCCTGCTGAAAGTTAGTGTTCACCAGGACTTTTTCTCTCACCCTCCAGTTTATTGATAACCTGATCGTGTAGCTGAAGAAGCTGTGGCACCCGCTGAAGATGCTGCTCCCATCGCCGAAGAACCTGTCCTTGCTACTGAGGAAGTGACCCCGACCGCTGAAGAACCGGTGGCAGTTGAGGAGCCTATGACCTCTACAGAAGAACCCATCGCAGCCGTAGAGGAACCTGCGGTCGCGGTTGAGGAGCCCGTCGCTGCGGTCGAGGAGTCCACGCCGGCGGATGCAGTCGAAGCTGAACCCGAGGCTTCCGAAGCTCTTCCTATTGAGCCTGAAGCCGTTCCTGCTGCTGACACCACTCCTGCGGCTGAAGAGGTTGTTCCTGTTGCAGGTTCGTGTCAATTAAATCTAGCTTCCGTTTATTCGCTTCACTGACTTGTCCGGTGTGAGTAGAGCCTGACGCCCCTGTCGAGGACGTCATTCTCGCAGCCGAAGAGCCAGTCGTTGCTGTTGAGGAAACGGCTCCGCCAGCTGAGGAAGTAGTCCCTGAGGCTGAAGAGCCTGCAGCTGCCAGCGAGGAGCCCGTATCGACCGTCGAGGAAGCTGTAGCTGTCGAGGTGCCTACAGCTGCCGTAGACGAACCTGCCGTCGTTCAGGAACTTACAACTGTAGAGGAATCAGCAGCTATCGAAGACTCTGCCACCGTCGAGCCGGCCGTCATTGAGGAACCCTCCGTCGTGGATGAGCCGGTCACCGTCGAGGAACCCCCTGCTGTCGAGGAGTCGGCTGCCACCGAAGAACCCTCCGTCGTGGATGAGCCTGTCACCGTCGAGGAACCTCCTGCTGTCGAGGAGTCGGCTGCCACCGAAGAACCCTCCGTCGTGGATGAGCCTGTCACCGTCGAGGAACCTCCTGCTGTCGAGGAGTCGGCAGCCATCGAGGAACCCTCAATCGTGGATGAGCCCGCCAACACTGAGGCACCTCCTGTTGTTGAGGAATCGGCGGTCATCGAAGAACCCTCCGTCGTGGATGAGCCTGTCATCGTCGAAGAACCTCCTGTTGTTGAGGATTCGGCCGCCATCGAAGAACCTCCTGTTGTCGAGGAATCGGCCGCCGTCGAAGAACCTTCCGTCGTTGATGAGCCTGTCACCGTAGAAGAACCTCCTGTTGTCGAAGAGTCGGCCGCGGAACCCTCCATCGTAGATGAGCCCGTCACTGTCGAGGAACCTCCTGCTGTTGAGGAATCGGCCACCATCGAAGAACCTCCTGTTGTCGAAGAATCGGCCGCCATCGAAGAACCCTCCGTCGTGGATGAGTCTGTCACCGTCGAGGAACCTCCTGCTGTCGAGGAGTCGGCAGCCATCGAGGAACCCTCAATCGTGGATGAGCCCGCCACCACCGAGGCACCTCCTGTTGTTGAGGAATCGGCGGTCATCGAAGAACCCTCCGTCGTGGATGAGCCTGCCACCGTCGAAGAAGCTCCTGTTGTCGAAGAGTCAGCCGCCATTGAAGAACCCTCCGTTGTGGATGAGCCTGTCACCGTCGAGGAACCCTCCGTCTTGGACGGACCTGCCACCATTGAGCCGGAAACTACACCTGCTGCCACTGTCGAAGAGCCTGCCTTACTTGAAGGTACGTTGATAGCATAGCCATTCGCCCTCTGGAGTAAAGAAATGACCGGTTCTTGTGTAATATTAGTTGTAGAGCCTGATTCACCCGTGGAAGAGGCTGCACCCGCCGTCGAAGAACCTGCTGCTGTTGAAGAAGTAATCCAGGTCACAGACGAGCTTGTTGCTGTGGATGAACCTGTGGTTGCTGGAGAACCTTCTGCGATCGAAGAGCCCACTCCTAGTGTCGAGGAATCTGCTGCTGTCGAGGAATCTACTGCTGCCGAGGAACCTGCCACCGTCGAGGTGCCTGTTGCTCCCGAGGAGACCACTGCCGCTTCTGTCGAAGAACCGAATCCAGCAGCAGACCAAGCTGCTTCTGACGAACCTGCCTCTGCTCCGGAACTCACTGAAGCCCCCGCTGCTCCCACCGAGGATATTGCCCTTACGGATGACCACACTCCCGTCGTCGAAGAGCCTACTACCGTCACCGAGGAGACTCCCATTGCCGAGCAATTAGTTTCTGAGGTTGAAGCCGTTCCTCCAGTCGAAGAGCAAGTGTCTCCTGCTGAAGAGCCTTCTGTTATACCGGAACAACCTGCCGTCGAAGATGCTGCTGAGGATGAAGTACCCGCTCTCGCTGCTGCGGAGTCGGCGTCCGCTCCAGGAGAACCAATCACGGCCATCGAAGAGCCTGTTCCCGCTGTTGAAGAATATCTCCCTGCTACAGAAGAAGAGCCACCCGTCGAGGAAGAACCTGCAACTCTCACTGAAGATGAACCTCCTGTCGGGGTGGAAGAGGCTGCGTCCGCTGCTGACGCCATCGGCGAGCCCGTTCCCGCGGAAGAGGAACCTGCCTCGGAGGCCGTTCCTGTAGACGATGGTGCCGCGCCAGAAGTTGAGGAGGGTTCATCCGCTGTTGAAGAGCCAGCCCCTGCTGCCGAGCATGTCACTCCTGCTGAAGACGCGACACCGGCTGGTGACTCGGCCACTGTCGAAGGTTTGTCCTGCAAAAGTATCTTTTTCCTGACGTTGACTGGTCTTAACATCCTAAAAATTAGAAACTGCACCTCCCGTCGATGAGGAAGTTCATGTTCCTGAAGAGCCCATCATCACCGCCGAAGAACCCGCTCCTGCTGCCAATGAAACCGCTCAGCCCACGGACGAATCTACCGTGGCTGAAGAGCCCGAGGCTGTCGTTGTTGCGGATGATATTGTTCCTATCGTCGAAGAAGCCGTTCCTGCTGCTGGGGAGGTCAACGGTGAGGAGGACTCCCTATCTCTTCTTGTGCTATCTATGTGCTGACAAACCAAAACGACATCAGAAGAGCCGTCGCCAGTCGAATCTGAAGAGGCCCCAGCTGCTATCGAAGAACCAGCTCCAGTACCAGTTGATGTATCCGCCGTCGAGGAGGCTTCTCCGATGCCAGAAGAATCTGCTGCTGAACCTCAACAAATGCACGAGGAACCAGCTGATGTCCCGGAGCCTGCACCCGTCGCCAACGAGTCGGCACCAATAGCGACAGAGTCAACCCCTGTCGCAGTCTCGGAAGATGCCGCGCCCGTTGGAGACGCTCTTACCCCAACCGAGCCGTCTGCGGAAGAGACTGCTCCTGCCGTCGAAGATGTACCATCCCCCGAGGATCCTACAACAGACGATAAACTCTTGAAGCCTGCCGTTCCGGAGGATGCGGCCACCACGGCTAAAGAGGACTCGTCCGTTCCTGAAGAACGTTCCTCAACAGGAGAAGACGCTCCTTCTGCACCTGAAGATGCCGTATCACAAGTTGAGAACGCTCCAGTCGCTCCAGGACCTACCTCTGCTCTTGATGAGGAAATCGCAAAGCCCACAGAGGACTAGATCGTCTCTATTATTCAATGAAGAATACAAGTGCGTTTCACAATGTCTCGGGATGAACATATATTAATCGCGACGTTCTTCCTGCATGCAGGATCTAAATCTGCCAGTTGTGATCTATGTTTGAATTGAAAGCTCGTGGCTGCCGAGGAACTGAAACAATATAACACCATCTCCTTCATGCCTTCCCTTGCTTGTGTGTCAGTATTCTCTTGCTTTTGCCTTCTTGTGGAACCGGATCCGTCACTTATATCTCACATCAAGAGTATACCCTCTGATACCCGACCACATCCTCACATCGCCTGTTTTTCTTCCGTCTATTATTGCTTACATGTCTTGTGGTGCGGTTGTAGCATCTTTGTCTGTCAGGTTTGCAGTATCTTTACGCTTTATATTTCTTTATAGTCCGCCCTATTACGAGTAATTCCACCACTCGTTCCGATGTTCAGTAGTGATTCATGTTACGACCGTGTCATGCCGTTCTCCGAAAGGATTCCATTATGCGAATGTCAATTAATCTATCTTCATCTCACTGTGATTTATTATCGGACACTTCCACTATTCCGTTCGCCCTGTTGCCTTACCAGAAGTTCCTGCCCGACCAATATCGCGCAGTGACGGGTTGTCCAGCACCATGTCTTTTCTCGAGTTTGGGAAAAGAACTTGTTTTGGGATGGCCTGATCTTTGACACCGGTACGCAACTCGCGCATCTTTCCCTGCCGTTTTTCAATGCGGTAGATATGTGGTTTGAGCGTTTGAGTTACGCATTGTAACTAATGGCCACATGGGTAGCCGTTACCGCTCTAGCGTTACGAAAAGCTCCGGTCATAGCGGCAGTAAAGTCAATTTAGCTCACGGATAATGAGGTGAATGACGGAGAATTGGCGAATATATGGCCGTGTCAAGCAGGTCGTTGTGGCATTCCGTACCAGAATGATCATCTGCCCTAATGAGCAGCTATACGCCCTGTGAAGAGACATCAGTTGCTGTATCATGTGACAGACCCGGGGTACAGGGTGGGCTATCCCTCTGAACCATACTCGGAATGTTCACTCTAGAATCTTCAACTCCCTGCGAAATGAGGTTCAAGGGTGCTTCATGAAGCTAGTCGTCACACCTAGACACCGATGAGCTCGGAAACTTGAATCCGTGATATCAATTGTATTCTGTAGGAGTCCAGCACTACTTACGTTGCATCTTTGCTTACGTTCCACGCCTCGCTCAGCTGATTGTCGTTCACAAACTGGTATACCATGTCCCAATCACGGCACATGTGCGTCTGCCCAACTCCATCTGCGGCTATGGGCGCGCCGTCATCATTCGAAACATCTAATGGATCCAGTGTCGTGTCCGCGGCACACAGAATTGCCTAGGACAGACAACGCAAATATATGCTCACTACGCAAGCGTCAGAGTACATCCATATTTCAATGCGTACCTGCCGAATCATATTGAGACAATGTTGGACATGGTCTTCAGCGTCGCCTGCGAGAATAGCATGGCGTATCATCTGCAGGCAGTGAAGTTGATGAAACATGCTGAGACCAAACAAACGAGCTGAACGGGCAGAGAAGTGGCAATCAGTGAAGAGCTTCGAAAAATGGAGAATAAATTACCTTGAGGCCCGAGCTTCACAAACCCGTTTCCCTTGGGGAATGCATCGGTCGAACGCCAGTCAGACCACGAACTGAGATCTGAGACACCGAATCGCTCGGTATTCTCATAGACCAGAGAAACTGTGGGAAGGTACAGAGGGAGCTGGATCGGATAGTCGTCGCCGCTGTAACCTGGAGGTCTATGTCAGGCCCCACGTCATAGAGAGCACGCAAATTAGTGTAGCGTACTATAACGTCCCGGGTCGTTAGATGTCTTCAGGGCCATGTTTCGGACGGTGAGGAGGTTAACACTCATGCTGACAACGAGAGCAAGAAGCACGCAGAGAAAACCCGTATTCGCTCTCCGTAGGAAAGACATGTCAATAGTGCAATAGATTGAGTCTCCGTACGTCCTTGGTGATCGTAGAGAAAATATCGTGCGCAGGGTCTGCAAAGGATACGAGGTGCTATCGAAGCACAGTTTCGCAGAGCTAGGAGCACGGTAGGCGTACGTTGGAGCAAAGATACCCTGTAAGCAACGAACCGCTTATTTTAGACATCTATCTGGGCCGCTGTCTGAGCTAGGTAAGTGATGGAACGTGCAAGAATGTAAGAAGGAGGAAAGGAGGGTGCTCGAGGGAATTGATGTCCACGGCTATTTCGGCATCCTCCGATAAGCCGCCCTAATTCTTGCGGTGGCGTCCGATTCTTCGAGTTACACTAGTACTTGCTCGAACTACACAACGGCGGCCAGTTCAGGCCATATCAAGCATGCTCACGGTATCATCTCAGAAAAACATGTCATATCGTAAGAGATCTCGAGGGAGCAGTAGAAATGCCCCTTCTTACCTCCTCTAAGCTTCTTGCTTCACATTTTCATCATCACGCGCCGCGACACTACGCTCCGAGTCCTGGCGCCAGACGACTATCCAACTAACATATCCGCACGACCTATCAGTACCCTCCGATATACTCGGACAGTCTTGGGGCTGTATTGTCATACTGTCAAAACATGTGCGTGTCTTCTCGTCATACTGAAAACTCTGTTCGTCTTGAAGAGTCTCGCGCCTACCTTGCTATGGTTGTATTCAGCCTAATATCGATAACCACAGGCTCAAACCGTGGCACGACTTCACCCGCGACCCGACTATGATCTCATTCTAGACTACGGCATGGCGTGTGCGATTCAGGGTCTTCAGCTCCAAACACCTGTTCTTGTTGCTATCCCCGCCCCCAACACTTTTGATCTTTGTCCCTTTGCCTTCTGCAGAGGATGACCCGTCCTGACCGTCCTGTTTCTGAGGACTACGTTCCTCTCCTTTCTCCAGAGGAGTGGAAAGAACGCATACCCACTGAAGAAGGACGATACCCGTTTATTTTGTGGGCTTGCGTCGCGTTGACCTCATTTGTGACAGTGGCGTCTGCCATCGCTGTTTACTCGCTCTCATCGGCACTCAGTGTCCCGCTGAGCCCATCTGGTCTCAGGAGACTAACGCCATACCCCAACATGGAGACAGTGGGAGGCATCCAGCGGTGGAGGTCAAAGGGTACTTCCTCTTGCTGTTTCATTCATCACAGCCTTAGCTTATATCATTCCTGCAGGCCCCAAAATGTGGTTCCCCAACACGATCGTCCATGTGAGCTCATCTGAACAGGACAAAGTCTTTAATCCCGGGAGTAAAGTCCTCCTCAGTGCGACGGCAAGCTTTCTCCTCTGCGCCACTTCACGTAGTTTTTTCTTGGTTGACGTCTTCGCAAATAGGACTCCACATTCTTCCGCTGGTCAACCCGACTCTCACCATCCGCTCTCTGTTATATCGAAGCCGTTGTTTCGGACGCTTCCGCCCTCGCGTCCAATAACAAGTCCTTCGTTGCCGTCGGGGACGTTTCTGCTCTAGAGATATGGAACGTCACTTCCCCCCTCCCCAAGAATCTCACCTATGATACTCGCCCTTCGCGCCTCAACTTGATGGGAACTGTGAATTTCAGCGCAGAATATGTGAAGGAGGCGGATATTGGATGGCAGCTGAGGGTACCGACACCAAGGTTGGAGTGTGGCGGGAGGCGGAATACGGTGATCGAAGTGGCGTGCTCGGAGGAAGCCATAAGAAAAAGCGGATGTAGGCTTGAGTTTCTGCAAATATTCTCAGAGCCACCTCTATGTGAGTGTCGTCTTCCTACCTAAGTATTACGGAGAAATTGAGTCCAATATGTCTTAGCGTTCGACATGCAAGAACTTCGATGATTAGCAGGATTCGGTTCGCCTTGAAAGGCATTGGTATTTGCAGTGACGACTGGTGTAGTACGTTTGAACAAATAGTACAAGGGCATAGGTGTACAGTAACGATTACCATTCATGCAGTCACATTTACAAGTTGCTCAAATAATGGCTCGCGTGAAACCTTTGAGACGGTTAGAAAGGCTGTTGAGCTCGTTTACTGTCCGACAAGAAGTCGTGATTTCTTTCAGGTACCACACCTTCGTCGACGTGCCACTGAACCAGTCGGGATGTTATCATTTTACGGGACAAAAGACACCACTAAGAACACTATAAACCTCCGCTGTAGTAATCATACATTCTGAGCACCTCGGATCAACACAAAATACATCGCGGCCAACACAATCGGAGGACGGCTCGAGCCATAGTAATCACGCAAGTAATTCTTCCGACACTGAAAAAAACTCTAGCGAGTCAGTTCTGGACTGCAGTACCTCTGAAACGGAGAAACTCACGCAGCATAACGCTCAGAAATATGTGCTCAGTCCTCAGCCTCGTCGACATCATGGACTAGGTAATACTGTTGTGCAAAGCGATGTGAAGTAAGCCTTCCGTATCACCACGACCGTCCGAAGAAAAATCACCTCTAATTCGCCTAAGGTACCCAGAACGGCCTTGTGGTTAGTTTCGAAGTCTCCCTTGTGCAAATATATTTAGCGTATAGAGATTACTTACGTTTCGGAAGACTGTCCCTCGCCACAATGTCATTGGTGCCAGTGGGGCTGGACTGAACACCAGTGCAGATGACAGCGGCAAAAGCGAGGATGATCTTGTAGTTCATGACTGAGTTGGGTAGGAGAGTACAGGTGGGATGTTGTTGGAATGTTGGGTCAGGCTAGTGATAACGCGAACCACAGTTACCCATCAAGAACGACCCAGCCTTATATACCAGCTCTGAGTCCTTTGTACTAGAGTAAGCTCGGGCTCGAAAGTAAAGGCGCTAAAAGATGCAGAGGTTATGGCTCACCACGCAGTACAGAACGAACGGTCGCTTTAGCAGCTGAGTACCCTGGATCCCACATACCATTCATCAGAACACAGAAAACCTAAGGAATGGGGATACTCGGCGCGGTTGGAGATACTCTCGTCACCATTTTCTCCAGTAACGGATCTTTCTGAGGGATATTTTTGGACTTAGTTGATATGAGACGTAAAGTCAAAGATGCAAAGAACCACAGGCCCTATTTGATGCTCCCGTCATGTAACCTTCATGTGATGATGACTCTCGAGAGCCCTGCACCATACAAAAATTGGGCGCACCAGTTGTAATGTTCCGAGACGGTCGGACGCCCCAGAAATCAGGTGCGTATTGACACAGTTTGTCGCTCAAGAAGCAATGACGGACATGTCGAAGAAACGGACCTAATATTGTTTGCAGCACCTCACAAAAGTCAAAGGGTTTCCTTGAGACTTCAGATGCGCTCAAAAACTCTGAGCCCAATTTCTGGTTAGGATTCAATCCCACAGGAATTACTGTAGAGAGTGTACTCTGGCCAGAGCGACGGTTTGAAGGGCCTCCAGGGTCGCAGCAATCGCCTTCTAGAGACGTGTACTGGATGCCCTCCAAGAACAGTGCCACGAATCCCGTGTCCCAATCACCCGATAGCGAGTACACAGCACGGCGGATGGCCTTCTGCTCATGCTGAAGAAGAATCACAAGGGCAACACCCACTCTACGATACCTCAGAAACAACCAGAGCCATGCACTCGAATCATTACAGAGCAAGGAAAATAGGCTCTCAATGGCCTCGTTTGGTTCTATTCGTTAGGACCATCGTGCACTACAAGCATACCGAGAAATCGAAAACTGGAAGAGTCTGAATCCGTAGCAAGGGCCTTTCATTACGCTCTGCATCGGGCTATCATGTCAGTGCAAACTCGATGAATGTTGATATAAAGGAGCTCACTAAAAGTGACGACTCTTCAGACTTCATCGGCTGCGGTCTCTGCATCGGCAAAAGTGTAAAGGCCCTGTATCACAGTAGTGTGTACTTTCAGTATATGTCATGGACGAGCATAATAACGGTGGGCACATAAAATGGTACTTACATTGCAGCTTCCGCCTGAATAAAATCGTGAGATATCGTTCCTTGTAACACTTTAGAAATCTGAGAGTCACTTACGCTTCTCAGGGTTCTTGTCAGTGTCAGGACTGGCAATGAAGTACGATGCCTGCCAAATTTGTCAGTAAGTTCAGATCCTTTCCTGAGGCTTCATAAAGTGGCTCACTCCACTCCCGCCGATACCTGTATTGTTGGTTTCAGACAAAATTCAGCATCTCTGCGGAGTAAGAATGTCCTATCTTACACTTACGCCTTGTAAGATCGTAGTTGGCTCTCGTGTCAACGTTACCTGCATAGACATATATAGTAGTAAGCATTGAGTAGTATTGTAGAGTTGGTGAGCGTATGGAGCTCATTTATAACTTACCCTCGCAGTTATCAATGGGACGTGCTTGGGCACCGGCAATAATGGTAGCAAGAGCGAGAATGATGTTGAAGATCATGTTCAGCTTGTGGAGTGCGTCCGTGCTCTGAGGTAGAAGTTTGGGTAAAGGGTGTGGTCGTGCAAGCCGCACGCTTTATAAGCATATCTCGAGCCTCGCAACCCGTCCGCTTTCGTGTACCCCGGGACAACTAGAATCTGAGATAGATGAGGAAGGGACCTGACTTTGTGGTCGACAACGTGATCAGAGGATGAATATGGACATAGAGCGAGATATGCCTGAGAGGGCCTCGTTGGAGCTGTTACGGAAAGGATCAATACACTTACCGTTCATTGTTGAGGATTGTAGAGCCCCAAATTCATTCGAGGTATATTAAACAGAAACTGAGGCGTTCCCCAGCCTCATTGGCAAGGCGCACGAAACGGTGGACGATTTTCCACTTACAAGGCAGGATGGTCGCACAAGTGTCACTTGTTCCACTCATCGCATTACGGAGCGAAACTCTGCGAAAGCTTCATGAAATGAGGTGCGGAGTTAAAGCTGCAACGGAGTAGTCCGGTTTGTTGTTTTGTGGCGCTTCTCACGTCATGATGGCCTCCAGGCCGAACAATACCATTTTCACTTTCCATGATGCGTTGAGGAAGCCCGACACCATAGGAAGCAGCAGACTATCAGAGCATCCAAGAGAGAATACATAAGAACAGAGGCATCGAACGCTCGCCGGTTACGAGCCTGGAGCTCGACTTATCCAGCCCACCCCGTCAGGCCGGAGTTACCGATGAAAGCTGTACAAGGCTTTACTTGCTCGTACTCCAAGTTAAGAGGTGTGTCAAGCCATTTCGTTTGACGCTGGACGGAGAAGTAGATATGCCGGTGGTCGATAGTACCCACGGTACGCAGGAATGCGAGAGACTTTTTCGGCGTCTGAGGAGCCTGTCGGCAGCATTCTCTGTATGATAGGCTTCCTGTACAAGGGCTGGCAGAACAGTCAGAAGGATCTCATAGACGGCTGAGTTGAGCAGAAATAGTTATGCACTGTAAGTCAATCCATACAACGTTCGACTCTGATAAAACTTCTACTTACGCTTGTTTGTATAAGTACTTGGCGGGTGACCTTCTGCTCATGTCGAAGAAGCATCACAAAGACAAGACCTACTTGACCATGTTGAAGAAACGGTCAGAGCGTTGCACTCGAACCATTACAGAGCGAGGCAAAAGAGGCTCTCATTGGCTTCGTTTGATTAAATTCGTGAAGAACATCGCCCACTACGAGCATACCGAACAATCGAGAACTAAATGAATCCGAATCGGTGGTAAGAGACTGTTTAGCTCTATATCGAGCTAGCATGTCAGTGCATTCTTGATAGTGAATGCTGATTCGAAGGAGCTCACGCAAAGTGACGACTCTTCAGGGGTCATCGGCTTCGTCCCATGCTTCAGCCGCGCCGTACTGTCCCTGTACCACGATTGTGTATCATTCCGTTCCAAGGTCGCTACTAATGAGTTCAAATAACGGTGGACGCAAGTAAAAGGTACTCACAAAGCAACCCCCACCTAGAGATTCATGGGTAAAATCGTGAGATAGCATTTCTCGTAAAACTGGAAATCTGAATATAGCTCACGCTTTGCGAGATCATAGCTGTCTCTTGCACCAACGTTCGCTGTATATGTATCCAGTAGTAAGTATTGAGTGTTATTGTAACGGTGGGTGAGCGTATGGAGCCAATCTACAACTTACATGGACAGTTATTAATGGGACGTGCTTCTGCGCAGGCAATGATGGTGGCAAGAGCGAGAATGATGTTGAAGTTCATGCTCAATTTGTGGACTGCGTCTGAGCTCTGCGATGAAAGTTGGGATGAGGGTGTACGCCGTGCAAGCTGCGGGCCTTATAAAAATGTGTCGAGTCTGGTGATTGGAGCTTGTCCGCTTTCGTGCATTTTGACGTGACCTGGGTCAACGTGAACATTAAATTGATGCATGTTTTGATAAGAAATATGAGGAAGGGACATTACTCTGTGGTCGGCTGCGTGGTTGGAATATGAGCATGAGCATTGTCGTAGAGCGAGATATGCCTAGTATGGTTTCGATAGAGCAGTCGCGGAAAGGATCGGCGCAGTTACCTTTCACGGTTGAGGAATATAGAGCCCCAAAGTCCTTCGAGGGATAGTGCACAGAAACTGAGGCGTTAACCATTGGCTAGGCGCACGAAACGGCGAACGACCTTCCACTCACAAGGCAGGAAAGTGTTGCAGGTCTCACTTGCTCTACTCACGGCATTTCCAAGCGAAGTTCTACAAAAAACCCCATGAACGTGGGGTGCGAAGCTAAAGCTGCAAGGAAGTAGTCCGATTTGTTGTTCTCTGACTCCAGAACAAAATATGCCGTCTTCACTTTCCGTAAAAAGCAGACTACCAGCACGGACCGTCATCTAAGAGAGAAAGCATAGAAACAGCGATATCGAAGGGTTGCCGCCCACGAGTGCAGTTTAGTTGCAACCTTGGGCCTGTTCAAGTCTAGTCAGTCGCTTTCTAGGGTCGGAGCTTGCCGTGATGTAATTTCTCACGGCATGCTCTCTGAGCGGCCGGCCTCCGTTCGTCCTTACTTACTCTTTCGAAATTCTAGATCTCGTTCGTCCTGTACACACTCTCACAGAGCCACATCCCAACTGTATCCTGGGCGATTGCTACGACGTGAAATTTAGCCTCCATTCTCTCGAAGAATACATACCATTGAAACTCCAGTCGCTAGCCTTCAACCTCCGGACGCCCGTGGAACACGCTTTTTATTCTTCCTAATACGCAAAGCAATCTGCGGTTTATGACTGTTGACATACCTAGTGCTGAACTGCCTCCTGATCTGCCAAATTTGAGTTCTCATGTCGCGATAGATTGACGCACTGGCGAAGAGGCCAAGGAGCAATGTGTCCTGTGAGCTTTACCTTCTCCATCTCGTTGCGACTACACGCTGATCATGAACACCACTCTCACGCTGCGGACGTCTCATACGACAGATACGTCCACTGCTATTCATTTCCTGATAATCTCAGACTCAAGCTCTTGGTTCCACCTAGACCTGCCTAGCCTCGAGTCGAAGACGGTGCCACCTGTTCACACTGCGAAACACCCTGCTTTCATGCTCTGACAAAATATAAACTTAGGGCACATGTGAGTAAGTACTTCATCTCCATCTGCCTGAAATCCTGGCGTCGTTGATTCCATTGTGGTGGGTACCTCAAACGACAGCTGTTGGCGGTGGCGTTGTAGAGCGTGCGGCAGAACACATGTTTGCTCCCTTTCGTCCTCATTTCTTTGATGTTTTCGCTCGTACCAAAAGCGGTTTAATTGCAGTTATCATGACCAAAACCTCCCCAGTCTCACGTCGCATACCCCGACCTTTGGCTGCCCGCCAATGGCTTCGTTCGAGGAGTTCAGCCTCGATTTTAAGTGTTCTGCGCAGCTGCGGCATGGTGGTCAGACATCGATTTCGGAGAATATCAACGAGAAGGATGGTGGAAGACTTTCTCACCATTGGCGAAGCCTTTCAGGACTCCCAGTGTATTGTGAGCGCGAAACTTTGTTAATTCATCTGCGTCTTGCAATTTCATTGGTTGGGCTTGACGACGGGATGTGGACGAGATATAGCTCGTGTTTATCATTCTCTGTTCCCGTCTGACCACACCGGGCAACTCCATGGAGAAAGTTGTGAAATTTTCCCGTGTGAGCTTGGGTTTCGAGGTTGAGCTTCTCATCTGTCGCATCGAGATCATCGAGACGGGTCGGAGAACTTTTGACGTCTACACCTCGGACATTCGTACCCCCTCCTCTGGCAGCACCCTCAAAAGTTTCCTCTAGCGTTTTTGACCTGCGATCGTTGGAGCATAGTGAGACAGAGAGGGGGAAGACAATGGTGGCCACCTATGGCTACTCGCATTGCTCTTGCGCGGACAAAATGCGCTTGGACAATGATGATGACGTCACGAGACAACAAGAGCGCTCGGGGAACGGAACTGTCCACGAGGCAACAGTGCCATTTGCCTTCACCACAACTCTGCCGACCTTCTTCCAAACTAGGCTTTCTCAGGTGCTCTTCGCGATGAGAAACAACGACCGAAATCTTTGCATTCCGTTGCACGCGTGAGATGGTTATCCATGCATAGAAGACTCCAGTTATCCTAGCCGACGTCTGCCTGAAGTCGAGAAGCTCTGGTTAGTGCGATGCTCAGCCTTATGGTGAATATTCTGTCTTCAACAACAATAACAATGTGCTCACGTCGTGTCCGGCTTCTTCTACGCTACGTTCGCTTCCGCTTCGTCGCTGATCCCAGTTCAGTAAAGTCACACTTCCGACATCTGAGGGTTACTCCACCTGTACAGGAGATGCTCGGCGGGTGCCATGTTATTGTTCGTATCAAGTGCGAGCGCTTGATAATCTCGTTTTGGGGTGCACAGGAGATGCCGAAACGCAATAAAAACGGGACGGATAACGGTCAACACGAAGTTGCCATCCTTCGAGCACACTGTCCGGCCTCCTAACTCGGTCACTATGGCTCCTTTGTCCATTCTTAACGATCACCTTCATACGAGCTTCACAGCTTCTCTCTTTTCACTCAGCGTTCTCGCTGGGTTGTACATCTGGCGTAGACGGAATGCGAAGTACGCTGGAAAGCAACTACCACCTGGGCCTCCTCGACTTCCAATTATCGGGAACCTTCTTCAGATGCCAAAGGATCACGAATGGCTGGTATACGAGAAATGTGAGTCACCGCCTAATCTTTCAACATTCGAGTTTATTCAACGAATAATTTATTCTCATAGGGGCGAAAGAAACAGGTCATCTCGGCATTGCTTCGTTAGTTGAGTAATTACTGATAATGCTGCTATGTTTAGGTAGCGAGCTCGTCCACTGTGACGTTCTGGGTAGCCATATAGTTGTGGTGAACTCTGCAAAAGCCGCCAACGAGATTTTCGTCAAGCGATCAGCCATCTATTCGGACAGGTATCGTATCATTGCTGCATCCTTTGATCCTCGGGCATCTCTGATTTAATAATATCCTTCGACAAAGGCCTTTTATTCCCTCGTTCTCCGTTCTGTGCGTATTAAGCTACGGGAATGGAGTTGACGATAGCTGATCTCTCCCTACCAATAGCCTCGGTTTTAACTGGGTCGTAGCCACGTTCCCATATGGTGATCGTCTGAAAGCTGCACGAAAAGCGTTTCACGCCTTCTTCCAACCGTCCGCTGTCAAGGTAGGCAGGTGTTTCGACTTGCTTTATTTGCCTCGAGTTTCAAACCCTTGATCCGGATCAGGACTACCGACCCATCGAATGCACAGCTACTCATCAGCTCTTACGCCATCTCGTTCACAAGCCAGCTGATTTCAAGGAGCATCTTCGCCAGTGAGCACCATTATCTCATGTCCTTCAGGGAAAATATGCTCAGTTGTACGGGTACATGAAGCATGGCTGGCGCAATCATCCTCGACATCGCGTATGGAATCAAAGTCAAACCGCAGCACGACCCTTTCATCGAGACCGCAGAAGGTGGGCTGGAAGCCGTCACTACCATTGCGTCCATAGAGGCGCAGATTTTTGATTTATTCCCTGCGCGTATGTGCCTTCCTCTGGGAAAATACGATTATCAGCGTACATACAGAAAGCTGACGTCTCTTGTTGATGTAGTGCTCAAGTTACCCTCTTGGTTTCCGGGCGTTGGTGTAAGCACTTCGCTTCGAATCGATACATCGGTACTGATCACATTTGTCAAACAGTATAAGAAGAAAGCAAGCGAATTATGCCATTGGAGTAAGGATATGCTCAACCATCCTTTTGAAGCGACGAAGGATTCCTTGGTGAGCTATTCATCGCTTCTCGGCTTTACCACGGATCGAGGAGCTCATCCACGATGCGGGATGTCCTCGTGGTATCATATAGGCGAGTGGGACTGCCTCTCCTTCGGTCGCTGCGACTTTGATCACTCAGCTCGAGAGTAAGAAATCATTGCCCGAGGATGAAGGTGTGGCGAAGGGGCTTACGGCTAATATGTGAGCTCGCCCGACTTTTTCTGAGTTTTGCCCTCAACTGACTATGTTACCCCGGTAGGTATATTGGTACGTCTGCCGTCTTTGAGCTGCAACGTGCGCTCGTCCAATGAGGTGACTAACCGCACGCTGTCGCGACTCGGCATTCAGGTGGTGCCGATACGGTACGCACTCGCTCTTCGTAATGATGTCCGTGGGTCTCACAGATAATCTATTCAGACTGTTTGCGCTCTCGAGAACTTCTTCCTCGCCATGGCCCTCTGCCCCGAAGCTCAGAGGAAAGCACAAGCTGAAATAGACTCCGTCATTGGAAACGACCGGTTACCTGAGTTCTCGGATATAGACACGCTCCCGTATGTCAAGGCTTTGACGGAGGAGGTGTGGAGGTAAGCGGTTCGCGATATATTCTCGAAGAAATCAGACTCAGATGTAACATGTTACTGCTTTAGATGGCGTATTGTTGGTCCATTAGGTAGTCCTGATCGATGTTTGCATTTTCACATAACGACACTGACTGGAATATCTACAGGATTTCCTCATAAGCTAACGGAGGACGATGTGTTTGGAGACTACTTTATCCCAAAAGGTAGCACCGTGATCGGGAATATCTGGTCCGTACATGGTTTTAGCCTTTATCATATTGGTCTTCGCGATATCAAGTCTAACTCGACACACTCACAGGGCGATTCTACACGACGAGTCCGTCTACGGGCCCGATGCCAACGATTTTAACCCAGACCGCTACCTGAATAATCCGGACCTCCCTGAACCCGAGGCAGTCTTCGGTTTCGGACGGCGCATCTGTCCAGGACGCTTCATGGCTCGTGAATCTGTTTGGCTGGCTGTGGCATCAATTTTGGCTACACTGAAGATCGAGAAGGCAGTGGATGATCAGGGTAAGGAGATCGAGCCTGTGGACGATCATATGTCGGGGATCGTTGCGTGCGTTCCCTCTCATTCACATTCTCTGAGTTACGTTGTACTGAAGCTGAGTTTGTATCGCGATACGCGAGGTACAGGTATCCTCTCCCTTTCAAGTGCAACGTCAAGCCTCGCTCGCTTACTGCCGAGAAATTGATCATGGCCACCGAAGTATTCGACTCGGATTAAAGAGCCATGGCTCATAGATACTATTTTCTCTCGCTCTTCCTCCTCGCCTTCCGTACTCGTTTTCTATTTCATTACCTCCTTTCACCTCATCCTTTGGTCCATAACGATAACTTAAATCATTTATGATGAGTTCGGTACCCACTCCTGGTGGCTTTTCACATTTCTTCCTGGGATTCTTTTTACCCTTATTATTGTAGTATTTTGCCATGGTGTACGGGAGTATATGCGAGCAAACCTCGGAAGATGCTATACTTTACGATTACACTTAATGAATGTTGTACTACTTATGTTCTGAAAAAGAAAAGAAAGAATAGCTCTATGGAGAGAAAATTAGCTCTAAAAGGAGCTTCCTTTCCTTCTTCCACCGTTGAGTGAACGACTGAACGACGAACGCGTCGATGCGACGCGGACACGTGAGTCGCGTTTACGGCTTTCCTCGCTACTCCGTTGTGGCGCCGAACATCTAGGTAGCTCGAGAACGCAGAAGCTGGCCATCTCATTGTTGCTCCCCGGATGCCACACTGAAAAAGTACTGGTTGAAAAGTTCTTCGTCTGTGACAGGCGTACTACTAGCATACAACAAATATTTGACTGCTCTCCTCCCCTCTACTTGTGTTCTCTCACTTCATCTCAGAAAGAAATAACCCGATTGTGTAAGCGAAAAACAATGTGACAGCATTGTGGCGAAGGTCGAAGGTTAATATTGGGAATAATGATAGGTCGTGCGGTCCTGAAAGTAAAGGGTACAGTTGTGTAAGTACGTAGGACGAAGAAGCGGTGGTTCATACGAAGCGATGCACGCCCGCAAAATTTGATAAAGGCAGAGGTGCCCAGAGAGAAATGCACACGTACATGCGGATGGTTAGCAGGTCTCAGTTCTTGGGTGAACGAACGGTGATATTGGATAGCGTGGATCGCCGATCGCGTTTAAGCAATGACACAGTAAGTTGAGTTGCCCCCACCGGATTCGGATTCGACGGGGTGCGAAGTAGTGGGCTGGGACTCCGAGGGAGCAGCGGGGATAGAGGCGACAGTGTTGACGAAGGAGTCCATCTGAGAAGGATAGAAGGGGTTGAGAAGTGCGTAAGCGAAGACGAGGAGTTTCGCTGAGGTGTGTGTCGAGTTCCTATGAAGCCTGGAGAGCCCTGACGCTCGAGGGATGGCCTTTATACTCTTTGTACCCGACACTGCTGTGAGGCCAGTGAGCTGAAAGCCGTGTTACAGTTAACAGATACCTGTTGGGCGAGCCAAGGCCAAAGACAATAGCAGCAGGAGCAAGATGCTCGAGGATATTCTTTGGGCGCATGGAATGTAACCGATCCACAGTTGCATGCGTAGAATGTGTCAGCGTTCTGTGTGGCACAACGATAGGATACCAAGTAGCACACTCACATTGCTTGCCCGCATCGCGCCCGGATCTTTGTAGCTGACTAGTAATCATCTCACTGCTCAGGCTCAGAGGGGCCTGCAAAACAATAAGGATGAGTGTCGTGGATCCATTGGTGGTGTTGCCTTTTCTGGACTAAAACTTCCGTGAGTAATGAAGTTCGGAACAGCAGACAGAACGAGCCTTGGGCATCCGATTGAAACATCTGATGAGTGGGAAACATCCAGCCGACACTTCTGCGTGTAACTTATCCAATGGGGACAGTCCGACTCAATACCCATGTTCTCCACAGACAACGGTCATAGATCTACAAGTATTCGACGGAATACGGTCCGATGATACAGCCCAGCAGCATTTGAAGAGGCGAGGTGGCAAATGCTTCTATTGTTTGCAGCGGATCGTAGTATGAGATAAGATGGGACATCCGCCCCATCTTCGTTTCAAATCCCAAGATCGTCCTGTACTACAGCTGAGCATACAGCTGCCAGTACCCATTTACTAGCAGTACAGGTGTGCTATGTCAGATCTTGCACCGATTGAACTACTGCTGTTCGTCCCCGGAAAAAAGACCTGGACGTACCTGAACTAAAACAATGGGGTGAGATTTGTCGTCGAGTTGTATTTGACGCTGCTGTAGATAGCACATCGCAGCATGAGTATACACGAGCGGGCGTACATATCATGTGTGTGGTGTGTCTGCCATGAACCTGAGCGCTGCATAGAGGTAAGTCAATATTGATGCGGGCATAAGGAAAAGTACCTACAAGGACCACGGACTACATCGTCATGTAGGCAGGACGACATGCCATAGACAACAGCTGAAGGTCACAAATGTACCTCGAGAGCGACTAATGGATATTCAAGCTCTCGAAGGTGTGGTGGTTACTGATTGTGTCGCCCCGTTGCGGCTATTGAATCAATTTGCTCTCGACTTTGAGCTCTATTGGGTAAGGAGTTCGTGGACTCGCAATGTATGACAACAGATAAACAAGCCGAACCAGATGCGTTCCAAAAATGGCCCGGGAAGAGAGAAGCTTGCCAATGGCTGCAGAGTTCAAGTTGTTGGACAGTGAGACTCTCACGAGACCAGGAGTTGCATCACGAGCTGCTTTGCCTACAGAACAAAACATAGATGAGAAGTTGGACCGACTCGCTCACACGAGTAGTAGTAGATAGTCCGGTGTTGGGGCGACGAAGTATCGCCAGAACTGTGCGGCTCGTGAGTAGGTTTCTCTTCTGTGATCCTGACCAGATCGGAGAGGACGTATAGGTCTAAGCTCGTGATTTGCCTTGATTTGCATGGAGTGGTCGCTGGCTGCCATTGGCAAGGCGTACTATTCCGCCTTACGCTGGTCGAAACATCGGAAGCCGATAATATCAAAGAGATCTTAGCAGAAGGTTTCCGTCCTGTGATGTTTAGCTCGTGTCGTTGTTTTTTTCTTGCTGGTGATACTTACTGCCAACCTCTGCCAACGTCACGGTTGAGGAGGCCGGGTGGACTCGGGAGTCGGAGCCAATGAGAAATCTGATCGACAGTGAAAACTCGGTCTTTTTGTGGCGATTGAGGGCGATTGAGGGCGACGAATGACCGGATCGGGACAGATTGCGCAATTGAGAGATATTGGTGAAGACTGTCAGAGACCGTGTGAATTCGAGCCTAGCAGAAAACATAGATGACGCGTCGATGCAAGCGCGTGAACGTATGAACGTTTGGCCTTGGCTTGAACTACCTTTTGCCCGCCGCATATGGTAGACTCCTTCCTTGTTACTTGTTCGGTTGTCTGATCGCTTTGAGCAATGCAATGTCTGTTTTGCCTGATGTCGTGGCATATGGCTGGAATTGCATCAAGGCTTGTCGCTTGCAACTTTACCGACCCCGTCTGTCTTTCGCAGAGGGGCACTCGACGCTACGAGAGCTCGGGGTCTGAACTAGTGTTCTGCTGGCTCATTTGGCAGTACTGTTGTACTCTTTCTCAGCTCTGGGATTCTCTTGCTAGTCAGATTCTCGTGAGGCAGCATGTCCGACCAAGAAGAGACCATTGCCGACATCGACAAACGTCCTCAGAAAAAAGCTCGAACTGACAATCGTTCTTTTCATTGTGATTGCCACCAACGATGTGGTGGAGTCCCCAGACAGGTGTCGGAGAAGACATGGAGAGCGCACGCAGTCTTCCGTGGTACAGCTGCGGTAGGTACGTGTATAGATGCCCACTCTGGCAGCATCACGTCTCTGAAATTAACGATGTGTTGGCGAAAATCAGCTGCACCTGACGTTCCCCATGCGCCACAATTTATTCAAGGTCATGCAGGCGAAGGTGATAGACTTCCCGGAGAAGTTCAGGTATGTGGATATCGTCTTCTTAATCCGAAATGACATTGACAACTTCATGTACATCCTGTTGTAGGCACAGCAAGGGGCTGTTCAGGAACACGACAGATACATTGTAGGCATACTTTTAGTTGTGCTGTGATGTATCTAGACGAAGTTCGCTCACGATATATTCTTACAGGAGCCTGCCGGTAATGATTTTGCCGGTTGGGATGATGATGACGAAGAAATCCCGGTTAGATCGCCGACGCGAAGCGCTACTGGTTCTCCGGTATATTCTTTCACACACAGTTGATGTAGACTTGGTGCTTACACAGGCTTGTATTTTCGTATTTAGAGAGAACCTGAACCACCACCAGGTGGCCCAGGTGACGACATTCCTCCCGATCCTGATCCTGATCCAGATCCAATACCCCGACAACCTGTGCCACCCGAGGTAGGGGAACAACCTCCCGGAAACCCCCCTCTCTTCTCTAGGATCCCTAGCATTCAGACTACACTCGAGTTTCAGCAGGCGCTGCAGAACGCCACACTTCAGAATAGCGCTTTAGATGACGATGCCATATACCGTCTTCAAAACCCCCGCACTGAGCAAATCGATCTCTCCGCAGACCCCTGTCTCGACTGGTCCATCAGCGCCTTCATCGACTGCCTGAACGCGTCCAATAAAACATATTCCAAACTCCACGATACCTACCTTCGAACACATCCGGAGCAAGACATGCTCTCCTTTGCGCAGGTCAAAAAGCGCCTCGGAGACATGACCGGTCTGGTTCCAATCAAATCAGACATGTGTCCAAACTCGCACATAGCGTACACCGGACCATACGCGGACCTCACCAGATGCCCAACGTGTTCCGAACCCCGCTACGACCCCATCATCTTCGAGAAGTCGGGAGGCAAAGTCGCCCAAAAGTATTTCTATACACTTCCTGTCGGTTTCCAGATCCAAGCCGCACGCAGCTCTCGTGAAGGCGCAGAAAAGTTCGCATATGCTTACGACGACATGAAGTCCCTCCTTGCCGAACTCGAGGCCGCTAACCGTGACATATCCGACATCGACATCTTCAAGGATGTTCTCCAGAGCCGCGGTCTTCTCGAGGCGGTACGTGACGGCGTCATCGGGAAGAATGATACCATTCTCCAATTCTCCATCGATGGCGCACAGCTCTACCGTCATAAGAAATCCGATACCTGGATATATCTCTGGATGTTCGTAAATTACTCCCCCGACTTTCGCTTCAAGAAGACCTACGTATATCCCGGTGGAATATTCCCTGGCCCCAACGCACCGGAACATCTCGACTCCTTTCTGTTTCCTGGGCTTCATCATGTTATCGGGTTGATGAAAGAGGGATTGAAGGTCTGGGATGCGCTTCAGGAGAGGGTCGTCGTGGATCGGCCCTTCTTCGCATTTGCGACTGCAGATACCACCGCGATGGAGAAGCTTTTAGGATTCGTCGGTGCTACCGGATGCTGTGGATGCCGTCGCTTCTGTGGACAGCTAGGTCGTCATTTATTCGGAATACCGACTTACTACCCCGCGTGCATGCATCCCGTTGATTGCGACCTTCCCGACGATCAATGCACTCATACCGACATCGACCTTTGGGACCCGGAGCGCGAGTGGACGGAATCTACCGCGACTTTGATGGCACGGTGAGCAGTGATATCCATTCGCTGTTTTAGCTATCTATTGACAAAGAAGTATGCAGGTACAATGCCGCTACATCAGGAAAAAAATAGAAGTGTAAGCACGACTACATACCCTACTTATGGTGCTTAGGCCCATACACAACCCCCCCTCGGGTTAGGCTCCTTAGGGAGACAGCCGGATACGGTAGGCCTACTTAGCGACCGGCCAGCCTACCATATTCCTAAGCAACTCTGTTTAGGCTTGGGGCTGCACGTCTGTTACCCCTATCATAGGGATAAGTAGAGATCAGCATTCTCCAGTACTCAATTCATCCCAAAATTAGTTGGATTCTTCCAGTAGGATTCCTCCTTCTTGATGCTGGAGATTCAATAGATGATTCGGAAAAAGTGGTTCTCATTGTAATTGAAGGGTACAAAGTGATGGAATAAATCTACCAATGCAAGCCTGTATCTATGACCTTGCCTAGACTACTGCTTCGTGCAATCCTTCGTGCTCCCACACAAGCCAGACACAACCACTAGAGCATGACCTAAAATGAATGTATGAGGGAAAGGTGATGGTCAATATGGTAAGAACACAGACCCAAAAATCGCTGGGCCACGGCTCTCTCCTTGAGAGGTGGCAGTACTTTGCACACACAGGAAGCGATAGGAATTCCTCGAGATGACTGCTCAGTGCTCACCTTAGACATTCTCTCTCACTATGCAGGCGGCTGCGATGATACACATAGAGGTGAAAATGTAGGTACACACAAGACAAGAGAAATACCTATCGTCATACAAACAACATATGTTGCTTAGCGTGGCGGAAATGAGCCAGTAAATGCTGAGAAGGGGACGCACCTGTACAGTCGAAGCCTTTCTCGTGCTTTCATCCTCGAGATTTACCAGCGTTGACGGAGGTAAGAACGGCACTTGCGCATCGTGAAGAGCAAGTGAAGAGCAGATGATGGAGGTTGAGAACGAAAGAGTCTGAAAGGACCCAGCTGACGAAATGAAGGCTTTATATAGAAATGTGTAATTGTGTGGCGGTGGCTCACCGAATATTCGGGAACATTCAGGTTTCATGACGTCATAAGTTAGCGTTTGCCACACTGAACTCAGAACACGCAAACGACTGCTAACGGTCAAATTGACGAATGTCTCGTCGTTTGGGGAGTGTATAAACATTGTATGGGACCGCTCACTTGATTCTGTAGAGTAAACCATCTTCAGATGCTGTCTAGAAACAGCTCACTGCTCGTCACCCTGCCGGGTCGACTCTGGCAAGCTTAAAGCTATGCCACATCAATGTCTTTGCTCCGAGGCGGGCTGAATACGAGTGGCTATGATATGAGAGCCTAGGGTAGATCCGGAGTATATAAAATAAGGAGACAACCGGATGGCTAAGCAGGCTATGCAGGTTGGCAGGATCAATATGCAGTCCTAAGTAGCAAGCAGGATTGATAAGTGGTTCTAAGCAGTGATACTTAGGGCTGCCCAGAGCTGCGGCACGCTACCTAGGCTAAGTAGCCCGCTCTAACGCTAAGCAATAAATTCGGTTTTCCTGATGTATTGCTGAGCTTATTCGTGCACCTAACAAGACCGCATTCGAGAAGATTCGCCTCAGAACGGGCCTGAACAAGCCCAGCATCTTCACTTCCATCCCCCGCTCGCTCGGCGTTCCCAGAATTTTCCCTTCCGATCTCATGCACCTCATCTGCTTGAATCTTACCGATCTTCTCTTCGGTCTCTGGCGCGGAACATTGAAATGTGGCGAGAACGACTTAAAGGCGACTTGGTCTTGGGCTATCCTTCATGACTTCCTCTGGGAAGAGCATGGAGAAGATGTCCGTCGTGCGACACCTTACCTCCCCGGTTCCTTTGACCGTCCACCACGCAATCCTGCAGAGAAGGCTTCGAGTGGGTACAAGGCCTGGGAGTGGCTCATGTACGTCTTCGGAATGGGGCCTGCCGTCTTCTACGGCGTTCTGGAAGAGCCCTACTACAGCAACTTCTGTCTCCTCGTCCACGCTATCCGCATTCTCCACCAGCGAACGATCACTCGAGCAGAGATGATACAAGCACACAACGAGCTCATCCAGTTCGTCGACGACTATGAAAGGCTTTACTATCAAGGAAAGTCCGCACGCCTACACTTCGTTCGACAGAGCATCCACGGTCTCCTTCATCTCAGTCCTGGTATCCCCGACTATGGGCCACTGGGGCTCCTCGCTCAATGGACCATGGAACGCACCATTGGCAATCTCACCGAGGAAATCCGTCAGCCATCCAACGCCTTTATGAACCTCGCTGAGCGTTGCGTTATTCGAGCTCAGGTCAACGCGATCAAGTCCATGTATCCGCAGCTACAGGATGCTCCTGTCAAAACACATCCCGATGGCGCTCAAAGCCTTGGCGATGGATACTATCTCCTGCATGCGAAAGACAACTGCCCTCGTGAAGTTCGGCCGTGCGAAGAAGTAGCCATCAAGAACTACTACGCATCCATGGGGCGGCCTGTGGATCCTAATTGGCATCCGCGGGTTACGAGATGGGCTCGTCTTGAGATTCCGACTCAACAAATTGCTCGTTCACTCTGGAAGGAGTCTAAAAAGCCATTGGAGCAGACGCGTATGGCACGCAATGTTAAGGTATGTCTTCACTAATGTTTTGCACTGAGCTTAGCTGATCATCAACGAATAGATGACGCTGGATGGAGCCACATGTCTTGGCGAAGTCCAGTACTTCTTTCATCTTCAAGTACAAGACGATCTACAGACGGTAGCTATGGTCTCCGTTTATGAACCACCGAGTGAGACCCTCTTGGGAGCGTCACGGGAAACGTTCATATCGTGCAGGCATGGTGGAGAGCAAGGTACGCGGGTGGTTGATGCAAAGGCTATTGAAGCTGTTGTAGGGATGGTGCCGCACAAGGTGACTTTACCTGAGGGTGAGGCTTCCGATAACCGTTATTACTTGGTTGAGAAGCCGGGTTTGCCTGTAGCGAGTCTCGGAGAGGCTCCTCAAGAGCATGTGCAGGAGCGTAATGATGCAGCAGAGAATGCATAAGTCTTTAGTAGCATGCAATACTTACTGTACATACAAGTCATATTAGAACCAGGGCACCCAAGATACAAGTAGAGACCAAGAAGAAGGTAAGATCTATTAAGACGCGAGACGCGTCTACTAAACCAACATGATCTAATCTAATCTAATCTACGTTATGATGTTCGTATTGCCTTCACATACTCCAATACTCCTCCTCAAGACGTACATCATAAGTGAGTGATAAGTGAAGAGAAACGAAACACTCTGCAAAAAGAAAGTCCAAGTAAAGTAACGTGTATACGGAATGAATGCATTGACTTTCTCGTCCTACATCAGCAAGACCGCATTTGGCTAAACCTAACTATTTCGGTCTACTCGGTCTACCGGTAGACACAAATAGATCGTTTGACAGTATCTATTCTCGTCTATTCTTTTTAGACCTGCCTTCTGGGAGGCACGAGATAGAGCATGATAGAGCACAATAGATCACTTCATTTTTCTTGTAGAGCACCAGATAGAGCACAATATCCTTCAAACTTATTGACCAGTTTTGCTGGTAAAAGCTATATATTGCTGATATAGAACAAGCTATGTACATACATGAGACGAGACTAGCACATCACAAAGAAACATGATACAGTATCGTTAAGCCAACGGAATCCCGACTCCTACCAGGCAGCTACAGACCTGAGGACGTGCAAGACCTATTCCACACGGAACCCTCAGTCCTCCAATGCACACTTGGCTCCACATACAGCAGTCTCCTCCCCATGAATTGCCCTGGATCTTGACAGTTTCCCGTGTCGAAGGGGTCGAAGCTCGGGAGTTGTAGTCATACATGCATGTAATGGGTGAAGAAGTACACAGAGCGGATAAAACGGTCGAGGTGGAAACGAAGAGAAGAGAGAAGGGGGAGGCGTACCGAACTGTCGATGTACAAAGCTGAGCACTGCA